CCCTCTGCTGTTCTCTGCCACGGCAAGGTCAACACTCACAGTCTTCTTAAACTCTTCATGCCATATTCTGGACGACCTATCTCTTCCTTTTTCGTCTGGGAGGGCCCAGCTTGAGACTAATGATGGTTTTTGATTCGCTTATCTTGCCTATACATTGTGTCTTACTGGGTTTTTATGAAGACCCATTTATCTGTTTTGCTCTTGTACCTAAGCAAGATTTCAATTGAGCATTACATATACACCAAAACTCATGTATACTGGTATAAGAAGTACCTGGAGCCGTAGCTACCACTGACAGAACAATAATGATGATCGAAAAGAAAAAGACTTAGCGTTGACAATTGACAAACCAGATGTTTTATCAAATTTTTAACATCGCGATAGACCTCTGTTAAAACACTCCTCTCATGGACACACGACATTTGCAGAATCCATTCAGAATGAATTAGAAGACACCTATTAACGTAAGATTTCATTGGCATATTTGTATTTGAAGTCTCATCGTATTATGTACCTTTACACACACACACAAATATATACCAATAACTCAAGAATAGAAGACCCTACACAAATATTAAGCTTGAGATTCTCGGAACAGCCCCAAAGTGTAGGATTTTATCAAGATATTACATATTTACATAATGTAGCCACTGAAAATCAGTTCAAGTAAGCATAGGCTTCTGACACTGTTTATCAGCGACCAAGACGGACTTAGGTGTTACACGAACCGTAAAGATTCCAGTTGCACAGCACTTAGGCTGTTGACCGGAAGTGAGCTCCAGCTTGAAATATAAAATCATGAAAGTTTATTTATTCACTCGCTTTCGGCTGCGGTTTTACTTGTCACACTTTTAACGTTTTCAAAAGCGGAAATCGTATGGCGTCCTTAAGATAAGTATATTTAATGCAAGCTGACCTGGCAAACATTTGTATATGAAATATTTTGACGAAATTTTATTACAATTAAAATGGTTATTGTAAGTTAACCTTAAAAAATATACGTCGCGGACATTTTTAATTTACGAGGATACAATTTTTTTGGCGAACTCACAAATAGGAATAATTTAAAAAGTTTTACCACATTTCCCTTGGTTGGTTTCGTTAATTTATGCCAAAGGTAAATGGTAATTTATGCCCACCGAATGCCTTCGTCGATAAAAGGTCCAAAAATCCTCAAAAGAATTCTTCAATTCAAACCCGTAGTTCCTGAGATTAGCGCGTTCAAACATACAAACAAACCCTTTATTATATTAGTATAGAACCTACTAGAAGTAACACACGTTGATGTGAATTCAAATTACATTTTTCAATTATTTGGGCGGACGGTGATCGAGTATGTAGGGGAAAATAATAATGTTTGAAAAGTTCTAATTGTTTTTCCGAATTTCGGGAACGGCACACGATAGCACAAATTGAGCACAACCGTTCTTTAAGCTAAACGAGCGTCAATTAAAATATTATATGTTTTTGCATGATAGGTACTTGTTAGAAAGTAAAATCAAGAGCCATCTCAACATGATGGGCTGTCGGCCTATTTTGGCTTTGAATATTTGGAAAGACCGGAGATTGAAACCGAAACTGAATTAAATAAAACGGCTAACATTCTTTTGACACACTTTCTTTCAAATATTTTCGGATATGTGTACATAATGTAACCCCTAAAAATCTCTCTTAATAAGAGAGGTATATTAAAACCTTTCTATATAATTACTAAACTCCTTTGACCCCTTGTCTCTCCAAGTTTATGGTGAAACCACGATATGAGCATTATTGGCAAATATCTAACTTATAACAACATTATCGTGGTCTGTATATATTTATTATGAACTAACAAATGTCTCAACATTATTATAAATTCATACAACAGGCTACGATTGGCAAAAAAGGAGCTAAAGAGGAAAGTTATCATCCCCAAACGACTAGTTTATGATAAGTTAAATAAATATTACATTTCCTAAGACGTGTTTATTTCAAGAGAGCATCGTTCCAAATCCTTTGTTGTTACATTTTGCTTTATCACAAAGCACTTGTCATCTTTTAATATCCGCTTTCTTCTCACACTTCCGCATTTACATGGTGTCTCTTTGTATTTTAGACGAAATAATATTTAATAAGGAAATGAATGAATACGCCAAGCAAAAACGTATTTTTTATTTTAAAAATTGAAAGCCCGTTTTCCTCTCGTGGGGCATGGGCCGAACACATTTCTATGTCCGTTTCACTGATCCGTTTTTTTTAACGGAATTTTATGTTACCTCTTGCTTAACGCAATGTAAAACAGGATATAAATGGAATTAATTTTGAACTTAACGAAAAACCAATCTGAGGGTAGTTTTATTTAATTATGAAGCAACATTGTAGTCTTAATTCCTTTCCTTTCAGGACTATTGCACTCGAAATAGCTTTTTGAGTTTACCTTCATCTAATCCTCATCATCGTTAATCACCTCGATTCATAAATCATATTTTTACCCACCCTTCACCCGAAAACTAACTATGCCTATGCTCTAAAAATTAAACTTTCACATCAATTTTCAATGCAATTCCAAGTATACACGTTACAATCATTCTTTTTTTAATATAAACTACAGACACTAGACAATAGTGTCTGTATTTTACGCGGAAATTGAATGAAAACACTTTTAACGGTTTTAAACGCGAAATGTGTTTTATTTATGTGTTAAATTAATTTAACTAAAGCCCGACGTTTCGCACGCTTTTGTGCTTGTCGTTATTATTGTTTTTCTATTATAAAATAAAGTATTATAAACAATTACTTATTAAGAGGTATTACTTACACTTAAGAAATTTAATGATTAATTCTAATGAGACCGTGAAGATTCAGAAACAAAAGGTTTGTTTTAACAATAATCAAGCTACCCTTGACTTGACTTCAATAATGAAAATAATAGGTTCCTATTAAAACCCGTGTTAAAGCGAGTCGATAGCGTTCACAAAGTTGACCTACCTTCAAAGTTAATGAAAAAGAGAATTCTTCAAGATCGCCGTCTACAAAATACGTTATTTCGTTCAAGTTTTTCAACCGTGCGTACTCGTCTGACGATATTACACACTCAAATGAAGTAGATAGTGCCCTGTTTTCTATAAAAGTAAAAGTAATATCAAACACGTTACTTATATAAGATTGAAAATCAACAATTAATTCGTAGAAGGATTGATAATAATCATATTAAGCGTAAAGAAAGTACTGTCCATAGTTTACGCGAGTAATGCACATGTAAATAACACACTTTTAACGGTTTAAAACGTGAAATCTATACTGTAACTTTAGTACAAGTTATTGTAAATATTTTGCAGCAGCCATGGTCTCGGGGAATAAGTTAAGACCTATAGTTTCCTATAATTCCTAATACCACCAATATAGTCTACCACGGCTGCTGCAAAGCATCCAAAAATCTAACTCTAACTAACTTAAATCGCGTTTTAAACCGTTAAAGTGTTTTATTAAATAACTAATATAGTTTTTTAATCGTTGAATGTGTTTATTTAAAAGAGTAAGGCATTTTTTATATAATTTTTCAAATAACATATTTAGAATAAACCTTAAGTCCACATTTTTACAGTACAAGAAAAAGAAAAGACAAAAAAGCAGTAAAACAATTATTTATACCGTAATTACTAATTATTATTTAATGTCCGTAATTAAGTTTATTTTAGAAGGAAATTCAGTAATATTAATGATTTAATGTTGTTTTCTCTCTTCAAATCCAACGTAATAAGACGCAAAATTGCTATTAATAAGTTATGTCTTTATTACAAGCTTTGGCTCAGGGAGTGTTTAAAGGTTTTAAATTTTGATGCTGTATTTTACAATATCAACTTACGCTACAATTCAATAAGATACAGAAAGGAATTAATAAAATATCGCATTTTCCTATTGATGTACAAATTGGCGACCCTTGCGAGTTAATCTCTGTATTATTCTTCCGTAGGTATCAAACCCGGGATTACAAACACCTGAAACTGGTAAAATAGTAGAAAGCTTTTATCCTTAACAAAATGCAATTTTTCTCTCCGAACACAAGCTTCCGAAACATAGGACCTGATATTAAGCCACGTTGCTTTTAATAAATGCCCGACGAAGTTCATGCTGTGGTAACTTTGCCATTTTCAATAAATGTATATGAAATGCTTCTATCAGTGTATGGTATCCTTTATCCTTTGAGGCACGGTATGCAAAAGTGATATTGCGATGTGCATACCTACAAACAAGCAATATCGACCGCATTACGTTGATGTATCAATTTGTGATCTTAAAAACAGTAAATATGTGATAAAAAGAAGAGATATGATTTATCTGCTATATTTATCTATATTACGCAAATCGCTCGAGTGTATACAATTTTTTTTAACTGATTTTGAGTTTTTTTTCTAATATTGTGTTTGGCTAAGCGGCGTACAAAACAAATAATTAAATGGATGAGAGTAAATTTGTACGAAAAACAAGTTATTTTTTAGTTACAAAAATAAAGTAGCAAAGAAATCAAGAATTGCCTAAAACTATAAATGCTATAGAATTAAGTTGGAATTTTGATTCTCTTAGCGAAAGTTTTGAATGTCTGCGGTTATACTTTTACTAAGTATTCGGGTAACAGTTTACCGAAATGATGTACTTTAATACCCAAAAACTTAAGCAACTTTTGGGCTAAACAGTCCAAACTTATAAGTTATATCATGAGGTATATTGTTTGTAGAATAACTTATTTACTTGCCAGTATCTACTGAAATTGGCAACTAACTCGTGCATCCGCTCCAGCAACTTTTTCCCGCCCAAATTAATTGTACTCATTTCGCAATTGTGCCACGCCGAGCACTTAAAAAGGTACACATGTAATCAAAACACATACGAGTGTTTTGTTTCAGAAGTTTTGTAATAAAGTTGCCTTTTAATTAAGGTAAGTCAACAATTGTTTTTATTCGCATAGTAATGAACATCCAAAAGTATAGCTTACTTTAAAATCTTACCTTGAACGTGTAGATTCAGAGACGACGCAGGTCGTATGCCATGTGTTGGAAAGATCGCAGGGCGGCCTGTTGGGCGGGCGGTCGGTCAGGGCGTGCAGCGCGACGGAGTCCCGAGGCGGCACTACCGCGCCCGCTGCCCGCCTCCACTACGAATTCCTCGCTGTGATTAATCGCCGAGCCACCTGCGGAGCCTTTGTATACCACTAATGTGTTTCAGCTCTAAACAATTCCCGATAAAATACATATGAAACAGTAACAATATTTCCGCCCGATGATATCGTGGAAACACCGTGTTATTTATCGAAACTACAAAAATTCGGAATGGAACTTAAAATGGGTTTTTCTGTAGTTCTTTCCATTAATATGCATGAAGCGAGTGAAAAAGAGCACAGCATATACGGCCCTAAGTATGAGAGTGGCGTTTTATCGTGGACTCTACGAGGCATACAAAGTTGCTACTCGCTGAGAACGGTGAATATTCAGCGTTTCCTTTTTTGTAGTTTCAAGGATCTCGTTTACTAAATACCGAACGTTACGTTTCAGTTTAGTTCGAATTTGATACACGCGAATGCACCTAAGGATACAATTTAATCAGTAATCACAGATTATATCTATAGATAAAATTTAGTATACTTAACTAAGTTAATTATTTACTTAAAATAGGACTGTCTCCAAGCAAGGTATGGAGTGCATCGTGTTAGGGATATCGAAAGGCTTGGATTAATTGGTATGATGAGGTGGTGGTGGTTAATTTAGTTTATCTACGACAGTGGAGAAACACAACTTATGGGGTTCCCTAAATGAATGAATGAAATCGACCTGCTGGACATGCGAAGATCCAGATTGAAACGAAAATAACGCTTAACGGATTTTCCATCTGTGGAGAACGTTGGTTCGTGGTGCGAACATAATTTTAATATTCCACCAATATTAAAGTTTACATTTTCTAGCGCCGGTGGAAATCGATTTTACATATCTAATCTTAAATATACATGCTAACATAGGACGCGCGCTAAGTACAATATACCATTTCACTTCATGCCCTTTAAAACTGACACTCATAATTATCGTGTGGTATAAACAACTACCGTCAAAGCCAAACCAAATTTTCTGGTACAATAATAACGACCTTAAAATATATATTTTTTTAATATAGTAATTTAAAATTTTTAGACTTCGTCTGAGTTTGGATATTAAATTTTTGGTAGGAATATGGAAATTCCGTCACGAATCACCGTCCACAGATGGATTTCCGAATATCCAAAGCCAAAATAGGTAGACAGCACATCTTGTTTAGATGTTATATGGCTAGAGATTTCACTATTCTATCCCCCACTATCATGAAAAAAACATTGATTATTTTGTAAGGAGTTTCATCTCGTTGCATCTATTATATATATGTATAACAGTCGGGCCAACTAATCTATTGATACAACATTCTTGGTTTTTAATATTATCAATCATCGACAGTCGACGTACGTCGGTTAAAGCCATAGTTCTTACGCCATGTTTACATGGAAAAATTTCTCTCATCTCATCTAATCCCACGTTTCAATGATTAATTATCTAAATCAAAATATAATTGAGATAGTTGTTCGCAAAGGGAAGGACCAAAAACAACACACGATTATAAGTAATCATTAATTTATTAGCTATTAAAAGGCCACAATGATTCACATTACTGTTAGTTATATATGTAATAAACACATTTACGCAGTCAGTACATATTTTATATAAAATCACATACAAAACCTGTTGAAAATTTTACTCTTACAGAAATGCATCTTGTATAAGATTTATGAAATAAAAATAACTAAAAATCCATTAATCCTATATGTTTCATCTTAAAAAGTATTAATAAATAATAAAACACTCTTTCACATAATATTACTTATTAATGGCACTAGTTTTGTTAGATTTTAAGGCACGGGGATGAAATTCTATTTTCTTTGTAGAAAAAATTTAGGCAGTGCATTGTTAATCTATGACGATAAATTTAGAAAACAAACAAAATATAAATCCCATTAAAACAAATGTTCCTAGGGATTTAACTACACACAGACACATTCTACACTCACACATAAGTACAAAAGCGTACTAAGAGATTAAACCAGACCTTTGTAAAGTGGATACAACTATATAGAGAATTGGTTGTACATTTTTTATGTACGGCTATTACAAGGCACAGTGTCAGGCTTAACAAAACAGCATCGATACAATATTGTACACGTTGTATCTAAACATACATATATCATATGACTTTCCGAATACTGATGACTTAGTTTTTACACGTAATTTCTGTCAAATACTTATTGCTTAATCACTTTCGCTTCGTCAGATCATTACTTTCCCGCGTACGTGGGATTCTTGAAGGTTGACGTCGCTTGCTTGTAAATTGGATTTTCTCCCTGAAATTAAAATCATTTATTTGAATCATCATCTACTGTAATCTAATCTTAGCTACTTCTTTCTATCTTTTTTTTGAAGTGATGACACTCTTAAAGATACCCTAAAAATACCCATACTTAAAGTTCATGCTTAAATGACACAAGCAAAACCATGAACCCAGGAAGTATAAGATGAAACGTTTCTTGACATCCTTAACAGTATTTGGAATACCTTCTTCGAAATAAATCTAACCTGCTGTACTGGTCAAGCAGGTGCCGTCAATAGTTGTATGAAAATTCTAATCAATTGCGTTTACCGGCCAAGTAAATTACTACTATTGTAAAATTATATCTGTCGTGCATATCATTGTCTTACGCGCTGTTCGGAGGACGTGAGCGAGAAGAGGTTCTCGACGTTCCGCCATCACGTGTAGACGGCATCATCAGAATCCTGATGATCCTGCCACCGGCCGACCACACGTGATGGCGAAACGTCGAGAACCTCTTCTCGCTCACGTCGGCCGAACAGCCCGAAAGACAATGATATGCTGAACGACAGCCGTGAAAGCCTTACACAATTTATTATATTTTTTGTGTTAATTAATTTAAAATTAAAACCATCTTCTACACCGACATGGCGACCAAAGAGGTAACTTATCAAAGGTTTAATTTAAATTTCGATCTGGCGAGCACACAGAAAGCTGTTTAGTATAAAAAAAAATAATCGCTTAAAAGATCTATTGTTACTAGTTGCTCATCAACTTCGTCATTGGTTTTAAAATTCTGAATTGTACTACTTAGTTTTCATTTCCGCATATTATTAGACAGAATACAAGCCTCAACACCTTTCCTGACGCTACAGTAATGGACAATTAACTCACAGTATCCCATTTAGCCATCATGCGTTCCTTCTCGAAGCGAGCAAACTCGCGTCGGTCGTGTATGGTGGTGACCATCTTCCACAGCATCAAGAGTGCCAAACCGACTAATACTATAGCTGCTATCACACCGAGGACGATGCCTAATATAAACACCTGCGGCAAAAGTCCTTCTTACGATTTGGTTTCAATAACAAACATAGGTAAACCGTAGATATTGTGCATACCTTGACCCTATAGAGGTCATGGTTATGAAACAAAGAAATGATTATAATATTCTGTTAAAATTACGATTGCTAGTGAGTGTGCATACATATAAAAAAGTTAAACCATAAATGTATGAAAACTATGAATATGAAGTTAAATTTATGTAAATGCAAATTAACGATGTTAAACTTAAATAATATAAGATAATATCAATTAGTTACTTTTCGCGGACACTCGTGTTCCTTCTGCGCCCTGATGTGCACGGTCCTCGTGTCGTTGTATGAGTAGACGTAAACATACAGACAATCTTCGTCGTCGTAAAAACTGCATAAATGCTCGTTCAATGTCTCGTTGGCTAAACATAACAAAAACATGATTTATATTTAAGACTAATACATTAGGAAGGACAACAGACATGGGTTTCACTTGATGGTAGGTGATATACCCCCGCCTATAGCATCTAAACAAGATGTGTTGTCGACCTATTTTAGCTTTGGATATTCGAAAATCCACAGACTGAAACCGAAACGCGATTAAGCTTCACGCTTTTTCTCGAGGTGGTTCGTGACTCGGACGGTATTTCTATATTCCTACCAACATTGGAATTCTGGATATTATCATTAGCCATAAATTGCTACCACTAGACCAACGAGCCCGTCTAAAAAGTAAACATAGTGAAAAGCGCATTCGACTGCAGATTCCGTCGTTTCGGATTCGAATCTTGGGTCAGGCGAAATGTTATTTTAGTCTTAATTATAATGTTGGTTATATTGTAGAAATTTAGGGGGCATAACCCTTAATTCATAATTAAATGCATACCTTCTATCTTGCCTTCGACCACTTCTGGATAGAGGGCACAGTCGCCACAATCCCTGCCGGGCTGATCCGGATTGTATAGAGGACCACGTTTGTGCACTTCACAGAGCACGCAGTGTTTGAAATCCTCACATCTTCCAGGACATGTCTGCGAATTTGGTTAAAAATTAAAATACATATTTTGCACTATATACATACATAAAATCGATTTTAGGATAAAACGAACGCTGTAGATGCCGGTTCCAGTCCTGCCCGTGTCGTATTTTTTTACAATCTTAATCGATATTAATGTTGACGTAATATATGACACAGCGGCTTTTTGTATTTAAAAAGTTGTAAAAAGTTGTAACCTAAAATGGGAAAAATAAAAGAAGGCACGATTGTATTTCAATAAATAGTCTAATGGCCAAACAATACTATTCAGTAGCTGCTAACTTAAGCTAAATATTACTAAAATAGATAGATTATATAAAAGGAATTGACTCGACGAAAATTATATACCGTTTTTTTTATTATAAAGTAACTCGTAGTGTTATTTTGTTAGGGTTGCGGCAAAAAAAAGGTAAGGACTTACGGGACAATTGTCGCAGAATTTCCCAGTATAGTGCCGGTCGTCATCCACGTTGCACACGCACTGTCCGCAGACGCATTTACCGTTGCCGCTGCAGATTTTGCCATTTTCTAAAAAGTAATATATAATAATATATTGCCACCGTGGCTAATAAGATAAAACTCGAAATTTTGCTTTCCTTCTTTTAAATCCATCATACTGTAACCCGTGAAAGGTTTTAGGTTCGATTCCTGGGGTAATACATATTTTTTCGGATGAAAGAATTCAATTAACTTGTTTACAAAATAGTTACATACACACATTTTTGTGACCGTTTATAAATTTTTTGTTTGCCTGGGCTTCGAACCCAGGACCTCTCGCACTTAACGCAATGCTAAACAGGCGGTCGCAGACGCAACATATTGAACTTAAAAATGACTAATTGAATAACAATATTACCAGGTGATATACAAGCGCTCTGATCCTTCAAGCACTGGCAGGCTGGGCCGGTGTATTCTGGTCGGCAGTTACACTTCCCGCAGACGCACTCGCCGTGAGAGGGGCCCGAACATATCTCGCCGTGGTTCATGTCGCAGGTGAAGTTGTCGCATTCGCAGAACGGACCGGATATCACCTTGTGATAGAAGGATACTTTTCAGTAATAATGCCGCAAAAAAATTTAACTACACTAATAACGATTTCTTGCGATTATTTATCAATCGCAAATTGAAGCCACTTTAGATGTAAAAGCCTTTTTTATTTTTGGGGCAAATACCTTATAAATGCATATAAAAATTAATTAATTTAATTAACCTTTGCTCGGATGATACCATCGTATAATAAATTTCACCGCACGTATATGGAAATAGATATTAATACGACAAATTAACATTACTTTTACGTAATTACTTAGTTTTTCTTATCATGCCATTTTTTACATTTTTTTATTTGTACATTGTAACGCATTCTATTATTTATATATACATATAATAAAATATATTTTTTATCATTCATAGTTCCATCCAATTCATAGTTGTATAATATATATTTGTACTGTCCTAATTACTTAAGTCAGAAATACTTAATTGCACATAAGTTTTATCATATATACCTTAATGTAATGTTATATGAATTTAATTAAATAAATTAAAATAATAGAGCCTCACCTTTAGAGGATCGTCCATTTTGTTACACTCGCACACACCACAGATGCAAGTGCCCCGGTTTGAACACAATGGCCCCGAGGTGGCGTTGGTGGGACGGCAGCCGCGCTCTTGTTCCAACGAGACGCCGCTGTGCGCTGAACACTCGCAGCTCTTTCCGAAACGACCCGGGTGGCACACGCATACGCCGCACGCCGAAATGCCTTGGCCGCTGCACACTAGCGGACTGTCATTGTACGCCTGTAAGGCAATTATAAAATGTATGGAATCTTGCGAGCACCAAAATAAAATAGTAAAATATGGCAAAATCTTTTAATTTCGCCTTAATCTTTTTCCAATAAGTCTTAGCTCTGGACGTCCTATGTCTTAATTCGCCATCTTTTATCTTTAAAAGAAAAGAGAGAGTACGAACTCTCCCCATCCCTGTCATACATACCTCTTGCTCATTCTTACATATCTTACATTTCGTTATATACATTCTACCTATATGATTGACAAAATATTATAAACTTATTATATGTTGCCCTAATATTGATTATATTAGAACTTATATGTTGATATTATTTTCCTTCATTTAATAGTATTAGGCATGAACATTGCATAGGGCAATTAGTATCATGCTTTTAAACTACTAGGAACCGTAAATCATTTGGATAAGTTTGTCTTATAAATGCAATCATTCCTTTTGTGTGAAAATTATTTTTTTCTTAATACTTAAATATCGTAAATTAGACAATAACATCAATATGAAAATAAAATCAATTATACTTTATGGATATATTCTTACATGGTGTCCTGGATGTTCGCAGGGGCAATCACACAGCATTTCCAACTCAACAGTAAGACTCTCTGAAACACCCACTGGATATATAGTGAATGTTTGCCTCCATTTGCTTGGGTCTTTGGGGCATTCCTTAAGTGTTATCTCCGCTGAGAATTCCACAACATCACCGACCTATAAAATTTAACGCATTAAATAACTTTCTACCATCAGTTCTTGTTATTATCTATTAACATCAAAAGGTTAAGTTTAACATCTGTTTTATAAAAGGTTTGAAAAAAAAAACTTTACTAACTTACCTTGAGTCCATCGCACTTATTAGTTTGAACCAGGTTATCTTTGCCCCCAAGGCATGACGAGTAGTACAAAATTTGTACAGCATCACTGGACGTATCCTTCATTTCGACAGTCGATGTTATTTTCTGAAGCAAACACAAGACGTAAGTCACAAATTTAAATTATTGGATGGATAGAAAGGAGCGATAAGATAAATTTAAAATTTTTATTTAGATTCGGTTTTGGACCCAGATCTACAAATTTAGCCATCCAATTCATTTCATCATTCATCACACATTCATCCAAATTTGTACTCAAGCTAAAATAAAAACGTACAATACATTGTAATTTAACAATCAAACTCATACTAAAAGCTACGTACCGTTATTTGTTTATTATTAATAATTCTGTACAATTTGTGTACATAATTACATTTGTTTGAAAAAAATGTGGCCTACTTTTTTTTCAGTTGTAGGATCTATTGGGATGACTATGAAAAAAAATTTAAAAAGATTTTTATTATCTACATTTCATTCTAACTTACATTGTACTGTTCTCGGACCAAGTCGACGACGTTATCCGAATCATCGCTGAGTATTCCGCTGCTTGAACCTTCGATATGTTTGCTGAGTTGCTCGTACACGCTGATCTGTTCTGCGGTCACTGCGAATATTACGTTGATGGCGTGCTCTTTCACCTGCGTACATTAAGACTTGTGAATACTCAATACACGTATAGCTTTAATAGTTATTTTGTAAAATATTTAATTATACGTCCAAGAAACATAATTCAATTCTTTTTATTTATTTTAAAAGTAGGCAGAATTATGTTTTTTTTTTATTTTCATTACTTCAGAAGAGATCCAATATTTTTATTTTCGGAAAAGACAGTGTAACCTTTAAATAAAACTTGACTTCTTAACAAATTTATACGGCCCGACGATTCAGATGCTTCGCAGCAGTTGTGTCCCCCGTGACCACGGCTGCTGCAAAGCATCTAAAACACCGTGCTCTAAGCCCTTAAGTGTTCTACTCGCGTAAACTACAGACAAGACTTGACAATGTAACTTATTAACGTTATTTGCTACAGGGCAAACTTTTTAACGTATTGAAAGCGAAATTTTATGAGGAAATGTAAAACAACATTTATTTACGTAATTTATCAAGCATATTAATAATATTAAAATGATTCATGCTTTCTTGTTTAATTGGTTGCATTTTTTTGTAATTTCAGTTTTCCTTATATCATGATTAATATTTCGCAGTACATGTCAAGGTTACCTTAAGGTTGATTTGCGAAATGCTCGGGTAATCCTGAAGAGTGGAGTGCGTGTATGAATTATCCTGCATGTGGCACTCCCCGTCATTCGGTTGAACGATACCGCCAAGCTAGGACCACAGAATGATAATATAAAAAATTATTGTCATTATTTCTATATGACCAGTATTAAGTTTGGTTTCTTTTTAAAAACAGTACTCTTTCTTAACAACCAGCATTTACAAATGTATTTTTCTTTATACAACACTAGCGACCCATCCCGGTTTCGCTCGGGTGCAATGCTGATACTAAATAAACTATAGACAAACTGAAAACATTGTATATAAAAACCTTGCTCTTAAATACTTTATCTTTTTGAAAAACGCATAAATCCGTTGCGTTTTAAAGATTTAAGCGTACGTAGACAGAAAAAGCGACTTTGTTTTATAAGATTGAGACCTTTCCGTCACCCGCGTAGTGGAAGCCAGCATCAGTCGAGAAGACGAGCAGCTTCCTGGCGTGTTCACGCCAACCAATCTCTTGCTTACAGACCACGGCTTGCATGATCGCATCGAAACCACCTTCGGGCGCGTCCAGGTTTCCTGATACATCAGCTCGGGCTACAGCTTTCTAAACACACATAGAGGCAGTTTAATATTAAAATATTTTAAGAATAATAAATATCATGCAAAGAATATATATCTAAAACAAATTCAAAATATATAATTACATCGTTAATTTTTCACTACGAATGTGAAGGTTAATTAAACAGTGACTGACGCTCATGAAAAACACAAACAGCGCAGCATATACGCAATAAAAATAATGATTGAGAGAGAGAATAATTGAATATTTAACAATTTGTGGCTATAAACTCAACAATCTTGGTAACGGTCCCCACCGGGTCCAACAGTGTCCAGTCAATTTTTTTATTTATAAATGTTGGCTGTCTGAATATAAAATGGTTCATCCACAGATGAAAAATCAAACCAATCGCATCTTGTTTGAATGTTATATGGTTAGGGTGGTATTTTGCCTACCATCAAGTGACCTTCATGCTCGTCTGTCCTATTCTATGATAAAAAAGGCACTTACGTCAAAAAAGTCCGTATCATTGCTGAGTGACATTTGATTTTTGTAACCGTACGGGGCGGCGCAACCGTCGCACGGAGAGATTAAACTATAAAAGATTAGAACATTAATTATCTCCAAAATATTTACATGTATATTTATTTAACTCACATTTGCAACACACATATACGAGGCCGCTAGAGCCAGAGTAGCCTAACTGCAATTTTTATGGCTTGACCTATTTATATAGTCAAAATGATATTTGATCACACATAATAGTACAAATTCATTTCGTTTGAAAATAATGTTTTTTTTTTGTTATTCGGTTTATTTATTATTTGTTATAATGTAATTATTGATGAATATGCTAAATATAATCTCAATATAAATGCTTCGCGAGTTTCGTCGGTATGTCGTAGACAAAATCTCATTTCGGTCTTCGAAAAGTTTGTAAGAAAGTTTCTAGTACAACCACTGAGTTTTGATTCTGTCACGCCCGGCCTAACTTGCTCGAAAGTAAGTTAAGTCATCGGTTATTATCACTAATGAAGTGCCGGTTGTTGCCAAAGCCCACCAACGAGTACTAGAGGAGCGAGGTGGGTCGAACCTCATAAACACTGCCTTTATAAGATAGCTTTTTATCCAGCAGTTGGTATTACTAAATGGAAACGAATAAAATGCGCTCATAGAATAAACTTATTTGTTTACGTCTTAAACTTACTTCTTAGGCACAGTAGACACATAGGGCATAACAAGTTTGTCGACGAACGATCCGAAACCAATTCTAAAATTAGAAGTAATATTTCTCATAGTACTGGACAGCAAACTGCCCAATGTACTGAGTTTCTCCTTGTCGTTCTTCATAGATCTACTCAAGTCCATGAGGTAATACAGATCTACGGGGTAGTCTTGGGCTTGTGCGTATGAGAAAGTCATCTTTTGCATTTGATCTGTAAATAATAATATTTCTCTTTATACGAGGTCATATCTTATCACGATAAAGTCGCTAGTCTTTACGAACCTGCTGGACTGCAATACTACGAAAATCCCTTTAGGATGCCAAAGGAACGAGGTGAAAGTTAACAAAAAAATTCATATAGACATATTTGGGACAGTTTAAATAAAACACCTTTAACGGTTTAAAACGCGATATATATTATTAATTAAACTTATTTGAAAATTATTTTAACTACGTTCCGGATGCCGTAATTAACATACTTTTCAAATAAGTTTAACTAATATATATCACGTTTTAAACCGTTGCAGTGATTTATTTAAATGTGTACTACTCGCGTAAACTACAGACAGCCTTTGAGACAAATTTAAGGTAATGTGATTTATAATTATTTATTATCATCAACGAAGCGCGAAGCGACGCCTCTGTAGATAAATGGCTCAACGTTAGGCGCAAGGAATCCTGGGTTCGAATTCTATGACTTGCCTGACCGAACAATAGATTGTTTCAGTCAGGCAATAGAAGTCTGATAATATAATCATCTGCAAATAAAACCGAACAGTGAGACGGCCAGTCCCGCGTCCAAAAGGAGTTCGGAATTTTACATGTACACATTATTATCAGCGATTTTGCGCCGTTTATAAAACCATTCAAAAGTACTTCGATTTCAATATTTTTATGGACATTAGGAATTAACTTAAAACATAAAATATCTAGTGATTTAATAAGTTCACCTTCATCTTAAAGAATGCCTTATTAAGTTGCATCCATATCTATCTCTAATTAACAGATAAACAAACTAATAATGGAACAAGATAAAAACGCGAACAGAAATATAAATGACCTAACCATAATGCACATCGCTTTATGAGTTTATGATTCATCGTCTTTCATACTTACTCATTCTCAACTGTAATTTCACTCTTTGCGGCTTGATTTGTACAAGGTTCTCTCCAGCTCCGGCAGCCATATATCCACCGCCTTTTACACTGCTGCTGCTGCTACTGCTCATAGACTCTTCGTAGTACGTCGATTCCATACCTATCCCCATTCGGCCTTTAGCTGCAAAAAAGTAACTTCTAAATGAACGTACTACGTAAAAAAATATTTTCAATTTGATAAAATTAATAACACAGACGGGTTCAAATCTATGACCAACAGAGAGCCATGTTCTGCTAAAATAAAATGTGTCTATTAAAGTACAAATAATTTACATCATTAGTAAACGTATAACAAATGATTCATTGACTTTTGTTTGTCATACACACACACACATTACCCCCACATTTATTCGCCAGACAATTCTAATGAACTACATACACATATTCATCGTAGCCTTTTAAAGATGCAAATAATAATTGAATGCAACACCATTGTCTTCAAAGTTTTAATAATATGAATATAGTGTTGCTGATTTCGCTGTAATTTTTTTAGATGCTTAAAGAGGAATCATTTTTTCATACATATTTTTTTACTATCTTGAACCGTGCGCTTCGGAAACCCACACAGATAATTTTCCCCTTTTTCTTCAATATTTCCTGCTGTGTCTTCGCCATCTCGATAAATGCTTCAACTAACACAAAAATAAATTTTCAAATCGAACCAGTAGTTCCTGAGATTAGCGCGTTCAAACAAATAAACAAACTCTTCAGCTTTATATATTAGATTATTTATTTACGAAAAAAAAGGAACAAGTTTATTTGATCAATATAACTACATAATTACGGTCTTCTGGCTGGCCCACTGCCTTAACAGAATCAATAATGTACGAAATTATAGCTCCAAAATGTATATTGAATATGTACTGTTGGTAGTTTACGCGAGTAGTACACATTTAAATAAAACACAAAGGATTAAAAACGCGAAATTTAATTGTTTTATTTAAATCCAATATGTATTGCTGTTTCCTAGAGAATCGAACTCAAGACTTCTTGCGTAGCAATTATGTTGAAGTGAATTTCCCGTATCCCCAGTAGGGCATGGGGCGAACACATCTCTGTGTCCGTTTCACAGATCGGTTATGTTAATAGGCAAGGGGTTGATCAGACATACCCTACCGGACTGAAAATATCTCTTTCCCTGGGACTTTTTTTCTTACCTCTAGTTAATTCCCTGTTGTACATAGGATCAATAGACTGCTGATTATCGGGGTTGAAAATGTACGCCTCATCGCAACCAGCGGTGCCGCCCTCCATAGCGGGATTGAAGCACCGGGGGCCATTGAATTCGGGGGCGAAGCACCAGGCGCAAGTCGCTGTTCGTGCGCAGTCGCTACACGTCGTTTTACTCGAGCAGGGGTTCTGCGCTAGAAGATGCTCAGCCCTCTGACCGTAAGAAACGGCGAGCAGGCACACCCACAAAAATGCCCGACGTATCATCGTTTGTGCGTTCCTTTCGCTTCGTGCTTAAATCAATACCTGTAAAGAGAAAATATTTACTAGAGTTATTTCGTTAGCGACGCTAACTAGCAAACAAAATAATACATCACTAATCATATATTGAAACTCGCATTAAATTTTCGTAAACATTGTTATAAACATGGACAATTGGACAATGGACAACAATGGGTTCCTAATGACCTAATAATTTCTTGAATCATGTTAAATAATATTGTTAAAAGATGTACAAAACAGTAATTTAAAGGAAACAAAGGCTTTTATGTATTAAACATTGATATGGAATTTAGGTTGTTTATTGACAGTATTCATTAAAATATTTTCTATTGCATATTATATAAATAAATAAATAAAGAGATATTTTTAAAAATCTTTTTACTCAATCAAAAACATTAGTACAATTTCTAATATATACATTTTTTAAGAGTATATTGTCTCACTAGAACACGCAGACATTTTTTAAGATATAAGGATTGAGGAACACTTGAATAACGACACATCTATATTACTAGCTGTGCCAGCGACTTCGTCCGCGAGAATCCTTATTTTGGGCATCCCAATTAGTTTTTCCAATCCCCGTCATCTTTATAAACTTAAGCTGTTAACCACGACGTCGATCGCGACACTTCGCGTCGTTCTTGCAAATTAACCTTAAAAAATAGACATATAGCATCGCGGACTTTATTTAGATAATTTAAAGAGGAATCATTATTTCCCACATATTTTTTAAGCATCTTAAATCGTTTTCGCAGCGTACGCATCGAAAATCCACAAAGATGAAAAATTTCCCCCCGTTTTGTTCACATTTCCCCCTGTATCTTCGCTTCTATTTGTCATAGCGCAATGTTTTATAGCCAATAGCCTTCCTCAATATATATATATATATCTTTTTAGCATTGGATATTTGAAAATCCTTAAAAAAGACATTGAAAAATGGATTCACATGGCCCTGTCGAAATTTTGATATTCCCATTTAATGTTCAGATTTTCCAGATGGAGTCTAAAATATTGATTCGGTGGGGTTTGAATCCACAACCCGTTGGCTATAAGTCATACATTACTACCATTGGACCAACGACTCCGACATCCAACTATTTATGTTTTTAATCAATTCTCTACCGTGCACAGTACGTTTTAAGACGACGTAAAAACAGATAAAATTATTACGGCACGTTAGATTGCCGTACCTGTGGGTGGTTTACGGGCGCGGGCGAAAAAGGGCGCCCCCACGCACTAAACTAAACGAGGTCGCGACAACGCCATCAACTGGTCCATAAACGAATGTGGGTTGATGCCTTAAACTTGAAATTTCTAAGTTATCACTGACAAAATGTTTAATCGTTAACAAAACCATAACAAAAGAATTACGTTAAAAAATTAACGGTTTAAATTAACTAATTAATTAGTTAACTATCGCGTATATGTATCGCGTTTTACACCGTTAAAGTGTTTTATTTAAATGTGTACTACACGCGTAAACTACACACAGTATTACATTATAGATACTTTTCCAGTTTGGATACATATTACAAAGATTGGACAATCTGGTAAATATATTTACTATTGAAGATATAGAATTGATACAATGTTCCTATTTGTTTAATAAACAGCACGGAACGCTGACGATCAAGACGACGAAGGCTGATGTCAAGTCCTGCCCGAGTCGAAAATTTTTTCAAATTATTTTCGATTTTCAAATCATATAGTGCCTTCATGTGCAATAACATGTGAAAAATATTAAAGTTTTCAAACATTATAAAATGTAGTATTTAATTATTATTGATAGTTAAGTACAATATTTAATTGTATGTCATCGCGTATTCGACATTGAAATTAAATTAGATACCTACAACTGTAAATACTAAGATAAATACTACTATAATAAATAAAACCTGGTTAATTGAATTGTTCTTAACTCCTGTTGTGATTAAACGGTTTCTTTATACATTATGTTTAATAAGTAATTCTTACCATACTATTTGCATATGAATGTAAATAGGCAACCAATTGCGTAGGTATCTCACTAAAACAGCGTCGGCTGTGGTTTCACCAACATTCGACAACTGACCCAGTTCGCAATCCAAGCACTGTGCTGTATAATATGTAACTTCTTATCACTGCACTTGACTTACACACTCACTTTACTCAGAACGTAGACTAACTTATGCAAATTTATCACAGTTATACCTTTATAATCAACTAATAAATACGATTTTTAAAATTGAAATATATTAATTAGCGCTATATAGAACGATTTTAAGTAAATTTTACGATCACGTCTTTCTATAATTCGGCGCGAGAGCAAAGCGTGCGGTCCGCGCCGGATACACGCGTGACTAATTGTACAGAAAATAACTTCGTCAGCCAGTGATACAGCGGCGGCGTCATCGTGCCTTCTTGGAACCAATACGTGCCAAATCCAAGCCGATTCAATAACAAGGGACCGACAGTAAGCTAAGAAGAGCCTTCATTTCGCTGATAAAAATGTAAGGTCGAACAAGTGACCACACAGTTTACAGTAAGGTGATCAAGTATGTTAAGGTAATATTCATTCTTGATGATTACGTCACAGTGCTGATGCCAAACATGAATCAGGTGGTGATTATTATATCGACACTTTACGCACACTAGGTATTTCAGTTGAAGTGAATTCGGTGGAAATATAAGATTTTCTCTTATTATATGTCTTACAATAAAAATAGCCCATTATATAGTAATTTGAGAGATTAACAAAAATTCAACTTTCGCTATCAAATGTAAACGCAAATTTTATCAATATTTTGTACAATAAAGAAAATTTTTAACTTAGGTTAAAAAAAGGAAAGACACGATGTCGAATTCGTATAACAATCGCTTCGACTTTGATGTGTTGAAATGGATTGTCGATTGACGCCTTTCGCGGTGACTGACATGCTATCTTTTATCCTTCCTTTTACGTTTATATTTGCCTCTCAATAAATAAGTTGCATCTCTAATAAACTGCAGCATTAAAAAAATCATATAAACATTACACGTTATCATAAATATAATGGAGAATTGCATTACGTACTCGTAGTTCCTGATTGAAGTAGCGTTAGATCTACTATCTTTTTTATGCTAGAACAGACCTTTTCCGTAACTGAATAGTAAGGCGGGTTTCCTTATACAATATATAATAGTGACGATAACGGTAGAGGGTGCACCGTAGGTCATTGACCGCTTCCGTCTGGCAGTCAGGCACGGCGCCATAAAATATAAATCCCGTCAAAGTGCAATCCAAAGCTTTGCTTATAGGCTTTTAAAATTATTAATGATAGGATGAGCGACACAACCAAAAAAAATGTTTTACGGCACTTTGTTTGAGAAAACTAAGAATTACTGTAATTAATAAGGATTTTTCGTGTTTATTAACCCTAGAAATGTGCTCAAGTTTACAAAAGTTTACTCAATGGACTTGTTACAGATTTTAAATAGGCATTGAAGCATACCTCAGACAAAGCTAGTCTTTAAAATTATGTCCAAGTGTAATAAGATATTGATATAGAAGATAGCTCCATGAGTCACAATACAATGTATACTAATTTAAACAAATATGGTTTCCCCCCCCCCTAAATTCCTATTCTTATTTACTACTTTATTGTATGTTCTATGGCAGACAAATTAATGTATGTTTAAGTAATGAAGTGTTATACAGACGCTATGTAAGGGCTATCTTAATTATAGGCATGTATAACATCTGCAGGGCACTTAACACAAAGCTAAAACAGAAACGAGAAGACTTACTCTTGTCTCAACTTTCTTACTAAGCATATTAATTAAGACCTAAATACATAACTCCAGACTAAGGCAATGAGTCATGGGGAAATGGGTGAAATGGTCAGCGGACAACGTGAACTGATCACCCGTCCTGCCAAGGGTGTCCCCAATAGAAATAAATAATAATAAAGGCAATGAGTCATATTACCTTTAGAATCAAACCCTGTATAAAACAATCAACAATATGTAAATGATTAACAAATGATCCAAAGAGATTTTTATTAGTTACTATCATAATCTCAAATTGCTATAACTTTTTTAAAATTGATTTTGTGGATAATAGTTGCGGAAATTTCTGGAAGTGTTCCACATAAATAAATATCTACATACATGATTAGGTAATATTTAAAACAAAACATTAACATTGAGTTATGTGTACATAAATTTTTGCTTGGCTTGAACAAACTCTGCTGTTATAAAATAGGCAATATTAGGTCAACAGCAGTTTTAAAACTTAGTTTTTTAACAGCGGATAGAGCTAACAGAATTAAATAACTACGACGAAAGTAAATAAGAGTCGGATTGCTAGGGACATAAATAGTACTCACATATTTTCTGATATATTATGCTAATATTTACTCACCAATTGTGGAACTTGATATTACTGCATATTCGATACTTTTAAACGAATATCGAATCTATATTACTGTGTGTAATTGTATTATTAGAGTATTGATTCACAAAATCAAAACTTTTATTCTATGATTTATGTAAAATCTAAAAAAAATTCATTATTTTAGTAAAATTATAAAACACTTGGTCCTGTTATACTTCAGGACTGTCATCTGGCTTTAACTGTCAGTAATGAAACAAGTCTGTGGCACAGATATTAGCCGCGGTTTCTTTGTCACAGACTACTTGCAACACAATAATACAAAACAAATGAAACTACATATCATTTTCATTACAGAATTAAAACCATTAATGTTGATATGTTTTGTTTTCAACAATTTACGCCTTAGATAATGATTATGGGATATAAGCTTCATATTTTTGTTAAGCTATTTACGTGACCATCTTTCTACAATTAGTTAGGCAATAATAATATAATATATTAGGTATAGAACCCGTGACCTTATGTGACTGATGATAAGTTTTGCAATCACAGAACAACAATGCTATCTTAATTCAAACAGGAGAGTTGTTTAAATAAGAAGGCAAGCAATATTGAGTCAATCTTCATGTAACTTGAATTAAACATGTCTTCAGTTAGTAATTTCCTTTTGAATAAATTTTATAAAAACTTTTTCATTATTATTTACATTCACTTCAGGAAAACTATCAACTCTGGGGCGGATGTTTCGAAGAGGAAGCTTCATCAGACCTCAGGCGTTTGAATGATTCCTTGTCTGTCGATATTAGACTGTATCGCGAAGATATTAACGGTAGTCGTGCCTGGGCCCGGGAACTCAACCTTTGCAAACACATATCTGCTGAAATCTATGAGGCCATAGTGAATGGATTAAATAAGGTATGATAATACGAAATAGTTAAACTGTGTCACTGATTGCCGTACTAGCCTCGGCGCTTCCAGACCTTAAAATCCGGACTTGCCTACTCCTTAGTAAAGTTCTGTTTCCTTTAGTACAATAAGGCAGTAGGTACATGATTAATGTACTTTCAATTAATTAGGTAGAAGCCGACATAGAAAAAGAGTTGGCTGAGAATGGTCGAATTTTGGATAACGATGAAGACATTCACTCCGTGGTGGAAAGAAGACTTAGAGAATACGCTGGAGACGCCGCCCTCCATTTGCACACGGCTCGCAGTCGTAATGATCAATCCGCTACAGATACAAAATTATGGATGCTTAACTCCACTAAAAAGTTAACAACGGCCGTTGTTCAACTTATCTCGGTAACTAGAATATTTGTTTGTTTGTTATAAAATAATACTACTAAGTGAAGTGTTCGGTAAATAACGTAAATTTTAGGTCTTAACAACTCGTGCCGAGAATGACATCGAAGTTATAATGCCGGGGTACACGCATCTTCAACGTGCTCAACCCCTTAGATGGAGCCATTTTTTGATGAGGTACCGATACATGAGAAAAATAATGAATAAAGTTTTCACTATTAAATACTAAGTAAAAATAATTAGTCATTAAGATAGGATGACAAGCTCAAATGTATATCTTTCACGTGAGGGTCACACGCGGATCGTGGGTTCGAGTCGCGTCTGTGTCTGATGCGTGTGTGTTTTTAATTTTCTTAACTACTTTTTTAAATTTATACAACTTAATATTTTATCTCGTTAACTATTTTATAACTGTATTGCAGCTACGTCTGGCAGTTGAAAGAGGATGTTGTGCGTCTGGAAGAACAAGTCAACCGTTTATCAATATGCCCTCTTGGTAGTGGTGCAATAGCTGGTTGCGCGCTTAACATCGATCGTTTACGTTTGGCACAAAGTCTAGGATTCAAAAATGTAACGCCCAATTCAATGTATGCGGTCGGGTCTCGAGATTACATAGGTATAAACATTTTAAATTGTGAATGTTTGATACTGTCTGTAGTTTATGCGAGTAGTATATATTAAATAAAAACACTTTAACTATTTAAACGCGATTTATATTAGTTAAACTTGTTTGAAAATTATTTTTACTACCCGACGATTCGGATGCTTTGCAGCAGCCGTGGTCACACATGGAAGGTATCTCTAAAGGAAGCAAGTTTCACAAACAAGTTTAACAAATATATAACGCGTTTTAACCCGTAAAAGTGTTTTATGTAAATGTAAATGTTTGATCAAAAATCCCTTCAACGGTCAGTGAAACTGGCCCTGTATACATAATTGTATTATGTATGTACTACAAAAAGCAGGATAAATATATTACATTATGATTTTAGTGGAATTCCTAAATTGGGCCGCCCTTTGTGGACTTCATCTTAGTAGGTTAGCAGAGGATCTCATAATATACAGCTCCCAAGAATTCGGCGTCATCCAGATATCAGACAAATTTTCTACTGGATCAAGTCTGATGCCCCAAAAACGAAACCCAGATGGTTTAGAACTAATAAGGGGAGCTGCAGGGCTTCTGCTAGGAGACAGTTTCTCATTCAGCTGTACATTGAAGGGACTGCCTAGTACTTACAACAAGGATTTGCAGGTGGATAAGGAAATTATATTCAGGTCTTACGATAGACTGATGCACTGCGTCCGAGTTATGAGTGGCACTGTGGCGACGTTAACGGTAAGTGACATAGGTAATACTATAAATATATTTTCAATCTAGAACATAAACAATATAAATTAAAAAAAATTAATAACTTTACGATTTGTACAAAACTTCGACCGGCATCCACAGCTTACCGTGCTGTTGCTGTAACCAAGGCGTAAAATTTGTTCAATTTAAAATCGATTTTTAATGTATATAATGCCATCATGTTGTTGCACCTGACCTGTGACAATTTTTAAACCTCCCAAACAAAAATAATATACATTATTAATAGCAGTAGAAGACGTGGTTAACTATTTCATTGTTAATTTTAGCCACATCACACGCAGCAAGAAATAAACACTTAAATAAGAATTTAATTCTTAATTAAAATTAAATAAGATAATCTTCATAATAATCTTGCGAATAAGATATCTGCCAAATAATTTTGTCTAAAAAATAGCGTTATGTTAACTTACTTCATGTAACATAGGAAAACATGTGATCCTCAGGTAAGCAGCGAGAAAGCCCTTAGTTTACTAGACCCTGGTATGTTGGCTACTGATCTGGCGCACTACTTAGTGCGTCGAGGAGTGCCCTTCCGGCGCGCACACCACATCGTTGGTACTGTGCTTAAACGGGCAGCTACACTAGGAGTTAGTCTCCAAGACATGGATTATAAGGAGTATAATAAATTATGGTATGTTTTAAAATCTTTAGGACCATATAATATATATAAATTGCGTCACACGATAAAAGTCAAGGAATTGTGGCAGGTATTCGTGACGTCACGTTTCGTAAATAGTGCAAAGAACGCTGAATTAATAAAAAACCTATTATTTATCAATGATGACTAGATAAGGTTGCGACTTCGTCCGCGTAGAATAGTTATTTTGGACATTAAAATTTGTTCTTGCAAAACTTTATAACTGTCACCCACGACGTCCGTCCGTCTCGTTCGTCACATCCTTCTTGCAAATTAATATTAAAAGATGACAATGTGGTATTTTTTTTGGATCATTTAAAGAGGAATTATTCCATCCTTAAAGTTCTTCGGGTAAATTGAAACGTTTTCGTAGCGCAATTTCAGAACCTGTATTTCCTGAGATTAGTGCCTTCAAACATTTCGACTTTATAATATTAGTATGAATGAAAAAAAAATGTGTGACGATCCGTGGGTGGCCTTTTATCAGTTTCAAGTCATTTTTAACATAATATTATTCCAACTTCAGCCCCAATTTCGGATCGGAAGAGGAAATTAAAAGGATATTTTCATGGGAAGCTAGCGTGGAGCAGTATACAAGTGAAGGCGGTACTGCGCGTGTTTCCGTGGAGCAACAGATACTTTCAATTCGAGAATGGTTACAAGATAAATTGTAATAACATTAAATTTTTTTAATCTATAATTTCGAGCTTTAGCTTAGCTAAATTTAATAAAGGAATGGCGAATTAATGACAAAATAAAACTAGTCTTTTCTGTAGATAGGTATAATATACCATACATTTTACCTAAATCTAACCTATCGGGAACATTACATTATTATAAATTTATTCATAAGAGGTATTTACATTTGTATCAATTTTAAATGGTACAGATATTTAATTAAAAAAATATTTAGATTTCCATATTATATATTCATTGATTGATTTGATTAGGACAGTATGGACTTACGATCAAAGTAAGAATAGGAAGTCGAAATCTAAAATACGAATTTACGTTTTAACAGCAAGGTTCACCATCAACTATTATTTTGAACTCTTATTGATTGAATTTTTATACGTAAAAATGTTGTTATGAATTTAAAAGCATTTTATAGTGCTTATTTATTAAAGCTCTTCTATATGAAGTCCTGTTCTAATTTAAATTGCACTGTTGATAATATACTATTCAGCTTGATTTTATCTAAAACTTTTAGTAAAATTAAACAAATTTGCGTTACCCAACTTAACTGATCAATTTTATTGACAAGTGTAGATAGTTGATTAGATTTCTGCGTAGTATTTTTTAAATTTTCTTAATATCTGAATCATGTAACGCAATCACGGGGAATGCGCCTGATGACCTTTAAGCCACAGAGGAGGTCCTACTTAGTATACAGTCTTTGTATTTCAGAAATATCCATTTGCATCTGAACACATTTTGATTTGATAAAAATAATGGTCAGTATCGTCATTATTTAAAATAAAAATATTTACAAAGAAAATTTGTTAATGTTTGTACAGCTTTTATAAAAAATACTCCTTATTCAATAAGAAAAATAAAGTGAATAATCGAAAGTTCTACCGTCCAATATATTTTCATATGAGGTAACCACACTTTGTCTAATGTAGGATAAGTTTTACAATTCACAATAGTATTGGAATTTCTTTCCTTGGGCTTGGGCATCTAATCAATGATTCATTTATTATATTTCAATTGTCTATGATATTATAATAATATAATTCGTTTTATTCCACTATCAATATTATGTTTGTGGCTATCCATTAGAAATACTTTTCCCTGGAAGGGCGGTACCTGCCAATAAGAATGTTATGTATATTATACATGCCGCGCACGTGTACTGATTATCTTATTATCCTATATTGGACAAAGTATACTTCGAATAATTTTGTAATTAGAAAGTAATTGTAGTACCGAGTACGCTAGAATTTAAGTGAAAATCCCGGCGCAACGTTGAGCGAACGCGCTTGTACGTGGAATCCGAGTGCCTCGTCGGAGTCAGCGCGCGCGAACTGCGAATAGGCAGCGCCGCCAGCCGGGGGCTTCGGGCTGTGAGTCGTTCGTCGATTCCCCTCCGACTTAGCAGGCCAAGTGGGGAACATAGCGGGGTCGATAGCGACTGGATTCTCCTAGAAAATATAATTCATTAATGCTTAGCAACAGGTAGATGATTGTCTAGTTCTAATTCTATAATGCATTGTAAAAACTAATAAAATACACTTTTGACCATGTAATTTTAACCTTCGAAAACTGTCTGCTTCCGTTGTGAACATGTACATCTTCCATAAGTGTAAATTATATACATATACTGTAATAGAATATATACCCGTAGTATTATAGATTGGTCGTTATAAACTAGAGACTCATAGATTCATTATTAGTAAGGCCAATACTGAACTCTGCTTACCTTAAAGTACGCATGCTCAAGGGCTGCATCAGCAGTGAGGCGTCTCGCAGGGTTGTAGGTGAGGAAACCTTGCAAAAGCGAGAGGCCTGCTTCAGAAAGCAAATCTGCACCAACACGTTGCTTGAGTCCTCCGGGCGGGTGCTCTGCGAAGGTCATTTTTTGAACAGCCGGCAATTCTTTATAGCCTGGCCATAATAACTCAGATGGTGTTCCTAGGTCCTGAAATGAATATTTATTAACAATCAACTACTTTCATAGTCAATTTAGTTTATAGACATATGGTTTTGAATTATATATAAACTTAATCTGGTTTATAATTCTGGTGTAAATCTAGGTGTGTTAATCTATTTCAACAAATTCAAGTACTGATTGGTGACAAGATATGAGTGTAACAGATTATTTGAATTATTTTATATATATATATATACTTAAACTTAGTATAAATCATTATTTTTGTGATGTATAAATGTAGGTAGTTTACAAAATGTTTAAAATAATGTTCGTAATATTCGATGACGTCCGTCTAACACTTGGTCGGTTGTTTGTTCATTGTTATAAAAGGGGGTGCACTGTAAAGCGGGTAGGCAGTTGCTTTTAAGAAACGTACAGCGAACATTGGTTAGAACCTTGGTGACACCAGAATTGTCTTTTGGTTAACGTATTTTGGAACGTTGGATGTTGGTTGGTTGGACGTTGTTGGACCAGGTATGATGTACATTATTATATTCTAATAAATAGCATCAATATATGTCAATTAAGTATCGTAACCTTGTGTAATATATAGATAAATATCTATAAAATGTATAATTGGGGTACCATTATTTGTTAAATTCTAGATGTTTGTATACAAAAGATATGTTGCTGTTATTATGGGGAATATATTGCTGAAATATATCTTGTTTTATGAGATAGAATGGCTTTTGACACTATATCTTCTTTTATTTACAGAATATCCTTAAAATCTCATAAAGTCCAATGTCTATCTATTCTAGTCTATTTACCTATAATGTCTATCTATATATATAAAAACTTACCTTAAAAATTCTATTAAGCTGATCAACTTCTGATTTTCCGGGAAACAGAGGATTCATTGTGATGAACTCAGCAAATATACAGCCAACACTCCACATGTCTATGGGCGTAGAGTATTCCTTTGAACATAACAATAGTTCGGGAGCTCGATACCACAGTGTAACTACGATCGGAGTGTACTGTCGAAGTGGAGACCCATACTCTCTCGCTAAACCGAAGTCTCCCACCTAAAATTTAAAATATAAACTTGTTTACCTGTATCATTACAGTTTAGATAGCTAGTTTTATAAACATTGAAAAAATGTTAATTTCTGTAAAATTTATATTTTCATTTCTTATCACACACCGCGATTATCGGTAAGTTTAAAAAGAAATTTCTGAAGTCTGATATAATTTTGTGTAATAAAGTCACAACCTTTACCCAAGACTGTCCAACGAAAATTAAATAAATCTATATCTCTATAAAAAATAAGATCTATACGACGTAATACCTTGAGTACGCCTTTGTGTGAAAGAAGCAGGTTACTAGTTTTGAGATCTCTGTGTAAAATCCAATTATCGTGAAGGTGGTGCACAGCTTTCAACAACTGAGTCATGAGACATTTCACTTCCCCTGTAATATGGTAATTGTATACATTTAGGTTGAACATTGTTCTAGTTGAAAATGTCTATGTAGAAAATAAGATGTGTTAGAAATAGTTATACCTGGTAGAAACACTTGTTTCTTATTCCTCATCGTCTCCATGAGGCTTTTTAAATCATGCTCCACGTAATCCATAACGATGAATATCTTGTCCATGTTAGACCCGACGACGATTTCTCTCACTGTCACGATATTGGGATGTTGACCCTGGAACAATACAGTGAGAATATGCGACCAAATTTCTACTACAAGTGCGAACAATTAATTAGCGTCGGCGCCTTGCAGTTCTTAACTCTATGAGCACTGAAATATTCGTATATTTAAAACACGCCGCAGACCTCGTAAAATTGTACATTGATTAAATTTGTGGTGTTCTGGCAATTACGAATAAATTATTATCAGCAGCGTTAGTACCTTGATTTCTACATTAAATTATAGAAACAAAAAATTACCACATATTTTTAACTACTAATTAAAAGACAGTTAAGACTTCGTAATAAATACAAATAAATTCTGTGCATATAACATGGTGAAAATGATAGACTATAGAATTATACAACTTCAATAACTTAAACCTTTTCTAGTTCAGATAAGAGTATTTTTAGATATTTTTTCTTCAATCTGAAGATGATGAAAGATTTAGGTGAAAGAACCTAAGTATCTAAAATTTTCCACCCAATTGCAAGCGTTTCTTGAGTTTATATCATCAGGTACTCGCTTATCTGACTAAATAAATTATAATCCTTGTTATTTGTAAAATCTGATAGATGGTACTCCACCACACCCAAAATTCGCTATTACTACATTCGTGTTTTACAAAGAACATATAAATATAATAATACCGCACAATCACAATATCATGAGACATTAAATATATGTAAAATGGTCTGTGTGAAATGTTTTATTTATATATATATGTAAATTAAATGTTTTATTATTAAATCGTTAATATGAATTTCAAGTTTATAAGTGCGGTAAGATTAGTCCTAGAACACATTCTTAAAAAGCCACTGATTGTTAAATCCTACGTTAACATAATATTCTGCTTCTAAAGATGTTTTAAAAATAGTGAATCGTGACTAAATATTATACATTGGATTCAATTCAAATATAAGTTAAGAATACATCAAGAAATTTTTACTAATAAATAATTTCAAATACGTTTACATGATTTTTAACTACGACTCCACCGCTATGAATACTTAGCGGCAGCCGTGGTCAGATTCGCTACGCTAGCGCCATCTGCATTGTTGCAATTACAAATTGACTCATAAACTCAAGACAATAAATACTTTACGGATAAGATTTACGAAGATTCACTAACTGTATGCAGATGATAATTTTAAACATTGATATACCAACGAAAATTTGTAACGTACGTAAAAGTATATGTACTGTTTTGCTAAACGCAGTACAATTAATTTAAATAGAGCTATATTGCCCTACATAACATGTAAAAATAATTTAACTTTCAAACACAAATCATTAAACAAAAATATATTAGATATTTAAAATAAAACGTTTCACACTGACCACGCGAATTTAAAACCTTTTAACAGCTTGTTATACCTTTTTTTTAAACTTGTTATTATATAATTTCACATCTGTCATGCCACAGTCCGTTTATGAACTTTCGATAAATTATAACCGTTGACAAAAGAATCAAATAAGGCTTGATAAGTAAAATAAATGTAAGTAAACCACATGTTAACAGATATAACTACATGAAAATAAACTGCAGTTAAAATCTAAGTCTGGTCTACTGCGCTCTGTGAAGCTGAGCTTTAAATCGATAGTTAACGAACTGACTTATTCAACAATTTAACAGTCACATAATCATATAACTAAGGGCTTAATATAAGTCGGGGTTGATCTTAAGACAATATTAATGTCTCATGACGATTAGAAATGTTATTACATTCTCTATAAAATTAACATGGATAAACCTTGGATGTGATCAGGTTTTGGCATACTGCTCGGGAACGAGTCAATATTTGCCCAATATGAAATTATAGCACTAAATTACAGTGTACATATTCTGCATTAGAAATTAGTCGTAGATACAGTGGTATGATTTTACAAAAATATTTCTCTAATATAAAGCGTAACACATCAGATTTTACAAAAAACTTAGATTATATACAAAAAATATTTCAGTGTGAAAAAACAACAAAAATGTAAAGATTTAGTCGACCTTGTCAACACTAAATTATTAAAAAAAGTCTTATCTCCTCATAGAGTTGCTTAGCCATGGGCAAGTGTCAAAAGTCTATATTTCCCACATCCCTGAATATCGACGATAAATTCTGACATGGCAATACAAATCTGGTCTATCACTAATAGGCTGAAATTAATCACACACTTAAAATAATAATTAATTATACACATTTCATCTTATTGATAGAAAAACTTTTTTTGTCCTTGTAGTAAAATTATACAGAAATCAAGAAAAAGAAGGAATACTGACTACATTATTGTGTATTAATAAACTAGCCATATAAAGATGGTATGATGTAATAATATTTCTACATTTATGTAGATATGTCAACTTTATACCACACATACACATTTGTATTGGGTCGCTTCAGGCTAAAGTCAAAGTGTTTTTAAAAGTGGTAAATTGTTTAAGATTGTTAATGACCTTATGCAATAGAAAAATTTTCGAGTGCACTATTGTTTATTCTACACCAGTTTCCCTGGGTTAAAGCAAAAGAGCTGTCTAAAAAAGTTAAGTGAAGCAACATTGCAAGTTCAATGTTTTGTTTGTAGATATGTCTAAGATAGGGATGGGTGAATAAATCCTAATTTAATAATTGTTCTAACAATAAAAAATACTAAAAATGTGGGGACATATGTAAACCCTATTGATAAAAATGGTAATATTTATATGCTTATCTCAAATCTCAAATCAAGTATTTATTGTAATCTCAAATCAACATTACAATAAATACTTGACAAATGCATGTCATACATTTCATTTAATGCAGGTCTCTCACATAAAATTTTACTAAAAGCTGAAGAAAAAAGTAGAAAAAAATTCTTCATCTAAAACTCTACTTGATCCTATTCACTGGTCATACTTTGTGAAGCTTTGTAATATTTTACTAGGGTGATGTAGAAAAATATGAAACAGTGTTTAAATAATTCATTTTTCATAGATAGAGGCGTTTAAACTAGAGATAAGTACTTAAGATATTATTCAAATAATGATAATATTATATGAGATAGTTCCCATAAACATTGCTAAACATGGACTTCATGCCTACTCGGTACCATGGTTCCCCTGTACCTTATTTAAGACTAAGGTAGTAATTAGACTATGATTAGTATTTAGTATTTATATAAAAGTGAGAGGGCTTTCTATCAAATATGATCATTAGTTAAAGATTTTAGTCTAGCCTATATATGTATATGCTACTGTATAAGTATATGTTCAGGTAAAACTATTAGTAGTCTATTAAAATACTTACTCACTTATATAGCTATCATGCAATTCGTTTATTAAAGTGACAACACTTGTTTGGATTTGGTGTTGTTAAATGCAATACAAGTAGTGCCACTGTTAAAATTTACCAGTACTTGTTACCTTCTTCATGTTATGATAAGAGATATTCTTCAGTACTTATGTACTTTACTTATGTATTGCCATATCAGAATTCCGTCGATATTCAATCATGTTATACGGATAAGAAAATTACTTCTCAAAATGCCTAGCGTGTAGCATAGTATTGGGTTTTCCCCTGGAATAAATTCCTTATAATATACTTAGGCCCGCCCGTGTATCGAAGTTGTTAACCCTTGCAATTGGGTTACACCTCTAGCACAACCCTCTTCAGGTAAGAGGTGCCGGGCCTGTAGGAATAAAATACATGGCATTAATAATGTGAAAGGTACATGTGAGCCAACGTGAGGTCTGCGCGGCTCCAGATTATTTACTTTACAGTGGCAAAGTATAGGTCAAATCATGTAAAAGGAACTCTGGACTGAAGTAGAGGGGTACCTGCATACATTTTGGTTTACTGGGCAAGCTGAGTAACTTGATATCAATTGAGAGTAAAGTAATATCAACCTCTTGAGTCATCGTTTATTTTCACTTGGTCTTCTTAAACTAGTATTTTTTCCGTGAAGATAGCTTAGGTAGAATGACAGTCCAATAGATAAAACAAACTTGCCCAAAAATCTAGTATCTACTGAGCCTCTTACAGGCCAGCATTCTTTCTACATGTTATTAACCATACAGACAAACAAAACAATTATACCTTTACAGTTTGATGCACAATGACGGTCCAAGTGAACTTATAGTAATTTTAAATTTAAAAAAATATGATCCTACCTTGAGTAATGTGTTGATTTCCCTCAAAGATGTAATGGGAAATCCTTCCTTTTCCTTCTCCATTTTAAGTCGTTTTAAAGCGACAATCTCTTCTGTTGTTTTATCCCTCGCTCTATAAACAACCCCATACGTCCCTTCCTCTATTCTATTCAGACATTGAAATTCTTCAACTGAGCGACAACCCTATAAAGCAAGTTTTATCAATACTAACATATTTCCAGTTACAGAATCAGTTTAAGCTGCCCAAAGTATCAATAAGTTTGACAAAAATAATATAATCATTACAACTTACTTTGTTTCAGATAAAGTGTGAATTGTATTTAGCGTTTTATTACAGTATTGAAATATAACTGAACTAAATAACAAAATTGTCATACTGTTTTCGTAAAAGAAAACTTTTTTATTAACCCAGTATTGCCAAAGAATATATTAAATATTAGTATGTTTAAAAATTTGTATCAAACATTTAAAGGAAATAATATGTTTTAACATTTACATTATATCTACCTTATTAGGAAAATCGTGGGCTAATATCGTCACTATTTAAAGTAAAAAAAAGTTTAATTACATAAAAGATAATAATAACAAATACCTGCAATGCAGGAAAGTAGGGGGGCAAAGAGTTTATTGCCTCCTCTTTCAATCTAGCACTCTCATCATCTGCTGGTTTTGTTTCTTCAATTGGAGTTTTACCATTCTCGTCTGGTGGAGGGGGTGAAAAGGAATGTGATCTACTTCTGCTCTTTGATCTTGAATGTGACCTTCATAAAAAAAAATATCAATATTGCCTTATTTGAATTTAATTATAATAAAAAAATGAATTAATTAAAAATGATATTTACCTTCGACTTTCATGAGATGATGGGCTTGCATGTAATGATTTTGGGGTAGGTGATTTTGATTTAGACTTAGCTTGAAGCTTAGGCTTTTCAAGATTGGTCTTTTCTTCTACTTCTTCCTCAGATTTTACATCTGATTCAGATTCAGTAGATGAGCTGTCATCATCAGTTTCAGTATTTGAATGTTCACCTAAAATGTAAATGTAAGACATAAAAATCCTTACATTAATGCCTCTTCTTAAATTTGTATATTTTGACATGTTAGACAATCCATCAGGTAACTTCGATCAGCACAAAGTGTAGTAGAAAGATCAGTAAAAAATATCACCTTAAAACTTCATTAATCAGAACAAATGATTAACTATGAAATGGTTGAAAACAAAAAAGTTTTAAACAAAACAAGTGTATGATTAAAAAAATTGTCTGTATCTGCATAATATAAGTTAAATTATTGTATCCTAATATCATCCAAAATACAATCAAGAAAATAAAGGTACTATCATTAGATAACTGGCCACCTAACCTGCACACCATTTCCCAAAACATAGTTTCAGGTGATAAAACACAATATGCTATTTTATGTGGGTACAAGTTCTGGTTGGTGCATCATTCTGAAATACAATTCAATTAGCTTACCTTCTTCTGGTTCAGATTGAGACACACTCTTCATTTCAATATCACTAGCATCTGAAACCTCTACAACTGAATCACCATAGTTAGGAGATTGTGTTGTTTTGCTTTTTTTACTACCACCTTCGTCAGGTGTGACAGAACGTTTCTTTCCACGTCTTCTGCGATCCTCACGGCGCGCTTCTAGTTCACTTCTAGACTCATGTTTTCTTTTCACCATTTCTCTCTCTGCAATACAAGTATTATGCTATAATTCTATACTTGAAAAATTTATGTAAAAAATCAACTTGTTAGAAACACCAAAACAGAATCTAATTTAGTTTGAAATTTAATAATGCAATGCACAATTAATATGTACAATATAATTATTACCTGCTTCAATTAACCTATTTTTTCTCTCTAAATGTAATTTATCATAAGAAGCTTGTCTACTACTAGAATCAGACTTCCCATCTTTATCGTAATCGGAGTATTTTTTTATATCTTGACCTTGAAGCTCCTTAGTCATCCTTTTACTTAATAATCTACTCCTTAAATCTTCCAATTCTTTATCACCTGATGTTTTGTCTCTATTCTCTTTTTCATGATTATGGGAACTTCTACTCTCATCAGCAAGCATTCTTAGTCTTGTTTCAATTTTTTCTGTTTCTACATGTTTCCTTTCAGCTTCAGGGTACTTGTATTGTCTGTCTCTATTAGCATACAAGTCACGCTCTCTTTGTGGCTCTTTATCCTTATACAAGTCTTTATTCCTGTAAGCATCTCGGGGCCTAGTAATATCCCTATAAGTTGTATCTCTATAAACATCTCTTTCCCTGTAATGGTCTCTGTCTCTATATGGCTCCTTATCCCTATAGACTTCTTTATCTCTATAGACATCCTTATCCCTTGCTTCTCTTTCCCTATACACATCTTTGTCCCTTACATCCTTCTCTCTGTAAACTTCCTTTTCCCTATAGTACTGTTTATCTCTATAGTAATCTTTAGGCAAGTCATCTCGTTCTAAATTATTACTAACTTCACGTTTTACCTTATCCATCTTGTCGCGGTCCCTGTTGAAAAAAGGCAATTATGATGTACATCCCCAGACCAATGAGTCAGACCTTAAATAATATAATTATCGTTAAATATAATGATAATATGCAGGTTAACATAATAATAAATGTTTTCTTTACCTGTAAAGTTTTTTTTCCTTTCGCACTGTCTCCTTGTATCGTTCTTTAACAGAACGCTTGTGGTTTCTTTTGTCTCTGTGTGATCTAATAACTGCTTGTGGAGGTTTTATAACCAAGGCATCTGCATTGTCGCGGTCTTCATCAGACAAGCTAATAAAATAATACGATTTAAAGATAAAAGATTCGACATAACCTCCTAATGGTAAAAAAACATATTGGTTTAAACATAGTAGTAATTAACACCAAAACATTCTTTGTGGCCTTTATAATAGGTACGAACCTGAAATCCATTTCATCTTGAACTGGGCTACGAGCAAGTTCTCCATCTTCACTTTGGTCATCTTCGTAATTACTCATGATTTTTAATGAAACTAAACGTCAATAATCTTCTGAGTGAAAAATTATCTTGATTCACTAAGAACACCTCCTACTGGACACTAAGTACTCTTAAATTCGCAAATTAATCAAAACAGAAAACGACAAAAATAAGATATTACAAATTGTCATAACCTGACGCCATCTTACATTAAAAATGGATTCCAATATCGGACAAAAGTGAGTAGGTAATGCATGTTTGTATTTATGGTATATTGTCTTTGGATCCTGTTTATTTACACTTACACTATAAGAGGGTTGCTAGCGCAAAAAATAAATTTCATAGTTAAGGTATAGTCCATTTATTCTTACTAGACATTTTTAGTAGACAAACAAAAAATGTTCATGTAATCGTGATTTTCTTACAAGGTTTACATTGATTCACACGAAAAACACTTTGAGACACTGGATTATGTTTAATACATAATCCAGTGTCTACTGTTAAGAATTACCTCGAATTCACATAGTAAAAACCACAATTTCATGTTCAAATTAATAGAAATCCTAAAAGTAACTTTATGAAAATAGACAGATTAAAATATCTTAAGTTTAACATTTACGTAAGGACGCGGCGTAAGCAAAGTCAACGAAAATCGCGACTACGGTTGCCCATGAAGTCGTAACTTCTATTAATAACAAAAATAAAAATAACAAGGTGTTATTAATTATTTATTATGACATAATACAACAATAAATTAAGTGCAGAGCTTAATTACTTTCGTCACTATTATTACTTGATTCGTCGGATGCAGCATCCATAATCCCATCTATCTTTTTCTTCTTAAATTAATGGTTTATAGTTTTTTGCCAAATATTCGCGTGTATTCGTTTCATGCCTTCTTTTATTAGTTTTTTAATTTCAGCAACTTTGAAACTTTTATTATATCAAAATTCATACAAGGAAATAAATGAATGTTTTTCGTTTTTAAAAAAAGCTAAAAAACGAATGATGATATAATTTTACAATTATATTTACCAATGTATATATATGATAATATTAGTAAAGTTTTGTTAAAATGCCATTCCACATTTTTTCGTATCTAACGTCTCTAGTTACAAACTTTTGTTTTTATAAAATTACTAGGACTTTAGGGTTAATAGGGGAAAAATAAAAAATATATCGCTATAATAGTAATTTTTAACATTGAGAACGTTCTTGTATATAATATAACCGATGATTCTTTTTACTTGTGTAGTCTGTGGCATCAACTACACTCTATAAAAGGCTTCACTAGTTTTTTGTGGTCTTTTACCAAGTACAATAAAATTGACTATATCTAAAATTATAAATATATTCCCTTACATATTATAGTATAATGCAATAATAATTAATAACCAAGGCACGGTCTGTTCTATTCTTAAAGCAAATATAAGCTTGATAGTACCCATAATTTATATTTTATCTACGCTGAATTACACCTTTAAGAATGACAGTGACAGTAATTTGACTTTTGAAGCATAAAAAGAAATAAAACAAAATACCGTACATCACAATCACAATTCACAATAATTATTATTAAAGTATCGAATTGCAACTATGTAGTTGGACATTGCTGATGTTTAATTTTACTCAAATAATTCTTATTTAATATTGATGTGCGTACGTCGCTTTTTTGAAATAAATATGTGCATTTAAGTGAAATTAGTTTTGTCCTTCGCTATGATTAATTTAACTGCACGTTAATAATTTACACAGTAATTGTTTGTTTGTTTTCTTTAAAAAATGGTAAATAGACAAATTTCTAGGAATATTTGATAAAATTACATCACACATAACTAATAGAACGCATTATTACAGAACACGAACTTTTTAAATACTTTGGCAAACGCTATAGAGAATAAAGAGGAAGAGTTAAAAAAAAGGAGAGAAACTGCTAAACAATGCCTTAGAGAGCTAATCATTTGTATAGAAAATTGCCAGTGTCGCTTTGGAGGGAAATCTGAATTAGCTACTGAAGATGATATTAGGTTATTACTCTGAATTTTATCTAAGTAATAAAAATTTAAATTGAATTAACAAATAAATATAATTTAATATAAAGTAAAATTAACATAAATATTTATTCTCAGAATAGCACATCTTTGTGAGAAATGGGAGAAGGTCCTCAGTCATGGTTTAAGAACCAATCTATCAAATTATACAATTCAAAACTTTGTATCAGCAGGATTAAATTTGAATTTTAACTTTGTCAATGTTGGTAAGTTTTACTTTAGTCACAAAGCTAAAATAATAGACTGTTTATTATTTATCTTCATTTATATCATCAATCATCATACTTGGACTTCATCTCTCTCTACCTTCTTATTAAATTATCATGTGAATTTTAATATTTTTTACATATTATTGCAAATGATGACACTATATAGATTATCACGTAGTAATTTTTTAAGGTAACTCATTGTGGAGCTACTGCTGCCTTCACTTAACAAAGCATGAAAAAGAGAGGTTTAAAATTCTCACAAATATAAATACCCCTTTAGGGTATTTCAGAAGTTTTCTTCGAGCTGCATTAAATGAGCGCTCACTGGAAAGGTTAATTTGTTGTTTATTTACTAATATTACTAATTATATTATTTTTCAATAATTAAGATACAATATATACATGACATTCTATGATAATTTCAGATATCTACAAAGTTGGATTTGTCACGGATTACTCTTAGAATATTATGACGAAGGCTCTATTGTCAGGACCTCAGAAGCCAATCTCCTTCCTAATATGGCGGCGGGTAAAAATGGTGTAGTTAACTGAACTTTTAAAAACACTAAGAATATAATAACCTATATTATTTGTTTACTTACAGGCTTGTCTACTGTCTTATTTGCTTTATCAATTGATAGAGCCGAGTTGAATGACTCAACACATGCAAATCAGTTAAACAAAGCAGAGCTTGTTATACCATTACCAACACCAATTAAATCATCTGCAAAATCTAAAAGAAGACCGCTGAGACAGGTTATATCATTTGACAAATCGGAGCAGAAAAGTGTACAAAGGGGGCTTGCAACAAATACACCGATAACAGACAATGTGTCTGAGCCATGGAATAGTGCACCTGCTACTTGCTTGAATTCTCCAGACCCGCAGCTAGGAATAGCAACAGCATCAACAAGTGAACCAAATAGTTCAGATTACAAATCTGGCATAAGACATTTTTTCCCAGATGGGGTTAAGTCAATAGAGAGTCCTTTGCAAATATTGTCCAAACTTTCTGAGAGTGCAAAAGAAATTTTCACAAGTACAACAAGTATAGAAAAAAACACTGTTAAAGATGATTCATCCGATTTAAGTGTAAACTGTTTGAAAATATCGGAAAGTGATAGTGAGGAAGTGGCAGGTAGCATAGACGGTAGTACATCCTGCTTAGAGCTTTGCTTCACTGAAGATGAAAGTGCCTCTGAGAAAGCACTTGATTCAGTTTTGGAGTGCAGAGAGAAAGAGTTTGTAAACCTACAGCTAAAGTATAATCAAATTGAATTGTCAAGTAAGGATAAGATACAAAAACTGGAAAAGCTTGTACTGGACCTTAGCAAGTAAGTAACTAAAGAAACATACCTTCATAATATTATTAATAATAAACATTAAGAGCATAATGATGATTACAGAGAGAATGATAGATTAAAAGAACAGTTGAGGAACTATATGTCTGCAGTTGAAATGGGGAAAGCTATGAAAACGCATAATGGACAGGATGAAGAAATTACACAATATGAAAAAAAACTAGTACAGGTATAAGTTTGATAGTAGCAAGCGGTCTTTTGTGTATGTCTAATTGAATGTAACCAGCCATTTGAGAATACATGATTTTATATTGAGTAACACTGGTATTCTATTATATATTCAGGTGGCAGAAATGCATGCAGAGCTCATGGAATTTAATCAACATTTACAGCAACGACTACAAGAACTCGAAAGCTCTGGGATAGAAATATTAGATTGCCCCGAATCTAATGTTAAAGTTTATATTCCAAGTGCTTTCTTAGTTGGCAAAAAAACACACTCATATCATGTTTATCAGGTAATCTTTTAGGTTTCATTTTTTATTAATAATAATTAATTCATATCAGAGATATTAAGGCTCTTATATGAAATCTGAGCATTTGATAGAATAATATATTTTCTTCTGCTTTTAGATATTTCTCAAAGTTGGACAAGAGGAATGGAATGTTTACCATAGATACGCAAAATTTTATGAAATGCACACTCAACTGAAAAAATGCCATCCAGACATAGCCAATTACAAGTTTCCCCCGAAAAAGGCATTAAGGAAAAGGGTAAGTGTCATATACCCAGTAGGTAAATTGGATGGCGTCAAGCAAATAGGGTACCTACATAAGACACTATGTTTGTAATGATCCAGCTTTTAAGTTGGGAACAAAGTTGATCTGAATGTTGGCAAAGTATAATATTCAGTGTGGAATTTATGAACAACTACATTGTACAGAATTTTTACAACTACAAAGGAACTCCTCAAGCATTTACTATTAACTACTTACCTTGTGTTTGTGCCTAAATTATTGTATTATCAGGATGCACGAGTGGTTGAACAGCGCCGTGTCGCACTTCAAGCATACTTACGTCATGTCGTCCTAGTGTTACCAGAACTTAAAGAATGCACCTCACGGGCGCAACTCATCACTTTACTTCCTTTCTTGGGGTAAGTACCGTCATCTTAACGATGAGTAATCAATAATGACGGTAGATATAAATTTTTCATATTTGCTATTTTCAAGGCTGTATATACCAAAGGAATAATATTTGATTTTTTTTTCAAGTTTAAATTTGTCTAGTCTCATTGATATTATTGTTTTTCCCAGTACCTCATCAACAGTGAAGGAGAATGGTGTTAACAATATAGTGACAAGACAAAATTCCAACGACTCCTCGTCTACTTATGATCCTCTATGATCTGCAAATATTTTATCATCCCTGTTATTGGTAGGATTAAAACTAAATCAAAAGCTAAAATCCCGAGCACTTTTCTCTCGGGACAAGAAACCAAAATAAGCACTATGATTATTTTTGAATTAGATATATGTAAGAAAAGATATGGAAGACCTAAAACTTTATTGAGTATACTTATTGAAAGTTTATGCTTATGTGTGGTTTATAAAGCTGGATACTGACCAAAGGCTCACGGTGTAATATATTGCAGAACCGCATTTAGTCAGTACCCAGCGTAAGCCAAGAAAGTATTTATAAATCTATAATCAAATCAAATAAAACTAGGGTAGATTTAGCTGGAGATATTGTAGAATATCTTTTAAATATACGTCAATATATATATTGTGTGCAATACTGTAGTATGAATTGTGCTAGGTACAATATTATTAAATATAAAATGCTACCTATAATTGTTTACAAGTAATTTATACAAAAATGTATCAAATTTAAGTCCATTGTTGCAGATATTCTAATGTGTTTAGATTATTATTTTTATCATATTCTGTGAATCATTACTTGTATTGTGAAACCTAACCAAATAAATGTTACATTTCCATTTTACGATTTCAATGTGTAAATGGTTATTTGAGAATATTTAATTAATCTGTGATATAAATGTAGCAAATATTTAATAGTTAAACTTAAAAAATGTTTACTCCATAGCAATAGGCGGCGATTTAAAAAAAACATGCTAGAAAGTTATACCAAAATTGATTAGATTTTCATAAACTCCTATTTCATACAAAATGTTATTTTTTGTTTTCAAATATTATCTGTATTCTTGGAAACATTCCTAGTTTGTAGAGCTTAAAATGTACAATACCTTATTACCAAAATTGTATATTTTATTGCTAATGAATTCCATTTGAATAAGATGAATATATTTTATAATTAGTTGTTTAATTAAATTAGTACGTAATTTCTTAGCGGAGTTTTATCATCAAATCAAATGATTTTAGTGGCGTTGAAATAAAAAACACAGTAGCAACTTAAATTCATAATTTTATTTTTATAATAAATAAAAATAAAGAAAACACTCGTACTGAGATTTTCTCTATCAAATACATCATACAAAAGATGTCATATAAACTAAATCACTTGGTGCAAAGGCAAGCCTTCCGGTTAGGGGTTCGCCCGCGCGGCTCGCGTGCCCTTTGAGCTGTCGATGCTTCGGCGATCGGAAACCGAGGATAGCCTCTCATTTCTCTACATTGTAACGTCTACTTATGAGAACAAACATCCTAAATATGCTTCACACGCTGATACATAGAAGCGCATTTCACAAAATTTGCATTTGATCATGATTATAAAAAATTGTAAATAGAGGTATAAAGCAACGTTCACTTTAAAAGCGAAAAGAAACGCGGCGATTAAGTTAAATAAATAAAATATAGTAAAACCATGTCTCTAACTAATAATTATAATGAAATAATTTACTACGACTTTACACCTAAAATAATATAAATGTATTGCAACACAGTAAGGAGCTCTGGAACCTGACCAATAAGTTGACATAACAGGCCTACAGTTACTATTCAGTTGGAATCTCGACCAATAAGAAATATTTCGGTTGCGATTGTTCTTTGGTTATGCGGACGTGTGGCTAAGATAGTTCCACAGCTCCCGGGACGCGGCGCCTGTGCTAGAACCCACACACACTGCGTTACGTGAATATTCCATAAGTACTTACATAAGTTACAGATCTAAGCAGCTAATGAATCTTAAAGCGAATAGAGAACTTTAACCAAATCGCGGGCGTCTTGACAGAATTTAAACTTTCTAAGCGCTTTATCCATAAGCATGAGAGACACGTATATATTAATTATTAGTGGCAATATTTAAGACACCGAATCCTGTAACCATCTACTTGAAAGAGAAAGCCTTTGAAATGGGTTTTGAACAACTACATGAATCTCCGAATTACGCGATATGGATAAATTTCTACAAAACATCACAGCTCACAAGCGAAAACGTATGACGCAGTAATGAAGGTTAGTACACAATAAAGGCCACATGGATGATAACTCAAGATCGTAGGATGTTGTTATGTGTTTAGAAATGTTTTAGTCGAAAGAGATTTTCATATTCTCCGTTGGAATACAAAAATCGCCCACTAAAGGTTCGTGCGTCGGCGCATATCGTACCTCGAGGCAGAGAACTTGCTAGTCGCAGCAAGTCGCTCAGGTACACACGCTCGTCATATGTAATACACGCAGCAGTAAAGTGTGAAAAGATCGAGAAGTATTATAAAGATAAAAGATTTACATTCGTATTACATAAAAAAAGTATAATAGAGGGGCGCCTCTTCGTTTCGCCCCGTTGTGACTAGAGAAGGACACGATCCCAATTCTGATATTGAGCATGGCTCGAACCATGCGGTTATTCTAACACAATTGCGGCTTCGCTTTCGGGAATCAGACTCGGGATCCAGAAGGGAAGGCAAGTAGAACGAAACATAACCTCTATCTGTGCGTGTAAAACATGAAAGTGTATCGTATGTAGAAGCCCTATCGTTATCACCCATTGCACAGTTACATACTTCGTTTCGTTAACTTATTAAATGCTCGCATGTCGGCATAACAACGCTTATCACAATATATAAAAATATATATTAAAGAAGCTTACACTAGAACTACACATTGAATATGCACTCCGGGGATGCGTTTGCCACCACACTTGCCACAGCAGACATCGACGTGTATTATTTTTTTGTTATATTTTTTAAGTTTTATTTTCCTTTGTGCGGCAGCACATATGCCAGTCTGCGAACGACTCATAGCGGTTCCTTACAGATACTTTTAAATAAGTCGACTACACCTCAGAGGAAGAAATGTTGCATCGTTTATCGCCGCCAAATGGTTTGGTAACTGATTCAGCAATTTCGGGCCGATTAATTATACGCTCGCGCAACATTTCTTCCGCAAAGCGTTACTTAATATAATATTTCATATAACGTAGCACAAAGGCGTTCAATGAAACTAAACATAATACTTGTCATTTCATAAAATAATGTTTGTGTTCAAATCGTAAAATATGTCGCAAATCCGGACGATGCTTATTGCGAATCGATGAGTATATTGACGTCATAAAACACCTTGTCCGTGTCGAAATTAGGTACAGGGATGTCGAATAATGAAAAACTTGCAAGAAGCCTATATCATTCTAAACGTGTGCAATTCTTAACATTAAGATTAAATAGCTCGAAATGTTAAGCCTTATGATTACTACTATATTTTTGTTATTTTGGATGTGTAACTTATTTATTAGGCTTTTGATAAATACGTAAGTAGAATAATATTATGTTTTTTTTTCAAAAGTGATTTTGCCGCCTTATTTAAAAATACATCTATGAATTTTCTCTTAGATTCTCTATGATGTAACGGCTATCTCTTCAACTTTCGTCTGAAAAAATAAGAAAAAGAAATTAAAAAGCTAAACTTAGTCCCACAATTGATAACATTCATTTAAAATCTCAACAGTCACGAAAAGTAGGCATTTACATGTTTCCATTTCAAGGCTAGTATAAATAACAATTCTTTACCTCTAGCGCCTACAATGATGGATTTCCGCTTGATATCTTGCGTGGGCGCAGGTCGGACTACGCCAAGGCCGCCGCCCACAAGGTGACCGCCTCCAGCGCGGATTGGTTTCGCTGCAAGTACATATACATAAACGAACGTTAGAGCATTTGTCACATATGAAAATTATATTTTATTCTTAGTCTTGTCCTATATCTTTTATTCTTACTCTTTCGGGCTTACCAATTTGTGCTTGCACGCCTCTTCGCGCGAGATTCTTTGCACGTACGGCTTCTTTAATTCGGTCTACTTCAAACTGGTATCTCTTACGGTCGCGCATTGCGCCCTCTTTAGCTTCCTGTTGACAAAGATATAACAAATTAATTTATATAAATAAATGACATGAATCTATGTTGCTACTGTGCACTATAATATTAACCTGAATATATTTAGGTTTAGGTTAATAGTCCTTTATTTTAAAGAGCGGGGAAAACAATTGAAAATATTTTTCACCTTCAGTGTAGTTTCAAGCGCCTTAACCCTCTCCATGGTGGCGCGCAGCCTCTTTTCGAGTTTAGGCAGCTCGCAGCGAAGGTCCGCGTTGTCTCGCACCAACTGCTTGTGAACTTTCGTAAGTTGCTCCAAGTTGTTTTCGAGGAATGAAATCTTTTGTTTCTGCGCGAGGGACCCGCCCTCTTCTTCTCCACCGTCCTCCGAATTTGTCGATTTCTTTATCCTTGCCTGAGGGGCGTTATAGATGTCGATTATGAATTATACTGCGTCTTATATATAAAAATAACAGTTCACGCCTAAAAAGTTAGTCATTATATATTTGTGGTTATTATTACTTTTTATTAAAATAATCAATCCTCTGACGTAACTACGAATGACTGACAAAGCAAACCTTATCCTATTCATAAAGAACTATACCTGCAAGTCTTGAACGAAGAGTTTTCGCAGGTTATGCAAAGTCTGCAACTCCTTAGCCACAGTATCTTCCAAGCTTTTTAGGTCGCCACGAGCCTGTTCGCGTTGCTCCACGCTTTGGCTGCAAGATGATAAAAGGGTAATTACGACAAAATTCTCGTCACTAACTATACTAAGAGCGCATGAGAAAATTATATATGCTTCGATCTACGAAACTGGTTAGTCATTCACGTTAAAATGGCAATTACCTGCAAAGTGACATACACCTTCCTGCACGCACCCATCCATATTAAAGTCGCGTATCACTTTCGGGCCACTTTCTCAGAGAATTGCCAACCCCCGGCAGAATGAATATGAATGGGATACGTGCGGAATAAAATGATAACGTAAAATATAAAAAGCGAGGTGTTGCAAGACCTTGCACTACACATAATTTGTACTTACAACTACAGACTAGTATTACTTGTTTCAGTAAACATTTTTATGGGATCATGCATAAATAACGTCACGCATTTAGGGATAATAGGGGGCTGACAAAATGTGACAAGGGGGTATACTCCGTGACGTCACATTTCGTTAAAAGTGCAAAGACACTTTGCAGTATTATCAGTACAACTATAATTTCTGGATGTAAAATAAAAAATATATCAATATATAACATTAGGTAGGATAGTCTCACAACTGCGACCATTTGTGGTAGAGAAGGGTTAAAGAAATCATAAAACTCGAGTGACGTAATTTATCGATGGCCCCTATCACGTAACAGTATTGCATTAACGTTTACAATTGAATCCAGATGTTACGAGAATATTGTTGACGTGTCCATATCCAGATTCAACTGCGCTTAGCTACGTCACCATAAAGCCGAACTATATGCAGAACCCTTTGAATAGGAACATTGTAGTATTTTAACTTGTACGAGTTCTTAGCATAAATCGAGGCAACAATCACTCTTCGGCATTTGAGTGCAGACTAAGGAAGTGATATGGAATCTAGGAATAAAATAAGCGCAACAATAAAACGAGACGTGGTTAAAGAAAAAGGGTATGGACAATGTGTCGCATGCGCATCTAAAAACAAAATAAATGCGTAATGGCAATATGTAAATGCGATTTTGGAATGATCGTGGTCGATAGTGCCTAATAAATGCTTTACCCCTAAGATATGCAATTAACCTACATGCCATGATAGTAGTATGGCAATATTATAAGTAAACACTCAATAACATCCTCAGAAGATTACCAACTAATTAAAACTAACTACAAAATAATATCTTTGGTTTTAATACGTCAAATTTAAAGATAAACGTCTACAACTTACTGTCGCCACGTGTAATAGAAAAATATTTTATTAAAAATATTCTACTTAGGAATCTCTGTACACAATTTGAAATTTTATTTACACATTGTTTTATATACGAAGAGAACCACTTGTTGTCCACGTTGATATCCGACTGATAAATTTGTGCTCATCGATGATCGTTGAAAATATATGTATCTTTTGGAATTTTGCACGAAAAAGTATAATCCTGAGAAATATATGCTTAAATTTTTCTAATCTCACGACAACATACTAACAGCGATTTAGTTTCCTAATACTTGTACATCGACAAACGAACCTTATTGTTTTAAACGATCAATAACATGCTCGTCACAAGAACAGACAACAAAGTTACACATGCGATAATACTACGCCAATAAGCACTTGTAAAAATAATATTTAGACTAGATTCGCGGCTCTCGTTGAACTTTGCGGCGAAGCATTAAAATGCATAGAAATATAAATAATCATTAGTTAACTTCGCACGCGACCACCTCATACGTATTTCTATATAACTATTATGTATTATTGCCATCTTACGAAGCGGTCACTGCGTTTTAAAGGCGTGAATATATTCGAAAAAATTAATAACGATAGTCAGTCAATAATAACACTGATACAGAAGAATCGTACTAATAACAAGGGCATTTCAATAAAAATGCCCAAAACAAAACATTATAAGAATGATTTTATAACATATCCTTAGCTAGCTATATTTTTAGGTGCAATATTTACTGGTTCGTTTCGTTAAGCGTTCAACAAGTTTGAGCAACGTTGGTGGTGCATAGTTGTTCTGTATCAGTGTATCAAGAGAGCTGAGATCACAGAAAACAAGCAAACAAGCTTAAACCAAAACAACTATTTGTGGGTATCGGTGGGTAAGTAGGATCATGGTCACGGAGATGAGAAGGTGTAGCTGGAGGGGATGGATGTTGCAGGTGTGGCGGGGGACTTTGGAGATTGCCGAGAGCGACTTTTCCTCCCTGGCCAGAGCCTTCTCATCGATAGCCATATCGTAGCTGATTTTATCTCTCTTTGAGGAGATGAAATCTCGGAAGTCGTCCTTGAACAGCATTTGCTGGTTGGCGACTTCCTTTTCGGCCTTTTCAAGGTGACGTTTGGGCGATCGGGACACTAACATGAGCTCCTTCAGTTTGGCAGACTTGTCTGCTTCTTCCCGCTTCAGCTTGTCGTAGTCGTCTTGGAGTTGCTGCCGCGCCAGGGTGAGTTCCTGGTAGGTGCTGTTAAAAGAAATGGAATATATTATTAAAAACATATATATGCATTTTGTTAAAGTGAAATATAATGAAATAAGTTATTAAATTGCTGTTAATATTTAAGCCAAAGAAAATAAACACTAACTCCTTGAGTTCCTGGTGCTGTCTTTGAAGCGCAGCGAGTTCATCTCGCAGAGCAGCTAGCTGCGTAGCATGTGAAGCGCGTAGTTGTTCCAGCTGTGCTTCGAGTGCAGCACGCACCTGCGTGTCGGCGCGCTGTTCTGCCGCCGCCAATTGCACACGTTCCGCAGCCTACATGGAACATACCATAAATTAAATACTGTCAGCAGTTTACGCGAGTAGTACACATTAAAATAAAACGTGATCACGGGAAGTTTAAGTGGCTCCAAAGCATCGGAAACGTCGGACCGTGGATAGAATAATTTGTAACAAAGTTTAAGTAAGATATTTAGTGTTTTGAACAGTTAAAGTTGTTTATTTAATCATCATAAATATAATATAACTTTTTGAATTGGCATTCATATTTAAAATAGGTCTAATTATAAATAGATAAGTTGTATATATTTCAATTTTGGATTGTTGTCATATTAATATAATATATGTCTAATGCCTTAAAAACAACGGTAAATATCATTACCTGAAGACGAGCACACTCTTCGCGCAAAGCATCAGCCGCCTCCTCTAGCTGTCGCTTCTTGTTCTCCGCCTCTCGCATCGACTCTGCTAAAGAAGCGCACCGCGCCTCATGTTGAGAGATTAGCAAACGGCATTCGCCCAATGTTCGCTCGTACTCTTCAATCTGGATTTTACAATTGGTGTGACCAATAGTTACAAATGATTCAATGTCTTTATCACAATGATTGATAATATATGGAGATTTGAAAACACTGTAATGGCCCTATATACATTTGGTAGTATAGAGTTAAATAACATTCATATCCCTTTCATGATCAATACATATGATAATGACAAAGGAGTGCAAGATCTATAAAATTAAGTAACAAATTATTAAATAAATGCCAGTCTTTAATATGTATTTTATATTTAACACCCACCTTCTGATTCGCGTCGATGTTCGCAGTTTCAAGTGAGTGACAACGTTGCACAATATTCTTGACTTCACTCTTCATTTTGCTGATGTGTAAGCGGGCGACTGTGAACTCTTCCTCCAGTTTTCCTACTGTGTCCACGTTGAGTTTGAAGTCCAGCTCGGAGCCACCAACAGCAGCACCAATTTCAGACAAGTCACGCAACAGATTGGTCAGCAGCTCGGCGATGCGTTTACGCTGATGCGCAGAAAGGTCGCGTAACTGCTGAAGTTCAGCTGTGGCCGTTGTTAGAGAACTCTGTTGGAATGATTTTAATTTGAACACAATAAAAGTAGCAGTTTCCTGTTTCGATCACAAATAGAGCGAGGGCTATTATAGAAGCGTGGGCAAAAATGCACAAAGGGAAATTCTAAGGCAGGCGATGAATACTGTAAAACAGAAATATTTGGTTAGCATTAGCTCTTGTTTCATGTAAACAACACACATTTTAAAAACAATAGCCAACTCTAATTTAAGAAGATTTGTTATACAGTTGTTATAATAAAAGTTACTCTTAGAAGCAGCAGGGCCTGTCTTATAATTTAATTACAAATAAACCCTAAAAATGTCTGAACTCTAAGCCCACCTGCTTAGTCTGTAGTTCTTCAGATAACTGGTCACATTCACGACTCTTGCTATCAACTTCTTGCGACTTTTGGTCATAGTTCACAGCAAGTTCTTCGAGGGCCTGCAGTACCTCCTTGACTTCCTCCTTTGCTGCCTCATTCTCTTGTTGAATGCGGTTCATGTCACCCTGAAGTGCTTCAAAGTCGCGCCTAGAGTTGAAAAATAAATAATGTTTGTTTTCTATAAGAGTAGTAGCAATAAGCAATGATTATACTATACACATATAACAAACAAAGAAAAATTTATTTGTTAATGTTACTCAAGTACATATGTATCAAGGTAGAACATTGCTAAGATAATTATCACGATATGGTTTCGATCGTATTGCAATATGGAGCGTCCGCTGAAATTTGTTACGCCAGTAAATGTAATACATACAATGTGCACTCACATGTAAAATTATACTTTAAACAAAATTATTTTATGCACTATTCATAATAAATCATATTTATATAAGAACTTTGAATATAATATAATAGATTGTTTTACTAAATTGTAAATAAGTAATTGCGTATCACACGAAGTAGAAGCGAACATGACGCAGTAAAAGGAACTTTTTTGTGCGCAAATGTATCTATTTTTAATTATGATTGGGCGATAAACTGATTGCTAGTATTTTTTGGCTGTGAAGTTTTAAGGGTTACCTTGTACAAGCAATGAGTTCTTCCTGTTCCATCATCTGCTCCTTGAGTTTTTCCACCAGCTGCGAGTGTTGGTTAATCTCCTCATCTTTGTCGTCAAGCTGTTGGTACAGTGCTTCCAGCTTGGCCTGCAACGCTGCGTCCTCTACAGCACTAGACACAGCCACTGGTACAGGCTAATAAAAGATGCAAAGTTAATTAAAAAGTGCTAGTGTGAATTGGTCATCTATACTAATATATAAAGCTGAAGAGCTTGTTTGTTTGTATCTTTGATCACGCTAATCTCAGGAACAGGAACATTTATTGAGGAAGGCCCTATGAAATATAGCGCTGTGACTAATAAGAGCGGGAAATTTATTCATCCTTATAAGTTTTCATTGCGTACGCTGCGAAAACGGTTCGAGATTTTATACAAAATATGTAGGAAAGAATGACTTCTCTTTAAATGATCTAAAAAAAAGTTTGCGACAGTAAGTATCTTTTGAGATTGACTTGCAAGAACGACGGAACGCGGACGACGTCGAGGGTAACAGCTTAAACTTATACAGTTAAACAACGCGTACCTACAAAGTCGCTGACTCAGCTAGTTAGCAATAAAAACCGCGTTATATATGTAATAATTACTTTTATACATACTAATAGTCTCGTATTTTTAAATACGGAACTCCGATAGGAAAATTATTGCAACCTTGGTTTTCTTAATTTAGGCAGTGCAACCACTAGGTAATTAAAATATTGAATTTATTATTTCATTACCCATTTTATTAGAGTATTTTTATGACTTTCTAAAAGTCCGAATCTCGTTTATACTAACATTAATAGACACAAAATTATGTTAATTAGATATAGTTACGCATTACGATTGTATGGAGACTGAACCTTTATTTTAATGTAAATAAAAACTAATTATATCGTCTCGTGTCTAAGACTAAATGGTATAACAAATTGTATTAAGCAGTCTTTAATTTGAAAATCAGGGTAGTATATAAAAAGAATCAGTCAAATCAAACGTAGAAATGCGTCTTGTATATACAGGGATCAGAATGTTTCTTTCATAAACAATGTATCACTCATACTTCCTATTCAAATTGTTATAATATTTACAACCACAATGACTAAATTACTGTTGACAGCAGCATTGATATGACCAACCCATCTTCCAGAACCATTTCCATGAAACTCGAGACAACCGATATAAATAGAACAAATCAAGGATTATTCTTCATTCACCCAAAAGAATAAGAAGAATTTAAATTAAGTACATTCAATTTCAGTACTCTATTCTAGGGAACAAATTTGGACTAGTATCCAAAAGTAGATCGTTACCACATTATGAATCATCATACTTTGATACAAATCAAACAAAAAAAATATGAAGCTAAGCTTACTGCAACAGGGGGTTTCTCCTCAATGAAGGATGTGACAGGGGTGGCAGCATCAATTTCAACCAAGTTGACTTGTTCCTCAGGTCGCACAGTTTCCCCAGACCTCCATCGGTTAACCTCAGCCTCCAACTTTTCAACCTATTTAATAGAATTGCTTTAGTAATTCTTTTAAACCAGATGTAGGTGAACAAATTCTGTGTGATTATTACCTTTCCTTTGAGCCGAGCCACCTTCTCCTTCTCTCTTTCGTAGCGCCGCTTCCATTCTTCAGCAGTAAGTTCTTCATTAACACATACAACGTTCTTGACAGTCTTTGCTCTGAAAGATTCATAGTTAAGTCATATTACTATAAGAGATGAATTATAAGAATCTTAATTAGATAATGGAGATGTACATTTCTGAGAACTGATGAACATTCTTTTTAATTTGTTCAATAATTAAATTTATAAAAAACGGTTCTGCTTTCGACTTTTGGTTCAAGATAATTTATCTTTTTCTTTGTTCAAATCTTACCTTTTTCCAAAGTCCAATGTACTCTTCGTTTCACTCTCATTGAATGATGCTGGTGAGCAGCAAATGACTATTGTCGTTCTTGCGTTACCACCAAGTGACTCTTGAAGAATACGAGTGAGCTTGGAATCTCTGTATGGTATGTGAGATTTGTTACCATCGGCCAAAGCAGATATAACATTACCCAAGGCAGATAGTGATTTGTTAATATTCTTTGCTTCATCGAGCACAGTACCTTCAGCACCGGTTTTAGACACCTGAAAATTTTATTTTATGTATTAAATGCAACTATGTTCATAATTTTTAATTCTTTACACTAGAAATAACTATGATTCCACTAGATTTTGATATTAAATGTTTCTATTTCACAACAAATACAACACCTGAGGTAACAGCTAATAAGGCATAAAAAAGATGTCACATAAAAGCAAGTTATGTACCTTTTCTGAACCAGCCAAATCCACAAGATATAGTTTTCCCGATAATTTCTTTTGGTTTTCTAAATTCTCTTGTTTAACGTTAATCAGGAAGACTGAATGAGATCTAGATGAGTGTTCATTCATATCTGAGAAATAATATTAGTTAAATTAATATATTATTTTAACTAACATAAGGACTATTTTAAAATATAATATAGTAGTTACTTGTAACAGCAATATGCCTATTTGATTTTCCTTCTTCTATAACCTCAAACACTTCTTCGGGACTTGAAACAAATCTTTCTGTAGCACCTTTAACAAATGGAACTCTATTTTTGTCCTCATGTACACTTAGATTTACTTTGGAAACTGAAAAAGGAAATCACATTAATTATGAATCAAACATGAAAATAAACAACTCATTGAAATAAACTGAGATTTATTTACCGTCTAATAAATCTCGGATTTTGTCCATATAGATTTCAAAATATGAAACTTTAATGTGAAATTCAAGATTTTCTTCCATTGCATAAATATGATTGAATATATCGTTGACTATGCGTGGTATGATACCCTGTTTTCCTGGATCCCCTGAAAAATTGCAATGTATATATTTATATTGCGTTACTTGTTGTAATAAATAATACTTCTTTTGTTGGAATCTTAATAAAATCTGGAATATATGTCTGTGTACAACAGTAACCTAAAGTTTTTCACATACCTATGACACCTTCCATTGTATGTGTTTTTCCTGAGCTTGTTTGCCCATACGCAAAAATGGTACCGTTGTAACCAGCAAGCACATCTGATACAATGCTTTTGGCAGCTTCATTGTAGACTTTCTCTTGAGTCGCATTTGGTTTAAATACTTTGTCAAACAAATATACTTTACCCTAAAAATAATTAATTTTTTACTGCATTCTTCATTTACACCAAAAATATTTATTTTTAAAAAACAAAACTGAAATTAATTATTAAGAATAATTGAAAGCATAAAATTATTTTCAATATGTTGTTTACATCAAATAATTGTAACTATTATACATAATAAAAACATTTATTTCAAAATGAGCTTGACATATTTTTTTCATTTCGAAATTTAAAATAGCAATTTGAAAATACACGTTACTTTTTTTTATTTGTATACAAAAACAATCCAACAAATAAAGAACTCGTTAAAAGACCCGCAATCCTAAGAATTCGCAGGTCAAGGTCGGAAAACTATTTCTATTGATTTTCGTTTGAATTAAATTCTTCACTATTATTGCGTAAAGTGTTTCAGGATTCTTCTAAATTTCACTATTGCGATCATAGTCAACGAAGCGGAATAAAAAAGAAAGGCCATTTCGTAGCAGGTGAACACCAGCCGTGGTATTAGTCATCATTATCTAAATTAGGGCGATGATAGATGAAGTCAATATTAATTTGAAAATACAATTTACTCACCCCTATAGAAATGCAATTGTCGTCAGGTCCTGAAGGAAATTTTACAATAAATTTGGATCCAGCTTTTTCTTCGGAGTCATTGAGTGGCCGAAATCGGCATACGACTCTAATGCTGTCTTCAGCAGCTATTTCACGGTCAGCTGCCATGTTTTGGAACAAATTATGCTTACACTAAATACCGTCTATGGAATTAAAACAAATAAAAGGTTAATTGGAACATAAAACCGTGCATGAAGAACTACAAAGATTAAATTTGTCACTGGGAAATCTTCATGACAGCAGTATCAAAATGTCGGCCATATTCTCTGTAGAAGAAAGGCCCACACTTTCTTTCCTATTGGATCATATTTGCCAGTACGCCAACACATACGAATAATCGATTCACATTGCCAACACAAAGAAAACAATTGTTGCGATCACGTAAACATATTTGTAAAAGATAAGTAATTTGTGTAAGATTAAATGATATTTTTATTACTACTTGTAATTACAATTAGTATTATTTTCATATCAATAAAATACACTTATGTCTCTGTGATTTTCTTCTTCAGTGCCTTAACCACTAATTTTATTCTTAACCGTAGGTTCGCGTATAATATAGGTCTGTCTACGCGCTTTATATGCATACTCTGTGAATATATAGTAAAACTGTCTGAAAATTATTACATGTTTTCATATACCTTTTGAGGTTATGGATAGTCATAATTCAGTCTGTAATAATAGTTAATTTCGACAACTGTTCCTATTCATTTTTTAATTACAATTATGTATATCCTATTCTAATCGTCATTCAAACCTGAAATTTTTTGAATAATCAACTGTATACACATTAAGAAACGAAGGGTTGAACTAGACTTATTTCTAATACATACGCAAATTATTTAGATAATTGATGTTCCTTATTTTTTCGTACATGCAAGGTTAACTAGATAAGTACATTGTTGTAGATTAATAGACAAAGATCTATATATAATGAAAAATGATAGGCATTATGGAGCAACAGAATGAGAACAAATCACTCGAAGAAAATTATCATCATTATACCCTTTTTGATATCACCGTGGACCCTGGTCTAAAAGATGATGTCGGTAATGAATTGCCAAGACCTTTTAATAAAAATCAAATGAGAAAGTGGTTAAAAAAAGTCAGATGGGAAAAACACAAATCTGAGAAGCGTATTAAAGAAAAGGCCAGAGCAAAAGAGAGAAAGCGTGAAGCCCGTGCAGCAAATATAGATTTAGGTCCTAATAGAAAAATGTTGAAGAAAATGAAGCTAGAAAAAGTTAAAAGTAATGTTGGTATAATATTAGACCTAAGTTTTGACCACTTAATGATTGAGAAGGATAGGTATAAAGTTATAAAACAACTTTTAAGGTGTTATTCAATTAATAGAAGGTCGGAATCACCACTTCAGTTTCATGTTACTAGCTTTGGTGAGAAAATAAAGGTTGATATTTCACGACACAATGGCTACGAACATTGGGATGTGAGTGTATTTTGTATTACTGTTACTAGTACAAACTCCTAAATCTAATTCGGTACCTTAACTATACTAATATTATAAAGCTGAATAGAGCAAAATGTGTAAAAAGAGAAAATTATTCACATTAAAATTGTAACACCTTTGATGGTTTCTTGGTTCAAGATATCCAAAAATATTTTTCTGTTAATAATCTAAAAAATGTCTGTCTGTACAAACAGCATGTCTCAACTCAAAAAAAACCATATTTTGTTGAAATGTTTTGTATGGCAAAAGAACATTTCCTAGTTTAACTAAAGTAAATAAATGCTTTTATATGATTTCTAAAAAAAAATTTTTTTTTAGATAGAATACCATGAAGAATCATACATAGATGTCTTTCCAAAGGAGAAACTGGTATACCTCACAAGTGAATCAGAAAATGTTATTGAAAGTTTTGAAGACAATAAGCTTTATATTATTGGAGGTCTGGTTGATCATAACCAGCATAAGGTATAATATTTTGTAAGCAGTCGGCATTCTCAGTCTTATATTTGATGTTTATTTCATTCCTTCATTTTAAAGTACAGTCTATCTTTTATGTGAGTACAATATGTTTAAGGGTTTAAATGTAAAATATATTACTGAAACTTATTCTTGATTTAATTTGACTACAAAGTCGTATTTCAGATGTTTGGCAGCAGCTATAGTCACTTGAGGACTGTAGTTGGAGTGTCCCTAATGTCAAACTTTTATTTTACCAAGTGACCATGGCAGTCCTTTGTAATTGAATCTAAATAAAAAAAAATCAAAAAGCTATTTATAAAAGAAATATTTATTTCTTAGGTTGTAACGTTTTATAGTTCTAGTTTTGATTGTTTAAAATAATATAATTATTGTAAATACATTTATTATTCACATGTCAAGGTGCATAAGAGCATACATAAATATATAATCATATATTACAACGGTAGTAGATAGTGAGTTAAACTGTTAATTTTTGTTTAAAATATTATCTCATAATTGAATTGAAAATGGTCTTAATTACTTGAATTTTGAATTTGAAACAATTCTTTTTCATTTCTTCAAAATGTAAAATATATATGTTCGTATGTTTTCATTTTTGGTTTAATTTACAGGGTTTGTGTTATAAATTGGCAGTGAAACATGGTATCCAACATGCCCAGTTACCACTTGACAAATATGTTAATATGAAAACAAGAAAGGTCTTAACTATCGATCATGGTAAATACCTTGTATAAATTTTATAATACATAATTTCTATTTTGATATAATGAAAAGGAAATTGGAACTATTAAAAAAATATGACAAAATGTCCTTTATTGTTACAGTTTTTGAGATAGTGTTGCGAATTTGTGAAGGTATGCAATGGGAGGAGGCTCTGCTAAAAGTACTACCTTTGCGAAAGGGTGCACATTTATGCCAGTCACTTAGTAATTCAACTTCTAGTTTAGATACTAGTTAATATATTTCAACATTATTATGATTAACTCCGATGTTTTTCTGTTGACCAATGGTTATGTTTTGTTATTCCATTAGATTTGTGCCTATATGTTCAAAATAGGATCGCTGAAATTATCTTTGACAGAAGTAAATAAACCTTATTGTTAAAAGCTGTTCTTATGAATAAGAAGAAAAATAAATTATACTTAACTTACCTTTGTTTAATTTAATAGTCAATAATAAATATAAGAGTTGTCTATTATTTTAATAACACAGTTTTAGAACATGTTCGTACAAGAAAACGTCGTATTTGGAATATGCAGTCTGTGCAATCTTGATTCTGGACTTGTATATTTTGTTGGGAGAAGAGAAGTAAAAATAATAATTTCGCTACATTTTGGCTCCTTTTCCACGTCATATAAACTTATGCTTTCGCAAAAACTCTAAAATAACAGGTGCTAAGCTTTCAGGGTTATTCAAATGCACGTGGTGCGTACCTGGAACGAAATGACTTTCGAAAAGTGGGTTATTTCTCTCAACTACCTCTCGCATCTCCACAGAATACTGATCTGAGGCGTAAGGAGAGTCAATCGCTTTAAAGTAGACAGTGGGACATTTTAAGCGACGGACTAGAGCCTCCACCAGATGTTTATTCTCTGGATGAAAGATAATGTTTTTAAGCCTACCGTCACGGCTAAAGTAGAATTTATTTGGATCACTGGACGAGGGCTTCACACCTCTTTCTGCTAAGTACTTTACGCTGTCTAACGCAACAGACTTGGTAGTTCCTAAGTGCCATATCTTTATAAGCTCGTCCATGGGATATGCTGGTGGTTCGCTTTGAAGTCTAGTTTGGGCCAGTTGCATTTTTCGCATTATTTTAGGGAAATGTTCGACAACTTGATTCAAGTCGTAATCGTCATAAATCATGTTATCCACGGCGATGTAAAAGTTTACATCATCAGGAAATACACAGGCGAATCTCATTCCAGCAATAGACCCCATAGAATGAGCTAAAATTGAAATCTTGTTCCACTTAAAGTACTCCTTGATCGTCAGTATTAAGCGTGGAAGGTCCCAGGGATAGTACTGGACTCCTGCAAAAATAATATTTTGATTTGAAATTTATGGTTTTGCTGTTAGAAATATTCTATGTTTAATAGCATAAATAAAAGTCTTTTAAATAAAACACTTAACAGTTTAAAACGCGATATATTAGTTAAACTTATTTGAAAATGATTTTTAACTTCGGCCTGACGTTTCGGATGCTTTGCAGCAGCCGTCGTAACGGGGAGACTAAAGAAGGAGGATGTCTCTGACGTCAAAGTAAAAAATTGTTAAGCTAGCGTGTTAAGTAGCTATTGAAATTTCGGTGTTTTTTGATTTCAATTGCTTCGCGTACCAATCTTGGAAAAAATCGTCTCTCCTTTGCGAGGATTTTTGGCTGGTCAAAGCGAATGTAATGATTGGGCCTTTCCGATGAGTGTTGGCATACCGCAGATTTGGAGAGACGTTTATGTTTTATATCCGAGATGCAGAATTAAACATACCTGCTGGTAGCCACGATGAGAGTCCATGTCCAGGAAAGTCGATTGCTAATATTGGTATCTTATCACAAATCATTGGTGCTAGTGGATCCCAGGTCCCAGCATTATCTTGCCAACCGTGCAGAGCTAACATCGGTTGCTGATTTTCGCCACCCCATAGCTTAGCAGCAACGTGACCCCACGGTACCGGTATTTTAATTTCCTTTACTGGTGTCTGAAGATATTTAAAATTGGTATTGTAAAATACTTCGCATCTCTTTCGCGATCTTCGCAGATCGCGTGATTATAAAGAAATTAAAAATTAATTAAGTCGTTTATTATTTATCGACAAAGGCGTCATAGATAAATTATTTTATAAGTAATAAATATCTGAAGTGGTGGGAAACGGTCTTATTGTTCCTTTGCAGAATTATAATAAAATATAAAATAGAAATAAACATGAAAAACTAAAAAATATGACATTGGATTATATTATAGATCTTAATAATGTCGCGTATTCGAATCCCCGCGATAAAATAATGGATGTATCCTGAAATAAAACAATAACGCTTTAATGTTAATATTGGCGCGTATTATCATCGAATCGCTTCACGTGTACTTACAGATTCTGTATGTATTCCTTTGAATTGGGTCTTAGGTACAAATCTTTGTAAAACACATCTTAAAGCTGGCTGCTGAGAGCTGAAAATCGACGTTAAAAAACTCTTCGTCATCTCGAGGCCACTGCGTGTTGTTAGGTTATGAGAAATGGGAATTATAACACTAAAGTAAAATACACACTCATCGTTACACAAAGTTTTTTTTTATTACGAATATTTTCGTGCGTTTTTTAATACAGCCAGCGTGTATTCCTAAGTATTAGTAAAAAGCGACTGACTCGTCTCGAGGTCATATTCGTCATAGTCACTATACTCATAGTAGAACCGGTGCGCGGTGACGTAACATCAGACATTGGTCGCATGCGTATTATGATAAACTATCTTTAGGTATCTATTTTTTATGATTTTTGTCCTTACTTACAATTAGCAAATTTTGTAGCCTTATTTTACTAGACTAGCCGGGCATCGCGGTATTGCCCGCGTTAGTTGCAGGAGAAAATTATCAATAAAAAGGACTTTTCCCTTCTTATTTATCCTGGACGTCTTCCACCAGTTATATTTAGGAGCATACAAAGTACATTCAAACTATTTACTCAGTTATATCATACAAATTAAAATTAGGTTTACATAATTATTTCGTTTTTCTTACCATGCCATTTTGTACTCTTATAGATTTTGACGCAATTTTATATTTAATATATATTTCTTTAAATTATTAATGACTTATTCAGTTATATGTATATATAAAAAGATTCATAGTTGTATAATATATATTTCAACTGTAATAGTCACTTAAGTCAGAAATAATTTAATGTTGTACGAATTTAATTAAATAAATAAATCAGTTTAATTCATGATATTCGCAAAAGTTGGCTACAAAGCCACCTGGCCTAAAAAAATTGTGTACCTAATCATCCCTTTTTTTGGGGTATATTTTCGAAACAAATGTTCATATCATATGTCTACATAACCCAAAGAGTAAGCCCTCCAAGATTCGGATTGCTACGACCAGTGATCAGGACATATTTTATATGTTTTGATTTTTGCACGAACTTATCTACCAAAGGTTCGATGAACAAAGTTCAGCGTAGCTTGGACTTTGATGTTATTTTTGTGATGGTATCTTTATAAGTCATATGTAATCAGTAAATGGCTCATTTGTCATATTACATTAAAAATCTATATGGAGGTTAAGGACCATCGAAGTCACATTATGGATATCAGAACACCTGTTAAGGATGATAGCCATGATCATGAGAAATAATAGAATCTAGAAGTAATATTGATTCGGTGACTACAGTCTTAATCAACATTTTAATTAATTTTGGATTCAGAAATATTTGAATATCCACTAGAAAATGTCTTGTATGTTTTTCTTTTATAAGGATTTTCACTTTCGACAATTTAAACAAGATTTTGTCGAGTCCGATTAAAGAAAACAAATTGTAATAAAAAATAATGTATTTAAAAATATTTTTGACGTCAAAAACATAATTATTAAATCTAGGATCACACAGTCTATCCTTGTCACTATGCTTATTGTAGTGTTACAATAAACATATTACATGTACGAGTATCTATCCTTAAACTAAGACATTTAGGTAACTTTATTATACAAGTCTGAATGTTATTTATAGTACGTACTGGCGATGTGTGGGTTTAACCTTCTTAAACATAGATGAATTATACTTTTATTTAATTTTCACCATAAAAAAATTATTTAACATATTGCCTAGAATTATTTAGTCTTTCACTTGTGGGCTGCATTTATTTGTTTTAACTTCGTAGATATAAAAACGTATTGCATTATCTGATAATTTTATTCACTCCGTTGTCAAATAGCGACGCTATTTAATTAAGCAAATATCGTTAGTTATAATGAATACGCAGATTAGATAGTCATGTGACGTTGTATTGTATTATAGTTGATAATTTGATAAATTACAAGTATATGGTAATTAGCATAAACTTCATTAACATTGAGCGAATAAGTTTTCCTTATCACCTAATGTTCTTTTTAAATATGTATAATCGTTTCGACTACAGCGTCAACAATAAGATTTATATTAAGGTTTCAACAAGTTAGTCAATTTGTTAACGCCACTTTAACAAAAAAGGGAACTATTTTCATCGCCGTTACAGTATGTTACACCAAACTATATAGTGGGTAGTTTGTCAGTTCCAAATTTAAAATGGCTTTAGTCAATTATAGAACATTAGTCCTTTAAATACTAGATATCGTTCTTGCAACTATCTGTTAGGTATAATTACGCACAGATGGCAGGCGGTAGAGTCGGTTCCAGGAGTCCTTGTCTTAGAGCCGTGAGTAAGGGCCAAGACCTGCAAGAGCAAGTTCCTCCCCAGTCGTCTAAGTCCATTGCCCACAGAGCAGTTCCGCGGAGACCACCCAAGGATACGGAAGCGGACATTCTGTGAACTTCTTCAGGACGCAGGTATGTTACCCATTGTGAGCCGGATGTGGCATACGTCCCTGACTGGCTGCCTGATACTATCCAGCTACCTTCTTGGATCCCCTTACATACCTGTAAATTCAAAGCAAAGTTCAATACAACTTTTTCTATGGGTTTATAAATTACATTAGTTAAAACAGAATTAAAAGTAAGAATATTGCGGTTAATTACTTTTTAACTACGACCCTACGTAACCGGCCCCTTTACGGGTCGCAGTTAAATGTTCTCCCACTTTAAAAGTCTTACAATGTTGAAGGTAAAAATTTTGAAACATGTCTTATACATTTTATAACTTACTTCGTAATACGCGAGGAAGCCGGGAACCTGTGTAAAGGCTCCAGGTTCTCCGGGGGCAACAGCTGTAGTCCCGGGTGCCGTGTTGGTTTCCGATCGAAGAGTATATGAACGTCCGTATGCAGGGATGCTGAGCACCAAGCGGTTACTAGCAACTACACTTGTCCAATATTGCACTATAGATTTCTGCAACATAAAATAAATTCTAAATAACCCTTGCTTTATAAAGTGTGCAATAGGTTTGAACTAACATGAGCAATAACAGACAAATAAATGAAGACATCAGATTATTAATTATTATATTTTCTGGTGTTGTAAAGCTTTTGCTACATAACGCGATGCAATGCGTTTTACTGTTGAGACAGAGAAGGTAATTTAAAACAGTCGACAATTTCATATCAATAGACAATATTATTCAGCTGGAGCCGAAACTGAAATATATTGTTTCTATTCCACATCCATATTTAACTATAATAAATGAACTCGTATTAGATTCAAGTAAAGTACTTAATTTAGAACAAACATAGTTAACAAAACAAATTTAGTAACTTACAAAGTTATCCACTTCATTGAATTCATTTTGTTCCAACGGTAGCAGGTACGCAGTCCTCTTAATGTTTGTGCTGTAATAGTCATTAGCTGCAATTGCAATCCAGTCTAGAGTAGAAGAGAGAACTTCTGGGTCGTAGGCAAGAGCCGCTATTTCCGGCTGCGGCGAGACCATTGCCGACACCTCTAAGTTGTGACGTCGGAGGGATTTTGAGAGAAGAGTCAGTAGGAGGCTAAAGTTGTCTTTCTCCTCACTATTCCAATTGACACAGGGGACCTGATGGTGAACAGGTAGTAATGTTTATAACTATGTAATCACGTAAAAGCGCAAATCTTTATAATACCAGAGACGAGGTGTTGTTTTGTAACTTGCACAGACGAGAAAAGGTCAATTGGATTGGATTGTTTTTTGACATTCAAATATTAATCTTCTTATTCAACTTATTTCAGTATTTTAAGCACAGGAATATGCATGCATAGAATGACAAAATAATCATCATTACCTTTGAACTCATCAAAAGGTTTAGGATAGTTAAATTTATTTTTTGTAGCGATCACACCTACTAAGTATAATTCGTTAAATACACGAAAGGATAATTTTGATAACTAACTTGTTTACAAACTGGGTATTGCCATGCAACATGTATGCCATCGAAATTCCATTTCTGTATAAACTTCAGCGCCGATTTCACAAAGACCTTCCTGTGCTCAGGGTTGGCAACCATTTTGCTCCACGTGTTGCTCTCCGAATTTTCTATACCTCCCACACCCAAAACGACTTTGACGCCTTTCAATTTGAACTCTGTGACTTTGCCATAGAAATCTAAAAAGAAGGAAATAATCAAACAATTATATAACTCTCTCCGACTCCAAGTGTCATCCATGGGGTATCACTGAAAATCGACGCTACATCAAATGTGTTGTTGCAGAAAGCAACAACAAGCTGAGTTAGTGTTAATTGTACCGCATTTATGTATTTCCTTATATCATTGTATAATTTCTGCACGTATATTCTTTGCATGTTCTTTGGTGTATTAGGTAAGTTCTTAAGATTTTTAATTGACAGTTTTTCTTATTTGTTAGTATATATTTAATAGCAACAAATTACTAGCTATTAACTATATACTAACATATATTTAGTCTAATCGTTTAAGTTTAAATATATTCTTACTTGGCACGAATTTGATAAACATACCATTGACAACATCCAGTTCTGGTATTCCAGCGGCTAGTGTGAAATTGTCATCTAGATGTGCCCAAGAGTAGACGATGTGTGTGCATAGAGACGGGTTGATTTGATTTGGTCCGAAGCTACCATTTTCTTTCCTGTAAAACGTAAATTTAATAAATGTATTGCATTGACATATAATACAATACCAATTACATATACTTCTTTATATGTACAAAGGTACTATTATAATATATTGCAGTTATGTTACAAAGCTTTTAACATAACTGCCATTCGTTGTAACACCGTAAAAATATGATTAAATAAAATATACTTTATTCTCTGTAAATTTTAAAATATTTGATTCGTCAAAAAAACATTTGCCATTCGTCTACGAGACGGCAAAGTTATGTTTAAAACCAGCTTTGTAACATAACTGTGCTGCAACTTAAGTGCAGGTTTTTTTGGCATAACTCTTTACTTTTTTTATTTTAATTAGTCTTTGCAATCATTTCTCACTATTCAATACCAACAAAGTGATTTTCAATATGATACTTAGTAACTTTTAATTACAAAATCAAAATTGATTGAAGTGTTTAAACTTCATTATTGATCTAAATTTTAAATAAATAAAATGACTGTACTTAGCTATTATTGAGTTATTTTTTATAATTAAAGTAGAAGGTTACCTATAATAAGCCCAATTAGTGAAGTAGCAGGCGATTATCGGCTTCTCATTCATAACTACATCGTGATCTCCATCTGAACTCAATTTTAAGTTTGCTTTGTTCTTGCAGTTTGATTTCTCTGCCCAGTCGCAGTGGTTCTAAAATTAATAATCTTATATTTATAGCAATCGATTTATTATCAACCTTTTAAAATTAAATATATCGTAAATTAGTACATACAGAGTGCTTAACTTTTAATATTTTTTTTAAGATTTATCGTGTTCTACTCTAAAATATTAATTACTGGATCCAACCGCCACTCACAAATTTTTTCTACTCCTTTTTCAATTTAGTACTCATACAATTGTTACTGTGGTTTACTAACCTGGTTCCATACAAGGGGCGGAGGACAAGCTAGTTGTATATAGCGACCGCCAATGCACAAGTAATATTTGGTACAATCCATTGCATCTGAACGGAACCCGCTTGTACAAGAAGAACCCTCCACTGTCGTTACCTAATAATTGGTAAGAAATTCTAATTTTACATACTTTTCATATCATGATGGGAGGTTGAACGCTTCGTTACGTAACGAGAGGCTATTTAACAAAATTAAATAGTTAAATAAAACACTTTAACGGTTTAAAACGCGATATATTAGTTAAACTTATTTGAAAATGATTTTTAACTTCGGCCCAACGTTTCGGATGCTTTGCAGCGGCCGATTCCGATCCAATTTTCAAATAAGTTTAACTTGCGTTTGAAACCGTTAAAGTGTTTTATTTAAATGTGTACTACTATAGACAGTATTTAAAATAGCTCAATTTAGATTACTTTCAATTATCTGTTTGTTGGGCGTCCGGAGACAAACACCTATTTTTTGTAAGAGTGCTCTTTTAATATTATTGCTATATACCTCGATATCCGGTTCCACTTCGGTGTCAGCCAAAGAGACAGTTGTAGTTTCAATCGCTTGCACTGCTGTTGATGTGGTGTCAACTACGTTTGGTGGAGGGCTAACTGCAATATTCGATTTTAGTTAGTATTATGTCAATTACCTACAAAAATCTGTAAAATTATAAACTCACTTTCTTCCAGAGAACAGGGCTGTGCTGCGTCACGACCTCTCAAAACGTGGTTTATCGTTGTTAAGAGAGGATATTTGCCACAGCTGCAGTATTTTCCGGTAAAGTCATCCAAATCCAAGGACCAGACCATAGAGCCTCCAAGATCCATAGCACGGACAAACTCTGCTTTGTGCCGCACCATGTAGTCGTCATCGAAGGAAACCCACTGGTCGTGTAGTGTAGCGTAAGGACCCATGCGGCCACCTGGATCCCGATGGACACGCCATCCCTGTACGCGTATTCGCTCACATATCTAAAACAATGAACAATTACAAAATAGTTAACTTCATACTAAGTACATTGATTCAGTTTAATCTTAATTTAGAAATCGAAAATAAATTGATAAAATTTTCGACTCGGGCAGGACTTGAACCGGCATCATCAGCGTTTCGTGCTGTTGCTCTACCAATTGAGCTACCGAGTCAACGTCACAGCTTTGATAGATTGATAGAGATTTTCGATTTTTAAATTATTTAGTGCCTTCATGTGCAATAACATGTAAAAAATATTAATGTTTTCAATTTTAATCTGTTACATAATTAAACCATCGAACAAGAAGAGATAGACGAGCTTTTGACGGGCCCGATGGTTTAATAGTAGCAGTGCATAGCTAATCAAAGGGTCTTATGGCTTCGATCCCCACTAGATGTCCCACATGTTTCTCGTCAAATTATATTTTTTCTGTAACATGATAAGGTTGTATTGTATACCAGTAACTTACCTCATAGAATGCCAAGAAGCCTCTTGCTCTCGTTTCATCACCTGCTTCACCGCCAGCGTTCGAAGGGGCTCCAAGAGAATTACCCGCATTCTCCACCAAAGAGAACGACTGCCCATACAGTGGCATACCCATTATAAGCTTGCTTCGAGGAGCGCCCTTACTCATCCAGTAATTCACCGTAAAGTTCTGTTAAATGAAACATTTTTAAATGAAGTAATAAATATAAAGGTGAGGAGTTTGTTTGTTTAGACGTGCTAATATCAGGAACTTTTGGTTCCTATTGAAATATTATTTTTGCGTTGGATAGACCATTTATCAAGGAAGGTTTTAGAATGTAGAACACCACAACGAAACAGTGGAAAATATGAAAAAAAAAATCAGGAAATTCAGAGGCAGTATCTTTTTAAATACTGGAAAGGACGACGGGACGAGGAGATTGACGTGGGAAATAGCTATGATTTATACAGCTAAATAGGTTGTTTGCAAAAGTAAAATTTGCTGCATAAAATAAATATTCCTCACAAAAATCCATTGACACCCATTTACCCCATTTCGACGTGATATTTAGCAAATTCACCTAGTTTAGTTTCGTGTATATTGTTTCAGATGCGCGAAGAAATGTATTCTTCTTATACAGGAATGATGTTTGAAACTAATAGAGAAGAAATATTTACCACATTGAAAGTCTTGTCATCGTCCTCATCAGAAGCGTACATTGGAGCTACGTGACCAGTTTTCTGATCCCATTGACCGTGATAGTCATACGTCATTAGAGAGATCCAGTCTAAGTTTTTCGCTAGCGTGGGAACATCGTAAGCTGTAATAAAGGATAGACAAGATAGTAATAATAAATTATAATGATTGTAATGTTGTATAAGTAATTGCTTTGTATATATACAATATATATACATAATATATGGTATACCATAATCGATAACTCGTTTACTGGCTGAGACGGCAGCTGATAGCAGGAGACCTTTTCGCGCAAATGCTGTTCGCAGTTCCTTCACTAAGTCAGTAAATCCTTGTTTATCTGAGCTTGGTCCCTTTTCACATTCCACCTGTAGCAATTTTCTATTTTATAGTCATGGAAAATACTATATAATACAATAATAGATAACAATGAAATCCCGTTCATTGTTGATCATACTTCTGTGACCTGTCCTGTAATGTTCAAACGTAACAATCTATTGCTTTCCCAGGATTCGAACCGAGGACTTTTTGCGGCTAAAGCAATGCTAGGTAACATCTAGCTAGCTAGGTTTAAAACACGTAATGTATTATTAAACTTGTTTATAATTAATTTTAAACTATGGCTGACTTTTTCGCTTTTCCTTTGCAGCAGCCGTGGTTACGAGGGGATAGTACATAGGGGAACATAACCTTTTAAGTGTATTGTCTACATTTAATTGCATTTTTTTTCTACTCAAAAATATTTAAGGTTCTATTCACTTCGTATGATGTCATAAAAGATATTCTAAAAATATTATATCGTCATGAATCATAATTTCAGATCGATGACTGTTTGAAGTGGGGAGATTACGTCATAGCCTAGCAAAATCGTCTGTTTGTCGCGGGTATTTTAAATAAATTAATAAAAACACACTTACTTGCCAACACTTAGGATATTCCCAGTCTAGGTCTAAGCCATCGAACTCGTATTGATCGAGGAAATCGAGAGCATGCACAATAAACTTTCTTCTAGCGCCAGCATTGTTTACGAGTCGCGAGTACTTGTCTCCGGCCGAATCGTTCCAACCACCAAGTCCTAGCAGAACGCGTACTCCTTGCTTCTTAAAAGCGACCACCTTCTCGTAGAATTCTGTAATATACTTATACATTAGCATTTCACAATAATGTCGTTTCGTACCAAAAATTTGTTAATATCAAAGAGAATTTGAATCCTTACAAAGTTACTTTAATTTGAATAAGGGTTTTTAAAACCTAACTTATGGATTGCCAATCAGATATATATAAATAATTACTATTTAAATACCGAATTGTTTTGTAAAATAATTAGATAAAAAAAGAATAATAAGAATTAGATATAAAACAGTTTCAAAGGTTTAAAACGCGAAAGATTAGTAGAAAGATAGTAATGTTACATTAATTATATTATCTATGCTTATTAGGTAAAGACACAAAAAAAAAAAAAAAAAAAAAAAAAAAAACCCCCCGGGGGGTTTTTTTTTTTTTTTTTTTCTTGGGCAAAAACAGGAAAAAATTAAAAAAGTTTTCATAGGTAAGACATTTCGCGTTTTAAACCGTTGAAAGTGTTTTATTTACATGTGTACGACACGCGTAAACTACAAACAATACTTAATTACTTACTATTTTCGACGTCGAGCCAATTATCGTGAGGTTTGAGTACAAGTCTAGAACTATCGAGGACTGCAAAGGCATAAATGATGTGAGTACATAAAGATGGATCGATGTCACTTGGGACGAACTTTCCAGAGCCAGGCCTGCGAAATATATATTTATTATTAAACTATAATCAAGTACTTTAAACTAATACATATCTAAAAATGTATTAAATACATACCTGTACCACGCCCAGTTGGTATAGTAGCAGATAACTTTGAACTGTTCCACTTCATCCATGTTTACGATTTGTGTTGAACTTTCAGTGGTAACTTGCGTAGCGGGTCGAGTTGGTTGTGTTGGGCGAGTCGATGAGATAGTGGTCGGTCGAGTTGGTCTCGTGTAACTTGGTATAACTTCAATATCATCTAGATCATCGTCTATACTGTTTTGGGGTTCAGGGAGGGGTTGTAAGGCAGATTCTAACTCTACGTTGGAGTTGAGAAGACTTTCCTTTATAGTGTTCATTAGTGGATATTTGCCTTGGTTACATCTGGAAATTTGTTAAATGTTAGATGTTACATGAGATATTTTTTCACAACAACTAAATAAATAAACTTTCTTCTTCGATGTGTTATTTTTTCACTAATTCTAAATAGGAAAGTTTAGTTACCTATTCTGGAAGTCATCAAGATCAAGTGCCCAAACCATTCCTCCACCAAGACCTAGAGATTTAATGAAGTTGACCTTCTTCTTAATTATTTCCATGTCATCAAAGGAAACCCACTGATCTCCCTTGTATGCGTAAGGTCCCATGCGCTGATAACGATCTTTTACCACAATCCAGTTCCTATTTTTAATCCTTTCACATATCTACAAAGAAAAAAGAAGAAGAGTTACAAAGTGTAGTTCAAATTATCGGTGTTATCTATCGTTAGGTTAACTTGTTTTCAGTTATGTAACTGACCTCGTAATATGCAAGAAAACCGCTAGCTCTCGTATATTCTCCCGCATCTCCTCCAGCACGAGCAGGAGCATTCAGTCCAATCGCTCCTCTATTGTTCGACTCGGTTAAAGTAGTGAATGTTTGCCCATACAAAGGCATTCCCATGATCAATTTGCTTGGAGGTGCTCCTTTTGAAATCCAGTAATGCATTGTGTAGTTCTATTTCAAATAAATAAAGCTGATTAGTATCTAGAACGTACTTAAGCCTAAAATTTGGGACATTTTTATTATAATCTTACAGCATTGAAGTAAGTGTTATCATCGTCGGGATGATAATAAAGAGGTGCCACATGTCCCGTTTTCTTGTCCCATTGCCCATGGTAGTCGTAGGTCATCACTGCAATCCAATCCAAGTACTTCGCTAGTACAGGTACTTCGTAGCCCGCATCGATAACCATTTTGCTGGGAGATACAGCAGATGATAAGAGCAGACCTTTAGGCTTTAGAACTGCGGATAATTCTCGAACTAATTCACCGAAAGATTCCTTGTCGGAGTCGGGGCCCTTGGAACAATCGACCTAGAAAGACAGTAACGATCGATACAAGAAATACATAATAAAAGGGGGTTTTCCTTCTTTTTAATTTCAAAATTATAAATATTAAAATATAGAAACTTTTTCTATACCTGCCAACACTTTGGATATTCCCAGTCAAGGTCAAGACCATCAAAACCATACTTCTCAATAAAATCTACTGCATGTCTCACAAAACGTTTACGTGCAGCTGGATCGTTCACTAATTTTGAGTACTTATCGCCAGCAGAGTCCTTCCATCCTCCAATGGCTATTGATACTTTAGTACCATACTTTTTGAATTCCACAACGCGTTCATAGAATCCTAAGAAAAAATGGTAATACATACATGAGAATTCATACACATTTTGATATTTAGTAAGTGCACAAAATATAGGAGTAATGTATACTTATTCTAGTCTATAATCTATATAAGCTACTAAAACTTACTATTCTCATTGTCAGCCCAAGGATCGTGCGCTACCATAAGTCCATCTTCTCCGAGTACTGCAAAACCGTACACGATGTGGGTACAAAGCGAGGGGTCGATGTCTTCAGGAGTGAACTTTCCAAAGCCAGGTCGATACCAAGACCAGTTGGTATAGTAACACACCAATTTGTAACGACCTGTAAATTAAAGTTAATAAATAAAAATACATATTTATCATAATATGCAGTTTATCATAGTTCTGATAAACGAAAGCTTACTATTTAGAAGTGGGGGTCGCATGGCTTCATCTACCAAATTAATAGGCTCCAAAGATTGAATAGGTTTAGCTGGTACAACTTCTATATCTTCTTCTGCGAGAATCGGAGGGCTCGGAGTAGTGGTGACCTTTTGTACCGTGCATTTAGCGTTTTGCGGCCAATCACATATTTGTTTATCCTGTAAAAATTATAAACATAGGTGTTTTAAAGATTTTTGTATTAAGTAACCTAAATCTTTTTTACAGATATACTTATAATCATAATTACCTGATTCCAATGTAAGCCAGCACTGCAAGCGAATTCTTCATATTTACCAAAAATACAATGCATATATCGAGAACAATCCGCTGGATTCAATGCATATTGTCCGTTTTCACAAAATTCTGTAAGAAAAAATAAATATTTAGGCTTTTTCTGGTTAGTACCTATACTAAAGTTTCGACTTTCTGATCAGTTCTCATACCTGGCTTTTGTTCCACTTGTAAGCTAGCGCTCGGTTTGGAGCCTTCAGAAACAGAAATAACCTGTCTTCGGTCGGAGCACGACGTTTTCGAAGGAAAATCACATTGTGAGTACTCGTGTCTCCAGACGAGGCCAGGAGCGCAACTTTGAGCTACCAGAACGCCATTTACACAGACGTAGAACTTTTCACAGCGCGGATGAGGGTGATACGTTCCGGTGCGACAACGCTATTGAAAAAAATGAAATTATATCAGAATAAAGAAGTTTTATTATTGACATCTTGTAAAATTAAATACTGTCTATAGTTTTCGCGACTGGTACACATTTAAATAAAACACTTTAACGGTTTAAAAGGCGATATATTAGTTAAACTTATTTGGAAATGATTTTTAACGGGGAGAAACCCCCCGTGTCTCCCCGTTACCACGGCTGCTGCAAAGCATCCGAAACGTCGGGCCGAAGTTAAAAATCAATTCCAAATAAGTTTAACTACTATATCGCGTTTTAAACCGTTAAAGTGTTTTATTTAAATATCTTGTAAAATTATAAAATAAGTTTTAATTTCCTTGAAAATGTTAATATTATGTGAATTTTTGAATCTAAGTTGTAAAGATATATATTCCGTATAATATTACCGTAGGTTTTTGGTATTGATGATCCTGTGTAACCGATCTCCTCGTTGTTGTTGAAGGGCGTGGTGTTGTTGGTTTTCTTGTGGTCGTTGTTGTTGGTCTTCTTGTGGTTGTTGTTCTCCTCGTGGTTGTTGATACAAGCATTTGATATGGAGGCTTTAGTGTTATTCTGCTAGCTAAAATCCAGATAATTCTTATTAATTTCTAGTGCCTTGAATCTACGAGCGATATATGAAAGATCACCAACATTTATATAATTTTTGCCTTCTAAGCAATCTTTACCTTCGCACATAGCAAATTCGGCCCAGTCACACCGCTTTGAGCGATTATCCCAATGAAGACCAGGCGGGCAGAGTTGGCGGCGCCACTGTCCAGCAACACATAGAAGGTATGAGTCGCATGTGCTTGCAGCTGCATGCATCTCGTTACCTCCGCACGGACCATCTTCCCTTGGCTTATTGCTATCTGCTACTGTAATAAAATTACTTATTATATGAGCTATCTTCCGCGAAACAAATTTTGGTATTCCGTAACATTGGGATATTAATACTTACCAGTAGGTCTAGTTGGCTTTGTTGTAGGTCGTGTCGGTTTGGGTGTGGTTGTGGTTGTAGTTGTAGTCTTTTGTGTTGTAGCTGTAGATAGTTTAATAATTAACAACTCTTCAAGTACAACTGGTTCTTAAAATGTACATTAAAAACTATATTTATGAATGACTAAATAACCTGGCGTACTTTGAATAACCTATTCTAACTACATGAAATCTACTTAACTGGTTAAAAATTTAAACCAGTATCTGGAATGTGTGTATGTACACTTTCCGAAGACGTGAAAAGCCAATGTTTGACAGAAATGTAGGTAAAACTGTCAAATTGGATATTTTTTTGGTTTGAGGATTTAATTAATTCTGGAGTTTGAAGAAGATCTAATTACTTACATGGCTTAAGTTCACAGTTGGCATATTTAGGCCAGTCACAATGTTTCTTATCCGCACTCCAGTGAAGACCTGGCGCGCACTGTTGGCGTCTCCACACAGAGCCATCACAATGCAAATATGAGTTACAATCGCCTTCCATCGCGCGATAATCTTGACCGTCGCAGGGTTGGCCTTCGGATGATTCTAGCATTTCGTCTAGAATGAATATACGATGAGAAAACAATAATTTTTGCACTAAATAAATAATGTATAATATATATAACTAAAATACACTGTATAGTATACAACTTTTGTACTCCCTGAATAATCGAGACAGTTTAAATTGTAAACGTAGTGGCGTTACTACGTAAGTAAAAAAAACAAAAAAGAAGTAATATTTAGTATCTACTAAATTAGAGAAGAATGTGCGTGATTGAAGCGACGACATTTATTTTTTGGACTCACCAGCCAAAGTTGTTGTTCTTGCCGTGGTGGTAGTGGTAGTTGTAGTTGTAGTACTAGTGGTGGTGGTAGTCCGTCTAGTGGTAGTAGTAGGAGGCGGCCGGGATGTCGTTGGAGCTAACGTGGTTGTCACTGTGCTCGTCCCGCTATCTGGAGTGGCTGCGCAAACCAAATCAATTTAAAAATTCATTCATATAGGAAGAAAGTCAATACAGTTAAAGATAACAACTGTTAATTTAAATTTACTACCAGTTCCTATATTAAGGGCGATGTTATTATCAAGTTTTTAGTAGAGTCCTTACGTCCTTAATGTGTACATCCTTTTCCTTGCTAGAGCGGGTTCATTGTTATCATTTAAATATTAATGTATAATTTTAAAAATCGAAAATAAATTGAAAACATTTTCGACTCGGGCAGGACTTGAACCGGCATCGTCAGCTTTCCGTCCTATTGCTCTACCAATTGAGCTACCGAGTCCTCAAGTCCTGCCCGAGTCGAAAATTTTTTTCAATTTATTTTCGATTTTTAAAATTATATAGTGCCTTCATGTGCAATAACATGTGAAAAATATTAATGTTTCCATATATTAATGTATGTTATAATAACCCTTTTTAAACAGTTTTGTTTAACATACGGTTAAAAAGTAAAATATCTGTTGCATAACTTGTCCAATTAAAAAAAATACAAATAATAACTCTTCATAAAATTTTCTTCGTTATCCATTCTATTACTAAATACGTTAAGATTCATAGTGTGTATTTACTAATACTTGAACGGTAAAATTTTACGCCTACACTTTTTTTTCATTTCTGATCAATTACACACAGGTTAAGTCTAAGGAACTGATGTATTACACAGTACTTACACGTGCATTTGGCAAATGCAGGCCAATCACATCTATTAGACTTAATAGACCAATGTAGCCCAGGTGCACATCGGTGTTTGCGCCACTGTCCACCAGCACACTGCAAATACGCTTCACAATCGCCAGGCGCTGCTTTATATTCTCCCGCTTCACATGCTGAACCTTCAACACCTGAATTTTGATATTAATACGCAAAATTAATGAGGCATAATTTGTTTTGACGTATTACATCTCGAAATTAACCACTGTTCCAGAATTCGTTGGGCTTTTAGATTTGTAATTAAAAGTTTTATCTTAAGCACTTGTTTAGTCTTCATTCATACCCGTATCCGCGATGGGTGGTTGTTTGGTTGTAGTTGTGGTAGTACTTGGTTTCATGGTGGTAGTCGTCGTCGTAGTAGTAGTTTGAACGGGTGTTGTTGTCGCCGGTGGCCACCAAGTCTGAGTTGTGCTTTGGGTAGATGGAGGATTCCAACTCGGCCAAGTGGTTGAAGTATGGCTGCCGTGATCATGGTTGTGGTCTCCACCGCCAGAAATTGAACCTAAATATGGTAATTTAATATTTTGTCAATCCTAAGAGATGAAAGAAATCATCGGTGTGTGAAGTTTGAAAATACGACAGAGCAAAGTTAAGCGAAAGATTGGTACCGTCAGATTCTGCTGGGGTTGTTGTAGGAGGCGCAGGTGTCACTGGTTCAGGCGGACGTTCACAAGGTGAGGTAGGTGGGTTGGGCACAGCGCGTCCCAATGCACGACCAGCAGCTCGAAGAAGGGGGGAAGGCTCGTTGCAACAACGGTTGTTAAAATCATCAAGGTCTATGGCCCAAGCTGTTACACCACCCAGCCCTTGACGAAGTCCCCATTCAACCTAACAGCGTCATAATGTGAAATGAATAAGATATAGATACCAACAAGATAAAAAATGTAAACACCATACATTGTCTGTACGTGAATGTTGTCTTACTACATTTAAATAAAACCCTTTAACGGTTTAAAACGCCATATATATTTGTTAAACTTATTTAACAATTTTTAACTACGGCCCGATGTTTCGGATGCTTTGCAGCAGCCGTGGTCACGGGGAGGCACGGGTCTCGCGTTTTAAACCATTAAAGTGTTTTATTTAAACATTTAAAAATATTTAAACGATTTGTTAAATTATCAAGAAACAAGTTGTAAAAGTATGTATCACTAACTTTTTCTGTAACAGATTTAGGATCATCATATCCCACCCATTGGTTATCGGAGTACGCGTACGGACCAGCCTTTTCCTGGCGACCAGTTTTCCATCTCAAGTTCTTTACTACAATCAAAATGTAAATTAAGTACATAATTATGCAAAAGTGTCTCAGAGAATTTATATATACAAGCTACAGATGCTAATTACCTCGGTAACATATTTCATAGTAAGCCAACATTCCAGGTTGTTTAGTAAATTCTCCGGAGTCTCCTGGCCCAGCCGCGGGCGTCCCTGGTCCTCTCGACCCATCAACTTCAGCTAAGCGGTACGATTGACCGTAAAAAGCTAACCCAAGCAGTAGTTTTTTGGGGTCTGCTCCTCCGCTTATTAATGCTTTGATGGCATATTCCTAAATAATAAAAAAAAGACGAATGCAATTCTCACCTTATGTTATGTCCTTATTTCTCAAAAACGATATATTTCACCATATACTTACAACCGAGTAGTAGGCGAGAGCATCTCTTTTTAAAGGTACCAAGGGCGTATGATGAGCAGTACTCCTTTCCCATCCTCCATGATAGTCGTACGTCATAGAGCTCATGAAATCAACAGCACTGGATATAGTGGGTAAGTCGTATGCAGATTCAATTACTTCTTTGTAACCAGATAGAGCTACTCCCAATTCCATACCGGCTTCGTGCAATGCTTTTGATAGCTCCTGTAAAGGCGTTTGTAGCGTTAAAATAGACGTTCTTATCGCAGTGAAAGAATATATTATTTCTAATAATAGATTTTAGAAGTAATAATTAAGAAATTTAGGTTATTTTTAATGATTTCGAATGATAGGGGTTTAGGTAGGTGATATACCCTAGCATCTAACCAAGATGCGCGGTCAACCTATTTTGGCTTTGGATATTCGGAAATCTAAGACTAACCCGAAACGCGATTAAGTTACACGGCTTTTTCATCTGTGAACGGTGCTTCGTGACTGGACGGAATTACTACAATTAATATCCAGATTTCGAGATTTTAAAATTTAGAAACATGTTGGACCAGCTAGGGATTTAATGACCTGACATGACCCCTTCACCCCCACGACCCAATAATTAGCAATACATTGCTGCCATTAGACCAACGAGCCCGTAAAGATAAATATAATATAATTAAATTAAAGAATGATCACGAGGTACCTATAGAAGCTCAATGTGTAGAGCAACACTGCGTTCACCGTTTGTCCGTATCATACATTTTTCTAAATTAAAATAGTACTTATATTTTATATTAATACCCATATGTGAAAATTATAATGATTGGAAGAAAATTTATATATATTATTACAAATTATTTTTTTTATTAATAATTAACATTTTATTACCTTAACAAACTTTGCGTAATTAGCTTTGTCTGATAAAGCTCCTTTTTTGCAATTGCTCTGCCAGCAAACAGGATAGTTCCAATCCAAATGCAGACCTTTAAAATTATGCATACGAAGGAATGGTATGAGCTTCTCAACAAACTTGGCACGATTAACCGGAGACGAGACAAGACGAGAATATTTGTCTCCAGACGAGTCCGTCCAACCGCCCAAACCTAAGAGCACCTTGACATCACCCAGGGATGTTACTCTTTCATATAAATCTGTAATAAATATTAATTATTAGTAAATAAGATAAACAATAAAAATATAATATGAAATTAAATAATGAAAATATTAATTACAGCTCTAGCGTTATCTTTCGGTTTTAGGGCCTATTTAAACAATCTTAAAAATAAATAACGGTTCGTGAAGTTAAGAGAATTCACAAGTATTTTATCAATTTTGTGTGATTTTAAAAAAGCTTTTCACACCATGCTTGATATGACCTTTTGTATGTAGTTTCCATTAGTTTTGGAGCTTATACAAAGACATGGAATGTATTTTCCTATTTTAAAACTTACTGTTGGTAATATCCGCCCAAGGGTCGAATTGCTTGGCTATTAGATCATCAGGGCTTAGTGAGGCGTAAGCGTAAACGACGTGCGTACAAAGTCTGGTATCAATGTGTTCTGGAACAAATTTGCCGTCTCCTCGTCTGTAGAAGGCCCAGCTTGTCATGTAGCATACGACTTTTTTGTCGTTGTCTTTGCCTAAAATTAAAAAAAAGGTATTTTTAGATAACTCTGTGAAAATTGATTGAATAAAAAAATATAAAAAAATTAAGATTATGAAATATCATAACAACATACTAAAAGAATATTAGATTTAATGTAATAAAGCTTAAAGATCTAATTTCAATAATCAAATCAAAATAAATCAGTATGGCGTACAAGCAGCCTAATTCAGGAACTATTAGCAAATAGGTAGCCTTACTTTTTTTACTTTCAGCAACTGCAGTTAATAAATTCTGACTCGGTTTCGACTTTTCGGGAGCATTGTTCCACTGTAAGTTAAATTCACATACATATAGTATACATAAACCTGATTTAGAAGTGAACTAAGCGACTAAGATAATGGGAACTCACTTCAAAATCATTTTCATATGCAATCGGTAAAAACCTTGCAGCGTCTTCAACGCTAATCCTAAGAGTCTGGCCTGGTATACATTTCGCGACATCTTGGTGTCTGCAAATAGATTAAGTTATTATTACTATTAAACCTATTATTCGTTTGATGGAGCGGTTTAAATTTGTTATAATATTAATTTTATAATTATTTCCACAAAGTGTGTTTACAGTGTTTATTACAATTAAGCTAAAATCGTTATCCTGAACGAAGATAAAATTGAAAATAAAAGAGAAATTCTTTGAATAAAATGATAATGATTAATTTTCAAATATGTATTCGAAACTTACCCACAGAAACCAGTCGAAGGATCGTAAAGGCGATCATCCTCACAGACCATACGGTAACTAATTCCACCAGTGCAGAAGTGGAAATGCGCACACGACTCTTGATCCGAAGCTAAGTAAGGTGCGTTTGAGTCGCAAGACCCTACCTTCAGCGACGATTGGTCTGTCAAGGTTGCTTCACCTACAAAACATGTTATTCTTTAATAAACCAGTGATTCTATGTTAAGGACTTGAAAATCTTAGGTCTACAGAGTTGGAAACAGGTAGCTGATGCTAAAACGTAATAGCGTAGAGAGACTAAGGCACACAAAGGGCTTTTTTTGATGATGTCAATATTTTCTTATTCACACACCATTAAGGCTTATGGAAATAGCGCTCAGTAAGGGGAACGGTGAACCACACAGTCCTCTAAAGTCGTCCATGTCAATAGACCACGCCGCTGCACCAGCAAGACCAGCCTCGGTAACGAATTTCATCTAGAAAGAGACCAAAATCATTAATTTATGGTAGTATATAATTAAAGTACATTTTAACATGAATGGCCACAATTCATATTTAAATTTTTAATGAATTAAACTGTATCCAACTAATGCATTTATGAAGTGTATAAATCAATAGATTTCTAAAAATAATGCATTGGTGTTCGAAATACCTTTTCAAGAATGGTGTTTGGAGTATCGTAGCTAATCCATTGATTATCGAAAACAGCAAAAGCGTTTCCATCTTCATCTATGCCGCTTATACCTTTTCCGTCTCGCTCAGTCATACAGATCTATTACAATTAATTAATTAATATTTAATACACTATAAATGCCATGAGCATAGAGCCAAATTTGAAAAACCAACCTCAAAGTACGCTAACATTCCCTTGGTTTGAGTGTATGCACCTTCATCGCCCCAACCGCTCACAGGGGCGCCTGGAGCAGGCAGTGTAGAAGCAGCTAATGTATAACTTCTTCCGAACAGAGGAACACCCAAAACCAGCTTCTCAGCAGCCATGCCATGGCGCAAGATGTATTTCACCATAAATTCCTATGGAGAAAATTTATTTTATATACCATATGAAACTCTATGGGTGCCATATAAAACGTATGAACAATTTAAAAAAAGCCATTATTAGTAATATTTCATATATATTTCTTACCACATTATCGTATCTTTGGTCCCTAGCAGTTGCACCGGGATCTCTATGCAGAGCGCTGTGCTGGACCGCTCTTGTTGGTGGCTCATCTCGTTTCCAGTGAGTCATATCCCATGCTTGGAGTATCGTATAATCAGTAGCACCACTTACTGCACTTAGATCATAGCCATCTTCAATTTGATACCTGTTGATAAGAAAAATATTTTTAAACATTATATTTGTGTATACCTTACGAACAGTTCATAAAACCATAAAAAGTTTTTACCTAAATGGTGGCAGAACTGTAGAAAGCAGAAATCCGTAGGATGAGAATTTTTCGCGCAATTCATAGAGTAAAGTTGTGAGTAATTCTTTCTCCTTTTCATCTTTATCACCTAAAAGGAGAATCATACATTACATCATGTCGATAAAACCGAGGACGGAAATGCACTGCACATACTAATATTAAGGTAAAGATTTCTAAATGTTTTTACCTGAATAAACCCAGTGAAGGTCAAGCCCATCAAAGTCGTGCTCTTGTAAGAAACTGACGGCGCTATCGATAAACGAGTTTCGACGATACGGCTCCTGTACCATTTCACTGAACAAACGACCAGTACCTTCACCGCCAACGCTGATCAGTACTCGGAGACCGGGAATTCTTCTTTTTAATCCGGTAGCTATTCTATATCCACCTAACGACGTAAGTGATTTAAAAATTAAATTGGTAAAATTTTACGGTCAAAGATACAAGTATTTAAAAGGAAGATTCTTTCAAACAGTAATAATTTTAATTATATATTAAAGCCTACCTTTAATTATATCATAGTCTTCATTTGCAGATATAACATTGTACGTATGTGGATGCAACACAGCAAAAGCATAATGTAGGTTTGTGCAAGACTTCGGCACCAGGCCTGCTGTAAATGCTAGTGGTGGGGCTCTATAAGCAGCCCAGGACTCCAAGTAACAGACGACCAAACGCCGTTGATTAGGACCGTTGACAGTTTGTTGCATTTCTGTAAAGATAAAAATACCTTGTTGGGCATTCAAAGATTGTTTTAAACACTATTTGTTGAAGACAATAGTTTATATTATCCATTCAAATACAATAAAACTCTAAAATAATTAAATTAACGTAAAAATATATTTGCCACGTTTTTGCAAACTATGCTTAATACGAATCATAGAGTTTTCTGAGAGATGTTTAATTTTGTGGTCTCATACCTTGAAGATTAGCATTTCCGAGATGAAGTCGCTCATCCGTTCGAGATCCACTGAAACGTGGGAAAAAAATTAATTGTCAACTCGACAACCATAATTTATACATATCAAAAATTAAAAAAAAACCATACTTATTTAAATGACTCGCAGCGCCGTAGTATTTTCTAAAGTTCTCGACGTCTTTCAAGAGGTGCTCAGGCCTCTGAAAAGCAAAATTAGATGAAAATAGTACTAGAGATAAAATACATTTGGTTTTAAGTAACATTAAATACCTCGACAAACTTGTACAACGATTCTTGATCCAAGACTGGAATTGGTAATTTTTCAACCGCATCTCGTAACGGTACACGTCCATCACCCTCGTCGTGAAGATTTCTGTTAAAACAAATTATTCATAAACATAAATATATAAAATTCCATTGCTGTATTTCGTTTCATTTAAACGAGGCCGATTGCTCTAATTTTAATTTTAATAATATTTTGTATTAACAACATTAGATAGATCAGGATATTGAGCTATTGTTGTAAGGGAGAGTTACCTAACAATATGATACCTCAAAAATGTAAATGATATCTTAAATATAAATTGATTCTAGATAAACATAATAAAATTTTGTTTTACAGGGCACAAAAACCCGATAAATTAGTTGTTTGTTAATAATGAAACCTAACAGATACCTATCCCATGGATTCCCAGAGTTTACTTTTTTAGACAAAGACAATAAAATCCATCAAGCAGTACGTACATACGTATGTATTACCGAAAACATTACCTTAGTGGCACACTTTCTACAGAAGCCCTAATAGGAGGCGCTATTGGTTCGTGTTCTGGTACAGTTTCTACCGCCTTTCTGTCGAAGGCTCTATCATCTTGATACTGTGGTGAAGCTGAGATACTGACACACAACAAGACGCCCTGAAGATAAAAAAATTAGTTCAGAGCATTTCATAAATCAAAATTATCTATGTAGATTGAAAAAAATTACGACGCGGCCGGAACTTGAGTTGGCATCCACACTGCAATACATGTGAAAATGTTTAAATTTTCAACTAGAGCATTAAAATTCTTCTTAAAGTTCGAATATAAATTCACCCTTTCTTATCATTCCTTTTTTAAATAACGTTTCCTATAGATACAGAACATTTATGATTATTGAGATTATTTACTTATAAAAGGATTCAGAAATTTTTTAACACGGATTCGAGCCGGTAGAGCTTCAGAAAGGTGCGCCCGTCATCCGTACCATAATTTCTTTTTAATCTAACATCATTTTTAAATGTATACCAGCCAGTTTTAAATTAATAAAATATTGTTATTAATTTATAAATGGAAACGATTTAAATGAAGAAGTTTACATTACAGTGAGATAATCCATTGCTTCAATTGAAAGTCCCACAGCTGGGCATTGATGTAAATACAATTGCTGATCGTATGTTCTTTTGTAAAGGACGCTTTAAATTGTATGAGTAACGCTATTACTCAGCTAGTGTTAATACTTCAATCTTCGAATAATCCGTTAGTCGAATTAAATAAGCAAAAAATCTTGAATGCTTCGCAAGTGTCTCCTTTGAAATCAATTATGTTGTATTCTTGTAGTCTATTGTTGGCGCTAAGTCACATACCTCTTGATTTTTTTAAGCGTGGGTGTCGGCGGTTAGTGACCTATAGATTTAGTATGGCACTATATAACATAGGACAATTTACATAACTCGAGTTAACATCAAACACTTGAAAACTTGTTCTCAAAACTTTTATATTTTCTAAGACCCGAGCTAGAGGTAATGACCGAGCGAAATGTGCAAATAAATAATAATATTCGAGTGAGTAATAGTTTTAATTACACAAATTAATATTATTGTTGCGTTAAAACACATCAGTTAATAATAATAAATTAGATAATAAAATACATATTGTACTTCGGGAATGAAAAATATAATAAGACAATTAAATATAATTACATTCTACCTTTGCTTTTTAATGCTTTGCATTTAGGCTAACATACATAGAATGTTATTGTTTTATTTTTATAGATGAAGAATTCTAGTAGTATGTACCAATAGAAAAATGGAGATTTTTCTTTGAGACTATTTCTAAAATCAGACAATTTTTAATACAATTTGATACACTGCCTTCGTATTTAACATGTATACGTAAAAACTATTTCCTCGCCGATAAAGGTTGAACAGTTCTACAACCTGCGTGAATGTATAAACTAGTTCTCGGATTGATAAATAAGACTACGCCATTAATATTCGAAGAGAAGATATATTTTTCGCTTAAACAAGAAATTGATCTAATAAATCGTTGCTAAATTCATAACAGGTACGTTGACTCTTCAATCGGAAAACAACAAGATTAGCATACAGACAACTCAGGCAGGTAGAAGCCGGGGTCATCGTCATCAGCTCACGACTGGTCCAAAACCTATTTTCGAGTGACATTTCGTTTAGGACATGGGCTTCTGTTATCTTCTTTTTATGTCCAAGGGATAATAAATTACGATAACCCAAGGGATCGGGTTTGGCAGTATTTTAATATAGGTTTATTTTTGGTAATCTCCTTTAGTTGTTTTTTAACGACAGTCCCTATATACAATATAAGGTACATAATATGACATGAGAATAAATTTGCTGTTTGCGTATAATAATAACTAACCAGCCAAAATTAATACTTTAATTTTAAGATTAACTCACAGAACTTTAACGCTGCTTGTGACTTTAAATTGTCCCATTTATTATCAATTAAATATCTAATTGTATTAAAAATTAATTTATTCATGTTTTTCATATTTTATTTGTAAGGTGACGTTTTGAATTATTGTATTATATGTGTATTGCTTTGTTGTTCTCTCTTAAAACCGGCACAACTCCTCGCTATTTACAATAAATGTCTCAAAAAAATACTTTTAATACTAAGTATAAGAAGTTAATTTAAAACTGGTAAAAATATACAAATACTACTATATTATGTTATTACATACAACATATAAGTCTTTGTAAATTGTTATTTTGAACTTGGAGTAGTTCTTAATATTTTCTCCTTTTATAAGGTGCAGATGTCACCTGTCCCATATTTTGCCAACGATTTTTTTGTTTGCTAGGAGCGCAGTGTCATAAAACGACCATTAATGAAAAAATATGACCACCTTCTCGGGAAAATGTATTCGATAACTTACGGTATGAATTTTAAAGAGCTTGCAGATATTACTATTAAATAAGATTGTAAAATTATTTATGCCTTTGTTAAAAGTTATTAGCGTTACATCAAATACTCCACTTTTTGTGTTATAGTATAAACCCTACTCTGGCTATTTTTTTAAATTATATATTTAAATCTATATCTTATATAATATCGTGAATACAATTGTACTACAATTCGGTAAGTATTCTTAAATACTGTCTATAGTTTACGCGAGTAGTACACAAATATATTTTCGTTCAAACTGTTAAAGTGTTTTATTTAAAAGTATATTAAAATTAAAGTAATAAAAATATACATACCAAATAAAATATTGCTAACCCCATGACGGGGCTGTATCCCCTTTGTAAGGGTCGTTTATCTGAAAAGAGAATAATTAATTGTTACAATATATACCAAATAATATAATTATTCTACAAGGAAACTAGAAATTGAAAGAATATGTTTAAGTAATGTTAAGCAATTGGTATTACAGTTAATCATAAGTTTTATTAATATAAGAACTTGTCAATTAATTTAAAAATAATTATATCACTCTTAAATATCAAATCAGAGTTATGCTTTGTATATAATTATAATACGATATGCTTTATTTTCAATAAATAAAGCGTATTAAAGTAATTATTTAAGGCTATATTGTATTGCTTACCTGAATCAGACAGCACACTAGCTAAGGGTTGCAATTTTTCGCCGGCGTCGTGGGTTGCGCCTGCGCTGGCGTCGCGTCTTCAGTGCGACTGAGTTGCTGCCGTACGAGCCTCCTAATGTTAATACCTCGGTGTCATCGAGCCTTACATCTCGCACCTACGCGTATAGTAAGTATGTATTAACATTTTTGGGACTTGCTCATCTGTTAATTAGTTTCTGGTTCGTTTTTGTTCATAAGTGATACGCGAATTACCACGCAAATGCAAAAATCTTGTAAAGGTTTTCATCATAAAGTTATTGCTTATATGCACTTAAATTTTAAAAATAAGTAAAAGGTTCATAAAAATACATAAACTGTTTATTTTTTTTTAGTGGATACTTGTATTAATAATCTGTAATGTTCAAAGATATAATTAGAAACAGTTAGATATTATTTACACAACGTATAATTTTTTTTATAATCCTCTTGGCATTTGCAGTTTTATTGAGTTTTAAATCATGTCGTATTGTTTTTAAATAAAGGTTACATTATAATTAAGAACAACACTTTTATGACATTCGATTCGGATAATAATTTTTGAGCGATCTTTTCACAAACAGATTTATTGCACATCATAATCGTTACCCTAAAACATTTGTTATACATGAATTAAAAATGTTTACTTGATTAACAACAGCAATTTTATGGTAATAATATGATTAAATTATTTAATAATGTATGTTTTACCCTTTTTAACGGCAAACGTAAGTAGGTTGCTTGTAGTCTAAGCCCTACTTATTACTTACAAATAAATAAAACACTCACATATTTTAACAGCTATTACGAATTCACGAAAAATGTCGGCGACTTTTTAAACAAGCCTCCTATTTAACAACGCGTACTTGTTAAGAAGGAGGAATAACAGAACTGAAGAAGCGAAGTTTCTTTTTCATGTAGTTACTGGCCACCAGCCCGATTCTGATATTTACACCGGATAGACAATAGCACGGCTTACACGAATAGTGTTTCTATGTGTGACAATATCTTTAAGCTAGATGACCTGGCAAACATTTTTTTTACTATATGAATTTTTCGACAAAATTTGATTGACTTAAAAAAATGTTCTTGTGAGGTAATATTAAAAGATAGACAGTCACGAATAATTGTATAGATTATTCAAAGATGCATAATTTTCCCGTTTTTTTTTTCACATTTCTCACTATTTCTGAAGTTTAGGACTAGGCTTGATGTATTTTAGCCTAAAGCCCTTGAAATGATCCAACCGACATAAAAATGATTTTTCCATTGGAACCAGTTGTTCCTGAGATTAGCGCGTTCAAACAAAAAAACTCTTTAGTTTTTACTATAAGTATATATTGGAGTTCGTTACAGTAAATTTGACGGTTAAAATACCGTTAATGGATTGGCGTTACGATGGCCTATCGATGGCCCTCGACAGTAACTCACTGTGCGTGAATTAGCAGAATTGGGTCCCAGACACAACCTACGTGGTTACCTGACGGTGGTTCGTCACAATTACTATTCAGGCAACGTTTCTTCCTTTCTTCCCGCCAATGTCACTCGCATTGTTTGCCGGCACATAGCCGCTGCCACATCGAATAACAGTAAACTTACTAAGTGGACCCTGAAATTGGCATTGCCCTTGATTTTCTCGTACGTTCTTAACTGAGTCGGAGGTGTCATTACGAACCAATAAATATACCTTTTTTCCTTGGAGAATATACCTCATGTTTAAATAAAACACTTTAACGGTTTAAAACGCGATATATTAGTTAAACTTATTTGAAAATGATTTTTAACTTCGGCGCGACGTTTCGGATGCTTTGCAGCAGCCGCATTTAAATGTGTACTACTCGCGTAAACTATAGACAGTATACCTCTGTTGATAAATAAATATAATACTTTTAATTATTGAGAACTTTGATATTTTTCACATGTTATTGTACTATGTAAATTACAGTGCACACGGTCAATTGGTTAGAGCAAAAGCCCGGAACGCTGTGGATGCCGGTTCAAATCCTGCCCGTGCTGCGATTTTTTTTCAATCTATAATCGATTAAAATTTAATATTAATTGCTCAAAAATGCGAAATAAAAACATACGTTTCTTTAATTTTTGTAAAGTGTCTTATAAAAGTGTGTAAACTACGGGCAGTATTTAGTAGATATATTTTCTTGCTATACGAGTCTAAGGTTGTGTGACTAAGATGACTTGAGTAGACTGAAATTAGAATTCTGAATCTAATTTCGAAGCGTCATTCTCTTCAGCGTGTTGTATATTTTCGGATATATTATTAAAAAAGGTTTTATTTGATTATTTTTTTAAATTAATTTAAATTCTAGTCAACTTTTTAATCAACGGATATTCCTTATTCTAAACTTCGTTGGTGCCAATAGTTAAATACAAGTACGACATTGTAAATAAGTTCGTCGAACTAAGAGAAACATTGAAAATTGTCTCTTTTGTTTATATTTTAAAATGAACCGGTCCATGTTTACTTAAAACTAGGTGAGCTGAGTATCTTGCATATTTGCAGTGTACCTATCAAGGGTATCGTATCGTCCATCCCGTTTCAAGTTCAAGGCAAAACGTTGCCATTTATTAGGCGATTCGTCAACTTAGTGCCGACAAAAATGCTGGTCCATTTATCTATACAATAAATACCTAGGCAAGAGAGATCTCTCTAAAAACCTCTTATCATGATGGCTAACAACTAATTTATCAAATATACATAAATTAATTTGATGAAATAAGGATAGCATATTGAATCTAGGTAAATTCAATAGAATTAGGAAGTTGTGACATTGATTTATGTGCCGACATCAAAGATAGACATTGACAGCCGTTAACATTTGACCAAGGTTATTATTGCTCAGTGAAATTGATTCTCAGATATATGGGTACTCACGTACATTGAGTAATAACTCTATAATTAGTATCATAGAGTTAACGGGTGCGTTATCAGTAAACAGTTGAACGAGTTGAACTGTGGGGTCGAGTTGTGTGCGATTGAATCATGGCAGCTGTAAATAAGCAATTGTTTTTAAGTAAACAAGTCGTAACTGAGGAGAAGATTTTCGATGGTGGTGTGTTAGTTGATGAAAATGGAGTCATTGAGAAGTTAGTGAGTCGACGTCAAGCCCTTGAACTGATTGCTGTTTGTGGAGAAGAGATAAAAGTAAGAATATAGTTAGCACGTGATTTGAGCACGGCATTTAATCTACACTTATTGCTATAAGTATCGACACTTGTAAATAAAACACCTTTTAACTGTTTTAATCGTGACATATATTAGTTAACTTGTTTACTATTGATTTTAACTACGGCCCGTTTCTATATATACGTATGTGTAGTACTTCCAAAACTACAGTCAATAGTATGTACATTCATTGATAAACATAGACAGTCTTTTATATTAAAATTTCCTAACCTATCGATTTATATTTTAATGTATAACATACGCGTGTAGGCAGATATTTGCAGTATTATAAATCAAATCATATAAGTGATAAGTGGGTAGTAATCGCATTGTAAACAAAAATGGTTTACATAGCAACAAAATTAAAAATCAACATGGAACGATGGGTTTGATAAGATTATTTTACTTTCAAATGCTTTCAAGCATTTATTTATACCTAGAAAGTATAATAGTAGTATAAGGTGCCCATCTATAAATATCTACTTACATTTTGTATTCACAAGCCGCGAAAAATATATGTATTCGTAAAGCAATTTATTATCAAAACCTGTTTAGTTTTGTAAATTATTATATTAAACCATCGGATGATACAAGAGATAAAACCCCACTTTGAATTAAATTTAACAAATTAGTTTATCTAAATCCTAAATAACATAAAAAATCAATAAAAGAATATGATATTGATAGTACCTTTTCAAGAATTAGGACGCATTTAATTACCTTAAGCTTTTAAACTCTTAAAATATTTTTAAACTAATCTTAATATCTTACGATTGGGCAATATTGATAAGTTTACGAAATCGTCATAACGATTTCTTGTTAGCTTTTTCATTACTATATTTATGAATACTTTCTTTATGGATTCAGACTATTTTATAATTTAGGTCATTCACAATTTATCGCAATACTTGACCAACAGCAACTTCTACAGATAGATTATAGATAAAATTGTCTCTTGGTCGAGTTACCTACAAAGCTGGGAAATGTATTAACGCCGGTATAAAATGTATGTTTGTTCTCTCAATTTGTGTATTTAGTACTCTTTGTTCTTAAACTATATTACTTATCAAAGTGCATGTAACCATTTCATTGAAAACTCAAAATATTTTTACACGATGGCATTATATAAATTAAAAATTGATTATAGATTGAAAAAACAAAACAAACTTGCTCTAACCACGCACACTGTAGCAACAGCACTGAACGCTGATGATGCCGGTTCTAAGTCCCGCCCGAGTCGTTATTATTTGAATTCATAATCGATTATTAATTAATATTGAGGATGATAGTAATAAAAAATGTGGTTTGGTCGCGTAATATAAAAGACTAAAAAAGATATGAACTACGCCAAGTTGTTGCATTAAAATAAATGAAAAAACAGGAGTTAATTCTTAATACGATATTACCTTTAGCGTTTAAATTCATGCCTAAATACTAAAGCATTTGTGTCTTATATACATATATGTAAATAATCATTTGTCCTTGATCTTATTTTAGTCATAAAGTTTTTAATATCTTCCTAATGCACATAATGCCCGATGCACACACGAATATCAAAAGTTGATGGATGTTTTTAAGTAAATGTTAATCCTTCATACAATAAACTGCAATAAATAATTTCATTCGCGATTTATGATATAATTATGTTGTTTCGAAGTTTGGATCTTATAGCTTTTTTGTTGTCACAAGCGGATATGTGTCAGCCTGATCCGAATCTTTTATCGTTAATGTACACTTTAAATTTCAAACAGGTCATAGATGGAGGTGATCTGGCAATGTTGCCAGGAGTGGTGGACTCTCACGTCCATGTCAATGAGCCCGGGAGAACAGCGTGGGAAGGCTTCCGCACAGCAACCAATGCAGCTGCAGCCGGTGGTATCACCACGATAGTAGATATGCCCCTGTAATCTATACTTATATACCTTTATATAGAGCTGAAGAGTTTGTTTGTTTGAACGCGCTAATGTCAGGAATTACTGGTAGGAATCCAAACATTTTTTTTTTTTGGAAGATGATTAACCTTTTTGGGTTTCCGTTGCGTACGCTGCGAAAACGGTTTAAGATACCCATATGTATGAAAGAATGATTCCTCTTTGAATGAATTAAAAAGATCTTTGAATCTTCCTTGCAAGAACGACAAAACGCGACCGACATCGTGGGCAACAGCTTAAATCTATAAATATGAAGAGGTGGCTTGTAAAAATCAAATTTTGATGCACAAAATATCTAATCTACGCAGATGAAGTCGCTAACATAGCTAGTTACTAATTATAGTTGTGTTATATTTTATATTTGTAATTCGGACCTCGAAACCAAAGGTAGTTGAAGGGGATGGCGGGGTAGTCAGCCCGTCAAAGCATTAGGTATGGTTTCTAGTTCTACTTGCATCATTGATTTTATCATGTTTTAAATTTATTATACCAATGGTTTCCTTATTAGTTTATTTATAATATTTTCTTCCACTGAAGAGCATATAAGTCCAATGTTTGTGATTTATATTTGGGTTTATATCTTTTCTCGCGATTTCTGCAAAAGAACACACTTAAATATTTTAATAACATGACATTCGTTTTACGATCAACAAATGATATTATCTCAACGTGCATTAAAAGTATTTACTCAGAGATCGATCATGTCAGATTTCAATCCAATTTTGTCTAGCATTTGGCTAGATCATTTCCTAGTACGTTAAGTGGTTTATTAGAATATGTATTTATGACTTGTCGAAACCACTATGCACCTATTCGAAAAATAGTCCTTTCAATTTCAACTACATAGGTCTTATTTAAAATTTTGAATTGTCTTCCTAATTTAAAGACAACTACTTACTAAATCTTCAAGTTTTTCTCTGTGGCCATAGATAGGGTATCTGTGGATCTACATATTTCAGTATCTCTTTTACTACAGGGTTAAAATTTATCATACTTCTGAATCTTGCGCGAACATTTTTTTTTTCCGGGATTGGAACCGTCCCTGGGACCATCCTCTACTTTTCTTATCAATACAAATTTTACCCATCTGTCTAAAAAAGGAAATGAAATATCTCACAATAAGAGAACAAGCTAATTAAATACTTACAGAAACTCAATTCCGCCAACAACAACTTTGGAAAACCTTAAAATAAAAGCAACATCAGCTAAAGACAATGTTTACGTGGATGTCGGGTTTTGGGGTGGAGTGATCGTTGGAAACCAGGTAAGTAATATGTCATGTCGATCCACGGTAAAAATAGGAAAATCAGACACAATAAAAAAGGTATACTAATAATGAGGAGCTCAGAAAAATTTAATAAAACCATCGATCAATAAATCATACAATAATTTACAGTCTTCCTAAGCCACTAAAATCGTTATATTCAAATGTAAGGACGAAGGATGCTATTACCATTTACTTCTTTTTTTAAATAACATTAAAATTCATGTCCATCGTAACAAAGGTCCTTCGATCATTATCGTAATTATATACACAACACTTTTAGCAGATATTAATTCTCTAAAATCGATGCGATTACAGATTTATTTAGTTACCCTTTTTAGTTCAATCGAGTTTTGCTACATAAGTTATAAGGCCAAGGTATATTTTTTTTGTTAGAGGAGGACAAACAAGCACAAGGTTCATTTGATAGAAGGTGATGAATATTCAGAAATCTACATTTTGAAACCGAAAAGCAATTAAACTTCACGCCTTTCATATGGGGACGCTGTTTGGTGACCCGGACGGAAATTAGATATTCCTACCACCAATTTTATGTACGGTTTTTCGGACAAAATCCAACATGTTTCAGAAAAATTATAAATTGTTTAGAAACAGGTAAGACCCGGTGAGGATCGAACCCAAGACCCGTTGAGTATTAGCAATTTACATCTACCATTACACCAACGAGTTCGTCAACATATACAGATAGATGTAGACGCAATTTGTAATGTAACCTAAGGCTCATACTAGTCAATATGTTATTATTTCTACGAAGGTAGGCTTATCTTTTTAGATACAGACAGTTTTAAAGTACAACAATTTCAGGACTCACTACAAGATCTCGTGAATGCAGGCGTAGTTGGTTTCAAATGCTTCCTTTGTCCAAGTGGTGTAGACGAATTCCCTAACGTGGGAGTCGAAGATTTGAAACTCGCTTTTAAAGCACTTGAAGGAACGGGATCGGTTCTGGCGGTATGTCTATTATGAACTTTTTAGGGTGATCATTTTGGTGCCAAATGATTTGCACTATATACCTCCTTAGGGACACATCCCACAGAAACCGGAATACTTTCCCCAGAATAGTTATTGTAGTAAAAAAACCAGCTAATACGCTAAGAGATAAGGAGGATAATACTATATAACCGTGCTTCCACTTTTATTGTAGTCCAAATTAATTATAAATCTAGTTATTAGTTTGCGTAGTATAATTAATATTGGTATCTATGATTGTTATCATAATTTCAGTTCCATGCTGAGCTTGAAGACGATGTACCGAGTCTGCCGAAAAAGCAAGCGCAAGGTATAATAACAGGTTTTATTCGTATTGAGAATTCACATAAGAAATTATGTCATTCATATCCTAATACTGTTGATATTTTAGACCCAGAAGACTATAATACCTATTTAGAATCACGGCCACCAAAAATGGAGCTGAACGCGATAACACTTATAAATACCTTCGTGAAGGCTTCCGAGTGAGTTTATCTTATGTTTGAGTAGAATATTAGATGTAGTGTTTAAGAAAAAAAATCTAGCTTATTAGTTATTTCGTATAAATGTTTATTAATTTAATTTGAAAGATGTATTGACAGTCTCCGTTGCTCTAGTCTGATCAGTTTACCAAGAATTGTAGGCCCTTTGATTGCTTAGAATTCTCGGCCCTCCGCGTTTAATGCCATTGCATTCTAGTCGGAGATTCGAAACTCAGGAAAACAGGTTAAATAGAGACATACGTCTAAAACTACTTGCTTGTAAACCGAGCAGTGACACAAACTCAGAAATGTGTCTAACTCGATGTTTAGGTAAGAGAGGATGTCACTTTGTATGTACGTAGTATTAATGAACATCTTACTTACTTTTGTGAATTTAAATGAGGGTAAATTAAAATCGCAAAATTAAAACATAGTATAATTAAATATATTTACTTCAGTAATATGTAGAACCGTATTAATTCCAGTGTTCGAGTTCACATAGTACATGTATCATCGGCGGAGGTGGTACCACTTTTGGTAAAGGCTCGCAAGGAGCGGCTAGCAGGCGGCAACACTGCTTGGCGAGGTGGTGTCACAGCTGAAACCTGCCACCATTACTTATCCTTGAGTGCGGAAGAAATACCAAAAGGCCACAGCGAATACAAGTGTGCTCCACCAATAAGAGAAAAGAACAATCGGGTAATATATATATTATTTACTTCTAATTATAGTGATAAAAATAAATATGTGCATTATACTATTTGGCATAACGACTGACTATCTTAAAAATCAACATAAGTCTAAACTGTTTATTGCTTCTGATAAAGCAAGAAAATAAATTGAAAAAAATTTCGACTCGGGTAGGACTTGAACCGGCAGCCGCGCTATTGCTCTGGAGCAACAGCACGGAACGCTGACGATGCCAATTTTTAAATTATATTAGAACTTTTTTTTATTTATTTTATCTACGACCGGACGTTTCAGATGCTTTGCAGGAGCCGTGGTGCCGCTAGCAACGGCTGCTGTAATATAAAAGTGTTTTATTCAATAGAGTATACCTAACCTGTAGGGGTAACAGGAGTATAAAATAAATGGGAGGACATAATTCCAATATTACGTTTCTTATTTTATTAAATTTTCCTCTAAGTTAGGGATGACGCTGAAAACGATATTTACGATAAATATTAATAGATTTTTATCCCCACAGGAGCAGCTCTGGGATCACTTATTAAAAGACGAGCTCGATATGGTGGTTTCAGATCATTCACCTTGTACCCCGGAGCTTAAATGCAAAAATACATTAGACGCATGGGGTGGTATATCGTCTGTACAATTTGGTATGTATAAAATACATTACACGCCTGCATATTATACAGAGCAATATTGTAACTAGGCATATAAAGCTGGTAAATTGAATCTGGGGCGTGACTCTGGTCCCTTTAGGAATCACAACATATTATTTTGTATGAGCAAAGATAGAGATGGACTTACCCGCCTAGCCGTTTTCTAAAATTAAAAAAGCCGTAAAATGTATTCAAAGAAATAGGTGTAATATGTCATCAATTACTTTATTTTTCAGGTCTATCCCTTTTCTGGACGCAAGCTTACAGTCGTAAATTAGACATGAGGGCGATAGCAAAATATTTATGTAGTGGTCCAGCATATCTTTGTGGTCTTCATAAACGAAAAGGCGCTTTAAAGCCTGGATGCGATGCTGACATTGTATTTTTTGCCCCTGATGAAATATATGAAGTTTCCTCTAACATCGTTAGACATAAAAATAAGGTAAATAGGATTAGGAGGATATGATGTAAAAATTGTTCAAACTTGGTACAACATTAGCATGACCTCAAATCCAATGTTTTTTTAAAATTTTTGCAACATTTTAATTTTAAACAGAATTTCAATTTATTCTCAGAGTTTTTTTTGTTCCAGCTTACACCCTATATAGGAAGAAAACTTAGAGGAGTTGTAAAGAAAACCTTCTTACGTGGTCAACTAATTTTCGCTGATGGCAACATTGAGGGAGAACCAAAAGGAACATTACTTTTAAACAATTTGAACAACTAGTTTAATGTATAAAGAAAACACCTTAGCGGGAAATAAACGCTTTTATTTTACGTTTACTCTTCTATGTATCCTAACCTCAACACCAGGAAAGTCCTCTTCACTCATAAGCTCAAGTCATAGTGCAAGATTTCCCAAAAATACGTCTGTTACTTTGAACGTAATTTGCGACACACTCAGACTAGTATAATCCCAGGTTTTAACATCTAATTAGTCTGTTTGATAAAAAATATCAAATTTTCCAAGCATGCGTTTATGGCATATCGTAATAATGTTTAAATAAATTTAAGCCACGTAATTAACTAATTAGGAATGACCGAATTAACAGAATTGCTATTTGCTTATAACCAATAGGCTTAGCAAATTTACTCTACGTTTGGAATATGCAGTATTTTTCATCGGAATATTATAATTTAAAGGCAAACTAGTTTTTTTTCAAGCCCAATTGATTTGAAGCAAACAAAAATACTTTATTGATACCACAATTTTACAAAATTAAAACTTAATTTAAAAAATCCTAAATGTAGCGAGAAAGGCACCCCGCCTTATCGCTAAAAATCGATTTGTTCCAGGCAACCTTGAAGATGGTATAAGATATTGAATTATTCGTTGTAAAACGTCTTTTTGTCCATAATTAAAATTTTACATAATTAAACTTATTTCTTACCTTCCAAATCTATTGAAAAAAAGTATAAGTTATTATCTATACTTTTTTAGCTTTTTATTGACTGAAAATGAACTCCTGTGGTCATTTTCATACACCCAAAATTAAATAAACTATTGTCTATGTACAAAAAGAAGTGAGATGTTTCCTTATTGCTTTAATAATTCTTAGTCTATATTATACTAAACTAATATCTCAGGACATACAACAGTTGCAGTTAACAATAAGATGAATCAAAATGTATAGGTATTTTAATCTTGCTGATAAGGGCGGCATTAGATAAATAGTTATCGGATAAGAACTATTGAGAAAATAATAGATTACATAAGCGAAACTGGAAAGATATGAAAACGGATGTTGGTTTTTTTACACCCATTTCTACATACTTAGATTTTTACTCGAATTCAGTTTAAATACTGTATGTAGTTTACGTGAGTAGTACCTACATTTAAATAAAACATTTTAACGGTTTAAAACGCGATTTATCTCCCCGAGACCACGGCTGCTGCAAAGCATCCGAAACGTCGGGCCGTAGTTAAAATAATCGAATAAGTTTAACTAATATACATCGTGTTTTAAACCGTTAAAGTGTTTTATTTAACGATTTCAGTTTGATTTATATATCTCTAATTATTTATAGACTCGTATAATATTGATATAGATCATGTTTTTCTAATTGATATAAATTATTACAAAAATTATAATTGCACAATAGACAATTTAACTAATTACTCTTACCCCAGCCTCCCCTTTATTACAGGTATACGTTGGAGACAAACATGTCGACATGGAAATAATATTTGAAATGAATAGACAAATATACTTAAATCAGTTATATCTACGGCAAAACTACAGATAAATAGGGCTGTCGTTTCACAGCGTGAAAAGTCTTCAGTAGCGCTCAGGACGCAGATGTATAGGAACGTCAGTATTTAAAATGTTGCTGAAATATACTTCTATTTTATTATTAGGTAAAATTCCTTTAAATTTGCTTTCTTCATATTTAAAAGCATAAATAAACTAGTAATTTAGTGATCTGTTACAAATTTTAAGGCGTGCTTGTGAGTGTTACCAGCCGAGGTTTAAAACCGAATAAATTGGGAAGGCAGTTATTCCTCAGCAGAAGGGTTGTTACCGAATCTGGTGAATTCGATGGTGGTGTGTTGGTAGACAAAAATGGGGTTATAGAAAGCATTTTAACCCGAGAGTCCGTTGATGCACTGCTTCTAAGTGGTGATTCGTCGTTAAAGGTATTATATAAATCACTACTTAAAGTTGAAGTGAAATCCCGTCTTCCCCCCCTGGGTATAAGGCAAACATATTTCTGTGTCTATTTCACTGATTTGTTACTTGAAGTAGACGGTAGTTAAAAAATAAATAATACACATAAACATTACTTGAGGGATATCAAAGTAGCCAGTGTCCTTTATTATCAACAGCTACCTTATTTAATGCAATCGGAAGATGTTTTATCACTAAAGTAATACAAATGAAACAGTTTCAATTTTTTTTAATGCAGGTTTTTGATGGAGGTAGATTAGCTTTAATGGCGGGAGCTGTTGATTCCCATGTCCACGTCAACGAACCAGGACGTACGTCATGGGAGGGATTCGTTACAGCAACACAAGCGGCTGCCGTAGGTGGCTTTACCACAATTGTCGATATGCCATTGTATGTTGCACAAATTTAATTGTATCGTCAATATATTTATTACGTCATTATTCAAATTTATTGTCCACTGCTAAAAATACTGGAAATTGTAGAATTATTATTTGATTCTAGGAATTCGATTCCGCCCACAACGTCACTCGAAAACTTAAAAGTCAAGGCGAAAGCTGCTAAGGAAGAAGTATTCGTAGATGTTGGCTTTTGGGGTGGTGCTATTCCCGACAATGAGGTGCGTAGACTACCAATCTATACTATTTTAAAACAAAAGAAATAAAATGGTAATATATAAAAAATATCTAAACGTCAATTTATTAGGAAAATCAATTAGGAAATCGATTAAGTAACAGATCGTTTTAAACGTCAACCAAGAACTTAGCTAAATTGGGGGCAACATCTGTGTGTTTTGTGTCATTGAATTTGGTAAAATTCACATTTACTTAAGGATTTTGCATTCGCTGCAAGTAAGAACATAAATACGTCTTTGGATTGGTAATTTGAATTATTCGTACGATTTTAATAATTCCAAAGTATATGAGAATGCCAAAAGTTACTTTTCCATATGTTATTATATGTATTGTCTTGTCCAATTACTGACGGATTAATACATCGCCCAAACATGTCGTTTCTACACTGGTCAAAACTTGGAGGACATGTCCAGTATATAAATACCAGGGAGACATCATCATCAAGTAGTAGAATTATAAGCCTCGCCTGGCACGAATATTGTATTGTCCCCTTGAGATTCGAACTTAAGACTACACGCAATGCATTTCACCATTTTGCCACGGCGGTAATTGCGTAGCAGCCTAGAGTAACGGATTTCAATTAATGTGTTAGTATCTTTTCAGGCTGAATACCCACTAATGATAAAAGCTGGCGTAGTAGGTTTTAAGGGATTCCTGGTAGATAGTGGAGTACCTGAATTTCCTAACCTCCAGATCGACGACCTAGACAAAGTATTCGCCGCGTTCAATGGAACCAATACTGTGTTAGCGGTGAGTTTAATTTAATTTATTAAAAATACATTCTTATCCATCTTAATTACCATAACAAAAGAGGCTTTGTCTGTATGTTGACCTTAGAATATAATTGTTGTCTTTTTCAGTTTCATTCAGAACTAAACGACTCTAATTATAGAAATGATTGTGATGGCAGCTCCTTTTGTACGGGTAAGGCTAGGACTTAAGTGATAAAAAAAATGAATTATATAACTACTGAACATACATAGCTTTGAAGTAAAAGCGTATTCAGACGAGTATCTTTGGTGTCTTTAAAAACACATGTGAACGCTCCATAATTGCTTAAATGTATTAACTACCAGGTGGATCCTAGATAATATGATAATCAATCTACATTTTCAGACCCATATCTCTATGATACCTATCTTGCAACACGACCTGCACAAATGGAGCTCGACGCCTTTTCGTTACTTGCCAACTATATAGAAAAATACGAGTAAGTCACAATTATTTCCCTTATTGTATACCCAAGTTAATATATAGTCTTATATATATACATATATATAATACTACTATGAATGTAGATTATAAGAGAGAATAAATATTAAAAATGCCATGTATTGTTGAGATGGTATTCAATTGAATTAGTAGTATAGCTAGCTAGTATCCTACTTACCTACATTACTAAATGAATTGATTACGTGGAAATCTAAATTAAAAATCGTTTATTCGACGATGACGTCTAGGGCTTGGTAGCTTAATTGGTTAGAGCAAGAGCACGGAACGCTCAGGATGCCGGTTCAGGGCCTGCACGAGTCGTATATTTTATACTCGATTGTTAATTTATATAGTGCATACATGTAAATAAAATATTAAAGTTTTCATAGGTGGAAATCTTTTGAGGATAGTACGATTTTTTTCCTTAAAAATCGAAAATATTAAATTGCTAAAGAAACCATACAAATAAATACAAAATTATTATTTTTTATTACCGTATCCACCGTTTGTTCAGCTGGTGCAAACTTAGTACTTGATCTGTTAGTTACGAATAGGTCCTACTTCCCAAACGTAAAATATATAGGTACGTCCGCGTGGAATAGTTAATTTGGACATTATAATCAATTTTTGCAAACCTCATCTTTGTAAATTATAGCTATTACCGTAAACGTCGTTCGCGTCCCGTTCCTGCAAGTTGATCTTTAGAGATAGACATATGTTGTCGCAGATTTTTTAAAGATGAATTAAGAGGAATCATTCTATCATACAAATTATATTGCCGCGCTCAAACAAGCGCACTCTTCATCTTATAATATGTATAGATATTCTAGATTACACTTTCAGAGATAAATTACTTCTGATGTATATTAGTAATGTTTTGTTCAGTGTTCACGTCCACATAGTTCACGTATCAGCTGAAGGTGTTGTGCCGATTCTTGAGAGAGCCAGAGAAAAAAGAATATCAGCTGGTAACAAGCGTTGGCGGGGCGGCGTCACAGCAGAAACCTGCCACCATTATCTCACCCTTACCGCAGAGCAGATTGCACCTGGACATACGGAGTTTAAATGTTCGCCACCAATCCGGAATCAAAGTAATAAGGTCATTATTTACAAAGTAAATATTCTAAGCAATGATAGAAAAAGTGTTTCTCATTAACCATTTCTCAATCCAACATTCTAAGGTATTAATCAGTTATTATTAGTCAATACGCATTGTTAGTTGATGTTAAAAATGTAGCCTTGTTTTATCAAAAAGTCGCAATTAATTTGCTAATTGCAAACCTGCTTACGCGATAATATTCAGTAATTACCGTATAATATTACCGCTATCGTCAAATAAAGAGGTAAAGATAAAAAAAGGGTGCATATCTTATTATTGAATATAAAGGCACTTGGGTATTGCTGTTAAGAGATTGTTTGTCTGTTCGTAGGACAAACTGTGGCAGTATATAAAAGAACATAGATTGGACCTGATCGCATCTGACCATTCGCCATCAGTGCCGGAATTAAAAGGCGCAGACTTTTTAACTGCTTGGGGTGGTGTGTCATCAGTACAATTTGGTAAATTTAACTGGCTAGAAATAAATTTACACATTCAGACAAAAAGTAAACCATTTTATTAAAAATGTTGTATTTCATATTTCGTATGAACATTACATTACGTTGCGATCACTTAAACCTCTTCATAGACCGTATGGATTTTAATATAAATGTAGTAAGTGTTTGTTTGTAACATTAAAGATAAACTAATTTTATTTTAATTTACAAGAATTCCCACATATTAGGTACACCAAAACCTCGTAGATAGCCTTTCAGTATTTTTCACAACTATTCCCAAACATTATTGTTGTCTATTACAGGTGTCTCCCTCTTTTGGACAGAAGCCAAAGCCCGAGGCTATACACTTAGCACCGTGAGCCGGTTTCTATCATCAGGCCCGGCTATGTTAACAGGTCTGCAAAATAAGGGCACGCTAAAGCCGGGCTATGACGCTGACATGATATATTTCGATCCAGAAGCTTCTTTTGTCTTGACACCTGACATAATTATGTATAAAAATAAGGTAATATTTGCTATTTTTTAATAGATATGCAGTATATAGTAACTAGAAAATATATGATAACATCAATTATTATGATTTTATAGATTAGCCCCTACATGTATAGAGTACTGCAAGGAAAAGTTGTACACACCTTCTTGAGAGGACAGCTGATAGCTTCTGAAGGTGAATTGTTTAATGGACCACAGGGGGAGTTGCTAATTAACGAAGAACTATTTTAGAAGAATCGAAAATTTTTACAACAAACTTATTAGTACAATTAAAAATAAATACGTAGTTGTTTTTTTTTGTGTTTAAATCGACAATACGACTTAATGAAAGAGTAAAAAAATCTAGGTATATAGTGAAATGAAAGATAAGCTGAATAATGTAGTATATTAGGGATACTTCCATTCCTTACTTCCATTTATGGAAGACCTAGAGATTTCTTAGCTATGATCTTTTCGTTTTTGTTAACAATATGCTTCCAAAGGTCTTTCTTTAAGTGAACTCTAGTTGATACCTTATCGGACTTAAAAATTTAAATGCCTGTCAAATTACAACATACTCAGTATAACTTGGTATATTTTTGAATTTAATGGCCTGGTAACAAACCTTTAAGCCAACTTGGTGAATTAGTAAACAAAAACTACCTTATTTGTTTATGTTCAATCATATAGTAGATTCTTCGGCGATTGGCCGAAATGCAAAACAAAAATAATAGGCCACTACATATTTTGTCACTCTATATAACAAGAACCCGTTTAAAGAGTGACAAAATTTTGTATATGTATTTATAAAATCGTATTTTCCATAAATCTTATTGACTTTCCCACGTACACATGATATTTCGAAAATTATTTAAATATGTGTAAGTTTGCAATTATGAATAAGAACGAAGAATAAAGTAGGAATTACTTGGAGTAATAATATTATATATTTTGGTTATACATTATAACCTAAATAAAACGATCTTAATTGCAACGTATTCATTTAATACGCATACGCAGCGCACGTCGAGAAAATTTGAAGGATTTCGTATTTATTAAAATATTCAATTTCTACATTTAATTATAACAAAATATGTATATTTTCAAATTCAAATAAAATTGGAATATTTCATTCTCATATATATTCTGTGGTCAACTTTAATTATTATCTATGGCCGCAGAACTCGTTTTGCCGGTGACAGAACGAAAAATCCGTTACGATTTAATTTTGTAGTTTATATATATTTTTTAAATTATTAACTTGAACTTCAAAATCATTCCTATTAAATTGACTTAATATAATTATAAACACAAAGCTCTAACACTCACAGAAATGCAATCAACAATCGAGGGATACTAAGCATCACAAAAAACTGAATCAAAAGATACATTACTTTCGTTATACCGAAAAGGTTGGTACAAGTTTGTCAAGTGACTTGACAGCAAGTAGAAGATAACCTATTTTTTTCATATTGTATTTTATGTTTACCTTGTGATATTATGTTTAAAATATCTAATGAACTAGATGCCGAGCATAACTAGTAACGACGGAATAAGGAAACCTGATAATAGCAAAATGCAGCTTGAGTGTTTAGAACTAGCAGGGTGCTCTCTTGACCGGTATATTACTTGTGACAATTCCCGCCCTTCGTTTTTAGAGGTTTGTTTTCCGTTCTAATTGTATGTATTGTGAAAAAATATATGTATAATGACCTACGATAAATGATCGCTTCTATTTTAGATAACTGGTATAGCAGCACAAGGAACGCCAACATGCAGTGGTCTCAATACTGGCGATTACAGAAATCTTGCAGCATTGCTCAATCATTCTACTTTATCGCAATTAAAGATCCTTAATAAAGTTCCACTTCCACCTGAAATAATGGAACACTTTGCTCGTATCCTTTTACAATTACTGTTTCATACTGAAACCTTAATAAGTTACATGTTTTAGGATGCCTGGAGGTACTCAAAGTAACTTTGTTTAAAATTGTTTTCATATATTTAGGTTATTTGTTTCCTTAAATAGCAAACAGATATGCAATGCCACTGTTTAATGGGTGTCTTTCCAGAAATAAGTAGGGTATGGCTAGCAATAGATAGTAATATTTATGTGTGGGCATTTGAACATGGAAGTGACGTTGCATATTTTGATGGGTTGGGTGAAACAATAGTCAGCGTGGGATTAGTTAAGCCAAAATCAGGTGTTTTCCAGAGCTTTGTCAAGTACCTTCTAGTGTTAACCACAACAGTTGAAATTGTTGTTTTAGGTAAGCAATGTTAATTTAATAAATGAAAAGTGTATTTTCATTAGTATTAAAAGTCATAAAATCAGATTTGGCAGATTTTCTCCATGTATTCTCCGTCATTCCGTATTCGTAGTCTTCCGATTCCGTAAATTAACAATTCATATCCAATGAGAACCAATAAATTTTATAGCTATAAAGAATTTCTGTTATATTGTGTGTATATTTTTATATAATATTGTGATATAAAGTACGCTATATATTATACTACATATTTGAAAATATGAAAATGAATTTAATTTTTTAGGTGTCACCTTTTCAAGTAGTAAACAAGATGGATTATCTGAATTGGAAGAAATACATTTAGTTCCTGAACCAGTTTTTGTTTTACCAACTGATGGAATTTCAATGTTATGTGTAAAATCAACTAGTAAAGGTAGAATTTTTATGGGTGGAAAAGACGGTTGCTTATATGAAATTACTTATCAGGTAATTTTCTGTTAAAAAAAAATATCAATATAACATTTATATAATTAAAGTTTTAAAAACTGATTTTACCTTTACAGGCACAACTAGGGTGGTTTGGAAAGCATTGTAAAAAAATAAACCATTCAACCAGTGCGCTTTCATTTCTGGTGCCGTCATTCTTAAATGCTGCATTGTATGATGAAGATGCTATTGTTAAAATTGAAGTTGATAATTCCCGACACATATTGTATACACTTAGTGAGAAGGGATGTATAGAGGTTTTTGATCTTGGTGAAGATGGAGAAGGCATAAGTAAAGTTACAAGATTCACACAAAACAGAATTGTTTCTACAGCGTTAGACATAGTAAAGTGAGTTAATTTTATATCTTTATTTTTGTAAGCATATCCATAGAGAAAAATGTAAACATATTTCTAAAACACTGGTCTATGTGTCTATTTCATTGGTTGATTCACTGAACCATGTAAATTAAAAATCTATTTTAGACTCGGGCATGACTTACAGTTACCACAGGGTTCCGAGCTGTTGCTCTAATTAATTTAGCTACCATGTTCTATTGTATATATTTTTAAAATATTTACATTGTTTCATAAAAAAAAAAACAAATGTAATCTTTAAGAGGACTTCCATACAACTTAGAAGCTGTAGGATTATTTTTATCACATTGTTTCATAACCCACTTATAACTATAACTACTATCAATATTTCAGAACAGTAGAAGCAAATAATTTTAAACCTGTCATTGCTATATCAGCTGTGGAGGAATCAGAATCGGAACATTTAAATTTTGTGGCCATAACGCAAACTGGTGCTAGATTATACTTCAGCACTGGTTGCAGAGAGTAAGTATCTTGTTGTTTTATATTACTGTTATAGGGAATTGTTTTTCTCTATTTTTCTGGTATGTTTAAGTGTAAATCAAGGAGGATCAGCCAGACCACAGGACCTTATTTTGCTTCATGTGAGACTTCCACCTGGATTCACACCAAACGCATCAGTGCTTAAACCAAGACAAGTACATAATGCTGTTTATGATAATGGTAAGTATATTTCTATTTTGTATATGGTTTCCATATACTAAAAATATGTAAATTTACAATTCTCATACCTTTACCAATTTTTTGTTTGTAATAGTAAAAAACGATTATTTTTTTGGAGAAATAGCTTACGGAGACAATTCTTCATGTGTATAATGTATTTCCTTTGTTTCTATTGATTATTATTTTTGTTTTTTGCAGGTACCCTTGTAATGGTGTGTTCTACTGGCGGTGGTGATGCAGAAACCCTATGGTGTATGTCTAGAGCATTGGGTGGTGTTGCCTTTAGTGAGGCACACTCTCTTTTGCCACTTGATGGACCAGTTTGGGCACTGACTGCATTGCCCATGATTCAAGCGGCACATCTTTCACCAGCATTACTAGCTAAAAAAGGTAAATGTAAACATAATTCAATCTATACTTTTGGTAGTTACACTTGATTTTGAGCAATGTTTTAGGAAGTTAGCAGATATTCCACTGAACAACAGTTTCATTTTTTGGTTTTCTCCATATAATAATACCATCAAAAACTTATTGTTTAACAATATCATATATCATTCATTACCTTCTAAATTCAGTCTAATGTGGTAGTGAGGAATCAGCCATCTGTTTTACTGATCTCTTCCATATTTAAATTTAAACCTTGCCATCAATTGCATAGTAGCTAACAATGTCATGTTTCAGACCCATGGTCAGGTTCCCGTTGGGCGGTAGTGAGTGCGTGGGGCGCAGCGCTCATAAGCGCGGGTGCTCCGCCCGACTTACTTCGCGCCTTATTGAGGGATTATCGGGGTCCAGATGCTCAAGCTGTTAAGGATTTATTTCAGGTGAGATCATTAAATTATTATTGCTAGTTAAACAACTGTTATTAATTTTTTCTACAATTAAAATTTAAAGCCATACTTTGCTTTGTTATCGGAAACATTGTAACTTGTAGTATGGACTTATTGTATGACATAACCAATCGAGGGAAGGGTCTTCCGAATTTTAAATATTCTACCCTAAAAGAGCTACTACTTACTATTATTATCATATAGAATTAATTTATTATTTCATCTTTTCATCATCCAGTTGCAAGGCTACGACCAAGCTTGCGCTTGCGCATTGTACTTAGCGTGTGAAGAGGCAGCATCTGGGGATCTATCTATCAGCGAATGGGCGTCGCGTGCGTTTTTCATCTACGGAAGTCAACCTACGCCCGCTGCATTGAACCAGCACCAAATTTCACATGTACCTTCTAGCATAGGTAATAAAGGAAACGATATCTGATATTATTATTATCGTTTGCTTTTATTTATTTAAAACTTGGAGAAGTATTAACTAGCATTTTTTAAAACATTTGGCACAACTACAGGTTCTCCAAAATTTTCACCTCGCCAAGTATCAACTCCGATGTCAAGACCACAAGATCATATCAGAGCTGGACAGATTAATCAGTCATATCAGCAAATGCAGTTAAACCAATCCCTCACTGGAAATCAAACTATGAGGCCACAGTCACCATATCATCAGAATAACATGATGAGTCCGACTCCGTTCAATCAGTCTTCGTTTATGGGCAATGTGAGCCAGCAAAGAGATAATTATCCAATGCAAGTTGAATATAGTGCGAAACATAATGGCCTCTATATTTACGTAGGAAGGATTTTAGCGCCTATATGGAACTTAAAGTGTGTCACTAAGTCACTAACGCCAGATAAAAAGGAGTTTGTAAGTATTCAATATTTTGTTTTATTGATCTCTTCTCTAAACCCATTGGAATTATTATTCAATTGTATGTATTATACAATCTAATTTGGTTATGTATTAGAAGTACCAGACTCCAGTCTTGCGAATGTCTAATGTATGAATTCCAATATCGACTCACTTCATTATGATGTCAACTAATATGCACATTTGTTTAAAAAATTAGGAAGATGGATATTAATATAACAACTATACATATATGCTATGGAATAAAAACCTCGGATATATTTTACAGATGTCAAGCAAAGTTACAGGCGAAGATTGTGCGTTCATAGTAAAGAAACTACAGCGGGTCGCCTCGTTCATGCAACGGGTAGTTGCGCCCCCTCACTCGGAAGAGCAAAGTTCCATTCATGCGCTGAAAATATTTATCAGTTAGTATCTCTACTAGAATTAAGGCAAAACCAACATAACAATATGAATATTTTTATGAAATTTCTTATTTTTATATTAATTATTATATTAATTTATTTATGTATTTTCTCTAACTCATTTATGTATGTACTTTTTTCACTTTGCAGCAATGGCCATAGAAATGTTGAGCTTGTGGAAGGTTTTGTGCGAGCATCAGTTCCACGTAATAGCAGCGAGTCTTCCACCTGAACAACAACAACCATTACAAGCAGCCAGTTTTCGGTAAGTCTTTATTTAAATTTTAAAACAAGAAGCACAGAAATATTGAGTAAAAATATTTATAAATCAGAATATTTTCATATGTAAACTTAAGTTATGAAGTAAGAATTATAGAGAAAATAACAGGGAAAATGAAAAAAATCACTATTAAAATCTATTTAAAAGTGTAATTAAAGTGAAGTGGCATCCATAGCGACATCGAGTCTTAATCATAATCATTTAAATTCTACAATCCATTGATACTCACGCAATGTAATGTCAAGCTTAATACATACGTTCAATATAAATAGATATTAATTTATATGATGCCATCATATTATATATTTTAAATTCAAACAATTATATCTTCAGGGAACTACTTGTGGGCGGACAAGAAGTCGCGTGTTTACTCTTAGGTTCGCTAGTAGCTGGCTACTTGCGAGATAACGCGTCTGTGGATGGTATCTCACAAAAATTGAGACAACTTTGTCCTACTCTCTACAGACAGGAAGACGCTACTTGTTCCAAGGTAAATCTTCTTTTAAGCTACCATATATTGACTTTCTCTGCACTTTGTTAAACGCGTTCTGCCTAGCATTAAGTTGAGCCCGAGAGTCCTAGGTTCAAATACAGAGGATCATATACATACCTCCACATAGTATATATCATTAATATTAAACTAAAAATAATAGGTTATTTGTTATTTAATATTTCAGGCGAACGAGTTATTAATCTTTGCGAAACAGCAAAAAAATTCAGCAGAAAAAGATGAAATGCTTCAACAAGCGCTTAAACTTTGCAAGGTACATTGAAGAAATGTTTAAATCTCGTTATAACATTATGTCTTAGAGCACACAACAGCACGCAACGCAGTGGATGTCGGCGATGTCCTACCCGTGTCGTAGATTTTTTCAATTTAAAATCGATTTTTTTAACATTTCTATTGCTTTTTTCCCCCCCCCCTTTTTTTTGGCCAAATTTTAAAAAAGGTTTTTTTGTTAAAGATCGTTTCTTTGGATTTCAAATTGGTTAATTTTTTTTTAGGATGTGGCGCCTAATGTTAACTTGCCGCTAGTGTGTTCAAAGCTGTTATCCGCTGGATTCTGTTCCGGAATCGTGGAACTATGTATCACCTGTGCATCCAAGATCGACCCGCAGGATCGAGCTCTATATTATTACAAGAGCGATCAGCCGTCTCAAGATCGGGAGGGCCATTTACTCTACTACAAAAGGTACTTTTACTGGATTATAAGGCTTATGTCTATAATAAAGCTGTTCAAATACATGAAACTATTTGAAAAGACATATAAACAGTATTACTATTTGAAAAGGTAATAGAAATTAGGAGTGAAGTCGAATTTTACCTTAAGGGAATATAGTAAGAAATACCTATAGACTATGCGAGTAATAATTACACTTAACGGTTTAAAACGCGAAAAATATTCATAAATTATTTAAAAATTTTTTATCCTCGTCCCGCTACCCCACAGCTGCTGCAAAGCATTCGAAATTTCGCGCTTTAAACCGTTATAAGCTATATAATAAGTATAAAATAGTATGAAATAAAAAACTGTATATAGTTTACGCGAGTAGTAAACTTTTAAATAAAACACTAACGTTTTAAAACGCGATATATTAGTTAAACTTATTTAAAAAAAATTATCTCCTCGTGACCACGGCTGCTGCAAAGCATCCGAAACGTCGGGCCGAAGCTAAAAATCATTTTTAACTTCGGCCCGTTAAAAGTGTTTTATTTAGTATGAATCAGTATGAAATATATATTTTTTCTTATAGAATGGAGATATACCGTGAAGTTTGCACTGCACTAGAGCGGTTATACGAGCGTAGCGCGGAAGCCAGTACGGAGTCATCACCGCCGCGACCCAGAGCTCAAACCAGTGATGCATTGCTCACGATGTCACCCGCTGATGCCAACTATCAGGTAACTATTATAAAAAAAAACTTAGATCTGCTAATCTTGTAGCTTTTTAATTATATAACATAATGAACAGACATTTATATAACGTGAACTTATTTTTTCTTTTTTTTAGGGTTTTATTTATAGGGTAGAAAGTTAGTAGCGGAATGTTTATCCAGAGAAGATGAACTCCTACATGTTGCTATTTATGAATGGTTGATATCCAAAAACTTGGGATCAGGTATGGTGGAGTTCTTATAATATTTATTTAAATTACCAATTAATAATTTTACAAATTTAATATAAATGCAACTTTATTCATATGCAAATCTTGTATGTAAAGTTTTTTTCATCATCCTTAAGAGCAATTCAGTTTATCAGTCCGGAAAGTACCAAAGTGTCAAGATCGATTAAAGACAGAAATTGTTTAACGTTTTCAGAATTAGTAACAGTAAGCGGTGTAGCGCCTGCGTCCCTTCGTACCTACCTCACTGCGGCAGCGCGACAAGCCACCGGCCGAACTGCACTCTTATTACTGGATTTGCTATGGAAGGTGCTAGAACGCGCTGGTGATCATCTCGCGGCAGCTGAAGTTCTGGAGGGGCTTGCTACAAGGCCAGGGTACGAATAGACTAATATTAATAATTTTACGACTATAATATGTATGTATATTTAGTTAAAGGAATTATAGATTTAAATAAATCACTTGAACAGTTTAAAACGTATCATAATCGTCAAACTTATTTGGAAATTATTTTAACTACGGCTCGAAGTTTCGAATGCTTTGCAGCAGCCATGGTCATGGGGAGACTAAAAATGGGATATCGCGTTTTAAACCGTTAAAGTGTTTTATTTTAATGTGTATTACTCGCGCAAACTACAGACAGTGCTTGGCCTTTAATTGGTTGTCATTCCATATAACTTAAAAACAAATTTTCAACATTAATATGAATTTTATTGAAACTATTATTGCACTAAATGAAAACTATCTTGGTAGAACTTGGAATTATAAGTTCAACATACTGCTATGATTATATTTATTTAATAACTTACACCCTATATGATGAATTTTACTGATACTATATGGCAAATACGGCATTTAGACAATACATGGGTCACGTCTACCACAAAATAAATCATAGTTATGTAGTAGTGTAGTGTGTGAGTTTGTTAAATGCGCTTATTTTAGATTCGACTAATCCGTCAAAAAAAACAATTTGTTTTGGCTTTCTTTGTTACGTTTATCATAATTTTGTTTGGCGTGACTCGAGTATATTTTTTTTTCTCGTAGTACGGGAGCAACGCTTGCGCAGCGTATGTCGTGGTTATCTGCGGGCGTGGTGTGCGTGCGAGGTGCGGGCGGGGCGGGTGGCGCTGGTGAATTAGTGCGTCGGCTAGAGGAGGCCGCGGAAGTGGCTCGTGTCCAGGCGGCTGTTCGTGCTGCCGCCACTTCACCACCTCTACCGCCTGCACTATTGCAGCGATTAGACGACGAACTTCTTGATATAACACAGGTATTTTTCATAACTGTTTTGGAGTTGAGTCTTTTGAGTTGGACTGGAGTCTTTAACCGCTCTCGATGTAAATTGCCTTAATTTAACTGATGGTGTGGACAATATTGACGTGGGGAGTGGGGTAAAATATGTAAAAGTGTGGGGTAAATCGTACTCAACCTACTCGAAGACAATAGTCGATCAATAGCACGCTACGGTGCTTTCGAGGGAACCCTGGGAAGAACATGTTTGTATAACTCCAAAGATTGCATTAAACACCAGCACAAATGTGGAGATTAAATGCCTAGTAAATATTATATCGTTATAAAATTATTAATCTAAATATTTTATCAAGTGATTAACAATCCATAGCATACCTAACGGTTGTTATAGCTACTTATCATGGATCATTATGTATAGACGGTTGACAGAATGTAGAAAAGTCAATAACACTCATATTATGATGTATAAGTTAAAAACTAAAGACTAAATTCACATTTACTACCAGTCCGCAAGGGCGTAGAACGAACGAGAACAACTGGCAAGAAACTCTACTAGAATGGAGAAGAATCGAAAAGAAGTGATTTTCAATTTCGTTCATTTCTTTCTTTGTCACTACTATAGTAGATAATTAATTTTTATTCTTTCCTTATTATATGCGTCTCTATATTTAGGCTTGTACCGTGTGTTTTTGTCGATTTTCAGTTATACGAAGAGTACGCTGACCGCTATAATCTCTGGGAGTGTAAGCTGGCGATAGTGCAGTGCTCGGGGCACAATGACGCGTTGCTCGTTGAGAACATATGGAGCAACATATTAGCCGAGACAGAGAACGCTGCGAGGGGATTGCACTCGCCAGACGAGAAACTCTCTTCTGTTCTTAGCAATTTGACTACTCTGGGCCGGGAATACGTAAATTCAGGGCACTGTTTCCCCCTATGTGAGTAATGCATATCAATTTAATGTCTTTGGTAAGGACACAGAAACCTTGATATTGATGAATCATTTCAATAGAGATAAACATTTATTTTTAACCCATGTTTTTTAAGTTGATACATTGAACATTCATTCATTTCTTGACTTGACTCTTAAGACCATTAAGGACCTATGGTATTCGTTAGAAATAAACTGTACAATAATTATATTTTTTCACGTAGATTTCATCGTTCGTCAGTTAGAGATAATGAGCTGCAAACTACAAGCTGAGAAAAGTATCGTGTTTAAAACTATCTTGAATATTGGTGTTTCCTTAGAACAAGTATTGGACATTTATGTTAAGTAAGTATATTAAGAATATATAAGATATGGGTTCTTGGCTCTTTATTACAAATGATAATAAAATTTATATTTTCCTTCACTATTGACCTAGTGAAACCCGCGTTGAAATAAAAGAGGTAGATACAAAATTGGGATATTATCAAATTCTTTAAATAAAATATAAACATATAACAAAGTTAAGCACGTTTCAAGTCAGCCATGTTAAATATGATGCATCGCTTCATATAAAGGTACCAATAATTACAATTTCAGTAATAGTTACCTACAGTAGTAATACTTACATATAGGACAGTTAATTCACCATACTTCGTTATAAACGTCAGTTTAGTAGAAAATTTGTCACCTACACATCTGCAATAACTTAAAGCGTTCTAAAATATATAACTCGTGTTTAGGTTAGTAAGTGTGAACGAACGTGTATGGTTGGGCTGCGGCGAGGAGAACCACGTGTGCGGCGTGGCTGTACTCCTGCTCCAGCACGCAAGGCTTGATGTCGTTCAGCTCCCCCCCGCGCCGCGCCGCAGAGCCCTAGCAAGATGCAAGGATCTGCACGAAGCCGCTTTATCCGCACTTCAGGTTGGCTATATTTATAAGACATTTTTTATAATAGGACACACAAGCTATGGGTTCACTCGAGGGAAGGTCAAGTACCCTACTATCAGCACTGTCAACATATTTTGGCTCTGGTCATTAAAACATTCAAAGAGTTAAACCGTAACGCGATATTTTAAGGCATTTTTATCTATGGGCGATGGTTAGAGTCCGAGACGAAAATAAAAAGGCATCATTTTTGAGTTGATATTTTTTTTTGCAGAGTCGACCGAACACCCAGATTCTTATAGACAAACTAACAGTAGCGCAAGCGCATTTGGATAGAATGGACTAAGGAATTATGACATAAAATGAAATAGACAAATTGTACCATAATTTAATTCATGTAATACAATTCTTTACAAAATACATTAAAATTCATTCTACGTTAAAAATTATGTATCAGTTTTAAATTTACAGGCAGTGTGTTATATTAAAAATACTTATGACCTAGCCTGGTAATATATACATTTGATAATATTGTATACATGCTATCTACTTTTGGAAGTCTGAACAAGTATGATACGTAAGAATGAAAGTGTTTAGTACAACTTGATTTCTATTTTTGTAAATAAATTAAATTAAATAACTCAGTTGTTTAAAATGTGCTTTTAAAGCGTGGTTTATTCTTGCCAGTGCGGAAAAATGGAAAGATATAAATTACTTAAATACAAGAAAAATTTAAATATGAATATAGTTACTTCCGTATAAAAGTCCCGTCTGGAGAGGCAATGAAAATAAATATACCTTGTATTATATACCCAAATACAGCTTCACGTACAATTCATTCATCGTCAAAGGGGTTCGTCTTTACCTGGTGATCGTCATCAGGGTATGAATAAAGGTTCGTATGATATGCACTTGTACTGGGCAGCCCCACGGTATTTATAGGCGATATTCCTCCGCCATATAAGTTCTTGCCTGAATTTTGCCTCATGATAGTTGTATATGTAGGAATAGATTTCGTTGCTATGTCCTTGATTCTAGTCGCTGCCCGATAGGATCCGTATTCGTCTGGCGGTGGGGGCAGCGAGAAACCGTCAGAAGCCTGTGTTATCTCCGACGTTTCGTCGCTTAGCTCTTTTTGTAGCCTATGCCTTGTTTTTCTGGGCATAGTATAGAATGTGTTCATCTGAAAGTACTTTATTCTTTAATTTTGTATTAAATAGATGACGCTTAAATTTCGTCAATATAACTAAATTGATACAAAAAAAGTAGAGATCACCGCTTTCTTTTAAATAGAGAACAGACAAGTATGGTGTACATTTGATTGTACGTGACCCTAGCCATATAACATCTAAGCAAGATGCACTGTCGCCCTATTGTGGCATTCGATATTCAGAAATGCACACACTTAAACCGAAACGCAATTAATCTCCACAGCTTTTTCATCTGAGCACGGATGGATTTTCGATGTTCCTACCGCCCATTTAATATTCAGATTTCCAGACGAAGTCCAACGTCTTTCAGAAAAATTATAAATTGGTTAGAAAAATGTTGAACCCACGACCCGTTGATAATAAGCCATACATTGCCACCATTGCACCAACGAGTTCGTCAAAAATCTATTTCTTTGAACTTAGATATAAAGTGTGCACCTACCGGCTTAGGCACATTGTAGCTAGTTTCTGGGGGTATATGCATTACAAGATGATCACAAAGTACGTCCACGTCTTTCTTCTTACTGATATTTTGAAGCGAATGTACCCTGCAGCCAGTATGCCTGGTTTCCAAACATTTAGGTTCCGCGTCAGCCATGTCTCGCAAATAGCGCGCTGAATGAAATGAGCTAGTTCGTCTCACGTCGAAGTTTTTCGAAGGATATTTCGACATTGCTCTTCTGAATGACTCCGTTCGTCTTATATTGCATTCGCTCCCTTCGTCGCTGTCGTTGAATGTTTCGCAGTTGGATTCTGCAACGAGAAATATTACACGCGTTACATACGGCCTGCTAGTTTAATTAAACATTGATTATAAATTTAAAAAAATTACGACAAGGCAGGCTTGAAGCGGCATACATAGCGTTCCGTGCTGTTGCTCTAACTAATTGAGCTATCCTGTCATATTTTTTATTATTTTTAATTTATATAGTGCCCTCATGTTACATGTGAAAAATATTACAGTTTTCAAAGGCTGCTAATTATGTTAATTTGTGTTACTACATAAAAATAAATAATTTGTTACTTTATCTATTCTTGCCTTGCTTGTAAATTGTCATATAAATACATGTGTACGTTTACGTGACTAACATATATTTAAATAACACACTTCAACGGTTTAAAACGCGAAATATATTGGTTAAACTCATTTGAATTATTTTAACTACGGCCCATTTAGGATGTTTTGCAGCAGCCATGGTCACGGGGAGACTCGTCTGTCTCCCATGTTATTAAATAGTGTTTTATTTAAATATACTTTTATTTTTTTATTATTTACCGTCAGTAGTATACGCGCAAAGTGGTGGATGCCTGTCCCTCGGCAAATCGTGGCGTTCCGTACGCTCATGGGCGCACAGCACCAGACCGCATGCTATGAGAGCTAATAAAGCCACACCACCGCACAGTGACAGCACGAGTGTAGTCAGATTTGTCACTGCACTAATTGTGAATTCAGGATCTATGGAAAGAACAAAATTTCTGAACTACCGTCAAAAATAAATTATGTATTTAGAACCTCTGTCTTAGTCTTGAAGAAACCAGCGTATGCTAGAACTAAAACTTCTACACACGTTTCTAACCAGGTAATACATTTATATTAACTTTAATGTTTACACATCTTACAGTGAGAATAAATAAAGTTAAAATATGGACTACCTAAAAATGTTAAGAAGGTAGCTTACCTGTATTCTCATACACAATACTTTCCTTCGCAATTTCAATCATTTTGCTTTCGCCTTTTTCGTTCATTGCGATTATGATAAAATTATATTTTGTTTCCTTTGGTTCCTCTATAATAAATTTCGGTTCCTGGTTGATGATGGAGACTATTTGGTCTCCTGAGTCCAAGGAGTTTACGATGAATTTGAATTTCTAAAAACATCTAAAGCTATAATACACCATACACTAATAAAAACCTTAGAATTCTTAGGCTTTCGAGGGATGTCAGTTATTGTGGGCATACAGAGCTGTTTACTTGCTTGCCTGCTATTAATATGGATCAAATAACGGACACACAAATATGTCTGCCGTATTTAATGTAGGAACAAAGAAAGATAACCATACACGGGTCTTGCTCTACGAGTATAATTTTTAAAGACTAGTTTTATTTATTATATTCAAAGTATAAGTTGACGAAGTCATAGATACTTGTGGCAATCCTCCATCGTGACCCGCCTCACAAGTAACTGTAATATCTCCATGGACATCCTTTACAGCAGCACAGTTTGTGGGCGGCTGTGGTATAGTTTCGTCGGTGATCATAAACGTGCACTTTGTTTGCGGTAGATCACTATTCTTCACCGAATTCAAGCCCCAACAATATATCAATGCTATATGGAAAAATAGCACTATTTAATAATTGTACAGTTTAGCGAAAATATTAAAATCATAATGTATTTAGGACCAAGAGTTCATGTATTTAAGACAAAGAGATAATTATTAACTCGTTCCTTTGCTAAATTAAATTAAATCACAAAAAAACTAAATAATTCTTCTTTCAAATTATTAAATAACACAATACTGAATTATTTGAAGGCAATGAGGTGAGCTTCTTATCCCCTCCTTGATGACGTCATCTTAGTATTTTTTTAACAGTATAATATAAAATTGATGTCAAATTTTATTAACAATGAATACCATGGTTTGACCAATTCATCGATGGTTAAAAGCGAGATATCCTGGGTTCAAAGAGATTTGGCCTGTCGGTGATTTAATTATAGAAATGTTCAATAAATTAACCTACTTGTTGTACCAGTAGGTCTCTGATACATGAGGGTTTTATCATCGGTTTCTACTGTTTGCGATTGATTCGTGTTTAATTTAGTACCCTCAGTTTCGCTCACCAGCAACCATCGATAGGCGCTAGGCTCGGGGTTCGCTCGCACTTTACACGTTATATTAATACATTCCTCAGCCACCACGCCATATTCCACCACCCCCTCATCTTCACAATATGGTGGATCTATAAAAATTAAAATCTGTAGAAGTGGGAGCTTTTATTTTAAGTCGAGTTTGTGTTGGTTTTATTTGTTTAAGCGTTTTTACACTATACATAAAATTACTACAAATAACTAAAAACTTACTAGTTAATTAGTGATACATGTAGAGAAAAAAAACGGTCTTTTTATTTTGTTTCGGTGAATTACAAACTTACATACGACATCTATTAGGATTGGTTCACTATAGGCTGTGCCTTCGTCGTTGGTCGCAGAACAAACGTACTCTCCACTCTCTTGTTCGGTCACAGCGTGTAAATCCAGTTTCGTTTGCAATGGCACTGCGCTGTCCCCTGTACTCATGCTTAGCATATCTTCCTGAAATTTATATCATGTAAAACATTACATTTGTGAGTTACACATTTAGTAATTTTTTACACATAGTTTTTATAAAATTTACATGTTATAACATCAAGTGACTGTTTTAAGTGACAAATATTAAAACAACGCGATATGACCGAATTAATAAATACCCCATAAAATCTCAACAAGATATGATGTAGACCAATTTTAAAGATTCTATATGTGGGCGATGGGTGACCCGAACGATTTCGGTATTGCTACCTATTTCATTCTTACATTTCCAGACGAAATCATATTTTTTTTTATTTCGGGTATCGAACCAGCGACCCTTTGATTATGTTACATACGCATACGCTGCTACCATTAGACTCGTCGAAAAACCCCTCTTGATCCTTGAAGAATTTTATATCGCTTCCAAGGCCAATTCAATGACGATGGCAATACAAATATTGTTGTTCGGACAGTATATACTGTACAGATAATTAATTAACAGTAGAAAAGGTTTCTTTTATTAATACATATCGGAAAGCTTTTGCTAATCTAATTTAGTTCTGCTAAAATAAAAAGGCTTTTAAAAGGTGGCAACCTAAAAGATTTTTTAATTTAGATGATGATGGAAGGATTTTTTATAGGACTTTCTGGATAAATAGGCTTATTTATTTGGAAAAGTCCTAAATAAAATACCTTATACACAGCATTGAACAATGCCTAACAATAACAATAGCGTTTCTTACAAAAAGCTAATAGTATTCGCTCACCTCATGAAACCAAATAAGACGGTAAATAGCGGGATTTGCCTCAAAGCTGCAATTCATGGAAATATTCGAACTCTTAATGATAGATATTGTATTATTTTCCATAGTTTCAACCGTCGAAATGTGTAATACCGGTGAATCTGCGGAATAATAAATAAGGAATGATTTTTACGATTACGTGATAATTTTTTTAAATATTATAGAAGCAGAATTATGTGAAAGTTAATACAACATGTAGTTCTGATATATTAACAACTTAGAACTCTATAATTTAAAAATCGAAAATAAATTGAAAACATTTTCGACTCGGGTAGGACTTGAACCGGCATCGTCAGCGTTCCGTGCTGTTGTTGACCAATTGAGCTACCGAATCCTACACCTCATCGTCGAATTTTTTCAACTCATTGATACATGCACCTTTCGCGCAATGTAATCTCAACCGTTAAGGTACTAAGGTTCAACGTCTTATGCTTTGCAACTTAAGAAATCATTGAAGATGAAATTACAGTTATAACGTTTGAAAACAATTTTCTTTTTCAATTTATTTTCGATTTTTAAATTATATAGTGCCTTCATGTGCAATAACATGTAAACAATCATAACTTTTTCTTTTTTAATTTTTGTAGAATCACGACGAACTTCTCAACGTTTCGGATGCTTTGCAGCAGCCATAGTCGGAGGGGAGGGGGGAGAACATCGTGATGCTTTTTTAAATACCAATTCGCATAATCTACAGGTCATACTTACAGAGGACTGATAAATGCTGTCCTACAGCGCAGACGTACTCTTCAGAATCCCTACGATAAGCTGGGACACAGCAAGTTATGCGTGACTCGTCATATTCGGCAGTTATACTCAATTGGATTTCATTTACCATTAGCTGTTGAGTTGGCTCCAGCTTGAAAACAAAAACAATACTTTTAAAATATATAAGGTCTGTCTACTACACTACTAGTGTCTACTCAAGAAAAGGAACCATACGCACTCTAAAAATACAAATATTCTTTAGTGTCGTTTAAAAATAGGACAGCACAAAAAAATATTCAAGAACAAACAGCGGCTTTATAACTTTCTTTTATAACACAATAATAAAAGAGGTATGGGTAATATTACTTCTAATATTGTTATACTAATAACAATAATACAAATAAGCTTAAACTAAATTATACGATAATACTTGACTACCAAATTAACCAAGTTCTAACTAAAGATAAATAATGTTGAATTACGTTTACTTAATCATACTAACAGTTATATTCTGTTCGAGATTTATTAATTGAGAGTCGTCCATGCGCCATATGACGGTAGGCAAGGGCCTGGCGCCCAGAACCCGGCACTGCATCGACAACACGTCACCGGAATGGACTCGTCCATTGTAAACTGCATCTTCTTTTGCACTGCTGATACGGATTGTCACCAGCTCTGGCGGTACTGAAGAAATTAGACACGACAGAATTAGTGCTAAAATTATTAGACCCACAATGAGACAATGCCTATTTTTGTCCAAAAGCGGAATTTATAGTTAAATTATCATACTATGAATTAACACTACACTTACAATACATATCAATTGAAATATCGATTGATAAAGGTGGTGTCTTGTCATTATTCTTAGCAAAACATGTAAACACTCGTCCGTGATGTTCCCGGCTCAAAGGACCAAAACGGAGGTCACTGCGTACACGCTGCTCAGAGAGCGGAGTACTTGAATCCTTAAGACGCCGTTGTTCGGACCACCATGACAGATTCGGTTGAGGTTTGCCTGAAAATATATCACTTTTATTTTATATAATTCCTTATTGCACAATATACTCACAATTTTATTCAAAGAATTAATAGAAAAATAACTTAAGAATAAAATAAATAACGACATGATAACCTATGGCCTGCAATAGGCAGCCTTATTGATACAGACCAAAGCAAATCTCGATGAGAAAATATTTGTAGATAACCTGAAAATATAACCTAGACAAGAAAACTTAATATACAATTCATAAATACCTCAGTTTGGAAAACAGAGACTGGTTAATTGACTGTAAATAGCAAAATAATACAAAGAAACATATAGTTTGTATTTGTCAGTCTTATGAAGCTGTTATACTGTAAATTACAGAATATGTACATGTTAAAATTGTGTTAAATTTTTTACCTCCAAAAGATACACAGAACAGATGTATGGTATCCCCAACATAAAAAGGTCCAATATTTTTACTGGTGTTAGAACCAGTGTTAGCGGTCGCCACTCGAGTTCCGTTCTCGTGAATAACCCAAAGCTTTTGGGGTGGTTCTGCAAAAAATCAGTTGGTTATGACTGTAAATATAAAAGTATTTGATGTAATTAAAAACTTTGGTTTCAATCACTAAAACCCGGCACAAGATGGAAGCTATACACTATAAATTGTATTACAATGTTAAATAAACACATTCTAGATAAAATGCTCATGCATTTAGTTAACAAATATATACTCATACAATAATGTTTTGCCAAGAGTATAAAAACTTACAGCTTAAACGTTTTTCAGGGCAAGTGTCCTTATAATTAAGCCAAGTTTCGCGGGACTCCAGGTCAAACACTCTCCCTTTACAGTTACAAAAAGTCTTATGGCAAAGTAGAACCCTATGTCTTAATAACTATGCAATATTTTTCGCAGTCGTCAGCTCGTGCCCTTTACCGACATAAGCTTAAGTATTCTTGAGCCACGATACAACGCATACATTAGAATATGTTTAAAACATCACTATATTCTGTCTAATATAGGTTGATGAGTTTGGACATCTCCTAAAGGGATTATCATATTTATTTATTTCATTATAAACATATTCTACCATTACAGAACAATATCCATTGCGATAGAATTATTATATACAGATTTCATAGAGTGATGTTTTTGTCAATTCGCCCTAGCTGCACGTAAAAATGTCGATCCCCTCCTGCAGCTTGTTGATAACACGCATAGCACGAACATGAGGGGATTACATCAACAAGTTGGTGCGTGAGGACGGTAGCGCAAGTAACGGTGGTCGTTATCGCCTCCACACGTATCGGTTCGGAAGCGACAAATGTAAGGACTGTAACTCCTGGGTTCAAAATATGGTAAACCACAATCGTTTGATTAGTACCTAGTTCAAATCGACTTTGTATACAATGACATGTGTATACTAAGTAAAAAAAATCACAATAATCTACAAATCTAATTTATGTACTTGCTAGAATAATAATATTATATTTTTCCATCGATTCATTCATACCTATTTGTTTATTCGTTTGTTTCACTTCATTATATTTAATACAAAAAAAATGTCCCATTATTTACAGAAAAAATGCATAGTCCCAAATTTTTAAATTTATCATCCTCCATTAGATATAGCATAACTTGTTTTATGTTAATGACATAATATTTACGTGGCATAATTGTTAGTATAAACGAAGTGAATTGTTCCGGCACCGTCAGCTTCCTCATTAAACTTGCCTATCAATTAAAATCGTGGCTCTTCCATTTCACTACAAGTTAAATATTTGTTAGTTCTCTTTCCATGGACTGACCTATTTAAATTTTTTATTTATTTAAAACAAGGAAACATATTTTATGCAAAGTAATCGAAATTTTTTGATAAGCATTAAGATCCTTTTTTACCAAAATAAGTATTACTTAAGAAAAAACTAACAACTTTTATTAAAAGCTATTATTTTTTTATTTCAACTTCAAACAAATCAGTATGGCGACGGGCAATTTTATCAATGTGAATAACAAAAAAAACTATTTCGATCGTTTAAAACGCGAAATGAATTAGTTAATTTATTTTTAACAATGACCCGACGTTTAGAATTCGCAGTTAAAGTCACCGTTAAATGTGGTTAATAAAAATTTACCCTTGTGCATAAACCATAGACAATGAACTTACCAATAACAATTAGATTGACGAATGTTTTACGTGCTGGACTCATAGCAAAGTCAGCATAACAATGGTATAAGCCGGCGTCAGACGACTTCACCGTTACGATCTCCAGACTGTCTACGCCTTCGCCTTCAGACGTGAGTAGTCGATATCTATGGCTAGGGGACATGACGCTGCCAGCACCTCCTCGATGGTCGCGACTGCTGGTACAAACACATGGCGATTAAGTACTACTACCGGCCTGGTATCTCTTCTTGCATCATTTAACGTTTATTTAAGTTGGTTCAATATTTAGCGTTAGAGTAGTACGTATAAAAGCAATGACAAATATATAAAAATTGTATATTTAAATGCTGATACTAATAAATATTAATGCGCTGTGACTTGTCTTGGCTTTTTGATTTTGGATGGACTAGGAATTCCATTTTCTTGTACGCGGTCGGTGATCCGTGGCGCTCTAGATGATACAGACTGGGTGTAACATAATTTGGATAAGTTACAACAGTCAAAATCTTGTCAGTCAAAATGTTCATAAATTTATAATATGTCCCATTGTGGGATTGGCCTTGCAGTCTGCTGTTGGTGCAGCGGAGGCAGGAGGCCTTAATTTATTTAATGGCTCTGATTGTTATTTAAATTAAATATTTAACCATTCAGTGCAACATTATTATATTGGGATAGCCATAACGGTTGACTAATAAATACTATTTTACTACATTTTGATTATTTAAAAGTACGAGTATATAATATATATAAGCGATTTAAGTTAGCATACGTAGACAATAGTCTTATTTATTTCTTTTTTCAGAAAACAATATTATTTACCTATAAAAAGCAGTTGTTGAGCTGTTTCTATACCATGCCAGTATGTTCAATTTGTCATCATCAGCATCTGTCGTCACATTGCAGGGAATCTCCGCGCTCTGCCCTAACACGGCTTCGACTATAAAATTACACAAACATATTGTACATTATACACTACTGTGTACCTAATTTAATCAAAATCTAATATTGAAAGCCGAAGAGTTTGTTTGTTGGAATGTGGTAATCACAGAAACGACTGGATCGAATTGAAAAATTATTTTTGTGTTCGTTCGAGCATTTATGAAAAATAAAGGAGAAAATCAAATATTTATAGTTGTGATCCTGAAGATCTGGTTTTTATTTGTAGCTCTACAACTAAGATTATTGAATAGGTTACTGATCTATTTTTGATTCGCGTATAGTTTTATAACGTAAATAATAAAAAATATTGTATGTTAGCTATCCCTACAGCTAGGTAATGTATAGCCTTAGAATACTTAGTAAATAAGCCAATAAAGGCTTTTTAAAATGAAATAAAGCTAATAATGATTTATTTTCAAGTCCTTTGTGGTAATATTGGTCCGAGATTCATTCTTACTACAGTTCAATTGAAAAAGGTCTGGATTCACACAATTGAAAGCGTTTTTACGTAAAACTCACACTTATATTAGGGATATCCTGTTTTCCAATTGACACGGACATGATACAAATGACTCGATACATTATCATCAATTTCATCAACTGGAGGAGACAGTCATTATTATATTTAAATTAAATTTGCAAACGCTACTTACTCTTACAGTAGGTACAATAAAAAACAAAGATCTTTAGCTAAATGGTTTAACGTTAGCAGTGCGTTAAGCGCGGGAGGTCCTGGGTTCGAATCTCGGGAAAATAATAGATAGTTTCGGTCGGGCAGGGCATAAAAGTCTGATCAACTAATTGCCTATAAATAGAACCGATCAAGGAATTGGGTAAATGTGTTCGATATTTTGAAAATTTCAAATTGCTGAGTTACGATATAACTTAGTATAATTGAGATTTGTCATTTGAATCGATTACAATACAGCTAATAATTATTAATATTATATTCTATTAGTCATTAAGTTCTCGACACATTAAATTCTCAGAAAACAATTGTTGCTCCATTTATACAGAAGTAGTAAAAAAATCTAGTGCTCATTAAAATTTTTAAGTTAACGGTCAAGTTTACCTGTAAGGACATCCTGGGCTTTTAAATAACAAGGAAACACTATAATAACTGCAAACAGACTATACGCTATCATTTTTTTCACTATAAGGAATTGATGTATTTTTTGTATATTTTAAGCGAAGGAACGAACATTATTCGCCGAAATATCTGGATTTAAACGAAGATCAGTCCGATTCAGAGCGGACACGCGTATCAATTGGCGCGCTTGGTTGCAATAAACGTCGTCGGTCCAGGGAACACAGGAGTACCGGCGAACACCTCCCGGCCGCTTCCGGAGCGCCCGGCCTCGTGACGTCACACCCGCTGCTCAAATAATGCCCGCCGGTCCGCTCCATGCCAGCTCAACATTTACCTTACACTTTTTAATTGGTGAGGTCAAAACAATTGGGTCGACCAACCGCTGATTTACTGTTTACCCCACAGCTTTCAAATGTTAATGTATCTTATTGCATATTGGTATCAAGGGCTGATCTTTTAAATCAGGGTTCGAGTTCGAGCCCAAAAAACGTTAAAAAAATCTGCCATAAAAACTGACTGAGAGAAGCCTACGATCATGCTTTTGATGGTCACGTTTGATATGGTTACATGAAAGTTTAAAATGCGGGATATATACAAATAAGTTAATTAATATAAAATTTCGCTTTTTAAACCATTACAAATGTTTTATTTAAATTTATATTATAACTAGCTGTGCCCGCGACTTCGTTTGCGTGGAATAGTGACTTGGGGTAATTTTTAATTATATAGGCTGTTTATTAATTTATGTAATTGCGCAATCTATCTTGTAAGTGCTACTTTGCACATCACTCCTACTCTAACTCTCACTCCCACTCCTATTCCCAAAAAACCAAAGAAGAAAGTTTCATTGAAAAGCTTCAAAAACCACGAATTTCCATACAAACTCCCATACTAAACCCCTCCCCCCCCCTCAAATCCTTACAACCCCTTTTTCGCAATTTAAAGCCTATGTTCTTTCTCAGGGTCTAGACGATCTGTGTACCAAATTTCTGTCAAATCCGTGCAGTAGTTTTGGCGTGAAAGAGTAACAGACAGACAGACAGAGTTACTTTCGCATTTATATTATTAATTATATAGTAAGGATTACTTTTATTATACTTGCGTCAACTACAGGCAATAATACTAGCAGTAAGATAAAACTGAATAATCGCAAACTGAAGTAAGTATTTATTTAAATATAGGTTTCATAATTAATATAAAATTCATAATACAAATTCTCCAGTTTGAAGTGTGTAAAGTAAATCTCCAGTTCTAATATTTAAAAAAAACTTTATTTAGATGGCACATACTATCAGCTTAGTTTCAATATTTTACAGTTTATTAAACATTGTAAGATTGTAGGTAAATTGTACAAAATACAAGTATATAAAGTCTCGGCATATGTGATAGGAACATTTAGAGTTGCTTTAGGGAACGCACAAATAACACAGATAGTAAGACTATTACTGCACTTCCAACTGTCCCAACAATTATCTTTTTATTTCTGTTGCGATTTGAGTTAGAGGACAATACCTGAAAACATTGTGGCAATTAATTATACATTGTGAATATATGATAATTTTTAAATTAGTAATTAAGTGATACCCCCTTTTGGGGTATGGGGCAAGCATTTCTGTATTAGTTTCACTGATCATTTTTATTTACAGGCAAGTAGATCAGATTTCTGGGGCCCTCCCACAGCGAAACCTAACGTTTTGCTATTAACACAATGCTAGGCAACACATTCAACTATTTACAGAATGATTTGGTACAATTTAAAGAATACATAGTAAACTTTAAAATGTACCAAATAATATTATTAAAATCTATTACTAATATTATATTGTATATAAAACACATTAGAAATGTATATACCTTAAACTTTGTATGTAATGAAATATCCATAGAATTTAAAATGTTTGTCATGTGGCTAAGACTGCTAAGGCAGATGTCCGAAGCGTATTTATCCTCATGTAGCAAACAGTCAATAACTTTTTTGGACTTTTTAAGTGCTATTGAATTGGCCATCATACTGAGATATATTCTATATAGATGCTGAGAGCTTTCTTCTAAGATATCTATTATTTCCATAGGACCCAGGTTGGAACTATTTCTTGGCCTGAAATTGATTGGCGTTTTTAATTGATTTTTTTTAAATAGCAAGTAATTTAAAAGACAGTAATACATCAAAAGAGGCATCAAACATTGACACACACGTTAAGGTTCCAGCTATAAATCATATTTATCTAATTATCTATTACTGTTAAAAAACTTGTGTTCCAAATGTTACGCTAGCTAGGGTAGATAGTAGAAGTAAACAATACTCACATTTTTAGTATGGTTTCTTGATAAATAGGCAAATGTTTTACTTCATCAAGCAGTTTATTTCTAATATATTTGTCCTCAACACCTAGTTTTATCAAGTCTTCATCATTCAATTCCATTAGAGTGCACTGACCAATATTGTGTTTCCTACAAAATAATTTAGGCGTTTAAAATACATATTAGACAACATCTAGTTTTTAAGTTGTAATGATATTCTATGGAAAAAGAAAAAAATCAATATATAGATCTATGTCATATTAAGTCTATAATTAATCATATAATTACAAATGTATGCAGAAAAAACAAAGATATATGATAAACTAAAATTAAACCAGCTATCAGGGAAAATAATATTATAAATTAATATATTTACCTGAATATAGGTAAATATTTCTCTGCATCTAAACCCACTAACAAAGCACTTATTGTAAGATCAAATCCTGTAGGATCAATGGTGTCTACTACCATTTGTTGAGGCATTAACGTTTGAGTGTTCTCCATAGTTTCAGACTCCATGTAGTATTCTTTTCTTTAAAATAGCATATTCAAATAATAGTCAGCAAGTTAATGAAGACAGTTACGCTGAAATATCACATTAATAGAAAGTTAAAATTCTAATGAAAAATCGAGTTACTTAATTATTTTCTTCTAAAGCAAACTCTATAATATTAATATGTATTTACCTAGCTAAAAAATAAATAATATTTGACTTCAATACTGTTAAGCGGTGTCAAAAATCAAAATTCACAAAATATGTAGTTGAACTTTGAATTTTTTGACACTGACAGTTATCGACAGCCTTTTTTATTATAATTTTTCCATAAGATAATTATTAAGTCACTTATAATTTATATATTTATATTTTATTGGGGTCCAGTTTGGGTCTATTATTTTTAGTTTATTTTCTTAAATTCTTAATTGGACACGTTTTGTAGTCTGTGTCTGAAAGTCGATACTATAACGCACGCGGCTAAAACTAAAAAATGTATATAATATACACGTTTGAGTATTTTCATGTAGTAAACACTCAAAGAAGCTACTAGAAGCTCAGTGCAATAGATCTTATTACGGTTTATTTCATTTTATATAAAATTTATTTACCACCACATCATACTACGTAAGAGAACTTCCTCTTAGGTTTATATTTTCATGTATTCAAGTGTAGTTGTAGTTATTTTTTTACAGATTAAAAATATGAATATAAAAAATTTTTGCGGAAGGATAATGTGCGTATCATGCTCTCTTATTATTTTAACATTAAAATAAAAACAAATGATTCTCGTGAAAAATAACTTAATTTATTAATATTAAATATGTACAACCTACTTTCTATTTTCTACATTGCATATTATAATTTTCACCCAATCAACACCGCAATACATAATTAAACTTTTTTTTAACAAAATGTAAAAATCACAGTCATGGTGATAAATTGTCTACGATAGCTTTAATTGACTGCCAAATTTCTCTCGCAGTAGAGACTATTTGTGAACCTGGCAATAAAAATCCGTAAGGGCCAAAGGAATCTCGAAGATCCACGTGATACGCAAATTTGATTCCCGCTCGTGCTTTGGCCCAGTCGTGGGCCATACCTGACGCTGGTTGCTGTATGTCAGCCGCAGTTCCCACCTAAAACAAAAAATATTTACCTGTTTTATTCATTTTAAACTGACTTAAGAATAGTGTTGGCGTAGTGTATAATCACAAGTGAGGGTGGAAGTTCGATCCCTGTTCTTGAATCGAAATTATTTAATCAATTCTTTTCTTTTTGTACAAAGTGAGACAAGCCGTGCCGTTAAGAAAAATTGGTAGAAAACCTTTGTTTTCTAACATGCACTAAGGCCAACGTACTAGAATAATGCCTCATAGAAGCAAGCAGGCCTGTCAAGTCCCAACACTGGGAACCATTAAATAGTTGATAATGATGATTATAAACTAATTATTATCACAATAAAGATGTCACAGAGTCATACCTTATATTTAGTACCAAAAACATCCGCAAGAGCTGTAGTCGCTAGTTTTCCCATTTCCATCAGTACTCCGTCATCAGAAAACGAGGCTTGCGCATGGGAGCTTGGTAAAAGCCACGACTGGGAGTATGCGTGTAGAGATAAGTAAACCTGTAACAGTGTTTTCAGCTATAAACCTAAAATTCATATGTCGCAGGATGTGAAATTTGTGATCTATGTGAATTTCCTCGTATTAAACTTAACGTATTTTTTTTTACCAATGACTAAGACTTGATATTATATACACGTATTTAAACTTGCAATAATGGCTCGAGTTTCGTATATTGGTTTGTTTAAATTGTCAATTTTTTTATAATCTTTCAGATCAGACATAACAAAACAATAAAACAAATGCTTATGTAAAACTTTTCTCTGATTTAGAACGGATTATACAGCTCATTCATAAATGAAATGATGAAGTATGTGTTTGAAAGTAACGAAGTATGTAAAAGATGTCGTATTCAGTCACAATAATTCATGATTTCCCTGTATTATGTGCGGTCTACCTCACTTTTGTAAAATTATAAATTACGGCTTGAAACCACTTGCTTTCTAAAACTAACCTACATTTTAAATAAATCCTTATGTACTAACGCAATTCGGGCTTAATCCTACATTAATTGATGTTTTTACTTTCTTCTAATTCGACATGCCGATATTCATTAATTTTACTTCACGAAATGGCGTGTTAATTTTCGATTAGACATATGTAAAAATTATAGACTCATAATTATTTTAAAGACTTTTTCAAATTGTGATGACGTTATTTGTTGGGTATTTTCCATTAGGTAATAACTAATACGATAAGTAGGTGAAATTAATTTGTTACTTTTTAAGCGCTTAAGAGGTTATAAATGGACAATGGGCAGTTTATGTTAATTGCTTATGGACCGTTATTCATTGATTACGAGTCAAGTTATTAATAACTAAAGGCTTATTTGTTTAAGAAGTGTGCAATGACATATCAAGTTGAATGTATACCACATAAACATCGTTAAAGTTCTTAATCATATACATATGTAAATACATAATATAGTGGTGAAATTCGATCACAAAGCTTGTCAATTTGACCACAGACTTAATAAAAAAGCTTGTATGTTGAATACACAGTCACGTGATTTTTAAATGATTGTATGGTGTTATACACTGGAAAATGCGTTCTGGGCCCTATCATATTGACTATAATATAATATAATAAACTAAATTGTGACAAAAATTTATGAGAAACAATTTGAAAGAATGTGTTATCAGAATTGTTCTCGCAAGTTTCGTAAAAAGGGAACGACGAAAGACCAAACATTTTTTCGCTTCGAGGTGGATAGATACAAAATACATTATACAACCGAACTCCATATTGGAGGATTAAGCAGTGTTTATTAGTACCTAAAATAACTCACAGGGGTGCATGAAGTATCTAAAAAACGTTACAAGTAAACTTACATTTGTTTTTAAGTTGCGTATAATTTATATCCTAAGACAAATCAATTTTCAAGGAGTAACACACAAAAAATAGGGTAATGACCTCAGTAGAATTAACTAGAAAATCACTACACACCTAATACTTAAAAAAGTAAGTCAATCAAACCTTTCGAGACATCACTGAACGAAATTTTTTACTTGAATATATTTTGTGTGCTATTTGGCAGTTGTGGTGGGATTAATCTAATTTCACACCATGGTAGGATTTTAAATGGTGTCTAATGTTGAGTCAAATTTGGTAGTCACGATCTATTTCCCCATTTTTATTTTATTACCTAATACTAATATATACCTTTTTTCTACTTTTTAATTACTTAGTACTTACTTACTACTTGCGTAAACTTTAAAAGTGACTTTGATTTATGTTTTAACAGGTACGATACCTTAATTTGCCCTCTGTGTTCCGCAAGAAATTCTGAAACTGCCCTTGTTTCAGGTTCGCTGAATGGATGTGGTCCCGCATAATTATCTGAACACGGATCTTGAGAAGAGTCCTTCTCTCTCCAGTGATAATCCCAATTGCGATCTGCATCTACTCCTACGCATTCAGTACGACCCCAATTCCACGGAAACCTGCAGAGTATATACAATAGGTCTAAATAATTTAAATAAAACACTTTACGGTGTAAAACGTGAAATGTATTAGTTAACTTATTTACAATTTAGTTCAACTACGGCCCAGGGCTGCTGCTGCAAAGCATCATCCGAAGCCTCGGGCCATAGTTAAAATAAACTGTAAACTACAGACAAATACTAGAGATAAAATATGTTAAAGTATGCCTTAAAAGTACAAAATATCCATTTCGTGCTACAAAATTTTTACTTAAACTTTCACGGGACAGGAAAATAAGTTAACAATATTTAAACTGAGATAAGGCTACATAACATTTTTCCGGTTTCATCTATGACTCACTACGGTATGTTGCAAAGGTACTCTTAACGTTTTATATTTTTAACGGAATTATGTTCGCATATCTAAACGACCGCCTCCATGGCTCAATGATTAAAAGCATCGGGTTAAGCACGAGAGGTCCCGGGTTTGAATCATGGGGAAACATAATAAATAGTTTCGGTTGTGCACCAGACAGCACTTTAATATAATACTAGTCCGCGTGGAATACTGCTTTCTTTCGGCATCAAAAAATTGTATGTTGCAAGCGACCTCTAACTTTCAAACTCTTAACTTTCAACTTTATACATTATAGCTGTTCCCCACGATGTCGTCCGCGCCCTGTCGTTCTTGTGAGTTAATCTTTAAAGATAGATATACTGTTGCGGACATTTTTTTACATCATTTAAAGAAGAATCATTCTTTCATACATATTTTTTGGTTCCTTTAACCATTTTCGCAGCGAACGGAAGCCATCAAAGATGAGTAATTTTCCCCGTTTTTCCAGTTTTACTTCTATTGGTCTCAGCATAAGGTTATATGGCCTTAAAGCTTTCCTCCATATATGGTCAATCCAACAAAAAAATATATTTTTCAATCCGAATCAGCAGTTCAACAAACAAACTCTTCAGCTTTATAATATTAGTGTAGATTAAAAATGATAAACTTGAAGAGGAGAATAATCAAACGGAAATTTTTAAAGTAAGTTTGTGCAGGTCGAACGAGTTATTATAGAAACTAGGTTCTAACCAGCCGACGTAGTAATCGTCGGAGTCAGAGAGGCGTGATCTTGTTTTCCTCCAGAGTCGATCGTGGGTATGCGAGTGCTCGTATCCGTCCGGATTTAGTACGGGCATGATGTAGAAATCCGCTGTCTTTAGCACTTCGTAGTCTACACCTGTAAATAATAGACAAATTGAAAATACCACTCGGTAACGCTCTAAAATGCAAATCTATACGCGAAGATACAGCGAGAAATGTGAAAAAAAAATGGGAAAATTTAACGTCAATTCAATATCATTCATTATTGGTTTCTGAGGCGTACGCTACAAAAACGGTTTAAGATACCCAAAAAAATTTGTATAAAAGAATGATTCTTTTTAAACAATCTAAAAAACGTCCGCAACCGCTATATGTCTTTCTTCTCAGATTAACTTGCAAGAACGATGAGAAGGGACGTGACCCACATTTATAAAGATGAAAGGGTTTGCAAAAACGAATTTGGATGCCCAAAACAACGATTCTCGCGGACGAAGTCCGCTAAACATAAAAACCCCTTTTCTTCCCGTGGGGTATGGGGTGAACACATTTTTTTATTTATTTAACTTATTTATATTTACAATTCTTATTAATAATCTGTCTCTAATCGTTTCAGTGATCGATTTTATTCTATATTTTTGTAACAGATACTAAAAAATTACCCATGTCTTTTTCCCCTTCTACCAAATTGTGTATGAGCCACGAAGCCACAGCCGGAGCAATCCACTCGCGAGCATGAGCTCCACCATCGATCCAAATTGCCGGTCTTGCATAGCGCAGTTTCCATTTCTTCTTTTGACTCTTGGTTGATGCATTTTCGGTGTTTGTGTCATTCACTGGTAGGGATATCTACGAGAAAAATACCTATTATGTGCTTTGCGTTTTTATAAAGATATAAATAAGAACCATAAAATTTTACTTCTTTTGTAGCTACTCTGTTGTTATTACAAAAAACGGCTTATTTAAAAAGTATTTATGAGACACATACTCCCATGTATCATTGATCTTTTGAATCTTTCTAAAATATGTTTCGATGTATTTACCTTTACTGCAACTAACGGCAAGCCTTCCGAAGAACGCCCTAGCGGTATAAGCTCCACGACATCTGAATACGAATGTTGTAAATACTCTAAATATCTCAGGATATCAGCGTAACGATGGTACCGTCTCCAGGTCATCGGATGTCCTCTCAATTGTACCAATTCTAGCCGCTGCTTCTTCGATAGCTTTGGGTTCTCATACGATATTGCTTTCTACAACAAATCTTTGAATTAAATCGATATAAATGTTCGTTAGAAGAGTGATAGAACGACATATGAAATACCTGTAAATCCCAAATGATGACTTCGAACTCGATATTGGAGGATTTTAAATGATCCTTAACGTCTACTAAGAGATCTGGTGGTACCAAGAGATCAGTAGAACCGTTGAGAGACGGCAGGGTCCACCACATTAATCCAGAACCTTCTCCCTCTTCCTGTAGGTCTAACAATGACCGTACTTTCCACTGCGTATCCGGATATGAGCGTAGAAGTTGATAGCCCTTGTAGCTCTTCTTTAATGCCTTTTTATTTGATTTCTTTGCTGGAGAGAAAGAGTTTTATTATACATTATTACCGTAGAGGCACTTAATTTTTGTAATCATCTTTAACATTCCGTGCTAACGTTGAATCTTATCATTTGTGAGTAACAAGATCGTTAAAACTGAAACGTTACGCTTAGACACCACAAGCAACGCTAATAAAGAGACTTAATTTTACGCGTGACCTCTTCAGTGTAACGATATCACCGTTGTTTTTATTTTTAAATAATTCTAGAACTTTATAAATGGCGTATTATTTAAGTAACAATTTGAAGCTATCCGAAAATTAAGAATCTATCAACATACCACTACTCTCATTTGGTGAAGACTGTTCTTTATCATTATCCTCTGAGTTTAGAAAGCTTTGAAACCAATTCTCTGTAGAAGTGGAGGGTGGTATAGGTGTTGTTGTTGTGGTGAATTTTTTGTCGGGTTCTTGAAACCACTCTCCACCAAACCATGATGACTTCGACCCGACTATCCATTTGTATACTGTCGTAAAGAAACCTTGAATGGAGAAAAGATATGTATTTCATATATATTTTCACCAAATTGTAATGTAACCTTATTTTTAATCAAGGAATCATTATAAACCGGTTGAAATCAATTTCTTATTATAGTGCATCAATTTAATTTACTTTTTTAACTGCGAACTGATATTTCGGATTTCCTACAGCATTCGTGATCGTAGACATTTTTTTAGTTTTTAATTTGAATTTAAATAGGTACAAAAGTTGGTTGTTAATAATCATTTAATATGGAAGAATGTTGAATGGAGATTGTAATTTGTTTTTAACAGATATAGCTGCAATTCTTTAATATATTTATTGCTAGAGCTAATCTAGATAAGTGGTTGACTAATTCTAAAACGTTTTGATGCCTCGAAGATGAGAGCAATACACAAGCAAATAGACCGGAAATTAACGTCACTTAGCTTAGCTCGGATTTCTATACCCACTATTTTTATTTTGTATATGTACTTTCGTTTAAACAACTTAAAACAATTAAAACAACTAGCACGAACTTTAAAAAAATCCTAAATTAATTGTTGTTAAAAATTAAAATGTTTCCTTGATATTTTGTATTTAAGTACGATTTTTACTTCCGAGTTCTGTTTTCTTAAATAAATTATCTATTCATCATAGATCATTTGAAAACATTAATATAGTTTACATGCACATGAAAGCATCCTGCCCGAGTCGCCAGACTCGGTAGCTCAATTGGTAGAGCAACAGCGCGGAACGCCGACAACGCCGGTTCAAGTCCTGCCTCGATCGAAAGCAATTTATTTCGATTTTTAACTTAAGATCACCTAAGCTATGGCTATATTTTTTGCTTGTCACGAGAAATATTACACGAGAACTAAGTAATATAGTAAAAATTTAATTAAGACCTATTGCATTGTTGCATGCTACCTCTATTTTCTATTTTTTTTTAGTACATAACAATAATGTCGGTTGTTTGTTATTGAAGGGTTTTAATGTTAATGCAATTAAAAATGTTTCGATAAGTGAAAAAAAAAAAAAAAAAAAAAAAAAAAAAAAAAAAAATTTGGGGGGGAAAAAGGGAAAAAAAAAAAAAAAAATAAAAAAAGGGGGAAAAAAAAAAAGGGCCGGTTAAGCCCACTTTAAAAATGGAAAACCTAAAAAGGAATTTTAAATTTAAATTAAATGGGGAACCGAAAAAATTGTTATTCAACATAAAGACAAAACGAAATCTATCTTTACGTTGAACGACAAACTGCATTAAAGCCAAAAGCAAAAAAAAGTTTATCCATCATCCGATTTTAACACTAGCCTTGCGAAAGCTTTTAAGCGAACAAAAAATTTTACACTATATATCAAAACAAAAACCGTTGAATTTCTCCTTTCAAATATAAAGTGTTTTTTTACTGCAGTTTTGAATTATGGTTCCATACTTTGAAGTATGTAGGTTAGTAGTCTCTACTTGCTAAGGCTAATTAAATTCGAAAATATTAGGTATGTTATACCTTCTATTATAAAATTACTTTTGAAACGTTCATAAGGTAATTACTATTAACAGTAAACTGGGGGTCATTGACTTTGTAAAATATTATAAACTAGGATGCCTTTTAAATTATATCTGATAGTTTTACAGCTAGGAAAACATACCTCCAAACCAACCTGAATTTGTTTTCTTCGACGGCCTTTTGAGTTTCTCGTCGTAAACTAATCCTGAATTTTTTGATGGGCATGGAAAGTTTTGCTTCGGCGCTTTGGTACTTTTTGACACTAACTGATATTTCCGTTTCGTAGTTCTACGCGCTGTGGTGGTGGGTTGTCTGGCCGTTGTTCTCGGATACTTCTTCGTGGTGGACGGAGATCTGGTAGTAGTGCGGATGGTAGTCGATCTGCGCACCACATTTGACTTCTTTGTAGTAGTTCTCGGTGTAGATGCATTTATATCCACCCATATATCATTATCACCTTTTATCACCGTTTGCTTTTGAGGGACTTGAGGTTTCACCACGGTCACTGGCGTACGCCGGGTCACAATAAAGTTCGTATGGCTTTCAATGTTTATAGTCGTTTTGATAATTTTATTTTTGTCGTCACTCTTCTTCTTCATTGTTACGTTAACTTTGGGGGCTTTGCTTCGTAATATCACTTTAGGGGTGGACGGACGCGGGCTCGCTTCGAGTGAGTCTTCGTATTCTTCCCAAATCAGGAACGGTTCGTCGGATTCCGAAGCGGAGGAGTCCTTGGCTCTCGGATGCAGCGAGGCGACGGCACACGCCAGAAGCGCAAGGAGCGCCAGGCGACGCGCCATGTGTCAAGAGTGTTTGCATGGCGGAGTGCGCGGGCACTGTACGCTCGCCGCCGGTCTACCCACACCGAGACCACCTTCCCTGCCACTGTTAAACGTTCTCGCTTTCGATGCGCAACCACTATTCACTAGGTCAACGGTTCGGTCCAGTTCTGCACGTAGCTCTCCACTTAACTATAATGTTTAATATTTCCTGTAGAAAAACCAAATGCTGAATACATGTTTTAGACTAGACTAGAAAGAAAACGAAGTAATGAATACTTGATCCTCTTATCCAGTGTTCAATTATGCTTTTAAGTATATATTAATTATTCTGAAAATTTACAAGATTGAATTTGTAATTTTCGACAATAGGTTTATATTTATGATAGGTAAGTAGGTACTTATCACATAATATTAGCGATTTCTTCCAAGCATTTATTTTAACCAACCAAAATGTAAATACTATTGTAAATATCAAAACTATGCGTATATCTCAAAATATGCAATATGTTAAAATCCTACTCTAATATAGGGCTATGGAAAGTGACAACAATTAAATTGAGTTTTTGTTTCTTATATAAATTATTAATTTCCCAATCGTTTGATTAGGATTATAGTCACAACTCCAATCTGTGTAACTTGATGCGTAAAATGTAGTGCAAAATCTACAGTTCGTTGGTGTGTTGCCTAACCGCCCACAAACATACGATACTGTCGCATTTCCACTGGTTCCAGATTCTGCTATTTACACTGGCCTCTCGATTGCTTATCACTACACTGGCTAGTATTATTATTTGGTATTCTAGCAACCCGGTAACTAAATATTGTGACAATGACGTCACTGAATCTTTACAAGCAATCAATTAATATAGTTAAATAAATTTTTAAATCGTCGCTTGCAACTCACTTGTTAGTGAATTATCAGAATCAGGCCCCTGAATACGTGTCACTGCGCAAACAATCATTATTTTACTCAAAATTATATGGTGCTGTAAGAATTTTCACCTCAATATAAGTTTACTATGCGGAAAATCATACATGCATAGTATACAGTTTATCATGCGTCGTTATATAGAAAGAGGGTTTTTCGTTAGAGACCTGCTTACTATCTGTATATTAATCTACCACCTAACACCTACCATCTCATTTATTTTGGACATTTTAAAAGTAGGACCTAAATTAAAGCCTTGCAAAAAATAAAATTTCTCCACTTTAAAAAGGGACAGTTTTTTAATAGCGCGCCTATTTCAATAAACATTTTTTATTCAAATTCCTCTACAACACTTTTGACAAAGAGGTTTCTAGTAATGATTGGATGATCGTATTGAGGTTTTATCGTTCAAAGTAACGTCTCTACATTATATACGCTATGTGCACAAAGTAGTGAGTATTTGTCAGTCAACATGTGCAAATGAATGTGCGTTTAGAAATTAAAAAAAAAACAGATTGATGATTTGAATATATCAGTAACTTCATCCACACTTAAATAGTTATAGCCCGGCATGGATCTTAAAATATTAGAAATTCCGATTTCTCTGTAACTGAATTGCGCGTTTATTTACTTTAAGAGGCCTTAGCTGCTTTTTGCCAACCTTTACTCAACATTACGGCGAGCGTAATAAAATTTAATGAAATAAACGTATTATATGGTGATCCGCTCTACCGAGGCATCCTATTAAACATGAATGTAGCCATTAGACTCCAATTAAAGTGGCTAGTTATAGCTTTCAAAGGTCAATAAAAAGTACCACTACGAGAATATTAGGGATGTTCTGAAGTAAGTTTTTTTTAATGTGATAAAGGAGGACAGACTAGCATGGCGTTTACTTGATAGAAGGTGAAATAGCTATATAATATCTAAACTAGATGCGATGTTAACGTATTTTGGCTTTGGATATTCGGAAATCCCCAGACTAAAACCGATACGCGAACTCTTCAGTTTTTTTACTTGTTGTTAGTGGTTCGTGACTCGTACTCTATACAGTTTTCCAGACAACGTCCAACATGTTTCAGAAAAATTATAAATTAATAGAAACATACTATCTATAGTTTACGCGAGTAGTACACATTTAAATAAAACACTTTAACGGTTTAAAACGCGATATATTAGTTTAACTTATTTGAAAATGATTTTTAACTTCGGCCCGACGTTTCGGATGCTTTGCAGCAGCCGTGGTCACGGGGAGACCCGTCTATCGCGTTTTAAACCGTTAAAGTGTTTTATGTAATAGAAACATGTTAGACCGAGGACGGGTCAAACCCAGTACCATTAGACCTTCGAGCCTATCAAAACAACCATTAAAGAAACGTTCAAAAATGACTTTTCCTTGTAGAAAAACAATCGATAGCTTTAAAAACATACATCAAGTAAATAAAAGAAAACCTGGAACTGCAGCGAATTTAAAACTAATAAAACTACTAGTGAGGTCGAAAAAAACAGTACGATAATATGATAAACATAAATTAAAAGCAAATTAACAAATATATTACTGGTATGACAATTATAAAACACTATATATGATATGTCTCAAATATGTATCTATTATTTTTAACTGTAAAAACTAATCATTCAAGCTTTCATAACGTTGACTCTTAGACTAAAATAAAAGTTCCCAATCTTAAATGCTCTAATGATGTAAGATAAGAATGATTACTGCAGAATAAAGACATTGAAACGACTCGCAATCAAAATGCAATTATTTAAAATATATAATGCCTCTAATACTTGTTTCTTTCACATAATCGAATTGAATCGAGTTTCCGGCTTCCTTTTCTAATGATAGGAAATGTTTAATGCAGATTCTGCAACATTTGATTATTTAAGTATTTAAGTCAAAATTATTCGTATCTTTAATCAATTATTAAAGACTTGCTGTGCCAGCGACATCGTCCGCGTAGAATAGTTAATATTGGCATTAAAATTTGGTTTTAAAAACCTCCCCCTCATCCCGCACTTCCCGTAAAATATAGACATATACTGTCGCGGACATTTTAGGTAAGTATCTTAAACCATTTTCACAGCGCAAGCAATGGAAACCATAAAATATATCGCGTTTTAAACCGTTACAGTGTTGAAATCATTAATAATAATTATTGTTCATAAAAGAGTCTAAAATGTTGTATATTATACGGATATTTCAATAATCTAGTAATACTAATACGTCCGACTAGTGTTTAAAAAAAATAATCTAACATGGGAACCATTAAAACATATAAGTATGCAAACTATTTCTTTTGAATGAGTTTCATTATTTTTTTAACTGCAACTTGCGTACAATAAACAATTGATAAATATTTATTTACATTATTAACATCATTGAGCTTATCGTATTGTATGTCATGCATTTTGTATAAAGTCAAATTATATTAAAAAATATATATTAAATTTAAGAGATTTTAAGTATAAAAAGTGAGATTAAGAAATAAAGAATTATTAAGCTAAGAGAACTCATAACATGAGTTAACTATCGATTAATAAAATAGTACAACGATTTTGATAATATTTGGAAAGAAAAGTCTTGTTTACCCATTATATGACCCAAGATCATGGAGCAGTAAGCTACTTATACTACAATAAATTAAATACGATTAATGGATAAGATTTTGGCAACGAGTAATAGTAGGTATATCCAAATTCTTGTATGTAATTAAAGGCTTCTTATCCTCAAACAAAATAGACTAGTAGTGTACTCTGTGTTGGCATTCCGACGTTGAGGAAAAGCACAAGAAAACTGAACTGTTCTATCTAAATACAATCTGGCTTTCGCTAAATGGCATATGGAATGGTTCTGTGTTGTAGAATCGTTGAAAATATCAGATATCAATAGAGTACGGCGAGGTGTTTAAGGATAAAATCGACTGTACAACCCGTTTTGTCGCGGAGCCAAATTTCCGAGTGCCTAGGGAAGCAGCGTGGCGGCCGGTCGTGTTTTGCTGGATGGCGTTCGTTCGCTCTAATAACCCACCTACTGCATTGTCAAGCCGGGGCCAAGAGAGTTCACTGCCACTCAAGCCAAGTGTCTAATGTCGGGGTCATCGCCGCAAAACCGGTAACGTAGGCTATATGTGTGCGACGACATAACGTGTTATTGTTTTGACTTAAGGATAAACTTTATAAAATTATAACACAACGACGTAATACTTGGAAAAGCGCGGACATACCAACGGATCTGAGATCTCTTGTAATGTCCTGTAAGAACTTTCTTTTACCAAATACGGGAAGACTTGCTCAGTTTACCTGTTTTCGAGGTTAAATTTTGACGTTTATATTCCATAATTTTATTTAATGTATATAAAGCCAAACAATGCGAATCGTTTAAAGTCTCGTTCTATCATGACGAATGCGTGAAACGTAATTAGGTACAAAGGTAGATTGGCAAATCTTTAGTCCTTTAGAGTTCGCCTTCGTCGGGTAAAATAAGTAATCATTACTTGTTTATTTTTATTGCTAACTACAAAGAAGTTGAAAAAGCTGGATTCACTTCAACACTTCTGACATTTTAATCATTTTAAAATAATAACAATAATTATTCACTTATTAAAATAATAAAATAACTGCAAAACTTCAGCCATAATGTTTGTAATCAAACGTGCGTTTATCGTAACATCGATCGTTTATCCTTGTTACAGAAATAGAAATTAAAATGAAGAGCATTGCATTCATTATTGCAACAATGAGTCTTTGTATCTTTTTCGTTTGTGTCTTTGCCGCTGCAACAACCAGTGGTGAACCAAATGTTATTCAAGTAAAGGAATTGACTCAAGGAGGCGAATTGGTATCTAGGGAGCTTCGCGTAAGTACTTAGTTACTAAATCACTGTTTGGTTCCAGTATACCATGTATGATAAGATATTATATACGTCAATGTACAAGTGAAGATGTTCATCACATTTGGTATAAATTTATAGTGATTTTATTTGTATGTTTCTCATGACACTCAATTTAGCTCTCTCTGTTTTCCTCCAGAGTTCTATAGTTTGGGTAACTAGTTAGTTGCCTTAATGAGTCTGAATAAGTAAATATTTTACTTAAACAAGTAACTAGAATAGTACAACAATTAATCAATTATCTGCTGCGCTAGCGAAGAAATATGGTTACGCTTATTTTTTTCTTTTAGAGGACCGTTAGTCTCGAATCGTCTTATTTCGCTGACATTAATCTAATGCAAATATTAGTTGACTGTCATAAAAAGTTATTAGGCTTAAGTAGATTAGATAACTTGGGTTTCGAGTTCTTTGGGGCCAGCAGAGTCGTGTCTTCACTTAGTCGAATATCTAAAGCCAAGATATTATATGCCTGAGATATTAGGAAATATATTAGCTTTTCTGTTCTTCTCTATCATAGAAAAATTAAGACATCTGAACAAGGACTATTTCTTAGTTACGCCGGCAAACTTTTGTATCTTTATAAATTTCATAGTCAGGCCTATTAGATACTATGTATTGTATTCATATTATAGAGAATAGAACATTAACATTGTGTTTATATAATATGTATATTTTATAACTGATACGGTGTAAAATTTCAAACCCGAGTAATCAAACCAGATCGCTAAAGCCATATGCTTTTAAAATTCCGTATTAATGTTAATATAATTTTCATTTTGTATGATGAAAAATTACTTTAATATTATCGTAATTAATCGCTTATTTAATAAGCCTATTACTTTCTAATCCCTTCTGTAGCTAAAAAAACACCACTCATTCAAAAACTAATAAATAACTTTCTCTAAAATCTTAAGCAAAAAATATTAAAAATTCGGCTTTGTACATTATTTTTAAGTGTAGGATTCTGCATTTTAATGTTCGAATTAACATCCTTACCATTATTATCCAATGCATCGTATTATAAATTAATTTTTCTCTTTCACCATTATGTAGATAAATAAAAAAATACAGTATCGAAGCATAAACCATATTTTGCAAGTTCTTTGGACAAATGTAGGCAGAAAAAGCGACCAAATATAGTTTTTTGCATCAGAAACAAGAATGTTTAAATAAAATCCATGTATTTAAATAAAACACTAACTGTTTACGCCTTTTACGTCAGAGACATCCTCCATCTTTAATCTCCCCGTGACCACGGCTGCTGCAAAGCATCCGAAACGTCGGGCCGAAGTGAAAAATCATTTTCAAATAAGTTTAACTAATATATCGCGTTTTAAACCGTTAAAGTGATTTATTTAAATGTGCACTACTCGCATAAACTATAGATAGTATTTAAAGCCTATATATCTTATATTAACACAAAAGACTAATGAGGGTTGTCTGAAGGAATTGCTCGATAGCGACCAGGCCATCCCTTGCGCTCCAGAATTTGAAGTAGTATTATTTGAGTTTCTTGTCACTGTTTATTTAGTACGAGTGTAATATAGTTGATTAAATAAAATGTAACTTTTCATGTAAATAGAAACTTCACTTCTGACCATTCGATGTTATCTATACTAATCTTAGGAACCACTGATTGGAATTAATAAATTTCTTGTTGTGTTGGTTAGAACAGTTATCGGGACTTGCTTTAGGCAATATAGGATTACGCTACGACCAAAAGAAGAGAAGATTCACTGGGAAATATGGTAAAAACTAAGAAAATTATGCATGTTTATGGTTTCTGTTGCGTGCGTTGCGAAAACGGTTTAGGATACCAAATATGTATGAAAGGATGATTCCTCTTTAAATGATATTAAAAAAATATGCGCGATTTGTCTATCTTTTAAGATTAACGTGTACGAACAATGGGACATGAACGACGTCATGGATACCACCCCTTCATAACCATTTTGATGCCCAAATTAACTATTCTGCGCAGATGAAGTCGCGGACACAGCTAGTACTATAATAAAAATATACCTTATTATAATTAGTACAAACCTCTTTTACAGTATAAACGTAATATAAGCATAATTGGAAATCAGTTTATGCTTGAGAATGTTCCGTTTCGGATAATGTCTGGTTCACTACATTACTTCAGAGTTCCTCATCAATACTGGAGAGATCGCTTGCGGAAACTCAAAGCAGCTGGACTCAACTCAGTTTCGACGTACGTCTTATCATTGCACTGTTTATTACGCAGTAAAATCTTTAAAAGACCAAATAATTCAAATAAAACACTTTAACGGTTTAAAACGCGATATATATTAGTTAAACTTACCTGGTCACGGGGAGACTGCGAGCTGTGGTGTCCCCGTGACCAGGGCTGTTGCAAACGTCGGGCCGAAGTAAAAATAATTTTCAAATAAGTTTCAATAATATATCGCGTTTTAAACCGTTAAAATGTTTTATTTAAATGTGTACTACTCGCTTAAACTTAAGCTTAACAGACAGTATTTAAGACCAAATAACTCGCCCCGACTATAGGCGAATCGTATCAGTCTTATGTATTTAGAAATTAATTAACTAAACTATATTATTTATTAATAATTGTTTCATTTAAATAGTTTTATTATATTAGTTACGTACTTTTACAGATATGTAGAATGGAGTAGCCATGAGCCCGAAGAAGGAACGGAGACTTTTACAGAAGATAATGATATCGTCAAATTTATCAAGATAGCGGAAGAAGAAGGTTTATTTGTGCTCTTGCGACCGGGGCCCTATATTTGTGCGGAGAGAGATTTGGTAATGCGTTTGTACATTAGACATTCTATTAACTTGTTTTTTTGGCAATAGGCAAAATGCATTTATTGAAATTTACGTATTTACGACTCGGGCAGAACTCGAACCGGCATCGTCAGCGTTCCGTGCTGTTGATCTAACCAATTGACCTACCGAGTTCTCGAATCGTCGAATTTCTTCAATCTATTGATACAATATGCATGCATCTTTTGCTCAATGTCATTTCTACCTTAACACTTGCGTATTACGTATTTTGTTCTACTGATTCCAGGGTGGACTTCCTTACTGGCTACTTGGAAAGTATCCCAATATAAAACTACGTACAACGGACATAGGTAAAAATAATTTTATGTAACTAAATATACATAGAATTTGTATTGCGTCTTTGCTATTGATATAAAGAATTTTAATAATAAACATTAGTCGGAATTGCGTTTTCTTTATTGTTTTTAGTAGGAAACGTAGAAGTATAAGTAACTAACTATTATTGTTTATTTTGCCATGTTTTAAATTAAATTACATAATTCTATGTACTAATAAAGTGCTCTGTGCGAACGATTGGTAATAATTTAATTCAAGTAATTATCAGGGAATATTAGTACTTACAATAATGCTTCTAGTTTTGTAGACTTGAGAAATAACCTTTTTGAAGTTTACAAAACTTGTTAGATGGTATGGACGAGCTTGTTTGGGTAATGGAAGCAATTTATAGCTAATATTGAACTGGTAGTAGTGGTTTGATCTTCACTGCCTCCAAGATGTTTTTATAAATTCATAAATTGTTATGAAACATGTTGTACTTCGTCTGGAAAACTGGATTGGATGGATTAAATAGGTGTTAGGAATATCTAAATTGCGTCCAGGTTACGAACGAGTATCAACAAATGAAAAAGCCGTCAAGTGTAATCGTGTTTCGGTTTCAATGTGTGGATTTCCGAATATCCAAAGCCAAAATAGGTCGACAGCGCATCGAGAGCAGAGAGAGAAAGATCATGCTTGTCTGTCCTTCTCTATCATTAAACATTTTTCATATTCAACGTATATATACAATTTGCATTTTTTTTACATTAATTTGCTTAATCTTAATAAAAAAAATAATTATCAAAAAATTGGCGATTCGAACTCACGACCAAGACGAAAGTACTAAGTGTGATTTCCGTGAGTAGGTCATCTCTGAGACATCGTAGATCACTCGTTTACTAAGGTGTTGGTTCGATTTCGCTTTTGGCATTTATATTATTATACAACTTTTATATCAGCTTGCTACTTACTAAAATGTTACTACTTTACAGATTTTATAAATGAAACAAAACGTTGGTTCACCAAACTCTTTGCGCTAATGCATCCCTTGCTCTACGGAAATGGTGGGCCTATAATTCTGGTTCAAGTGGAAAACGAGTACGGAAGCTATGGAGCTAGTAAGCAGTATATGGAGCAAGTTCGTGATCTTATCTCGCAACTGGTTCAGAACAATGCACTACTTTACACAACAGATGGCGCGTATAGGTCGTATTTTTTCGATGGTTCTGTTAACGGGGCTTTGACTACCGTCGACTTTGGACCAGGTAGGAAATGACCACTGGCTTTGATGGACTTGTTAATGTAACGGCATTATATTTTACTTCATTTAGCGTCTTTTTAGTCGTATATCATACAATAAAGTGATTTTGTTTTATCATTTAACACGTTGTTAGCTTATACGTTAACCATTTAGCTTCAAAAAAACACTTTAAATTGTTTAAAACGTTCAATATATTAGTTAGCTTATTTATAATTTATTTTAACTTAACCACGTTCCGAAAGCTTTGTAATGTAGCCGTGGTCACAGGGGGGATTAATGACAGATATATTATAAATAAGTTATATTTATTTAAATAAAACACTTTAACCGCCGGGTCTCCCCGTGACCACTGCTGCTGCAAAGCATCCGAAACGTCGGGCCGAAGTTAAAAATCATTTTAAAATAAGTTTAACTAATATATCGCGTTTTAAACCGTTAAAGTGTTTTATTTCAATGTGTACTATTCGCGTAAACTATAGACAGTATTTAAGTCAAATATATTTCGCGTTTTAAACTTATTTCATCCACGTCAGAATAATTCAGATTATAAAACTCACTTTTAATCTATATTTTTAAATTTTTAGTGAAAAATGTTACCAGCACATTTAAGGATCTTCGAAATTTCATGCCGACGGGTCCTCTGATGAATTCCGAATATTATCCTGGATGGCTGACACACTGGACCGAAGACATACAACGCGTGTCAACTGATTCTGTAGTCAAAACTCTTCGGGATATGCTTGATAACGACGTTAATTTTAACTTCTATATGTTTTTCGGAGGAACAAACTTCGGTTTTACCTCAGGTATTTATTGAAATTGCACCCTACGCTTTTGGTTGTGGACTTCGATTTCCTCTTATGTCACCGCCATTTAATATGGTCGGTCAATATATCATTCTAATGCGATTTCATTTCGTGAAATAGTGTAAATGTCTCTTTCCTTAGGTGGGGTTTTGAGAGGCGCAAGTAGGTTATTTACCCGAAACAAATAATAGCACAGAATAATAAAATAAAAAAAAAGTACTAAACGAATATGTTCACCAAAGGTGAAATAATTGAAATAAATTTTGTGCCGGCTGCGGTTGATATTCTTACCTATGTACTTAACGAACTAAGTTAAACATAAAAAAAATAAACGAGTACCTGTTGTGTATACTCGAATGTTTGGAATTGCCAAAAAAAAAGTCTTCGGAAAAGTTCCCGAGCGAAAGTTTTTTTATGGAACATCTAACTCAAGTTATTTAATAGCTAATTTGCAGCAATTCCGAAAGTAGACACCGTACTGCGTCCACATCATTGATAATTGTTTTTGTGAGAATAATTAACTATCTCCCTGCTCCACATCCGATCGAAACATGTTCTCTTCGTTCCTTCGGGATTTAAACTACAGTTATTGATTAAGGTGATTGTTCAAACCCGTTTTGAACGGTAATAAGTTCAAGTGATTACCATTAATTGATCTACACTAATACTATAAAGCTGAAATGTGTGTTTGAACGTCCTTATCTTAGGAACCGGTTCCAATTGAAAAAAAGCTTGTGTTGGTTGAGTAATTTATCGAGAACCGGAGGAAAATGTGGAAAAGGCGGGGCAATTTAATATTTAAGGACTTCCTTTGTGTGTGCAAGCGGTTTAAAATATGTCTTTAATAATAACACGCAAGACCGACGGGACGCGGACGACGTTGTGGATACCAACTTTAATTTATAAAAAATAGTTTGGAAAAATATATATGATGCCCAAAATAACTATTCCGCGCGACAAAGTCATGGGCACAGCTATTTAACTAAGTTTGCGTTTCAAGAAATAAAAAATAAAAAAAAATTATTTAATTATATTATTATCTTCATCCATTTGAACGAAGCATATTATGTTTTAGGTGCAAACTACGGCAGCTTCTACCAACCAGATATAACTTCATACGACTATGATGCTCCGCTCTCAGAAGCTGGTGACCCGACACCAAAGTATCATGCTATCCGAGATGCAATTACACAGGCATGTTCATATATAACGCTCAAGTATTATATTATAAACTCCTTTGTTCCTCCCTCTCTGCCCAGCATATAAGTATATCAAAATAACGGTCATATGTTAATGTTATTCCATGTACAAATTTCAAATAGATTTTAGATTATGGCCTCATTGCAGTGTTGTCCTAATGATAGCAACGTATGCCTCGTGGTCGTGGCTTCGATTCCCGCCGGGTCTAACATGTTTCCAATCAGCTTATCATTTTTTTCGTGCTGTTCGGCCGACATAAGCGAGAAGAAGTTCTCGACGTTTCGCCATCAGAAGAATTTTTCTACTTTAATTCTTCGAGAAATCGAGGAACTAACATCTCCTCATGATGCCGTCCGCTCGTGATGGCGAAACGTCGAGAACCTCTTCTCACTTATGCTGAACGATGGCCGTGAAAGCCTTTCACAATGTATGATTCCAATCAATTGGAATTTTTCCGAAACATGTTGATGTTCATCTAGAAATAAATATTGTAATTTTTGGAACACATTTTTTACTTCAGTCTGCGGATTTTCGAATATGGAAGACCAAAATAAGTTGTTGACATGTATTATAAACTTACAAACTTTTAAACGAGTATTTTAGGATTGGAGTTCTATACATAAAATTCATCAAGTAATCTTAGATTTTAAATTTCAGTATAGACCCGAAGTAAAAGACATACCTCTCCCGACGGTATCCAAGAAGGGTGCCTACGGAATAGTTGATATGTATCCCTTGGGACCCCTTTTATCAAATGACGGACGTGACGCATTGGGTAAACAGTATCCTAATATAACAGGCTCCAAACTACCCACTTTCGAAGAGTTGAGGCAATTTTCAGGTTTAATTCTGTACGAAACTAGCCTGAATGAAGGTGGAACGTTGGAAATAAAAAAACCAAGAGATTGGATTTTCGTTTACGTGGATTATGTAAGTCTATCAAGCTTTATTGTTTGTAAATACGGTTACACTCCGTCTACTATCGTCAAATAAAACAAATTTTACGGTTTGTAACTAAAAACATATTAGGTTGACAGTTGATTGAAATGTCGTAACTGTAGTTAATTAGTTTGTAATTAATACTTAATACTTTTGATATATATTAATAATAATTCCTATTTTTAAACAGCGTATCCAAGGCGTTATAAACCGCAGATACAAAGCGTACTCATTGAAGATAGAAGCAAAACCTGGATCACTTCTGTCGCTATTTGTTGAGAATCAGGGCCGAATTAATTATGGTCCCAAACTACATGACTTTAAGGTAAGTTTTTCTTTAATCGCAGCGCATTAAAATTTAAATTGTTTATTATCAACCTTTTGACCTTTCCTCAGAATGTATTTGACAATAGGCCCAGTCTGGCAAATATCTAGAATGAGACATTCACAAGTACACATTACTATAGGTGGTAGAAATATCGAAATTCCGAATCACCGTTTACAAATGATAAAGCCGTCAGGGTTAAAGGTGGATATCCAAAGTCAAACTAGTTTGACAGCGCCATCTTTTTTAGAGGTTAAGAGTTTCAGGGGTATTCCTCCTAGCATCAAGTGATCCCGATGTTTGTCCCTCCTCTATCATAAAAAAACTCTATTTGTTCGATTCTCATTGTAAAGCGTATATTTATTTATAATTTAAAAAACTTAGCGACACGGTAGCCTAAGTAAGGTGTCAGTACATGGCCCGGCACCCTGTGAGGTCGGAGTACCCTGCGGGGCCCGGGGGGAGTTGCCTTCCGCAGTTTCGGCACCCCTCCCCTTAAGGTGGCACGGGCGGGCGACGGCCTCTGGTCCGTGTCCACTGGGGTGTGCTAGCGCAGCATTTAGGCCAAGGACAGGCTAGCTCGCTTTCACATATGGGCTGTCGCTTGAGCAATCGTTAGACGTGTCAGCCTAACACTGAGCTGTACCCAGGGAGGCATTTTTCGACAAAAAAGAAGGTGCCAGTACATGGCCCGCCCGTATCGCCATTTTTTTTTCAATTCATATAGAATTTAAATTTATATACTGCTATCATATGTAAGTTTGCAAGACATAAAATAACTAGGTATATTTAATTTTGTGTTTCTTTATTGCAGGGCATCTTAAGTCCTGTTTTATTAAACAACAAAACGTTAGAAGGGTCGTGGTCAATAACAGGTTACCCATTGAAAACGCCTCAAGTCACAGACTATCCGCTACCATCGGGACATCATACCCGTGCGCAATTGTGTAGTCCTATGTTGTTCGCGGGAAGCTTCCTCGCACCAGCAAAAGAAGAACCTTTAGACACTTTTATCGATACATCCGGATGGGGAAAGGTACAGTCGAAATATAAATAAGACACTATTAACGGCGTTAAACTCGAAATATACTTAATGTATATAACAATAATAATAAATCTCTTTATTTGGCATTCATTAGTAGTAGTAGAAATAAATGTAATAACAATAAAAGAACTGATACAAAAAGATTCAAATTAATTTAAAGAAAAGTGATGTCTTTGTCTGTTAGACAGCGCTCATACAACCATTTGAACATATCAATCTACCACGACCACCTTCAATTGCTACCTTTGACAATCAAAATTTTACCTCACCATGATAATTTACAGTGGCGTATTTATTAAGTGTTTATTGTTTATTGAAATAATTTCCTGACCCTAATTTTATTACCTGAGTTCCGAGTCCCTACCTTTGTATTTAATGCGACCCTATTTTACTGAAAGAACCTGTTCCATAACAAAAGTTGCCCAGGACCTAACCATTTTTTTCTTCCTACGCTCAATGAGACCCAGATAAAGACCGATTTTTTTTTTAGGGTTATGCATTCGTCAACGATCACCTTCTCGGAAGATATTGGCCAGAAGCAGGTCCCCAAGCAACCCTTTACGTACCCGGAGTCTGGCTAAAATCCGCGCCAGAGCGAAACGTGGTTGTTTTGATTGAAATGTATGAAACTCAACTAAACTCAACCGTTAATTTTATAGACTACCCAATTTTGAATAAAACTTCGACAACGTACAGTTTTAATGATTCAGTCTTGAGATGTCGTCGTTAACTGTATTTATTTGTATAAATTAAAATCTTGTATATGATTTTATAATACCTGCGAAGAAATTATATTTTTCGACAAGAGTATTTTTTTTAATACCTATTACCTGCGAATATACTTAAATCTTTTTTACGATATTTTGTGAACGTTACTTTTATCTACTTTCTTGGGTATAAAGTTATAAACTAATGTGTTTAGTGTTCACCTTTCTCAATACAATCGAATAAATATTAAAACTTACTTAATCAGAGTCAACATTAAATTGAATACTTTTTTTACTAATATTATCATTAAAATTAATTTAATTAAATTCACTTAAATATAAACATTAAACGTGTTATGTATTTTTTATACTTACAAATTAATAATTAGATAACATTATTTATATAATTTTCTAAACGTGTCTAATAGTTCACACCATGCACGAAGCAACGCAAAAATATGTAAGTGAAGTATTGACAACGAAAAAATACAGAAGACGTCTCAGGCATATATAGTTTTATTCTAAACGAAATGAAAATTATACGTAACGGTAAGTATAGGACTAGGCAACAAGTAGATATTTTTTAAGTTGAGATATTTGACGAAACTTCAGTCCAAACGCAAACAAGAGCATCGCACACCAATGACCTTAACCATGCCAGACAGAGAGGTCAATACGTCAATTGACAATGATAGAGTAGGAGGCTGCTTCAAGACTGGTTGGTATTGTGTCGACGTATGTTATCGTAGCTTGAAGGAAGTGGAACGCTGAATGAGCGCTGAACGCGGTCTGTCGTTGTGGGGACACCGACAGCGCCGGATCGTTCCTCGTGTCCCAAAACAAAAACCACGTGGCCGGCTTACTGAACCTAAAAGTGAGTAACCCGATTGTTACACTCTCGTCCCCATGTTTACAATTTAATACCTTTAAGTGGACATAATAGCTTGTCCATTCGGAATTTGTCCTTCAGCGCTGCGTAATCGTTTTTACATGAAAATTTATAGAATTAACATTAATGCGCCATTTACAATACGTCCAAATTAGTTATAATACAAATATTACACTGAAATAAAACACTTTTAACGACTTCACATACGAAATACTATATAGTTTAAATTTATTTTAACTTGTTTTAAATAACGCTGCTTGCTGCAAAGCATCCGAAACGTCGAGCCGTGGTTAAAATAAATGAAAAAGGATTCTAAGTGAATTATTTTTAAATCACGTTTTAAACCGTTAAAATTATATAATGTTATTTGAAGGTGTTCTTGCGTAAATTACAGACAATGCTTATTTAACATTCTTAGAACTAATACACCATAAAAATGTAATTAAAAACTAAAGAGGAAGGTAAGTTGAAACCAATAGATGGCTCGAGCGTGTTAATTGCTTACTGTGATAAGATATTAATTTACATGTAAAATGAGCAACGTTCATACAATTGCTATAAAGAATCAGCTGATCAAATCACAAATTTTCTTTTTCATATAACATGTTATTACTATGATATTAATTGAAGAACAATATTCAAATGCTATGCTACTGATTCAATGCTAAGGTAGTTGAAAATATAAAATAAAATAGATTGCAAAATATAAATAGGGTTACTTAGATACAAACATTAATATTTTTTTCGTCGAAATTTATTCGTCTTCTAAATTAACTATCTAATTACTAAACCTATTTTTTGAACAACAACAAACAATCAACTAGGTATCAAGAAATTATTCAGCAAACACACACACACACAAATTATATACAAATTGCTGTTTAACTCATTAAATAAGAAATATTCAATTAATTAAAAATGTTTAGATAACTTGAAGCTAATGTACATGAACGATAAATAAAAAAATAATATTATAAAAATGATTGATATTTTGATCAAAAATGCTATCTAATAGTATATTTATACTTCAGGATGGCAGAAAATACTGATCTCAGTTGTGCAGTGGGACCACCGTGTTCTTTGGTGCTTACCGATGGATCAATTTTTCAAGGACGAAGCTTTGGTGCCAAGGTGCCGGTAGAGGGAGAAGTTGGTGAGCTAAACATCAGCTATTAATTCATGTTGTCATTTTGTCCATATCTTTCGTCGGAAGCTACTTAGTATAATCAAAGACATGATAAACACTTCACGATAAATAGTTCACGGAAACTCATATCCTACTTAATTTTAAAATATTTTAGATAAAACGTACACGTTTACGTTAAGGTCAACCCATGACGTAACATTAAATCCAGATCTATGATCTTTTCAGTCTTTCAAACTGGTATGGTGGGCTATCCGGAGTCTTTGACTGACCCCTCGTATCACGCTCAATTATTGGTGCTAACGTATCCTTTAGTTGGTAATTACGGCGTGCCAGATGAAAATGAGTGTGACGAGTATGGTCTACCTAAGTAAGTTGTCGTCATCACCTTTATTAGTTCCCACACACAAGACTTATGACGATTTAGTTTTGAGACACCATGAATCGTCTACTGTAACGAAAAGTACTCGTATTCGGTATGCACAATCGGTTTTTTTTTATCACAGAGGAAGAGAGACAGCATGGGTTTTACGTGATGGTAGGTTATAAACCCCGGCCTATAGCACCAATACAAGATGTGATGTCGACTGTCGATTCGGAAATCCACAGACTAGAACCGAAACCCGATTAAGCATCACAGCTCTTTTATCTGTGGGCGGTGGTTCGTGACACGGAGGGAATTTCGATATTCCCACTACTCATTTAATATCCAGATTTCCAGACGAAGTCCAACATGTTAAATAAAATTATTAATTGGGAAATTAGAAATATGTTGAACCCGGTGGGGTTCGAACCCACGACCCGTTGATTATTAGCCATACATTGCTATCATGAGACCAACGAGGCCGTCAAAATTGGGGTATCTAAACATAGCGAGTAATATAACATAGGAACTTATATGACCCGAAAACTTTCTCTGACGTCAAAAGTCAAAACACTCACTTCCTCTAATCTATTTGCGAATCGGAGTATCAGTGACCTCTGAGTCTTGACAAATTTTAAGTTGACTAGGGCCGTTATATATCGTATGTCAAGATATCCGTTCGTCTCTTTGACACTTATATTAATGTAGTCTTTTAATTCAATTTTGTTCAGTTATATGGAAAGAGTAATAAAGCAATAAACTTTTTGTTTTCGTACAAAAAAAATGCCAATCACCTTTATATCGTTTGACGACTTATAGTGCAATTAAAATTTTGAATACGCTTTTTTTGTAGTCTACATCGTAAAAAATTCAGGTTCCTTGACTTGATAACTCTACGTTGTTGACGTTATTTTTAATTACAGTTATAACATTTAAATAAAACACTTAAACGGTTTAAAACGTGATATCTTAGTTAAACTTACTTGAAAATGATTTTTAACTTCGCTCCGACGTTTCGGATGCTTTACAGCAGCCGTGGTCACGGGGAGATGTTTTCAAATAAGTTTAACTAATGTATCGCGTTTTAAACCGTTAAAGTGTTTTATTTAAATGTGTACTACTCGCGTAAACTATAGACAGTATTTAATTGTAACATTTTGAAATGTACCAATGGTAGATGGTACACAATAATACTCATCTAAATTATAATTAACTGAGTTTCTTTTGAAGGTGGTTCGAATCAAATAAAATATGGGCTGCTGCACTTATTGTGGGCCAAGTAAGCACGGAAGCCTGTCATTGGCGCGCCAAGAAGTCTCTCGGGAAATGGTTAGAGAGCAGAGGTGTGCCCGGTCTTTGTGATGTTGATACCAGAGCACTTACAATCCGGCTTCGTGAGGGTGTTACATTGGGTAGGATCGTTCAAGGAGTTCCACCCTTTGGAATAATGCCACCTCTTACAGATCCGAATGCAAGAAACTTAGTAGCAGAAGTATCTATACAGGTAACAAAATCCCAGAGTCATTGTGAAGTAAATAACAAATTTAAGAGTATATTAAATTATTTAAACCTTTTAAATAAAACACGGCGGTGGTCTCCTCGTGACCATTGCTGCTTCGAAGCATCCGAAACGTCGGGCCGTATTTAAAATAATTCGAATAAATGAAGTTTTAAACCGTTAAATCGTTTTATTGAAATGTGTACTACTCACGTAAACGTAATATAATATTTGATGTAAATATTTTATGTATGTATGTTTATTTTTATGTTGGTTTGATACAACAGTTTAATGAAACAATAAACATTATTTCAGGAACCAAGAATATTTAATCCAAACGGTGATGTAACTATAGTGGCTGTGGATTGTGGTTTGAAATATAACCAAATTAGATGTTTGATTAAGAGAAATGCTAAAGTAGTCTTAGTGCCATGGAATTACTCTTTTAATGACGTCAAGAGTTACGACGGAATCTTTATCAGCAATGGACCTGGTGACCCGGAAGTATGCAAGAGCACTGTAGATAATTTACGATCTAAACTGCAAGAAAAAAACAACATAAAACCAATCTTCGGCATCTGTTTAGGTCATCAGCTATTAGCTACTGCAGCAGGATGCAAAACTTATAAAACAAGGTACGTAAAATGAACAATGATATGAAAAACACATCCTTTGTTAATTTCTTTTCTACTGTTCGTCGGAAGTAATGGTAATACATTGCTTCCTAACTTATTTTAAACGAAGTGTTTCCGGTCCGTCAATATTATGAAAAGTACTTAAGTGTATTTATTTTATTATATGACGTAGTTCCTTCCTAGTTAGAATGTTAGTTAGTTACCACACACAAGATAAAACCATCTCATGTATGGTATCTTAATAAACGTGTCGTAAAATACGCACAACGTAAGGTCAAAATGAGTTGATGTTAAATGCATATTATGTTAAATTTTTTTATTTAAATGCTGCAAGTGGCTCCCTCCATCGAACAAGTTTTATAAATTCTGCTAGTTTACTTGCTAATTAATTCCTTACTATTTTTTAGATATGGAAATCGAGGTCACAATTTACCCTGCACACACAATGGAACAGGCCGTTGTTTTATGACGTCGCAAAATCACGGGTTTGCCGTTGATACAAAATCCCTACCTGAAAATTGGGATATATTGTTTACTAATGAAAACGACAAGACAAATGAGGGTATATGCCACAAATCATTACCCTACTTCAGTGTTCAGTTTCATCCAGAACACACAGCGGGTCCGACTGATTTAGAATGTCTCTTCGATGTCTTTATCGATTTAGTAAAATTATACAAAAATAAGCAACAACGAATTGTTAATGAAATGATTATTGAAAAAATTAGGTTTACGCCTACGCTGCATGACAGGCCAAAAAAAGTTTTAATCCTAGGTTCAGGTGGACTTTCCATTGGCCAGGCTGGTGAGTTTGACTATTCTGGGTCTCAAGGTGTCAAAGCCATGCAAGAAGAGAAAATACAAACTGTTTTAATAAACCCTAACATTGCAACTGTACAAACATCAAAAGGCTTAGCCGATAAAGTATACTTTCTCCCGATTACACCAGAATATGTTGAACAAGTAATTAAAGCTGAACGACCAACTGGTGTGCTCTTAACGTTCGGTGGCCAAACTGCATTAAACTGTGGAGTCGAATTAGAGAAGAATAAAATTTTCGACAAATACAACGTTAATGTTCTCGGGACTCCTATACAGTCCATTGTAGATACTGAGGACAGAAAAATCTTTGCTGAAAAAATTAATGCAATAGGAGAAAAGGTAGCGCCCAGTGCAGCTGTATCGTCAGTGGAAGAAGCTCTAGCGGCTGCCGTACAAATTGGCTACCCAGTAATGTCGCGTTCTGCATTTTCATTAGGTGGCTTGGGATCAGGTTTTGCTAATAACGAAGAAGAACTTAAAACTCTTGCTCATCACGCCCTTTCGCATTCAGAGCAACTTATTATTGATAAATCTCTTAAGGGCTGGAAAGAAGTTGAGTATGAGGTCGTAAGAGATGCATATGACAACTGTATAACAGTTTGTAATATGGAAAATGTTGATCCACTCGGTATTCATACTGGAGAATCTATTGTCGTCGCCCCAAGTCAAACCTTATCGAACCGAGAATATTACATGTTAAGAAATACGGCTATAAAAGTAATAAGACATTTTGGAATAGTCGGTGAATGTAACATTCAATATGCCTTAAATCCCAACTCCGAAGAATTTTACATAATAGAAGTAAATGCGCGTCTATCTAGAAGCTCCGCGTTAGCTAGTAAAGCTACAGGATATCCCTTAGCATATGTTGCTGCTAAATTAGCTCTCGGTATACCGCTGCCTGTGATAAAAAATTCCGTTACTGGGGTTACCACAGCTTGCTTTGAACCAAGTTTGGATTACTGTGTAGTTAAAGTACCTCGGTGGGATTTAGCTAAATTTAACAGAGTAAGTACGAAAATAGGAAGTTCTATGAAGAGTGTTGGTGAAGTAATGGCGATAGGTAGGAGTTTCGAAGAAGCTTTCCAGAAAGCATTACGAATGGTGGATGAAAATGTTAACGGTTTCGATCCATACATAAAACAAGTTAACGACAATGACTTGCGAGAACCTACAGACAAAAGAATGTTTATTTTAGCCGCAGCATTGAAAGAAGGATACTCTGTTAAAAAAATATACGAACTGACTAAAATTGATCCTTGGTTTTTAAACAAAATGAAAAACATTATAGACTATTATGGCAACTTGGAAGCAATAAATGGACCTATATCTGCGGAATTGTTAAAAAAAGCTAAACAAATAGGGTTTTCGGATAAACAAATCGCTGCAGCAATAAAAAGTACAGATTTAGCCGTTCGAAAACTAAGAGAAGAATATTCGATCACACCATTTGTTAAGAAGATTGATACTGTAGCTGCTGAATGGCCAGCTTCTACAAATTATTTATATTTGACATATAACGCAAGCACACATGATTTGGAGTTCCCGGGAGAGTTTGTAATGGTTTTGGGATCCGGTGTGTACAGAATAGGTAGTTCCGTAGAATTCGATTGGTGTGCTGTTAGCTGTCTAAGAGAATTAAAGAACCAGGAAAAGAAAACAATAATGATAAATTATAACCCTGAAACAGTAAGTACTGACTACGACATGAGCGATAGACTTTATTTCGAAGAAATTTCTTTTGAGGTTGTAATGGATATTTATAACATAGAACATCCAGAAGGTGTGATTTTATGTATGGGTGGACAGTTACCTAATAATATTGCTATGGATTTACATAGACAGCAAGCTGTTATATTAGGTACTTCACCTGATATGGTTGATAACGCAGAAAATAGATTCAAGTTTTCAAGAATGCTGGATCGTAGAGGAATATTACAGCCACGGTGGAAAGAATTGACAAACCTAGAGTCAGCCATTAATTTTTGCGAGGAAGTAGGCTATCCGTGCTTAGTTCGTCCATCATACGTACTAAGTGGTGCCGCAATGAACGTAGCTTACTCTCACCAAGAACTTGAAACTTATCTTAAGTCTGCCAGTCAAGTTAGCAAAGATTATCCTGTGGTTATTTCAAAATATATTCTGGATGCTAAAGAGATTGATGTAGATGTCGTAGCTGCGGATGGTATTCTGTTGTGTATGGCTGTTTCTGAACACGTAGAAAATGCCGGTGTTCACTCGGGGGATGCTACATTAGTCACACCTCCGCAAGACATCAACAAAGAAACTTTGGAGAAAATAAAAGACATCGCTAGAATAATTGCAGAAACACTAGATGTGACTGGACCGTTTAACATGCAGCTCATAGCTAAGGATAATGAATTGAAAGTCATAGAATGCAATGTACGAGTATCGAGATCGTTCCCATTTGTTTCAAAGACACTCGACCACGACTTTGTTGCTATGGCTACTAAAGTCATCCTTGGTATACCTGTGGAACCCGTAGATGTAATGAGCGGTTGTGGTAAAGTTGGAGTGAAGGTTCCACAGTTTTCATTTTCAAGACTCTCAGGCGCTGATGTTACTTTGGGCGTAGAAATGGCTTCAACAGGAGAAGTAGCTTGTTTCGGTGAAAACAGATATGAAGCTTATCTCAAATCTCTTACGAGCACTGGATTTAGAATTCCTAAAAAGGCTATTTTGCTATCTATAGGAACATTTAAGGTACATAATTATTCCGTTTATCACTTAAAGCACTACATATGACAAAATAATAATTTATTTAATACTTTTAGCATAAAATGGAGCTCCTACCAAGTGTAAGGGTTTTACAGAAAATGGGATATAAACTTTATGCCAGTATGGGAACAGGTGATTTCTACACTGAGCACGGAATAGATGTAAGAACTTTAAACTATACTACATATGTATATAACACATGAACATATTCCTAATATATTTTCCAATTTTAGGTAGAAAGTGTACAATGGACATTTGATCATATTGGGGACCTAGACGATGCAAGATCAGATGGAGAATTGATGCATTTAGCAGACTTTATGGCGAGACGTCAATTAGATCTTGTTATTAATCTACCAATGAGAGGTGGTGCTCGACGTGTTTCTTCGTTTACAACACATGGTTATCGTACCAGACGCCTAGCAGTCGATTATGCCGTTCCTTTAGTAACTGATGTTAAATGTGCAAAACTTTTAGTACAGGTAAATAAGAATAGTGTTTGATTTTTCTTATATTTTTAAATCTTATAATAATTTATTAATATTCAAACCGCTAACGCATGGCCATATTGTAGGTAAAGCAAAAGCCAAACGCTTATATTTCCTATTTTATTTCCAGCTTGATTACTTGTAATTATTATAACAAAATTCCCTTTTCAGGCAATGTTGAAATGTGGCGGTGCACCAGTTATGAAAACACATACTGATTGTATGACTTCAAGAAATATTATTAAACTACCTGGTTTCATCGATGTCCATGTACACGTTAGAGAACCAGGTGCAACGTATAAGGAAGATTTTGATTCTTGCACTGCTTCTGCTCTAGCTGGTGGTATAACAATGATTTGCGCTATGCCAAACACTAATCCACCGGTTGTGGATCGCACATCATTTGATTACGTCGCTGCGCTCTCGCGGGTTAGTTCTCGCTGTGATTACGCACTATATATGGGTGCATCTACTAGCAACTCAGAAACCGCTGCTGAACTAGCACCGCAATCGGCGGCATTAAAAATGTATCTCAATGAAACATATACAACCCTTAAGCTCGACGACATGACAGTTTGGCAAAAGCATCTCCAAAATTGGCCAAAGAAAATACCTATCTGTGCACACGCAGAGCGGGAAAAAACTGGAGCAATTATACTTATGGCCTCCCTCCTTGATAGACCTATTCATATTTGTCACCTAGCTCGAAAAGAAGAAATTTTGATCGTGAAGGCTGCTAAAGAACGAGGTCTAAAAGTAACATGTGAAGTGTGTCCTCATCACTTATTTTTGAGTACAAATGATGTTGACCGTATTGGCAAAGGACGTGCGGAAGTGAGACCAGTTTTGTGTAGTCCTGAAGACCAAGAAGCACTTTGGAATAATATGGACGTAATCGATATATTTGCAACTGATCATGCACCACATTCGGTTGAAGAGAAGTTTTCAGAAAAACCTCCACCGGGTTTTCCGGGTCTCGAGACAATTCTTCCATTGCTTTTAAATGCAGTTCACCAAGGTCGATTGACAATGGAAGATTTAATCAATAAATTCCACCGAAATCCGCGAAAAATATTTAACTTACCCGAACAACCTAACACTTACGTAGAAGTTGATATGGACTATGAATGGACTATACCCGACGCCATGGAATTTACAAAGTCTAAGTGGACTCCATTTGCAGGCATGCACGTTTGTGGTTCTATCCACCGTGTCACCTTACGAGGTGAGATTGCGTATGTCGAAGGACAAATATTAGTGCCGCCAGGTTTTGGACAAAACGTGCGCGAATGGCCAGCACCCAAAAAGCAGACATTCCCAATTTATTCAATAGAAAAAGTGGAAAAAGAGACCAGTCGTCCCAACTCTGCCTTAGATTTCCATAGTTCATTGGAAGTTAGTAAATACAGTGACTACGAGTTGGATCAAAATGAAACAACTAAACCAGATAATAAGTTAAACGTGCATTTTAACGAAGGCGCAGCTTTAAGGAGCACTTCGCCGTTACCGCAACCGACAACGAGACAGAGATGTGACAGTTCGTCTTATTACAACCCTCCTCAAACTACGTCGTCACAACGACAACGCAGTGATTTGTTCGGCAAAAGTATCCTCACAGTGGACACGTTTAGTAAAGACACCCTAAATGATATTTTCAATTTGGCTCAATTTATGAAAACGAATGTGAGCAAAGGCAGATGTCTCGATGATTTGCTACGAGGCAAAGTAATGGCGTCGATCTTTTATGAAGTGAGCACGCGAACAAGTTGTAGTTTCGCTGCAGCAATGCAAAGACTTGGCGGTTCAGTGATACATACAGATGCAACAAATTCGTCGGCTAAGAAAGGCGAAACGCTAGAAGACAGTGTAGCTGTTATGGCTAGCTATTCTGATGTGGTGGTCCTTCGTCATCCAGAACCCGGTGCAGTAGCGGTACGTAAACCTATGGCACTTTATATGTTAAATATGTTTTTAGCAATGTCATAATGTCTCTTAATAAGACAAAGCTCTTAATGTTAATATTCTAACTTAAATTATAACAAATATTTTATATGTACCACTTGCGTTCGTCTGCAAGCGAGAGATATTTAATGAATAAGTATTTACCATTATTTTTCTTTAATTTTAGAAAGCATCAAGGCACTGTCGTAAACCTGTCATAAATGCTGGTGATGGTGTTGGGGAACACCCCACTCAAGCATTGCTTGATATCTTCACTATTAGAGAAGAGATTGGTACTGTGAATGGTTTGACAATTACTATGGTGGGTGATTTAAAAAATGGCCGCACAGTCCATTCCTTAGCTCGCTTGTTAACATTATACCAAGTTCAACTTCAGTATGTGAGTCCACCAGGGTTAGGGATGCCGAAACATATCATGGATTATGTGGCGCAGAAAGGTGTTCCACAAAGAGTGTATGAAAGATTAGAGGACGTTCTTGCTGATACCCACGTTTTATATATGACGAGAATTCAAAGAGAAAGATTTGAAAGTCAAGAAGAATATGAAAAGGTAAATTTAAAGTTATTTACACTAAGTCTTTTTATTCCTGTTGTAATATGACTTCAGAAAGAAATACCTTGCTTTTTGATAGTCACAGTTGATTGTTTGACTTGTTTTATTAGTTTGCTGTTGTTGTACATTTTCATGACATTATGCCATAGTTTGGCAAGTAGTATAAACACCAATATTCAGGATACTGTCCCTTGCTTGCTCATTGGCTGTTAATAAGCTATTAAACATCAAGAATATTTTCTAGATTCGCGGGTTGCTTATCGTGACTCCCCAACTAATGACACGAGCAAAACGTCGGATGGTCGTAATGCACCCTTTGCCTCGGGTCGATGAAATCTCTCCAGAATTCGACACTGACCCCCGCGCTGCATACTTCAGACAGGCGGAATATGGAATGTATGTGCGAATGGCACTTCTAGCTATGGTCGCTAGTGTGAATCCACTTATTTGAATTTATAAATAAAGTTTATAAATCTGTCCCCCTTATTTTAATTAACTTGATCTTCAAATAAAGGCAATTTATAACAAATCATTTATTTACAAACTCTTTACAATTCACATATTTTCTTGATGTTATGATAATTACTTTTAATACAAAATAACCAATTTAATTTAGAATAAATAAAACATATTATGATAAATGTATTTTATGAATTCCAATAGAGATTTTTACTCTTTAACTTAATGAAACAACTTCAACTAATTCTGAAAAATTAAAACCAATGATACATGTTTATTATTCATTCTAAATGTTGTAAATATGGTCTTAAACTATATAAAACATAAAAAATAAATCTATTTACATACAACGTATCATCTAAGTGATGCTTTAGTTAATAATGTCAGTTCATGTAATAGCAATAAATCATTTAAAAGTAAAAGCACAGTACAAAACTATCAGTAAAACAATGAATTAATGATAAGGAAAAGTTTACATTAAAATTGTTATTTTTTAAGAAAATTTATAAATTATTATACTTGTAATAAGTATAACCCGAGATTCTCTCTTTCCGTGACGTAATAAATAATATCACAATATGTGATTATTGATAATGGTTACAAAAATACAATTAAAATGATACTATATTTTTATATACATACGTTTAAATAAGTTCTAAATCGAGGCGCATCCGTCTCTTTTCTAAGTAGTTTACAATGTAAATGACATAACGTAACTATTTTTTAGGTTTTTGGTTGTCTTTTTTAATTACTTTTAACTTACTTTACTTTTATGCTTAGCATGAATGTGAATGACAATGTAACTAACAATTCATAGTGTGTATCTACTATAACTTCGACTCTTCCCCATCTATATCAACAAATTTCGTGGACTCCGAGCGCTTAGAATTATTGTTATCAACGTGGACGTCCACAAAAGTGAAAGGTGCTATACCAGAATTTTCTGTAGGTGAATCTTGACTGTTTATTATGTGTTCATATCTAGGGCGATGTTTGCGTATCATATTAGCGTGAACGGAACGTTCTTGCTCTCTCATTGACACTTTATAACCCACTTGGTTAGCTAATTTTCTTTGACAGTCACCTAATTTATCACGAATAATATGTACATAATCCTGCGCCGACGCCTCGCCCGCAGGTTCTTCTTTTAATAAAATACACAGCCGTTTAGCTTGCTCCAAGTAAATGACCGCTTGTCGAATAGCGTCGAATTTTTCACTCGAACGAGCCATTGCAATAAAGTGGGAAATAAAAAATTCTAATACTATGCGCCTTCGGTCAGTGTCCATTTTAGTCGGCAAAATAATCTGGAAAGAGAAATCAATGAATAATTAATTAAAACCTTTATCGCAGTTATTTTGTTTAATCAGATAAAAGCATATCATAAGAATAAAATATACTTACATTTTTATTTATTTCTTTATTCTGGGAACTTTCCTTTCCCTTTTCTTTGGGCTTCTTCATATTAATCGTTGCTTTTCTTCTTTCTTTTATTTGGCGTTGTCTTTCTTTCTTCCATTGGTAGTGCTTGTCGTGCATCTTTGCTTTGTCCCAAATACTATTGATGTTTTCATCTTCGCTATCAGAAGAGTCATCGTAAGTAATAGGGTTAACTGGCAAATAGGGGTTCATGATGCGCAGTGGATTTTTACAGGTTAAGATTTCATACAGTCGGTGGCAATTAAATACCGGATAAAAATCTTTCTTCATATATTTTAGCTTATTTAAAGCATAAAGTAAATGCATCACTGGAGCCTCTAGGATATCAGCTAGTTTGCGTTGTACTTTCAATAACAATGGCTTAGGTACGCTTTTGAATTCGTTGCAGTTTTCTATAAAGTAGTTGGGAAGTCGTGATCTTCCGAAATGTACGTAGAAACTGCGCAAAAACAACCTTAGTGTCTCTCCTAGTCTGTCTTCTGGCCATTTGGCGTAATTGTCTTCGCATTGCCAAAACAAATGATTTTTTATATGACTTGCATCGATACCTATCTTAGAGGTGTCGTTTTCCATAAAAGTTTTATGTAAAGCAAGCATAAACAGATAACATCTCATATGTGAGTGAGCTAAACAGCTCTCCAAATATCTTTCCGCCGCTGGGAATATAATTCTCCATTGTAATTTTTGATCCGGATTTAAACCTCGTTTTGGACGGAACCCAACTGGAACTAATAAACAACCAAATCCAATGGCTTTACTAACCATGTATTTCGTTGGCCATTGGTAACTGAAATTAGTCCGAGGATTTTGTATTATTTTCCTTTCTCGTATAATCCATTGATTTGCTGCGTTTGGCCAGGCTGCCAATAAAGCTGGAAATAGTTCATAACTTGTATTAGAACCATTTCTAATACCATCACAGTATATACTTGCACCTTGTGTTAAGGCATTTTTTATTGCTTCTTGTTGAAAGCCTAAACCTGAGCCAAGGCCAACAATGAAGTTATCTACAAAGTCGTCCATAAATGTTATGGAGTTTAGATAGTGATGAGTTTCGAAAAGAGTTTTGTTCAAAGATAGCTTTGATGCTGTATCAGCTTCCTCATCTTCTTCGTCGCTCCAATCAAAGGCCTTTTCCTTGAGAGAAATCCAACATTCATCTGGTAAAGCTCCCGTCGAGGCCGAATCTTTGCTTTGTAAACTCAATTCGATTTTCTTCGGAGTTGTCGATTCAGTGATAGTAGTGTAACCATAATCAGATTCTGTTTCACTGGATTCTGTTTGACGGCTAGAATTCGATCGATATCCGGATGTTTCAGTGTCTTCTGCGGGATTTGAGTGTTCTATTGGGAAACTGTTATTTTCAATCTTGTTCTCGTAATTAGACATTTTCAATATTGATTTCCTTGGTTTAATTTCAGCCTCCGTTTGCTGATCCTTGTTAACATCTGAATTTTGCTCTTTATTAGATTTGTATCTGTTCCTATTTTCTGTAATCACAACTTGACTTTTTCGAGCTTTGTTTGTTACATATCTATCGGGAGACACGCTTCTCTTGTTTTCAGATGGAACAAAGAGCTTTGGATAAGGGACATCGGATGCGTTCGACTCTTTTTCCGAATCTGTATATAAGCTATCATCGGAGTTTAGGTGAGATCTCGTATTTGCCAGATCTGTTTCTTTCGACAGTGTACTTTCGAGTACTTCTAATTTTTTAAGTTTCACGTATCCTGTAACCAAAAAATGATTTAGATACTTGTATTCAAATAAATAGATCATAAATCGTTTAATACGTACCTGGTTCTTTACTTTCTTCGATTCGGAGTTTATAAAATGGAGCATCAAGTACAGCACAGTAATCTGAAGTGTCGCCGGGTTCACTAGCCTCTACATTGTCATAAATAATAAACAGTCTTGGAGCAGCCAGTGGTTGCAAGTGGTCGCGCTGTTTTTGGTAACATACGTACTCTTGAACACATTCTTGAAGTCTATCAGCAAAGAACACGTGCTTGTGACGTCGTACCATAGCTGCATCCATTATGTGTTGGCGTTCACTGATTGGATTGTTCTTCACGAACTGGACCTCTCTGAAATATGCACGCTTAATTTTATCTGTGTATTCTTTGAATATTTTTTTTTCAGCACTTATATTTAGTTATAACATTTGTATTGACTCTATTTTTAATATCGCCAAATTTTATAAAACACTTATAACAGTTTTAAACGCGAAATATGTTGCCTAACTTATTTTTAATTATTGTAATCCCCGTGACCACGTCTGCTGCAAATCCAAAAGATCGGATTAAAATAAATTACAAGTTAAGTCATATATCGTCAATTCAATAATAATAGTAAAAGTGTTTTATTTAAACATCTCCATATTTGATTAAGCCCAATTTTACTTCAGTTTACATGCTACAGTTAGTGTCAATATTAAGTTATATCTATTTTAGTGTTTGTATCTTAAAAGTAAGGAATAATAGGTTTACATTCAAAAAGGTGATAGTTTGAGTAGGTAATCGTGATTTATAATAAAAAGAAATCACCGCTGATGATATGCAAGATAATCATATCTACGTAAGTATGTTCTTGAACCTTATCACCACACAATTTTATATTCGCAACAAATACCTACACAATGTGTCGGAACATTTCTTTATATTATAAATATCTATTCGTTTTATTATAATAATCTTGAGTGCTTTTGTTGTTACACTTCAGTGAGATCTTTATAACGAAATATGAATACTTATATGCGTACTTGTAGATATTCTTATTAAAGGAAAGCCTAAAAAGTAAATAGGTCATATTTGCTTTTGGAAATTAGAATTTTTTAAATTAAACTCATATGGAGAAAAGTATATATTCGTAACTTATACTTAATATATAAGTGATATTTGATTACATTTGTAGTATGCATTAGTGAACTAATGTAAAATGTTCGGAAATATTGTACTCTCTCAGTATCACTTCTTTAAAAAGCTTCTTCAAAATACGAAGTCAGATCTGTGTAATGTGTAAATCGTAACGAGTATATCCATATGAGATCCTATCGGTCAATGCCAGAACTTCTCATACTTTTGTTATCAAATGTGACTGTATTTATAATTTGAAATAGTAGACCCTAACGCTGTACGCGATCGACGTCGACAGCAGGGTATATAAGCCTTACAAACATCGCCTATATGCTAATTGGCACGTCTTAAAAACCTACTTTTATTAAAATAACACTTCCTGTTTGCACTGTGATTAGTAATAGAAATCAATAATGTATTTATCAGACTGCTTTTAAAATCACGACTTCTTACATTTTGCCTATCAATGATTACATTCAATTATCTATTTTGATTCGCATTAAAGATTATTGCCGCTAATGTCCGATATGTACACGCAGGTATAATCGTTCATTTTATCAATGTTTTCGAATAATTGAAAAAAAGAAACTAAATTAATATACATTTATATGACGAATTATTTAACCATCAACGATGGTTATGATTTGTAATTATCATTTTGTATTTTTTTACTGATAGTCAAAATATTCAGCAGTGCTATAAAGTAACATGGTACAAATTCACGATTTCTCAAGTAATCATTTAGATAATAGACAATGTTTACTCACCGTTCGAAATTTTCAAAAAACTGTATCGATAGTAGAATATTGTTTAACAAAAAAGCGTCTGAGTCATGATTCAACTGATACCGCATTCGGTCTAAAGCTTCTTCGTCGTAAGTCCGCACTTGGGAAGGCGCTGGCAACGGGGGAGTCCCCAACGAGGGACCATTAAGAGCCGCTGCCGGGTTGATCGCTGGCTCCTTCGCTGCTATCCGTTTATTCATCGGATTGGCCACTCTTTTCTTTTTCTCCTCATTCCGCTGTTCCTTCCAACGAGCGCGATCGAAAAATTTATCGGGCTCCTTCTGCGCCTTTTTCGACTTCGAATTTCCCATGGCGCAGTTAGATTAGTTAGAACATAATTTTCACTAAAATAACAGTTACAAAAAAATCACGATGTTACCTCTTAAGGGAACCAATTATGACTAGCCGATAAGTGTCTTTGATTATACCATTCTCATTTGAAATCTTATCTGTAATTGATTATTAATTTATTGATTTTCACTGATATAACAAATGGTCAGTGATTGCAAAATATTGTAAGAATACATATTTATTGTGTGAAAACATGTAATGTCTTAGACATAGGTTATTACGTACTGTTCTACATGCAGGAAGTAGATATAACATTCAGGTAGAGTACGGATTCGTAAGAAACCAAGTTACATTATCGTTACTGCAATCATTAGCTCAAATCAAACTATGAGTTGTAAAATATAAGATAAGTTAAACGATATTTAGAACACATGCCTAAGTCTGGTCATTATAGAAAATAAAATTTGCCGTTTAACTGTCGATAAAAATGGTGAAAATAAAAACCCTGCTGCACACTGTTCTTCTTCTTCAATATTAAATTTATTTAAGGACAATCTTAACTCCTACACAATATTTAAATTATGCATACTATAATTTATCTTATTACAGCTATATACTTAATCCAGTTATAAGATAAATTGGGTCTAATAATATTTTAAATCATTCACAAATTGGTTACAATGGAACTGCAAAGATACGAACATGATGCCAATAAAAAATATATGTATATTTATAATATATAAGTTAAATAGTAGATAAACTACTAGTATTTAAGTTAAATATTAAAATGCTGTATAAACCCTATCTTTACTTTAAAAATGGGTGGGAAATAAGAGACTTACTTTTATGCAAAATTTATTGCTTAAATATGATTAGTCGAACTAGTATTATATAATAGATTATAATGATAAAGGTTAAGAAAATAATACCGAATCTTTTCCTTGTCGAATAAAAGTCGTTAAAGAACAATAAAATTATAATCGAAATATAAATATTTTGCTCATAAAGGTCACAGAAAAGAGATTTCAATAATTTCGGGATAATAACGATTGCATAAAAATACAGTGTCAAGTGTAATTATCTAGATTTGAATACTGGTGTTATATTGGGTAATTGTTTCACACATAAAAAATATTTAATAAAATTATGAAAGTACAAATAAAGTCGCGAGATTTTCATAATAATAAATTCTACACCGTTGAATGCTTACTCATTAGACGTATCACAATTATCTTCAAGGATCTTTGGATTACATTATAAGATAGGGTGTAAGTATGTGGTTCAAAATGACGGTCAAGGGATTTCCCGAAGAATTTCAACGGGGGCTGGACTGATTCCACTTTCCTCCATATTCTCTGCTATCCTGACGATATCTCCGCGCGCTTCGACGTTTATTCGCCTCTGGGTGCGCCTACGCTTCAATTGATCTATTTTTCTGTCCATTATCCTTCTGTAAATTAATGGAAAATAATTAAATCAGGATTTTGTACGTAAAACAGAAAAATCTGTTCTGCTAAGTGTTCATATGTTTTTAAATCAAAAACTAAAACCTATCGCATATACCTAAACAATGCTTATTGTTTAGTTAAAAAAGAAATAGCTTCAAGAAAGCTTAATAAGTGGGAATCAAACCCACATTTGTAGTTATTTGTTTGAGCGGTGTTAGATACAGCTCCCAAACGAGTTGGACTAAAGAATAATATCGGGTTTAACCAGTAAATAAATAAATGTATATAGGACAATTAGCTGTGCCCGCGACTTCGTCCGCGTAATATGAATTATTTTATTACTTTATTTGAATTATTTTAGGCATGCAAATTAGTTTTTTCCTTCTCATCTTTATAAATTAAGCTGTTACTCACGACGTGGACCTCATCTTGTCATTCTTGCGAATGAATTTTACAGTCTATGTCTGTACGATATACTTTCGTAAATGTTTTTGTAGTTTGTAAAAATTTAATTCGAACCAGTTGTTTCTGAGATTAGCGCGATCAAAGAAACAGACAAACTCATTAGCTTTATAATATGAGTATAGATAGCGTTGTACTTACTGTTGTCGGCAGTCGATTAATATTCCTAGAACAAACACCATAACAATAGCTACCACCACAAGCGCAGTTATACCTAACATCGTAGCTACTGTTAGTGTTGGTACACCCTTCGCATTTACATAAACGCTGGGATCCGACGTTTGCTCCAACTCTGATAACTCTGAAAGCACGTTTTATAAAATAAGTTATAAACACCACACATATCTTTATATATATACACTTTTTATTAAAGATGAACTAGAACTGAATCCCAACAAAGCGGTTTTATCATTCAAAAGTCTGCGCATAACATCACACATTTGAAGAAGAAGCCACGAGCGACAAAACAAACGGGTACAAAGCGAGATTTTACAACGATAGAGGGCGGCCTTATCGCAGTTAGTGATTTCTTCCAGGCAACCCGAGGCGAAAGAAACTTAATAATTAAACTAGACAATGTGCAAGAAGTCTTCATCTTTATTGTCTTTAACCCTTAGTATACGCAAGTATCGTGACTACCGTTTGTGTACAGATATTTAGTACTAAGTAATTTATTTGTACGTTTAGTTTAACTTACAGATGTCGTACGTTGGAATTGAAAATTCCAACAACCTTCTAGCCGCGGCCAAGACGATACCGGCCATGGCCACCACTTAACGTGAGAATTCATCGTAATTAAGTAACAAACCAAGCAAAACTTAGGATATATTGTGATCTTTATTTACTGTATCTATAGTCTATACAACGGAGACGTGCTACTATAGCTACAAACAGCGGTAAAAAAGTTATCGTTGCAGTTTTTTTTTTTAATGAAAGATTGTGTTTTAATATAACTATATGTCTAAACTCTAATTTCTCCCTGTTCTAGAATCTTCTTTAGGTAAACATGTATTACCAACTAGGACTAGGTACGAGATTCATGTAGTTTGTTATTGTTGTATTATCCAATCAGGTGAACACAACATTTTTACTTACCTAAATCCCAATTGCTACTTTTTATTTCTTCCATTTCAATATTTCTTTGTTTCGCTGTTACTCAGGTAGGTCAGGTAAAGGAAGTATTCCGTTATTTATATTTTCAATCGTATCTAAAAAGAAGAGTCCTTTATTAGTTTTTTATATTCCTCGAAATTTCGTTCGTTATTCGTTAATAAGTAACATTTGTGCAACAAAAACAAACAAACAAAAAATTTTCCGCAAGTACAAAAACTTACCAAAATAACCGTAACCTACTACTTCTCTTTATAATTGTAAAATTCTTACTTTTAAATTGATATAATTAATTTCTAGATCACCTTTTATAGGTATAGGAGATGCGTCCAATCATCCATTAATATTATTTATTTCCTTTTAAATTAAATTGTATTCGGATAATTTAGTACGTAGAATTACGTATAAAGCACAAACATTAGACGGGCTACTTGTTCCACTTCTATCAATTCGCGGGTTCCAACTCCCAGGTTTGACATGTTTTAAAATAACATTTCTTGACCTTCCACTACAAATTTCACTTTCAAATAGGTGGTGGTAAATCTTTTCCACCCGAATCAGGCCACTGCTTTGTGCTATTTTATCTGACAACCACCGTCCATTAAGCATTTAAATGTCGGTATAAATAATAAAACGAAATTAAGTCGACTGTGCATCCAATTTAGATATCATATGCCTGCTATATATGGGCTTTCATCGAGTGAATCCGATGCTTATCTGTCATAATATATGCAATGATAATATCCCAATCACAGTCTACACTTGCGTTGAATAAGATGTATGGGATCCGTCATCCGCCCCATAAATTTCCTCGACCGAGATCTAGCTTGTAATACCATCAACACAATTTATCACAAACGAATCTCGTCAAAGTCTGAACTTACCCATTAATTAAATTTTAATTGATTAGTAATACAGATAGGTATTCGTTATTGATTTTGTAATAACCAAAACAATTCCGCGTAAAACGATAAGATAAATAGTGTAGCGAGCATCATTAAGATTTGTTTGAGATTAAAAGCGCTTTTACTTTTGATAATCAGCTTCATGTACTTTGCTCTGTGTGTGGTGCCGTGTTATAAAGTAAATTTAAATTATGGAAACAATTGCGAAACGATAGCGAAGTTGGAATAGACCTAAATATACATTTCTAAAGAAGAACGTTTGAAAATGACGTATGTGTTTGTCAATCTTCAAGGCCCTTGGCGAACATAAGTATTGTTTTAAATCGCAACTCTTTGTTTAATGATAATATTCATGTTTTAAGCTATTTCAGTAAATGAAAAATGATTTAATCGCCCCTGAACGACAGAAATAGAAACACAGAAAAACTGAAAGACGGAAATTCAATTGGTAAAAGTTTCTGCAAATGGCGATAGGTGACTCATACAATAAATATTTGTCATATCATTTGAATAGTATATACCCTGAAGTTCTTAGTTAAAAGTCATCACGATTCTATTGTTGTAGATAACTAAATAATTTAACCAGTTAATTGATAAATACCTAACTTAGGATAAATGTTAGTGGCAGTATATATAGTTATATAAACTAGAAAATAAGACGTTAACATGGATTATTTCATTACATATCTAAAAAAAAATATTTTTTTGAAAAAAAAAAAAAAAAAAAGAAAAAAAAAAAAAAAAAAAATATATAAAAAAGGGGGGGAAAAAAAAAAAAAAAAAAAAAAGGGTTTTTTTTTTAAAAAAAAAAAAAGGAGGTGGGTTTTTTTTATAACAACACGAGGTTTTTGGTGGGGTGGGCTCATGAGAGTGGGTAACCTAAATGAAAAGGGGGGGGGGGGGGGGGGAAGTCAAGTAGTTCATTAACAAATTATAATAATTTCGAATTTGATATTAATAAATGATTAGTTTATTGTATTATTAATAGTTTATGATACCTTAACAAATTAGGACTGTATCTAATTATGATCGTTAAATACTAATTATACTTGTTATAGAATCATCATAATTTATTTTTCTTATTTTGTTTGATAGTCGTGTAGTAGTACTACACGCAATCGCTCGCACCCAGGTCAATTTCATTTTCCATCAAGGGCCAGTTCATTCTTGATCTAAGTGCCTCTATCGTAAAAATGTAGGCTACATTGTAGTTTATGAACCTATAGAAAATATTGTTTATTCACTAGACGTACTGGACTACGTGACAGATCTACTTTGTAGTATCTTAACGTTTCTTTTATCTTTGTTTTATGCACTAGGAAGAGAACAACAATTGCGATTGACAATAATGAATAACAATGAAAATTCATCGCATTTTACATTAACAAATTACTCATATTCATTTTGCCTCCTTGCTTTACTTACATCCAGTGGTGTAGATCCAGGTTACGGCTATAACCAACGGATTTATTTTCCACATGGTGGAAAATTATATTCAGATATTTTTAAACAGCTATCGCGTCTGTAAATGTATTTAATACTAGAGTGCATTACATAGATCGATGAAAGATCGTCCGTAGATTTCTGAATATGTACCACCTAAAAACGATGATAAAAATCTAAATTAAACTTTATAGGAAACAGGCTATTTCATCTGTCATTTAATAACATTATTACCACAAATTTGTTAAGATTGGTAGTCACAATGTTTAAAAAAATAACATCTTGTAACACAATTACATTGTAGAATCGGTTTTTTTTTTCATAGAACTCGTTTGAAGCAAAATGGCGGCGACTTATGTAATTGTTTCCAATTACAAAATTTACGAGTGTTTATTGATAAATATAGATAGCATATTGATCTTATCATTTATTTCTTCTTCTTCTTCATCTTGGCTATTCAGACTTTTTTGGAATCGTGTACTTTCTTTCAAAAAAAAACTAGCTGATGGAAAACTCCATTTTGATCAATTGTTTTGACGCAAGTGCGCAAATTAAATAAAACACGTTTACGGTTGGCCATGCGAAGTATACCTAATCGTTAATTTTTCCCCATAGCTACGATTGCTGTAAAACATCCGAACCACCGATCAGGTCGTAATTAATACCAAGGTTTATAATATTTTTCGCATTTTAAACCGTTAATAGTGTAATTCACTCTGGCAAAACATTCATACGGCCGTTTTTCGCCGAAGAGAAAGGAACCTTTTAATATAATATATCCGATAACTAAGACGCCTTTTATACTTTTTGTACATTGTTCGTGTATTAGGCTAGTTCTAATAGTGTCCGAGAAAAATAATAATCTTAATCTCCATTGTGTAGGTACAAAAACGAGCCTTAGAAGATAAGAATGCTATGATAAATGTAGAAAAAAATGCAATATATTACGTATATAGAAACTTATAGCCGTATGCAATGCATTTATTGAAATTAAATGTTATTAGTAGAACCTTCTACTGTTTAAGAATGCAGGAAAACCAATTATTTCCAACTACGATGTGATAATAAAATTATAAACTTACAATCGATCAACAATATCTATCCAGCCGTTAATTCCTCATATACACATACTACACTTCAAATAGCACGTATTGTTTTAAACACTATTTCAATTACAAGAACTGTCACATTATTGCGCGTTTGAATGCGCACGCGCAGCGCTCACAACCGCGTCTCACACTGTTATGGACCAGTATCCGTTAAGATCGCAAAGACACGAAACGCAGCGGAACCTTCGTTTGCCAGTCACTTGAATTGGGAAACTGCAATGTCGAAGTAACGAATCGAAATTACTAAACTCTTTCTAAATATAACAATACTGCAAAGCACTTTAACAATCCTATAAAAATAATACGCTAAAGAGTTTGTCTGTTTGTTTGTACGCGTTAATCTCAGGAATTGAAAAGTTATTTTTGCGTTAGCACAAGCATTTATCGAGGAAGGCTTTAGACTATGTACTATCTAGCTGCTACCACCCATAGAAGCGACCCATAGAAGCTACCAGCTTCTATGGGTCGTAGTCTGATACTTGAACGTAAACAGCAGAACGTGGAAAAAATGTATTCATCTTTGGGCGTTTCTGTTGCGTGCGCCTTGAAAACGGTTCAAACGGCTAAAATTTGGTCGAAAACATCCCAGTGGCATAACATTTTGCCAGCTAGTACCTAATAACGGGACTAACCCTGACTCATATAGGAAAGACAGGCGATATCGCTACCGCCCCCTTTGGTTAACAGTATAGGAGATAAGCTAGTATTAACGACTATCTACTGGCATTGTTTACATTAAAGATAAAACTGCGTTCTTGTTGTAAGAAAACACAATTACTAAATAGAAACTGTAAAGGTATAGGATACCTGGGGGTCGTTGACATGGAATTGAAAATAGTATTTTGCCTTCCTTTAATACACGTCTATTTTCATTAATAAAAGATTTGTCATTTGGGAGCATAAATAGTAATAAATACTACCTAAATATTATAACATACGTACTTTGATTTAATTACTTTAATTAATAATGTATTAATAGGAAAGCTGCTCCAAATATTTAGGTTAGTCGAAATATGAGTGACACGATATTATTTTCATGATACACAGTTATATAAACGTACATGACAGATTATCTAACGTCATATTGTCATTCATGTCCTTTAGATGAAAATATTATATGGTATGTCCGCGACTTCGCGTGGAATAGTTTAGATTATAGCTTCATAATATTTAAAGAGGAATCATCTTTCATACATAGGTCTTTTGTTTCTTGAAAATTTTCCGCACGCAACGGAAGCTCTCAAAGATAAATATTATTGTTCCCCATTTTTCCACATTTACCACTGTTTCTCCGCTCCTACTTATCGCAACGTGATGTTATATAGCCTTCCTCGATAAATGGCCTCTATATAAACAACATAAAAATATTTTTTAACCAAAACTTCTTGGGATTCTCTCGTTCAGATTTACATTATAAGTATATTTAAAAGTAATCGTCGAGTTAAACCTGCTAGGTGTTTGATAAGTGTACACATAAGTACGTTAACTTCGGTGTCCTACTTTCTAGAGTACAGCGACGGATGTCAAACCGGTGCAGGTGACGCAAACTATACATATAGTAAAATATCTATGTTGTTGAATATTAATCAGTAGATTAAAAAGTTGCTATATGCGTTGTGCACTGGAAACCTGCAGCATTATAAGTTAAAATAAACTTAGCCGTAGTACAAGATTAAAATTTAAAATGTTTAATGTAGGCAACATTCATTATTAGTAGACACTTATTGTATTCCTTAATTTTGACATTTATAATACTCAGTAGTAGGTAGTAGAAATAGTTCATATGACATTTTATTTAGTATCTAGACCATAAATACCGGTTCGGTATAAGTTACACGTCACCGAATTCGTAGAAACGTTCTCGGTGTCGTCTTGTACCTGGAACCAAAGCTGATACCTACAATGGAAACAATCACCTCTGCTACAATGCATACATTGCCTGTCAAGCAAACCATAATGTTTCCTAAGGCAAGAATAATAATGTAAAAATAACGAACTTACAAAAAATACGTCTTTTCAATACACAACGCTTTCCTTCAACCGAATTGAGAATTTTTTGTTATGTCACGATATGATAAGAAAGGATTTATAATAAATGAGGATTAAAAGAAAACATCTATATTTATATTACTTTTCGTTTATTACAAATACTTGTATAATATACTTTTTTCTGCATTTTTGTTGTTAATCGGCACAATAAGGTACGTATTAAATACGAAAACGCTATATTGTCTTCTAATAATACAATATTTATTATAATTATATATTATCCTAACAATAATAAAGACTAAACATTTATAAATTGTATTGGTCTATTTAAATGCACCAAATAAATGTTTTCTCACACTGTGGAATGGAAGATTGGTTATTTTTAATAAAAAATGCCAGTATAAAAATAAACGCTTAAACTTGCGAAATTATTATCTTAAATGTTATAATTGATTCCCTTTTGTTTTGAATCTGTTTCAAAGTAGGAGGTAGTTTTAAAATAAAGTGTATCCAAGTGAAAATTAACGAATCCCTCTGAAATACTTGTATGATATATACGCATCCACTCCGTGTATAATTCCCACGACCACGCCAATATACTGAAATGAAAAACATGTCAACTCGTAAATAGGACATTTTAAATAAATATTTGTAACTTTCTGAAACGCTTAAATAAACACGTAGTCATGATTGCTACTTGCGTTATGGAAGTCATACCAAGTTCCCAATATATTCCGCAATTCAAACCATTAAAGTTGTTTTATTAAATCTGCACATTTTGTATTTAACGCGTGAACAACGTTTTAAATGACGTACAATATATACATAACAGAATACTTTTAAAAAAAAAAAACATTCTTGAAGTAGAATGCCAGTTGTTATTAGATAATACTTGATATATAATAGATAATGTGATTAATAAATGTCATTAGGGATTCAGCCTGACAAATAAATAATTATATGGTGACGCAATTTAGTTCTTATTGCTAATGATCTGATAAGAGATGGACGTAGTTTAGAATGGGTGAAGGAGCTTAAGATGTTTGTTCAAAAGGGAAAAAAAAACCCGAAGTTTTAAACCGTTAAAGTGTTTTATTTAAATAGTACAGACCTATTCACATCGGGACATTATTCTGGTATTTAAAATTTATGCATCGCTTGCTTTCGTACTTCGTTAATTGGTAGAATTCGTGTTCCAATGGTTTTATAACCGATTGCCTTTGGTTGGCTCTTGTTCATGAACGAAACTTATGTAACCATGATTATACATACGGATCTATTTTTTCTTCGTGGATCAGGATTCTTTAATTTGTCTACCACACACAACTCGATTGATGTTAAAATGCACAAGCCTTGTAATATTAAAACATGCTGCTACGAATCCAACGTAGGACGCGTTGGTTATTCACTATAGATTGCTGCCGTTAAAATATAGCTTTGGATCTTGCTAAAGCAAATAATTTAGGAATACAATCGTAATTCGGTAGTTAACGGGTAATGATTTCAAATGTTTAACATTATCAGATATCTACGGGTAGATCAATATCTTGATGTTCCACGAATTCATTGTAATGTCTAAAAGTGATATAATCTAAGCTTGATAAATTATTTTTTTCTAATAATGTGCAATTGCACGCGTCACATATTTTCGTAGAATATTTAACGGTCATTAATCGTTACAAATATGTCAAAACCAAGGTGTACCAATATAAGTGTGAAAACATTACATCTCGTTCCCCCGTGGGCCAAGGGGCGAGCATATTTCTGTATCCGTTTCAATTATCGTTTTTATATACGAGCAAGAATTGCAAACTTCTATAATGTAACTTTTAATGTTGAAAAGTTTCGATACGGAATAGATTAGTTGAGCCGTAAACAGTAGCAGATTCATGTGTCAGAATATACACGATCTCCCCAGTAGAGGAAGATACTGAAAGAAAGTTTCACGTCCTCTTATTAACGATTCGACTACATGTAACTACCGGGCAGCTATTAAAAAGCAAGGGTTGATGAAGTATATACCAGAAACTTTATTAGAATTTTTAGATCTCTAGAAATTAAGATGACGAAGAGACGACGAAAACCTGGACGACCTCCTACCAGGTGGACCGACGACCTGGTCAAGGTAGCAGGGAAACGCTGGATTCAACTGGCGAACGACCGCTCGTACTGGAAGTCTATGGGGGAGGCCTATGTCCAGCAGTGGACACCGAACGGCTGAATCGAGAAATTAAGACAGTGAAACCTTTAATGACTAATTTAGGTTAATTAAGAGTAACTTACATATACGGCAGTCATCGCTGGATATGCAGCATACATATTGACGAGGGCATATCGCGGGTACAGGTATATATTAACAGCGACGCCCATGTAAGATGATGCCGATAGATACATAAAACAGGCCACCGAATTGAACGTACATTCCTGAAAGAGAGTTTATTTCTATTATAAACAAGCACGTCAGTATTTTAACGCTACAAGTGGCATAGGGCGGACCTACATGGGGCATAGGGCGGACAAATTTCTAAGTCCATTTAATTCATCATGGTTCGGAACCCGGTACCTCAAGCACATGCAGACCGCTACCTTAAATGTGTAAACTAACTAGAGTTTAAAAGTTTAGCTTTGTTTAATTTATTGTGTTTCATATTAATATAATAAATAGGTGAATTATAGGTAGCCTTTTTAGGTAAGAACGGTAGTAAAGCTTTTCATTTAATTATGACATTGTTTGATCGCAACATTTCTCGTCCGATATCGTTGATGGCGTGTGACAAAGTGATTTTGTTATAAAACACCTGCGCAGTAAATAAAAAATCGAATTAGATTGATTTTTTTTTTGACACGGTAGCTCAGTTGGTTAGAATAACAGCACGGAACGATGTAAATGTCGGTTCAAATCCTGCCGGCATCGTTTAATTTTTTCAAGCAAACAATATCATCAAGACAACAATACTCTTTTTGTATTACAAAACACTTAATATAAAAAGTCTGTTGGCTAACAAATAGTTTTTCAGCATGGCAAGGCTGAATCTAGAAGACTTCTTAACTATATAGCATATGATTCCGTTTGTAAGTTACGACAACACCGAATGATTTAGTATATTTTCTACTCCACTTACTCTCAATGAATAAGTGAATTAGTAATTATTTCCCTAGACTGCTTCAATATTGCGTAAGTAAATTCACCTTGCAACAAAATTAAACTATGCAGCGGTGCATTAAAATTGCCTTTCTACTTTAAAGTATTACAATATTTAAAAAAACAAGCTTTATTTCACACAATAGAATTGTAATAAGTATAGATTTATCTCAATGTATAGGCACTTAAAAAAATAGCTTGTTTATTATTTTTCTTTTCTTTATCTACTTTAATGTATAGGTAAGTTAATACCCACTTACATTTTACAATGTGTGCTCTTCTCTCTTATAATATTTGTCTATGGTTAAGTATTTAGTTGTAAGAATGTTGGTGATTCTAATAAATAAATAAATAATCTTCTAATGTACTCTTATAATATTTTTCTGTTCAGTTTCACCACTAGAGTGCGCTGACCTTTATATTGGCTTTCTTAAAATTCAGCTATCGAAATGTTGCAAAACTTTAAAGGTTTTCTTATGTTCTTTAGCAAATAACTCCTTAACAAGTTTTTGGGATAAACGGAAATTCATGTTTGTGCAAGTTAAAGTAATTTATAACCAAGTCTCTCCTTAATTAAAATGTAAATAAAAAAAATATGTTTCCATAATTTTTAAGCACTAAATGTGAAATTTGATTATTCTTTAAACTCCCGAATACTTTCAGCGCCTTTTAAATTTTACTTGAACTTAGTTCGGTTTTGGTTCAAACAGGATTGAACCTCGCATAAAAGTGAGAAAACCATTTCCAAATTTCTTATAAAGTACATTTTAACTTACGAAAATTGACTGCCGTATCAAATGCTGTGAATTCGATGACAGGACGTAGCACGCAATGAGAATGGATGTGGTAAGAACACAAGCAGCGGCAGTCGTGAGGAAGCCATGGAATGCTGATCCCATGCTGCTAGCTTCTGACATACCATACTTCACTAGCAGACTCTGACATAGAGAACCAAGCAACTGTAAAAGGTAAATGATTGTACTAAAATCTAAATCTGTCCGAAAGAGATTCATTGATCTCAGTTACTTTGAAGAATTGATTTCTTTTTATATTTATTAACAGTGTCTTTTAGTCATACCTAGATTAATGCGGATAAAGTTAGAACTCAAAAAAGAATTCTTTGTATCCGTTCCTCCGTCTAATTCTTGCTAATTCGCATTTAGAATTTTTTTTCTATTAAATTATGTTTTTTCTTAAATTCAGAAGATAAAAACAAGATCATTTACAACCTAAACCAATGAAATACCTAGTTTTCAATGCTAATTCTTATGTTGTGCCGTTTGTTTCAATTCAAATTCTTTATAAACAAGGACGATAAAGATAAAAGAAAATCATAAGCCTCAGTTTTGTTTATATCATTCATTCATTGTTTTTAACTCTTTTTTTATTGGAATAAAACTTTTGATAGTAACTAGTAATGACAAAGCAAACATTGCCACTTCCGTTTATGCAGGAACTTTACTTAGAATATATTAAAATTAAATTGTACTCACTGCTTCGGCCAATTTAATTAATCCATGCTGTGACATCAAGTAGCCAATGTTCAGACATTCGCAACACCTACAGCAGCAGCACTTTATGCCCCTGGCTCCAGAACTTGGGGCTACGCGAACAATTGTTGGCCCCCGAGTCATTGTTTATTACTTTTTAATAGAAAAATCACCATTAAACATTCCCCGAATGAGGTACGGCGCCAGTCCACTTTGTTTGCCGACAGGAAATTCAGGACAGAGCCATTTCGCGTCCAAATCGCGGTGCGTTACTCAGAAAATATTTTTAGATGATTTTTCGCGCGCCAGTTAAAAGTTCAGCGAACCGCCCCAGAAAGCTTATTGTTGCAAATTAATAATATTCTGTATAATTGTTGTACGCACTGCATCTCAATAACGAGTAGAATGAAATGTGTCGCGTGTGTGGTGGAATACTCTACCAAAAATAGACCACCGCACGCGCGCTTGAGGGGTGTCTCCTGGGTCTATTTTAGTAAGTTTTCAAACTTTCATATCCAAACAATGACTAACTTGAAATTCATTTAAAACTAAACTATAATGCCGTTTCAACTGAGTACATATTCCTTTCAATAGAATGATATGTGATAATAAAACTCTTTACAATGAAAATTAATAATAAGTAAGTAAAAAATAGGTGAAATAAAAATCCACTGTATAGAAAATTATAAATTTATTTTTCCCATTTCTCATGTCAGTAGGTAATATGTTTTATACAGTCATCATATTTTACAACAAAATAATTTAGCAATACTTAAGTTATAGAGACTAGCAAATAGCTAAGTAAGATTTCAAAGTAAGGCAACTTCTGAAAAATCGTATACTTGAATAATATCTGCAACAGCTATCGTTCGTTTTACAAAAGTATATAAATCGGAAACATTTGCTTACTTATATTAAAAAAATTAAAATAACATTATTTTGTTTCTCGGCTATCCAAAACGTACACAAACATGGACAGTTCATTACATATTTAAGTACACTTACAACAAAGTTTAAAAATATAGGATTCTTTACAAAATTCGTCAAAGTATAAGTTGAGGATTATATATATATATATAAACAATGGTTTGTATTTTTCTAAATATTTAGTCTATGTATTATCTTCATGTAGGGTTGTAATATGTTTATCAATTACGTTTTAGAAAAGAATCAAGTAATAAAATGTGACATTAAATCTACAAGTTAATTTATACAATAAAGCGTCGATCAACCGAACAAGTCTTTATCCAAAATGGACGGATAGAGCTCGCTGTTTTAAAATAACATAAAAACAAAACTTTTATGTCGCAAAACGTGGATTGTTTTTTAACATTACACATAACATGCTTTATAACTAAATAACATAATGTCCTTTGTCAGATATTGAGAATTCTTTCAAACGCCTTTAAAAATATCGTACCTACTAACATAAATTCCATACAGTTTGATTATCCGAAAATACTATCGGATTCGGATCGGTTCGGATAATCGACGCTATAATATATCTCGTAACACCTAATATAAGGCTAAATTCGAACATATAAAGCAATAAATTAACTTTAATCTTAAAAATGCAAACATTAAGATCTTATATGAAAGTTATATGTTTATAAGCCTCGGTAGGATCTGTTGGCCAAAAACGTACTCAGTAAATATAGTCCTGCTAACACTAGACCCATGATCTGAAAGAGACAAATAAAATAAATAAATATTTCAAAACCTATAAGTAAGTATAAAATGGTGAAAGAAAAGAAATGAAAATTTTCAGATTGCAATTTGTAATTTAAAGCGTGAACTCATGAGGCATGCTAGCTAGGCTTAGGAGAGGTATTTAAATTATATTTTACTCTTTTTCTTTTAACTACTTACAGCAGCAGCTAAATAAGGCTCGAAATCGTTTCTATATCCGCTTTTTCGATGATTAACTTCTATAATCAAAGTGAGTCCTGCCGCAAGGTAGAGCACAAACGCTGTCCCGTGGTATATAACTTCCTGAAAGCAGAACAAGGAAATCGATAATATTATTAAATATACACTAGTAATATATTGAATGCAAATGATTAACTAGAAAAGAAATCATCTAATAAAAAATAATTGTGTGTGTGGAAAGATATTCACAATAGAATGAAATATTTGTAATAAATTGTTCACTCTGCCTGTTTTTTTACGCTAATTTTCATAAATAAATAGTACTTTTGCTTAAGTTAATTTCGTACCATAAAAAATATAATATCATTTAAAGATTGAAAAGTAAGGCCCGGGGGGTTACAAGGGGGGGGGCCCGGGTTACTGGGAAGTTTTGGGGGGGCCTTTTTCCGGCATTGGCCCCTGAACGGCTGAATCGAAATCGAATCGAAATTAAGACCGAATTTTTAACGTCTTTATATGGTGTATAAACAACGGATCGATTTGGCGACACATAACCTAGTTTAAAATTTTGTATCTTTCAGTGAAATTAAAAATTATTATAATCATAGTAAAAAATAAAACTTACATAAATAGTCTTGGAAATCATAGTAGCTGTTGAAAACGATATGAGACACGAAGTCAGTAAACAGAAAGTCCCTATTAAAAAGGCAACTGCGATGAGAAAGAAGAACAGTTCCGGCTTCTGGTCATTGTATCTTGCGTAGCGTGGTTCAAAGTAGTAGCCCACTACTCCGACGCAAGCTGCTCCCAGTAACTGTAATACAAAAAATAGATTTTGGTAGTTAGATGTTAATTTTTATTTTGGTTGGTACAGGCGGGACTCAAACCCGTGACGTTACTGTCATTTAAGAAAGGATATTAACAATGTATTTATTACGTACGTTGTGAATTATTTATGATGACCCACATTTTTAGCAACATGTATAATAGCATCCTAGTAATCACTGTAAGTTTAGGCGAGTAGAACACACGCACACACACAGAAAACACGTCACTTATGAATCTTAACTTATCATCCTAATGTGTGGTAATTTGTAAATTTATAAATTAATTTAGTATTTCTATTGCATTAGAAATATTCTGTAAAGGTACATTAATTTGATGTAAATATATTTTTTTTAATTCTTTATATCTCGACAAATTCATTGATTTAATTTTTTGACGATATTTCGGATGCATCTTGAATCATGCCATTGCATTTATTTCAATGAGAACATATGATGGAATCTCTAAGAGTTGTATAACTATTGTGTATCGATGTTTTTTTTAAGAACAACTAGGAATTATATGAAAGCTTATTTGTAATTAAAGAACAAACAATACGTTATCAACACATTGTGCGTGTTAATCCTTAAGTACTACCGCTAACAATTGCCTTGTGTGACGAAACCATGACATCATCCGCTTACAATTCAAGGAAAATTTTATATATATCTGTTATAAATATATCTTTAGTACCCGTATATATAGGCCCAAGTTGACCCAATTTCATAGACCATTTTTATTCGGGCAGCGTTTAAAATTAGTTCGATAAGAATAAGAACACACCTTTCGTAATCTTCAAATAGGTCAGTATTATAGTACAAATGGGAAAAACTGAACATTTTGTCATAAAATGTTTGTATCTAGAACTTCTGTATTAAAACAGTATTACCTTATTTTATTAAAAAAACTACAAACAAAAAATCCTTGAAAAATATTTACGATCCAACGATTCGGGTTCGATCTGGAATCTATCATGACGGGCGATCGTATAAATATCGTTTTAATTCGTTTAAAATTGTAGAGTGTAAAGTTAAATGTTGAATTTCTTACCAATTGGGCGAGCTTGAGTAGGCCAGGTAAGGTGCCCAAGTAGCCGGTGTTGACGAAGAGGGCAGTGCCAGAGGTAGTTGCTGTTGTCCTTGTTATAGTGACCGTGTGCGACATTGTTCAGCTGAGAGGAAAAAGAATCAAAGAATGCAGATTAAAACGCAGTGTGTAAATAAGATTATTTACAAACCTATAATGTGGGGTTACTAGTAGTTTTAAAGGGCTAAAACAGATAATGTTTAGACCGATATAAATGACAAGACATCAAATTCTTATGTCTAGCTAGGTAAGCAACAGTACGGAATGCTGTGGACGCCGATCCAAGTCTTGCGTGAGTCGTTGAATTTTTTTTATTTATACTCGATTTTTATTATATATATATAATTAAATATGTCTCTTATTCATGTATCAACATCGTCAAATGTGAAATTATGTCATTCAAGGAGTAGTCAATCGTGTCATCAATTGAAATATTCGGTCTAGGTCAACGCGTTGGCGTGCGGTGACGAGAGTTTATATGGCGGTCGGCGAGGCCGTTTGGGAGCTTGCACCGCGAATATATATTTCAAGTACCTTCAAGGAACAAATGATTACGTAATATGCCAGCATGTACCAAGGAGAAACCGAAATGCAACCGCGATAGTCAAAAACAAATTGTATATATTGCTTATGTACCTATATAATTTGAGCGTTTGATTTTTTTTTTTCTATTAGAAACTCCAATCAAAGATTGGGCGATCAGACCAGATTATATGACAATCATTTCATATATCAAATAAGCGTTACATAAATTTTAGTATTTAATATTTCCTAATATTCAATCAAAATTGGTATGAAGAATTAAATAGATCTTTGAGAAAACTATATAAAATAAACATTATTTCATAAATTTGATTAGAATGATTTTCTACAATAATATTATGGAACAAAATAATAATATAATAAAATAAAAATGCTATCTGTTGTTTATAAAAATATACCTTAAGTAGTCATATACCATTGTAGGACTACTTATAAGAAATAGCTACATACAAAACTAAATTTCTTTAACCCAAAATAAACCGAACCAATAAACATAATATGTTGATGTATGCAAATGGCTACGCTTATGTTTCCTTAACCATTACTTATTAGGTTAATTCGAATTTAAAAATTACGTAACGAATAACTTTATACTTACATTCTTAAGCACTTTTTAAAAAAAGTTAAAATAACGTGAAAAATCGCGAAAATAACGCGCAGTTGTCCGTGTTTCGGGTGAACAACTGCTTACTTACAAATCAGACGCTGACTCACTTGTTGGTCTGCGCATGCGTAAGGCTATATAATATATTTCATAATGTAAAACTGTCCAGCCATGAGATGACCGCCTCCGTGACTCAACGGTCAAACACATTCCCAAGAGTAAGTGTCGTGAATTCGAACCCTGGCGATTAATATTTTTTTGGTCAGGCACAGAAATATAATTTATATATTGATCTATTTTAAGAATACTATCGATACAAGAACAATATAAAATATAGGACAAATTTCATAAAATATAGATTCCCTCCGATTTATAAAACAAATACGAAAGACGAAAATTTATAATTATATGTGAACGATTTATAATAAAATTCTAGTCAAATGTGGTGATTATAGCTTTTGCTCCAAACCGCTCAAGGCGTACTGTACTCCTCACTTTGAATTTCGTCCTTTTAAACTTTGAGAATGATATAAGCTGCTCATTTTCACGTTGCTCTTTGATAAGTTAGACTTACAAAGTGAGATTTTAGCTGCTTTTGTTAATAAAGCAATATCCATAATATCTGGCTGGATGATCAATCAGTCAATAACGCACAGATCAGGTGCGCTACACTATTCCAGATTTAAATAAAACACTTTATAACGTTTTAAAACGCGAAATATATAATAAATATAACCCGTGGAAAGTGATATTTAAATTATCTACACATTTACTCGTACTAGTCGTGTAAACGACAAACAGTAATTTTCCCAGATTTCCAGCAAGATGTACTTACCTTTGCTTACTTTTTGGTTGATGTGTACCTATGTGAATTGATTTATTTCGTTCTTTCAAATAAAAAAGAAACGTTGTTAACATAAATTTATTATCTTTTTACAAATTAGTTTTACAATAAAATTATATTTAGTTAGGTAGATATAACTCCACATTTTATAAGGTAAAATAATTGTAACACTAGATCTCAACAAACAGTTTAACAAAAAAATATAATTCTTAAAGTGAATTAAAAAGCAACAATCGCGGTTGTCGTGTTCACCTGTCTATTCAATGAACTCTACCCATGTCTTATTATCTTTGTAATAACCTATAATAACCATCACCTTTTTGCAAACAAATTCAGCATCAACTCGACTAGGTTTTACAATTCAAAGCCGCAAAGGATTTTAACTGTGTATGTACTTAAAAGAATGAAATACTCGTGGTTTATAGCTAAGTATATTGATATAACTCTTGATAAACTACGCTAGGTGTGACAACAATAACTTTTTGGACGGTATAAGTCAGTACAAACTGTCCACGAAGTTAACCCATTAAGGGCCATCCATAAACGCCCCGATTTCATAATGTTTGACCACTTAGATCGACCCTTAATGCAATACAGTTTAAAAATTACTTGCTACAATACACGCACAATGAACACAATCAGAACAATAAATAAGTATATCATAAACCTGTTGGAATACCAAAACGTCTTGGTACCTTATGGCCGTCGATAATTTCATTTTAAAATACCATTAATCCTCAATTTAAAATGATTTGTTATGCATTAAAATTCGTCAAATCGTGCATAATGATTGTAAAAAATATATCTGTACATTGAGATTATTTTAAAATTACATCTATAACTCAATTATAAATAAGTGTATTAAATTGTTCGGAGGTTAATTGCCCAGGTGAGCTTGGTGTATGGGGCTTGGGGTTCACGCCAGTCCCGTAGCACCACTTCTGTGCTCGCTGTATAGGAGGAACGAGCTGTACCCGTACGCCAATGTATTGAAGATACCGAAAACCTGTCAAAGATATAGCAATTAATAATATGATATTAATTTAATATTTATAACACATACCACCAAAAGACATATAAAAGAGGAAAAATCTTACGCACTAACTCATAACTAATGACGGCCGTCATATTTAATTAAGGTAGATAAGGCCTTATCGCTAAGCAGCGATCTCTTCCAGGCAACGACTTATTAAATGGGTACGTGTAAGGAATAATAAACAACAGCAAAGGTATATCGTAAAAGAAAACACAGCAAATAGGAGAGAAACTAACTCTACCGATTGAGCTACCGAGTCCTACTAGGGCAGTGGTTCTCAACCGTTCCGCGGAACACTGGTTTCCGCGAAGCTTCCCAGGTGTTCCGCGAAAATTTTGAATATAATATAATAAGAAACAGTAAATTTTTTTATTACTATAAAATAAAAACTACATAGTTTTGTTAATTATTTGAAATTTAGCAAAAATATTCAATATTATTCTAAATTTTCGCGGAACAGTCAATAATATTAACAGTGTAATTATCGAACGACCAGTTACGTCGTTTGGAGTTACTCCGTTACAACTAAAATTCAAGGAAGAAGGAGTGGAAAGGTTTTGGATTTCCATCGAGAATGAACATCCATTTATTGCAAAACGAGCGTTGAATATCTTGTTGCTCTTTTCGACGTCCTATCTGTGCGAACTTGGATTTTCAACTCTAACAAATATTAAAAGCAAAAAAAGAGAAAGACTTACCAATTTAGAAGAAGAAATGAGAGTAGCGCTCTCTTACATAAGACCCAACCTTGAGGAAATTTGTAAAGGTCGTCAAGCGCAAATTTCTCATTAAAATAAGTTACCATGTAATATATATTTTATTTCAATTAAATATTATCTTCCAATTTTGTGTGATTTACATTAGATTTACAAATTTTATGATAATGGTGTTCCGCCAAAATCGAGACCACTTAAAAGTGTTCCGTGATCCCAAAAAGGTTGAGAGCCACTGTACTAGGGCAACAGCACGGAACGCTGACGATGCCGGTTCAAGTCCTGCCCGAGTCAAAACATTTTTGAATTTATTTTCGATTTTTAAATAATACTTAGTCTCACCCTAAAGAAAATGCTCTTAATCTTCGAAGTATTGTCAGACAATAAAGGAAAAATATTTATCTCGTTCAAAAGTCTCTTATCAGTTATTAGGAATTGTTTATTGAAAATTCGCTTCATTATCGTGTTAGCAAAAATAAAATAGCTGAAAGTCGTTTGTTTATTCAGGTTAGACTCTGAAAGGGATGAACGACGTAGAGATATATAGTTAAGAAATAAAAATCCACCTGTGTACGCATTTATATCAGGTCTTATCTCTAAAAGGATGTTAAATTTTTGTTATTTTCATATTATGACTAACAGTATGATCTCATTTCGCAGATAGGTCGTTTGAACGTTTATTGGTCGCAGAGACTAAAATTGCATTTAAGATTGTGGTCTCCTATACGAGACAAAGTAAAAAGTAAAGACACTTACAGAATGTTGTTATATGACTTAACACGCATAACATATAAGTTAACTTTAGTTAATTAATTTTAACTACGACTCGAAACGTCGACTTGGTCACGGGAGGACTGAAGATGGAGGGTGTCCCTAATGTCAAAGTCAAAACTGCTTCGCTAGCGTCATCTTTTTCGTCGTAGTTGGTATTTCGCATTTAAAGTCGTTAAAGTGTTTTATTTAAATATTTGCGCGTAAACTACAGACAATACTTAACTTTGCATTGTAAATATCAAATTTAACGCAAGTTTTTTTGTCATAAACTTTTGTAATCAATAAGAACCATTGAGAACATCATTTCTATAGAGAACATCATCTTCTATAGAGAACGTTACTTCTATAGACACCAACACGACCCATGGCGTCTATAGAAGACCCCGGTTTTAGAATAACGAAGTGATTGGTTATTTTGTTTTTATACTCACAGCGGCTGCAACGTTGCGTCCGTAGGTGCCATAAATTGACGTAAACATAACAATGAACGCGATGAGGTAAAACAGCGTCTCTAGAGCCGTGCTGACCAATTCCTGTAATATAACATTTGTTTATTATTCGGTATTCTTATAAAATAGACAACACGTGTTTATTTCTTAATCGCCCAATTTTTATACTTGGTCATACACATACTTAACTTTGAAATTAGCCTTTTGTGTCATGTTCGGGTTCAAGCGGCCATTAGCACTAATTAATTATTAATTTATTTATGAACTAATTTCTTCATAATATACATTCATATATTGACAATTTGTAAACAAAGCCAAACATTTTTTCTTACTAATTACAAGTTAAAATTATAAGGTTTTGTTTACGAAGCAACACATAGCATAAATTCATTTTACTTACAGATAAAACCCAGTTGATAGGGATTTTTAAGGCGTCCTTTACACTGAGAAGGTAAACGAAGCTCCACATTAGAGTAGTGATGAAGGCTGTTACTGCAACAAACACGTACCACGATGATGAATATGGGGTCCCCAAAGACATGCATATTATGCCAAGTATCTGAAAAAAAAAAACATATATATTAACTATGATGGGTAAAAAGCTGTAAATGTTTCTGAAGACGTAAATGTACGTAAACCTACATAAATCAATTTTATTTTGTTTTTATTGCTTACTATTGGAAAAAGGTTGCACGATTTTTGGGGTTAAAAAAAAATAGCTTTATTTCTCAGGAGATTACATGAATTACTTTTAGAAAATATAATGTATGAATAAACAGGCGTATTATTACACATTAATTATCGTAATTTAATTTATTTTATTTGATTATTACTCCAATGTAATGTTTGTCGTAGACTTATAAGTTTAATTAAATTTTATGGAGTTGGAAAACACAAAAAAAACAATTCTTTCAGCTAAATATTTGACATTTTAGATGTTTTATCAATATAAGTCAAGACTAATTTAATACCAGTACAATATAAGTATATTAATTAATCAACGATGGTATTATTTACTAATCCATTGCTTACTGTAAAAAGGATGGTTCGACACGCTCGATACCACATTTTATTCCCTAATCGGCTTTCACATTATTCCTGCCCACAAATCGTCTAGACTTTCACGCAATAATCTAGTCTAGACATTAATATCGATTTTGTTTTAATGTTATCCCACAAAATTCAAAAATTACCATATCTTTTTGGTACATAATACTTTATAAATTACTTAATTACGATAACATAAACTATTTCACCATGATTGACACAAAACGAACAAAACAAGGTAAAATTAAGTGTATTTAAGTGAAAACTTCCTTTGGCTATACTTTTTATTACTACGTTGTTTATTAAGCCTTGTCAAAATTCATATTATTATGAAAATAAAATTAAAATAAATTTAATCAGGAAGCGATACTTTTTCTGTATAAGTATTTGTTTCCTTTAATATACATATATGTATAAAAATAGTATGACAAAAAAATACCCCGTGCTTTGTATTACTAAATCGAGTTATATACGATACGTTTTAATTATCAACTCATTGTCTATGAATGCCAAATGTTTGGTCCTGATTCAAAGAATGTTGGTTGTATCCTAGTACTAGGGCAGGCCAGGTAAATGTCCGGTGATTCGGTAAAGCCTCCCTCCCCCCTCTTCGGAGACCAACCGGTTTCCTATCGCTAAAGCCGATGTTGGAACGCGATGTCTGTCGCAATGTTCGCGAACAGGTGTCATTTGCATTTTTGAAACCTAATCACTCGACTGACCCAAGGACAGTGTTATTTAACATTTACATAACTTTGATAATTACGTTCAAATCGAAGTAAATGTCATCTGAGCAACGGTTATGAACGTCAATACAGTTTAAATTAAAAACAGAAATAAATTGATATTTACTATCTCTTCTCAAATTGTGGACGTAGAATGAACAAGAACTAGAAAAAAACTCGCCGCCATACATAAGAGTGCTAGTAACTAGGTGATTACACCAAGTTTAATTTAAAAAAGTATTCACCAAAAGATTCCATATAAAAAATTATAGAGCCGCCTGTGTAGTGTGTTTAAATCCTGGAGAAAAGGGATAATATAATGTTCCATATTTTTCATTATAACTTTCTTATGATTACTTTTTATAATATTTAAATCTTTTTAAATTATACAATACGTTTACTATTCTAAATGTTTCCTACATAATTAAAATAAGCTACACGCATGTACTGTAGTTGTTATACCATAAAGTCGTTAACGTATTTCGAAATGCAACTAAAAGCGTTTAAGTAAAAGAGGCCAAAAATCGGTGCCATGTGTGACTCGTGCGCAGCACTGGTGAAAGTGCGTCAGCGTGCCTGACTCCAATGTGCCACGCATTCACACGAGACCCTAGCTCCGTTCCGATTTTATCAATGGCCAGTGCACACTACACACAATTAAATATGTTAACATTTTGCTCTAGATAACAACTTCTATAAGTCAACGCCCGGATTTCCGATACACCAGCTGAATATTGATAAGTTTATCTAACAAACTGAGGACTTTCTCTGAAAACACGGTCAGAACACAAGAGATCTATTACCTATTTAGGTTAGCTTTTGTATAGTCACCATATTAATATGTCTGAGACATTATTGTATAGAACAAAGTGAGACCTAAACACGAAACACCGCCATTATTACACTTTCTCTTTTTTTCGTGCTGCCATCTTTAAAATGCATTTGGCTTGCATCAGTATGACTAAATAACTTCTAGCTATATCTTTTAGTCAAGATGAAGGCTGTTCAATTAACAATTATTAATAACAATCCCCTAATGCCCCATCATAATTGTCGCTTCCGTGTCAAGTGACACCATATCCAAATGACAATGCAATGGGCGATTTATCGAGGGAAATATGACCCACCTTTGTTATATACATATTATAGATTATAGAAAGCCTATTCGGGTCAGTGAATATCTACATGGAGGTATCTGCGTCGCCAACGCAGCGCGTCGACTGTGGTGTTGACACTCCCAAAACACGCTGATGCTCATCTACCATACTTCCTCGTTTATATTAAACTGCGCAAGTACGATGCTACATTGTATAATTAGTGTAAATTTTGGACATTAAAATAAAAGTTACACTTTGTAAGTTAGAGTTAGAAGAATTTTAATTATTTATTTATTTATGAGAGGACGTTCAATAACATCAAATTATGATTATCATTTTTTTTGTATTTGTGAATTTATACTATTCTACATAAAATTAATATATATCTTATTCTATTATTATAAAACATAAGAATCTGACTTCATCGTACTATTTGCGTATTTAATAACCTTATAATTACGTCATAAAGTTGTACAAAATCTTCGCCACTGGTTCAAGAACTTATACTATTATAATTGATGACATCATCAGAAGACTCTTAAGGTTATGCATATCAATATTATCTTCAGAGCATATTGTTATTTTTTCGTTAGAAAATTGTGGCCTTTTCAAAGTTTAACTATAAATAAGATTTTTCCTGTCAATGACCTGAGCCAGAATGCGCTTCCCGTTACTGCACCGCTTTACAGCAGCTGTTCCCCATAGCAACGTAGTCCCGTAATAAAATCATATTTGTTTTGCTACATTAAACGTGCGCCTGCGGCCATACATATTAAAGCAAGTTTCATTGTTTCACACTATATTTGTTTATACCCGAAAAATACAAAAAAAAACTGAGGTCTATCCGTGACCACGGCTGCTGCAAAGCATCCGGATATTCAGGCCGTAGTTAAAATATTTTTTAAATAAGTTTAACTAATACATAACGTGTTTTAAACCGGTAAAGAGAGTATTTTGAGATACTCTAAGTAAGAGTAATAAATATTAAAATAAAATCAAACTGGCCATATATGTTCCTCTGGCAGTATTTTACTTACCTATTATAAAAGACGATATCTAAAGACACTTACTGATTCTTTTCTAGTTATTAAATTGAATAATAGGATGACATGAATATTTTGTAGGAGAGTAGGACTATTTTTATTTTAATCGATGCTTGTATCTCTAATAGTTAAATCCGATTACAAAATCTATCTACGAAAATCAGCTAAATTGGCCTTCAGTCTACCTACCACTTATTCTATAATATCATCGCCTACATAAACCTGTTTCGAGTAACAAGCGGGCACCTATATTATAAATATTGTGTAACTTATCTACCTGCTTCATATTTTTCGCTTCACATATAATTTCTTAAAAATTATAATCTGTGGGCGTGTTTGGAGTCCCATACGGGAGTGGCAGGCAATTTTTTGGGTCTCTTTAGAGAAAAATCTTACAAATGTTTTATCTGCGACATACAACATACGAAACTGATACTGATTGCTTGGATTCAAACCTACGACCTCCTGGCTTAACGTATTTGCGGGCGATGGTGTTGTATATTAGTCTGTTAAGTATATTTGGTAATATACCTACTGGTCGATCCTTGTTTTGTGTTAATTTTGAGTCATTAGACATTAATCGACATTTAAATTAGTCACAGTACGTACAAGTATATGTTGCTATTGAAGTATCGACTATCGCATCCGATCGAAACAATGACCTTGATGAGCGACATTCAATACGTTTGTTCTACTTGTCGTACCAACCTAAAGACGAAGAATTCATGAAACCGAAGATGAAATATTAAACGAAAGTTTTTGAAATGATAGATTGCATTTAACAACAAACACAATGACAGAAATAGCGGTAACAGATGTATCTTGGTCTTCAGTAGTGGAATCACTATTTCCCCCAAGAACCTTACCCCTTTTTTCGACGATAATGACGAACCATAAAGGGTAGGGGAAGGGAAATATTGTAATAAGTCAGTCTATGTACCTATGTAAATAAATAACGCTTCAACAATGAATCAATTGATTTGAAATAATGGCGCAGATAACGTGAGTTATTGTATACAATAAAATTTGCGTTCTCCATTGATCAAAAATTTAATTTAACATTTATTATGGTACAACAGTTATTGAAATATTATTCAATAAAACGCACAAAGGCCTGCCGCCGTAAAACTATTCCAAGAAATTACGTGAACCGCAGGTAAGCTGCTCATAAGAACGTGAGAAAACGTTAACAAATAAAAAAGATAAATATTCATTAAAGATTTGATATTTTAGTTTCTTGAGTGAAGCTATTGTTTTGTCAGTAACGAATAGTTTTATATTTTCACAGAATGAGATCACTGGCTAATAATAAAAAGGGATGGGCCAATATTCGGTTAGTCAGGATTTTAACCGAATGCTAATAAAAGTAGTAATTACACCCAGTAGTAGTACTAGGTGTATGCTGCTCTTAAACAATTTATTGTTTTTAAGGCTAAGAAATCTTGAGTAGTAGAAAATAAGTGAACTCGCGATAGTAACTAAGATAATTTAAACATACATAGATTATAATCACTATATAATTATATTACCAAAGTTTAAACCAAATGGTCGATCAAATTCTATTTCGGTTAAAAGTAATTCGGTCTATCACTAATGGGATGTGAAGATTTAAATTTTGTTCTTCAAGTATGACTAATACAGAAGCTAATTGTTTCATGTCACATCCCTTTTCTAGTTAAGTGGCCTAGCAACCGTAATTGTTAATTAAAGGATCAAAAGCCACGACTGGAACCTTCATTACACTGCTGCTTTGCACTTAGTCATATCTGTCGTTGAATTAATAACAATTAATTCTATCATATACGAGAATCTCTTTGCCGCTACATTTTTGAATATATTAAAATGTTGAACATGACTTGTCGTGATCATTCACTGATGCATTGCATAAAACGTTGATCGTAACGACCAGAAACTTGGAGAATTCTTTATAAGACGTAGGAAGGTAAGATTTGATTAACAAAATCGCTTTACCTGGAGGATAAAAATGAGTGTTTGTACGAGACTACGTGGTTCTCAGTGGAAACTACTTAAAATCGTTAGTAAAATGTACTGAACTAGTGGTAAATATGTTTCATATCTTATTGCAAGTAATCTTCAAGTAAGAAAAAGAGATAACTAAATCTAGGATGTACGATAGAAAATATTCAAAGGCAAAATAGACCGACAGCACATCTTGTTTAGGTGTTATATTGCTGGGGTATTTAGCCTACCATCAAGTCTTGCATGTTTGTCTGTCCTCCTCTATAAAAAAATAGAAGAAACATCGTTTGGTTCACAAGCTTACTATCACAAAATTTGTTTGAATTTGCTAAAAGCATTTTAAGAAAACAAACCTACAATCATTCTAATGTTATTAATTATACAATTAATACAATTATAATCCGGCATCCCAGATCGAACTGGCTATTTTAAACCTTAACGGTAAACAATACCAACATTACTCGCAGATAAAATGAAAAGAACAAGAGAAGCGTTCTCTAAAAATAACTGTTGCTCAGCGGGAACAAATATAAACGGTAGTAAACGCGAATAAAAAGTCAACGTGACGTAATGTTGTGAACTGAATTACGTTTATTACACTGTAACACTTTAGCTATAGAAATATTATAAGAAATGTATAACTAGTGATCGCCTTTGTTCGAAAAGATTGTATCGGCCGAGCAGGGCATAAAAGTCTGATCAAAATGCCTGTAAATAAAATCAATCCGCGAAACAGATACATACTGTAACTGTGTCGTCCCCTTGCCTCATGAGGGAAAACGGGATTTCACTCTTTATAACTAGTGATATAAAATGGTTTCAAAACAGAATAGATTTATAATTTACTTTCATTGTTAAATGATTTGAGACTACGTAGATAGATACTTTTTACACTAATAAATATTTTATTGGGTTTGGATGATATTTTAAAAACTCATTCATTGACGGACCTTGCCTAGCATTCCGTCAACTGTGAGAGGTTCATTATTCGAATACCGGGAATAAATTATATTTAATGATTTATTGATCACTAAATAAGACACAGAAAGGTGTTTCCTCCATGTTGCAAAACATACGTCGGTAAAGCTGATTTTACTCACTTTCGCTTACGTAGAAATTTAATTCAGTACAACAAGCGGGGTCCAGAGAATTTTGTAATTCGAACTACTACTATTAAATCATTAAACTACAACAAACATATACTTAGATCATAAGTAGGTAGTTTTTATCATAAATGTCCCTAGGGAGGAAATTCATTTCCTAACGGTATGTGTGTCATTCTCATAACTTACTGTCTTGTTTGCTAATAGTACGTTTCTCTTTTTTCACGCTTCGTTAACTAAACACTTGTGACTAGAAACACGAAAACGAGATGCTTTTTTATGCTCGTACTACTATTAATACTTGTAATAATTAGTATTTTTTAATTGATTTCTCTTCTCATCATGATAAGAAATCACAAATATGGTCAATCGACGTACATCTTTTGTCTCTCTTACATGTGAAAAAACGCTTGGCAGCACATTCTACTATTGTTGTATGCGATAAAGAGTTTTAATAAATAAAAATAAATCAACCACAATCTCAAAATTTACAAAAAGTGAAATGATGTGAAATGTCAGGTAAGCTAAGCTAATTATGTCAACTTCTACCGACGCGCCCGCGCAGTACAGTCCACAACGCTGTTGGGCCAGTGGTGATACCAGTACAACTTTCATTTCGATACCAGCTTTCACCTTCCCGATACGTCAAGTTATGCACACCATACATTTTCACGCCCAAGTCTGACTGGGACTTTGGTTCTTTAATAGCAATAAATGGGATTTACGTACCACATAGAAAAATAAATCAATCGACAAAAATTTTATGGGCTTTTTTTCCATTACCATTTGCTGGAAAAGGAAAAGGATTTTCCGAAGTTTATTTTAAGTAGGTGGAGAGACAGTATTTCCTTTTTTAACACGTCATACCTAATGCACTTCCACATTTTGTTAACGCTTTGATTAGAATCGATTTCATGTTAAGACTAACATATAACTTAGATATGGCTATATCTGTACAGGTGTTTAACGGTACTATGATAGTCAATTTTTGATTCGCATTAGTCACTTTTGGTTATTCTTATTAGAAACGATGTAGTTGAACGCCATTATAAAGAAATATACTGCATTGAATGTATAGAATTTGGCTTTATAAAATTAATTATAAATTAAACTTAGTATTTAATAGTGAATTTGAACATGCAAAGGGCTACAGTAATTGTAATATTAAACGCTTAAGGTCGGAGGTTAATGTTTTCACTTTTATAGTAATTATTACATTGTTTATGTAGATCCATACCAACGAGGCAGAGGTCAAAACTCATAATTGTTGGAGCCTTTGGAATATTTAAGGTTCTTGTGATATGAAAAAAAGATAAAATTTTTTACTCCTCAAATACTGTCTGTAGTTTACGCGAGTAGTACGAATTTAAATAAAACATTTTAACAGTTTAAAACGCGATATACTTTTAGTTAACGCGTTTAAACGTTAAAGTGTTTTATTTAAATTTGTACTCCTTATCTAGTAAAAACTTCTGCTACACGCTTGCCTTAAGACATTCTACTCAACTTTTAATATATCCTTCCTTTAAATATTTAAATTAACTAATTATGTAAAACGTAATTTCAGAGGATGTAACTTTTTTAACAAGTTACGTAAAAAGGTTCACATTCAAGGTCGCCTTGTCAGGATATTCGTGACTTAGAAGTTATGAATCATTAGATTCATTATTCATATGTTATCGATCATATCAGCGTATTCGAGTATTTAGATGTATGAACTAACGTATTTTTGTAAATCTTGAGCATACATGGTGCAAGGATATCTTGACATGCATATATAACGATATTACAGTCTGAAAAAAGTGTGTAGGCAAGTCTGAAGGTTGAAGCTAAAGACAAACAGCGACAATTTTTTTTTCAACTTATCAAGCTATGTATGAATAAAATTAAGTTGAATAGTTATGTTATGTGAATTAAAAAAAAGAAATACGCCTATTTAAGCAAATATTTTGTTATAAAATAATTTACCTATTGACAAAAAACAAAGCACAATGAGATTTGCAATTACTAAAAATATTAATGTCATTTTTAAGGTCAAGTACTGTACAATATTGTGCATGTACTAATTAAGGAATTCAATATTGCATTTTGTATTAAATTAAGGTAATGGTACCATAATGACTAAATGTTTTCGTCATCATTATTTATATTTGTACTGTATGAAACTGCGCAGACGCGGATGCAAGATGTCGCTCGGTTAGACCGTAAAACTTTACGTAAAGTTCTCGTATGTATCTAGTATTTTTGCATAATATGTATAAAGAGAAGGTATTAATAAAGTAATTAAAACTTTAAACTTTTTGAGCCATCTGCTGAACAAGTGTAGGTACTAGAAAACTTTTTCAGCATTTGTTTTTTTTAATCTAATGACTTACATGGCTGCGTATGACCTCAATGATTTTATATGACATTTTAGAAGTAAACTTAGTGACTTACAAAAGTGCTAACGAGGCGGAAAACGAAGGACGTATGCTTAAGTAACATAGGTAGTCGCCACACAATTGTCATTACTAAAGTACCTACCTGTCAACTACGCAGTGGAAATAATAGAATAAGATTTTTCACACACTCATAACTTATTCAACCAACATATGTATATCTAATATGAGAGACGAATCTATTTCAAGCGACATAAAGGTGACGTGTAATATCTGAAAACGAGAAATACTCACCAATTCGATAACTTTAAGTAAGCCGGGAGTTGATTTGAAATATTCAACATCAATTTTGATCCAGTCCAGTGCACCGCCTTGCTGTTGCGGCGTCGCTGCCTGGGACGGCTTGTTATGGTCTACGGTCACCACTGTCTCGGGAGCCATCATTATTTTTCTCGAATACGGGATGGTCGAATGCTATTTTTCCGAAATGGACACACACTTAAAACTTCAGCACACCAAAGACACGATATACATTTTCCTATGACTGAACGTAGTATAGTGCGTACGGCGTACGACTAAAGAATGGCGGGGAACTAGAATGGTATTGGGTGGCGACTGTAGATTGTCGACCGTCCTCGCGTCCCTCGCGGCGTGCCTATCAGTTACCGCGACGGAATGCACTCATTGACGACGCTTGATCAAGATTTCTGTTTTGTAAACCAACGATCCTTAGGTAATATTGATCATTAAAAACGTATTAACGTTCGTACGAAATTCATGTTTCTAGATCGACTTGTTTTCCGAGAAGTTAATTCGTAATTATCTCTATTATATTGATTGTAATAATGACCACATCATTTATCTATTATAGCTAACCAAAATCCAGAATTAATGGTATAGCTGCTAAAATTGAACGACTTTATTTTCACTGTGGCGTTTTGGTCCGAATCCATACGTCGCCGCTTCTTATAGGTACTCGTTAAATATAAATTAAATTAAACTTTATTTAATTTCAGATTGATTGCGCTATCAATAGTCCAGAACTTGAATTTTCCGCCCCTGATAGTAAAAACATAGCAAAATATCTCTAAATTCGCACTTGTGTTGCGTATTCTAGGAGTAATATATTAGTTAAATGATTACATAAATGCTTTTGTGAAATTAAACACACATTTATGTATTTCTTTTAATGTAGAGTGGGATAACAATTAATCACTTAAAATTGTCTGGTAGAACCAGGTTATTCTGTAACTTTAAACTTAACTGTTAAATTATAAGGTTTAAACGTTTTTTTTGTGAAATTTGTAAAAGTAAAAATATCATTATCTCACATAAACACAAGCCACCACCACCATACCATTTTAAGTCGATTTTTTGAGTTAATAAAGTTTTATATCTATGAATTAATAATCTCGCTATAAATAATACACATTTAATTTATTACGAGCAGTTTTACGCTTAATTTTCCAAACAATCACCTTATTATTATTTATTATTTTTCTCTCGGGGACACCTGTGGTAGGACGGGTGATCAGTCCACACTATCAGCTGACCATTTCACCCATTTCCCCATTTCCACCTTGTGGAGGTTTTGGGTCATCCAACTCTCCCCGTGTCCCCTTCAAACCTTCCGGTTTGCTTGCAGAATCTTATAATTTTTTCCATCTGTAATTCTTTGATCTCATCTTCTGTAATTTCGTCCGAACCCATATGTGTTTGTCTCAGCCTCGAGTATGCAGAGCATTCAGTGAGTAGATGGATGCTTGTTTCCTCACTTTCTCTGCACTCCGGACATAGGGGGTCGCTGCCTATTCCTATCATTGTAAGATGTCTGTTTAGACGGCAATGTCCTGTTATGATCTCTACGATGAGTCGGATGTTCGCTCTCGTTAATCTCATCAGGTTTTTGGTCTTCTTTTTGTCTAGGCTATGTATGAATAACTTCGACTGTCTAAACAATCACCTTACTTACTGCCTTATTAATAGCGCCACCTACCTTATAATTGTGAATTAACTAAATGTAATACGACCTTAACACCAGATCAGTGATTCCCAGAGTGTTCTATGTCGACCCCTAGAGGTCTATGACATCCTGAAAGGGGCTTACGTCAGCGAAAAAATAATTTGGGGGTAAAAGATAGCGAATTTTAGCACATACACTGATATATAATTTAAACTTACATCTTACTAAATTATTATATGAGAGCATATACATTATTTATAAAAGACCCTATGAGGTAAAAAAAAATATGTTTAATTACGGATAAAAAAATTATTTGAGTAATTTTAATTCAATTAATAAATTGTATAAATTAACGTGTGTATTTAACACTAAACTTCATTTACAGGAAATCAATTTCAGGTAAGTAGGGGGTCTACCCAACACGGAAAATCATGGCAAAGGATCTACGACACAAAAAAAGTTTGGGGATCTCTGCACCAGCTGAACATTTCCCTGCGTAAAACACAGGCTGAACACACGTTTAAGTCTTTACGTGTCCTTTTTACTAATAGGTCTTACATACTGGAAAGATGTTTCATAGTCAGCCAATTTTGTCCTCGAACTGTTTTCCCCTTACACTAGTGTCATTTGACAGTACTATCGGGTTTTTAGTTGACTTTTTAAAGTTCTTAATTATTTAATAGCCAACCTTTAAGTATTCGCAAAGTTATTGATTAGTCTTTAAAATTGACATAAAATATAATATAATAGAACAAAATATTCTGTTGTGATTATTAATATGAAATTGTATCTTAATGCATTATAAGTCTGTTGAATCAAATTCTTTAAAACTTAAGAAGTTATTTTTTTTCCTTGTAATTGTATAATATATTCTTAAAGACATTTTTATCCAAATCCATATAACAAAATTAAAATACTTATTTATCGAAGGAGTGTTGTATGATGTGCCTCTAAAGAAACAAAAAATATCAGTTCCCCAGGAATGAAAAACTGAGGATCCCTACTGCTTAATGTAATAATAGTCAATGTTTTACCAGAAATGGTTTGAACTAAGGTAAATTATAAAGCTATATATGAATTTTCAGTGCTTTAGACCAAATATCAAATTTATCAAAAATAAAACAAAAGCAAATAAGTTTTATACATATATTAGATTAAAAGAAGAAACCCAATATTTTCCCTCCGAGATGTTTCCGTCTGGCTTCTTCGTGGTCCATGATTCCTCCGCTGGTGGTAAGCACTAAGTATCTGAAATAATAGCATATAACATTAAGAATTAATTTTGCAAGAAATATTTTTAATTTATGACACGACTATGGCTGTAATCTCAAAATGTAGATTATAAATTTATAACATAGGCAAGTAACTAATAATATTCTGATAATATGTTGGACAGAAGTTTTACCATACTAAGTAAAATTAACAATATTTTATTTTTAAATCAGATAAGGTCAGAAAAAGATCATAACATTTTTTGACAGATACTTTGCTAGTAGTTTATAAAAAAATCTACACTGCTATTAATACAGAAAAGCCATAAATTAGATTATAAGGAGAATAATATATATACTACTCTTAATTGGTACTGCACACATGATCCCCACAGAATAACATTAGACTTGCTTTTAATATTGAAGAATTAGCTTACATTTTTTAAAACTACTATAGGATACTGGCCTTAATGTCAATAAAAAAAATAGTTTTGAGAAGAACCAAAAAATTGTTTTGTATACAATAGCTTTAGCACTGTTTACTATTTAAGTAACATCAAATTTACGCTATTGTAATGTAATATAGCACAACTTAACAAATAACAACCAACAAGAACTATTGGCGATTCGCGGTAGTCGTGCGTACTACTAAATGATTTGTTTATTAAAATTAAGTTAAAAAATGAACTGTAAAAACTGATACTGTTCTAATTTCATAGTAAGTTCTTAATATAAAGTACATACCCAAATTGTCGAGAGGGCAGTAAGTTAGTCCATCTTTCTATGTCATTAATTGGTACATCGAACCGTGGTGAAATTACCCCACATTTGTTCAATCTGCCTGTTAGGTTGACAACGATCTTTCCTGCTCTATGATCGTCTACGATCTCGAATTCACCAATGTAACCATGCTTCATCATCACAGTAAGGAACTTCACAATAACTTTTGAACAAGGCCTGATGAGCACTTGTCTTTTGCCTCGTTTCTCAGCATTGTGAATTGATTTTAGAGCATCACTCAAAACGTTCATTCGCACCATGGCTGAAAACCACAATAGTATTTTAAATTATAACCAATAAATACGTAAAGTATAACCTCGTAAGCCGCAATTTGACAATAAAACATGAAGTCACAAAACAGAAAACACTATCACTTTTAACTGAAATACCATTTTAATTTGCTTTATTAACAAATAAATTTACAAAATACGGGCTCAAATAATCTTTTTATGCTACATAAACAGTGATTACCTAGGATTTTAAACCCGCCTCAACTTTCCTAAAGACAGGCTAGCTGAAAAAGAAATAAAAAAAACAATTTGTATTTTCTTGGTCATTGTCATTTGTCACTATCAAAGTGTCATTTGTCAGCTATCGGCAGGAGAAAGCTTTTTAAATATATTCTGTATTTATTACATTATGTATTCAACAATAGTTAAATAAAATAAATCTCCCAATTGGTAAGTAGAATGTGAAAAGTATAAATAAAAATGCCATTTAATCGTCACTAAATCATACAAAATACATATTTATAGATTGAAATAATGTCATTTTCTTTTCTTCTTAGTGTTCATAATTTATCGAAGCTTACCCATGGTACAATGGATTCTGCGAAATCAATTAGAAATTAGAAAGTATTACAATTAGAAAGTAATTTTTCCGTTTGCCTCTTAAAAAAGGGTGGAAAATTCAAAAAATACTGTGTGTTTTAATAATCTGTATATATCATAATTCATAACAAGTGTCAGCCTTTTCTGTGGCTAGATTTTAATAAGCATGAAAAATATTTTTATATCTGTAATGTATACTGCAGCCTGTGGTCCGTACGTATACGTATGTCTTTCGTCTCTACAGTCTGTGATTCTCCCGATTCTCAAAGTCGGGACTTCACATGAGTTTGACTTTAGCGATTTAAAGCGTGAGTCGTGAGCCGTGAATAAGCGTCCTTCAGACGAAAGAGTGGTTGCGAAATGAAGTTTTTGAAACTTTCAAACTTTCGTAAAACTTTTTGTTACATAGTGAATATGCTTTTATAAGTAATTAAAAAGGCAGTGATTTTGTGTAAACGATATCTAAGCAAAAATAAGTCAAGTTAATAAAGTTAGCAACTTTATAGGGCACGTATACCTATTATAAAGTTGAGTGAACTTTTGTACCTTGCTGGCTAATCGTATTAAAATCCCACAGGTACTAACGTAAACCTCAAAGCTGTAGTCGCCTTTATGTTGTGGTGATTATAACTCTTAGCAACGGCAAGTTTATAACATGAAGGGTGTTTTAGAAATGACTGTGTTTAGTAAAACAAATATGTGTATTTAGTAAAACAAAAGAATGTGTTCATGGTGTAATAAAATTGAAATAGTTTTGTGCTATGGAAGAACTTGAGTGGTGGAAAAAAATGTCACTAAAATTAAGATTATTTACGTTAATTGGCTGTTTCGTACAGATTTCAACATCAGCAGATAGTTTAGGTGAGTGTCATGTTATTGTTATGTTTCCACAAAAAGTTTTATAATTGTAAACACGGGTAGTATATGGAATTCCAAATGTATGCTTTGTTTTGGATTATACTCTTTAATTACAAATTTATTGTATACAACATACAAATAATATTTGTTGTTATTTGGCATCCAATATCATATTTCTAACAGTTGCACTGCATACTTGCAGAATATTTCAGCATTAGATACAGGCTGATGAAAATTATAAAAAAGAAATTGAAGATATTTCTATAAAAATAAGCATATCAATAATAGTTTAAGTTGCCCTTTTATTATACTAATTAAGAATTACTTTAAAGATCTATTGGTTGCTCATACCTGCTGCACAATTTTGGTTAATATACCTCAAAGCCTTATATTAATACAAAATTCATACTATTTTTACTAAACCAAACTGTACAATTATAACTTAATAGCCACATTGAAGTCGGTACGCTTTTAAAAACACATAACGTTGATAAGATAATTTTTTTACTCATAACTTACTCCCATTCCGTCTTAGGAAGAGGTAAAGATATTGTGTTTGTTTTATTGATTAATTGTATTTATTATATTTTATAATACAGGTAGTCGTGGCCACACTTCTGTGCCCTGAACTATCACGACCTTTTATTACTTGAATTATATCTGATCCAAGGACATTCCATATGTACCACAATACTGTGCTACTACTTATTTGTCAATTGTTGTTCTTTGACTTGTAAAATATAAATTACATGACTTACATAAACATGTAAGTTATATTTTACAAGTCAAAGAACTCTACATCAAATCTCATTATTTGACCTGGTTTTACTTTAATGTGTCTACCCAATCATAATTCTTAATGAACTTTGCTTAGTTGAAGTGGTACTAAAACATTCAGTTGTAAATTAGCACCACTCTATGACTAACATCACTTATGCAAAGATACTCTCAAGATTGGATATATCAAAAGGAGGTCAGTTGGGACTAAATTGAGTTGTTTGGATTATGTGTGTGGAATCTGTATCTTGTTTTCAACGACTCTCTCTGCTGTTTGTCATGTAAAGCTGTTTTATCCTAACCATTGCGGTTGCTTGGAAGAGATAGCCACTTAGTTGTAAGGCTGTCTTTTAACCTCAACAAGTAGATACTATTTTTATGATATTATTTTTTACATATTATTAATTTTGTTGTAGACTTCACAGGTCAAAGCTGATTTTAATGAACTAGACTGTTGTACTACTAGTTGTTATTAATTCTATCATTGTTATGATGAAACGCACTTTAAATAATATCTTATGGAGAACAAAGAAAATATCTAAGTAGGGCAAAGCAAGGGAAAAGTACGACGAAAACCATTCTTTAATGGTAAACTTGGGCCTTATTTTTCCTTTCAAAACTGTCGCAAAGGCGAATATTCATAAACAAGCGTATCACGATATTATTTTCACTTTGGCGTTGCTACTCTCTAATAATAAAACGTTAATTTGTTTCCAAATTCATTAGGAATTTGCAGTTGAATAAAATCTTATTTATAAGGTAGATACAAAACGCTAAGTTGCCGTTTACGGTATGACGCGCAAGCGACATTCTAGTCGATAACTACAAGCCCCCTACTTAAGTGCATTATGTTACGTTAACGTCGCACTTAGAACGCACAGTGTATCCAATACCCGAGCGCTACTACGAGACCTGTTTAAAGCTGAAACAAAAAGCAACTTCGCATAGCTAGCGACATTCCGAACAGTTCAGATACTGCACATTTTTGAAGTATGTTTCAGCTCCTGTAATTCATTGAAAAGTTTCTGTTTTGCCCGTCAATAGATCGCTAGTTGCCGGAGTGCGGCGTGTGATATGACACTGTGTGACTGAATAACTCTTTGAAAACCCTGAAGGACGTGAGTGTACTAGCCGTCTCACAAAAATGCATTCAGGAGCACGAACGCAGAAGTGGCACGGGTTACACATCAATGCATTTTCTTGCCCGATTACATGATTCATGAAGAATGAAAATGCTACTACGATATTCGATTTTATTTAGGTTATTATATGTTATTTATATATTGGTAACACAACTAGCTACTACATTTACCACTTGTATAAAAGCATTTTGACCGGATTGAACCTTATTAATTTCGAGGAGCTCGTTGGTCTAGTTAGCAATGTACGGCTAATAATAATTAACCGTTGGTGGGTTCGAACCTTGCCGGGTCAAACTTCTAATTAAAAAAAAAAAATTTCGCCTGGGTTATGAACCACCGTTCAGAGATGACATATCCTAATAGGTTTAAATGCATTTCACATCGACAGTGAATATTGCTCAGAATGCCTATGGCTGGGATATTTTACTTTCCATCTAGCGAACCCCAGGCTTGTCTCTCGTTCTCTGTCATAAAAAAACATTCATTCACTACCTTAAGTCACGTTTTACCCCTAAAATAGTTTTATTACAAAATAACATAACCGCCCCCTCGCCTAAACTTCAGATACCATGAGACCTTTTTATTTATTTAAAATATGTCCATTAAGTTTATTAATGAGTAATGACACGCTTGAATTATTCAGGTACCTACGACAAAATACAAGTGATAGTCGCACTTACAAAAGAACCATCGTGATACTACGTAGGTTAGGTAAACAATATTTCTGTACCAAACTTCAGGTACTAATAAAATTAGTATGTTCTTGAAAGTGCATTTTCATTATGTAGAACACGAGTCAACAGCATCCAGGAACGGTAGCAAACATCGCCATAAAGCCTCTAGTCTCAACTCGGGAACAAATTCAGTAGCGCTTAGAAGCAGCTGCCAGAGCTTTCTTGTATGGGAAGTTATAAATATTAAACGCGTGTGTCGCCGGGTAAATACGGCCAATGAGCCATCGCTCTACGAGGTTCAATGCCTTCCTCACTCTGCTTATTTTGTAACGACCCTATCGCCATTACGAGAAATTGGGCTCAATATAAGAAGCGATAACGTTTTGACCTTTTCCGTATCTTTTATCGTTTAATTAATTAACACTGTAAATAAATAACTTGACTGCCATCGGAACTCAATGATAACACACTACCTAGCATTTTTAATGCGTTAGGTTTTAGGTTTGAATCCCAGGGCAAGACAATAGTTTGCGGTCCGTCAGGGCGCAGAAGTCTGGTGCACTACTTTACTGTAAACAAATTCTTTGAAGTTTATTTTTAGATTAAAGTTTATTAGAGATTGAGGAAAAACAGTATGACGTGAGCAGGACTCGAACCCACATCCGTGCGCATCACTCAAAAGAACATAAATATGCCCCAGGGCGGAAACGGGAATTCTCCTGTTACAAATATATCTCAATTCCTTTAAACCAATTAAAGAAGCAGCATTCCAGGTTTCAAAACCGTTACCTACCGTTCGGTTCCACGTACATAACTTATGGAGGGTGCTATTGAATTTTAGCAACCCTCCTTTATTTATTCAAGGTGAAATGGGGAAGGCCTGCTATAAATAAATATATCTTATGTATGTTTCATCAATACGGAGAACGGCTTAAATTTTAAAGACCAATCCTTTCTATCATAAACAGGAACGAACATAAAGTCGCATTTACCGCAAGGCGCAAACATAAAACTATTCATTCAATACAATAATAATAGTCTCGATAGCCATATACACCTACTTCATTTGAATGTATAAGGTAAATATGAGTCAATACATTTTCTGTTTATAAACTCTTGGTACAAAAATAAAAATACCTTATTTCCGTCAATAATATGACCCAATAACCTTAGCTTAAAGTCTAAGCTCTCCTGCTGTAAAGCCTGATGAAAACAAGTGACACGTATAAATAGGATCGATTAATTTCTATTTTTAACCCTTAGACGTCCATTGGCGCCTATTAGCCCTGTTTCCAGAGGACATTCATTCGCATAGCCTGGAAGTCATTTCGCGTTACATCGAAAGGCTATTACAGTTACAAAGAACGTAACGATTTCAATTCGAATAATTATATCACACTAATAAATACTAAATAAGGTTTCCAAAGTTTTTTTTCTGGAAGCGTTTTTATTTAATTTTTTAAGTGGCATTAATAAATACATACAAATTACTACATTTATAAATTATTATTTTATTATTAGAATTTTTGTATTGCAATATACAAACATTTAGTACTAAAAACGAACGAACTTCTTGTCTTGTCGAACATTGAATATTATTTTCACAAAATATTACCTTACAGTCATTTAACATTTTACATTGTTTGAAAGGAGTAAAAAAATAACAATTTTGAATCAACTGTAATATAAGCGCTACTAGTATTTGTACATACTTAATATGTTACGCGTAGTGTAATGTCAGTTTTCTCAGTTCAGCTTACAACGATTAAGTTTCCCACAAACAAAGGAAGTGAGAGAAACAATGAATTCACGGAACTTACTGCCGAAGCCTTTTTACTAAGTATGAATTGACAAACAAAAGGTAAAATTGCCGATTGTTCAATATTTGCCTTTTTTGCCCTATCTTCATCACATTTTAATGAACTATCAAATCTCATGTGATTCAATATGTACTATGATTAAAGATACATGCGCCCATGTGGTTTGTCGTTTAATTTCAGAAAATATTTCGTTTGTAATATTGATTATTATTACGTTTCATTGGGTTTCATAGCTTCAGTTCCATAATTTTTAAATACCTACGTTCATTATTTATCAATATATTTGCATTAGAAATAAGACATTTTGCGCTTTAATTATTTTTAGTTCTTTAGCTATACATAATACTTAAATATAATACAACTACAGTTTACTATATATAATAGTATAATAGGAAGCAAATTATTCTAATTGGTCACGTCAATTTATTGTGTTAACATTGAGGCATTGTTGTAAGTTATTTTCTAATTCAGACCATGTCAGTGGATCAGTGGTCAAATCTAGCATTATTTAAGGACGTGTGTAGTACCCCGTACTTACCTCTTTTAGGAGATGTGTGTGAAATCCCGTTTTCCCTCGTGAGACATAGAGCGAACACATTTTTGCGTCTGTTTCAATAATCGGTTTTATTTACAGGCAAGTAGGTCATCAGACTTCTGTGCCCTGCCCGACCGAGACATTTTACTCTTTCCCCGGGATTCGAACCCTCTCGCGCTTAACGCAATGCTAAGCAACACGTTTAACCATTTAGCTGCCGAGGCGGTCCTATTTAGGAGATACTATATATTAAAATGTAAAACAAAAGGTTCTAGGAATGTAGGGACTAGTGTTCACCGATGCTTTAGGTTGCCTTGTATGGTCGTAGACCGTGCTTACTTGTTTCTCAAGTTCTGGAGTCGAGATCTTGTGTAACGGGATGAGCGAATGAACGCTGATGTATAAGTGAATCATTTGTAATGGTTTAACGGTACAGAGTAAAAACCACATGGTCCATAATCCATAAAACATTAAGACGCTTTACTTAATTTTTTACTTTTTAATAGTTCAGTATATATGTTACATAAGCTAAAAAGTATGTAAGTATTAATTTTAAGGTCTAAACGCTCCCTTATGAGAATCAATAGTCGGAACGAATAAATTTTTATTTCATTTCATCTCAGCCATATCAGCAAGAGTAATATTAAAACAACGAATTTTCCACTTCAACAAACAATTTAGTTAAACTTTTAATTAGCAAACCAGTGAGCTGAATTCTGTTCTGCAACATAGCACTTTCCGTTTTCGAACTTGTAGGTTTAATTGTATTGCTATGTCGAACATTCCTTGATTCAGCATTCATTATTCAGATAATTGATAATGTTAATCTCCATTGCCTTACCTGGGGTATGGGGCAACCAAAATTACTACCTTTTCTCGTATTCACTAGGTGTGAATACGAGAAATTATTGAATATTATTGCAAACTTTCAAAGGTTATATTAAGTCAAAGAGCTACGAAGGAGTTCGCTATGAAAACGGTAACATGTTACAATTTTAAGCCAATTCAAGATGCACAAAAAGCATTTAAGTACACCAAGGAACGCAAAGTGGGCACTTGAAAGGCTTCTTTCATTTTACATGCGAACAAAGCGTGCAGTGACGAAAGGTTTCTCTGGTCAATACAGTGTAGTAAAGGAGTACGTGGCGGGTGCGGTATGTGGGTAAGGCTCGAATTACAAGCGCGACCGGCCCAGCTGGCGATCAGCAACTCGGTAGTCGCGCTTCTAGGTAATAGATTATATTATATTAATAAATAGTTGAGACAATAAGGTTTATTATAAATGGAACAACAATCAATGTCCAATTTCCGACCGCCCTAATTGCAAAATTTATTGCTTAAACGCCTCGAATTAAACTCAAGAGGTCCTTAGTCCGGAATCGCGACGAGTAATAGTTTCTGACAGACTGGGCAGACTGTACAATTCATATCTACTATTTGCACAAAGATAAAGTCTATCTGCATAGGGGTACCTGACTTTCGCACAATGCCAAAAAAAATATTTAAAATATCAGACACCGTAACGTAAAGTACGTTTTTTTTGAATACGTACTTTACGTTACGGTGTCATTATTAATCGGTGATATTCTTTCGTCCAGTTAGCGTTTCTAGGAACTTTCATATCTCAAGTACTTATAATAACAAAACATAGGTGGGTACTTGAAGTGTATTAATATGTCTAGTTGATTAAATTGATATGAAAGCCTCACATTTCCGCTGCAGCAACTTAACTCCCTCGAGTAAGGTACTGAATTATAATTTAATCTATCCAATCATGATGTCGATGTAGTCAGAATTCCTCGAATAAAAAATGGCCTTCTGCGGCTCTCTATTAGTATGTTAGTGGTCTCATAGCATCGGCCGTACGTGCCATTCCCATGAGTCACGTAACGGAAATGCTCCTTCACTTTGAAATGTAAGCCTCAATGAATTTTACATATTGGAATTTTCGGCTATTTAAGTAAGCCTGCGTTCTTGATCTACTGGTTAGTACACTCGAATGCAGAACAAGAACAAGGATGCGAAGCTCGGATCTTGTAATTTTCAAGAACATTTCTATCACCATCGGTGCCTCGGATGTGCTATCTGAGGCACAGGGGCGATGACAAAAGGGGGTCAGTTCTGCTGTTTATCATTAAGTGGCGATACCCGCCAGCCCTCATTGGAGCAGCGTGGTGGACTAAGTTCTTAACCCTCCCCTATAAGAAAGAAGACGTCTTCCCAGCTGTGGAACAAAAAAAATTGAAATGTAAATTAACTTAATTACACTGTATTGATTTTAAATCTTAATTTGTACTCTTCTTAAATTCTTTGTAACAAACATCTGAAACCCCAGCTGTGTCTCTAACAAAGAATATTTAAGTTAACTCGTATTCTCTCCAATCGTCGTCGTAAAAACGCAACACGAATTTCAAAGTTTAACAAATTGATTAACATCGTTTGCTAAAATCTTAATTTGAAAAAGGAAGAGAAAGTCACACAATTAGAGAATATTGTGTGCACTACCCATTCTTCTGAATAAAACCCGATTCCACGGATTGAAACCACGTACAATACGGCTTACGCCTATAATACTTGAAGTTTACGAAACAGTGTAGAAGTTGGCATTTTGCCAGCCATAGTTCTGTTTGAAGCTTGTACCATTTTAGGTACTCGATAACAAATTCGATTCTCCAAGGTGCTGAAATAACTTAGTACTTGACTGAATTTAAACTAGGCCATCAATAAACTAAACTTATCTTTACTGCTTTTCGTCTATAGCTTTAGGCGTTTATAAAAATTTATCTTGCACCTAATTATAACTCAAATATTGTTCGAATTCTAATTGCAACCTTTAATATAGAGTTCTTGAGGGAGTCATTCCGCGATAAGTTAAATAGCTACAGCACACGTGAAGTTGTGAACACGCGACTCGAATAAACTGTAGCAACAGTTAACGCTTTATGGAGCCAAGTTTGTACGTATTGCGAGAAATATTGAGATTTTCATTATTTGATTTGTCACATACACAACGAACTAACTTAACGCACCTGTGTCCTTTTAATGTGTGCTTATTGTTTTAATTAATCTTAAGTATAACACATTCAAACAATAACTTCATTCATTTAAAAATCGAAAATAAATTGAAAAAATTTTCGACTCGGGCAGGACTTGAACCGGCATCGCCAGCGTTCCGTGCTGTTGCTCTATATAGTGCCTCCATGTGCAATAACATGTAAAAAATAATAAAGTTGAAGACTTTATTCATTGTTAGCACCTTTGGCACTTTAAGTATGAAATACAATTTTACACATATGAAGCATATGGGTGATGGGCATTATTCTAGAGAAAATGTATTTTCTATGTTTCAAATCTACCAAAATTGTATCCCAATAGAATCAAGCTGTTAAGTATTAATCAACTAACCAGAAACTATTTAATGTTGAATTAACCTCGTGCCAGGTTGCACGACCAACACCCCTTAAGCTATTCATATCTGATGTTCCAGGTCGCTTCTGACATATTAACGAAGGTTTTATATTCCGCAACTTGTGAACCGTGACCGGAGGACGTTAGGTCGCACGTTGGTGCATTAATACAATAACGCAATGGTCTTCCCTTATCCATAATTGTTTTGGTTCAATCTTCCTTTTTTAGAAGTGGAAAGGGGAAGGATTGTTACTTTTGCAATGACATTTAATGCTTTGCCAATAAATCGTAATGTTGGTAAACATCAACTGTGTCTCCCACTAACAATATAATATTGTTTAATAATAAATATAATACGAGTGTAATTTATAAAAAAAAAACGCAAAAATGCTGATATGATATTTATAAATATACAGAAATTAACTTTTTAAATAAACACATAACTAAATAAATACATTTTACTCTATTTCAGTAAATAAATATTTATAACAATAATCCATGTCGGAATAATAAAATATAACGTAGGTGAGACAGCACCTCAAACAGATTGCTCAGTGTGCTCCAGTCTCGATAATATCGAAATATTTACTGAAATAAACAAGATAAAAGTCTAAAAGTATCATGGCCGCCCCATTAAAAGTGGGTTACCGAATCTTATCATTTTTATCATAGCCGATTACAACAGTGCACACACACCTTATTCATTGCACATAATGGACTCGTTCATATGTAATAGGGATGTTACTTAAAAATAATATGTTTTTACTAAGTTTTTTAGTAAAAACATATTATTTTTTGTAATGTAATCGTTAAAAATATAAAATTACCGCATGGTGTTTTGTAGTAACAATAACTTTTAATCGTATCTCTATAAATTAGGTTTAATAGAGCAATCTACAGTATAATCCGTTTTTATAGGGAAACCAACATTATCTTCTCACGCAACTCCACTTGATAGCTTTGTTCCGCCCTCGTCAGAGGATGTGAATGCTTCTCACTTCCGAGAAGAGTTGCGAATGCTTCTATATAGTAACGCTCTATAAAGAAACAAACGGATGACGTACTAATTGGACTGTACCAACTGCGCAATATATATCTATAGTATATGTGTTACTATTTAAATAAAAAAAATATGGGACCATAACACATGTGGTATGGTAATATTTAACATTATTACGTTTAAGAGCTTTCCTATGATAATAAACGCACGATAACGGTCTATTTCAATTCATGTTCAGTTTAAATTCCATGACATTAAATAGAATTTCGATAACAAGTAAAATATCTAAGTATTTATAGCACCTGGTAAATTAAAATCTATCAAGTATTTTAGACACTAAACTGGAGGGTACATACTTTCATACACTGTTTTGATTTCGGCGGCGTCGGCTAGTAATCGAACGAAGTTGTACATTGAAAACTAGTTGCCGTGTACGAATTTCGTAACACATGTTAAATGTTGGTCAGCTCACTGCACTCAATCAATAGCACAAAAGTAAACATAAAACGTTCGTATTCTGGATTAACAGTTTTCTCCTTCCAGGAAACATTATAATCTTACGGTATAAACTTTATATTGAGGGCAACTGTGCTGTAATTTATGAATTTAATGTAATTATTCTTTAGTCGTGTCCTACTTACCTGTGTGTCAGATATAATAAATAATTATTTTTGGACACTATTATTCTAAAAAGCGTCAATAAAAACAGATTCTCAATTTAAGCCGTGCTATTTTATAGGTATGACTTTCTTAGATGTTTAATTATTTTTCATAGAGAAATGTTACAATACATTATTTTAGGTGTAACAAAAAGGTATAATACTTTGCGATCTCTATAAATATCTAGCAAGCCACCCCGATTTTACCCCGATCTATTCGAGAAGATACTATTAATATGGCTTTATACAATAAATAAGGGTCAAACACGAAAGTAGAATGGATTTGCCAAATTGTAGTACAAAAACTTTACCAATTGCAATATATCGAACCTCAACTCGACAACTACAGATTACAATTTCGTGTTTGATGTAACAGTAGTAATAAATAATTTCTTTTTATTTTATCATAACTACGAACCGAAACTTTCAGTAGTGTACTGAAAGTTTAAGGAAAGCGTTAGACATTTAAATAAATGAAAAGATAGCCGTTGGTTAGTTAATAACTAAATAATCTATGTGTTAAACATACAATAATAAAACTTTAAATAGACGTAAGATAAGTACAAATGCTAAGCTTGCAAAAATGAGACTACTTACTAATTTACGAATCTACCCAATTCATTTTTTACTTCTAAGAATGGTTTTGGCCATGTCTATGAATATAGATTATATTATACATTCATGAAGAGTTTTAGATATTTATAAAGTACCAAAGCTGGGTTCGGGTGACACGTCTTCATAAATAATTAAGGTATTCGATGACGCAGGCTCCTGGTGACACTACAGCTCATTTGGTAACGCAAAACGAGGTACACCTTTCGAAGCCAATGTCACAAATACTTTAGTATCTCTATAGTTATTTTTTACGCTTTGTCAATCCTTTTTTTTGTTTCCTTAGAGCAATGAATTTTAATACCATTTATTCATTACAGCACAAATGCAACCACCACGGTTTAACATGCAACCATCGTCTTCAAACAGCATCGTTAGAGAAAGCACTACGAAGATATTACAATGTTCTGCAATTGGTAAGTAAAATCTAAAACGTTAAGGTAAACGTAATGTTACTGTAAAATATGTGAATATTATATTCAAAATAAACCCTTTTTTTAGGTATACCTCAACCGATGTACAGGTGGCTAAAAGACGGTGTGCCACTAGGCGATTACTCATCTGAACTTTTCTATAAAATTCAGAACACTCGCAGGGAGGACGCTGGAGCTTACCAATGCATAGCGAAGAATGAAGTTGGCGCTATATTCAGTGAAAAAAACAATATCGTCGTAGCGTGTAAGAAAGACATGCATTTTACACCTTAACCGAATTCAGAAATAATATTTCCAATTGAAATCATATTCTTTCCATACTGCATACTGATAAAACTCTCATTATAAACTGCGTTTTAATGAGACCTGGATTTCTGAAATTATTTTTCATTGCAGATATGGGAATGTTCGAAAATACTATCGAGTCAGTGGTGACTGTTGAATCAGGGAAGGCAGCTATACTAGATTTCCCCGCCATAGATTCGGAACCACCGCCATCCGTAATCTGGCAGGATGAAAAGGGGGCCAACGGTGTTTTGAGTTATGTTCAAAAATACGCGATCACCGATAAACATCAACTTGTGATCCTATGCGCGTCAGAGGATGATCAAAGAGCATATCGGTGAGAAATACTTGAAATTTAACTGACACAGATTATTGTTATTTTACTATTTAATAGGCCTTATACATTGTCTGATTAAATCTAATTTTTCATTACTTATAGAGCCAGAGCCATCAATACACAATTAGGGAAAGTAGAAAATAGCCCCTACATCAGGTTAAATGTTTACGGCGATGACACGAAAGAAATCGCCCCAGAGATTATAATAAAACCGCAAGACACTAAAATAATAAAAGGTCAGGAATATACAAACATATATTGTATAGTCAACGCTCGGCCGCTACACGAACTCGAAACGTTATGGTTCAAAGACGGCATATTGATCGATTTAGCCGGAGTGACTTACGATCTAAACGACCCGTGGAATAGGACATTGAGTTTGATATCAGCGAATTCGAACCACACGGGCGAGTATATGTGCCAGGCGAGATTAAAAACGGGGGGCTTCGCCACTGTCACTGCCTCCGCGAGCGTCACGGTATTCGAGAAGCCAGTCATGTTGACTAATCTCAAATCCGAAACGTATGGCGAGTACGGAAATACAATCACATTGGAGTGTAACGTCCAAGGCCTTCCTTTACCCGGGATCACGTGGTACAAAGATGCTCGGAAAATTGCGAGCGTCGGTGCAGACGCCGGGGAACCAGATAACGCCGATGTTGACGACGGAGGCGGGCGGTATAGGGTCGAAGTAGATAGGTCTCTCGTTATAAGCGATCTTAAAATGGAAGATATGGGCGTGTACCAGTGCATCGCAAGCAACGAAGCGGGAGAATCCTCCATTTACACATGGCTCAAAATTAAAAGTGAGTATTTATTTAAGGTTCTAATTGTGTTCAATGATAATGCCCATTATTAATTACCACTGTCACACAGCAACAGACTGTACGGTACGTCTCCGACGCAGTCATATGAAGTTGATTCGAATGAGGACTTCTGATAAAAAGTCAAAAACTTTTAAATTCGATGCCGGCAGTAAGCGATTAGTTGGTGTATTCCGCACTTTACTAGACAAGTTTTGTTTTTATTTCACAGTGTGACTGCTTACGAATTGTATAATCACCAACACGTTTTAGATGCTTTCCTTTCGAATGTCCTGCCCTCTATATGTTGATAAAAATTAATTTGTTTTAGCAATCAGGTACATGAAGCATGACCGTTTCTAGCAAAAGCATGAACGTATAAAAATGTGGAAATAAATAAGAAAATATTATATAAAAAGAACTTGTACAGTAATTATATTCAACCTGAGTCAATCTTGTTACGGATCCGTTGATTAAATATTTTTTACCTCAGTCTTAATCCAGATTATTACTAGTAAAGTCTTTAGACTGTTTAATGCATGCTTTCGTAATTATTAAAACAACCTAGATATTATATCACCAAATGCATACTAACCTTCAAAGTTTGCGACTCAAAGATGCAGTCGCGTCGTTTTATACGCTAATTTAGTTTGAATTAAATATCGTTTCTTTTTATCTCAGTTACATGTTTGGGTCGCAAAGCTCTGGCGTCTTTTGATTTAGTAATATTTAATTAGTGTATAAATAAATAGCGCTCGTAGACTAACTCGACCGTGTGGCTTGTAGCGTCTCCACCAGTAATGCAATCTGCCCCATCAAACCTCACGGTTCTGGATGGCAAGGATGCCACCATCACCTGCAGAGCAGTCGGTGCCCCGACACCAAATGTCACCTGGTACTTTAACGGTAAGGCATTTGTGATTAGATAGTAAATAAATAAATAATCCGTTTATTGTCACAATCGTTCGTCGATCACATGTAAACTTAGGAATAGAAAGATTTGTAACTATTTTATGTTATAAAACTTCATTGTTCTAAACATATAAACAACGTTTAGATATACAGCGAAACATACGTTATTATATTAAAACATTCACATTCTGATTTTATTTCTAATATAAACGATGACCTGTCATTAAGTTATAGTAAGTTATTGACAGTATTTACTTCAGAAATGCTTATAGAGGTAAGCGTTAGTCTAATATTACAAATAGTAAATCAATATCATGTATTCCACTACTTCTGAGTTTTATTAATTTATAAGATCATTCCTCTTCAATTACCTATTATATATATCTAGATCAAAAAACATCGTACTCTTCACCAGCTCAGTAAAAAATCATGTATTATATCATTACAGTCGTCTTATAAGGTAACGTAAAAGTGTCGTAGTTTTATTAGTGCACATTAGCTAGTTCATTTACACAATTGTACAGAGTATCTAGCTCATTAATATATAGTGTTTAAGACCCAAACCACACTCGATTTCTACAAATCGCAATCTTATTTTGTTTGTTTGTATTCAGTAAAGAATTTTGAACATAATTTCAGATTCTCTGATAATAAATTTGTCTGGAAGACTTCAAGCGTTGGAAGAAGGCGATCTGTTAATTACAAGTACCACTAATGCTGATAGTGGTAAATACACATGCATTCGCGCTAACGAGGCGGGAAACGTTTCTGGAGAAGCGTTTCTTACTGTGCTGGGTTTGTAGCCTTTTTAAATGAGCAAATAGTAAAATTGACAAAAAAAAAACCCGATGACATTAGAAGTGAAAAACGCAAACTGCGCAAGCGCAATTTTTATTCAATAAAGTACATATGTTTAATATACATTTCATAACGGGTTTTAAGAGGTTTTTATTTTAATAACAGAAAAGTAATTGTTGTTGTTGTATTAGTATCATTTTTTATGTCCAAACTTAAAAAAGGATTCTATTAGGAATTAACCCCTGCCCCTTTATAAATCTCCCTAACACCTAAATTTCAAATTGGCTCACTTGTCCTTAATCCCAGAAGTCCATCATTATGGCTTTAAGTTTAGTATGAGCTGAAAAAAAATCCACACCTAGGACATGATATTTGGAAGACCCCAATACAATCAATTTAATAGTGCACCTTAAAATTCACAGTACGAACTCAAATCATCGCCCCGCCAGTGGATACACGCGTTCTGTTGGGACACACGGCGACGTTACAATGCAAAGTATCGAATGACCCCAACGTTAAGTACAACATAGACTGGTTCCACAACAATCAGTAAGTGAAATATGTATTCATGCATTTAACGGTCATAATTATGTTAACCGACCTCATCAAAATACTTGACTACTCTGCAGAAACAACGTCCAGAGACGAGCGCTTTAAATTTATTGTTACTTCTTAAATGTCTTAGAAAATTGAACTGAACTAAAATCAAAGCTTGGATTATTAAAATGTAATATTTCTGGATACATAATTGCTATTGACAATTTGATTTTGATTTAACTATATAAAAACCTTAAGTGTAAGTGTCTGATAGCATTTGGGGTAAAGCTTTCGAATAAAACCGTCAACGTCTCAATCGCAAAATGTATTTGTTACCTTATTCGCAATTTTAAACTATGGCAGCCCCCCGTTTCGAATGCTGCGAAGTACTAGCACGTAAAATACAGACAATATTTAATGAAAACTTAACCCTAAAAAGAATCTTATAATAATCTTTTAGGCTTCTTTAGTTCTTAAAAGAACCTGATATAACCATGCAGCTAGAGACGATAATTATAAGCTCCACATAATTTAAAGCTTATAATTTAATTACAGACCAATGACCGCCGGATCGCGAGTGTGGGTATCGGGGGATGGTGCGTTGCAAGTGCAAGCGGTGCGCGCGAGCGACGCTGGCGAGTACAAGTGCATAGTGACGTCACCCGGCGGTAACCACACGCGAAAGGCAGTCCTTTCTGTCATAGAGCTACCTTTTTCACCGACGAACGTTCGAGCGGAAAGAATAGATGCGACGCCACAAAGGGCGGTCAATGTTTCCTGGACGCCCGGTTTCGATGGAAATTCACCAATACAGAAATACATTGTACAAAGACGCGTTGTTCCAGAGTTTGGTGAGATTATGTTCTAAAAAACAGTCTTTATGAACGGGGTTTTATAATTAAGCTAGGCGAGCGACTCTTAATTAAAGAAATTGCACTTTGAAGTAAAATGCTGTAACTTCTGCATAGGACCATGGGGTCAAATAGTAGGCGCGATGTCATCTACGATATGTTTATTTTACTACTACAATGTGTACGGGACATGTAATCAGATTTTTATAGCCTGCCCTCCTGTAAAATATTTTCTCTGTTTTTAAAGTGCAGAACTTAAGCTACGATCCTTAATTTTGAGGGTTACGAGAAGAGAAAAGATATTATATATTTATCCTCAAATAGGAATTTGCAAAGTTTAAACCTAGCAAATTAAAAAAATAAAAACTCCTCTTATTCGCAGGTCCTACGCCAGATCCTTTATTAAACTGGATAACAGAGCCGACGAATGTCTCAGCGAATCAACGCTGGGTTTTGCTTACTAGCCTAAAGGCGGCTACTACCTATCAATTTCGCGTATCCGCTGTCAACACTGTGGGCGAAGGCCCACCTTCCGACCCTACGGACGTTTTGACATTACCACAAGAAGGTATTTACGTCACATATATATTTCAAAGGACATTTTCTTCCTCTCTATATACTACTGACAATAACAATTTTCTTCATAACGTATACATCATTATATAATACGTTATTCTTCAATATTTCACTATAAGTATTTTCTCTTATGACCAAGCAGCCAGTGATTTCATATGCTGCCAAGGTACGCAGAAAATTAAGGTGTAAACTTAAACAACTTTTATATTTCCTTGTCTTTATCTAATTTTGCATCTATTTTTCTTTTCTCTAATTGTTTCGTGTATTGTCCCTTGTTTAGGCGCATGATCAACAAACCGAGAGCCTGCGATAGTGTTATTGTTGTAATTTTTACGTTTATATCATAAAATAAGCTTGCACAGCTATTTTTGCATGAATAATTTCGTCTAAAGTTCATACATGATAATGTCATGACGTTATTACTTTTAGCTCCGTCTGGTCCACCTATCGGCTTTATGGGGTCGGCCAGATCTTCATCAGAGATTATCACACAATGGCAACCTCCCCTAGAAGAACATCGAAATGGGCACATCCTAGGTTACGTCATAAGATACCGCCTAAAGGGATACGATAACAGCCCGTGGACCTACCAAAATATAACCAATGAAGCCCAAAGAAATTACCTGATACAAGATTTAATTACATGGAAAGATTATAATGTACAAATAGCGGCATATAACGATAAAGGAGTGGGGATGTTCTCTGATAGTTACACAATTAAGACAAAGGAGGGTGTCCCGGAGGCAGCACCAGACAATGTCCGTTGTGAAGCATTCAACTCTACCTCCATCAAGGTCTGGTGGACCCCACCTAATCCACAAAAAATCAATGGCATCAATCAGGTATTAATCAATCACGTACACTGATTTACAACAAACTTCGTCTTAGATGAAGCTATTTATGGCTAAAGGAGCATTATTTTAATAACCTTTACAATATATTGCATCATACGACTTTATTCTCGTACATAACAATAATAACGCTCTCCTTAACATTTGATTTTGAAGGTTCTTTTTCTAAAGTTTAAAATTTTTAGTTAAATTATGAAGTAACCTGAAATTTGTATTGTATTGATTTGTTGCAATAAATTATGAATGATTACAATTAAAAATAGCTTTAAAATTGTATAATTGTTCTTGCGAATGAGTTTTGGTTAGACACATTCATTCACGAAAACAGGTGTAAAATTGTACTTACTTAAATTTTAACAATTAGGGTTACAAGATTCAAGCGTGGAAGTGGGACGACCGACATAATGATAGCATAGAATACACGCTCGTTAGTGTACCTCCGAACTTGTTGGACCCATTAACGGAACAGGCATCTGTCATATGTGGCCTCGAAAAATTCACTGAATACAACATGTCGGTGTTATGTTTCACGGAACCAGGAGATGGTCCCAGAAGTGATTTTGTCCTCACAAGGACTAAAGAAGACAGTAAGTTTAATTATTACTTAAATAATAGTTTAATAATACTTCAGTTGAAGCATATTGAAAATTCATTATTTATTTATTTATATCTATTTGTTTAATTCTTCAGTTCCCGATGAAGTAGTTAATTTACAATTTGACGATATATCGGATCGAGCTGTCCGGGTTTCATGGTCGCCACCTAAGAAATCTAACGGCGTTCTTATTGGATACAAGCTTTCGTATCAAGTGAAAGAAAATCCAGATACATTAAAAGAAGAGATTTTAGCGCCAAACGTGACCAGTATTAGAGTCGAACATTTGCAGGTTTGTACATAAATATGTTTTGTTTTATGACTGGAAATTAAATAACCACATAATGAAATTTAGTATTAATTCTTACGAGGCTAAAATGACAATGTCTAAAAGCGTGACACGAGATATTACACCACAACACTGATTTTTAGAGATTTAAGATTGTTTACATAACATTAAAATATAAGTTTTTTTTTAAGCTTTTATAATTTAAATTTTAAATTGATTGTTACTTACATCTAATTATTTTATCATAAACTTTAGCACAATAATTTATATATCTACAATAACATATGCAGAATAATCAGATTTTCAATTATTTATTAGTTTACTACATACGTAAAAATAGACGATTAAAAGAAATTAAAGAGTATATTTATACTCCAGGCCAGTACTCAGTACAACTTCTGGGTGAGCGCCGTGACAGGAATCGGGGAAGGCCCTCGGAAATCCGCCTCGATACAGTCTGGTGTAGAGCCCGTGTTGCCGTATGCACCGAAAAATCTTGCCCTTTCCAACATCGACGCCTTCTCCGTTTTGCTACAATTCACTCCTGGTTTTGACGGCAACTCTTCAATATCCTTGTGGACTGTGCAGGTATAGATTTTACCAGAGAAGTCTGCTTCTGCTTCTTGTAAAAAGAAGTAATATTTACAAAACTATATTCCAACGTAATAAAATCGCCAATTTCAAAAATATGTTTAAAACTTTTTTTTATTGAAATGATATTTTATCATCTATTTAAATTTCCAGGCACAAACAGCTCGCAATACTTCATGGGTGACGATATACGAAGTAACTGCGCCTGATGCCCAGTCAATCCTGGTGGCTGGACTAGTACCGTTCACTACTTATCGCTTGCGGCTTATAGCAACAAACGTGGTCGGCAGTTCGCCACCTTCTGAACCCTGCAAGGAGTTCCAAACCATTCAGGCTCCACCTCAACATCCGCCTAGAAACGTCACCGTGAGAGCTGTGAGCGCAAACAATTTACGTGTGCGCTGGATTGTAAGTACAAATTTTAAGCACGTTAAGTTTAACTACGAGAGTTAAGAAGTTTTGACAGAACTATGATCAAAGGTTTAGGCGCCACTGACAGACAAAATAATAACCGATAATCATAGTCTTCACCATAGTCGGGTAACAAAATAATGTATATTAACAATAAATAATATACAGATTTAACAAAGCTAAATTGTATTATGTATGAAATGGTTATTATTACATAACCTACGCATCTATAAACAATGTTTCTACTGTTAACGCATCCGGTCTAACTATTCTTTACCTGATAAAATCTATTTCACACTCTATTGTTTACGATTTGGTGAATTGTTTAGACCGTAACAATATCTTTTTTTAGCCCCTGCAACAAAGCGAATGGTACGGTAACCCTAAAGGTTACAACATAACGTACAAAAGGAGCGGCACGAACGATACACTGTTCGCAATTATCGAAGATCACACCGCGAACTCTCATGTTCTTTCTAACTTGGAGGAATGGTCGGTTTACGAGATCCGTATGACGGCAATCAACGAGGTCGGAGTTTCAGTTGCAAGCCCGACCGCTACGGAAAGAACTAGAGAAGCTGGTGAGAAATACATATTACTTTAAAATATACAGTCATTTCCACAAGTCAATAAAACTATTTATACATAGACCTTACTATTTTTCCTTCTTTATTATGATATAATAAAAGATAAATAAACAAAGTAAAAATATTATATTAATGGACTCAACAACAATATTGATATCAACAAAAAAATACTACTCATATTTTAAATGCGATACTGCGACGGATTTCCCGCTCTTTCTTCGCTTTCCTATTTTGTCTCATAGCCTATTCTACACCTTCTACTAACATAAAAAGATTTTTTTTTTTCGAACCAGTAGTTCCTGAGATTAGCGCGTTCAACCAAACAAACCCACTCTTCAGTTTTATATATTAGTATAGATTACATATTGGAAAACGAGGAGATTGTAATTCCAGTTGTTTTTTAATTACAGTGCCATCTAGTGGCCCTACTGATGTGTCAGCAAACGCGACATCATCAACCACTGTAGTTGTGTTATGGGGAGATATACCAGTACCGGATCAAAACGGTCTCATAGAAGGGTATAAAGTGTGTTACGCAGCCGTAGTGCCTCCACCGAGGCCGGACCACAAGAAGGTCGATTGTCAAGCGATACCGTCGAATCAGACCCACACAGTGACCCTGACTGAACTCAGGAAGTATGTGTTATATCAAATTCAGGTTTTGGGATATACGCGTCTCGGAGATGGTGCTCTCAGCGACCCATCTGTCTCTGTTAGGACCTTCGAAGATAGTAAGTTTATTTTATTTTGTACCGTATGTGTTTAACTATTTATTATTAATTTAACACAGGGAAAAAGACTTGAAAAAAAAAGACAGAAATATTGAAGTAAAAAATGTTTTATGTGCAAGCACAGATTTAACTAAATAAGCGAATTAAACTCGAAAAGAATAATGCATATTGCATACCGAATTTTGCCCTTAGAGTAAATCGAAATGACTTCGTATTAACATTGTTCTTATTAAAAAAGGTATATGTTAAACACTTGTTGAAAATTTTAGCACCTGGACCACCCTCGAATGTCTCTTTCCCTGACGTTTCATTTACATCTGCAAGGATTATATGGGACGTACCCGAGGATCCAAATGGAGAAATATTAGCGTACCAAATCACCTATCACTTGAACAGTTCTACGAAGCACATGTTTTCCAAAGAATTTCAACCATCGCAGAGGACTTTCCGGTTTGTATTATTTTACTATAGTATGATGACTTTTATAAACATTTTTTTGAGAAACTAGGGCTCTGGTGGCATAGGGAAATTAAAAACCACTTACTTCAATGTGTGTAAATATATATTGATTACAAAAACCTAGTATGTTACTCTGACCATATCAAGAAAAGAAGTTAAGACCTTTACATCATATAAAACAATAATTTTTAATAATTTTAATGTAAAAAGTGTTGCTCAATATATATGAACTCCAACACCATCCATAACATTTGATCATTTACTTCAGTTGTTTATAGTTTTCTGGTATATTGACTAATCTGTGGTGAAAAAAATATCCCTGGTTTATTTTTTTCTTTCGCTTGCAGAGCAACTGAGTTATCGTCGGAGCAATACTATCTATTTAGCGTTCGCGCGCAAACACGTCTGGGCTGGGGAGCTACCGCTCGTGCGCTTGTCCTGACAACCGCAAACAGAGCTGCGCCAGCGCCGCCCGCGAGACCGCATTTGGCTCGCTCACTACTTCAGCCACATCAAATCACCTTCTCTTGGACACCTGGCGACGATGGATACGCACCGTTACGGTATGAACTTCGCTCTTTAACTTAAAGATCTTTGTAATAAACGGAATCAATTAATTTTTCTTACTTTTTGACGGGTTTGTTGGTGCAATGGTACCAGTGTGTAGCTCATAATAAATGGGTCATAGATTTCAAAAACATTTAAATCAATTCATATTTTTTATGAAATTCCGTCCGAGTCAGTAACTACGTCCCCAGCTGAAAAAGACCAGTTTAGGTTTCATTTTTTGGATTACGAATATTTAGATTTTTATGGGGGTTGTAACAAGAACTTAGTTTGTACCTCCTCTATCATAAAAAAGTCAATAAAAACTAAAATTCTTAACAGCGATAATCTGTAAAAAAAGCAAACTTACGTATAATAATTTCCAGCAACAAATAACTTATATTTATTACGTTGCTGCAGATACTACACTGTACAACAGAAAGAAGAGGGGGGTACTTGGCAAACTCTGCCAGAGCGAGTGGACGCATTTGCAACATCATACACCGTGGATGGACTGAAACCATACACAGCGTATCAGTTCCGAATCCGGGCTACGAACGACATTGGACCGAGTCGTTACAGCAATGCTACAGAAACTGTTCGCACTTTACCAGCAGGTAATTTTTTAGCAAATATACAAAAGTTTTATTTTCAACGGATAAACATATACTTACTATTTTATATAACTTAATAGTTAAAAGACTCACTACAGTCAAAATATTTGAGAATACATTTATACTTTTATTTTTTGTTATTAACAATCGGTTAAACAGTCACATTAATGTGTCTGCCGGATGTCCCAAGTGGATGCGGGTCTACGTATACGCGGACCTATCGCTGCCCTCGGTAAAGATTCGATTCCTCCAAATAAAAAAAGGGACTACGTATACGCTGTAGGTTTATGTATTTACATTGACTAATACAACTTTCTGACTTGGCTCGGGAGCAATGTATAGTTAATAATCAACAAGTTCTGGGTTCAATTCTCACCAAATATGAACACACCGACATGTTATCGAACCTACTTTTCTAGAACATACCATTGAAGTGGTAGGAATATTGAAATTCGCGGACCGAACCACCGGCCATAAAGAAAAAAGCTGTGAAGTTTAATCACATTATCACATTCCGGATTCAATCTATGATCTTGGATATTTTGGCGAAATATCCAAGACCAAAATAGGTTCGCATCATTGTGAGATTTTATAGGGGTAGTTTTAAAATTACAGTGAGGCTTGTCTGTCTTCCTATATCTCAACAAAAATAAATAGAGTGTATCTTATATTGTCGTACAGCACCCAGCAAAGCTGTAGAAAACTTACGCGTGGTTCCGATAACGCCAAGCAGCGTGCGCGTTCAGTGGTCGCCCTTGTCTGAGGCGCAGTGGAGCGGAGACGCGCGCACGGGCGGTTACCGCGTGCTCTACCAACCGCTCACTGACTTCACCGCAACTCTGCAGAACACCATGAAACAAGAAGTACCCGGCATTAAGGTAGTATTAGTAATAAAAAATATACAAACAGGATATTTGTTATATTTCCAATAACGTATTAAACACATGCAAGAACAAAGAATCAACAACAAGTCAAGAACTTATCCATATATGTACGTTTCTATGGTAATAACAGGGAATGCTGTGGACGCCGGTTCAAGCTTTGTCTGTGTCATAATATTTTTATAATCTATAATCGATTTTTAATTTACATAGTGCCATCTTGTGGAAAATATTAAAGTTATCAAAAAACGAGACCTTTTTCTGAGAAAGTTCTCGACTATTTCTTGGTCTTGCAAATCTTTAACACCTTATTGCACATATAATATGTACAATGAATTTTATACATATAGCAATATGAGAATGCTAAAATTACTAGATTATACCTACGTAATAATTCCGAAGACATATTTGTCCAATATACAATATTTACTTGCAGAGCGAGGAAGTTGTACTGACAGACCTAGCAGTGGATCGTAATTATGAGATCAGCGTGTTTGCGGTTAATTCACAAGGCTTGGGTCCGGGAGGGGCCCCTGCTGTGGTGTGGGTGGGTGAAGCTGTTCCGACTGCGCCACCCCAGCAGGTCACAGCCGAACCGGTCTCTCCAACTGAGGTTGCTCTCACTTGGCGCCCTCCTTTACTTGATCAGCAGAACGGAGACCTACTTGGGTATAAGGTAAACTCATTTTTTCTTCTTTCAGTGAGTTATATAGCTTTCAAGTACTAAATGTTACACTGTATATGAATACCTACAAATGTCAATTTTGTATCTTTAATTACTATATTTCTTGCTAGATATTCTATTTGATGACTGAATCTCCCGAGGAACCGGAGCCCGGAAGGCGTGTAGAAGAAGAAATTGAAGTAGTACCGGCTACCGCCACATCGCATTCACTGGTTTTCCTCGACAAATTTACACAATATCGAATACAGGTACTATTTTTGTGTATTTTCTACTATTATTACCAGATGACGGATAAAGCAGTTGATATTTGACTTTGATTTGTTAAGTTAGGAAATTTGTCCTGCCAATCTCTTCTATTTGATTACTATTTTAGGTCATAGCATTCAATCCAGCGGGAGATGGACCACGATCTCACGCAGTTCTTGTGCGGACACATCAAGGTTTGCCTTCAGCTCCGCGAAATATTACCTTCAGCGACATCACTATGAATAGCCTCGTGGTGGCCTGGGAGGCTCCGCGAAGGCGTAACGGTCTCATACATTCTTATCTTGTCACTTATGAGACCATCGAACAGGATGAACGTGAGTTTAAATTTGAACCATTTTTACCTTATTTAACATTTATTGCATTTTTGGTACCGCACCAGTATTTTTTGTAACTGTAATGGTACGCCGACTCGTACTTACCCGTACTTTTTTTATAAGTAAATCTGTATTATATTTCTTCCTACTGTATAATTTGACATGTTATTATTACTGTTGTTGTTGTTCTTTCGATTGTATTTTTCATACAGGATTCAGCAGACAAGTAAAACAAAAGGTCTCTGAGCGTCGACTGGCAGTTGGAGGGTTAGAGGAGGAGGTGGAATACCGCTTTAGCGTGCGTGCAGTAACGATTGGCGCTGGTGGAGCGGGCGAAGCAAGAGTACGCACTGGACCTCAGCTCGGTTCCCCAGAACCTCCGAGGGCATTGGCACTAAGAGCGGACCCTGCTGCCTTACACCTGCGCTGGACAAATGCACCGTCCGGTCGAGGTCCTCTATTAGGATATTATATTGAAGGACGAAAAAAAGGTATGCATAATTTAATTGCAGCCATATTGTATAGACACATGTTTATACAAGTATGATCCAGACATTATTCCTGGTATTTTTTTAATTTTAAGAGTTTCTACAATACTTGACGTAAAGTCATTTTTAGTACTTTTAAAGAATATCTCTGTCTGTCAAGACTATCGACAAAAGCCGACCAAATTAAAGACTCTAAACTTACCTTGAAAATTTTGTATAGTTTTTTTCCGGCTTACTTTTAGACGTATCTTTGTCTATATTGTAGTTTTCTAAATGTTATAATTTCTTCATGCAGCAAAGGAAACTTGGCAAGCATGTAAGTTGTGTTGTGTTGCATATATGTAAATATTTATAATTTTCTTATTAATATACTCTTGGCTTTCAATGGCTGTTCTATTTACAGTGTCAGATCAAAATGTATATTTTATCTTATTACAGACGACACGAGGTGGGAAACAATTACACGAACAAATAACGGGATGTTGGAGGAATTCACAGTGTCTTATCAGACCCTACTGCCCTCAACAGCTTACTCGTTCCGTGTGATCGCGTACAACATGTACGGAATCAGCAATCCTACATATAGCGACAAGGTATAAGTCATCAGTATTATAAGAATATGTTTAATTAAAAACGTTTTTTTTAAAAGGATTTTCTTAAATAGGTGGGACTCGAACCTTCAAACAAAGCATATCGTTCTGCTTATATTTGTAAATTACACCCTAATAACCTGGGTTGTGTGTTTCTATGTAAGCTATGGCTCTCAAATCCTTTATTGTGTAATAAAAATGTATTCGAATTGATTAATAACAAACTTATATCTTCGCATATACTGGCCCTTTCTAATCTATTGTCTGTTTTTAGGTTATAGTTACACCATCAAAACTTTACTTGGAATACGGCTTCATGCAATATCGGCCATTTTACCATCGCACCTGGTTCATGGTTGCTCTCGCAGCCGCGTCTATCATCATTATAATTATGGTCATAGCCATTCTGTGTGTGAAAAGCAAGAGTTATAAATACAAAAGTGAGTAATTAAATAAATATTAGGTTATTTTTATTTAAAGCATCTTGGATTTGATCCGCAGATTGCGTAAGAAAAAATGTACATATAGAAAAGTTACTATTTTGTATCGTAATCAAATGGTTACATTTTGAAAATGATGTGTTCCTTTTTTAAACTTGTGAGGAATGTAATTACTCTATTCAAGGGAATTATATCGGTCTCACAGAGGAGGCGCAGAAGACTCTAGAGGAGTCACTAGCCGGCGAGACGGAGGACCGGGGCTCGCTGGCAATGGAGCTCTATCGCTCCCGCGCCGGTTCAGCTGCGTCCACGGGCGCGCTGGGCGCTGGCACCCTGCGCCGTAAACCTCCCCCCGCTCCAGCACTCGCCAAGTCCCCTCCGAGACCCTCCCCGGCCTCGGTCGCTTACCACAGCGACGAAGAAAGCCTCCGCGGATACGACGAGAACCCGGACGACTCGTCCCTCACAGAGAAGCCGTCGGAGATGAGCTCTTCAGACTCACAGGTAATCACCATTAAAATTACGGTCGTCTAATGCCCAACCGCACGCACTAAACTCGCATTGTTTTCTCTCCCGTACTCTACGTTCGGATGTCGGGATGGGTAAATATACAAAAATATACACTTAGCTATATCTTCGTCACGCTTCTCTCAGTAGCACTGTCTATGTAGATGTGGGTGTCTTAATTCATCAAAACTAAGAAAGATTATAAAGTGCTTACAACATATAATGCTTTCAAATAGTAGCGTATTTTCCCATATTATAAATACTCACAAGCTAAAACAAAGTATATAGTGCAATTTATAATTGTTATTATCGACGCGTAGTTTCGTGTATATAAGTTATCGATGTTGTCCGGAGTGTATATTAAAGACCGTTTTTATATCACAGAACTCGGAGAGCGAAAACGAGAGCGTCAGATCGGAGCCTCACTCTTTCGTGAATCACTACGCGAACGTTAACGACACGCTGAGGCAATCGTGGAAGCGGCAGAGACCTGTCAGGAACTACTCGAGTTACACAGACTCTGAGCCGGAGGGCAGCGCCGTGGTCAGCTTGAACGGAGGCCAAATTGTCATGAACAATATGGCACGATCTCGGGCCCCATTACCCGGGTTCTCCTCGTTCGTATGACAAGAACCGACTGCGGGACCCTCGCACCCCGGGTCGCCGCTTGCGCACTCACTACACATATAACACTGCCCCCTTTTACACTTCTACTGTGTATAATATACTATGATAAACTAGATAGTTCACGTCTATAAAGTACTATATTTATACTCGATTTACCGTTTCTTTGTTTTCTTATAACATCTCATTCTATAAACTATCTAATGACTTCTGTGAAATCATAAATCAATCAAGAATTACCTTTATTGTGAACTGTCAACGTTATCATCATATACGACACAGAATTATTCTAATTCCACTGTACATATCGACTTTGTTATGCGTTAATATTTTAGATATATTGCAATCTTTGAAATTAGCATATCGATCAATTTAGCATAAGTTAAGTACCAACGTTGTTAGTTCCAAGTTGTAGTACAATTTGTAAATATTTTATTGTTCGTTAAGATCTCCTACATTTGTCCATACACTTGTATGAAATATTTTTTATATTTGCAACTTATATCATTTCTTCACTGTGTTTAGATTAAGAAAATTAAGTTGTCACATTCAATAATGTAGAGATAATTATTGTCAGTTAATACGTATTTATAATGTAAGTAATCAGTTGCAGCTAAGCTAAGGTTTAGTTAGATAATGATTTCAGTGATAACGACATTTACTATTTGCTAATGAATTCGTCAGTTTTACGGTTACAATGTTTATTTTATAAGATATTTAATTGTGTTCCTCTAAGGACATAAATTTGACTGATAGGTTTAGAATGTTTTCCGTTTATTAAGGAAATTATGTCGATCAATTTAGTAGTGCAAAATGCAATGTGACCTTCGGCACAACTTAAAAAATACCTGTGATCTTTATTTACGTTCAGCGAAACTGTAATTTACGATCCAGTTGTTTTCTGAAGTTCTATTTTGTTTCAAATTGTGAATGCCACACCTCTGTAATGGTTAATGAATTATTATTAGTACTTATTTTTAGCCTTCAATATACACTCTTCAATTTACACGTTTTTTATATGTTTTTGAACTATGCGTGTTCACAATAGAAATTAATTTAATATGAATGTTTTTTTCTATTTTAAAGTCGGTGCCATGGAAACTACTTACATTTTTAAACTTCGGTGTAATAACGCATTGTTTTAAATTATACAAAGACTAGTATGAATATATTATACCTGAACATACTTTTTGTTTTATTTTTATATATACCCTTTATATCGAATATCCCTTTGTATCTCGAATATCACGACGACGACAAAGTCAAATGGCCATAGCTTCTGTCCTCCGATATCATTAATAAAAATCTTGAAAAGCTGTTAAAATTCCAAGTAAAATGAAAGCAATCGCCTATTAAAACAAAACTTACTTTAAAAGACACACTTTCACGACGGTAACACAAAGATTCTCGTTTAGCTTTAATATGACATTGAAAATGTATTTGTTAACTAAAATAATTCATGAATCTTGAAACTAATTTCAACATAACAATACATATTGTTTGCAGTTTAAGGAAATATATTATTAAAAACATTTAAATTTTACTAAGCATTACAAAAATTTACGATCTATTTAGACTGAAAATAATCAAATGATGATGAGCGATACCAAAGAATGCAAAGGGCAAAGAAAAACAATGTTATGTATATCATTAAAAATGTATTTCTTATATTCAATAAGGTTTTCCTATACTAAGCACTACCGAAGTAACTCAAGTCAATAAAGTCAGCTAACATAATATTTCTTTTCATAAAAATTTATAGGGTTTTAGGTAGATAATATACTTCTGAGAATATGAGAATGCCAGCTTACGGTGTGGATCAGTAAAGCATCAATAAATACAATAAATACTTAACATTGAATGAAGCTGACTTCCGGATAGATTTCTATCTAGATCGATATTCTATACATTATTTTCCTTTCGCTTCATTTCACTTTACAATTTACAGTTGTTCCATTTAATAAAGAAAAACAACGAAGTAATAAAATACATCTTCAATTAAACCACTACAAACAAAAATCTTGTACACATTTAGGCTTTTCCTCATTGTGTGGTTTCAAATAGCTTCTCGCGAAAATATTTTATTTTTTGTGCGAAAAACGCCTCTAATCCTTCAGCGCATCGGTAAAATTCAGAGTCCTTAGGATTAAAATAACGACAGTTGTCAAATATCTTAGTCATATCACCTATAAACTCACTCAAAGTACTATATGTTCGATCATTCACTTTTCTTTCCACTGTTTGCAAGTCTGCAACGAAAGTAATGTTATTAACAGATTATAAATGAAAAAAATTAATGAGATCTTGAAGTCGTCTTACCCATCGGTTCCTTGATTATTTTATAATACGTAGGAGCCTCTCGGGGATCCACGGGCTCCATGAAGGGCCACGCGTTTTTATGTAAATGTATCTGCTTGATTAGTCGTCGTAAATTTTCGTAATCTTTCGGGGTGAGTTCTTTCATATTCGCGAAGTTAACAGAGTTATTTTTCTGACAATTAGGACATATGTATTCGTCAATGTTGTCAGCTTCGGACTGCAATATCCCAACACATCGGCCGTGGAACCAATCTTGACATCGATCGCAGCATATGTAAAACCTGTAATAGTGGGCCTTATGTAGATAATAAATTCAACGCCTCTAGTCTTTTCTATAATTAATCGTACTTTACTACAGCTTACCTTAACTTACAAATAAAAAAGAATAGAATAGCCAAACAAAGTAAAAATCGTTAAAAAAAATATAATTATTGTAAATAAGGTAGACACATTTAAGTCATTACTACATAAACATTATCCAATAGAGTTTCCATTGTATAAATTGTCTATTTCTTTAACTTGATTAGACAAAGTAAGAAGTGACACAGGCAAATAGTTTTAAAAGAGTACTAACTGCGAATAGTCATAGGGTTGTCGGCACAGGCAGTAGAGTTCCTGTGTTTCTTCGGCGCGTCTGCACTCGGAGCACACATATTCCTCCATCGTTTTGCTCATCTCTTCGGTCACGCCGACACAGTCACCGTGGAACCAATTATTGCAATGTTCACATCCTACGTAGAACCTGTAATATTGTTTTTTATTATTTTATTAAATATCTTTAATAAAAACATTTTAATTTTTGTTTCAGCATCAAATAAAATATAGTTTCACCAAAAACATTGTTTATACATTTCAGTTCAAATGTATGTATAAAATCAATAAATCACTTTTAACATCGGAGCGAATCAGTATGAAATAAAAGAGAAAAAAAGATCACTTACTTAGTATTATCATACGGAGTTTGACATATACACAAAAGTTTCTCTTTTTTGGCAGACTTCTTAGAATTCTTAGGGGTAGCATCACCGCCCCGGCTGCCAGAAGTAGTTCGGCGTTTACCCCTCACTTCCTCCTGCTTGCTACGCTCCGCACGGGTCCTTAGTGCCAATTCAGCGGATAATTCCTTCTAAAACATAAAGTTATATTTGTAGTTATAATTATTCCCCTTCGCGTCGAGGCAAAATGAATGCTACAAAAACTACGGAGTAATCTGAAAAACTTTTTTAACTTAAATTTAGTATTCGGATGCATCGCCATACCTGTATTTCCACACCGAGTTCTTTCTCTAAAAGACCGCGCTTCTTAATGATGTCTTTTTTGAGCATTTCCTTATGTTTGAAGAGTATCATCTGTAGCCGCGAGTTATTGGATGCCGCTCGTCGTCGTTCGTCTATAGGCGTTGGGGGTGCGGGCGGCGGTGCGACGGGGACTGGTACTGGTGCGATTTGTGTTAACCGCGGACGAGGTGGCGGTGGAGGCGGTGATGGGGGAGGCGAGACAGGTCGCGCGGATCGGTTGCGCTTGCGCGGGCTGGTCTCTACCCATTCATCGTCGTCATCGTGCCTCGCTGGCCCACGGCGCCGGGGCGGCAACGTCGCCGGCGGAGTTGGTGGGGAGGGAGAACGTGGCGGTGGCACCTCTCGCTCTATGACACACTCCGGTTTCATCTGTTTCTCTTGATACCGTTGCAATTGAATCAACTTCTCCTCTATTTCTGGATTCAGGTTCTCCTGTTTTAAGGCACTTTTGATTGCTAGAAATGCAAGATAAAAAAAATTAGGGCACAATTTTTATGGGTAATTTTTAAATTAATTATTACAACAGTACATTGCAATTATTGTTAGCCAAGGATAGTTTTTGTAGAGAAATAAGCCACAAAAAATATGACTTTTTTAAATAATGTTCATTTTTTGTATTTATATTGTTCTCGTCAAAATCACTCCCGAGAACTGAATGCAATTGGTAATACTCACTTTGTTGTATGTAGTCAGGGGTTAGAATAAATTTATTATTTTGCACATCGTCCTGAGCGTTAATAATATCGGTTTTAGTATTATTCCCTGGCATATCTGCAGGCTTCGATGGCATTGCCTCTTTAATACAATGCGCCACGGCGATATTATCTTCACCATTTACTAAGAGCGGACGCTTTACCATATCATCTTCGACTGTCTCCTAAAAGGATATATGAATAATGACATTTGACTAAACAAAATGGATAAACAAATGAACAAACAAAAAGAAAACTAAGAGTAAAAAAGCTTTGTGGGAATATATGATTAATCCATTGGCAGTATCAAATTAAGTTGAAGTTTCATAAAAGGCCTTATACGTTATTCCTGCTTAGTTCGTTAATTGGCATATTTCGCTGACAGGTGCTATCTACTATACTTAAAATTGCCCATACACCCCCACAAAATAGCAATAATAAAAAAGAAATTTAGACAAATAATAAAAAGGACTATTTTTAAATGAAAGTCAATAGTTTTTATAAGTGTTTATTTTGCTGATTATATTGCACTGTCCGTTATATCAAAGTAACATCTAAGGTTTCACATAACCACGTGGTGTATGAGCAATTCCAAATACTAAGACTTCGTTAGCGGGATAATGTCTAAGTAATATCATTGAAGAGATGGGACATCTTATCATCAAAAGTGAATCGTTAGAAAATTAATTACAAAGCGATAAAATAAGTATCGTAGATTCCCCATCCCCTTTACAATGGTCGTTAAATAAATAACCTATTAGTCAAAACTCATCACAACATTTGAGATAACTTGGTAGAAAATGTAATATTTTTCAAGATGTGATGTGATATAATTCAACTCGTTTGCACCGTCTGACGCAATTCATAATGTAGCTTTTCATTCTATACCTTACTTTACATAAAATTTTCTACACCTTAAACCTAAGACAGTAAAATTGTATAGACTTACACTAAACTAGTTGCGCCATACTACACTCTCCGTTAAAAATATTCTTTGTGACAGCGAATCAAAAATAATACCATCGTTGAAGATTTTCCATTGTTCTTGTATATAGCTTTTTACGAGATAAGGATTCTTGTTTAGTAGGGCGCTTCTAAATGTATAACATATTCCCCTAATTTTAACTAGTTTTTAAGGTTCTTTGGTAATTATAAAAACTAAATCGTTAAAACGGATTAATAGACTTATCTATAACAGTGCCTACAGCTTATCAAAGTCCTTTGAGAGTTAGACCAGTCTTATTTATTAACCTTCGTAACATAAGTTCGTTACTATTTGTATTTCTATCTTGGAAAACAGGTACCGGGAATTTAAATAAGAAAATTTTACATAAAACATACGGAGTTCTTTACCAGCTCTCACTTCATACTTAAATGCCTCTACAGAGCCTTACTTAAACTAGGCAACGCATGCGTTTTCATTTTAATGTAAAGTATGCTCGTAAGCGTTGGTTGTTATCGAACGGCTTTGAATTTGTACTGTGTTAAAAAATAAGTTTTTTTTTATAATTATTACCATCCTATGTAGCAGCTAATATAATTGTTCAGGGCAGTTCCGCTTTAGAGAACTCCGTATAATTTTACAGAAACAATATACAGTCGGTAAATTCATCGCGCGTGTGACTAAGCTTTGATGCTGCTAAAAGGTTTTCCTATACCGTGCCTAGTATAGGATGATAAGTTTGTGAATTTTTAATAGTTATGATCGTTCGCAAATGCTTTTGGTTATTTTTTGGATCTGATTAATCGTGATTTGGATATTTTAATGAGCAAACTCATGTCGCATTCCACCAAGAAAACTTTATACTCCGGGCCTGTCAAACTTATCATTCTACGTTAGACTGCGTAGTGTTTCATAGCGACACGCATAAATTCCACAAAGACACTATAGTGCCTTCAATAATAATAAATTACCTGTGGAGCGGCAGTAGGTACCGTAAGTATGGGCTGTGTGGAGACGGCACCCGGCGCGGGCTGTACTGCTAGGTACATCTTGCGCGGGCCTAGCATTCCCTGTTTGCCCGTCGACTCTTGCGCTGAAATATAATTTCTATTAGATAGGCAATCCATATTGGACTAAGAAAGGAAAAGTTTAACCAAAAATGTAACTTGTGTTGAAAAACAAGTTAGGTTTTCGGTTGGTAGGGTGAGAGTCTGTGGATATCTTTTCGCCATAAACAAACTAATAAAAAAATACTAACACAATAGCCACAAACATATCTTTTTATTAGCATACCTTTTAAAAGTTGTTGTTTAACTTGATGCTGTACAAGTCCTAATTGTTGTGGAGTTAAGGAATAGCCATGGAGTCCTTGTAACACTATACTGGGACCACTACTTGTCTGCATCACCTACAAAAAAATAATAGTTATGATAATCAACTTTTGGGAATAAACAATCGCCTATTATGCGACAAAGTCGATACGCAAATTACCTGAGCTGTTACTGTTTTTATGACAGTTCCGGGTGGTTGTCCAGCCAGCAATCGTTTCTCCATTATTTGATCTTCGGTGAGTTGTTGTGACGTATTAGAGGATGAGGGGACCAGAGCCGGCGGTCGAACTAAGGTCGGCGTAGGGGCGGGAGCGATAGCGGGCACCGAGACGGCTGCGGGGGTAACCACCTGAGCGACCGGTGCCGGTTGAGCTGGCGACGGGGCTGGACTCTGTCCGATGTGAGCGACGATTTGGGCCTGGTTATTCCCGGTACGCCTTATCAGGACTTGCTGTCCGTTTACCGTCGCTAACTGCACTTTTCCCGACGCGAGCTGCTGTGCAAGTGCGGGGCTGTTAACCACAATTTGTTGTGCACGCGGTAGGGGAGTTGATGGACGAGGGGGCGGAGGCGGACGGGGCTGTGGAGCCGCTCGTTGCACTAGTTGTCCCTGCACTAGTACAGTCTGCATGCGCGGCTGACTCACGACTCGTGTACCAGTACCCGTACCGGTGCCCGCCTGCACGACTAACTGTTGCGTCGGCTGCACCATCACTTGTGATGGTGCAATCATTTGTTGAGATGTCTGTACGACCACTTGCTGGGCAGGTTGGACTACGATGCGACCGCCCACCGCTTGAGGAGGCGGTTGGACCGCAATCCGTTGAACGGGCTTCGTCTCTTCTATGGTAGGTTTTGTCTTATCATTGGAATTTTTATTTTTGTCCGCATCTACTTTTGGTGAGGCAGCAATCAACAGGCCAGCAGCACCTTGTTGTCCGGCCATGACGACGTGCAGCTTTCCATCTGCCATCTGAATCAATTGCTGGCCTGGGAGAAGACCTTTGACAGTGATTTTTCCATCAGGGGCTCGTATGATTTGGACCTTTTGTGGGCCGTCTTTTTGGGCCGGAGCTATAGGCTTCGGTGAATCACTAGATATTTTTACACCAGAAATAGGTTGACTAATGACTCTAGTGGTACCATCGGCACCCTTCGTCATAATAATTCTTCTAGTTCCAATAACTGTCTTTTGTCCACCTGTCGTCGGAGTATTCGAACTCAACAAAGTGGAAAGAGTATTTTTTCCCGAGTTGTTATTGTTAGGAGTTCCTTTAGTTTTATCTGCAATAAAATAATATATTAGCAAATATGTCTTACACGAAATATGCAAGTGCAATTCAAGTAAAACACATAAAGAAAGTGTTCTTGTTATATACCTTGTGACATTTCCAAGGCTCTCTTTTGTTGATGTGCCGCTCTTTGCTCGCGGAGTTGTTGTTCCATCTTATCTTTGATATCTGCTGCGTTGTGAAGGGAGGGACTGGATGCGCGTGCACTACGCGGAGGCAACTTGCCAGTGGTAGCGCGAGTTACCGGTGTCATTCGTTCTGCTCGTTCCCCATACTGACGTACCTCCCACAGTTCGAGTTTGTCTTCATCTACCCATTCTTCTGTGACCTAATCAATATAAAGGTACACTAATGAATTCTAATTTGGATTGATTATTTCAATTTGTCAACATATAATTATTGAAACATGCATCGGCTTAAATTAAATTGCAAAACATAATCAACAGCTTAAAGTTGAAGACATCAAGTTTAATAGTTAAATATTACTACAATGTAATATCATACCTGTGGTTCAGTGTTTTGCGGAGACTCGGCGCGTTTCCTTTTTCTTAAACCGCTTCGAATAGATGTAACCTCGCGAACAGTTTTTGGTAATTCCAGAGGAATGACAACACGTCGTCTCAAATACTGTGTTTTCTCGGAGAACTGACCCACGTGGCGATGTTTCAATAGTTCCAATGAAACGATTTCTGTATCCGTCGTGAGCTGGTGTTTTCCGTCTGCCGTGGCCGCCTTAGCCGCCATATCGTCCCAACGTAAGCACGCCCACATAACTCTCAACTGTAACGCTGCACTAGCTAACCACTGTAAGTTCACTGTCCTGAACAGCCAGCAGGTTTTAAACAGAGGCCTAGCGCAAGGATAGGGCCAAACTAATTGATTTGGTTTAGCACTATGACTGAAACCTGAGACGCTAGCGTGACCTGCTTGTCTGCTAAGTTTTTTCAATTCATGTGTTGGTAGAACCATAATCGTTTTCGCTTTACTTTTTGTGTGGAATGAGGAACATGGCGGATATTTTACGGGTGTTCGTTTCTTTTTCTTTTCTGTTGCCGCAGTCTGTACCTTTTTCAAATAGACTTTTCCACAAGGATTCGCCGTGGAATATATCCTAACAATTCCAGTGTTTGTTTTCTCTTCTTTAATAGATTTGTCTTCTCTTTTAACGCTTTTGACCCCAAATCGTCTATTAATTGCTGCGCGATACTTCGGTGCATCTACAATCTTTTCCGTCTTTACAGAACACTCATAATTTTTTGCCTCCTTATTTAACTTGAGAGATTTCCCACGGGTAATTTTCAATTTTGGAATGGGCGGTCGAGATTTTTCTTCAGCACTCTCTGCATTTAAGCAGTCACCTTCAGTGAGCTCTTTCAAAGGCCCAATTTCTACTTCATTATCATCAATGTTATTGTTGCCTATATCAATATCCATTTCGTTTCCAACTGCCGGAACTGCGCACTCTTCTAAAGTGTTTTCATTTTTGAGAAGATTATCACAGTTCAGGAAGTCACCCTCACTTTTTTCTACTTTAGGATATGTATCTGAATCACTACTTGACTTTCGCTTAACGAAGCTATCTGTATTTTTATTATCACATTCTTGTGCACAAGCAACGGCTGATAACAAGTCTGTCAAAATATTTTCATTTGAATTAGATTTTTTACCGACAAGGTATAATTCTAAAATTGACATTTTATTGTTTTCATTTGTGTTTAAAGCTTTGTTATTAGCTGAACTGTTTTTAAGTAATGACAATAACTTAGTTAACAAACTCCTCTTTTCAATGCATAGCGGTGAATAACAATTAAGTTGCAAACCACTTGTATTTGTTTCTGTTTTGGAACAGTCAGAGGAATAGCATTTGTATTGCTTTGTCAATCCACTAATTGTTAAATATTCTTCACGAAGTGCTGATATTTCTCCACTTACTGATTTTTCTTCAACATCATTAGTATCATTACAAACATTTGCACCATCTAATTCAGATTCCTCATTTTCAATGTCAATATTTTTGTCCTCTTCACTTTTTATTTCAGCTTGTTCCTTTTTCACGTTGTTCAACAAATTACCTAGTTTCTTTTCCTCCATAAATTTAAGGTACGTTCGTCGAGCTAGTAAATCATCTAGTTTTGATTTTCTTGCAATCTTTGGGTAATAACGTCTCGTTGACGAACTCAAGGCCTTTTCGACATCTATCTCTTCAAAATCTTCAATATCCTTTTCTAGTGTCATATTTCTCATCGATGGTGGTACTGGAATACAAATTGACAGTTACCATAAGCTCTTAAAAATATGAATATGCAGTTTAATAATAAAATACTTACATTTATTTAGAACGGCCTGGTCAGTTGGTCCATCAGCAATAAGATATTCATATGTTTTAGGTTCAACTGCCAAAACTTTTATAATGCTTCCTTCTCTTACTCTAACTGCAATTTTTGCGGGGCCATTGCTTAAACTCAGTTTCATATTTTTATAAAGTTTTTTAAATTTTCTAGTTGATGAATTCCAGAGCCAACCCCACTGGCCGTGTATTCTATATTCTTCGCCTTTTTGTTTCCATACCTGTCAGATTACTCCAATTAAGTTATTTGTAAAAAAATATAATAACTATAAATTTAAGTTAATAACAAGAAATAGTAAACACCTGGTGATGGAGCCCCAACGAGTATTTGACAAAGTTGTATGCGGTGCGGTAACGTTCTTCTTCTTCGTCTCGTTCTTTCTTCTCTCTTTTGTCGAGCTTCTTACGCTCCTCGCGTTCGAGGGCAGTAGTTCGCAGCAGTCTTACATGGCCAAGTTGCTCATGCCAAGCTGGTACCCACACCACACTTCTTATACATGCCTGTAATTATTAAGTTAAATTTAATACTTGTACAACAATCATAGAAATAAAAATCAATTTAATTTTTTATTTCTTTGAATTCCTTACTTTCAGAGATAGGTTATAAGAAAAACTGCTTATTGTGCATCCATATTGAACATTTAATACAAACCTGTAAGACACACAGAGCTCTTGCAAAATCTCTAGGCGCCTGACACAACTGAACTGCTTGTACCCAAGGTTTTCTTAATAGACTCCAATTTGGATGCATAAATTGTACAACAATATTAGATTCCAGATGTAGCAAAGTCTGTCGTAACGTCGCTACAAGCAATGGCTTGGTGGCTGAAATTTAAAACATTTATTTTAACATATCTATCTATATTTAAACATGTCTTACATTTGAATCATTTGAAAAAATTATACCATTCAATAATCCAATCCATTTAAACTCTTGGCCTGACGACAAAGAAAATTTATGAGATATGTAACGTTTCTTATCCCGCTCTTCATTCCTTTGTGGCTTGTTTAAGGCTAGTGGATTTGTTGTATATTGATTAACATATGTTTTGAATACATTTTCATTCCCAAGCTTAAATAAATAGGTTCCATTTGAAATTTGGTTTGTTTTTTGTCTTGTTAGACGTTCAGATACTGAAAAAATAAACACAATATTAGATTTTATCATCATTATTTTTCATTAGGAACATTGATAGAACCCTGTGTGATCAGTCTACATTATCTGTTAACCATTTCACCCATTAAACAGTATAGAGTCACATTTACTTGACAAGGTAATAAATTATAAGAAAAATAATTACTTTCTTCATTTTTCTTATAAACAGGTCTATTCTTCTTAATCTTATTATCACTACTATCATTTCCGTCATCATCTTCATTTTGGTCTGTATCTTCTCCTGTTGTAAAGACCTCTTGCAAAAGATCAGATTCAATTGCAGAGGAATCTACTTGCTTATCATCATCATCTGTCCTGTCAGGACAGTGTTTTTCTTTTTCCTTTATTTTTCTTTGCTTATTAATTGCACTATTCTGCACTTCTAAATAAGATTTTCTATTGCCTTTTGCTTGGTTGGTTAGTTTTTCTGTGATGTCCATTTGACGAATAATCTCCTCTTTCATTTCTAATAGTTCACGGACAAGGGGAGCCTCCATTTCTTTGTAGTCTAGTACATCAAGTAACTCTTGAAATTGTTCAGCTGTTGAATAGTACCACACATCGCCATTTTCAGCTTCACTAGAAGTAATAATAGGTGATTTTATTAAATAATACATCACAAAGTACAATAATTGTCAAATAATGAACTTAAAAGTAAACATACATAAAAATTCTTCTCGTAATAAATGAATACTTTCTGCCATGTCTATCAAACCCTAAATGTTCATGTCTGCACAGAATTCCTTGTTTTTCAGCATCTGATACACAGTCTGTCACACCCATTGTTTTGTGTTGCTTGCAAAGAGCACACTGCCAGTCTTCAGAGGGTACATCCTCCAGTGGTGGATCAACACATTCAAGGTGATACACAGCAGGACATGTTTCACAACATAATAAGTCACCTAACCGATGACAAACTCTACAGTGGTCATCATATTGAATAGGAGCTGTAAAAGTAAATTTACTTATTAGGTATATTAACTGCAAAATGTATGAAAATTTCTTTATCTTCAGTGTGACTCAGAACCCCTTTTAATCTAACTAATACTAACAATCAGGTTACAAATCTATTTACTTGTAATATAAGGGAACAGTCTGTTCTCAATCAAATATGATCTTATGGAATACCAAAAGACTTCAATAAAAAATAGGCAATTATGACTTAAAAATATATATAAAAAAGTAAAATCCTTACCTTCACTTATCAGGTCATCTCGAACTGGATTAGTAATTAAAAATTGATTACACAAAAACTGAAGAACGGCAAGACGGTCCTCTACAGTTGTAAAAGGATATTCACAAGCGTTTAATATTCTCGATATATTTTTGTCAAATGTTTTGTCACTGTCTACATACACTCTTAATACTTCCGGCCATGTCATGACATCCAATAAAAACAATGTAATATTAACACTATCCTTATGGTCTAATGGACCAAAATGTGTCTGTTGTGAATCTTCTTCTCTCAAAAGAGCTCTCAATAACATTATATGAACTTCTGTTAATAATGTACTTTGTTCATTGCAACTAACAGCAGCACATAAGTCTTCTAGCCTAAAAGGAGACAGCCTCACAAGATGTCTAAAATGACGCAGGACTTCATACACACCTACAACCTGTAGCACTAAATTATGTGGTATTATTAAATCATCAGATGAAGGAGGAAGTTCTAAGTGAGGGATTTGCCGCTCTTGTTGAAGCCATAGTGGATCAGGACTTGGTATTCTATTAAAATTAGATGTTGATTTTCTGGGTGTACCTACTGCTGAATTGAAACTGTTTACAGAAAAGTCACTATCACTTGCAGCACCGTCACTTAAGGAGCCGTCAGAACTCTCACTAGCGCGTTCTTCTTCTGGTTCTGAGCGATCACTAAACTCGTCTCCAAAATCAGATCCATAATGGTATTCTGATTCATGGTAATCAGCCGCTTGAGGATTATAGCCCCTTCTGGAATAGGCATTTGATAAACCTCCTCTCCTACTTTTATGAGATTTACCACCTCTTTGTTTTCTTGTACTTCGTTTACTTATATCACTACCCTGCGGCGATAACGCTCTGGACGCTGACGGTGTACTAGCTAAAGATCCAGTTCCAATATTTTGAGCTTGTAAATATTTAGGTTTTTTCAATAAATGGTATTGAAATTTTCTATTCTTCTCAAAATTTCCAGATTTTGGGGGTCTCCCGCGTTTTTTTGCCCCCCTCCCCGACATCATTATGTACAACTGTCAGTTAAACACTATTTCGCACGTGTATTGCAAACACATTCTTGTTTACAAAAACAAAATGTTACCAATATTATTTCGCTTCATCCTAATTCTAAAGGCTTCATAATCTTAGGTCCCCGTGACGCTATACACAAATGTAATGGTCCAAGTCACAGAATTATTCTATAATATTATTTCACACACAATGACAATTCTTAATTTTCACTCTAATCAGTACATAAGAAAAAATTTATTTATTTTACAGAAGGCACCGAAAGCTTTTAGTGACGCGAAATGTGAATAGGTATTCATGCAATTTTGAAACGCTCGATTCTGATCTCCCATTGGTTGATTGTTAGTCGGCCATGTTGCTTTTTGTCACTTGTGGTTTATTGAATTTTAAGGCGATGAACCTCTAAGTCCATAAAGACGTGTTGCACCAAAATACATTAAAATAGTAATAAATTATATTGGAAAAAAGTGTCATTATACAATTATGAGCCTTTTAACGCAGAATAACACTCGTACATTCCTAGCACGTAGCAAAAAGGCTAAGTAGTTGGCGGCCATGATAGTTTCAACGATGGTCTATGAATCACGACCACAGAACATTTAATTCAAGATCACCGATTTACGGCAAGAATATAATGTCTATCGTCCACGACTTCTTTACTATGTTTGTGAACATCAAAATTAATCGAAAGAATATGAAATAAAAGAATCATGATGGTATTCCTAACGCTCTCTTTGTTACGCTCGTATAATATTAAATAAAGAACGTAATAGTTCTGTTTATGTACGCATCTGCATCTGTGGTAGTCGAATACTATTACCACTACAATACCTACCTTTGATTTGTAAGAGATTAAAAATAAGAGCTTGTTTTATAATAATAATACTTATTCTAAGATTTTTGCTTATTTACAAGAATTCTTTAAAAAATTGGCAATGTAAGCATTAAAATAATGTACATACATTACAACTATGTAATTTATATATTAAACGCAAAAGTTGCGAAATATAAATGTATACAGGTTTAAGCCCCAACGACTAGACAGTTAAATGAAATAATCCTGTATAGAGTAAGAGTCAAATTGTATGCAGTACAAAGCTCTTGTCACTATTCTGATTTTAGAATTTATCTAATTAAAGATCTCACACTATGCAATCTACATTATGAGATAGACTATAGGGGAATGTATACTGCATGTGGGTAGGCCAAATGTGTTGAATAAACACTAAGGGTCTTTCTAATATATATAATGTGATGATACTACTTAAGATTTTATTTTATTAAATGTAATACATAGTATTTTTTGCTTTAATGGAATGTTATTGTAGAGATTTAGTAAACAGAACAAATCTTTAATAATTTAAACCATAATTTATTACTGAGCGATATTTTTTTCACACATAAGAACCCACTCTTGAGGTATGATTTTCTTATAATTTTTCCACTGCATAATTTCATTATACAATACAAGATCTACAATGGTAAATTGATTGTTATAAATCCATTGACTATTATTTTTAAAGATTTTCTTGCACAACGCTTGCTTTTGCACCTCTGATGACTTCTCAAGTGTATAACATGTATCTAGGATATTCTCAAGAACAAAGTCATCATAGTTGTATGCAGCTACATTAGGATATTGTTCACAAAGAAATCTTATTATATTAACATTTCCAATTATAGGCAAATCCAGTGAAGAAATTCTCAGTTCTGAAGTTGCTGAAATAAATATTAAAATTAATTTTAGCCACTCTTGAATTAAAAATAATTTGGTAAAAAAATGCTTTTTATTGTAGCTTTTATGAATACTATAAATATTATTTTCTCCTTAATGTATGATGATTTAGCTGTAATTGTAAAAGTTATTTTGAGCACACACTTACCATTTTTAAATATTATTCTTAAATTAATTTTGTTAGATTTCTGATTACCAGATTGTATGATATTATCCATGAAAGCTTGTATTTTGTGCACCTTTGAGGAAGGTATAGAAGAATGAAAGTGCCAAGTAAAATTAAGGTTTGGGTTTGATTTCAAGAGAACTTTTAAAAACCATGGTAAATAGTCTGGGCATAATACAATAACAACTTCATCTAAATCCTGAAATCAATAAAATATTCAAATTATCAAAGATTGTGAGCCTAAATCATTACATTATCATAATATCTTAAGTTAATATTTTCACAGGTATCAAATTACCTTAACTTTACCAGTTATAGGCTGTAAAGTATATTCAGTATTTTTTTCTAGTTTACAAGACAAGCTTATTGTTTTTATCTTGTCATATAGGTTATCTAGTTTTTTTAACAAATCCTTTTGTCTTTCTTCTAGATCTACCATATTTTTTGTTGATGTGTTCTGAAAATAAAATAAATATTCAATTTATCAAACTTAATCTAATAAGCACACTACAAGATTGGTTTACACAGAACATAATTTCTTATATATAAAAAGAAATAAACCTTAAAGAATTTCATAACCTGGTCACATATTTTGATATCTATGTCATCTGCAATACTTATTGTTGGATTTCTTATTTTATACATGCATGTTGGTAAGTCTATATTACTGCTAATGTTACTTGGGACAATTGTTTTCATAGAGTACATTTTGATATAGGCCTTTCTGAAATTAAAATAAAATTTCAGATATTATATTTTTATACAATTAAGTCAAAATACCTCTTGGGGTTATACTTATACCAAACTTTTAATGATAGTTGGTTTTGTAATTTTTTGTGTAACTAAGTATATAAATACATTTAGTCCTGCGTACCTTTTAAGTTATAAGGCTTATTAAACATGCACTCAATGTGGTATTCGTCACTTACCAACTAAGACAAGACAACCATGAAAATTGTATTGAAACAAGAATTTCATACAATTTCCTTGACAATTAATAATCAATGGACCATAGAATACAAATTATTGAATAAAATAAAGTATCAAATTAACAGAATATGTTCATATGTCAAAAGAACTAACGTTCGTCATTACTTTTTGGTCACCATATACAAGGAATATTGTGTACACTGTGGTTAATACAATTCGAAAGTTTGACTTTTTTAGAGTGTGACATTTAAAATATTGTAATGTCATTCAAATTTTTTAGCGAGGTTATGTTTACTGGATAATTTTGTCGAGTCAGAATTGGAAACAACAGCTATACAAGAATAAAATAAGTGTAAGAAGTTCTGTAAAGATGTTGGTGACACTCAAAACACTGCAACAACAAACATTTCAAATCGAAATTGATCCGGATGAAACAGTGAAAGCATTGAAACTCAAAATCGAAGTAGAAAAGGGTAAAGACTATGCGGCGGATAATCAAAAGCTTATATATGCTGGGAAAATCTTGCTCGATGATAATAAACTTAAAACATATAATATAGACGAAAAGAAATTTATTGTTATTATGGTTACTAAACCCAAGACAGGTGATGTACCACAAACGTCTACATCTGCCCCTGCTGATTCTGGAGAAAGTAAGTCAACAGAGAGTGGTGATGCTAAAAATAAAACTGTAGAGGAAGCACCTAAACCCACGCAAGAAGCGGAGCCAGCGCGCCCTATTGAAACACCTACGGTATCAACTGATCCTGATTTTGAGTCGACAGTTCAAAGTATAATGGATATGGGCTACAGTCGTCAACAAGTGGAACAAGCACTTCGGGCCTCTTTTAATAATAGAGAAAGAGCAGTTGAATACTTAATAACTGGTATACCAGATGATGTTCTTCAGGACCAATTAGAAGCGGAAGAAACTTCGGATGATGACCCATTAGGCTTTCTCCGAGACCAGCCACAATTTCAACAAATGAGAGCAGTTATTCAACAGAATCCTAGTTTGTTAAATACTGTTTTGCAACAGATTGGTCAATCCAACCCAGCCCTTTTACAAGCTATAAGTCAACATCAACAAGCTTTTGTTAGAATGTTAAATGAACCAGCTAACGCCCCTCCTGCAACTGTGGGATCTGCTGCATCAGAAGAAGTAGCTGCTTCAGACAGTCAGTTGCCACAACAGGCTCAAAATGTTATACATGTCTCTCCCCAAGACAAAGAAGCTATTGAGAGACTGAAAGCTCTTGGATTTCCTGAAGATATGGTTATTCAGGCATACTTTGCTTGTGAAAAGAATGAAAATCTGGCTGCAAACTTCCTGTTATCACAAAACTTTGATGACTAATTATTTTATATATATATAAATATTGCAACAAGAAGCTGAACATATTTCAAAAAGCTTTCAAGACTATTTCCTTTTCTTTCAATTCTGGTTGTAACTGTAAGCTTTGAATATGTTTTAATTGATGTTTGTTGTGTAACAGAAAGTGGTTTGTTTTATATAAAAAAATATCATAGCCCTTCACATCTTAAAATTCTTGTGTCTGTTTGGGTATCTAATGTACCTTTGATAATAAGATGTAATGAATAATGAAAAAGTAAATAAATTGGAATTAAATTTAAGTTTTGTTTGATTTTGATATACATACATAATTTAGCTCACAAGTAATAAATAACTCCTCTCTGAACATTAACTAAAAATACATGTATGTACCTTTAATTATAAATGAAATAAAGAATGGGGAAATAAGAACATATCTAATAAGTAAATAAAACAAAAAACCAAATTACATCAAACAGTTAATATTATTAATATTTATTATAAATAGCATAAGTTAACATAAAAAGCTATGTTGGTATAAACTTTAATCCAATCTTATTTAAAAGGCACTTTCCACAATGTCTTACATTAAAATTTGTCATTTGCCACTAACACATGGTAAGGGTCCATACAGTAAACCGAATAGTTAGTAAGATCATAACAATTATTAAAAAAAGATTGTTGTCTTAATGGCAGATGATCACTTATAGAACCTAGTTAATTCTGAAATTCAGCTATTACCCTTCACGAATAAAATGATAATATGAAAATAGTCTATACTTACGAAAACATCTTTAACACATTTGTAAATTTTTTTAACAGAAAAAAAAGGAATTTAAACTGTATCGGTATACAATATAATATTTTGTACAACTATCCAGCATAATAAAACTTCTTGTGATATGCGAAGTGAAGTCAAATATTCATTCATTGTTATATGAATGTTTTTATGTACACAATAGAACTGTATATCTCATATATATTTAAACTTTAATACATATCATTATATACTATCTGTACAAACACTGTACATTGCAATATTTATTGCACAAGTAAATTAAACATTAACTTTGGCTTATCTATAAACCACCATGAGGTGTTAATAATACCTAAGCAACAGAAATGGTTTACTTTCGGTATTTCTAAATTTCAATACTGTAACGAAACAAATGTCATTTAAACGGCAATGCGGTGTTATTTACATGATTGCTGTACAATTATAATGTGAAAAAATACAATGTTACCGAAAGATAACAAAATTGGATTAAAAATCATTATGAACAATTAAGAAATTGTATGACACGATGGCACAACAAATATTAATTCCTCCAAATATCTTAATGTCCGATGACGATTTGTCTATCAAAGAGACAATTTTAGTTCATTTGAATCTAAAATTCTTTTGTTTTCATTGGTGGTGAATTAAAAATTAAGTCGTAATAATAAATAGTGTCGATTTTGTCACATTCTAATAAGGATATTATAGTTTGTGTGATTTCAGTGAAACTGTATTATAAATGATGGAGAAATAAAATTTACTAGACGAAAAAAAAAACAATAACATGACAAAATTGTAAAACATATCAATAGTCTAACAATATACTTAGAATTAATAATAATCAATAGACCAATATCTACACAAAATAGACTTTTTTCTATAGGTGTTTTCGTAAAATTCCTTAACATACTTTTTGTTACATATTGTATTTACATTTTAAAGGTACTAGTATAGTTTATGATAGTTCAAACCTCTCATTCCTGTCAACCAAGATTTAGGAGTAGTTCAAAGCAATAGATGTCAAATAAGATCAGCATGTCAATGCATCAAGGATATTTTTGACCATTGGTGGATAAAAATAGTTTGAGAATATGTAACATTATTTGAACCAAGCTTTATTTATCATCACAACAGCTTTAGCTGCTTCTCAGGACTTGGTTTGTAGTATGGTTTCATCATTGATACAGCAAAATGTGCCTGATGGCCTCTGCCGGCATTTCAGTGGCACGCCTGGCTAGCCAGCTGGGTCTCATTCTGTTTTTTGTTGACAATATAGTTCTTTCAATGATTTCAACTCTTCAATGAGTGCTTTGTTTTGATTTTCCAATACGGCTACTCTATTCTCCAAACATTTTATATATTCCTTTTTCTTACGTCGGCACTCTCTCGCAGCTTCACGGTTCTTTAGAAGTCGAAGCTCCCTTTTACGAGTTTGATCTTCTAATATTGGACCTACAATCATAGCACCATTTGTTCATGTCGTAATAAAAATTTCAATATCTTACAATGGTTACTGTGCCAAAAGTGATGATAGGCATAATGATACCCACCGGGTACATAGAACTGGCCATCCTGGTTTGTGGCATATTGTACAATTGCTCCACCACCTGTTCCCGAAACAGCCAATGTGTGAAGACCACTGTCTGTCTGTATTGTGCCAGCTGGAATAACTACAGCCAAGGACATTGGTCAAAATTATAATACAAAAATAAAAAATATAGTTTTACATGAAAGTGGCGCAATTGTCAACACAAATAACTAGTATGTATGATACTTATTATATTAAATATATGTATTATGAATAGTATTAAGAAAAATTCAAATACTAAGATGTTGTTATGGATATTTGAAATATATAATATCATTTCATTCCATTGATGTCACGTTTTATTTATGAAATCATTTTAATAATATTACTATCATAATATGATCTACGACTGATATAATTTTTTGAAACACATAAACAAAAAAATTATTAAGACTAATGCGCGTAATTTTTTTTTTTTAAATATGACAATAGTCTAAAATTTTTTAATTTTATTTGTAACGAACATTTCCTTACAAAGTATTTACATTAGGTATTGAGTTTAAACTAAGCATTACACAACTGCTAAGGATGACGTCATTGTCGTTGGTTCAAAGAATATTACGTCACCCTTTATGAATTTTTAACGTGAATCGGATGTTGTTCTCATTGAAACTGTCTTAAAAGAAATATAGCATATATATATATATTTTTTTTTACTGCTGGAATTGTTTTCGAAACAAACATCGAGCATCTGTTGCTAAGATATGTTTATATTTTATTTCTATTTTGATTAATAAAATTTATTGAAATTAATTGTATTAAAAAGTAACATTTTGTGGGCACATTATTAAAGTACATTTTGTATGATACATACCTATGCCTCTGTAATTAATGATGTCATAGTATTAGGTCTTAAAAATGTGAGACATCATTTTTGTACAATTGCAAATTTACATGCAATTTTCTTTTAAAAATCGAAAATAAATTGAAAAAATTTTCGGCTCGGGCAGGACTTGAACCAGCATCGTCAGCGTTCCGTACTGTTGCTGATTATATAGTGCCTTCATGTGCAATAACATGTAAAAGATAATATAGTTTTCTCATGCAATTTTCTATCAAACATTATAATTTTAAAACTCTCAAGTTCATCATGGAAAATGAAATCAAACAAAGTTTTGATGTGCTGTACGAATAAGGAGGATACCTTCATCACAGACATCATGATTAATATATGATGGATGTGGGCTGTTCCTATTGATTAAGTCTAATAGTAGTAGTATAATAGCATGTAAAAATAACAACCTTTTTATTTTAATTAGCATTGTCTTTAATGCTATCACTGAAAAAAGAAATGTATGCTAAAACCCCTGTGTAATGCTGCAATGGAACATGGGAACATTAAATAAACAGATCACCATGAGACAATAAATCAAGACCGAGTAAGTTTGCCATGAAAACAAAAATGATTATAAAGATATACCAGAAGCTTATGGTTACAAGCTGTGGGTAAACACGGTACATGGTTGTAATGTATTGTAACAGGTTAGTGACATGTTGCACACAGAAAAATCAAGTGTCAACTGCAGCACATTTAACTAACCTGGTGCAAATGATAAGGAAGATGACAGCGACACTTCATTCTCGAGTCCTGGTTTAGTTCCCATGCGATTCTCTGTAATACCATATGTTCTTGAACTCTTGCCTACTTATGTATCTTATTTTTTTTGCCACAATGCTTTATTTAGTCTGACTCCCAGAAGTTATTTTATACACCAAATGAATTTTCACGAGCTGTTCCAAAGCTTCTAATCTCCTATAGTAATTATTTTCCTATGCATATATAATTTTAATAATATCTTATAACATATAATAACTGGTATGGAGAATACATATATATAATATACACATGACTGACTTACTTCACATAATATCAAGGCTTATATTAACAAGTCTGTTTGTTCATAGCATAAAAGTATGTTTGACTATTGCAACACTTTACTGATTTTGATAATAAATATCTCTAATGTTACCTGCAATCTCTGCACCACCTAAGTCATTCAAAATTTTCCTATAAGAAGGACGTCTTGTCAGCATTTCCCTGTATTTTCTTTTGGGACTCTCATCATCACTACCACTGTCATCGCTTGACTGTCCTTGTGTACTGACAACAGAATTAGGTTCTGGCTTAATCTGAAAAACAAGGTAAACAGAATGAAAAAAAGAAATTGAAGAAATTAAAGACTTCACTGCACTTGTCACTTATCATACCTGTAATGTTTGTAGTGTGCCTTGTGTTGTGTGGATAACAGAATTTGGTTTACTAACAAGTATCACATTTCCTTTAGGTAACTGTACTGACTGTATATTAGATGCAGTTTGAATCACAGATTGTTGATTAGGTTGGATAACAGATTGTACCTGTAATAAAAATAATGTAAGGTTGTAATAAAGTGCTTAGAATAAATGCACATGATGGTAAACAAACAACAATACCTGTGCAGAAGGGGCTTGAGCGGGTAGTGTAAGTTGAACAATACTCGTGACCACAACATGGGGGGGAGCGGTATTCGCAGACGAACCAGGGCTCGACAAAGGATCCGAGACATTCGTTCCACTGCCTGTTCCGTTCTCCTCCACCATTCCGTCCATGCCAGCTTAAATCACCTAAAATATTCAAGGTCAATGCTTTTTATTTCCTAATAAAACGTCACTGACGAAAATATTGTTATATTCTTTGAGTGATACTAACTGTTGATAAGTCCTTACGAGATATTCTATAACTAAACTATCGCGTCATAATGAGGAAAATTTCCTATTGCGTATATAGTAGCTTGTAACATTATTTTGGGACAATAATGTCTCTAACTGGATGTGGGCTGTAGGGATACTAAACAGACTTTTCATGTTTGTGGATCCTCTTTTTAGCGACCGTGACATACGGCAAGATGTCTTCAATACAAGCACTCACCAGTTACGTATTCCTCGTCACCGTATATGCTGCGTCCGGAGTGGGCGAACGGGACGGTACGTAGTAGCCACGTCAACTGCGAGAAGACTCGTCACTGGCGGAGACCTATGATCTTGTATGCGTCATAACAATATGGCCGAAATTTGTCAAGCGCATGCGCTCTCGTTCGATGTCCTGTTTTTCCAAATGTTTTCCCCGCAAATATAGATAATAATATCATACAAAGGTTCTTATCAATATGACAATACTACCAGAGATAAAACTTCCTTAAACCATAGATTTCTGTCTCGATTTGTAAAATTGCATAAGTAGGTACTTATGCAATTTTTATTTTAATAGTGCTACTTTTTTAGTATATGCGAAGAAACTTTAAAACGAACTCAGAATTTCATACCAACTTATAATAAAACATATTTTCATTATTTAAGCAAATGATTTTGTATTATTTAAAACTGTATTTATGAAAGTTTTCATAGCTATATGATCAAGACCATTCCTTAGGGAGCATCGAATCAATTCTATTTTCTATTGCTCACTCGATTCTTTTATTATCTGTGGAAATTATTGTAACTAAGATTTACTACATCTGTGACAACCTTTAAGGGTTTAGCGTAAAAAAAGAAAAACAATTATTAAGAAAACAATAATAAAATGTTTGTCATTGACATATTTTTAATAGTTAACTAACTTTTACTCACACTTAATCAATTCCGAATATTGTAACATGTGTATAAACCTATAATATATCATATTCTTTGGAGTGAAGTATTTTTTCCGTTTTACATAAAATAATAACAAACAACACTACTCAACAATTTCCCTTGTTGATTAATAAAATTCATTGCGTCTTTCGAAAAGTAAAATTATACATTGATAAAAATACACAATAACGACATGACTTCAATAAATTATGAAAAGAATCATAAAGAAGGAACTAAAATTTATAAATGTCGTGAATATGCAAATAAAGTTGCTACAAACTTGAATTACTTTCGAAGAGATGGGAGATTTTGTGACATAGAATTATTATCTGGAAAAACAAAAGTTAGGGTAAGTTATAATACCATGTCAAGTACATTAGAATAGTAGTTTCTAATGGAGTTTATCTATTACACTTTTCTCATAAAATGTTTTAGGCCCATCGTGTTGTATTAGCGGCTAGTTGTGAATATTTTGATGCTATGTTTAATGTTGGTTTAGAAGAAAGTCAAAAGGGACGTGTTTTGCTTCACAGTATACCTGCTCCAATTCTACCTTTAATAATAGATTTTATTTATACAGGTAAGATAAATAAATAAAGAATTTTATATTTTTTTTGTTCAGTTTTGTTTATTTTTTATTCCAATAAAGTCTTAATTTAAAGTAATAGACTGATTTTTACTCTTGGTAGAGGTAATGAAATATGAAGCTCTTTATGTCTGTGAATTTTATTATATAGTTTGATAATTACAGGTGAAATAACAATAGACAAAGTGACAGTACAAAACTTATTGATAGCGGCAGACATGCTTCAGTTAAGAGAACTTGTTTTGGGTTGTGGGGAATTTCTAAAGAGAGAGCTTCATCCATCAAATGCACTTGGTATATTTAGGTAATATAGATATCTTCTATTATAATTTTTATAATAAAATGTGTCTTGAAGATAGTAGATAGATTAGTTCAATAAGAACAAAAACAAAAATACACATTTGGGACATGTAAAACAGTCCTAAATCTTGTGTTATAATGACCATTGTAATTTATAGATTTGCAGAAACGCATAACTGTAAAGAGCTTGCAGAAGAAGCACTGACACATGCACAAGCCCATTGGAACATGGTAGCAAATGGAGATGAATTGTTAGAATTACCACTACAGCAACTGGTTACGCTGCTGTCTTCAGAGCAGCTTAAAGTTGACAGTGAGGCACAGGTATATTGACTTGAACTGAAAATATATAATAACACATGCCCATCTGGTGTGTTTTGGGACAATGGACAGATTTATTAATATCTCTTCCTCTATAGGTACATTTTTGTAGGCAAAAAAGCTTTTTATTTTATTTTTTAATAACAGGTCTTGTATCCTGCACTTAAGTGGTTAGAGCATGATCCAGCAACTCGTAGGCGTCACTGTTTTGACGTTTTGAATCACGTACGACTACCGCTGATTTCACCACAGATATTGGATAGTGCTATTAAAACTGTTCAAGACCCTTCAATAGCAGTTGCTTTAAAAACCGTTAGGGTGGATATGGTGAGATTAGATTACATAAATAAGAAATCAAAGTTTTTAATTCAAGAAACAATGTAAGTTAAAACAAAAACAGAAACTGGTCTAACAGTAGACAATACACAAATGGAAACTGACAATATAGAGGGAAAAAAATTTCCCCCCCCCCCCAAAAACCCCCCAAAAAAAAAAAAATGGGGGGGGGGGGCCGAGCTCAGTAGAGATGATTATATCAAAGAACTTGAGATGGAATCTATACTAATATATAAAGCTGTTTGTTTGTTTGTTTGAACGCGCTAATCTCAGGAACTACGGGTTCAAATTGAAAAATTGTTCGGTTCGGTTGGGGCATTTTTCGAGGAAGGCTATAGCATAACATCGCGCTGCGAGTAATAGAAGCCAAGATACAACGGGAAATGTGAACAAAACGGGGAAAATTTTTCCTCTCTGTGGGTTTCAGATGCGTACGATGCGAAAACTGTTCAAGATACCTAAAAAATAAAGAATGATTCCCCTTTAAATGATCTAAACTCCGCGACACTATATGTTTATCTTTTAAGGATAACTTGCAAGAACGTCGGGAAGGGACGCGATCGACGTCATGGCTAACAGCTTAAGTTTATAAAGAGGACGGGGTTTGCAAAAACTAATTTGGATGCCCAAAATAATTTTTTTCGCGGACGGAGTCGCTGGCACAGCTAGTAAACAATAATATTGGATACTTTATAGTAGTTTAGATTATGTATCTATTCTAAAATCTGTGTATTTTGCTGTAGATGACACCTGCCAAACACAAAAACTTAAAGTGCATTTCTGTACACGAATAATTGACATTTGAATCGCATGTTTATCTCATATAAGGGGATAATAACTGATATTATTATTAAAGAAATCAGGGCGTGGTGCGCTGGTTTCCTTGTCTGCAGAGCCACGCGCGCGATCTCGTCGAATGCTCGTGATTGTGGGCGGCACCTGTCACGATAGCGCTCCTCACACACCGCTCACCACAGACAACATTCTTTTCTCTGCCCTCAAATTCGACCTGCATAAGAGGTAAGGTTTTTTTGTATAAAGTTTTGATCCGTAATATAAAATATATTAGATCAGTTTATTGGGAATTGGATTTGTACCATTTGGTAAAGATACAGAAAGGACATAAATTGTGTAGGGCTTTGCGGACACAAAAAAATCTTAGGTTTTCGAGCTGTTTAACCGTCGAAATCAAGAAATCGTTCTTAAACTTTCTCCACCACATGTAAATAATATTATCAGAAGATGTTGCGTGTTCTTTTACGATGATGTTGGTCCGGTCAATAATTACAAACCCAAAATCTTTAGGACATTAGTGAGTGTTATAATAAAAATAATTTTCTATTAGAGAATGGGAAGATCTCGCTCCAATGGGAGTAGCTAGGATACAGCCCGGCGTCGCGACGTTGAGTGGTCGCGTTTACGCAGTTGGAGGCGAGCAGGGAAGCCAAATATTAGCCAATGGAGAAGTCTATGACCCACAGGTAATATATACGACAAAACGATTTTAGTATATTTATCACTATTCAAAATACAAATTAATTGTGCATTTAAATTATTTACTTTAATAACCAATCTATTAAAATAATTTTTGTTATTCATATTGAGCGAATGGTTGTTCTAATTAGATCGATATTTCGGTTGATTAATAATAATATTATATAAAACACTTTAACCGTTTAAAATCAGCATAAGGAGGCTGCAGCCTCCTCATAACCACGGTTGCTGTCGGAAGTCGGACCATAGCTAAAAATATTTTTCAAATAAATTTAACCTATAGCGCCTTTTAAACCGTTAAAGTGGTATAAATGTGTACCACTCGCGTAAATTGCAGACAGTATTTAAACTTTACCAATGTAATTTATTTACTTAATTGTTTTCATGAGTAATGCCTTTCAGCTAGATAAATGGTCGGATATATCCCCGATGAAGGAGGCTCGCTGTGAATTTGGACTAACTGCGTGGAACGGGAACCTCTACGCGTTCGGGGGTTGGGTTGGGTCCGATATGGGGTCATCGGTGGAGGTCTACGACCCCATATCTGACGAGTGGACACTCGTCGGTCATATGCCCGAGCCACGTTTTGGTATGGGCGTGGTTACATTTGAAGGTTAGAAGTTAATAACATATTACAATTTATTCATTTGCAGTACGATAAGGCTCTTTTATTGTATGAACACCTCGTAAATCTCTTGGCATTACAACTTGCCTCAGCAGTCAATTTTATATTAAGAAGCAGTGACATTTTCTTACAAAAACAATGCCTTAATTCCAGGGATGATTTACGTAGTAGGTGGTTGTACACACACGTGGCGCCACACGCAGGATCTTCTGTGCTACCACCCGGTTTCTCGTAAGTGGCAAGCACTGAAGTCGATGCGTCACGCCCGAAGTCAAGCTGCTGCTGTGGTTTTAGACAACTACCTATACGTAATTGGAGGGATTGCACCACGGCGAACAGTGCTGGCCTCTGTTGAGAGATACAGTTTTGACGATGTAAGATATCCACATTTTCTAAAATCTATAAAAAAAAGTCTGTTGTATCGTCGGCGACCATCGACGGTCTCGCGCCTAACGGGGGCCTCGCGAAGCTTTTAATTATTTAATGTAGTGCGCGTAATATATTTTAATTTATCCTCATTAGTGTTTTACGGACATTGTTTGGAAAATACCCTAGTCGCATATTTGTATTGTTTTTGTGACAGAAACGTAAGCAGGAAAAAAGTGGGGGAAGAGGCTTACGAACCTTATTTTCGCTGACACCCATTTGTGGTCGAATGTCAAGTGATGTCAGATAGTAGTTATTTTATACATTATTCGCATAACATTCCCTACAGTATTTTTAATAAATTAGAAACTACGAGAAATTAAAACGAGACAAACACGCTCAAAAGATCTGTTTCTCCAAAAGTAAATGTTTTAATAATAATAAAACCTTTATTTGCTTACTTGCAATTGATTTAGGTTTAATACACTTATCAATGAACGTTTTTAATTATATTTGAATGTTGCGTGTGTTGTGTTTTATATCACGCTAACTAGTCGGAAACCTCATACAATTAAAATCCTAATCAAACGTTTGTTTATAAAGATGTTTTGTTGTAGGATACCTGGGAAGAAGTTGGTAGTTTGAATGAAGCACGCGCGTGTTGCGTCGCGGGCGCAGCTGAGGGCGTGCTCGTTGTGGCAGGTGGAGACAGAGAAAGCGGCGAACGGGCTTTCTATCGCGCTCGCACCACATTAGCTTCCGTCGAAACATACGACCCTGCCGAAAACACTTGGCGATCTGCTCCACCTCTTCCGCACTCCAGAGCTGAGGCTGGAGCCGCTCTACTTTGACAAATAGTTAAACCACAACCAGTACCACACTCATATTACAGTTATAAATAGAAGGAAAACAACTTGAAAGATTGGGCGAAATAAATATTTAATTTATATTCGGTCTATTTTAAACTTGAAATATGTTGTATTAGAGCGTTTGAACAGACTGATCTTTTCCACTTGAATAGTCATGTGCGTGGTGCCTCCTCTTAGTAAAGCATTCACACCCTTACAATAATAACATAATGTATTATCTATGTATGTGATAACAATGACTCCATAACACGTATTTTACAACGTAGGATTAAAATCCTTTTACACAACATTGTACAAATGGTATACTCCGTTTTTATAATGCAATTTTGGTATTGTCTATTGAATATTACAAATCGATCGTCATTTCCATAGAGGTTAAGGAATAGTTCAGCTAGAACTGATTTATTTCTGTCTTACGTAAATTACACTTTCTTTAAATCATTACCTGTAATATTTAAGTTAAAATACGCAAGGTATGTTGCAATGTTTCTGTAATAATGTACAAATATGTTAGGTATAAGAATAAAATACCAATTGAATTTATTTATTTTAATAAGAATTATAATTGTATAATTTTTACTTTTTACCATTATTTGTCAATCTTTTGATATTTGACTTGCATGACTAATATTGACAATGATGCTGTGTCCTTTATGATGTTCAGTTATTAGGCATCCATTTATTTATTGGCTTTCTTACCTATGTGATATTAATTTTTGTGCTAATTGAGTATATCTAGCAATAATTAGAACAAGTATTGTTTGATTTTATCCTCACTTCATATCATTTATATTAGTTGTATTCTGAAATTATTTATAACAATCTGATGAGCTTAGTAAAATATATCAAAAATGTAAAGATTTTCAATTTTTTGTAGTAATAGATGAACATACATATTTTAAGTGTTTCAGATGAAATACCCATACTAAACTTTGTTTAAACAAAGTTTAGTATGGGTATATACCCTCGTAAGCCATTCCCTCATAACTATTATCTCTAGTTTATATGAGAGGAAGGAATAAAGTTTCCTTCGAAATACAAAAAAAAATCCGTTTAAATTATTATTAATTTTTAGTTTATTTAGTATGATGGTTCATAGGATCAACAATTTCCGAATATTACAAACAAAATGCTGGGAATTTAGAGTCAATTGGTCTGGTGATGTCCTCTGCGAGAAATATTCGTCCCAATAATCCTTCGAAAAGCGAAGCAGGTCTATCTGGACGATGTAGTTCAGTCCCTGGTCGCTCCACTGCGCACCATTCCATAAAACAACATGCGCGATACAAATGTATAGGTTTCTGCATCAACAATATAAACAAGACATAGATTTTCTTCAAATTTCGTGCCAAATAAAAGTAATCAAGGTTATATTTCTTAGTCATGTCTCTCGTAATAATAAACAAAAAAAAATATCACGTAGGGATAATTTTTTTGTTTATTTCAATTATCGATATTGTTACAATTTTCAGTATGTGCAGTTAGTAACACTTAGAAATTGTTTTAACCGTTCCTATTTCGTTTAATTATCATATCGACTCTTCTGCAACAACGCATTAAATGGGGGAAGTCGAAATAGAAACAAATTATAAGCAAACCATTATAGTGTATTTTTTCTAACTTGGCAAAACTCCACAACAATTATGGCCGATTTCAAACCAGAGAGATTTAGAAATGCCCTTATATAGAGTGTAGTCATCGCTACAGATGACATAAGGTTATAGATAGTTATCATCTAATATATCTTGCCTTTGTTGCTTGATATAATTGTAGGAAGGCGTACGCGTTGCCACTAACACCATGACAGAGGCTATATCCCTTCGTACACAGTCCTCGTTGCCAGATCACCTCCCCGCATTGATTTGCTATTTTCAAATACTTCTCATCATCAAATGCCTGCAAAATAAAAGACAATAACTGAAAAAATACTTTATAAAGATTTTTAAACCGTGAGTGTTCACGATATCAAAAACAGCCGTGGGGCTGTGCTAAAAAGCATTCGAAACGTCCGATTGTCTGATAATTTATTAATATAGAGTTTATGTTTAAACCCTTAAAAAGTGTTTTATATAAAAAATTGACGATTAAAGGATGCGTATAATTTACTAGCAGCGACTTAGTACGCGTAGAATAGTTATTTTGGGCATCCAAATTCATTTTTACAGAACCCTTCATCTTTATAAACTAACGTTGTGCCCCACGACGTTGGTTGCGTCCCTTTTCGTCGTTCATGCAAGTTAATATTAAAAGATAGACATGTAGCCTCGCCGACTTATTTTTAGATCATTAAAAGAGGAATCATTCTCTCATATATATATATATATGATTTGGGTATCTTGAACTGTTTTTGCAGCGAATGCCACGGAAACCCATAATTATGTTTTTTCACATTTCTCGCTGCATCTTCGCTTTTATTAGTCACAGGGCGATGTTTTATAACCTTCCACTCTAACCAACACAAAAATAACTTTTCAATTACCCGTAGTCAAACAAACTCTTCAGCTTTATATGTATATTGTTATAGATAATGCAATTTTAAATTAACTAATTGAACTTAACGATTACGTTAACGTTTACAATACTGAAGGACTATTAATTAAGATGTATTAAACTGTTATATTGAAGGACTTACCTACGTCATATTAAATTTAGATTAGGTAGTGCTACGATATTATTTACGTACATAGTTCGTTCAAACAAACAGCGCTCTACAAGTTCAATGTTTTAGTTACCATTAAATTAAAAGAATACTAACTTGATAAGCTGCCAGACACAATGACACAAATCCAGGTGCACCATGGCACCACTGTACCAGCCTATCGCCTGAACTACTACCAAGAGAAGATGGGAAGTTACCAGTTTGAAAGCGAGACCCCAATAACCAGTCTATTGTTGGCTTCACAAATGCCCTTAGGTCGTTTCCTTTAATGTAATTACGAGCCTAAAATAAAACATTATGTGAATGATAATTTAAACACCTACCTATTGCATTTATAACAAAACAAGCATATTGATAAATCTGGATCATTATGTGTGGCTAAGTAAATGATTTATCTGATTAACTGATCAAATTCAATTCAGGTTATGTTGTATAAATGATTTTAATATAAATGTAAAGAGCCTGGCTTTTTTATAATATATCCATTTTATTTGTAGAAATTAAAATTACCTGCAATAGCACATAAAGTATTCCAGCCATTCCATGTGCAGCACCTAAATAAACTTTATCATGCCACTGCCACAGTAAAGGACTATCTGCCTTCATGTGTAAAGAAAGACGTTTTCCGGACGAAATTATTGAATTTATCACCTAAAATTTTAAATACTCATAACTCATAAACGAACCCAAGCCAACTCAAGTGATTCATTAAAATATTTTGTATAAATTTCACTTAATATTTCTTTGTACCTTCTCAATGTGATAAGAAGGTATAACTTCTTTCCCACTGATATGTTTATTAGTAAATAGTAATGCAAATAAGTAGCCTGATTTTCCATATAAAACTTCATCAGGTGAATCTTCTAGAATCGAAATCAATTGCATTAATCTGAAAATTTGTGTCTGGTATTGCAGCTGAACAATTTTATTACTTTAACGGTTTAAAACGCGAGTCTCCCCGTGACCACGGCTGCTGCAAAGCATCCGAAACGTCGGGCCGAAGTTAAAAATCATTTTCAAATAAGTTTAACTAATATATCGCGTTTTAAACCGTTAAAGTGTTTTATTTAAATGTGTACTACTCGCGTAAACTATAGACAGTATTTAATTTTATTACTTTATAATAAATGATAAAATTGTATACCTTTGACCTAGTTCTTTATAATCAGGTAAGGAGTTTGAGCGGCGTGTTCCTAATTTGTATGAAATAACTGTGGCAATGGCTAGAGGTCCTGCATCTCCACACAAAAAACTTATTCTACGACCTTTTAAATTTAATATATCTAAATATTCCAGAGCTTTCTGCAAATATAGAAAGATAAGTCTGTGACTACATTGTATAGAAATTATTACTGCCATACTGTACTAAATCATATGATGTTATATCATAACACTTTGTAATTATTCATATTAATTACCTATTATTTAATCACTACTTGCCTGCAAGGCATCATGGCAAGGCTCATTTTTATTTGCCAGGGAATTATATGTATAATAAAGAGCAAGCCCAGCTGAACCAGTATACACAGTTCCATCACAGAAGACATCTCTTTGCAGTTTTGTAGTGAGTATCTGTAGTTTTGTTGCTTTGAAATTTGATATTTTTTTCTGTAAAACATCTGAAATCTGTAAAAAAATTAATTAGGTTTTTTTCAAAGTGGGCTTGACTCACAACCACGATCAAAGTACCGTTCTGTTACTACAGATATAGTATACCTATATGAAATGTAAATATTTTTAAGAAAACTCAAAACAAGTGAAAAATAAAACCATAAACCTTTTCTAAGTTTTACATACTTAATTCGCATTATACCACCATCAAAACAGTAGTAGTAAATTAATTGAAAATACTTATTTATTTAGAATTGAATTCAAGTTAGAATACACACCCCGTTTCTTGGGTCATTCAAAATATTATTTTGCGGTGTAGATGTATAATCTTCATACGGATTTTCAAAGGATCCTTGTCCAGACATTTTTAATGAACAAAGTTGCGATATTGAGAATTACTTTACAATTACATGAATATTCAATGTGTCACTATAGAAATCTACTAATGTTTATCAAAACATACTCTAAATTACTGTTAATAAATAAACATTCTTTTTTGACATTTTATTTTTAGAGACAGTCAGGGACGGGAAGACGCCAATACCGTAACAAACAGTATTGAGTATTCGTTACATCATTCTTCAAAAAAATGGATACCGATGCGTGGTATTGATGTGATTGATGATGAAGACTCATATTTTCCTATGATCAAAAGTATGCTAAAAATTGGGAAATTAATGAAAATTTCATCAGCTAATGTAATCTACATTATTATACACCGTCTATCAGTGTTCCAAATAGAAAATAATAATATATGGGCTATGACTTACTATCGTCTGTCTGATCAATTGATAAATCTGTCATTCCAAGTCTATCGCACCAACTGTTATCTGTAAATCTAATCATATTTGTTTTGAATGAGAGAAACATTTTATTAACAAAAACCAAAATACCTGTATATATGTAAAATATAACAATGACATTGTGTTATTTCTGATTATTGTTGTTAGTCAAGACAATATTTTTTTTATTAATATTCAAAATGTTTTCTTCCGTTAAAAAGATGTTTAAATGGAATTTGTCCAAAAGAAGTGAAGGCAACTTCCATACAAAATCGTTGTTAGTTGTTATTTTAAATAATGCTTTTGAAGATATTTTATCCTGGAAAAAGACATGGCTAACATTAACTGTTGTTTTCTATTTTCATTTGGTGTTCCTGTAAGTGTTACGTTTATTTAGTTATTTAAAAGTCTACGAATTAGATAATAGTATCAATATAATCATTTTTTATTTGTTGTAGAGTGTGTTTTAGTCGGCAGTTGAACAGTATTCAAATATTTTGCGCGATATTCATTATAATACTAATTCTTGATGCCTTTGAGGCGTGGTTAAGGTATAAACACCGAACCACTTGTCTTAAACGCTTAGCAGACCAAAGTAACAATAGTCAATTTATAGTATGTAAAACACAATTATGGCTAAATAGTCAGATGGTTACCTTCATTCAACTACGTGAAACAAATCCTACTAAGGTTAGTAAACTTATATAATTATCTATCTTGAAAATGGCTTAATAATTTGCTAAGCTGGTCAGTAATAATTGGTCTTCACCACTACATTAGAGATAAAAATAGAAAACCCATTATGTTAACTAAATAAACTTATTTAGTAACTTTACATAAATGGTGAAGATATATTTGTTTATATAAAGTAAATTAGTAGTCTTCTAATAGCGTAAAGTTCTTGTTTTAGGCATTTCTACTGTTGCAAATGATATTTGTCACAATTTTTCTGACTGGAAGATATATAAGTGGTTATACTTTAACATACATATTATTTTTGGTGCTAATATCCTTTAATAAAATAATACCACCTATAACAAGAATAGCAAAGAAACTTCAACAAACTGCAGGTAAGTTATACTTAAACTTCAGTACTTAGAGAATTTAAAGATGTAAAATTGTAATATCATGCCAGTTTCACTTTCTTATTTACAGATTCTGAATTTGAATTGGAAGGTCTGGTACCTGATGCTTCCACTGTTAATCTAGACTTACTGTCTATAGAACCTGAAATACCCCAGGTTTTTGATGACAAGCAGAGCTTAGGTAAAGAGTACAATATCGAATTTGCATGTTGACTAATAACCATTATGATAATATAACATTTTAGTGATGCTATTTGTACAATTTAAGATTGTTGGAAGCCAGAAGATATACCTATAGAAGATGCCAGTGATAGTTCAGACACAAGTAGCTCTCTTGTAAAACACTTATCCATGGAGAAATTGCAAAATCTGGAAAACAATGTTGAGGAGACGGATTCTAGTGAAGATGAATATATTCCTCATAGTAGGTTACCTAAATTTATAATTTAAACTACTAGTGTTTAGACCCAAACTTGAACCTAACACAGCTGATAATAGAATAAAACATATTTTGTAACACATTTAAAATGATTTATTAAGTATATATATCCTAAAACTCTAAATAGAAAAATTCTCTTTATTATCAATAATATTAATTTTCGTTATTAACAACAAAGAATTAACTGTTGCAACATTACAATAGCACAGATAGCACTGTGTTAAACAGACCGAGAGTATGTAAATGTGATTACTGGCTTTAAATTTCGCAATCTCCTCAAACTTTTTTATATGCTATGAATTTTAGGTCAGCAAACAGAGCAATTCCGCTCGACAATAGAGGTACAACCTATAGGAACATGGGGAAATACTGCATACAATGTTATATCTTCATTTAGTGGAGCTGTAGCTAACATGGTATATAGTTCTAGTGAGGAAAAAAAAAGGAAAAGAGTTTCAAGTATTGATTCCTCTGATGGATTTGAGATGTTAGACAAGAATGACTTTATGTAGAGCTGTTGTTGAATGGGACTTTGAAGTACTTAATAGTTATATATATATGTATAATAGCTAGCATATTTTGTTATATCAATGCTGATTTACAGACCCCTCACACTAGCGCAACTTGCGAATAATTATTTAATAAAAAATTCTTCATCCATAAATAATTACCATAATGATTTTTATCTATTTCAAATGCAATACTTAATGGCCAGATCTCAAAACTTCACACAGCATCTTCTCAATAATACGGTTGCGTTACCTTTACGTACACTTTGAATCAGTTGTGTTCCTTCCTCAGAAACAATTTTTACATTGATTTCAAACCGTAGGCGTCACTGTGCCACGACGTGGAGACGCTGTGCGAACGCTAGTGTGGGAAGGTGTTTTAAACTGTGAATAAAAGGAATAACTAGTTGAAAGTATTTTATTTAAACATTACATGGCATATTGTCTAATCTAGACATCAAGTCTTGATGTTGCTTTTTTAGAGCTCTTAGGCGCACACTATTTAATGCGTTTCTGGTACAAAGTGCCTCAAGCATTGGTCTTGAAACCTAAAAAAAAAATTAGATATTAATACTTAACAAAGTTTTGTTCTATGACCAAATGGGGTAACCCAAATTCAAACCACTACTAAGGGCTAATATATTGGATTTTTTATATAACAACATATTTACTTTCAACGTACATTTTATGAACCACAATTTTTTTACATGGGCATTGGAATATTCACACAAACCTTTTCAACAACATGACCAATGGCTATTGTTCTAACAGCTGTGTTATGCTGGTTAATTATTATATCATCTGTCTCTCTCTCTCCTGCCTCCAATTTAAATGCTTCATCTTCTTCTTCTTTTAAAATTGTGGGTAATTGTGTTAATATCTATAAGTTGAATTAATACATTACACTAAAAACTTACAAATGGACAAGAAATCAATTGCTTTTATGACTTACCTCAAAATTATTCTTTGTCAAAGAATCATTGCAATTTGTTATTTCTAGTTCAATTTCTCGTCTAGCCTGACTTGAACCTTCTGTTACTGATTGAAAACAAGTTATTTGGACCTGAAATATATGTTAAATGCAATTTAAGATTTTAAAGGGTATTAAACAAATAATGTAATTAAAAATATTAACAGTGTATCCATTGGTCTAGCAACTGAGCTGTTTATTCATTAACATACAATATTGTATAATGTATAAATTATTTTTTGATGCTTTTAATAACGAGTTCAACTCGATATTCAAGACTAAGGAGGTTACGATTAGCGAAAGTCCTACTTTCAGTGAATGGGCCACTGAAAGTATACATAAAAATAGACGGAAACTGTATGAGTTGTACTCAGAAAGACAGCTAAACAAGACAGAAGAATTTCTAAACTATGTAAAACCTTCTCAAAAACTTTCAAAGCAGACTGTCTAATGGCCAAAAGTAAATATATAAGTGATAAAATTCGTAATAGTGTAGATAAAATTAAATCAACGTGGAAAATTATTAATGCAGAAACTAACAAAGTAAAATCACAAGAGAATAATTTTAAACTTAATATAAATATTAAAATAGTCACAGCAGACACCGAAGTCGCTAACGAATACGAATTGTTTTTCTCGCGAATTGCTGTAGATTTAACCAAAACCCTGGGCTCTTCGTCCCCCATTGCAGAATCTTTGTTATAAGCAAACGTTCCTTATTGTAATGTTATATTTAAATTTAGTAAGGTTATAATAAACACACCATAGTAAAATGTTTTAAATCATTGAATATTAAGAAAACAGCTGACCTCTGGGGTATTTCGGTACATTTAGTTAACTCTTTAATCGAGATAGTTGCCCCCGAATTAGTAATTATATTTAACAATTGTGTCGATTGTGGTGTATTCCCAGATTTAATGAAATTTAGTAAATTAACCCCTCTGTTCAAATCGGGTAGTACCTCAGATCCCGCGAACTTTCGTCCAATTTCTGTAGTGCCCACATTTAGTAAGATTTTTGAAAAAATAATGCTCAATCAAATGCTAGCTCACTTTAACATAAATAAACTTTTGCATTCAAAACAATTCGGTTCTACTCGCGGTCGGTCTACAAGGGATGATGGAATTAAGTTATTAGAGAGTATTTACGAAGCTTGGGTTGAGTCATATGATGCCTATGGTATATTCTGTGACTTATCTAAAGCATTTGATTGTGACCAGCATCAGACGTTAATTAGAAAAAGGGGATTGTATTCGGATGTAAAATACATTGCCAGTTGAGGTGTCAAATTTATCGATAAATAAATTTAAAAAGTTATAAAATTTAGATTGTCTCAAAAGGCATATATTGTCTAAACGATTTCTTTAATGACAAGACCATCTGGCAGTAATATTACTGCCAGGTGGGAACAATTCATATGAATTGCTCCCTACGTTAATAAATTCACAATGTATTAGTTTATAAGACAAGTTTAAAAAAGCCGGACTGAGTTTCTTGGGTGTTCTTCTCAGTTATGTTGTTCTTTTGAACACTCTGTAGAATCACGACAAACAGACAAACATACAAAAAAAAATTTGACGAATCTAAATAATTTTTATAATTTTTAAGAGAATAAAGTATATATATATTTTTATTTTATTCTAACGACCAAACATAGAATTGGGACTAAAATAAGTTGACTAATTTATATCACGTGTTAAATGTATATACAATAAAGAATATTACCTCCTACATTTTGCATAAACTTACAACATTAATGTAATCAACTTTTTTTCTTACCGAGGGTGCCTTTGCTGTTTGATCAGAAAGAAAGACTGCAAATATGATGCCTACAAAACTTGGATCCATTCTTTGGTACATGGATTGTGTTGCTAAATCTGAAAGTCAAAGTTAAGTCAATATATAAGTCTACTTGTGATTTTTTCATTTCAAATTTATTTTATTTAATAAATCACTTACCAACGTGTGATGGCCAAACAGTAATATGGGGATGAGAATGGTACCACCCTACGACTCTTAGCGGTCTACCAACTTCTGTAGCTAACTCTTCTGCTCTTAAGGTAGCTTGTACAAGTTGTTCTTCAGATATTTCAACCCTGTCGGGTTTTTTATCTAGTCGCCGTAATATGACAGAAGAAACTATTGACACTAAACTGCCATTATTGTGTACCTAGAAGGATTTTGAAAGTTATGTCTCTATTTAACAAACAATATACATATAATGTATTAATCATACAGGTTTCAACAAACCTCTCCTAAAAGCAAACCCATAATTTCTTCTTTTTCAGTAGAAAGTGCATGTTGAATACAAACTAAAGCTACATCTGTTGAAAGTAAAACTTTATTTAACATCTTTAAATATAACTCAAACCCGAATATTTGTTTCCCCGTAAAAACGAACACGGCTTTATAATAGTTGTTATATTAGCATATACTGGTGTTTACTATTCTTGTTATGATATATGAACAGATACATAAATCACTTAGGTCCATAAAATTAATAGCGAAATCTTAAAACACTACCCAATACCCATTTGCTAAACTCAAAAGTCAAAACAAAAATAGGCAGTGATGTCAACTCCTACAGAATGTTTCCCCCAGAATAAATAAAAATCCCTAAATATTTAGGTATTTTTGTAGAAATAAACAGACATATATCGAAATAGTTCCATATTTATGTGGGTGCATTTGTACATATACATTATAAATAGGCAAATTAAATTTACCTACATTAATTTTTGAGCAATAACATAGCTAAACCATTTGACGTCTTGATTTCCCCAAATTTTGGGAGAAACTTCCCTGTTGTCATCACTAGGGATAAGTCACAGCAAGAAGCTTTTGTTGTGTCAGATGTCACTTTTTTATAACAAAATTCTATGGCTTAGTAACAAGACATTTTAGCAGATTCTTCTTTTATTGTTAAAACATTGTTTTATTTAATCACTACCGCACCACCCCAGCCGCCAGGGTGCCATAAAAAAATAACTTTTAGTTAGGTTTTTCTTAAGAATAGGCAATGTTGTTAATATCATAATATTTTATCTATACTAAAAAGTTTTAGAGTTTCTTTGTGTGTTGGACGCGCCAATCTCACGAACTACTGGTTCGAATTGAAAAATTCATTTATAGAGGAAGGCATAGCCCAGTGACTAATAGGAGCTAAGAAAGAGCGGGAAATGTTGAAAAAACGGGGAAAATTATTCATCCTTGTGGGTTCCCATTGCCTACGCTGCGAAAACGGTTCAAAATACCCAAAAAATATGTATGAATGATTTATCTTTAAATAATCGAAAAAAAAAACCGCGGCAGTATATGTATATTTTGTAAGATTATCTTCCAAAAACAACGGTACGCGGACAATGTCGTGGGTAACAGTTTAAATATTAAGTTCAACAGGAGGAACTATTCTACGCGTACGAAGTCGCTGACTCAGCTAGTTAAGGAAATAAACATTTTTTATTTATATACTTTCTTCGTCGAACTATCACTCAGTTGCTCATTTTAAAAAAAAGTTTTTTTTTTACTTTTCAAAGTACAATTAGAAATATTTGTTTACCTTCCGGACATCGAAACATCGAGAAATGAGTTTGTGTAAGAAATTGATAGTGGAGTAAAAGTACAATTAATAAAAATACGATATAATATGAAAGCATTATTGTATTATTTACTTTATTTCATTCAGGTGCTTTACTAAATGTAATTTTGTTGGGTACAAATTTTTGAAAGAAATCTACGTAAAACCTATATACATTTAAAAATTATATTATTAACGGCTTAATGAAAGACAAGTATTTAAGCCGTTAATATTGCATAAAAAACATAGTATTAACGAAAATAACTGAAGCTATTATACACCTATATCATTTGATTAGGAATAAAGTCTTAATTAAGTACCTACTAAATAAGCAATACTTTTTACATATAATTTTCAAAAACAAATTACTGAAAGCATGTTTCTCTCTTCAAATGTTAAAAGTCAGGTAGCTAAGGAGCTTGCACATAGTCAAAGACGTTATTCAAAGATAAATATAGCAAGAGACTTGTCTATAAAAAGTTTGCCTTTGCTTTAATTAAAGATGAATAAATCTTTGATATAAGCGAATATGATAAAGCTGGTAACGCCAATTTCACTAGATCATTAAAAATCTAACACACACTAAAGCAAAAATCTTAAAGCTTGCTTTTTGAGAATATTTAGCTTTCAAAACTTGACCTGTTTGTATTATACAAAATATCAAAATACATTGAACTACTAATTTATTCTACGATTAACAGTACATCATTAGCAATTGATATAATGATATTAATTACAATTCCAGACTGTTACATTAAATGTTAAATAATATTAAAGACTAAAACTATACTATTTACCCCCTTTTTAATATTGTAGGGTTTTTGAAAACCAGAATTCCAAAACGAAGCAAAACTATACACAATAATAAAAAACCTCATAGCAGTACTTGTGAAAACGTGAAATTTGTAATACACAGGTTATTCAATACAGTAATGTTTAATTATACATTTTATGTTATCCTTCTTCAAAAAATCGAGATCATAGTCATGTGAAACTGACACTTCTAATGTGAGCAAAATTACAGCTTTTGTTAATTATAAGCTATTTCAGCTGTTTGAAAATATTTATATTCCGGTTGAGGTTAGAATTTTAAACTTTTAATCATATTCTCATAATATTATGAGTAGGGTTGTCATTTGGATGAAGTTTGGTATTAGTTGCAATTTGAAATTAACTGTATGTTAGAGATTGAGGTACACCATTGACAGTCTTTGATTTTAGAACGCCATTCTCGTATGACATTACTGTTTCTCGGCCATTCTCCGTTACCCTGAAAGGAAAGAAGCGGTTAATCGATGAGGTATTTATAAAAGTTAAAATCAATGACAAAGTCAGACTTAAACACAAGTTAACGGAATAATTCTATCAATTAAAATTAACATCTACAATGTTGAATTTCTCAACACTTTCATACAAGCAATGTAAGTGTTTGTTGAACTAAGAGAGCTCGAATGAGAAAAAATATTATTACTCTAAACTAAGGTATGTATTAATGTTTGTAGTTTAAATAAGATGCAGAGATGCTAAACAAATAGAGAAGACACAAATCATTGAATATATATATATGTATTTACAAAACTAACGTTGATTAAGAATATTGTGTACCTTTTTGTAGTAATTTTCTTTCCATTGACAACGCGAGTAGTGGTGGTAGTGCTTCTCATATTAGCACTTCCAGGCCCAGCCAGGGAACTGTTAAATGTGGAGAATGAAGTGAAGGCATTCCCATTGGATGTAGCATGAGCAAATATATCGTCCAAACCCTGCATTCCGAATCCGAACGGGCTAAAGAGTGTCGAAGTGAGCGAGGTGCCTGGGTGGTGGCTGCGACGACCGTGTCTGTGGTTTCCATGACCATTGAGCTCTGAAATGTATATAGCCGCGTATGTGATTTATTAAATAGGCATAAGCAACACGCAGGACTAGGCCTATTAGACCTACATTTCCAAAGATTCTACATTGTAGTCTATGGATTATTTTAATTTTTGTGTATAATTATTTATATAGAAATTGTTGGACTATACCTCCAAAAAGATCACTGAACGGTGCTCCACCAAAGAATTCTCTAAACACTTCCTCTGGATCGCGGAATGTGAAAGGGAAACTATGGTAGCCAAACTCATAATCTTCATCCGAGGTAGATCGTCGTCCTCTGTTGCTGTTTAACCCTTCCTTGCCATATTGATCGTAAACGCGACGTTTTCTTTCTGTTAAAATTATAAAATAATATAATAGTTGAAAAAATGTATAAGAACACAAAGTGGCGGAGGGAAGACGTTTTGCATAGGAAAAGTTCTAATCATTATTATGCTATCTATATCTTGATGCTAATATTTACAAGGTACATAGTAATCTTTATGCTCTGATCCATAACTATTTTTTTTTTAATGCAAACGATTTGACTGAAACATTTTCTATTTTATCCCTTTACAATCTTCATTTCTTGTCGAGTCACAGATAAAAGCAACCTCATTATAATGCTCATCAAAAAATTCCACACAAGTTTTCATGTTAGTTGTAAATATAAGCTTTGAAATCAAATTCGACGGTTAGATAGTAACTGTTAGTGACTTATTTGTTGCAATTTAAAAAATATTACTTTATCATGCAATAAGTAACCCCTATAAATACGATCCAGCGCTTAACTCTATTTTTAGCGTCGATTTACATTTTATAAAGAAAATATAAACAATTTTGGGTTATGAAAACGATCAAATCAAAAGTTACTTATAAGCACCCTACAAGAAATTATCATCTACCAAAGAAGCGATGAAAAGGTGTGTCTCCAAAGAAACCCTTGAAGCTAAAGTGACGATGGCCATTAACTCCATTCTTGCTTTGATATCTGTGACCATGGTGACTGGATCCACGCGCATCATATACTTTCCGCTTGTTTGCTACCCAACAATAAAATGTTTCTCTGTTTTACCCTTCCTAACACTTGATGTGTAATAGGATCATTAACCATAGGTCCAATTTCCAAGGTTGTGCATAAGTCATTGATATTATTTTCAAAGATTATCAACTCAGGCAAAAGAGGAATTCTGGTCCAAACGTTTAAGAGATACGCTGGCAACTATCATTGTTTGAAATATTTGATAATACAAAATTACACCTCATAGATATTGAGTTGAGGATGCGATATGGAGTTGAGGACATTGAGTTGCACATATTTAGAATATAAGTTTACAATCATGGACCTGATGGGAATTAAAGCTTTAATTAATTAACAGAACTACTTCATATTTATTATTATTAGCTTCTTTTAGTATACCTATTAAACAACAAATCAAGAATTCTATGTCCCCCCTACCAGGTCTATGATGATGATTTGTAAATTAAAGAATGTGTTATTGAATGAGTGGGAGTCAAATTTACCATCTGATAAAACTTCATATGCTTCAGATATCTCCTTGAACCTTCGATTTGCTTCATCAGCATTATCAGGGTTTTTGTCAGGGTGCCACTTGAGAGCAAGTTTTCTATATCTAAAAATCATTATAATATGCTTTAAATACTTGCAACCTATTAATTTTATCATAAAGAAGTTTCAAGTTAATGTGATAAAAAATATATACTTACGCCTTTTTTATTTCTGCTTCAGAAGCAGTTCGTGTAACTCCAAGTGTTCTATAGTAGTCAACCATCTTTATTTGCCCTCTAGGGGTTATTAAGTAAATCTGTAATATTTTGAATAATTATTTAATAGCTTCTTAGGGATTTAAATTTAAACTATCATAGTTAATATTTAAACTGAACTTGTCATTTCTTCCCACTCCAAGTTACATGAATTACTGTTTATAACTAATAGACATACAAAAGATCTATTTATTCCAACAAATATGCTTTAAAATAACTTAGAAACTGGAGTTAGCATTGAGAATTTTGAATTTAACACCCATTATAGATACATACCTAAAAACAAAAATATTTTTTGTGACAGTTGTTATATCCTCATATTTTATTGACATAAACAAACTGACAATGCCAAGCAATTTACTTGTTTTAAACATTTTAAGGCCTATTGCTTGAATAAGAGTTTTTAAACAATATTTTTTATTAAATTATACAAATTCAACTAATTCAATAATGTGCTTTTCCATTTAATAATCTGATAATTTCTATTTTATATACAACACCCCAATTCTTAGAAGTATTTAGTAAAAGCAGCTTCATGACATGTTTGAATTCCCCAAAAATATTCTGTAGATTTTTATGTGTGATTCTTTCAAGTAATAGTCATAGAATTAGCTACTTTAAGTAATGGTACTAAAATTCCTCCATGTTTATGATCATTAAAAAGATAACTTGCGTTATTAAGAATAGAAAGATATTATTACAACAGTAAAATTTGGTGAAAATATCGACGTGAAATCACATCAACACCTACACAAAGTATGATGCAGAGCAAAATAATAATGTAATGAGACATGGAAAACAAAACTGTTATTACACATTTAGCTAGGAATTCGACTAATCACTTATCAATATACTTAATATTATGTAATAAATACATACCTTTGCATTTGTCCTTCCGGGAATGGAATATTAACGAACCAAAATTTATGACGATACTTTTTGTAATCCAACCTCTCAAGATCTTTCAATAGTCGCAGGCAACACCTGGGTTCAGTTATTTAGTAACCGTTAGTTTCTTATAAAATATAGAGACCGTAAAACGTAAAAATATCGCCTAAAGAAATAATTATTTACTTTTCTAAAATGACTAGTCCTGTCAATGGCAATCTGTGTGATCAGCACTGCAATAACATCAGTTATAATTCCTAGGGACTAGGGATTAGAAAAAGACACCAATACCTACTACCTATATAATTAATCTGATCACTTCTTTGTGCGAGAAACCGTCATCGATGCGAATATATGCAAGTAAAAAGTAGGGAAAATTCTAGCAAATAAAATCGATAAACAATTGTTCGACTTTGACTATCAACAAAACGACTATACTTTTAGCCATTAAAATTAAAAAAAATACTAAGCAACATAATTGGTAGACAATGAAACAACTAGTCTGTGCCCAGACTAGACAGTATTAAGTAGATCTGTGCACTTTGTGGAACATCTATCTATGTCCGACTATCTATATAGATTTACAATATAACCTATGGTTTCAAATAGACATTGCGGTTCACATTTTTCACAAGGGCAACACTGACAATATATTTAACATATTTCGTTTTTCGAGCCTATGAATTTTCCTGCATATTCCTTTTTAACAACGTACTAATGCAAGTACAATGTGTATGCATAACAGGTGCATTTTACTTTATGCTGTTCCGACTAGCTTAAACGACGACAATAATCCCTCTCAAGTCTCCGATGTTAAAGTAAAAAAACATTATTTCCTATTTTTGCATGGTCTATCAAAGTTAACCCTCGGCTTCAAAGTGCGCCAAAAAGAATGCAATTTTGAATGCGTTCCGATACAATGGTACCGATATTTTAAATGTTACTCAATACGTTTTAATGTCCGATTCCCTATATTTATCAGGTTTTTTGTACAGATTCTTAAAAAAAATGGAAAGTTCATTTTAGCGTAAGTAGAGAATAAATTAACAAAATAAAGAAATGTCAACATTTATTTAAATTATGATGAAAATCCTTATTTTTTTAACAGAAAGCAAAATATATTATTGATAATACTTGCAATCGATATATATTTAAAAAAACCTTCTAAACTCACAAGGCAGCTAAAGCAGTTAGGTAACACAGATCGCTAGTAGCTACGCGAGGGAAGTGTTCTGTGTACAAGTAGGTACACTGTATACATACGGCACAGTGCCAAGAAGAAATCAATTAATAGATAAATTGTATTTTTACAGCGTTTATTATTATATTTAGTAACGATATTTTACTATTTCTTTTATCTGTCCTTAATTCAAGTCGTGGTAAATAATGTTAGGCAGAGGATGTACTGCATTTCTAGAAAGGAAGGTTTTACTGACCTCTCAATGTAAGTAAATTCCGGTCACGCCCTTTATTAAATATTAATAAAAATTTATTGTATATTAAATCAATAAATTGCGAGTGTCTGACGACTATTTTATATTTTCAAATAGAATTAGCTTGGTAAATAAATATATATTATCGTATTAAATAATTAATATCGTAGATTTCAGAAACTTAAGTATTTCTTCAACCCTTGAACCCGAAAAGCCTCTTGTAAAAACTGATGTTCCCGGCCCAAAATCCAAAGCTTTGCTTAAAGAACTCTCATCTTTACAGGTAGATAGAATATACTCTTAATATATTAAGTAATTAAACATATGATTGTTATGTGTGAAATATATGTTGCATTTGTGTGTATTTTTCAATAAAAAGAAACTTGTAATTTATATTTATATTTTTTAGCAAGCTGGCTCCGTGCAGTTGTTTGGAGACTATAACAAGAGTATCGGTAACTACTTTGTAGATGCAGATGGAAATGTGTTTTTGGATGCTTTCACACAAATATCATCTGTTCCACTTGGATATAATCATCCAGAAATGCTGACTGCATTTGAAGATAAACAAAACTTGGTATCACCATTTTAAATACTATTTTCACAGTTTATCACAGTTCTTTCGCTGGATTGATATTAATTGAAAAATGTCATTGAGTAATTTATTTATATACTTACATTCAGAAGTTAGAGAAAGCCATGTAGGTAGTTTGATATTAGTATAACAATGATAAATCTCAAGAAATATTTTTGTCATCCTATTTCTGTCAAATATGTGTAGTTATTAATTTGCTATATATATATCTTTTTAGCAAGAGCTGATAAACAGGCCTGCTCTTGGGGTGTTTCCAGCAGTGCAGTGGCCCAATAGACTAAAGAATGTATTAATGTCTGTAGCACCCAAGGGTCTTAACAGTATAGCAACAATGATGTGTGGTTCATGTTCAAATGAGAATGCATATAAGGCTGTATTCATGTGGTACCGAAACAAACAAAGAGGCACTAAAACTGATTTTAGCCCTGAGGAGTTGACATCATGTATGTTAAATCAGCAGCCAGGATCACCCAATATGTCAATTCTATCTTTTGAGGTAACGCAAAAAAACTTTGCCAAAAATCATATTTGTCAGATTTTCATTTTCATATGTATATTATTTTTAAGTCTTAAGATTTTAAAATATCAATTAGCAATTTTCTTTTCATTGTTATTAATTGCACGATGAAATTATAATTTGTTTTACATGCACAAGCTTTCCCGATTGTATTGATTTCTGCTGCAACATTAGCAACATGTAAATACGCACTTTGCTCTCTCATGTAATAATTTGTATAAATAGAATAATCCTGAATTGGATAATTAACTATTGATTGTGGGTATTTTGTAAAGATAATGAATACTCCTTAGAAAGTTATCTTATCTAACGTTATATAGTACGTTTATTATTAATAAAGAACGATATTAAGGGGATTATCATCAATCAATTGATAAAACTATCAGATTGTTATTATTATAGGGAGGTTTCCATGGGCGTACATTTGGAGCTCTCTCAACAACAAGGTCGAAACCAATACACAAATTGGACTGTCCTGCGTTTGATTGGCCTGTCGCTCCCTTTCCAAGATATAAATATCCCCTCGATCAACATGTTTCCGAGAATGAAAAGGAAGATGCCAAGTACTGAATTTATTTTACCGTTACTACGTGGAAAAATGTCTATTCCTGTTTTTCCCTTTTTGATTTTACTTATTCGTTTTATTTCTTTTTATTTCTTCTAGTCTTAAGTAAATATGCGGGTTATTATGAGCGTCACTGGCAGACTAGAATTACATATGAAGTTTGGTAGGTATACCCATAATTATTATGATTGTGTAGCTAGCTAGAGTTGGTTTAGAATAGTCTCTAGATAGTGTTGTACGACGAGTGATATCTTAGGTCGCGTTATTTTGTAGATGTCTCGAACAAGTAGCGGATGTAATTGAAAAGTACAATAAAAAGGGCAATCCTGTGGCGGGTGTCATTGTGGAACCAATACAATCGGAGGGTGGTGATCACGAAGCATCTCCCGACTTCTTTCAAAAGCTACAGAAACTCTGCAAGGAGGTATTTACGAAACGTTTTATTACTATGTATGTATATTCCAACTTAGCCCTAAACTGCTAAACCGATTACATTGAATTATAAAGACTGCGCTTGTAACTTTCGTACTTATTTCTTAATTCGTATCTGATTACTTTTGTCGAACGCAGAAAGGTGTAGCATTGATCATCGATGAAGTGCAAACTGGATGTGGACCCACTGGGAAGTTATGGTGTTACGAGCACTTTTCATTGCCCTCTCCACCAGATGTAGTTACATTCAGTAAGAAAATGCTAACTGGAGGATTTTACTTTAACACCGAATTTAAGTAAGTGGTCAAAAATTAAACAAAAACAAAATAATTGTGTTTAAGATACATCATCTTGTCTATACTTTTACCCGTAGCTTTGATTGCATTTAATGAAAATTCGCAACGATTGTTCTTATAGGATACGAGTGTTTCTGTTATATATTATAAGACGTCCAATGGAAGTGATAAGCGATTCCAATTAAAATTAAGTTAACGTCAATATTTAAATTAGAATCAAACAGACTGGCGCCGTGATTTGTTATGTAGATACAGAAACGACAAACGAATACTTAACTGTATATAATTCTAGTATGAGCACATAATTCAATCTCGGCATGAACTCCCCTTCAAGGCTCAAATGATCAAATAGGACCTAAGTATCATCTTCCGTTATCCAACAATTTGATTGACAATCTAGATGTATTTTATTATATTCTCCTTTATTTACTTTCGTAATACAAATATTGAATCAAATTTATACGCGTGATATTATTGCTTAATTAAGCAAATGAGTGTTAAATAGTGTAACTAACACGAGTTTCATATATATTTAGAAGACAATCATTATAATTATCTATTGTTATAATGATATAGTATTCGAATTTAGATTATTATATTGAAAAAAAAGATATCAAGGGAGCAAGAAAGCACTTTTTTATTTCATTATTTCAGGCCACCTCATGCATATCGTGTATTTAACACGTGGATGGGAGACCCCGGGAAACTTATTTTGCTAGAGAGAGTTTTGAAAGTAATAAAGACACAAAATTTGCTAGACGTCGTAAATGAAAGTGGAAAAGTCCTTAAGAGTGGTCTTCATGAATTAGAAAAGGAAATGCCGCATCTAATTAACAGTGTAAGAGGGAGAGGAACCTTTTTATCTTTCAACGCACCTACAACTGAGTGCAGAGATAAAATAAATAGCGATTTAAAGAAAAATGGTATGCGATTTTTATTTTTTTTAATTCACTTTACTATGGTAATTTAAATTTATTTTTAATGCGTTTTTAACGATATTATTTCGACCTCTGCCCGACCGAAACAATTTTGTTTCCCTGGGATTCGAACCAAGGACCTCTCGCGCTTAACGCAATTCTAGGCAATACGTTTAACCATTTTGCTACAGAGGCGGTCTTTCTTTACCTATAAATACAAGTTATCATATAATGGTACCGCTTTTATATCTATGGTATACTTATTTTTGTTTAATTACTTGCATGTCCACTACATTTAATAATTATCGCACAGGACAATCAAACACGGTGTTCAATTTATGGAAGGTGTAAACTCAATAACATCAAATTATAATTCCTTATGGATCCCTATGGAAGAAACATTGCATTCACGAGTTTTCAATACTCCTAACGCCACTCTTCTGTCCAGATTTATGAAAATCTGGTCAGAACGTGGTCTTTGAGGATATTTAAGAGAAAATACATATGATGACTCGTTGATTATTAGATATACATTGTTACAACAAGCCAGAGAAAATTTAACATACTTTTAAAATGTAATTTCTTATAGGTATTATCAGCGGTACTTGTGGGGAACTAGCCATACGATTGCGGCCAGCACTAATATTCCAGCCAAAGCATGCGAATATCTACTTGGATATACTGCGTAAAACATTGAAAAGTATTAATTAAGATAACAGTGTTTATATATTTTGCTCATTATGTTTAATTATCACAATCAATTCTCAATTAGGCATCGTATTTTAACGTCGTAATGCCTTAAATATGTCTTCCAATTATGATGAAGTAAAGAACTTTAGCCAAAACATGTGTTTTTATTAAAAGATAATTTGTCGTTATTTCTACCTGAGTACATCGCATGTTTTTTATAATATACGTAAAAAATGTATATAGGTGTTTTGGACGCAAAGGGAGGATGGAAGCTGGAGAGTTCGGAAAACGAGATCGAAAAACTCGAAAACGAACCCAACATTATGGGGGAAGCAAAATCCCAAAAACTCCGTTGGGCTAGCCATTTGGAGAGAATGGCAGATGATCGGAGTGTCAAGAAAGCGTATATAGGAATTACAAATGGTCGCCGACCTGTGGGCCGGCCAAGATATCGCTGGAAGGATGCCGTGGAGAAGGCCTGCGCGAGCTTGGCGTGGCCGAATGGCGAACAGCAGCGCAAGATCGGCAAAAATGGCGCTTTTTAGTTTCGGAGGCCAATACTCGCTCACTCGCTAATACCCACTCACTTTGGGTCGCTGCGCCAGGGGAGTAAGTAAGTATATTATGTTGTTACAAGTATAATTTATAAGTAAAAATATTATTAGTAGGTATTATTTTCGTAAATCTTAAATTTCTATTAAAATGGAAGTGTTATATTCCTACCTATTACATTAGTCTGTAACATATTCGGCAGTTTTTAAGTCACCGAAAGTATTTAAAATGATTAAGTAGTTTAATGACAAATATATATATATAATATCTTATGTATCTGTATAAATAAAACCTGTTAACGTGGTACAATTAACATTTATTCAAACAAATTTTAATAAATAGGTCAACATTTGAAACAATAATCATTTTTATCTACAAGTTTTGTTATTTACAACGTTACAGCCTTATCTGGAATACCATAATAATAGATAATTGCTAAAATCATTGCTACTATCACTATTAAAAGTGAATTATCGTTTGCCCCACGTGGGGCATGGGGCCGTAACTGATAAATTATTTTGATTAGGAGATATATGTATATCCATAATTAGAACCAACGGCGTTAGTGGTATAATGTATTGTGATTATGATAGTCCTAACAAAAATTATAATTTCATTAGTATTATGCCCAATTTCGGCCGTAGATTATGATAAAATTTTTAGTTCTCTTTAGAAATAACATGACTATTTTGAATTCTGCATTGAGTATTGGTTAATCTGTAGAGCCTAAGAATATCTGTCGACCATTAGAACATTATTATAGTCTGTGTACTTTAAACAAATCCAATTTGTTACCAATCCATTCCCTAAGAAATTAACAATATGTCTTATATGTGGAATTTCCCGTTCACCTACACAGAACAATAAATAATTGAAAAGAGGATCTTTACACCTAATAATATCCTAAAATTTTTTGAATATCATGATTTAGGTAAGATACTAGACCTCCTCCCTTAAACCGCTGTAATATTTTTCTTGCTTGATATGCTATGCTATATGTATATACCTTCGATATCAATCCATAAAATATAACAGTTTAAACGGAACTAACTTGCATGGCTGCAAAACGCGATCCTGGTTCAATTTCCAATGAATCAGTGGTGACTTGAGAGCGCGAATCCGATGTTTCTGTACTATTTTGGACAGATGTTAATGATATTTCGTCCTTTTGACTGCCACTTCCATCATCATTGCTTGCCTTTTGTGCATCTATCATATCACCTCCTCCGCTAATAGAGTTCCATATTCCTTTAGAATCTTTCGAATTACTCCTTTTATCCGCTGCGGAAATATTTTTCTCCTTAGAGTCCTTTGTTTTTTTGCTCAAAACGGGAAAACTACTTAATTTCGGTTTGGAGATTCTGACTGGACCACCTCTTTGCATAGGCGCCGCATTCTCAACTTCACCTTCTTCTGTGATTGATGTTAGCATATCTGTTGATTCAGTTGGTATTACCTGCCCGGCTTGTATTGGAATGTCATCTGGAAAAATATTTTCAGTTTCAACAAACAATCTTTTCAAGGGACATATTAAATATTTAGTACATAAAATAACATACAAATATTCAATACAAAAAGAAAATTCATTCAGAAGGAATATTAATTTTCAAGCCTAGAAAAATATTAAATCAGGATTTCAATATATTTTATAATAATCATACTTTTTTATATTTCTAACAAAATTCAAGTCATACCTGATGGTATTACAAAATAATATCATTATAACTTTGAATCTGTAATTAAAATGGAGGTGTAAATTGCTGTTTTTCACTTTTCCAAAAACCAAATTTTCTATAACATTACCTGGAAGTTTTTTAGTTCTAAATGAAGCATTTGTAATCATAGATTTGGACATAGTAACTGTTGTTGTAGCGGGTGATAAAGCAACACTAATTCCCATGGGACCATCACAGGGTTGACCTGTAAAAAGAATTACTTTAATATATAATTATCTATTAAGAGTAAGCACATGATTTAACAAAAATCTCTTCTGAAATACGGTCTGTAATGGATTACAATTAGAAAAAAAATATACGTACCTGAAGGATTACTTTTTAACGAATTGATTACCGCACTAGTTACAAGCATAACATCTGGAAGTAACTCATATTGAGCTCTTTCGTCTATATCCTGAACGGCTTGTAATGCTAATGTGTAAAATTCATTAAACATAGCAAAGTATGCACCCTCAATCATTTCCAGCAAGAAATTTGATGTCACCGGAATTCGTTGAATAGGTTTTGATTTTAATGCAGTTTTCTTTATATTAAAACCTTGAGTTACTATTCTGAAAAGCATTATATAACATTTTATTAAAATATACTGCATTACCTTCTAAATATAAAGAAATAAAGAATTCAATTAGGAGGACATCTCATCGAAAATGTTAGTTCTAGATAGAAATATACTAGTTTATTACAGAAGTATCTTATGATATAAAGTTGTTATATATTTTGGATGTTCTCTGACAAACACTATCAAAAGAAATTAAACCCACAAGTGCTTTACAGAATGCATGGTAATCTTACCCACTAGAGCAAGATTCTTAATCTCATGAATGGACTCTTTTCATCATATTTACCTTGAAGCTGCAATACAAAAGTGTCGCAATGCCAGTTTAGGAAGCAAACTTAAGTGCCTATTGTATATAAACAGTAGTGCTGCCATGACTTTTAATCTATTTTGTGCATTAAGAATTTCGACTTGTGGTAGAGGTCCCCAGCTCACAAGTTTGGTATTACATTCCTCCCATCTGCGTAATGCACTTTCGGTTAAAAACTGAGATCCCAGGCTTAGAGGCTGAAAGATGAGAACAGTTCTCAAATTCAATATTTAATTATTAAACAATATTAAAGGAGCAAAATAGGGTATCTTCATAGCAGCTTAGTATGGTAGAATTTAGATATCATATACAATCAGGCTGTACAATAACAATACAATTCTGCTTTCTCACTGATCTATTTTATTAAAGGCAACAAGTTGATTAGACTGTGCTCTATAAAAGCTTCAAAACCATGACTAACACGTTGTCCAGGGTACCCAGGGTTGTTTGTGTAATCAATGACATTTATTTTATATTGAATGTAAATGATAGAATAAAGTTTAATTTACCTCATGGTAGATAGAGGCCTGGGCTAAAGAGGGTAACCTAAAGGAGACAACTTTAGGTTTACCAGTTTCATCCACCACTTCAAAGTTGTATATACCTAAAAGAGTAAAGAAAAAGTATTAACTATCCAATGTAGTATAAAAAAATTGTATTACGTCTACAACATACCTATGAGTAATGTTTCAATGCATCTTATGGATTTACAATTGCTTACAGCTACAGAGCGTAGATATATGTTTATAAGGGTGGGGACAAATTGCAAGGTAAACCTTTGCAACTCCATTTCCTTCGATCTGTAGAAACTGAACAACTGCATGCAAACATTTTCCAACATCTGTAAGTTTTGGTATTTTAGTAAGTAAATAAAGTAATCACCTACTATTTCAAGGTGGAATTGAGTCCTTTCTCACCTCTTCATCGATATCTTGACTAGATGATTGATGACCCTTTGAATCTTCATTGTTCAAAATATTGAATATTGCTGTAGCAATTTCATGATTATGTTCATGCTCTGCTGCAAAACTCTTAATTTCGTGATCTTGAAGAGATGAATATTCACTAAGCCATTCTTTAATTAAATGTTTTCCATCGGCCATTTTCACTGATATTTTTTCTTCTAAAAACTCATGAAAAAAACGGCATAGAAATAATAGATTTAGAGCAAAATTTCATAGTTTAGTAACTTTTAAACACATATTTCTCATTATATGAAAAATCCATATCTAATAATTATTTTCGATTTTTCACGCTAATTGATTTTTAACCAAAGATTATACTACAAAATACAATGCTACTGCTACAGTTTTGTTTCTACACAGATTTGATGGACGTTTGACGCGCGTTAAATATTTGACAATTTACATTATCATCTTTGTTCCGGTGACAATTTACTACAAGCCACGTCATTTAATATCAAATGTAATGCGATTATTTCTTATAATCGATACTATCAACATATTTAATGATTCTTTACCAATTTAATTCCTTAGAAAAACAACAATAAAATATAAAGGTGCTAAAATTTTGTGGATCATAATTACTTTGATGGCAGTAGTCATGTAATACTTACTTATAATTTTACTAAAATTTACTCTTCAAATATTTAATCGATGATCACATCACTACATGTTAATATTATATTTTCATATTGTAGAAACTTCAAACTTCATCAAAACATTGAATAGTCGGTAATCAGTATCAGAAACAGATTTTTTTTAGGAAATACTTGCAATGGGCTCTTCCCAGAGTCTGGAAGTACCTGGTGGAGGTTCAGAAGGATATCATGTTTTACGCGTATGTAACTTTAATATTCAGGATATACTAATAATGTGAAAATAGTACGTGTAAATTGACCACGTCAATGTATTTCAGGTTCAAGAAGATTCACCCGGACAAAAAGCGAAGCTTGAGCCGTTCTTTGATTTTATCGTCTCGATAGAAAATACTAGATTGGATCAGGATAATGATACTTTGAAGGAATTGTTAAAAAATAATGTTGACAAAGCAATAAAGATGCTTGTGTACAGTAGTAAAACTCAATCCGTTAGAGAGATAACGATTACACCCTCTGCCAACTGGGGTGGTGAAGGTCTACTTGGTGTCAGTATAAGATTCTGTTCATTTGAAGGAGCAACAGAAAACGTCTGGCATATATTGGTAATGAAACTGGTTTACAATCTGTGTTTCAGGGACTTTTAATGTAAAAGTTTCAATAATTTAATTGTTATTTTAATTATTTTAGGAGGTGCACCCATCATCACCAGCTGAGCTTGCAGGTCTTCGGCCATTTTCCGATTATATCATTGGAGCTGATTCAATTATGCATGAAAGTGAAGATTTGTTTACACTTATTGAAGCACACGAAGGAAGACCACTTAAATTGTATGTTTATAATGTGTCAGACGACCTATGCCGTGAAGTAGTTATTACTCCAAACCACAATTGGGGAGGTGAAGGAAGCCTAGGTTGTGGTATTGGGTATGGTTATCTTCACAGAATTCCAATACAATATGAAAGTAAACAGGCATCCCAATTCGCAAAACCTACTGCTGAGGTGTGTAAGATATTAAAGTGATTCTTTTAATTTGTTAAAAAATTACTCATATCATTAATTGTTATAAGAACTTTGATGACAATTATTGTAACCATTGTTTAAAATCAATGTGTTTTTCCTTACTTCAGGTACCACAAAACATGCCTGCAAGTGGAGTACATCCTCCTCAAAATCTAGAGCAAGCACAAAATATTCAAATGCCACCACCACCTTTTCTATCAGGTGTACCTATGGTCAGTCCGGGACATAATTCCTTTGACCAAATGACAAATGCACAGAATGCTGACCTACAACCACTGTTACAACCGAATATGTCACAACCTACATCCATAGTTTCCAATATGGCTACTTATTCTACTAGTAAGTTTATCTCTTTGCTTTATGACCTTTTGTAATTTTTATTCCACTAAGCATAACAACAAGCAGTTCTATAACTATATCAACATAATATATAACATTTCCTTATTATAATGGGTGAGCATAAAAATCCATTAATTATATTTTCATTGTTGACATTGCATTTAATTGAAGGAAAAAATATACCAAAAGTATTATACTATAAAATCTTCAAATTAACCATGGTGAAGATAGTAAAGAAGCTTAAATGCTCAATTTCAGGCGTTGCTGATACAACATTGATGAACTTAGGCAGCACTCCATCTATGACAAATATACAACCACCAGCACCATTGCCCAGTCTGCCAGGCATCCCTATGAGCCAGCCGCAACCATATATTCCAATAATGCAAAGTTATACCCAAAGCCAAGTTCCAGCACCCAATCAAAATCCATCAAACTTGGTCCCGACATTTGATATGGCGAATTTCAATTCTGCACCTTTGCAGCCCCCTGCGATATCAGGCTGCTTGCCTGTCGTAACCCCTGTTTCTCTACCTGGTATGCCTTCAATTAGTGTGAGTGCTACCTTGCCTGTTTCAACCATGCAAGAAATTCACCAACAACAAACTTTACAACAACAAGACTTATTATCATAATATGTGGGAGAATCATAAATTCCAAGTAGTATAATAATATCAATCTGAAAAGTTTATTAAATTCTATAGTTGCAAATGTTAATTGCTTGTACATATATAATTATCAATATGGAAATGGCCCAAGATTTTTTTTGGCATTTTTAAGCATAACTGTAAATGTTCTCTTGACACCAACTGTTGCATATTATATTATGTAAGCTGTATGATGTATGTATTGAAAATATTTAGTTAGCATTTATATTTAATATATGAAATTATTGACAGATGTTAAATATATTATATTTTGTTCATTTTCACTTTATTACTCTTTTTCTTTAAATAAATTAAGTGTAATTAAGGTTCAAATAAAATAATATAACATTGCTATATCTTATCAGTTCTATTAATAGAAACTATAAACAACACGAGGTTAGTAGGATTCTATTTAGTTTCTTTATATATGTCGTTATTTACAGAAACTTTAAAATACAAATAATTAATTTTAAGGAATCAATGCACGTTTTCTTAAAAAAAAACAATAATTAAACTATTTAAATAAAACACTTTAACGGTTTAAAACGCGATATATTAGTTAAACTTATTTGTAATGTCGGGCCGAAGTTAAATACCATTTTCAAATAAGTTTAACTAATATGTCGCGTTTTAAACCTTTAAATGTGTACTACTCGCGTAAACTACTTCACGAAAGACTAAAAAATAATACAGTTGTTGGTATTTGTCATTTTGATACACTTAGGTAGTACTTTAAGTTATTTGGTAAGTACATGATGCAATGCTTAATTAAAGCTTAAGTTATCCTACTTTAAGCGTTTACACTGTCTAGGTACCTCAAATCTTAATTTACTAATGCTAATAACTTAACCACCGTGATAGGTTAAACTATGAGAGGAGTTTTAATTTTAAATGTTATTAAACGTAACGATTAAAATCATACACAATGGTATTGCTAAGTAATCTTTTTACTATCGCAACTTAATGTGACCTTATAGTTGTTGTCCGAATCTAGCCTAAAAAAAAACAAAGAAATGTGGACAGTATTAAACAAAATTTAAAAGTTTTCGATTGAATGTCTTAATATATTTCTTATTTGTTTTTCTGTTTCTGTACAACCGATTTAATGGCTTGCCTAAGACCTTTGGTGGGACACTTTAGCTTTGAATATAGGTATAATTGTGTATACCTCCTAATTTTGAATTAAAATATATATAATTCCCTTAGTTGATAATTAGGAGAACCTAAGTCTAAACCGACCAGTCTATCAAATAGTCAGTTACTATCAACAAGTGGATGTTCGAGAGAATTGCGGGCTTGTCGAAGCTTCTAGCTTGAAACTGGTGCGGTGGTAATCGCCGCTGTGGTGCTTATCTGTGTCCAAAGCGAGGTTGTCGTGTCCTTGGGTGAGGATCTGGGCATCACTATAAAAGACCCCGCCGGCCAGCTCAGAAAGTCGGCGCCGTCGCCTCGTGTCCTTGTCATCAGCAATACTCGGAGGCCGCACGCTCGAACTTCGCCGCCTTTCTAAGCCCATACGCGTCGGTATCCGCAATGCTTTCTGAATCATAAATAGTTTACCAATCCTTACATTAGAAACAAGTTCATGGTATAAAGAATGTTTAGTAACTGCTTTACATATTGAACAGCTTAATACAAAAAAAGGAACTTACGAGAACTCTGTACTATACTGTAACAGGTTTACCTGAGGATACCAGAGCATATTAGCACTGGGTTAGGGGTTGGTTCTCTATGTTGTCTCGTTAGTAATTCGGAAATCTTATTTTATGAAAAATACAGGAAGTAAGGGTAAGTAGGACTTACTTTTATTTTCGTGGGGAGCGAATTTAACAAAGAGATAACAGGCGGTGAAATCAGATCAATTGGCACTTGTGCAGGATCCGTTACACCAGTGATTACTGATACAACCATTCCAGCCAAGAGCGTTGCTACGCAACCGAGGCTTGAATACCATAAGTAGGATACTTTGAACAACCAAAACACAGCTTGATCTTGATTTTCACTGCAATAAAAACGTTACGTTTAAATTTCAAGACACAAATTAAACTAAATTATTTATAATAATGTACCTTGATGTCGTTGTAATAGTAAGATTATAGTAGTCAGGACAAGAATCCGTGGATGTTGGCAGACGCGGTAAGGGGACTTGCGCAAGTTGGGCCCCGCCACCCGCGGCTACCACCACCAACAACCCAAAAATGCCACCAGCCACTGCACCCTATTGATTATTATTATAATTTAATTTATAAACTACCAATAATGTAATATTACTTTATAGTAGTTGTAGAATAATAAAATAAAACTACAAAACGTTAAACAGTTGCAATAAAAAAAAATCTTTCTGTATAAACGGTACAGTAACAACGATAGGAATTATAATTTTTTTTATTCTTAAACGTAACAATTTTCCGCCAATAATTACTTGGTGCCTAAATAACCTAAGTATAGGTAGTCAGATTATAAACACTTACTTTTGCGTTAGCCCAAGGAAATAACATTCCCAAACTAAAAAGCCCAAGAGATACTCCTCCTGCCATGCCGTTGAAAGATAAAGCGAGTTGTAAAACGGGACCTAGCCGTTCCACAATAAACACCAAACCGAATGAAACGGCACCACACGCCAAGCAGACCCATTTAGCTATCTGTGAAGTAATATTAATTTATAAAATACGATACAGGAGTATAATTAATACGTTACAGCATTTTATTATGTTGTGGGTTATTAATTGTACTTTGAAGCAGTGTAAGTATGATAGATAAAATAAAAAAATATCTATCTCTTTCATATAAGTTAATTTAATATGGCTGCTAAAGATATATATATATATATATATATATATATATATATATAAATATTTTTATATATATATATAAAGATAATAAGGGATATGAATTCACATCATTGTTGATTTAATACCGTATTAAAACAAAGAGGCTAAAAGTAAAGTATTCAGATAATATATGTATATATTTCTTTTTTTACCATAACTGACCCGTGACAGATTCTTATTTGTTCTTAAAATACGACATAATATCTTGAGGACAAAAAATTGTTAATGATGATGATAAAAAATAATTTCTCACCACAGCTCCCTTATCTTCAGGTAAAGTGATACCCAATAGACCGTTAGCTAAGTCTTGACAAGCGATCGCAGCTAGTGAATTTAACGCCGATGCAACAGTACTGCGAAATATTTGTAATTTAATATCATAAATTATTAAAATAAAAAGTAGTTTTAAACGGATGGCCTCACATCTTCGTTTGGCTAAGTCCCGATTTGCAATACAAGTAGACTTGTAGAGCTTACACATAAATAATGTAGGCAATTTGCGGCCCATATTTCTCAAATTGAAACCGGAATGTAAGCTGGACGATTCTGGTTATTTCTTAATTTAAGACCTAATAATGAATCTGAGTTAGTAACTGTAGAGCCATCGTACTCGGCGGTTCAAAAAATTTAGTGCTTCGATATTGCTTTTGGTGTTTAATAGAAATACTTTACCCAAGACTTGCCGCAAAGATTCCCGCTACGAAAAAACCTGGTACACCACGATCTTTGCCAAATTCACGAACCACATATAAAGGAAGCAATCTGTCCGATGCGCTTATGACACCAGCCTGAAATCAAGAATCAATTGTAAGTAACATTTATTAATTCAACATATAAAAAAGATCTGGTGCGCAGGAGCCTACGACTAATATACGTTGTGTCTAGGAACTGTTTACTTTTGCGGAAAGAGGGAAAAAAAATTTTAGGGCAAAGCAGAGAAGACTTTTCTTTTTTAATAAGGAAATATAAAAGGCCGTGTTTGGTTAAATACAGCCTTTATATTCAATGATAATAGTGTACGCGGTTGGTGCGATAAGTATTTCCTTTGCGAAGATTTTCTTACGTGCTTTTAAGAAAACGACATAGTAAGGAAAAGTAAGAATTACAAAATAATTGACGACAGGCAACATCTGTCTACATGCAATTCCCAAATTGATTAAAAGCCTATAAGTATCGCCTAATAGCATATCGTTATCCCAGTCGGGGTACCTGTGAATGGGCTGAAAAAAACATTTATTTTCTTACTTGAATTGGATCGCAACCAGCATAATGTGCAGCTAGGACAGCGCCAGTTATAAAGTTGACAGAATAAACAGCAATTAACCCGATAGCCGAAACCCACAGAGCTATTCTTGCTTGTGATATCCGCTCAACGGATAAGTACTTTTGCACTGAGGCCTGATTCGCGCAAAACATGCTTATCCAATACATCGTACCTCCGACAACAACTGACCAGAAAGAATGACGTACAGTCGGATCGGGATTCATACTGAAATAAGCAAAATACAAAAAAATTAACATTGCCTTATAACTAAAAAAATATAACATCTACGGATTTGAATGCGTTTTGTAGAAAACAGAGTTTTACGTGTGATTACATTCTTTCATATCAAATTGTAGTCGCGTATACTATAGATCAAAGAGCGAGTTAATAACTTAATGAGTTAATAATTAAACTCGTTCGATAGGCAAGGATGCTTGGCACTTGGCTGTCTATATTTTTTGTGTCATAAAAGATAGGTTCATGGACTTTGTATGGAGATTATGCTTCGTAGCGAGAAAATGTATTTGCGAGGTGATAGGGTAAATGGTCTATCTCGATGATTGTACATTGCCTCATTATTATTGATGGTGAAACATATTGCGATTTACCAGAATTACAAATATATCTTATTTTAATGGACGGAATTCCATTGAATAGTAAAGTAAGAGAATCATTAATTTAGTGAACATTAAATACGATAAAATCGAAACAATTTTGTATGTCAGATGTATCATCTTTCCTATTTTTAAGACTAACTTCATGTATTAAACCATCATTATTCAATTTTCAATATTCCTTTTTGTTTTTAGTACTTCTGTAGTAATGATTTCTATTGTTAGTATAGACAGAAGATGTATACCCACTCGAAAAAGTGTAGCCTATCAGACCGTCTTGCGTGATCCCAAACAGCGCTTAAACCTCCAACCTGCTCAGCACCTAAGGCTAGTATTGTCGCTAATGAGCCAACTAGAACGGCTGATTGAAAGGAATCTGTCATTATAACAGCTTTCATACCCCCCTGAGGAAATAAATGTTTGTTTATTATATTTGTGGCTTTAAGATAACTGATGTCTTAGTTATGTACTTACTTGAGACGCGTAAAATATGCATACGATATAGACCAGAGACACAGCTAAATACGTGTTCAATCCAGTAACTAAAAAAGGTACATATATTAAGGAACGTATACGATTACTAATATATACTATATTTTGGACTATTGTCTTTTTTCATCTTCAAACGATGTTAACATATTTAGTACCAATAAATAGGATCTGTTGAAATGCAATGATGTCATATTCACATTACTATAAATGAATTAATTTTACGATGCTATTATTGTGTCATTGTGTAAGCGTCATTGTAGACGCGTGCGTGCATTACATAATAGACCGTCATCATAATTTCGATTTTCTTTCGCGACTGTAAAAAAGGAAGAGCAGATTTTATAATTTGCTCTATTTGAAATGGCGTTACACACTTTTTAATTTGAATACGGAGGGGCTTCGACATTTTATGATGGTACATAGGCGACCAACGTAATTTGAAACTCTTTAAAGTTTAAAATTAAAACGGTGTATTCATTTTGTATTTTTGTTCAATTAATATGTATGTATAAACAGAGTCAGATCTTTTTTATTCAATTCTTACCATCGGAAAGAGCAAGGGCTGGAGCATACACAGCCACTGCGGTGTACAATATCATTTGTAGCATGTATAAAGCACTTGCGTAAACCCTCATAGATTTGCAGAATCGTACCTCCTAAAACAATGCGCAATAAATAACTAAATTAACTAAGATATTTAAACAAACTCTAAAATATTTAATCAAGGACTGTTTGACATTCTGGACGAACGGTGAATGATTTGGAAATTAAATTGAGTAACAATTATTGTGTTTTAAACAATTAAAACAATATAAATTACTAGCTGCGTCAGCGACTTCGTCCGCGAGAATCGTTATTTTGGGCATCCAAATTCATTCATCCCTTCATCGGTCATAACGGTCGCGTACCTTCCCGTCGCTCTTGCAAGTTGATCTTAAAAGATAGACATATACCATTTTTTTTAGATCATTTAAAGAGGAATCATTTTATCATATTTTTTGGCTATCTAGAACTGTTTTTGCAGCGTACGCCTCGGAAACCCATAATGATGAATAATTTTCCCAATTTCTTTCACATTTTACGCTGTATCTTCGCTCGTATTAGTCAAAGAGCAATGTTTAATAGCCCATAGCCTTTCTCGATAAATGTTTTAACCATCACAAACTTTTCAATTTGAACCCGTAGTTCCTAAGATTAGCGCGTTCAAACAAACAAACTGAAGAGCTTTATATATTAGTATAGATTAATATTGATTAGCAAAACTTCATAAAATAAATAATAGACAGACAGTGTGTGCTGTGTCTACTTGACTAATAAATTTAGCACAAGCGCAAGTAGATCTGTGTCCTACCTAGCTAAAATAATTTTTATATTTGTTGCCGGTATTCAAATCCTAATATTGTGCAGTATCTATTCGATGCCATCAGGTAACAGCCGTTTTACATCTGAGCAGTGAGGCGATAATGTATCAACGTTTAAATTACTTTATGTGTTATGTAGTATGTAGTACTTTACCAGGTATTCATAGCAAGACGTCAAACGCAGCCTCATAAAAACAGGTAAGTAAAGCTGACTAGAAATTGGTACAACCAAGATGAACGCAATACAAATCATCCAAAATTGTGCTCCCGACATGTACATCTCAGCTGGGTTTCCCAATAATTCTATAGCTGTTATGAAACTGTAAACAAAATGTTTAAGTAGTAGGAAAAATCTTTTTAAAACTAAGATTATATATACTATCATATTATGATGCGATTTATAGTTTGCGAGTACAGTTGTAGTAAAATATGACTATTTCCAATAAATTTTGAACAAGTTGCTTGTTTGCTAATGTATGCTTTTATAAACTTATTAGCTGTGCCCGCGACTTCGTTCGCGTGGAATAGTGACTTGGGGTAGAATTTGTAATTATTTAGGCTGTTTATTAATTTATGTAATTGCGCATTTATAGCAGCCAATCTATGTTGTAAGTACTATTTTGCCGCAACACTCTCACCTCACATCACTCCCACTCTCACTCTCAGTCCCACTCCCACTCCTATTCCCAAAAAGCCAAAGAAGAACGTTTTATTGTTCTAGCTTCAAAAACCACCTTTTCGCAATAAAAGGTAGCCTATGTTCTTTCTCAGGCTCTAACCATCTGTGTACCAAATTTCATTCAAATCCGTTTAGTGGTTTTAGCGTGAAAGAGTAACAGACAAAGTTACTTTGGCATTTATAATATTATATGAAGTAAGGATTAATGGAAACGTGTAAATGCCTCTCAGTGCAAGCTTGTGAACAAGTCGAGAGTGGATCTTAATAATGCTCATCTGTTCTCATAAAATTACATACCTTGCTGCTAAACTTAAAGCCATAGGAAACGTCCCCATAGACGAACCACCTAAGAGAAAATCATCTCCCGTCGTTTGTTTTTCCCCACAATAGCCATAAAATACGCCAATTGCACAAGAAACAAAGAGCATAGCCGCGAGAACCGCATAGTCTTCCCAGTGGAAAAGCTCAGAAAGATCAGTCTCATTGGTTTTCTCTGCTGCTGTGAAGGTGCTACTTGCGTTCAATATTGATGGAGGTAGTGACGCAGTCACCATTACAGGAAGAACGGTTGCAATGATAATAACGACATTTTGAAATGTTATCTGAAAGGAAACTGATTTTTAAAATAAAGTATAATTTAAGACATTTAGTGAATTTTAAACTGCGTCGCGATGTTCGAGTTAAATATATTGTACATTTAGGTTGTAGACTTTGTTATTCGTATCAATGATACGTAACAATGATATCCTCAAAGCATCTCGCATTGTATTTATTACTAGCTGTGTCAGCGACTTCGTCCTCGTAGAATAATTATTTTGGGCATCCAAATATGTTTTTTGTGTTATCTCCTCTTCATCTTTATAAATTTAAATTGCTATCCGACATTGACATTGGATACGTCTCGTCGTTCATACATATTTTGGGTATTATGAACCGTTTTCGCAGCGTACGCATCAGACACCCACAGAAATGAAAGTTTTCTCCCGTTTTTTTTTACATTTCCCACTGCTTCTTCGCTCTTATTACTCGATAAATGTTAAAAAGATTTTTTCAATTCGAACCAGTAGCTCCCAAGATTAGCTTGTTCAAACAAACAAACAAACTCTTCAGCTTTATTTATTAGTATAGATTTCGTCCAAAATAAAACTGAACTAACTAAAAGAGCACGAAATTATTTAGATAACATTACGTAAAAAAAAAACATATGATGAAAATAAAAAATAATTGAAATAAGTATTATTCAATGAATGCTGCCTATATGTACTAGGTTTAGATAGAGTTAGGTGTTATATGTAGAATCGAAATTGAGCGTAGGCGTCTATATTGATCAATGAGGTACAAATAAATAATACCAATTAGTTCTCTTAGTAATTTTTCAATTGCAACAACATCTGTAGTAAATTAATTAATTGCTTATAGTGTTTTTTATACTTCAAACAAAATAGAATTAAAACGTTAGAACAGTAAGCAATTTCCGTTTAAATCTGTTCTACATATACTAATTAAAAATCGAAAATAAATTGAAAAAATATTCGATTTGGGCAGGACTTGAACCGGCATCGTCAGTGTTCCGAGCAGTTGCACTAACTAATTGAGCTACTGAGTCACTGTTCTGTATTCTTAAAAAGCTTTCTAATTGAATAAAGTGATTTGAAATTATTAAGAAGTCAAAGTATTAAGAATCAACTTATCTCGAACGCACCATCTCAGCGTGGTGAATTTACTACCCTTATACTTTATTCTAAAATTTGTAACTACATCAAAATCTTTATTTTAATGCCTATTTTTCTATAAGCGCTATGTTACCTAAGAGTATTAATTTAAATATAAATGCTTTTCGCGCCCAATTTTGATAATATGAACCGATTTCATTCGATCGCTGCTTTGGTTCAAACGGTCTCATGCAAAAAGCTATGCTACGTCATACATTTTACAATAATTCGCTACTTTATGGTAGGCAATTAGAGCACATGATTTATTATGCGTTAGCTATATTTCAGTATCAATAATTCACGAAACAGGCATACTGGTTACGGTTGTTATTTCAAGTTCGAAGCGAACTAGTATAGAGATGAAGTGGAAAAAACCGGTTCAGCACTCATTAAAACTTCTTTAAGGCGGTAAATTCTAGATAATATAAAAGTATGTAGGGCTCATGGGATTGTTTGTGACTTTAATCGTACATTCCGAGCAATTAAGAGGAATGTGTCATATATTAATGTTTTGAAAATTGAGATCTTAGCGATTAGAGGAGGGGAAGCAAGGAACAAGGAAATAATATTAATTGACAGAATACTAAACATTAAAATTATAACTGGATTTATGTAACACCAATAACAAAAAAAAGTGTGGTGGATGTATAATGAGAGGCGCTAAAGAAAACATAGTTTCACACGATTTATCAAACTGTGTACACGTTAATCGGTAAAAAGAATGCGGGATATATTCGAGAGTTTGAATTTTTCTGATGGGACCTTCGGACCACACATAGGATTTGTTTAATAGAAATCGTATTTTACTAAACACACCATTAAATGATTTTGTATTCTTTAATAACGAAAATGGTGCTAAATTTTTAGCTAATGTAAATACATTAAAAAGTATGCTTTAATTAGTTGCTTTATTTTTTTTACAGCAGGCATTTTTGCTAAGATGAGGTAGTAAGGGCGAGGGCTTATCATGTGGTTTTCTAAATTATGAGTTTAGATATAGTTCCTTGATATATTTTATGTCGTATAAATCTATCATGTATCAATAAACATACAAAAATAAAATGTTCTGTTTTAGGATGAAATAAATTATGGATTATGAACCACTAAAGAAGGTAAACAGTACCTGTCTATAAAGTTAACCGCGGGTCAGGTACTACTTACAGAAAGCTTTTTGTCTTGTTATGTCAGTTAAGGAGATAGCATTATATATTTTTCTATAGCAAAAATACGGGTTCACTCTGTTAGTGCCGGCAGAAATAAACATTAATAATTTCGTTTTGGGATTCAATTTGCACGAGTTAATCTAATTATCCGTATAACTGTACAAAATACAATTTTTATTTATTGCACACAAATATGAGAATGTATATACAAAGTATCATCTCTTTCTCTCTCAGTCTTACGAATTTTCCAATGTGTCGATGCGAGTTTAAAATTTCTACCCATTACAAAAAACCGCACAACGCCGCTTAAGAAGTTAACATTTTAAAAACTGCAGGACACTAATTCATAAACTAATAAGTTGATACATATAACATCGGACTTAAAGCCGTTCTTTGTTTAAAACAAATCTTACGTGAATCCTTCAAGTAAAGTAAATTATAAAAAAAAACAACAAAAGCTCTAAAATTATCATTACAAGAATATGTCTACTATGTTTTTAAATCAAATGCTTTGGCTTTGAACGTATAAATAGAAACTTCTACTAAATATAAATGAACTAGAATTCAAAATAAGAATATTTTTATTTTATGCATAAATTTTCACAGATAAAAACGGGTTGAGTCTTTACCTTGTTTGTCAAATTGATCCCTTTGCATGTATATCTTGGCGCCATTTTAAATAACTTGATATTGTAGCCTATTCACTTTCCATACTCCAGAAACTGTTAGATCTTATAGCTTTTCAGTTGTAATCAAGCTGCCGTACTACGTCCTGGCCGATATAGTTTTAACTGTACGATGCCCACCATGCACACCAATAAATGGTAATTAAGAGTATGACACAGAACTCTATCTCGCTACATATTGGTCAAGAATTAATATGTGTCTAGGATTTCTTAGAGAAATAAATCCAGTTCATTAATATTTTACCGCATTTTGAGTTTTCACTGCACTAGCATTTTGGCAACATTATTAAAAGTACTCAACAAAAACTTGTCTTAAAAATGATTATGACATTTATTCAATTAATTAATGTTTATATTTCCCGATTCCAGTTTATTTTTTAAAACCACGAAAGCAGAATTATCATTCGGCTTTTTTACTGTTTTAAGAAAACAAATGCTACGTTATATACGCTATTGCGTCTCCTTTACAATAATCACGAAACATTAAAACGCTTCACAGTAAAATCTCTACAATAATACCTAAGTTTATTATGTGCGTGCTATCAGAAATGATTGGTCAACCGTGGAATCACTCGTCAGAAACACCATGACGCTTGAATGCCATTGTCTGGACCTAATTGTTTGATTTTTACTAGATTCTATCCTACCGTATATAAAATTCTATTTACAAATATATAGCTTTCATATTTTTTTTATTTATACTTGTATACTAATATATAAAGCTAAAGAGTTTTTTGTTGTGTTGATAGCGTACGCTGCGAAAACGGTTACACAAAATATCTAAATGTATGAAAGACTGATTTCTCTGATTATCTAAAAAGTGTCCGGGAAAGTATAAGTCTATCTTTTAAGGTTATTGCAAGAACGATGGGACGTGGAGGACGTCCTGGGTAGCAGCGTAACTTTTTAAACTTGAACTTTTAGGTTTGTAGGTACAAATTTTGATGCCCAAAATAACCTTTCTACGCAGCCAAAGTCGCTGACACAGCTTGTCATAGATAATCAATTAAAAGTCGTTTGATTCGCTTATACTATTTCGCTCTCATTGGTATCGCTTCTTTTTAAGATTATAATAATAAATCGACAGTAGATCTAATCCTTAACTCTTTGTTATGTTGGTTTCTACCTATATTACTTATTTAAAACTTAACGTGACGTCAAAGAATCCACGAGTTTCAGTACCCATTGAACTAGAACAAAAACGAACTTATCGCAAAATGCACATATTTTACGCCATATTAATGTTATTTAAATTACTTTTGTGTGATTTCGTATAAGTACCATTCACTATTGTTGTGTAGTTATACATAGTTATATTGTATAACACTTATTTTATGAATGTTTGCATTTTAAATCGCAAAAGAGGATCTATATGAAAATCCTAGGGTTAGAATTAAATTCAGTATTTTGAATTGTATCGTAACGCAAATAATACCCGCAAATGACTTCGACCAGCGTTATATAAAGCAGATTTCATGTCATCATATTATGTCCTATAAAGTAATATCCCTTTTAAATAAAACACTTATTTCGATGCTTTGCAGCAGGCCGCGGCTGCTGCAAAGCATCCGAAACGTGCGGGCCGAAGTTAAAAATCATTTTCAAATAAGTTTAACTAATATATCGCGTTTTAAACCGTTAAAGTGTTTTATTTAAATGTGTACTACCTCGCGTAAACTATAGACGTATTTAGTAATATCCCTCAATTATTAATAAATATTATTAAAATTTGTCTAATAGCTCTTATGGTATACAGACCAGAAGCTCGATAGACAAATAAATATACCGAAACATATTTTTCTTAAATATTTTTTATTAGGTATAATAAATATTATTACAGTTTACTGAATAGATAATAATTAAAACCTAGTACCAAACCGTACATATGTTACAATACTTACTGGTAGCAGGAGGGCACCAGAACCATAAGATTGCGCAAGGCACGAGGACCATCGAAAGTGCCCCCACCCGAGGTAGCACAGCGGAAACCTCTTAAATACTCTAGTTGGTTCTGCATGCTGGACATAACATTGTCTTTGCCCGCCTACTCTTTGTGTATCGGGATGTGCCAAATAATGGTACGTGATTCGTACAGACTGACCTCGTGACCTCTTTATTAAATATATACTTACATAATATATAACAACGATATTTATTCTTGTCAACAGGTGACACGGTTCATCACCTGGGCGATATTGGTGGCGTGTGCCGTCGCGAGACCGGAGCCACCGTCGTCTTATGGGCCACCGGCGACTTCATACGGAGTGCCTGCGCCGCAGTATGGCCCTCCTCAGCAGCCCACCGTCCACAAGCATGTCTATGTACATGTTCCACCGCCAGATAACGATTTACCTAAACCCCAGAAGCCTATCTACGTTCCTCCTCCACAAAAGCACTACAAGATAGTATTCATTAAGGCACCGACCCCGCCGACGCCCACCGCGCCAGTTATCCCATTACAGCCTCAGAATGAAGAAAAGACACTTGTTTATGTGTTAGTGAAGAAGCCTGAGGATCAACCTGATATTGTGATACCCACACCAGCCCCGACACAGCCCTCGAAACCAGAGGTCTACTTCATCAGATATAAGACTCAGGTATGTGATGTAAAGCTGTTCGTTTACTAAAAACTTTGTTGACTTGACAGGTGTATTTAAATAAAACACTTTGACGGTTTAAAACGCGATATATTAGTTAAACTTCTTTGAAAATGATTTTTAACTTTAACGGCCTAATATATCGAGTTTTAAACCGTAAAAGTGTTTTATTTAAATGTGTACTACTCGCGTAAACTATAGACAGTATTAAATTTTTAACTTCGGCCCAAGTTTCCGATCGGCTCAAATAAGTTTAACTAATATATCGCGTTTGAAACCGTTAAAGTGTTTTATTTAAATGTGTACTACTCGCGTAAACTATAGACAGTATTTGACAGGTGTAGTTGCTGAATTCACTCGCAACGCAAGTGCCATATTCTCAAAATATTCTTGACTTCTGACTAAACTTGAGACTTCTGAGTATTCTTTAACTACATTTTGAAGTAATACATAGATTACAGTCATTAACATACTTTCTAAAGAATGGTAATATTAGTAATTAACTATTACGTATGCAATAATATGCTCTTACACATGTTTTTTATAATTGCATAAGTCTGTAAGCCATTGCATACGTTAGAATTGAAAGTTCAGTACCACAAGGTACGTAGTATATCTTCCCTTTTATTGACGCTGAAAACATATATCTTAAATAATATATTTAATAGATTAGTCAAAATGTGGCATATGTGTTATGCCATATCAATAATGCCATAATAATTGACTGATCACCCGGCCTTCTACAGGTGTCCCCGATAGAAAATAAATAAAAATAATTAATAATTAATAGAAAATCTATTTTCACGTTTTGCCATATGAATATGAAAATGAAAAAAAATTTATATTTTTTTCTCTGTATTCCGTGATGTTGCAATGGAAGTTTAGTCAAATATAAAAATACCTACCTATATAAAAAACATGTAAAAACAGTAATTTCGCCCACAACTAGATATCAGAGAGAATTTTGCTGGAAAAGTAGAAGTACGGACATACATTATTTAGTTAAGTGCCCATTAACATACATTGAATGACTTTTCAGAAACAAGATGGTTATCCAGCCGCTGTACCACCAGCGCCCCAGTACGGTCCACCAGCTTCGCAACCATCGTCAGAATACGGTGCTCCATAACATTAATAGAACCTAAAACCTTTCAACTTGGAAACGTATCTTATGAGCGTGACAATATATTTTTTATTGATCTTTTAAGAACGAACGACGAATTGTTGTTGCAATAGATGACACCTTCGTTCAAACTTAAGATCTAATCATTATTGCCCTTAAAATTTTAATTACTGATTTTGTGTTCAGAGCTATACCCGAATGAAATTAAAAATGAAACCTGTAGTACCGCTGTGTACCTTTGTTATAATATTACGAAATTACGATGGGGGGCTTTAAAAAAAAGTTATTTGGTTCATGTTTACATATACCTAAACTAACTATTGAATCGCGCCAAATTAGTAAGATATTATTTTGAACTTGCAGCTGCTTTGTTGCAAATGTGTACTTGTAAATATATTTTTTATACTTGTTAATAAAATAATAATAAAAATGAAGTTTTATTTTATTTGCGTTCGGCGAGTTTACCCAGAACATTAATACGATTTCTGTAAGTAAAATAAGGAGCTTAAATTAATTTACAAAAAGAGACATACCTTAAAAAGATGTCTATTGATAAAATGTTTTGAATAAATATTTCGTAACGTGTCAATGTTAGTTGATTGCATAATAATAAATATGAAGCGCTAAACAGTTTGCGAGAGGGTTGTTAGTATAGCGCTAAAAACGAAAACCTTTGGTTACCCCATAAGTACACAGTACCTACACATAGAATGCCATCTTGTGTACACATGTTATTTCTGTTTATTAAGTACCCGGTTTCAGAACTCCCTTTAACTTTATTAATTCAGTACAGTTGATTGATTAAAGATTTAGATTAACTCAATAAAGTTAATTTAAACATTAATAAGATTTTTTTAGTATGTTTTCAATGTGCAAAATATAAATAATCGAATATCGATACAGGTCGGACCACCGAAATTTAACGCACCATTGCTCTACTCATTGAGCTAACATATCATCTATCGTGCGTTCACTTCAGTAAAAACGCCTTTGCCCTAGCACTGCATAATGACGAATGATGATATAATGGAAATGTCTCATCCGCTTGAGCTCACGATAAAATAATGATAATTATTCTAAGCGCACTTTCACAAGAAGCAAGACCAGGATCATGCTATTGTTTCTTCTATATCCGTGTTAGTTTAAAGGTACCTACCGATTATAACATAACTATGTAGTGTGAAAATACGTACGGATGTTCATTTATATTTTGCTTACTTACAATCACATATTTGTATTTTCAATCCTCAAATTATAAGAACAATTACAAACCCAAACAACAATATTGTGATAATTGTTGATACAATAACTCCTTGCGCTTCGACTTTTCTTATTCTACAATGGATGGATAAATCCAGAATGCAACTTCGAGATTTCTATTTGTAATGTATTAAAAATAGCATAAACTGCCGACTGTTTATTTTGAGAATATCGAAGCTCTGCCGACACACGGCAGTTTTGAATGATTATAGCAGCAGTTAGGACGTACAAAGCTTTGATAATTTAATATGAGTATGGAAATTAAGCATGAAACAAATCTAGGTACTGAACCTTGTGTGGTGGCTTGGCATAAAAACTTATTTATCGGCACAGAATGCGGATCTGTGATTGTAAGTTATAAAAATTGTTTTTCAAAGTTTTATCATCGCGTTGTTATTGTGGTTTTAGCTTTATTTAGATAGGTAGTTGTTACGGTAATGATAAATTGAATACACCAAAAAAAAATAAAAAAATAGATATTTAGATACTCCGCAAAATAAAAAAATAATATTGATTATACTAAATACTCATATGCGCATGTTTTTTTTTAATGAAAGGAATTTAGTTCTTGCTTTTTGATCGACATGCAAGATCTAGACTCTAGAGTAATGGTACCAAGTCTTCGCTAATTTTGGAGTATATTCCAATAATACAACGAGTTCCATTTTTCAGTGCTTGAACGAAGACCTTTCTCCAGTAACAAAGTGGTCAGCGCATGAAGTACAAATATTTGCTATAGCAGCGAACGAAACAAATGTATATACTTCATCGAATGATGGTTTATTAAAGGTTTGGACAACAAAAGGCGAAAAAGTAACTGAGATACCGACTTCCGGTGCTGATATAGGTGCCTTATTTATATTGGATAAAGAGTTATATACTGGAGATGAAGGCGGAAATGTATGTATTCTAAATGTGCCTTTTTTGTGAGATAGAAAATGCTTTTTCGTACTGAGTGTTGGACCCACGAAATACAATTTAAACTGGCTGCCATTGCCGTATTTAATACTTTGAGATCAGTTGGTAAAAGTGCCTGCTTTAGCTTAAGAGCAAAGTCTATCTAGCGGGACATTATATAAAAAAACATATGATTCTAAGAAAGCGATGTTCTTATTTACAGGTACTCGTATATCAAAACAATAATTTGAAAGCTTCTTTCAATGTGTTAGAGGAAGTGAAGGATGTCGTAGTAAAGCCCCCATACATGTTTACTGCACGAGATCTATATGTTACAGTTACTGAAATCAAACCTGGTAAAAGAAGTTGTTACTTAGTTTTGTATTTAATGCTTCAATATTTCTCGTAGCTTTTTCTTCGTAAAATATTTTACTATTTTTATTTTCTATAATTGATAATAGTATTTAAAATCATATTTTAGACCAATCTAAGGATCGCTTTGTCACACGCCATGTTATGGAAGGGCGGGCGCCAATGAGGATACTGAATCAATCACGTCTCTTGGTCATGGCAAGAGGAGCAAACAATTTACAACTACACGACTTATCTGTGGACTCTAAGTTCAAGAAACTACACGAAGTAAAGGTACCGACATAGATTCTACACCTAGTGTCCTGAGAAGATACTTGTAATATGATCGACGTGAAACGCCATTTTATGAAGGAAGGAGTAAGATATTATCTATGTCTATTTCACTGATAAATTTAATCAGACTTCTGTGCTTTAGCGGGCCCTATTGTTTCCCCGGAAGTCGAACCAAAGAAATGTCGCGCTTAACGAAGCGTAAAACACTCGAGATACTAACAGAGTAGTTTTGTCTTACCTTTGCAAATAAATAAATAAAATATTGAACACCTAGTACTTTTTGCGCACAAACTCTTCACTTTTATGACAATCTCTATGAAATTCTAATCCTTTTTTTTAATATGTAGGTGAGCGACATGATTGTTACAAGTCTAACAACAAGTGGAGATTATGCGTGGACGGGTGGTTGGGACGGCTGTGTACGCTGCTGGAAAATATCTGCAGATAAAATTGAAGCCGTGGGGGACTTAAAACTTGGAGCTTGCATAAATGCCTTAGTGGCATCTTCACTTAATAGTGTTTACACACTTCTTACTGGTGGTCGTGTTATCCTAATAAAAACTGCATAAGCTAATAAACATTTCCTCATATGAAATAGATAGCTTGGAAAGCTTTAAAATTTCTGAATAAAATAAAAAAAAATGTCTGTAATTTATCTATTCTTGGCTTGAAGGTGACATTGAGATATAATAATGAGAATTAGAATATTTACATAGATGTTCAGTCTTCACTACATCAAACATTTCAGGTGTTAGATGTTGCAAAGTTAGTTTATAATAAATATTTTAGACCTTTACATAAATAAAGATCCATGTCAGAATATATTCTTTTATTTCTCATTTTTCCAAGATCTAAATTTTAAGTTGATTTAAGTCAAGATCAACATTTAAATTTGAAAAGCAGTGGGCAGCAGCATATTAAGTTTGTCTGAATCGATAACAATAAATTTGCAAAACTAAAAAGAAATAATGTAAATTTAAGAGTTATTTATTAACTACTCAATACATATAACAAATTCAAATCTATTATTTAAATAATAATTTCAACATCACATAAATCATTTTCTGATGGTAGTGTCACGGTCTTAGGATTCACATAGTTGGGATCAATAGGTTTTAAGCCCGCTTTTTCACGTCGATGCAACTCTAAATAAGCTTCACGTTGTGCCCAGTCTCTCATATGCACATCAGGAGCGTAAGCCCAGGCAAAACCTCCAAACACAACACACAATGTAATTGAAAAGAAGTATGATGCATGGTGGGCATTTGTGTCATCTTCTTGGCTATTGTAATCAAAGCCGTAGCTTACCCAATTCTTATCTTCTGTTTTGCTTTCGGAAACAGTGGTTGCAGTGTCGCTATTTTTCTTAGAGGTGGAAATAGTGCGACTAGTTTTAGCAAAATGATTCCATACGCACCGTTGAATTATGGGCAAGTTACGTAATTTTATTATACCAGCCATAGTTAAATACACAGTAAAAACAGAATTTGTAAAAGATATTTGTAAATATTATTCAGTCCAATGCTTCCGATTTTCGACCAAGAAAAATGAGAAAAACTTATTATGAAACCATTTTCTGGTCAATGAAATGACATTGGCACTTGAAGTTGACATGAATCATTACGCTTTCTTGAACCACAAACTGAATAGAATTCTTGTGTGAAATAGAATAAACGAGCATGGAAGTCACTTTTTTTTAAATATTTAATGGCCTGTTAACAAGACCTTTAAGCCAAGTCTTATTTTCACTTCACATTTCATATTTCACATATAACACTTTTTGTTTTTAAGTAAATTACACAACTGGCGGCGGGAGGTTTCGCTGGCTTCTATAATATCACTTGCCAATATAAGTTTATGAAAAATAAACATAGGATTTTGACATGGAAATCACTCAAAAGTGAGAAGTATAATAATGACTACAACGGTCTCTATATAAGAAAAGTGTGAAGTGAAAATAAGACTTGGCTCAAAGGTCTCGTTACCAGACCAGTAAATATTGCAAAAAAAAAATTGAACTGTCAAAGTGTCAGATCGGCGATCGCAGACGCGATTTATTGAGAAAAATCGTGTCTAACCGCGATATATATTTTCACAATTTAAAATTGATATAATTAACTATTCATTTAAAATTATAGAAACCTTCTTGTGTTGATTTGTTAATATATAAAATGGTTGTCAGGCAATATAATGAAGAACTCAAATATCTTGAGAAAATAAACCCTCACTGTTGGAAAATAAAAAAAGGATTCCAACCCAATATGAACGTAGAAGGTGTTTTTTACGTTAACAGCACGTTAGAAAAACTCATGTTAGACGAACTAAGAAATTCTTGTCGACCTGGAATGACTGGAGGGTTCTTGCCCGGAGTGAAACAAATTGCTAATGTAGCGGCGTTACCGGGGATTGTTGGTCGATCTGTTGGATTACCAGATGTTCATTCTGGATATGGTTTTGCTATAGGTAGTTAATGTTTATTTTGATCATCATTCTTATATTATTTATGTTCTAATTAAATATACCAGCAGTTTCATATATCTTTTTACAGGAAATATGGCAGCTTTTGATATTTCAAACAGTGACTCCATTGTGTCACCTGGTGGTGTTGGGTTTGATATTAATTGTGGGGTTCGGCTTTTAAGAACAAATTTACATGAAAAAGACGTAGTCCCCATCAAGGTACACATTCTATCTTGGCTTTTTGTTTATTTTACAATGTAAGTTTCACTTATGTATTTATATGAATAACTATTTTAGGAACAATTAGCACAAAGCTTATTTGATCACATTCCTGTGGGTGTGGGATCTAAGGGTATTATTCCTATGAATGCTCGAGATATGGAAGAGGCCTTAGAAATGGGCATGGATTGGTCACTCAGGGAAGGTTATGTGTGGGCAGAAGATAAGGAGCACTGTGAAGAATATGGTAGAATGTTAAATGCTGATCCCTCAAAAGTAAGCCTTAGAGCCAAGAAAAGGGGTTTGCCACAACTTGGCACTTTAGGTGCTGGTAACCACTATGCTGAAATTCAGGTAGTTGATGAGATATATGACAAATTTGCAGCTGGGAAAATGGGTCTTGAACGATTAGGTCAAGTATGTGTCATGATACATTCAGGAAGTAGAGGTTTTGGACATCAAGTTGCAACTGATGCATTAGTGCAAATGGAGAAAGCAATGAAAAGAGATCAAATCGAAGTTAATGATCGGCAGTTAGCTTGTGCTAGAATCCATTCTAAAGAAGGTCAAGATTATTTAAAAGCTATGGCTGCAGCTGCAAATTTTGCCTGGGTCAACCGCAGCTCTATGACTTTCTTAACGCGTCAGGCTTTTGCAAAACAATTTAAAATGGCCCCAGATGACTTAGACATGCATGTTATATATGATGTTTCACATAATATTGCAAAAGTAGAAGAACATGTTGTTGATGGTTCTCTTAAAACTCTTTTAGTACATAGAAAGGTAAAACAATTTGTACACATTAAAATTTGTTATTTTATTTCTTTGTCTTTTAAGTTCTGTTAACACTGTGTGACATAATTCAGAGTATTTTTTTTACATTTTTGCTAATTAAGATATCACTGTATTTTAACTTCCTTTTTAGGGATCTACAAGAGCTTTTCCCCCACATCATCCACTAATTCCAGTTGACTATCAACTGACTGGACAACCAGTACTAATAGGTGGTTCTATGGGAACTTGTAGCTATGTACTAACTGGGACTCATCAAGGCATGACTGAAACATTTGGTTCTACTTGCCATGGAGCTGTAAGTAAAATTGAGCAATGGTTATCAAAGTTAGCCAGATCTCTATTGTGTGAGAACAGTCTTAGTCAGGAATCACAAAAGTTTGGTCAAACTTAGGCCTCAGGCCCAACAAAGGGGAATCAGAACTTGACTTTTAATGAAAATTATTACTTATAAAAACATACAATATTCTATTAATACACTGTTTTTTAGGGTCGTGCATTGTCTCGGGCAAAATCAAGACGGAATATAGACTATAAGGATGTACTTGGTAAATTAGAGGAAATGGGAATTTCAATAAGAGTTGCATCACCAAAACTAGTTATGGAAGAGGCTCCTGAGTCCTATAAAAATGTTACCGATGTTGTTAATACATGCCATGCTGCTGGAATAAGTAAAAAGACTGTGAAATTACGGCCAATTGCCGTGATTAAAGGATAACTTTCAGGAGTGCATTTTTACTATATAAATATCCTTACATTTTTATCTGCATTGATTGTGTAAAATATGAGCGAAGATATGAAAAGTCTTCTTAATTTATATATTATTTAAAATATTGTATGTAATCTCAAACCATAAAGTGTTATGTAAAAAAAAGATAGAGTTATTTCTTTTATTTTATTCGCTAGTCAACTAAGAATCACTAATTTAGTACAATAATACTGTTTACAAGTCTGCATATTATCATATATTATAATTATTAAATTGTGACTTTATAGTTTTACAATACATATACATATACATGGTACAATTTTTAATTTATCTGCTAAAATAATCAGTAATGCTGTTCCAAGGAAAAACAAACCTGGCGGTAGGGCAGTGGTAGGATCTATTTCATCTGAAACAAATTACAACATTGTATATCAAGATATGAATATTGATTTAGGCTAGAAGTTTCGAAAGACTGATAAGGTAATGAGGTATGCAATGTATCTTTTTTAACCAATAAATAAATCTAGAGTATTTAGGCTAGAATGTATTGTCAATAGGAGCCTATAAATAAAGGAACAATTATATTTTGTTAAGTTTCATTTAATGGCAATGGAGGTATTTTTGGAGAAGGAAAGACAAGCATGAACCCCATGCTTTGATGACTTGATGTATGGTGAAATACCCGAGCCATACAACATCTCCACAAGATATTCTATCGACCAGGCTATTATGGCTTTGGATATTCGGAAATCCAGACTGACACCGAAACGCAATTAATTTAACGGCTATTTCATTTGTAGAGGTGCTTGGGAATTTTTAATATTATAAAAACTCATTTAGTATATATTTCAGAAAAAAAAAGACCTAAATGTTTTCTACTTGAATAATGGTTTATATCTAGTATACTATATATACCTTGGTTCTTTTTATCTCCTGTCACATCATGGTTAGTCCAGCCCATGCTTCTATTTAGAGCTTCTTCCCAACGTTTATATCTTACATCTCTCTCTGTAATGAAGGTAAAAAAGAAGTTAAAAAATCATGGTAGTCGTGGGTTTAAAAACTAGCTGTAGCGACTTCGTCCGCGTAGAGTTATTATTTTGGACATCAAAATTGGTTTTTGCAAACATCCTATTCAACTCTATAAATTTAATCTGACACCCATGTCGTCCCGTCTTTCTTGCAAGTTAGTCTTAAAATAAGGGGGGGGGGGAAAAAAAAAAAAAAAAAAAAAAAAAAAAAAAAAAAAAAAAAAAAAAAAAAAAAAAAAAAAAAAAAAAAAAAAGGGGGGGGGGGGGGGGGGGGGGGGGGGGAAACAAAAAAACCCAAAAAAGGAAAGGGGGGGGGGGGGGGGGGGGGGGGGGGGGGGGGGGGGGGCGAACCCCCCCCCCCCCCACAGGGGCCCCCGAAAGAAAAAAATAATAGTCTTAAAAATAGACATATACTTACTGTCGCGGATTTTTTTTTAAATTATTTAAAGAGAAATCATTCTTTTATATTTTGGGTATCTTGAACCGTTTCCGCAGCGTACGCAGGGGAAAACACAATGCATAATTTTCTCCGTTTTTCTACGTTTCCCGCTGTTTCTTCGAGCCTATTAGTAGCGCGTTAATATAAAGCCTTTTACGATGAACGCTCTGACAAACAAAAAAAGAAGTTTGCAATTCGAACCAGTAGTTCCTGAGATTAGCGCGTTCAAACAAACAAACTCTTCAGCTTTATATATTAGTACAGAAGTATAGATGGCCATTTGAAATAAGTGTTAATTTATGTTTCTTCTTGAACCACTCTGCCTCTAGCGGCCTCATATAATGTGTACTAAGTATAATATGTATATCTATTTCAAGAACCTTCATTGGAAATTGCTGGTAGGAATGTGTCTGATGGAGAAGATGGTGTGTTTTGGGGCCAAACACGAAGTGCGCGACCGGCTACTATAGCTGCTCCTAGGGCTGTACTTTCCATCATCAATGGTCGAATCTGTAGGTTTATATAATCAGTAAGTATGACACAAAATATTTGTAAGTATAGCCATACTGATGTATGCCTATACGATAATGGTACATTAATTATTATGATTAAGTGCTGAAAACTTTATTACCACTGGTATTCCCAGAGTATCAGCTTGCATTTGCATCAGAGCAGAATTTTGTGACATTCCTCCATCAGCGAGCAATTTCTCTATGGGAGCACAGTCTTGTGCCATTGAATTTGCAATTGCCCGCGTTTGTTGGCAAACTCCTTCTAATGCGGCTCGAACGATATGTTCGCTGCGTGTCGTACTGCTTATTCCGCATATAACACTGTAAATTGAGAATGTATTATGTATCTGAGACCGCATATTGGACCATTGTTTAAATGCACAGAAGTCTAGTCTAGTCTGTCGAATGTGGAGGCTAAGATATAAATCCGATCTACTACTTACAGCTCCTTGCCAGTAAACCAATTCTATGAGTGAAATAGACGTCGAAATGTTTTAAATAATAAAAAGAGAAAAAGGTGTTTTTTTAAATAGATTCATTTCATTATAATGAAGAACCTAAATAAGTGCCTTAAATGTTGTCATTTGATGTGTATATCCTTGAAAACTGCTGTACCAAATAATTAATATAATAATAATTAATTATTTAAGTACCCTCTGGCATCCTTTCTCCAGTGTGGCGAATATAATCCGTTAAATGCAGGAACCAAACTTACACTCCCATCTTCATAATCTGTCACTTGAAATGCCAAGTTCTCCGTATCTGAGACATCACTGAGTAATTCCATACTGTTTTGCAACCACTGAAGAGTGTCTCCTTAAATAGGAATATTATATTTAACTATGCTTCTATGATAAGGTTAAATGTATTTTTTTATTCTAATGCACTGCTATTAGAAACTGCTTGTCCAAGGTCATAAAATATTTCACTGTTAATGTTTGTTTCAAAAAATTTTGCGTAAGCTTTGACCTTAATGAGGTACGTTCGTTATGTTTATATGTAATTAGTAAAGCTAATTAGAAACTAACCAGCTACTGCAACAGAACCTTCTAAAGCATATACAGCAGGTGCTTCAGGCCCCAGTTTATATGCAACTGTTGTCAGCAGCCCATTTTGTGAGTGTACAATAGACTCTCCTGTAAAAATTATCATTAAATTACATCTCAATTTAAACCATTACAGTTTCTGTATTTTGTAGATTTATTGTGGAAATGTTTTAATAATACCTAATATAATTTTTCACAAAGATGCTACCAAAACTCATTTTTTATCTATGATCATATCACTAACACTGATATTACCTGTATTATATAATAAAAAGCATCCAGTACCATATGTACATTTAACTTGGCCGAATTTCAAACAATTTTGCCCAAGTAATGCTGCTTGTTGATCACCTAAGCACTAAAAATCAATCGATACTAAAAACAATGTTAACTAGTTAAGATTCAACATCGGATTATGAGTGGCAAAAAATTACAACTCATACTAAAGAACTTACGTATAATCCATAAAGCCTACCCCAGCTATTGGTGTGCCTAGAAGTGATCCTGTTGATATGTAGCCGTATATTTCAGAAGAACTTTTTATCTTTGGCAAAATTTCAAGGGGTATGTCGAAAAATTTCAACAATCCTTTGTCCCACTGCAAACTTGTTAGAGACATGAGTTGGGTTCTCGATGCATTTGTTACATCCGTTATGTGAACACCACCTCTGCATCCTCCGGTTAAATTCTACAGAATATTTCATAAAATTTAATTTTTAGCAATAAATGTTAAAGGTTATCATCAGTTTATTAATTACCCAAATCAGCCATGAGTCCACAGTACCAGCCATGCAACTCCCTTTGGCAACAGCCTCTTTAATCTGTGTTACATTTTGTAAGAGCCATCTCAGTTTGACTGAAGAGAAGTAAGTTGACAATGGAAGACCACTGGTTTGAGTGACAGCATAAATACTGTGAGCTCCTTTTGTTTGAAGTAAATCATCAACAGTTTTGCATGTCCTCACATCAAGCCAAACTAAAACAAAAAGTTAAAAACATAACACAGGAAAAATCCCCTGAATGTATATTTTAATTTTTAATACATAGGCATATATAAATTGATAATACCTATTGCACTATACAGGGGTTCTCCTGTTGTTGAATTCCATATAATAGTGGTTTCCCTTTGATTAGTAACCCCAATACCCACAACATCAGCAGGGTTTATATCTAACTTTTTCAAATTATCTATTGTAACCTGCAACATCATAGAATTAAATTTTTACTTCTTTTTAAATTTGACGTAAATAATAAAGATTTAAAGTTAAAGTTTGCTTTATTTCATTAATTTATATCACACATTTAATATTCGAAAACACTGGCATGTGGTGTGATATGGGTACAAGAGACTGTATAGGTAGTTACTTGCCTCAATGCATTCTAAGACGGCACTTAAAATCTCTAAAGCATCTTGTTCAACCCAACCTTGTTGAGGACTAAATCTTTTTAAAGGAAGCTGGTGGTATGTTAAAACTTCTGACGTATTTGCTGCAAATATCTAAAAAATATAAACACTAAAAAATGGTTCATTGTAATATTAGAAATACATATAATCATAAAAATAAAATTACCAGGAATTTTACGTTCGATGTCCCTTCATCGATAGCACCAACTAATGGGCCAAAATTTCCAAATTCCCGCATATTATTTAATACATAGAAAGAAATTAAGATGCTCGAGTACCATAAGACAACTAAATTAAAGGTCACTCGAAGATTATATAATACTGATATATATTTTAGCTTTTGCTACTATTTTTATCTACTTTTAGGGTTATCTTTTGGCTCTATCACGTAAAAATATATCAATGTTTATATAAAGACAAAATTAAAGTAAACTTTTATGTAGATGCACTTAATTTTTAAAAGGTTGCACGAATGTAAACAAAGACATTTCAGCATCAACTGTCACGTTTGAGAGATGAAATGTCAAAGTGAAACTTCTAGTCACGTGAAAAGCTAAGCCAACACACAAATTTTCCAAGTGTAAATTACTTTATATAATCTGGAATCTACTGCATCTGTATTTACATTACATTATTTTTGTTAAGGTTTGTTAATTTTAATGTAAAATTACAGCCTTTAATTCAAAAGTTTCAATTACGTTATAATTTGACATTCTAATGGTTAATTATAACTTATTTACATTTAACAGGTAAAAAATACAAACAATGCAATTGGAATTTTGTATTTATGATGATAATGAAAAGATAGTCAAGAAAATGGTACAAGATACGGGTAAAACTCTTCCGGAATTGACCGAAGCTGTAGATATTTTTCGCGTGAAAATCAATAATTTCTTTACAAATGAAATATGTACAAATAAAACAAGTAACGAAGGTAAATTTATTACTTTTGGTATAAGTTGAGTTACTGTTTATCATATACCAAACTTTTTTATTTTAATTCATACAACATACTGATTATTTCCAAAATCCATATCTGACATCAAGATTTTCTAAATTGGTTAAAAAATTTTTTAAAAAACATTTTTTTTTTCATTTCCGATTATGATAATACTGATCCAAAATTGTTTCATGTACAATAATAACTAAGTAATTTCTTCTAAATTTGTAAAATTTTATACTTGCAGATTTATGTCTTGATTCAGAGAGTGAATTTTCTGATAAAGAAGATGAAAATGTTAACCCTAAAAAACAAAGAATTGAAACTGAGTAACAAAATATGTTAAATTAAATAATATGTAATTTTGATATACGTAATATGTGTATGTCAAGGAATACTAAGACTATCTGAACATTTTTTTTAATCATTCTGTTTAAAGGTGTGTTACTGTTCATTTTTTGTTGAAAACTACAAATACAATGATTACTTTTAAGTGCTTTACCTTATGACTTTTAAGTGATAGGATTAAAATAAAAAATGATTTATTTTTACATTTTATTTTATCTACAAGCTTCACATTCATTGTACTAAGCTAGTTAAATTATAGGGACATAAGTCTTGTCTTGTAACAATTCATCATCACTTTGTATAATGGTTGCAATTTTTTTGCAGTTGTAGAATAAAAGTGTATACACCACTCTTATTACAGAGAGGACAAGGCTCATGTTTCTTAAAAGAACTTGACTCACTTTCATTAAAAGTTTTATTTAATAATACAATCTCATGTGGCAAAAATAAAGCCCTGATTAAAATATTACTTTAAAATGGAATGCTTTCATCACAGTTTTTCTTACATGGCAGTTCAGTTTTCACTAAAACTTTCATCTGTATACTACAGATGAAACATGCATGTAAATAAATAATTAAATACAAGTAGATTATGTTTTATGAAATTCTGCCATATTAAAAAATATTTAATATTGCTGATAAATTAAGCATTTAAAGTTTTTTTTAATAAATTAATATTTTGAGTAAAAATTGTTGGTATCATTTGATATGTACACGCCATATTCATTTAAAAAATATACCTAAAGTAAGAATAAAATCACTTCTGATCACTTCAATTAGTAGTAGAGTAAAATCAAAAACTATTTACTAAATATATTCTTTAAAGATTAAGTATTACACTAGTAATATTTTTATACATACAACATGTACAGATCCTTGTTAAAAGTACTTTAAAAGTACCTGTCTATTTACCCTTGAATTCGAGTGATGTAAACTATGTCACTGTTAGAAGCAAACAATATAGTTTGAGGTCGAGTGTGATCTCCAAGCCACTGCAAATGAGTGATAATAATTATGATGGAGGAATTAATCGTTTTATCAGAACCGTCTTGTTTATTCTTGATATCACATAGTAATTGCAGGGTAGGTAAAACCCGGTATTCCAACCAAATTTTAGATATATTTATGATTAAATAATAAGACTAGTCGACTGTTTTGTCGTCAGGTGGTTCGGATTCCGAGCAACATATATCACAACCGTTCACACCACAATCGCACATAAACGTGGGTCGTATGGAATTACGTAGTTTCTGAAAAAATACAAATAGCTATTAAAGAAGTTTCTCTGAAATTATTTTCTGGAATAAAATAAACCGCACACCCAAACCTTACTGCCCGTTTCCTGTAGTTTTCACAAACTTTTTAATGGACCCTAATAGCCATCGCTTGCATGAAAATTAAAGATAATAAGACTGCTACGGCGGTTTGTATGGAGACACCGTCAGGCAAATTTTGTTAAAGTTCTGTTTATTATAAAATTACTTACTTCACCGAAAGATTTTCCTGGCGATCTTATTATGATGACCATTGCATATACAGGTATACACAACAACGAGAGAGATGCGATAATCCAACCTAGAAACTGTGCCCATATAGGATATTGATACTGTCGGTAACTTGGTGGAGTATAGTCGACTAAACTTGCAACCCAAAGTGCTAGCAGTAGCGCAGGTGCAGCTATCAGCCAACAAAAGCGGAAGTACAAAGATGGTCTTTGACCTGCAATAAAAGATGAGCGAATATAATTTCTTACAAGAATTATTTAATTATGCGCTACTGGGTAGGGCATGAATATAATCTTATCTTTATTTATCACGGTTTTGAAACGTTTTATATTATTTTATAAAATTTACCGGTCATCTGCTTGATATTACGTGACAGCCGTTCAACTCCATAGAACCACGCTATCCCCACAACTTCAAAGAAGGCGAGATAGGTGATACTCAGAGATGCTGCATAGTAGTCCATTAATTGGAAGAGGTATATCCCACTCTGGATTATATGAGGAAGACCGAAGACCATAGAAATACCACAAACAAGTAGAACTAACAATTCGTGATACACTAGGCGCTTGCGAATCATATCTGGGAATCCATCTTGAATAGACGTAACTACCACTTCTACGATTGCAAACTGAAATGAAAACGATATATGCATATGATAGTATATAACTATCGAGCTACTAATTATAAAAAGTATTTAATTTGGAGTTAATTATATTACCTGACTATTTAATCCGAGGCATAAGAACATGAAGAAAAATAGTACGGCCCACAATTGTGATGCCGGCATTTTTGCAATAGCCTGCGGATATACGACAAAGAGAAGACCAGGACCTGAAAACGACAAAACCTTTAAAACATTTAAAGATAACGTGAGTTATCAACTAAGAAGTTCCTTACTCATTGATTACTACGAATTTTAAATTTTATTGCTCTTATCAAATGTATATTATGTGTATCGGATGCGGATACTCACTATCGGCGATGACATCTTTAACACTCGTGTTTTGTTCCGTAGCAATGTTCCCAATGGTAGCAAAAGTGAAGATTCCAACTATCAAACTAGTCACTGCATTGATGAGGGAAACTGCCAGCGTATCGTGCAGAAAATTATTATCAAAGCGGTTGTATGATGCGAACATTATCATGGATCCAAATGCGATACCAATGGAATTAAAGATCTGTGAAGCTGCGTTAACCCATGGCCTTGATTGTTTTAAAAGTTCCCAGTCTGGCTTGAAAAAGAACCTTAAACCTTGATCAGCTCCATCGAGTGTTAGCGATCTCCCGAGGAATACTATGATCAGTAGGAATGGTAGTGTTGTAGTTATATATCTCACTTTAGCTGATGATTTTATACTTTTCCACAGTGCGAAATAGACGAGTAACCAGGCACAAACGAGACACGCTGCTAATTCCCATCGCATACCTCCAGGAAATTCAATACCATCGCTCATACTGAGAACCTTTTTCCTAAAACAATAAAAGGAAAACATTATTAACAATATTAATGTATTTCCGTATATTGAAAAGTATTGTATATTGTCTGGACAGTTTTAAGTGTCGTTTATTTACTATTCAGTTAGGTAATGTTATAAAGTTAGGTCAATATGTAGGAAAGCATAATTACATAGATATTGCATAGCTTTAACAAAGCAAACCTTACTCGAAGAATTGTTCTGTCGGTGTTTGTGAACCGTTTGGTTTCGTTATATTGTGATTTGGGATCCAACAAGAAGGCGTATTCCATCGATTGGAACAAGTTGCCCAGGGTACTTCAGACTTAAACGATGTAAAGAAATAGTATATCGCCCATGCTATTATCACCGCGTAGTAAGTGGACATTAAGAAGGAGATTACAACGCTGGCAAGCCCGGCACCTTTAAATAAACAAGACCATGATACCGTGAGGTTTATTAAACATAATATTGGGCATAATTTGTTACACACCGATAGAATTGATTAAGTTAATATAAAAATCGCTTTTTTATTATTTGTACTTAAGGTACCACGTAAATAATAATATACCGACAACAATAGCCAACGGCAACCCATGCATTCATAATAGGCGATTGTTCGTCCTTGGATTTATTGTGAGCGTGTTATATTTTTATTATTGTGCTTTGTACCTTTGAAAAGTGGACATATCTGTGACAGAGCTCCGATGGGACCATGCGCCGTGTATTGGCCTATCGCTAGTTCCATGAATAACATAGGCACGCCGCACACCAGGAGTATTATGAAGTAGGGGATCAAGAAGGCTCCTGAAAATATATTGAAAAATGATTTTGTGTTGGTTGGAGCATTAATCGAGGAAGGCTCAGGCTCATCAGGCTGCGATCAAAGAAAAAGTAGGAAATGTGAAAGAAACGGGGAAAATATCTTCAAACTATCATCTTTAAGGGTTCCGTTCCGTTTCCACTGCGTGCCCTGCTAAAACGGTCAAGATTTTAATATTCACAAGAAGTGTTTTTAATCAAATTTTAGTCCAAATACTTCATATGGCTAAATAACGCTACTCAATACAGATAGTTAAATATAAGTACAATGATCTTATAACATGGCTGGGGGCTTCCTTACGACAGACAAGACTTTTTGGGCATTCGACTCACACTTGGCGATTCAAATGTTTTAACTAACGTATTGCTCTTGTTTAGTTGGTACTGCGCAGGTAATGTATTAATTGCAAGAACGTCATCTTGATACCGTTTTGTGTTTGAATTGACCCAGAGATATTACGCAATTAACCCGACCATTAGTTTAAATTATGAACATTATTATGTTAGGCAACTAGTCATTCTGATGCCAGGTTTCGAAAGTGTTATTCATATTATGTACTATGTACATATGATTTTTCTAATATCGGTGTTATAGTTCGAGGTAAGTACTAGAAATGTAATACGTTTTTTTCTAAAACACAATCTTTTTATGTAAAACTGAATCTAACAAACAATATTAAGAAGTAAATACATTAAATGGAAAGCTCTCAAAAAAGCTACCAGCTATGTCTGGACTGAAGTCCCAACACTGATAATAAAATCTGTGGCCCTTTCAGAGGACGAGCTACTACTGATTTGCCGGAAGATATATACCTAAACCTCCGGCTACCCAAAAGTAAATTAACCAATATTATGAGCCTTGAGAAATTGGTTATATATATTATGGTTTTTAATTCTTCTTATTTTTTTTTTCACATTTTGTAAAATACGTAAAAAATATATATCTAATCGATTCTTTAAAATGAGAATGATAAAACTTATCATGGGCCAGTCATAGCAGCTAATCTTTATGCTATTTATGTTATTAAACAAAGATACTAAGCATTGATAATAATTGTACTAATCTGTTATAGGGACACCATCTAGAGATCATATTATATTCTATACACTTAACGCAACTTGATTGAGTTATTGTAAAACATTCGCTGTATACTTAAGGGAATATTAATTTTGTTGTTATAAATTAAATTTTGGAATTGCTTTGAGATATAATTAAATGTTGGGTACATATATAATGAATTATTGGGTAATTCTTTATAATTTTTACCACCAAGGCCAGGTCTGGTAACTTGCGACAACGCTCAACTGACTGGTGCCGTCAGTGCTACAATGACTCCAAGAAAAGGAATGACAAACATTGGATTCACTTCATGCTAGGTCAAATCCCCCTATATAACATATAAACAAGATGCGCTGATGATATTGTTTGGGTTTTGGATATTTGGAAATGCACAGACAGCATATCGAGTAAACTTGACAGCTTTTTCATCTGTGGACGGTGGTTCGAGACCTAGAAGGAAAATCGACGTTCCCACCACCCATTTAATATCCAGATTTCCAGACGAAGTCCAACATGTTTCAGAAGAATTAAAAATTGATTAGGAGCGTGTTGGACCCCGTGGGGATTGAACTCATGAATCGTTGAATAATAGCCATACATTGATACAATTACACTAACAAGTGAAGATAGACGCTGATGTTTTTCAGCAGGGCCACGAATGGGTGCTGTACAGAGTATTCATGAAGTTATTAAGGTCTACAGGACAAAATTTTGGAAGCTATCTTAGCACTTAGTTTGTTTAAAGCTATTTTTGTATACAGTTGCCAGTTTTGTATGACATTTAAATAAATCAAAGCAATATATCATGCGATATCTTGATAGGGCACTTAGTAGCATGCAGCGCGTTCGTGACGTATCAGTTTACAAAATACATCAGACGTAATTCACACCAAGTGTAATGATAATTCTTTACCGTGGTGCCTTGTCAATATATCGTTTAGCATTAGAAATTAAATAGGCACGATTCAAGCTGAGTATACCTAATACCACGAGTTCTGCCAGGCAGTGACGAATATTTAAAATTCATGCTTAGTTGTTATCATAGTAGTTAAGAGGAAGATTGAAAATAAAAAACCTACAACTTCTTATATTTCTTTTTACTTATATAATACTCTAGCCACGAGTTTTAAGTTTTAAAAATTAAAACTCGTGGCTAGAGTATTATTTCGTTATACTTTAAATTTAAAGTCTAGCCTATGCTCTCGTCTCTGCGGTTATAAATATTATGGGTCAGAATAATACAAAAAAACTTTATGAACTACTGCGATAGTGTAGATAATCTCACTGTTCATTTGTACACTGTCATTGATCAATTGCCCCACAACTGTTGGGAGGTCACGTGCAGTTCCGGTAAGTTTGGTTCTGCGAGCAACAGATTTATAGCTACGCAGTAAGCTAGGACGAGTATCCAACGCTTTTAAAGTCCTTAATACTTTTTAAACCATGTAATTTAAGCTAAAATGTGTTCAATACATTTATATTAGCTTAGCGATAAATATTTATAATTTGAAATCGTTCCGTATTTTATGATAGAGAAGGACAAACAAGACAAGTTTCACTTGATGGTAGGTGAAAAACTTCAGTCATAAAATATACACTTCAGCCACTTCAGCAATGTAAGATACGGAAATCCACAGACTGAATCCTAAACGAGATTAAGATTTACGGCTTTTTCATCTGAGTACGGTTGTTTGTAGCCCCGACAAAATTCGATATTTCTACCACCCTTTTAATATCTACATTTTTAGACGAAGTCGAACATGTTCCAAATAAATTATATAAGTTCCCGCTGGTTCTGTTACAAACCTGACCTAGCAAACGTTATCTTGCCATGTGAAGTTTTTCGACCAAAAAATGATTTTCATAAAACAGGTTCTTGTGAGTTAATCCTAAAAGATTGATACTGTCGCGGACATTATTTTAGATTGTTAAAAGTAATTCTTTAATTAACCTTTTTTGGGTATCTTTTACCCATTTTCGCGCGCACGCAACGGAAGACCTCAAAGGTGATTAATTTTCCCTTTTTTTCACATTTCCCTCTGTTTCTTTACTTCTATAGTCGCAGCTTTATAGCCTTTCTCATTAAATGCTTTCACACCAAAAGATTTTTCTTGAGATTAGCACGTACAAACAAAGAAACTAAAAAAGGTTCATAATATTAGTATACATCTACATTTTAGCGACTATAATATGTTTATTCCGGTATTTGCGCTTGCGTCGTGAATTTAAAACCGTAACCGACGTAATTGTAATGTCATGAATCTTAGCAACACGAATTCATTGTTGATTTTATTTCAGTTGGTTTATCAGTTATCGTCATATCTATTATTGCATATATTGTACGCTAGGTGATAATTTGGAACCAATTACAAAAGGCTAAATGAGAGCGATTATTTTAATAACTTTTTACTGCGAAAAGTTAGACAGTGAAGATTTACATAAGCCGGTTAATAAATCGTCTTAGAGTATAACGTCTCGTCGTTGTACGTAGATAGAGATAAGTACCATTGCCAATTTTTTTTTTCAATCTCGTTTTCCTAATCACCAGGTAGACAAATTTATTGTGGTCAAACTTATATTCCCAATCTTACCCTTCATACATTTACTTTTTACAAATAAGCTTGGCAATCGTGATCTTTTAGCAAATGAAAAGTAATTTAAAAATCCTAAAGAACCGGCATCCTCCGCGTTCCACACAGAGCAACACCACGGAACGCTGACGATGCCGGTTCAAGTCCTGCCCGAGTCGAATTTTTTTTTCAATTTATTTTCGGTTTTTAAATTATATAGTGCCATAATGTGCCATAACATGTGAAAAATATTAAAGTTAAGTACTTTAAGTTTTTCCCGGGGGAAGAAAAAAAAAAAAAAAACCCTTTAATTTTTTTATTAAAAAAAAAAAAAAATCGCTTTTAAAACCATTAAAGTGTTTTATTTAAATATTAAAGTTTCAAATGAAAAGTATCTCTTCAATGAAAAATAACAAACATTTATTACCTCCTCCGCTTTTGTAGCATAAATAGGGAAAGCGCCACACATTCCCAAGCCCCACCGAGTAGCCCACACACGCTAAAACAAATTGCATTTTATTGGCCCAAAACGGTCTACGAGGCTTGAGATGTACGGTTTCCGCATCCTCCTCTTCCTCGCCACAATCGCTCTCGTGGGATACGGTTTCTTCGTCCGGAGGCCTGTGGATGTAAAGAAAATAGACCATCATTATTAAATTAATAGGAGTGTCTTTTAAAATTAGACGGAAACAGTTTATATAACAATTACCCAAAATTATTGCACCCAAATTTCTAGAAAATTTTCGGTCAACAATATCTAATTACTTAACTATACGTAAACGCATTTAAACGCTTTAGAACATATACAATCGGGATTTATTTGGTTTACCATACAACCGTACGGGTTGTAAGGTAAACCACTGTCTATAACGCTAAAAATCCTTCCCTTGAATTTCGGTATAGAAATTTTATTTTGCCTTATTGATTGAAACGTTCTGGCCATTAAAAGTATCCATATAATAATGAACTATGATATATAATTAGTGCAATGTTTTGCTCGCTTTATAAGAATGATTAAAAAGTTTGCTTTTACCTCAAACGTTGTCTAATAAAACGCGTTATTCTAATTGACGTTTCTAATTGTGCTTACATAATTAAAGATAAGAATAAAGATTAAATTACTTACCTAATTATGTAAACCAATAAATATTAAAGATATTTGGTTACAACGACTTGGATTAGAGTAAGGTCGTAGAGCTCAATGGATTTTCTTAATACCAATAAAAGAACGTCATAAACATCTTTAAGTCGTCATGATAATATCACGTCATCAAATTATAGGGCCTTATTTTTAAATTTTTAGTATAGGTAGGTATTCTGATATATTAGAGAGATCCAAGTCGAGATCTAAGCCCCTATTGCGGCATCTTTGCCGGTCCAGTCAGCAAATGCGACGAACGGCATAGCGACGCGATGCATTCTTAACGTCCGAGGAGTATTAGAGGCCCCGGGCCGATAGGAAATAAACAATTAAAAATATGTTTGACACTTTTGAGTCTATGCTTTGGAAAGGATCAAATAACTATGAAATGAAATAAAAGTATATTTTTGTCTTTTATAGAAAAATAAATTAGACGAATTAAAAATATAGTTGTCTTGGAATATTACTTGTGAATGAATTTGAATGTTGGTCATCGTCATTTCTCTAGGTGGACATGGTTAGTGTTATTTATTACGAATATTTTTTATGGCAATATATTGCTGTATACAGTATAGATGAAAACGATAATTAATAATATTATACCTCTATAATAGTACATCTGTTCATACACACACCAGCAATCGTTAGCGACAGCTTGGAAAAGTAACTTTTGGGAGCTTGAACTTTTCAAAACAAATTTCTAATAAAAATTACAATCAAAATTATAGTATGTTGAATATTGAGATTAACAAAAAATATAATTGTTGATTTTTTCATTGCTAAAGGTTTGTAAGGCACTTTACTCATACTACGATGGACATAAATACATTTTTGAGACGATGTATTTTGCCACGCAAACATCAAAGGAATTTCAGTGTTTCGTAGGTTAAAACTCTCACATTTATCATCCTATATTAGACGAGACATAATTAACACTTGCGCCGTTGAAGATGTGCCTTTAGGTTTTAAACATACGATATTTTTTTCCACACAATAGATTTCAAAAAAATAAAAACGTCCCGAGATGATAACGTCTAATACTCCTATCATTTCGTGTAAATAAACATTTGACGAGACTTAAAAGAATAAAGACAATAATCCCCGGCTGTCAACTCGTAAGTACGAAAACGTTTTTAAAATCATTATCAAATAAACTGCGATAAGACGCCGTGCGATCAATCGTTTGAGCTGAGGTATACGCGTGAAAATTAAAGAAGATAACGCCATTGCAACCTTATCTCAACGAGAACCGAAGGTCGGAAGAACTAAAATTGCCTAATATTTTATTCGAATGGGTTCAAACAATAAGAGATTGCTGTACATAGTAATCGCACATAGCACTATTGGCAGATAAGCGGTTGACATTTGAAATCTCACTGCATTTCACCCTGTGCATAACGTAATCCTTCCATATCTAAGTTATCTTGCGATGAAGATTACGAGCTGCTGACGTCAGTCATTACGATATCTTCGGAATGAGACTAGAGATCCTAAAGATGCCCTCACAATGTATTAAGTACAATAGCTAAATTCAAGTCCTGCCCGTGTCGTAATTTTTTTCAATTTATAATCGATTATTTATTTATATAATGCTATCATGTGCACACATGGATTAATCATGAACTTAATTTATTTGTTAATTAACGTTTAAGTTCTCGACGTTTCGGATGCTTTAAAGTAGTGTGCAAATCAAAAATTTTACGTCCTTTATAGGTCTCGTAAAGTACGACAACGTATAAGTGAAGTCGACAATAGAGTACTGATATTTGGAGTCCTAATTAATATAAATTTATGTTTTTTAATTTTGTCTACTTTCAATAAATTCGTACTATTTTGGTTTTACCCTCAAATTATTATAACTCATTGATTAATAAAAAAGTGAAGTATTCATTGTGTTAACAGATTTTTTACACCAATGTAGTTTTGATCTGAAAACCCTTTTAAGTAAGTATATAATAACCGTGCCCGGGTTTTCCGGCTCCTCTTATTATAACATTAAATAAAGTAAAGTGTTACTAGGTACATAACATTCCTAAAATCTATGTGCCTTGTTACAAGATTTATTTTAAGATGGTATTTGATTTTATTCCTAATTTCTTAGCGACGACCCAAATCTTTTAATCCAATGTTGTGATAAGGAAATAAAAGATTAAATCTAGACCATGATGAAAAATACTTTTATATTGCCTGTGACAATTTTCAATTAGTTGTTAAATTTATATACAATTAAATTTTGATATAAGTGATCGAAGAAACAATTAATATCATTAATTGTTTTAGTTATAAATTTGTTTTTACTTCAAAAAAATTAAATTTAATATTTTATATTTATTTACTTATTTTCCATAGATTATCAGAACTTTTTAGGCAACATACAATCTTAGTTATTGTATCAAATGTTACAACTTGTTTAACACAATAGTCATCTAGCGGTTAGTGAAATCGTTGATATATAGATTTTGAAGTCATACATATTTGATTGGTTGTCTTTCTTACCGGTAATTCCTACAACAAACATACAGTTTATTCCAGTAGACATTTTGCCAGATATAGGTAATCTGTGCCAAAAGGTTTTCGGTATGTAAGAATGATTAAGCAGAAAAAGTTGGAAGCAATACTTTAATAGACCATAAATACGTAGTGCATTCGAAAAGTAATTAGTATTAAAAATGTAATAGAAATAGGTAATAATTGGACGTTTACTACTATTACAATTAGATTCTTAAATAACAGCCTTATTCACTTAATAAGCTGTACGAATTGAATACTAAAAAATCCTTAAGAATTATCGTACAAGCTAATCGATTTGGATGTTATACAATTTATGTAATTACATACTGCTATAGGTAGGTTTTAATATGTGTTTATCGTTAATTGCTTGACATTGTGGTTCATAATTTTTTATCGAAAATATCTTTAGTCTCCGTTTGCTTAGTAATCTATAAATAGTTGTAAACATGTACCCACTGTTTAAGGTGTTACATAAATAATTATATAAACGAACTAATTAACGTTTGTACAGGTAGTGTTCTAATAAATTATATAGGTAATATGTCCAATTGGAATTATATTTACTAATGCAGTCGTTCAAACAAGTGCCTAACTTTTAAAATTCCAAGATAGCAACACTGCTTCTATATGATGAATCTTAAAGACATTTCAGTTCAATAGAATAATGGGATCAGGATGTGGCATCCGTTTCTATATTATACTCACGTAGGAGGGCGAACGAGATGAAACAGTTCGGTAGGAGAAGTCGGAACTCGACGTATAACCATTTTCCGGCCATCGGTACAACCCATCCCAATGGAAGCCAGGGAACGGACGGAAGGGGCATATTGGTTTGTGCCGGCATCGGAGCCGTCGGGGTAAGAGATCACTTGGTCATATGGCCGAAGACTCCTAGCAGACGCGGCGCTAGATGCAGCATTTATATCGCGTATACGATGCGTATCGGTAAAACTTTTCACTTTGCGCATTTGACCAGATGGCGTTACAGTCGGAGTCGGTGATTGCGAATATAAGAGTTTTGAATGTTCCAAATCTGATCCATCGTACTGGTCCACGTGGACGGCTACCGTCGGCGAGGTGACTCCCTCCGGTCCGTATTCTACGTCTTTATTCATGTTATCACGTCACAGGGTCATAACGCGGAGATAGACGTCGCGTTTGCCGCTGGCAACGCGCGACTTATAAATAATCTACCGACTCAGCGAGCGAGATCGGGTTAGGTGGCCGACCGACTGACTGGTTCGTCATCGTCAATCGTGACAATTCGTAAACACAATGTGATTCTATATTGTGGAGTGGGGAGAAAATAGGAAGAGGAGGGGGGCGGGCCCAGGGCCACGCATGCGCTGTAATCACCGTGTTATATGGCAAGGTGCGCCTGCGCAACTTACCTTAGTGATTAGCAAATTAGGCTTTGTTTGTATTTTGTGTTCTTATTTTGCAGTATAATTTATAATATATTTGTTATCATAAGTTTATAAGAGAATTAGAACCAATATCAATTTTTAATAAATTTCAATGACCAAATTGTAGTAAATTTATGGCTTCTTGAAGTAGTTTAGAGTGAAACAAAATATTATACTACTATATCTAAAAACATCCAAGTATAATAAATAAACATTAATAAAAATAAACCCTAATTAGAAACGAAATGAAACACAAACAGGTAATTAAATGTCTAAGCATTATTTAATAGTGAAATAATAACATAGTATGAGGCTGCTGGAGGCAGAGTGGCCTAATTATATATAAAAAAAACAAATAACAAAATCGAGGAAAATAAAAATGTGAAAATAACTTAGGCAAAGAGTTTGTACAATTATTTGTGTAATAGTAATGTTTATTGGGCAATTTAGACTGAAAATAACTCAAGTCATAAAGTTGCAGTTAGGCTACTCTTCCTCTAGCGGCCTCATATTATATTAACAATTTAATTTTTACAAGATAAGTACTTACCAAAGAATGTTATAATTCGCTTTCACGGGACTGCTTTGAATTGGTGGCATATTTCCTTAACTTTATCTAAGCCGATTTGATTTCGAATGAAGGCAAAATTACTAAAACTTGTAATATGTAAAGTACGCTATATAAATATTTGGCAATTTGGCACCCCTCCATCTAAACATGCTAATTACGTCCTGCACGATTTTAATAATTATTATTGTTGACACTTCATACGTAGATACTATTTACTTATCTTATAATAAGATGGGTGTGTTTGTTACAAAAATATTCCTTGAACTGAAGTTAGGACATATTGGATATCTACTACTTCCGTTTGTTCAAAGCCACCAATACTCATATAGTCTTACGTATATAAGAAATAATCTGTTCCTAGAGATATAAACAAGAAGGCAAAATGATTCGGTACCGGAATAGAAAATCTAAGAGATAATTCTTATATCAGACTAGCGTGCCCTATTCACCTCGTCTGAGTCGAGGTGACCATCCTACAACCTGCGAGTAATTTTGTAGCACGTGCTTTTCAAACAAATAGCAAGCTATTTAGCTTTTTATGTATGTAGCTAAATGGTTAAACCTAGCATTGTTAAGTGCGAGAGTTCGTGGATTTTAATCTCAGGGCAATAATAATGGTTATCTACATATGTGTGTGTACTATCGGTTAAGTGTTTATTGGAAGCGAATGAGTGTATTTTTGCAATGTAAGTATAAGTTTTTTTTTATACTGAATTTGCTATAATACACCATGACCGACCGAAAAGTGCGTGTGAACGTGTTGCGTCTGACGAGAACACAACAGGGACTGACCGATCAACAGACAGTTGGAAAGACAATCTTCTGCTTGGCGTCTCAATCGAGGACTGTAGAGTGTACATGTTTCCGTTAAAAATATCACAATTAGTATGAAATAAATAAAAACGATAGTTATTATTATTATTATTTTATTAATTGCTTACAAACTAGAGTCGATAGTAATAATTATTTTATACAAAACCAAGTCGATTTCGATTATTATATTTATTTATATAATGAATATCACAACGTTCGAAAGGAGGCGACGTTAAAATAGTATTAATAGGTAAATAAAAATATAAAGTTAATAAGGTAGGGCGCGACGAGCGCGTGCGAGGGTAGCGCCCGCGGCGCCCTGGCCCGACGATCCTCCGGCGGCGCTTATTGCTGAAACAGAGCTGAGAGAAGAGACCGACACCGCCCGGCGCCGGCGGAGGAGCGGGGCTCGCTCGCGACTAGCTATCGCCCAAGGGGCGGGGGCACGACACACACCACCTTCAATATCCTTTACTCTATTTATTATAAACAACATCATATCTTACAACATCTTTAGGATTTAATATGGACGGAATAAAATAATACTTATACAACATGACAAGGATGGATTTTTATCTACACAGCGTGCCCCCTAATTATGGGCGTATTAACGTTGGAATAGGGGGTTTGGGAAGTCAGGCGGGTGCGGAAGAGGTGCAGGCGGGGGTCGAGCTCGGCGCCAAGCCACTAGCCAGCAGGCAACCGCAGCTGCCACCGCCACCAGCGCTAACAGAGCAGTCAGTGCCAAGGCGACAGCTAGCCCTGCGGCCGACACGCACACCTCCGCTGCAGTGCTGTTGCCAGTTCCATCGGATGAAGCGTCCCGTTGTCGTGCCGCTCTGGATGGATCCCTTCGTTCCAACGTCAAAATTTGATTAGACTCCACGGTCACCTCCTCGCGAAGCCGCCCAGATAGCGAATTATCGTCGATTACTTCTCGCTTCCTGCGTTTACCGAAAGCGTCGGAGCCTCGGCAATTAACCTGTATATAACAATTGTAAATGTTATTTTAAATACTGTCTTTAGATAACGCGAGTAGTACACATTTAAACTATACACGATTTAAAACGCAAAATATACTAGTTAAAATTATTTACAAAATATTTTAACTACGGCCTGATGTTACACGGGGAGACTAAAGATGGAGAAAGTGTATAATAGATTAGAAAATCGATTACAAATTGAAAAAAATTTACAACTCGGGCTGCACCAGCAGCGTCACCTTTCCGTGCTGTTGCTCTAACCAATTGAGGTACCGAATCCTACACGTCATCGACGAATTTTTGAGTTGGCGTCGGAACGGCACAATTTTTACTATGTATTGATTTTATTTAAAACAGTACGGTTGTTTTAAATATATATAGTATCACACGTTTACAGTGTTAAAACGCGGTTGTTTACTAAGAATTATAAGGGTAGGACAAAAATTAGTTTTTGCTAATAAGAGTTGTGGGGCGTATTATTTCTGGCGGTGACGTTACCAATATCATATTATTCTCACCATTCGAAATGAAATACTCGACTTACCGGTTGACAGTTTCCAAAGCAAACCCGTATGTTGCATTGGAATCGTATGTTATCGCTACTTGGGAACTTGAACGCGTTGAAAGCCGCTCGCAGCGCGCTACCGTCTTCACTGCGTTCCCATTCCCCAAATATGGCGGCGTCCGTCGCGCAACCGTCCGCGTCCGTTACTGTATATTCGTTTTCGATATTCGTCGACACTTCACTTGTCTTTGCTATGCAACTTCTGGCGAAACCACCGTAAATACCTAGTACAAATAAAAATATTATAGTCAATTCGTAATTGTACTTAAATTTTGTATTCCTATATGAGTGACATACGTGTACCATAAGCGTGAAAATTGTATGTTCTTGTTGGTTAAGACCAACAGAAACAAGTAATTTAGAAATTGTATATAACTTGATTATTTTTAAAGATAGAGGAGGAGACAAGCGTCAGGTTCAATTGATATCTCAGCCATATAAACATCTAAACAAGATATGCTGTCGTCCCATTTTGGCTGGGATATGCCTAAATCAACAAAGTAAATACTCACTAGATGGCTGTACGTCGACTTGCAAGACGAGGTTTTCTCCGATCTCTGCCGAGCTGATCTCATCGCCCGCACGGGACACTATCCGCATGGAGCATGTGGGTGGAGGGCCCGTGTTAGCAATAGTACCGGCTGTTGTCAACATTGAGACGTTGAAGGCGAGAGTGACGTTCTGCTCGCCTGTCTGGTATATACACTTGATGTGGAAAGCCTTCGCGTTCGATGTTACCAGCTTAGGATGTTTCTGCATTACCAGTACGAAACTGGCAAGGCCCTGTAAAATCCAAATATTAAAAGCAACTGTCTACATCATTGAAAAAATGACTTGCAAAGATACACGTTATATCTCATAAATTCTACAAAATCTAAAATAATAAAAAACAAAGATTCATATTTAAATTATATGGAGAGGAGAGGTGCAGGGATTGCTTCTCGATTATGTCATTTAGATTTATAGATCTGAAATCGTTTTTTTTATTTATAAAAAGTTGTCTTGTAAAAAATAATTGTAAATTTACCAATACAGACACTAAAGCTTTTTTTGGCAATTATGTTATATCGAATTAATACTAAAACTTACGTTGACATGAACTAATCCACAATCACCGAAATGAACTGTGAAATCAACTGGACTCTCTTGGTTTTCGGTAGTGTGCACAATTAGGCGACACCGTTCATCTTTACTGTATCCTTTGACATAGAGTACACCGTTGAAATCTTTGATCTTAAGACTCACTCGTACACCATCAGCTAAGCAATGAACCTATAAAAATATATTTTTTGTTAATGAACAAATAAATTCTATAATAACATATAAAGTACCAATATGACGAGTACTTATATTGCCTACAATTATATATTTATATGATATCGAAATCCTACATTATGTCAAAGCTTATTACAAAGTTTATATTTACTTTTGCCAGACACTTTTAAGAAGTATTATTAATTATTAACATACCTGCATATCTGGTAGAGGGAAGTCGGTACGATAAGTTATATTTGGTGTTGTTGTAGCATTACACTGCACTTTAGGGTTGCCGACATATCCCGTTATACACGTGCAGCGCGAGCGATGTCCGACTGCCGTGCACGTTGCAAATAGGCCGCAAGGCTCTGCTTCGCATGCTGGTATACATTTTCCGTTTACACACGTCGCATCATCATTACATTGCTCGTCAGTACGGCAGCCAACAAGGACACACATGTCGCCCTTGCTAGTAAATCCGCGTTCCAAATCGCAGACACAGCGACCACGCGCGTCCACTATTTTGCCTTCTGCATCCGAGCAAGGCTCACATTCGCCATATTCATTCACACCTTGGCCGTCAATACATTTTGTTATAGGTGCTGAAAAAAAAAACAATTTAATAAAACAATTCTAACGGTTTTGTGGTTTTGGAAGAAAAAATGCTTTAAGACATCTAAAACGGTCGTGATTAAAATCATGTACTGTACTCGCTTAAACTACACACCCTACTTCTTTAATTAAGATAAATTACTGTAATAATAAAAATAGCTTACGTTTATTTGGTTTACATTCCAATAATGCGTTTCCTTCATATCCCTGTTCACATTCACATATCATTGTTCGCACTGGATTTGTATCTGCGACATGACATTTGGCATTTCTACCACAAGGTTCTATTTCTAAACAAGGATTTACACACTTTTTGTTCAAGCACGCTGTGCCAGATGGGCAGTCGACATCAAAAGCGCATTCTTCTTCAGTCTTGTTGCAACCGTCTTTAGTACTTTGGTATCCTGGTGGGCAGACACAGTACACGTCGTGTAAGTAAACTCTACATTCTGCTGGTTCCTTGCAAGATGATATTGTGCATGGTTCCACACATCTGTTGTTTATACAAGATTTTTCTGTTGGACAATCTGAGTTTGCTCTGCAGCTGATAGGAGTACAAGCCACGTTAGGGTTACCCGATGTTCCAAACTGGCATCTACAAAATGCTCTATGGTTTTCCCCATAGCACTCAGCAGACGGTCCACAAATGTTCGGTTCGGCAGAACAAGCAGGTATACAATGGTTATTGAAACAAGTTTCATCGTCACTGCATTGGCTATCTGCGCGACAAGATACAGCGTAGCAGCCGGTCTGAGGGTCGCCAAAGAAGTCTGGCCGACATGCACACACGGGTTTATGGTCCCGAATTTGACAATCAGTATTAGGTCCGCAGTCACATGGGTTCTTACATACAGATGTTACGCAAGCATGGTTGGAGGTGCAGTCGTTATCAGCTTCGCAAGCGACGTCCGTTATTGTGATAGCAGGTCGGCAAACGCCACCGCCACCGCTAACGTATCCAGGTGGACAAGAGCACAGCATAGTGCGCACCGGTAATGTAGGAAGTACTTCGCAGCGCGCTGGTGTGGCGCATGGATTTAAAGCTGTGCATGGATTGACACATTTGGCAGATAAACACGCCATCTTGGGCGAGCAATCTGCGTCCACGGTACATTCTGCTGTAATTTCCGGTCTACATTCGACGTAAGGGCTACCGATGAAACCGTATTCACATTTGCACACCGGTAGATGGTTGCGAACTAAACACATTGCATTTCGTCCACAGTTATTCTCAGAGACACACGGATTGATACATTTATGCCCTCGGCACAGTTTATCTCTCGCGCAGTCACCGTTCGACCGGCATTCTACTGGATTGCAATTGGCATAAGCGTCACCTTCAAATCCTGGTCGGCATCGACAAAGTGGATGATTCCGTTCGACATAACATTCAGCGTTGTATCCACACGTGTTATTCAATAAACAAGGACTGACGCAGTTACCGTTAACACAAGCTTCGTTGGTCTGACATTCTGAGTCTGTTCGGCAGCCGACGATATGACATGCGCTGTATGGGTTGCCATCGAAACCTTCTCGACAAGTGCATACAGGTCTATGGTTCTTAAGGAAACACTCTGCGTTGTCTCCACAGTTGCATGGGTTTCGACAGATTCTGTTGATGCAAGATTCTTGGTCACTGCAGTCATCGTCAGATGAACAACTCAATGGAGGTAGTTGCACAGGATCACAAGCACCCTCTTTATTAGGAACGTAGCCCTCTGGGCAACGGCATATTAAAGTACGGAACGGCACACTATCAGATACAGAACAGCGTGAGTTTCCGGTGCATGGTGTTAATTCCAGACAAGCGTCGCGACACTGGTCCCTGAGGCAGGCTTGTCCGCTAGGACAGTCTCCGTCCAATCGACATTCAGGTTCTCCGATTACTGTGACTCTTTCACATTGTATCAATGGATCACCAAGTGGCATTGTCGATGGACATTTACATGAAGCCGCGTGGTTTTTAGCGAAACATTCAGCGTTAGAGGCGCAAGGATTCTGGCCACTGAAAGAACATGCATTGTGGCAAACACCGCGTACACAAATACTGTCATCGTAACAGTCGGAATCTGCTTCGCATTCCGATGCCTGACATTTAGAGAAAGGATTTCCTGATGTACCAGGAGGACAGCGACAGTTAGACCTATGTGACTTGCCGTAACATTCTGCGCTGATGGCACAAGGTGTCTCCACTAAGCATGGGCTTATGCATGCGCCGTTGTAACATATATCGCTATCTGGACATTCTCGATCTGCTGAACAGCCCACTGAAAAAAAAATAGTGTGATAACTAAACGCCTTGGAAAATGAAATAAACTTATAAAATATATTATTGTATTGTGCATAAGTACCTTTTATACAGTCTGTATATGGATTGCCGGAGTAGCCGTTTTGACAATAGCATACTGGGTGATGTCTGATAACATTGCATTCAGCATTGGTGCCACAAGCACAAGGGTTTGCGCAGGCGCCATTGATACATGCTTGTGATAACGGACAATCAGAATTTGCTTTGCAACCCACTGGTATAATAGAATCTTGTGATGCTGTAATTAATATTATTGCAATTATATTATGCATATTAATATTCACAATAGCTCTTCACTACATATATATTTTTATATCAATAATTGAGTACTTACGCGGTACGCAGCGAGTTTGCGCATCTCCCGTGTACCCAGTGGGGCAAGTGCAATGAGGCTGATTGTTGATGACGCGGCACAGCGCAGCTAAACCACAAGCACCCACACACGGGTTTACACATATACGATCCACGCATGCGCGCTCATCTCCACACTCTTTGTCATTATAACATTCCCAAATAGAGGGTTGTCTCGGCTCTGCAAATACAAACATTATTTGTTTAATTTACTTATAAACAACAGGTGCATTGTTTTATATGTTTGTGTAAGGTATACAAAGTAATGAATTAAAATTTGAAGACACTTTGAAGTGAATTTTAGTAACTATTTGTGTTACCTGTATTACACTCCACTCTTGGATTTCCCGTGTAGCCCGGCGGGCAGGTACAGCGTGCAAGGTGGTCAACTGATTCACAAATAGCATTTTGACCGCAAGGATTAGCTTTACAGGCATCCACGCAATTGCCGCGACGACAAATCTGACTATTGGAGCATTCGGCATCTGCTGAACATTCTCCCTGAGGCGCGCGACATCCCGTGTCGGGAGCTACGCGTCCTCCATCTGCACACACACATGCTATCGCCCGCAATGGAAGAATGTCTATAGTTTTACATAACAAGCCGGATTCACATGGATTTTCTTGACACAAATCGACACAGCGCGAGTTCAAACAAGCAAACGGAGCAGCACAGTCAGCGTCTATTAAACATTCTTCTGTTTTTTGGATAGTCACGCATCCTCGTAGGTAAGGGTCACCGGATTGGTTTGGCGGGCAGGTACATATAGCTCTATGTCCGCTTGGTGTACACGAAGCTCCCGGGGCGCAAGCGTTATCAGAGCATACAGGTTGGCAAATCCGATTGAGTCTATCGCAGGCTTTAGTGTAATCGCAATCTTCATTATATTGACAGACGGCTCCTATGCAAGCACGTCTCGGGTCACCTTGGGTTCCCGCTGGGCATCTACAAGTTGCCGCGTGGGCTATAACCTCACATACAGCACTACGTCCGCAAGGCGATTCAAGTGCGCATGGGTCTTGACAGTATCCATTTATGCAACCTTTGTTAAATGGACAGTTATCGTCCGTAGTGCATTCAGCTGTAACAATTATAAATAACATATCATAGTTGTATGAATGAAATGTCGAAGTGCTTTCTGTAATTCTTAATAATTTATAGGAACTCTCTGTCGATTTGTTTTTCTAATTATTAAAAATAAAAAAAATACTGACGTGTATAACAGGCGCGCGCTGGATCGCCAGCAGTGCCGGGTGGACAACGGCACCGCGCTCGATGTCGGTCTGCGTCGCATAACGCTCCGGCACCACATGCTCCCGCGCATGCGGATACGCAGTTACCCGTCACACAAGCTTCTGCCGCACCGCAATCTGTATCCTTCTTACATGTACTGCCGACTGCACCTAATGTGAAAAATAATTAACTTATTAGATTTCAGTCTAATAACAAAACACATTTAGGCAAAAGAAAATAATTTGAATTAAATATTACTTGGAGCACAGGCAACGTTAGGATCTCCTTGCAAAGGTGGCAAACAGGTGCAGGAAGCTCGATGCGCAAGCGCACGACACTCCGCTCCTACACCGCACAACTGCGACTCGCAAGCTGGCGTACATCTTCCCTGAAGACACCGCTCTTCCTCGTCACACTCATTGTCTTCGTTACATTGACCTTCTGGACGGCAAAAATAATTTAGTTTATATTATGTATAATAAGAGTTTTATGGAACTTACTTTTTCTTAGCTCGCATCTCGTCTATCAAGAGGCAAAAACCGGAAAAGTCGGGTGTGTATTATACAAATTACACAGTGAATATTTAATATAAGAATATTTTGTACAAGCCCCCACCGTGACGTGTCTACGAAATATTTTACGAACAATACTCACATCAGAGTAAAAAAAAACAACGTTGCTGTAAAGAAAATCAGTTATGATTAATAACTTAATTGTATAAGAATTATTATCACACACTTACTCGGATTACATTTAACTGAAGCATCACCAGTCAATGGCTTGGGACATTCACAAACTAGCGTTCGGAACGGCAGGGTATTTGCTACGCGACACTCTGCGTTTAAGCCGCATGACGTGGAGTCACATGGATTTCTGCAGTTTCCTTGTAAGCACGCAAGGTTTTGGCCACATTCTGCGTCGGTGGAACATTCTGTCTCGTCGAAAACTGGAAGAATTGTGAAATAAATAAAAGAAATAATTAATATTTTAAATTATTAACATTGTATACAAAAGGGGTTAAGATGATACTAACCAGGTTGACAGTTAATCTTAGGATTTCCCGTAGTACCCCGTGAACATTCGCATACAGGAGTGTGTCGAACAACAGTGCACTGTGCATTTTGTCCACAGCTTCCAGGACAAGGATCTTGACAAGTGTTTCCTCTGCAAGCTAACCATGCAGGGCAGTCGTCGTCGATAGTACATTCTTCTCTACGACACGCGACCCAAGGGTTACCGCGAGCACCAGGGTTACATTCGCAGGAGGCTGTATGACCCCGGGCTATACATTTGGCATCGACACCGCATCGAACCCGTGAACAGACCTTGATACAAGAACCGCTGTCGCAACTCTCATCGTCAGGGCAGTCGTTGTTGCTATGGCATTGAACTGTAATGTTAAAAAGATAGATATACTATATCCGATAAGTTTGACGGTTCACGCTGAAGACTGATGCAAACCTAATATTACTACTAAAACTAATGAAATATGAAAAAAGAAAGACCTAAGATTTTTTTGATCTCGCTTTTTAATATTTTTCATATTCTATTATATTATTTAAAATCCCAGTAATTTAAAATATTAGAAACAAATAAATGTAAGGATTCAACATACCGGAATAACAACCAGTGTAAGCGTCGCCTTCAAATCCGTGCAAGCAAGCACAATGAGCTCTATGTTGTCTAGCGACACATTGCGCATTGAGTCCACAGCTGTTTTGTTCGCAAACTGGTGTACACCTAGAGTCAGCACAGACCATGTTGTCGGCGCATTGCTGGTCTCTTACACACTCCGGTAAAGGTGTTGTTGGTATGGTAATCGTTATTCGTTCACATCTTACAAATGGATAACCGGTGTATCCGGCTGGACATGAACACACCGCGGAATGCCTTACACCAGTGCAAATGGCATTTATTCCACAAGCGTCGATACACGGATCGGAACATTTTCTATTCATACATGTGCGATCACCCGGGCAATCATCGTTTACAATGCATTCAGGGTAAGTGCAGAATCCATCGCGACACGTTCCATGTGGGCCACAGGGGTTTGGATCACAAGGGTCGTAAACAGTTGGTGAAGTTGTAGGAACGTCTGAAAGATTAAAATTAGTATGATTTAAATTATTATTTAACAATAAAATCATATTTATTATAGTAAAACTATTACCTCTTGCAACGCAGTTAATGAAAGGATCACCGGTGGTGGATGGTGGGCACGAGCAAATAGGTGCGTGGTCAAATACGCGACACATTGCCCCGTTGCCACATGCTCCGAGGCATGGATCAATACATTTGTTTCTGACACAGATGCGATCACGTGAGCATTCTGAACTCACGACGCACTCAGGCCGACAACCATTAGATGAGGCATCGCCACTCGTTCCACTCGGGCATGAACAAACTGCGTTGTTGTTCACTACTGAACATAGAGCCCCAGGACCACATGGTGATGGTGTGCAAGGTGGCGCTAGAAAAAAAAATAGTTTTAGTCTGGTAATAACCATAGATGGGAACCAATGTTTGTTTTTAGTTGCGGTTTTGTCATACCTGTTATTACAGCATCACATTTTTCGAACGCGTTTCCTCTTGTTCCTGGTGGGCACGAACAAAGCGGTATATGATTAACAGTTTCGCAGTCCGCTCCAACTCCACAAGTGCCTTCGCATGGGTCACGGCATTTTGATCGTATACAAGCTCTTGCTGGTGAACAGTCTGAATCGGCAAGACATTCTGGGCGACAGTTCGTGTATGGATCTCCGCGTAAGCCTGGCTCACATTCACACGATGCTCCGTTTCCTCTCGTGCGACATATTGCTCCAGGACCACAGGGTGACGGGTTGCAAGGATCGTTTGGAACTTTTTCTGTAACATTTAGGAGCGAAATGTAAGCCTTACTATCTCTACGCAGTTTACTACGACAAAGCGTAAAAGCTTATTATTTTCTAAATGGACAAGCTTGCAACACACTTAGTTTCACTAATGAAACCCATGCCTAAGTTTTAAAAGTGAAAACTTAAGTGTATTACGGTCTTGTCTTCACGCGTAGGAAAAGAAAAAGACAGCAATAATAACAGATGTCGCAAGATTAAGCAATCTTCCAACTGTGTCTATCTTACGAATATTATCGATGGGTCGACATTCTGTAAGGGGATTTCCGTAGAAGGTAGAAGGACAGGCGCATTGTGGCTCGTGCGCAACCGGGGTACAAAGAGCGTTTAGTCCACAAGCTCCGGGACAAGGGTCGACGCAGCGTTTATTGACACAGGTGTGTTTCCAATCGCAATCGCTGGCACTGAGACACTCGGAGCGACAATATGGCGGCGCGCCCACGTAATTATCCCGACAGCGGCATACGGATTGAATACAATCCGCATTAGGTCCACAGTCGTGACATGATGATGTTACTTTTGGCTCAGACTCGATCACTAGAAAAAAACATGGAACATTTCAAATAAAAGGGTAAATTAAATCAACAAAACATTACCTGAATATTAAAAGAGAAAAAAAGAGTTTGTTTGTATTTGCGAATTGAAAATTTTTTGAAATGTGGAGAAAATGGGGAAAATTATCCATGTCCGTGGGTTTCCGATGCGTACGCAGCGAAATCGGTTTAAGATACCCAAAAAATATTGATGGAAGAATGATTCCTATTTAAAGTATCTAAAAAATGTCTGCGACATTATCTCTACTTTTGGAGATCAACTTGCAAGAACGACGGGTTGCGTCGTGGGTAATAGCTTAAATTTATAAAGATGAAGAATGAATGAAGGAGGCTTGTAAACACAAATCTGGATGCCCAAAATTACTCTTCACCGCAGACGAAGTTGCTGACATAGTATGTTATATAGAAACCTTTTTTTACTTACTTGGTACACAGCGTATGAATGGATCGCCTGTGTAACCTAATGGGCAGCTACATATCGGTGAATGAGACATTGCACGACAAATTGCATGCGAACCACAGGCACTAGGACATGGATCTTGGCATTTGTTATTACGACATGCTAGGTTTGGTGCGCAGTCAGAGTTGGTGCGGCATTCCGGCCTACACGTTGGGGGCTCGTCAAACATTTGTGGACGACATGAACAATGAGCCACTGTTCCATCTGCTCGACATATTGTATTCGGACCGCAAGGATTTGGTGTACAGGGATCGGTGACCACGTGATCTGTAGAATAAGATATTGACAAGACTTTAAAAGTACTCGAATCATTCATGTAACACATATACATACATTATGAAAAATAATTTAAAATTTTAGCTCAATAATTTTATACAATATGTGCTTGTAAAAGATAGAAAGCACTTGGCATGTGCATCACCTAAGAATAGCGGTCATGCGCCAATTTTCGTTGTCCCACGAGGGATAAGAAGTGACTATTAACTACAATATATATTAAAGTAAAAATAAAAACCAAATAAAACATAACTAAATAAATCTTGGGTGTGTCTATAAAACTAAGTATATTAAAAATTAAAAGTGACCAACATAAAACACTTTGCGTAGATTTGACTCCGATGATTTTTAAAAATGCTTTTATAGGCAAAACAGAACACAAATATATGATACGGATTCAATCCCACACTTTTATATATATTTTTATCACAATTTTTAGTACCAATGACACGGTGACATGCGATGAATGGATCTCCCTGAAGTGGTGATGGACAGTCACAAATTGCGATATGGTTATACACATTGCATACGGCGTCCAGTCCACAGGAATTAGTACAGGGGTTGCCGCACTTGTAGTTGATACAGGCTTGGTTCTTCAAACAGTCATTGTCACTGGTACATTCTGGTCTGCATTCCACGTAAGGATTTCCGCGGTAGCCGGTAATGCATGAACAAGTGCCATTACTGCAGACAGAGTTTATGCCACACGGTAACCTTTCGCAAGGATCTGACGCTAATGGCACAGTATCTAAAAAGTACAAAGTTAAACAATGATGAATTATAAGTAGATTAGGCAGTAGAATCTCAATGATGTAACGTGGGCGTTTTGCATTTATATGTCTGTTTCACTAATCAATTTTATTTAAAGATCTAGTCTTTTCACACTTTTATTTTCTGGGCGATCGAAATATTTTGTAGATATCCTAGAGATGTTCTGAGCGACAACTCGTGCTTAACACGTTGCAACAAAATCAAATAAGAAACCAATAAGCAAACAAACATATATAAATTTCTCATAAAATACCTTTTATAGCTAAATAGCAGCCAACGAATGGATCTCCTTTGTAGCCATCAATACACATGCAAATGGCAAGGTGGTTCATAGCTCTGCATTGAGTGTTACTTCCACAAGATCCAACACAGGGATCGACGCATCTTTCACGTACGCAAGCCTTATTGCTGGGACAATCTGAATTAATACTACATTCGGGTTTACAACTTGGCGGCGTACCGACATAACCAGATTTGCAACTGCAAACAGCCGATCCACTGACATCTCTACAAATAGAATTAGGTCCACACGGATTTGGGTTGCAAGGATTCTGTATGTCATGGGCTATTGCTTTCTCTTTGACACATCGTATAAATGGATCGCCGGCGAAGCCAGGTACACAGGTGCAATATGGACTGTGGCGATGTGTTCTACATTCGGCGTTTTCTCCACAAGTATTTATGCAAGGATCAATACATTTCTGCTTAACGCATGCTTTATTTAGAGGGCACTCAGAACTCATGACACATTCCGGTTTACAATTAGGTGGATACCCAGTGAAGTCGGGTAAGCAAGAGCACATGGCTTTATTATTTCGAGCTAAGCAGGTACTGTGAGGACCACAAGGTGACGGTGTGCAAGGATCTAAAGGTTCATCTGTAAGAAAATATAAATTTATTTATTTACAAAAAACATATAGCGTGTATTAATAAGTGATTGTTATTTAATAATAATTACCTTTCTTTACATTGCATATATCATGTGGATTTCCTATATATTCTGGCATACATAAGCATTTCGGTACGTGATTTACGATTTGACAGATAGCGTTAATACCACAGAAACCGGGACACGGATCACTGCATTTATTATTTATACAGGCAAGATTCTGTGGACAGTCCGAGTTAAGTACACATTCCGGTCGGCATCCTTCGTATGGGTTACCAAAATAATTACTCATACACATGCAGCTTCCGCTATTATCCCGTTCCTGACAAATGGCGTTTGGTCCACAGGGGTCAGGTGTACAAGGCCTGGATGGTGATAACGGTTTTTGAACTAGAAAATAAATAATAAAAAACGTTATATTTTGTTAGATATGTACAGATAGTTTGTTAAAATTATATATACAAATAACGAAAACTACCTGATATTGGTTGACAATCATTGAAAGGATCTCCTTGATAACCTAGTCGGCATGAGCATTGCGGAGAGTGGCTTATGACTCGACAGTCCGCGTTTTGTCCACAGACACTAACGCAGGGATCAACGCATTTGTTATTTATACAAGATTTGTCTGAGCTGCACTCGCCATTCGATACACATTCTGGACGACAGTATGGAGGACGTCCAATGAATCCATTTAAGCAAGAGCATGACGAAGATCCGCTTATTTCTTTACAAATTGAGTTCGCTCCACATGGAGATGGTACGCACGGACTTCTGTGCACCGTTGGTTCATCTGAAACGTAATTAGCGATAACTTAGAATATTTAGCAACAAAAGGAATAAAGTCTTAGTAGGATATAAAATAAAATTAGACGTAAATTCCCTTAGGATACTTACTTTGTATTGCCAAGCATTGTACGAACGGGTCGCCCGTTAAACCACTTCGGCAGAAGCAAATAGGTTTGTGATAATGAACTTTGCATTCAGCGTTAATTCCACAAGATCCTTGACAAGGATCAATACATTTTTGGTTCGAACATGACAGTAACTGTGAGCAATCAGAGTCGACGACGCACTCGGGTCGGCAAGAAGGTGGTGCTCCAATGTAGCCAACGACGCACGCGCACATAGATTGTTGGTTTATCACTCTGCATATACTGTTAGGCCCACACGGCGAAGGAGTACAAGGATTTGTGTATTCCACAATAGCTAAAATAAATATTTGTTTCACTCACACACATTAACACAATGCCGCATTCGCAGTTTTGCAGTAACAGTAATTTTGTGTTATTTTAAAAAAAAATGACTCGCATAAGTAGCTTTCCGTACTGTTGCTCTTTTTTTGTGATACTTTGTATTTTTTAAAAGCCACTTTAAGGTTGCTTGATTAGAACTTAAAAAAATAGCACTTACCGGAAGAGCACGAGATAAAGGCATTTCCAGTTGTATTACGTGGGCACGAACACATAGGAATATGATTGTAGACTTCACATATTGCACCATGTCCACACAAATTGTTGCATGGGTTTACACATTTAGTATTCACACAAACCAAATTCGTGGCGCAATCTGCGTTAAGGGTACATTCAGGACGACAACTCAAGTAAGGATTGCCAAAGTAATTCGGTAAACAAGAACAAATGCCATTATTGCATCTAGCGTTTGCACCACAGGGATTCGGATTGCATTCATCGTATTTTTCAGGGACTGGTTCTGTAACAAATTTAAGATTATCAAAACCAACAAAATAACCGTTACCATTTGCGAGACATGGGGCTGTGTCTCTTTTACACATCAATTTAATTCAAATAAGTATATGACCAGACTTTATGGCCCATAATACGGGATCTCTAATGAACATTGGGTTGTACACCTGATGTATATCACTTAATCTATAAAACTTAAATTGATATTTTCCTTACCTATAGCATCTTGGATATAGCAGCTTTCAAATGGATTTCCGGTATAGCCCTCTAAACAACTGCAGATAGCTGCGTGTTGATGCACATGGCAGACAGTTTGGAGACCACAAGATCCGACGCAAGGATCTGCACACCTCTGTCTGATACATGCTGTGTTGCTTGGACAATCCGAGTTTATAGTACACTCTGGTCGGCAGTTAGGTGGTGAGCCGAAATAGTTTGGCATGCAAGTGCACATTGGAACTTTGTTGTTGGATTGGCAGAAAGAGTTTGGCCCACACGGAGACGGAACACATGGATTGCTTTCAAGTAATGGTGTTTCTAAACAAGAAGATCAATGTATGAAATAGCTGATAAATATGGTAGTAATAACAATATATGCAGGATCTTTTAACTTAAAACTTACTTGTAATTACAGCGCATCTTATGAATGGATCGCCCTCATATCCGATACGACATGAACATATTGGTGCATGATTAACAACTCTACATTCTGCATTCTGACCACATACGTTAACGCAAGAATCCACACATCTCTGATTAATGCAACTTTTCGTCGATGGACACTCTGAGTTCACTGAACACTCGGGGCGACAGTTTGGAGGAGTTCCAGAATATTCCGGCAAGCAAGAGCACGAGGCTAATCCATCATTATTTTTACAAACAGCATTGCTTCCACATGGGTTGGGTAGGCACGGATTGTTAGCAACTAAAACTAAGAAAAAAATAACATTAAAAAAAAAACAAGAATTTACAATTATCTCCTTAAATCAACCACTGAGAAGATACTTACCATCGTCTCTAATTATAATGTGACAGTAGGCGTATGGATTTCCAGTATATCCAGGTGAGCATGAACAAGACGGTACATGGTTTAAAACTTGACAAATGGCTGTTGAGCCGCATACGCCAGGGCATGGATCTTGGCATTTGTTTTTGAGACATGCTTTGTTAAATGGACAGTCACTGTTTATAACACATTCAGGTCGACATCCCTCATAAGGATTTCCAAAATAGCCACTATGACAGCTACAGATGGCAACTCCATTCGGCAAAACTTTACATTGGCTATTTGCACCACAGGGGGAGGGGATACAGGGATCAATTGGCTCAAGTATTTGTTGTTCTTGATAGCAAGATAGGAAAGGATCGCCCGTGTAACCCTCTTGACATGAGCACATCGCTGTATGAAGACGTACAGTGCACAGCGAATTTGTTCCACACGATCCTATGCATGGGTCGGAACATTTGAAATTAACGCACGCTTTATTAATAGGACACTCATCGCTAGTAGAACATTCTCGTCGGCAGTTAGGTGGCGTTCCTTCAAATGTCGGTTGGCACAAGCACATATATGCTTCTCCATTCTTCGTCGGAGTACAGACACTATTTGGCCCGCATGGTGAAGGAACGCATGGATTTGCTACAGGTTCTTCATGTTGTTGAACTGTAAATAACAAAATGAAATATGTTACTCTAATCTACTTCTCCTTCTGTTAAGGTAACAAACAATAATCATAGAAATTCAAACATTATCTAAAACATACCAAAGCTATGAGTAAATGGTGACCCAGTATATCTCGGCGGGCAAGAACACACAGGGTTGTGGTTGACTACTCTGCAATCAGCGTTTGATGCACAGGATCCGGGGCATGGATCTTGACATTTCATATTTATACATGCAAGGGATGGATGACAGTCAGTGCTTTGTATACACTCCGGTCGACAGTTTGGTGGATTTCCTAAATATCCTTGTATACATGAACATACAGCTTGTTCGTTGATCTCTCTACAAACACTATTAGGTCCACAGGGTGATACATCACAAGGTCTCGTTGTTGGTTCTGTAAATCATAGTTATAATCAATGTTATAATTTTGGAAGAAAGTATTATATACCCTGTCCAAAATATTACGTACACCAATATTTTCCAAGACAATACTTACTCTCTATTTTAAAGCATCTTGAAAAGGCATCTCCAGTCGTGCCTTGCGGACAGCTACATATAGCAACATGATTATATACGTTGCAGTCAGAGTTTACACCACACATATTGTTGCAGGGATCGACACATTTAGATCTTAAACAGGTCTTGTCAAGGGGGCAATCCGTACTGAGGACGCACTCTGGTCGGCAACCGAAATACGGGTCACCATGATACTCCGACATGCATGTACATTCACCGTTATTGCATACAGCGTTTGGACCACAGGGAGAAGGATTGCACGGATCACTTTCCTGCGCTGCCTCTGCAATAAATTTAGGGTTACTTAACACGAAAGAACACAGCAATACGAGTATACGAAATAAGCAATTTCAAAGTACCTTCTAGTTGAACTGTGCAGTATGTGAAAGGATCTCCCTTGTAGCCAAGCGGACACAAACACATAGGAACGTGATTCACAACATTACAAAGTGCATTAATACCGCAGGACCCTTGACATGGATTTTGACACTTCATATTCAAACAGGCTTCATCACGGCTACAATCGGTGTTGACGATACACTCTGGTCTGCAATTTGGTGGATGACCAAGGTATCCAATATTACAGGAGCAGGATGGTATGCCACCCACGTCCCGACATACAGCATTAGGGCCGCAAGGTGATGGGAAACATGCATCCGACGGTATATTCGTTATGGGTGTTTGAAGTATACTACAAACTGAGAATGGGTCTCCAGAGTAGCCTTCTTTACATGAACATATGGGGTTGTGATTAATCACTCGACAATCTGTATTTAATCCGCATCCTCGTGGACATGGCGACACACATTTCAGGTTCTCGCACACTTTATCAAGTGGACATTCTGAATTTGAAACACATTCTGGTTTGCAATTAGGTGGCGACCCATTGTAACCAGCTAAACACGTACATACGGCTACGTTATCACGAGAACTGCATTTGCTGTTGGGTCCGCATGGCGATGGATAGCATGGTTCGATTTCAACTTGAGGTCTGTAAGTACATATTTTATAGGGATCGCCGAAATGTTGTTCAGGGCATACACAGTTCGGTATGTGACTTGTAACATAACAATTAGCTTTAATACCACATGTTCCTGGACATGGATCTATACATTTATTTTGTCTGCAGGCTTGATTAGAAAGACAGTCAGAATTTAATAAACATTCAGGCTTGCACGATATGTATGGATCTCCGAAATAGCCTTCTATACAGACACATGAACCGACGTTATTTTGCTCTCTGCACTCAGCGTTGCTCCCGCAGGGCGATGGGAGGCATGGCGTCAGTTGTTCAGCGATTATTGGTTCTGCCTGCACGTTGCACCGAATGAACGGATCACCGGAATATCCGTTTTGACAAATACAAATTGGTGTATGACTGACGACTTTGCATTCTGCGTTAATCCCACACGACCCTACACATGGGTCTCTACATTTTCTGTTGATACACGCCATATTTGTGAAACATTCAGAGTTACTTGTGCATTCAGGTCGGCAAAGTGGCGGTGTACCGATGTGGTCTGGTAGACATTTACAACTTGCATCATTGCCTACTTCATTGCACTCTGAGTTAGGTCCACAGGGTGACGGCAGGCATGGGTTTACCTGGACTGGAGGTGTGGCACCTATATAAAAAGAAATAACATTTGTACTTCTCGTTATAAGAGGCATACATATTTTAAAAGTTCTTTGCTAATTTATTTTAGTGCTACTTACGTATTGGTTGACATATTGTGAATGGATCGCCAGAGAAACCAGGTAAGCAAGTACAAACTGGGTTGTGATTGATAACTGCGCAATTTGTGTGCTGACCGCAAGCTCCCGGACAAGGATCAATACATTTTTGATTTGAACAAGCCCGATTAAGGTTACAATCTGAACTGAGAATACATTCCGGGCGGCAATTAGGAGGGGAACCTACGAAGCCTTGAACACAAACGCAAACTGCATGACCATTCACTTCTCTACATTGGCTATAAGGTCCACATGGAGATGGATTGCATACATCTTTCGGCGTCATTTCTGCAACGAAAAAGCGTTGGTAAATAATCCATAAGAAGCTTTTGATTTTTACAAATATATTATTAGTTGTTTTTTTTCATGTATTAATTTACCTTTTATTATATTGCAGTAATAAAACGGATCGCCCTTTGTTCCGGAGGGACAAGAACAAGCTGGGATGTGATTGATAACCTCACAAGTTGCATTCGTACCACACGTTCCAGCACATGGGTTTATACACTTATTGTTCACACAAGCTTTATCACGCGAACAATCTAAATTGAGTATACATTCTGGTTTACAACCAAAATATGGATCCCCAAAGTATTCTGGTAAGCAGGAACACTCTCCGTTATTACATACGGCGTTAGCTCCGCATGGTGACGGGGAACATGGATTTATAACTTCTGGTTCTGGAAATAAATATATTTTTTAATTTGAAATAATGTATTTTAATGAATATTAAGATTTTTCATTTATGTACGTTACAATACCTGCTAATACCGCGGTACATCGCGTGAATGGATCTCCAGTGTATCCGGGCACACATGAGCATATTGGTAAGTGGTTGTTGACGTTGCATTGCGCATTAAGACCACAAGCTCCAGGGCAGGGATCGACGCATTTATTGTTAATACATGCACTGACTGCGTTACACTCTGAGCTCACTGTGCACTCCGGTCGACAACGAGGAGGCGTACCAATGTAACTCGGCTAGGCACATACAACGAACATTTTCATTGTTCACTTGGCAAAGAGAGTTTGGTCCACAAGGCGATGGTACGCATGGATTACGGTTTACTTGTTGTTGTTCCGATATGATGACTAAAAATAAAAAAAATCAGTATTAAAAAAATACTTTTACTCCTTATTAAAGGTATATTATCTTTAGTTAAGTTAGTACACGCCATGGTGTCTTTAATGTCGTCAATAATATACTATTACATTGTTACTATAATAAACAAACAAATGTACGACGGGCACGACTGAATGATGTAGAGATAGGACAAATGATGTATATCAATGTGTAAATCGTTTTCCACATTATCGATATTAAACACAGTTATTTAATTGTAAAATTAAAAACAAACCTGGCATGCAATGTGAAAATGGATCTCCAGTATATCTCTCTTGGCAGGAACAGATTGGATTGTGAGATATAACCCTACAGTTGGCATGCAAGCCACATTGCCCTTGACAAGGATCCACACATTTCTGATTGATACATGCTTTATTACTCGGACATTCGCTATTTATCGTACATTCCGGTCGGCAGTTTGGTGGCGTACCCATGTAAGACTCTAGACAACTGCAAATTGCTTGAGAATTCACTTCTCGGCATTGGCTATTTGGCCCACAAGGAGATGGTGTACAGGGAGCGACTTTAGTATCTGAAAGATTTTTAAATGTATTATTTAAATTATCATTCAAATTAATGGTTTTTAATTTTTAGCTAAGTAAAAGTAAATTTACCTTCAACTTTCTGCCTACAGAAAGTGTATGGATCACCTGTAAGCCCAGGTGGACAATAGCACGACGGTAAATGGTTCACAACTTGGCATATACCATTAGGGGCACATATTCCGGGACAAGGGTCTTTACATTTATTTTGAATACAGGCTAGTGTGGGACTACAATCGCTGTTCAAGACACATTCTGGACGACATCCTTCGTAAGGATTGCCTATGTATGAGTCCAGACATTTGCAGGCGCCTGCACCATTTCTTTCTGTACACTCTGCGTTCAGTCCACACGGTGACGGTTCGCAAGGAGAATTGTACTCGATTACACTATCTAAAATTGAAAAAAAAATATACCAAGTGATTTAAAGCTTGCAAATTTTTATGTATTTTTTTTATAAGAATGAAATTTTACTGATATAACGATCTCCTATATCCACACTTGAATGTAATGCACTCCTAACAAATAAGGAATCATATAAAAACTCTATAATAATATTATTACCAAAGTACAATGAAATATACCTCTAATCGGGTTACACGAAATTAGCGGATCTCCAGTTTGTCCGTGTGGGCATACGCACACAAGTCCATGACTAATGACAACACAATCGGCGTTATAGCCACAGCTGCCAGGACACGGGTCTTTACATCTTTGGTTAATGCAGACTAGATTCGATGAACATTCAGAGTTCGTGATGCACTCGGGGTGACAATTGGGAGGTGATCCCATGTAGGTGGACATGCATGTACATGAGGGTGCCTCTCCAATAACTTTACAGATGGAATTAGGCCCGCAAGGAGATGGCGTACAGGGATCAACAGGTGGTAATGGGGTTGATACTGAAAAGAAAATTGATTGATTATCATTTTTTCTTCTTTTAATAAAAGAGGTAAATTAAAACTCTATTTATATTATAAACAATAAGGAATCTTATAAATATTTAGACCGAGAATTTACTTATAAAATCTTAAATAAAATTAGGTTTGGGCCATGAAATTAATATAACTTATATTTTTAGCTATTAATCTAATTTATGTTTTTATTATTTGTTCAAAACTGGTACAAAAGTATAATATTTAAATCCTTACCAACTGGCGAGCAATAAGTAAATGGATCGCCTGTGTTCTGAGGTGGACATGAACAAACAGGATTGTGGTTGATAACTTCACATCTAGCACCATATCCACAGCTTCCGATGCAAGGATTAATGCATTTATGATTGTTGCAAGCCTGGTTTAGAGGACATTCTGAACTAATTGTACACTCGGGTCGACAAGATGGCGGGCTACCAATGTAAGATGGCAGACACGAGCATGCTGCTTGACCGTTCGAATCTCTGCATTGACTGTTTGGTCCGCACGGATTTGGGTTGCATGGTTGAATTTCAATAACTAAAACAAGAAATAATAAAAATCTAAATAAATAAATAAAGTCATAGGAAACGTTTTAAACATTGAAAATATGTACTACTCGCGTACACTACAGACAGTGTTTAAAGTGAGTGACACTTTTGAAAGTTAATACTTTATATATTAAATAAGTTAAAAACAAGATTCAAAATTAACACTACACGCACAAATTTTATACAAAATTAATATGTAACACATAACACGTAATTTTCGATCTTCCTACCATCCGTTTAATATCCAGATTTCCAGACGAAGTCGTTAGTTTTTAATATACAAATACAGTTACATAAAAAAATCCATTCATACCTTCCGTCTGATGGCATTCGATAAATGCGTTTCCTGTGGTGCTGATTGGACAGGTACATATAGGAATATGGTTGTATACATTGCATTCAGCAGTCGCAGCACACATACCCGGACAAGGGTTCACGCATTTATTGCGAGAACAAACTTTGTTTGATTCACATTCCATACTGGTTATGCATTCAGGTTTACAGCCTAAATAAGGATCGCCGTAATATTCTTCTATGCACGTGCAAACACCATTTGAGCATTGAGCATTGTATCCACAAGGTGATGGATAGCATGGATCTGGAGAACTCTCATCTGTGAATATAAATTATGGAACTTATATATGAATGAATAAATATGAGAACCGAACAGCTCCAAAACCAAAGATGATATATTATACTTTATAGTATTTTAACAACATTTAATAGTTTTTGTCACAAGACTTAATTAACGAATTATACTTATTAAATCGACAAATAGGAATTAAATGGAAATAGAAGTTATTTGCGTTAATTGAAAATGAATACATCTCACATATATTAGTCATTATTGCAGCAACATTGATATAAAAAACTTGCCTTTAATTGGTTCAGTTACAAAGCAACGTGTAAATGGATCTCCTGTTAAACCAGGTGTACACGTGCATGCTGGAAGATGGTTGAATACAGTACAATCTGCATTTAGACCACAGCTGCCTGGGCATGGATCAATACATTTCATATTTATGCAGGCTTTATTAGATGGACAGTCCTGATTTATCGCACACTCTGGCTTGCAATTAGGTGGGGCTCCTTGGAAGTTTGGCAAACATGTACATAATGGTGCTTCATTATGATTTTTGCATATTGCGTTATCTCCACATGGATTCGGTACGCAAGGATCTCTATGTTCTTGAAGTTGTTTTGGCGCTGTATGTAAAAACATAAATGTAGTTTATATGCAACAATAACATAACTTTAAATTACTATGCAAAAATAATCTTACGTTCTAAGTAACATCTAGTGAATGGATCACCAGTGTGTTGTTCTTTGCATGAGCATATAGGACTGTGACCTATAACTCTACAATCGGCGTTGACTCCACAATGCGCCGGGCATGGGTTGACACATTTCAAATTTATGCAGGCTTTATTTGTGGGACATTCTGAACTGACTGTGCATTCTGGGCGGCAGCCAGGAGGTGATCCTACATAATCAGGCATACAAGAGCATGCGCTTTGACCATTGACTGCACGACAAACGCTATTCGGTCCACAAGGATTCGGAGAACATGGCGAAATGGGTTCGATGTTTTGCTCTGAAAATAAAAAAATATATTTTAATATTAAAAAAAAATATTTCTCTGAAAACAAATTTGAAATTGAAAGAGTTGAGTTGAGTCTTACCATTTTGAATAATACACTGTCGATATGGATCACCCGAGTATCCAAATGGACAACTGCATGATGGAAGATGGTTTACAACTGTACACACCGCTACTGGGGCACATGTACCAGGGCACGGGTCTTGACATTTGTTACGGATGCAGGTTTTGTCTGGAGTACAGTCGGTGTTTACAGTACATTCCGGACGACAACCTTCATAAGGATTACCGATATAATCTGCTAAACAGGAGCATGATCCTGCGGTTAGGTGTTCCTTGCATATAGCGTTAGCACCACATGGAGATGGTATGCATGGCGATATTTTTTCTGGCTGCACATTATTTTGCAAAAAGCATTGTGTAAATGGATCCCCAGTATAACCATCTTGGCAGAAACACATCGGCGAATGACTGATCGTTTTGCATTGTGCATTGACACCACACGCGTTTATACATGGATCTTGACATCTTTGATTTACACACGTCTTGTCAGTTGAACATTCGCTATTTGCTGTACACTCAGGCTTACAGTAAGGTGGTGAACCGAAGAATTCTGATAAGCAAGCACATGAAGGTGCCTCGTTGACCACTTTACAGATAGAATTGGGGCCACACGGTGAAGGCAAACATGGAGTAGCGTCGGAAAGAACTGGCCCTAGAAACAAACATATTATTGAGACAACGAGATAATTAAACAATATTTATTAAGAATCTGTGTTAAGTTGTAAAAAAAATTATAGCATCTCAGTGGTACAGCAAAAGTACGAACTTGGGCCTTGGGTTTTATACTCGCCTGTGTAATCGAAAGCTTTCAATTTAGAATATTTTTTTAATGTTATACATATCTAATTTACTAATAAGAAATATAACTCACGGTAAGGAATACAGCGAATGAATGGATCTCCTGTGTATTTAGCTGGGCACGAACAAATGGGATTGTGTTTAACTACTTCGCATAAGGCGTCAACACCGCAAGAGCCCTTGCATGGGTTAATACACCTCAAATTACTGCAGGCCATATTAAGTGCACAGTCAGAACTGACAACGCACTCGGGTCGACATAACGGTGGACTGCCGATGTATCCAACAACGCAGGTGCATACCGCTTGCCCATTTACTTCTCGACATTGACTATTCGGTCCACAAGGTGATGGAAGGCATGGATTCGTTATAACTGGAACTGGTGGTGACCAAAATTATATAATTTGTATATATTCATATGTAATAAATAACGCTAATGTGATTAATTTTATTTACCTTGTATTTTTTCGCACTGATAGAAAGCGTTACCAGTCATGCCGTGCGGGCAGCTGCACATGGGCACGTGATTAATGACTTCACACACGGCAGTAACAGCGCACGTGTTTGGACAAGGGTCCACGCACTTATTCCTGATACATGCTTTATTTTGTGAACAATCTGTGCTCAGAACACACTCAGGACGGCACCCAATGTAGGGATCGCCGTGATAATCTTCAGAACACGTGCAGCTCCCATCCCTGCATATTGCATTTGTTCCGCACGGAGACGGGTTACATTTGTCAGAAACATCTAAAACTAGAAGAAAGAATATACAATTACATAAATTTAACGCACCAAATATTTTATTAGCGATTATAAATTATGTTGTACATACCGGGTTTTATTCTCGGACTGCAAGCTGAAAAAGCATCACCATCATAGCCATCAGGGCAAGAACAAATTGGTGTATGCCGGGAAACGGTACAAATGGCGTTAATGCCACAGGAACCAAGACAAGGATCTCGGCACTTTTGTTGTATGCAAGCTTTCGACGTTGGACATTCAGAGTTTAGCATGCATTCCGGTCTACAATTTGGTGGACTTCCCATGTAATTTTCCATGCAAGAACAGGAAGGTATATTTCCAATGTCTTTACAAACTGAATTAGGTCCACAGGGGGATGGTACACACGGGTTTGTATACGGTTCTAGAACGGCGTTGGCCACCGGTGCTGTAAAAATAAAACATTTTGTTTTGTAAATGTTTATCCACGATTGACAAAATTATAAATATTAATTATAATAATAATAAATCTTACGAGGCAAAGGACTGCATCTTGTGAATGGGTCTCCAGTATAGTACTGCTTACAGTAACAAATGGGGCTATGATTGATAACTCTACAATCTGTATTTAGTCCACATGCATTCAAGCAAGGGTTTACGCAATTTTTATCTACGCAAGCCTTATTCTTCGGACATTCGGAACTTATAACGCATTCTGGGTGACAACCAGGTGGAGTGCCGATGAAATCGGGCAAACATGAACATACGGCTTGCTTATTCACATCTTGGCATCTACTATTTGGCCCACAAGGTGAAGGACTGCATACGTTTATTACGGTTATTTCATCTCCTAAAATATTAAATGATTATATTTAATTAATTAAACTAACTAAAAAAACATACGTAACTTAAGTACTTATTTAGAAGAGTAATTAAGGTATGCAATAAAATTTACAATCGTAACATTTTTTTTAACTATTTATTAGACTTACTTTGTAAGGAACAATATCTGAATGGGTCGCCTGTATATCCCGGCGGGCAAGAACAAGATGGCGCATGATTAACAGCTTGACAAACAGCGTTCGGTGCGCATGAGCCATCACATGGATCCTGACATTTATTTCGTAGACATGCTTTATTCGAAGGACAATCTGAGTTGATGACGCACTCCGGTCGACAACCTTCATACGGGTTGCCGTAATAATCTGGTAAGCAAATACATGAGCCTGCATCCCTAAACTCTTTACAAACAGCGTTTGCCCCACATGGTGAGGGTTGACATGGTGTTAATGTTTCTTGTAGTATTTCTCTTCTATGACATTCTATAAATGGATCTCCGGTATATTCTTGTAAACAAGAACAAGATGGGGAATGGCTGATGACGTGACAGTTAGCATTTAAGCCACATGCGCCCACGCAAGGATCGGTACATTTTTCATTTATGCAGGCAAGGTGCGTAGAACATTCAGAATTACTAATGCACTCAGGTTTGCAATATGGTGGAGTTCCATAATATCCGGATTGACAGGAGCATGACGGTGAATCTGCAATTTCTTTGCAAATGGCGTTTGGTCCACACGGTGAAGGTACACAAGGATTTTGTCTTTCGGGTACAAATTCTTGTAAAATACATCTTACAAAAGGATTTCCCGTATATGACGACGGGCAAGAACATATAGGGTTGTGATTTATCACTTGGCATTTAGCTCCAACCCCACATGCTCCTTGACAAGGTTTGATACATTTTCTATTGGAGCACGCTTCATCCGGCAAACAATCGGTGCTTACTACACACTCAGATCTGCACGAAGGTGGTGTACCAATAAAACTTTCTAAGCAAGAACATACAGCTTGTCCATTAATCTCACGGCACTGGCTGTTTGGTCCACATGGAGATGGATTGCAAGGGTTTTTATTTACAACTAGAATATAATAGAGAATAGTAATTAATATATGTTTTTCCTCCAGTTTACACAGAAACACGAAATACTAAGACAATAGTAATTCTTACCTTCCATCATTGTGCACTGAACAAATGCGTTTCCAATCATATTTTCTGGACATCTGCACATGGGTACATGATTCACCACTTCACATATCGCGTTTACAGCACATACGTTAGCATTGCAAGGGTTGACGCATTTTTGTTTATAACATGCTCTATTTTTGTCACAATCCGAACTTAGTACACATTCTGGACGGCACTCAAAGTATGGATCACCTTGGAACTCAGGTAGACAAGTGCATTCTCCATCATCACACACAGCATTAGGTCCGCAAGGTGATGGGTTACAGGGGTCAATATTATCTTGTTGTACTTCTGCAACTAAATCATACACAATATATAATTAAAGATGAATGAACAACTAACTATACTTCGTTGTAATTTTTAACTACGACCCGTAACTACAACGTACGTAACGTTGTAGTTACGGGTCGTAGTTAAAAATTGATTAACTGATATAGTATGAATTTTAAAGAGCTGAAAATATTAAAGTAATTTTTATAAACCTACCTTGAAGTTTACATTCACTGAAGGCATCGCCAACAAAGTTCTGAAGGCAAGTACATATAGGCATGTGGTTTTTCACAATGCACTGAGCGTTTATGCCACATGAACCAGGACAAGGATCTCTACATTTCTGATTGATGCAAGCTAAATTACTGGAACAGTCTGAGTTAATGACGCATTCTGGGCGACAATTTGGTGGAGCCCCTAGATATTGAGGGAGACATGTGCACGAAGGCACCGACCCTATCTCTAAACATTGGCTGAAAGGTCCGCATGGAGACGGTGAACAAGGATTTTTAGGTGAATCATCTAAAATAGGAACGGTTATAGGGTAACATCGACTGAAAGGATCTCCTGTATATTCATCTTTACAAGTACATATTGGGCTGTGATTGATTGTACGACATTTAGCGTTATGTCCACACTGTCCAATGCATGGATCAACACATTTATGAGCGACGCACGCCTCGTGTGAAGGACATTCTGCGCTTACAACACACTCCGGACGACAATTCGGTGGAATACCTCGATATTCTGGGATACAGCTACATATAGCTTGATTATTAGTTACTTTACAATTACTATTAGGTCCGCAAGGCGAAGGAGAACATGGGTTTGTTACTATCTCAATTTCTGAAATAAAAAATTAATGTTAGAAAATAATACAAATGATGAGAGTACTGATGCTGAATACATAGATACATATAGCAAATCTTGCTTTACGTACCTTGCTTATAAACACAATTCCTGAACGGATCTCCTGTAAAGCCGGATAAACATGTGCAACGCGGAACGTGGTTTATTGTATGGCATTGTGCATTTATTCCACATGTGCCGGGGCATGGATCTTGGCATCTACCTTGTTGACACACTTTATCGGAGGTACAATCAGTATTAACAACGCATTCTGGGCGACAACCTTCGTATGGATTTCCAAAATATCCCTGAAGGCAAATGCATGATCCCACATTTTGGCGTTGCTTGCATATGGCATTACTACCGCACGGTGACGGCGTGCACGGTGAAAGTTGTTCAACAGCGGAACTGATTATTTCACATGAGACAAATGGGTCACCCCTATATCCTTGAGGACAAACGCAATTTGGAGTATGGCTTACTACGCGACACTCTGCTAGGGAACCACAAGCGCCTATACAAGGATCGTTGCATTTGCTATTTACACAGGCCATATTGTTTGAACATTCACTATTACTTGTGCATTCTGGACGACAACTAGGGGGAGTTCCAATGAACTCTTGCATGCAAGAGCACGATGGGCTCTCGTTTACTGTTTGGCAAATTGAGTTCGGTCCACATGGTGAAGGCAGGCATGGATTCACTTGAGGTGGGGTTTCAAGAGCTGAAAGACAAACAATATATTAAACTAACTAATCGTTGGCTTATAAATAAATGTTACCGTCTTTCTTTATGTCTCAATCTGATAAATAACAATAACAGAAATATACTCACGACGCGGTATACATCTGTTGAAAGGATCTCCTGTGAGATCAACAGGACAAGAACATATTGGATTATGATTTACTATTTCACACAACGCATTAATCCCACATGATCCAACACACGGATTTACGCATTTATAGTTGTTGCAGGCTTTATCAAGTGGACACTCAGCGCTAGTAGTACACTCCGGTCTACACGTCGGAGGATTTCCAGAGAAACCAGGAAGGCAAGAACATACTGCTATATTATTTACTTCTCGGCACTGACTATTAGGTCCACACGGACTTGGATTACATGGATTAGATGGTGTAAGGGCTGAAAATAATGTATTTTAGTAATTCAAATGTCAAAACAAGAAGCAGATGTATTGTACCTATACAGATGTAACATAACAAGAAGTACTAAAGTATACAGACCTTGTACACGGTTACATGAGACGAAAGCGTTTCCAGAATGTCCCGATGGACAGCTGCACATAGGTATATGATTGATGACTTCACATACGGCATTTACTCCGCATGTAGCTGGACAAGGATTATGACATTTCTTATTTAAACATATTTGAGTCTTTTGACATTCAGTACTTGTAATGCATTCTGGCCTACAGCCAACGTATGGATCCCCGTGATATTCAGGTAGACATGAGCATTCCCCGTTTTCACAATGCGCATTAGATCCACAAGGTGATGGATTACACAAGTCAGCTTCTACAGGTTCTGGAATACATTAAACTCTAAATAAGTAAAATTCAAAGGGATAACATTACTACAATTATAATTTTAACATACCTCTTAATGGTCGTAAACGACATGCAGTAAAGGGATCCCCTACATAACCGTCGAAACATGAACAAATCGACAAATGTCTGTTGACAGTACATTGAGCGTTCTGTCCGCATGCCCCAGGGCAAGGGTCTTTACATTTTTCATTTATACAGGCCAGAGAGCTAACACAATCCTCATTACTAACACATTCTGGCCTGCAATTGGGTGGACTTCCTAAGTATCCTGGGGTACACGAGCAGGATGCCTGTCCATTAATTACTTGACAAATAGCGTATGCACCACACGGGCTTGGCAAACATGGATCTTGATTCTCGACAAGTTGCGGTTGGATAACTAAAATTATTATTATTTTAACTATAAGTAGTGTAGGTATAACTGATCTAGACGTGTTTTTTACGTAACTAACGTTTCTTTTAAATTACCACTTATTTCGTGATGTACAAATTAATATTTTTTTCTTTGTTTCTAATAGACTAAAGAACTTTAATAATTTTTAATTAATATTTACAACGAATGTCATATATACCTGGTTTCTTGTAACATCTTGTAAATGGATCTCCAGTGAAACCTTGTAGACAGCTACATATGGGATTGTGGTGAATGACGCGACACTCAGTCTTTGACCCACAAGTCTCAAGGCAGGGGTTGACGCATTTTTGATTAACACATGCTTTATCTGATGGACACTCAGAATTGAGTAAACATTCTGCTCTACATTTCGGTGGTTCTCCGACAAAGTTAGGCAAACAACTGCATACTGGTTGATCATTGATATTTTTACACTGGCTGTATGGACCACACGGATTTGGTTGGCAAACGTTAGTAGGCTGCGGTGAGTTGACTAAAAGAGTTCAAAAATTAATGATTAGGCATAAATGGAAATTCAAAGTAATTTCTATATCTATATATTAAATTCTATTCTATATTTTATCTTAAGGTACTTACGTGGGATTATATTGCATCGTCGAGTAGCATCACCAGTGTAACCAGTTATACAATTACACGAAGGTAAGTGATTCACGGTGGTACATTCTGCATTCACTCCGCAAGATCCCGGACAAGGATCTTGACACTTGCTATTGAAACAGGCTTTATTTCCGGGGCAATCAGAGTCACTGACACATTCTGGTCTACAACCTTCATATGGGTTTCCAAAGAAACCCTCATTACATATACAGGCTCCCGCATTGTTTTGTTCTCTACAAACGGCGTTTGGACCACACGGTGATGGATAACATGGGTTTAATATTTCTATCGAAGTACGCATTGTACACCTGGTGAATGGATCTCCCGCAAATCCTTCTGGACACACACACATTGCAGCGTGACTCACTACATGGCATTGAGCGTTTTCTCCACAAACTTGTGTGCATGGATCTTGACATTTTTGGTTTTTACAAGCTAAATGAGGTGAGCATTCACTATTGCTGATACATTCTGGTCTGCAGTAAGGCGCTTGACCCTTAAAACCAGGCAAACACGTACAAGAAGGATTTTCGTTAATTTCTTGGCAAACTGAGTTCGGACCACAAGGGGATGGTTGGCAAGGGTTCACGATAAATGGAGCGGTATCTATAAAAAAAATATTGTTACACTCAGGTAGGTATATTAAAAACTTCTTTAAAATGGTTTCTATAACTTGGGCTGGATTTTGAATATAAAATTAAATACAAAAACAAATATACTTACTCAGAACTAAACTACAAGCAACGAATGGATCACCAGAGTACTTCTCGGGACAGACACATATGGGATTATGGTTGATAACTTCGCATGTAGCTTTAACCCCACATGCACCCACACATGGATTGATACACTTCTGATTCATGCAAGCTTGATTTAAAGGACACTCTGAACTACCAGCACACTCTGGTCTACAAGCGGGAGGTACACCTAAGTATGTTGGTAAACAAGAACACACAGCTTGATTGTTTATAACTCTGCATTGACTATTAGGTCCACATACGGCTGTATTACACGGATTTTCTAGAGGTTGCGCTGTAACAATTATAAAAATGTAAATAAGTTAAATTACCAATGTCAGTAAATTTCCTTTCTAAACATTAAGGATTACTTAAAACCTTACCCTTTATTGGAGAACATGCAATAAAAGCGTTGCCGGTATGTCCAGCACTGCAGCTACACATAGGAATGTGGTTGATTACTTGACAAACTGCATTATGACCGCAGGCATCTACGCACGGATCAATGCACTTCTTTTGTACACACGCTCTATTCCAGTCACAATCAGTACTAAAAACGCATTCCGGTCGGCAATTAAAGTAAGGATCTCCATTGTAGTCTGGCAAACATTGACAGTGGCCGTTGATGCATTCGGCATTTGCCCCACATTGCACTTTGGTACAGGAATCAGAGACCGTGGCTTCAACTATAAAAAATAGTATTGTGTAATTAGGGTTTTATTCGAAAGAACTTTTCAAATGCCAATTTTGTCTGATAAAAACAGTTTGAACAAACCTTGTAGTGGCTGTAATTTACAACTTGTAAATGGGTCACCAATGTAACCAATGATACAAGAACAAATTGGTATATGATTTTGAACGTGACACGTTGCTGACAAACCACAGGAACCGGGACAAGGATCTCGGCATTTGGAATTGATGCAAGCGAGGTCACTGGGGCAGTCAGCATGTATAGTACATTCTGGTCTACAGTTCGGCGGACTTCCAATAAATTCTGCTAAGCAAGTACACCTAGGAGATGTTCCGAGGCTTTGACATAAGGCGTTAGGCCCACACGGTGACGGTATACATGGGTCGCTCGTTTCTTGAGGAGATGCAACTAAAAGTAAGATTAGTAAATAACATGTTTCATGATATGTACATTTTGTTAATACAAATAGTTTTATTAAACTTACCAGGAATAAGAGTACAAATTGTGAAGGGATCTCCTGTATAAAATTGTTTACAAGAACATATGGGGCTGTGATTTACGACTTTACAATTTGCATTCATACCGCAAGAATTAAGGCAGGGATCAGTACATTTGTTTTTAATACATGCTCTATCTTGTACGCATTCCGAACTAGTGACACATTCTGGGCGGCAATTTGGCGGTGTTCCGATATATTCTTGGAGACACGAACAAATAGCTTGATTATTTGCAACTTTACATTGGCTATTAGGCCCACAGGGTGAAGGATAACAAACATCAGTGGGCTGTATCGGTGTCGGATCTAAAAATGTAGTTACATGGAATTAACCTTCAAATTATTGATGCCACTATTCAAAATATGATTATTTTATGAATCCAATAATATTGGATTTTAAATTTATCACTCTCTACTTCACTTACGATTCACACATTACAACAAATAAGACTGACCTTGATAAACACAATTTCTGAACGGATCTCCAGTATAGCCGCTGATGCATGTGCAAAGTGGTGCATGATTGACGACTACACACACCGCATTGGAACCACAACTACCAGGACATGGATCAAAACATTTATTATTGGAACAAGCTTTATTGCTTGGGCAATCGGTGTTTACTACACATTCTGGCCGACAACCTTCATAGGGATTTCCAAGGTAACCTTCAACACAACTGCAAGAGCCGGCATTGTTTCTTTCTTTGCATAAGGCATTAAAACCGCAGGGAGAAGGCGAGCATGGTTTCGTTACTATTTCTTCCCGTAATGGCTCCAAAGAACATTCGAAGAATGGGTCCCCAATATATCCATGGGAACAAATGCAGTTTGGCGAATGACTAACAACTCGACACTCGGCATTAGTGCCACATGCCCCTTCGCAGGGATTTATGCATTTCATATTAAAGCATGACATCTGTGGTGAACAGTCTTCGTTACTGGTACATTCAGGTCGGCAATATGGTGGCTGTCCCCGATAATTCTCGAGACATGTACAAGATGGAACATCATTGATGATTTTACATATGGAGTTCGGCCCACAAGGCGATGGAGAGCAAACGTCAATAGGTTTCATTGGTTTGTTAGCTGAAATATGTGTATTAAATGTTTGAATATAATTTATTTTAATATGGTGATTGACAATATCAACAATGAATTTAAAAAATACATACATAGTTTATAGCATCGAGCAAATGGATCCCCAGAAAACGATGAGGGACAAGTACAAATCGGATTATGGTTTACAACTCTACATTCAGCATTAACCCCACAGGCGCCATCGCAAGGATTAGTGCATCGCTGATTGGTGCACGCTTGATCTAACGGACACTCCGACGATATTGTACATTCGGGTCGACATACTGGTGGGCTGCCTACCGAGTTTGGCGCACAGGAACATACAGCTTGTCCATTTACAACTTTGCATTGACTGTTAGGTCCACACGGAGTAGGCTGGCACGGATTTATAATGTTTGGTTCTGCAATACAAAACGACGCTTAGTCCAAATTTGTTGATGTACGGACGTTTGATACCATATGACGGTCAAGTGGTTAGTGTATATTGTTTGATTAGGGGCCTGTATTGTTCTTTTGCTCATTATTTTATAAAGGTGTTTCTTTCGAGTCTCAATCTATACAAATATTTAAAGGTGAAGAGTTCGTTCGTTGAACGCGCTACTCTCAGGAACTACTGGTTTGAATTGTATTTATTTTGTGTTAGTTAAAACATTCATCAAGGAAGGAAGGAACATCGCGCAGTGACTAATATGAGAGAAGAAGCAGTGGGAAATGTGAAAAACAACCGAGAGAAAAATTTTATCCCTGTCGGTTTCCGATGCGTACGCTGCGAAAACGGTTCAAAATAAATACTGTCCATAGTTTACGCGAATAGTACACATTTAAATAAAACACTTTAACGGTTTAAAACGCGATATATTAGTTAAACGGGTCACGGGGAGACGGGACGCATCCGATATCTAAGACCAGGTTTGCAAAAACAAATTTGGATGCCCATAATAACTATTCTAGGAGGACGAAGTCGCTGATATAGCTAGTTACTAATAAAGAAACACAGGTTAAGGTATGATTCTTAATTTTTGCTTTTTCATTAAAATTTCTTTCTTTCTTACCAGACATTAACGTGCATTCAATGAATGCATTCCCGGTCATCCGATCAGGACAACTGCACATCGGAATATGATTGACAACTTCGCATCGAGCATTGGAAGCGCAAGTGCCTGGACATGGATCTTTACATTTATTTCTTATACAGGCTTTAGTGCGCTCACAGTCAGTACTAAGAGTACATTCTGGACGGCAACCACTATATGGATCCCCTTGGAAATCCTGCAGGCAGCTACATTTACCGTTCGTGCACTGGGCGTTTGTTCCACAAGGCGATGGATTACATAAGTCAATTTTTGTTACATCTGTAAATTGTTTAGCGTTCCATTATATAAGTACTTAAAGTATAATGGTCCTTTAAGTATATGAATAGTTTGAGATGTATTTAAAAAAGTTCACATACCTTTTTGCGGTGCAAGGACACATTGAGTAAAAGCATTTCCAGTATAACCTTCTCTACAGTTACAAATTGACACATGATTTTGAACAAAGCAATTGGCATTAATTCCGCAAGAACCGGGACATGGATCGCGGCACTTTTGATTAATGCAAGCTAGATTACTGTTACAGTCTTCGTTTATAGTACATTCAGGTCTACAATTAGGTGGGCTTCCTTCATAACTTGGCAGACACGAACAACTCGGTAAGTTATTAATTGTCTTGCAGACAGAATTTGGTCCACAAGGTGACGGCAAGCACGGATCTCTCACTTGCTGAACATCTAGCGATGCTTAAAAATAGAGTTTAAGTTACAATCATAATTCAAATTAAATTATTTGAATGTAAATAAGATTGGACTTGTGTAATTCGGTAGATGATCCAAGACAAACTTACCGATAATTTTGTAACATCTAGAAAATGGATCGCCTGTATATGAAGGTGAACATGTACATATTGGGCTGTGATTTATAGCTCTACAGTCGGTGTTTTGTCCGCAAGGACCAGGACACGATGCAACGCATTTTCGATTTTTGCAAGTCTTGTCTACTGGACATTCTGCGTTTATTACACACTCTGGTCTGCAATTTGGTGGCGATCCCTGATATTCAGGTAAGCAAGAACAGACACTTTGACCATTTGAAACTTTACACTGGCTATTCGGTCCACAAGGAGAGGGTTCACACGGATTTGTTGGCAGTTCATCTCGTTCTGAAAACAGAAAGAAAGTTAGTAAATTTGCTTGTTTGATTACAGTGATTTATCGACAATATTGATAGAAATGTATAATAAAGGAAAATAACTTACGATTAAACACGCAGTGCCTAAACGGGTCGCCAGTATATTGCGCAGGGCATGTACACATTGGTAAGTGATTAACAACCTCACACTCCGCATTTACAGCGCAAGTACCGGGGCATGGGTCCATACATTTGTTTCTATTACAAGCTTTGTTACTTGGGCAGTCAGAATTTACTACACATTCGGGACGACAAGCTTCATACGGGTCCCCAAAGTATCCGTTTAAGCAAATACATGCTCCTATGCCGCCTCGCTCAATACATTCTGCGTTAGATCCACACGGTGATGGTGAACATGGGTTTATATTCTCGAATGGAGTGAGTGCGTTGATCGTGCATGTCACCGCTGCGTCGCCTGTATATCCTTCGAGACAGATACAAATAGCCGAATGACTTACAACGCGGCAATCAGCATTCGTTCCACATGCTTGCTTACATGGATCTTGACATTTTCTATTAATACAGGCCAACAAAGGTGCACATTCACTATTCGAAATACATTCCGGTCGGCAGTTTGGTGGAGCTCCAAGGAACCCAGGAATGCATTGGCAAGTGGCAGTAGCAGTTGCAGATTCTTGGCATATTGCGTTGGGACCACACGGGGACGGCTGACAAGGATTGCTATAGACTGCTGGTTCTGATATAGCTATTAAAGAGCGTAACGATATTAACATTGAAACAAAATAAAATATGTGAAAGAACATGTAAGTCTAGATTAAATACGAGTACACTTACGTATATTAATACATCTCGAAAAAGGATCCCCGGTATACCCAGATGGGCATGTACAAATAGGATTATGTTTGATCACTTGGCAGTTAGCTCCAACACCACACGCGCCTTCGCAAGGGTTCACGCACTTTTGATTACTACAAGCTCTGTTAAGGGCACAATCAGAACTGCTAACGCATTCTGGTCGACACATAGGCGGTGCACCTTTATAGTTGGACAAACAAGAGCATACCGCTTGTTGATTATGCACTGTACAGCGGCTGTAAGGTCCGCATGGACTTGGTTCGCACGGATTTGTAATCACGGTTTCTGTAAAAGTTATACGTGTAAGATATTTTTGAATAAATAAAAATGAATCCAAAATTTGCTTAAAAACAAACCTCTAATCGGGGTGCATCTTAAAAATGCGTTTCCAGTCGTTTTGTGGGGACATGTACAAATAGCCATATGACTCACAACGCCACAGTCGGCATTCAAGCCACATGTATTATTGCAGGGATTGATGCAACGATTTCTAACACATGCCTTGTCCATTGGGCAATCAGAACTGGTGGTACATTCAGGGCGACATTCAAAGTAAGGATCGCCGTTATGATCGGGCAGACAAGTGCAAATGCCGTTATTGCATTCAGCGTTTACGCCACACGGTGAAGGATGGCAGGGATCCCGCAAAGTGACATCTGAAAACGATAGAGTAAAAAAATTTTTTTGTTATTTTTAGACAGAGAAAACTGGTGAAATATTCTATTCTATAATATCATGTTATGAGACGCTATCGGTTACACAATGGAACCAAAAAGTATTCTCTACAAAACTTTCTATTAGGTACCAGTAGCTCGGATGTCATTTAAAGACCATGCCCTGCTAACTAGGCCTAACATTTTATTACAAAAATTAAAAATAAATATTTAAAAACCTGTGTGTCATGCAAAGCTACAATTGGACCATAGAACCATTAAAAAAAAATTGTTCTATTTAAATAGCTATACATACCTTTTTGTGGTCTTAGCGCACAACTTTGGAAAGGATCACCAATGTATCCGTCGATACACGTACAGATAGATAAATGGTTTTGTACTCTACATTCTGCATTTAATCCACAGGAACCAGGACAAGGGTCGACGCATTTTTCATTGATACAAGCTTTGTCACTGTGGCAATCTGTATTAATAATACACTCTGGACGACAATTAGGTGGACTACCTATGTATTGTGGCATGCAGGAACACGATGGTACACCGTTAATATCGCGGCATTGTGAAAATGAGCCACATGGGTTCGGTGTGCAAGGATCAGTTTGAACAGCTACAGTAGCTTCAATAACTAAAAATAAATAGTAATGCTAGTTAAAAGTTGAAACACTTAAATCAATATAATTAAAGGCATCTCTTCCAAGCACGTTCTATACACAAATGGAGAAACATCACAACAGAGGAGACGTTATAAATAAAACGTTGTGATAACCATACTTTAACTATAAAATTACCTATACAAGAACCATAACTAAAGATATGATTACACTTTAATACTATCACATTTTTTACCTCTATAGCATCGATTAAATGGATCTCCGGTATAATGTGTTGGACATGAACATATGGGACTGTGGTTTATGACTTTGCATTCAGCTTCCAGCCCACAGACACCTTCACATGGATTCCTACATTTTTGGTTTATACACGCTTGATTTTGTTGACATTCTGAGCTAACGAGACATTCTGGTCTGCATGATGGCGGGGAGCCAATATAATTTGTTTTACAGGTACATACAGCCTGATTATTAGATTCTTTACAAATACTATTCGGACCACAAGGGGAAGGTAAACAAGGATTTTTCTGCGGCGTTATTTCTTCTGCAATAAAATATTTACAAAAATAGTTTAGTTCATGCTTTGCTATTACTGAAATTGAGATATGGACAATGCAATAAATGCTGCGTATGTTCTTAATATAAAAAAGACTACCTTTCAGTTTTACGGTGCACTCTTGATATGGACTTCCAACAAAACCAGATAGACATTCACATTTCGGTATATGATTAACTACATTACAAACAGCATTCCGTCCACACACATTGTTGCAGGGATTTCTGCATTTATTTTGAATACATGCCAAGTTAGAAGAGCAGTCCGAATTAACGACACATTCTGGCCGACAGCCTTCGTAAGGGTTTCCATTATACTCAGGAACGCATACGCATGACCCAGCGCCATTAAATTCTTTGCAAATGGCGTTAGGGCCACATGGGGACGGCGAACAAGGCGTGAGTGGTACATCTATCTTCACACAATTTATAAATGGATCACCAGTAAAACTTGGTGGACAGTAGCACTGTGGTGCGTGACTTACGACTTTACACTCTGCTCCTGTTCCACAAGACCCTGGACAGGGATCTTTACATTTTTCGTTTATGCATGCCATTTCATTGGGACATTGAGAATTGGCTATACATTCTGGTCTACAGTTCGGTGGACTTCCTAGGTAATTATCTTGACACGCGCAAGACGGAGACCCGCTAATCTCTTGACAAATGGAATTTGGTCCACATGGTGATGGCAGACACGGATTGACGTAAGAAGGTTCATCGTTTTCTATAACAACAGTTAAAAGTTATTGTCACACAATAAATATGATGTTGTAAAAATTTTAATTGCAAACACTAATAGTTTTTATGAATTGTAGAAAATTGTACAAATTACCTTTTTAAGAATATAAGAAAAAGTTGTTAATTCTAAATTTGATAGTGAGCTTTTGGAATGTTTACTGTATAGCAGAAGTAATTAATAAATATTACCTTTTAATAAACATTTGGTAAATGGATCACCAGTAAATCCAGTTGGGCATGAACAAATAGGATTATGGTTTATAACTTGACACAATGCCCCCACACCGCAATTTCCATTACAGGGGTCGATACATTTTTGGCCCGAACACGCCTTGTTCAATGCACATTCAGAACTAGTCACACATTCAGGTCGACAAGTTGGAGGCGCGTCTCTGTAGCCCGGTAAACATGTACAAATCGCCTGGCCATTGATTTCTCTGCATTGACTGTTCGGCCCGCACGGAGATGGTTGACAGGGTTTTATGTTTTCAATAATTGCAACTGGTCTACAATCAACGAAGGCATTTCCAGTATGATTAGGTAAACAAGTACACATGGGAATATGGTTTACAACATTGCAGATTGCTTGGCGACCGCAGGTATTCTGACAAGGATCAACACATTTACTCTTGAAGCACGCTTTGTCGTGTGGACAATCGCTACTCATGAGACATTCTGGCCTACAACCGAAATATGGGTCACCTTGATAATCTAGGATACAAGTGCATTTGCCTTCATTGCATTCGGCGTTTGGACCACAAGGAGACGGGTTGCACAAGTCTAATTCCGTTATTTCTGAAAAGGATAATAAAAAGAATGACAATCATACTGTTAAATAAAAATGTTGTAGTAAATGTTATTGTTGTGTATATTTACCATCTTTTTGAGGCTGCAAACGACACTCAAAGAATGGATCCCCGGTAAATTGATCTAAACAACTGCACTGCGCGATGTGATTAAATACTGTACATTGTGCGTTAAGTCCACAAGCACCCAGGCACGGACTTTGACATTTTTCATTAATACAAGCCTGATCACTAGGGCATTCTGAATTCATTATACATTCCGGGCGGCAGTTAGGAGGTGATCCTATGTAGTTTAGTTCACAAGCACAAGATGGAACGCCTCCAACATTCCGACATGTAGCATAAAGACCACAAGGTGAAGATAAACATGGATCGGAGAGTTGTTGCTTATCCGGCGGAGGTAAAACTAAAAAAAAATTTTTGTTATTGTATTTTAATAGAAATATAAAAAAATATGGGAAGTATATGTTTTTATTGATTATATCTCACTTGTCATTGGATAGCATCTGGTAAATGGATTTCCCGTTAAACCTTGATTGCAAACGCAGATAGGGCTATGATTTATGACATTACATCTAGCTCGTTCACCACAGCTGCCTATGCAAGGATCTGAACATTTTTGGTTAATGCATGCCAAGTGAGGTGGACATTCAGAGCTCAAGACGCATTCAGGACGACAATAGGGTGGTGAGCCACTAAATAACGGTAAACAAGAGCATACTCCTTGTCCATTTACTACTTTGCATTGACTGTTTGCACCACATGGGTTTGGATTGCATGGCTCGTTTTCCAACACTTGAGCTGAAAAATAAATATTTGTAATTTCATTTTTACTGTCTTCTTCTACTTCTAAATACAACTTTAGCAAATTTATTTTGACATAACTTACGTTCTTGAAGTATATTGCAATAACTGAAGGGATTACCAGTGTAGCCCGTATGGCAGAGACAATTTGGCACATGATTATTAACAATACAGTAAGCGTTTGAACCACAACTTCCTGGACATGGGTCTAAGCATTTCATCCCAGAACAAGCCTTATTAAGCGGGCAATCTGTGTCTACGACGCATTCGGGCCTACATCCTTCATATGGATTTCCATTATATCCTTCGGCACATTGACAAGCACCTATGCCGTTTTGTTCTCTACATACCGCGTTAGAACCGCATGGATTGGGATTACATGGGTGTAGGATCTCATTAGGTATAGATACAACTTCTATACTACAGTGCGAAAACGGATCTCCTGTATAACCAGTTTGACATAAACATACTGGAGAATGGCTTACTACACGGCAGTCTGAATTTATACCGCATGTTCCTTCACACGGATCCGAACATTTCTGATTAATACACGCAAAATTGTGATCGCATTCACTGTTACTTATACATTCGGGTCTACAGTGAGGTGGAGTTCCCATGTATGTGTCAAGGCAAGCACAAATAGGGCCACCATCTTTGGTTCTGCATGTTGAATATGGTCCACAAGGCGAGGGCTCACATGGATTGATTTGGATTGGTTCATGCACTACGACAAAGATTTAAGAATATTTTATTACAATATTACTCCAATTATTTTTCAATATTTAATATATATAAGAGACATTTATTAATCACATAAAAATGCACCAAAATTTACATTTCTTGGTTTTAAAATAATATTTTACTTACCAACGACTTCACATTTTCTGAACGGATCACCAGTAAATGAAGCAGGGCATGTACAGATTGGGTTATGGTTGATAACTTCACATATGGCAGCAATACCACACGCTCCCTCACATGGATTTATACACTTTTGATTTTGACATGCGGCGTTAAGAGGACACTCCAAACTGACCACGCATTCTGGTCTGCAGTTAGGAGGACTTCCTCGATACCCCACGAGACAAGAACATACTGCTTGACCATGAGACTGTTGACATTGACTATTCGGACCACAAGGTGAAGGACTGCAAGGGCTCTCCTTGGTAACTGGAAAAAATGTGCATATGTAAAACAAAGACACAAAGGGTATATTTTGATATATCTCAATTTAAATCAAGAGGACTAAAGGTACTTAAATAAGTAACTAAGAATTGTATTTTTTTATTATTATTAATATGGATGCAATTGTTTTCGACATATAACAATAGAATATTGAGTTTGTTGTTTATAATGTTTAGTAAGTATAGAAATATATTTACCACTGATAGGCCGGCATTCTGCAAAAGCATTTCCAGCCATTCCATGAGGACAAGAGCACATCGGTATATGATTTTGAACTTCACAAATAGCATTTAGCCCGCATGTGCCTATGCACGGATTGACACATTTATTACGCTGACAACCTTTATCCCGAGGGCAGTCTATATTATGCGAGCATTCCGGTCTGCAGCCCACAAATGGGTCACCGTGGTAATCAGTTATGCATGTGCAAATTCCATTATCGCATCTAGTATTTGCCCCACATGGGCTGGGATTGCATGGATTTCTTAGGGTGACTGGTGTATCTGAAACAATAATGTTTCATGAATGAAAAAAGCACTAGATAACTTAAATATTAATACTTGTATGTTATTCATAATTTAACATCAATTAAAAGAATAAAAAGTAAATGAACGACTAATTACTATAAAATAAAAAATGTAAAGCTGTTGTTTTGCGTACAACTCAGTAAGTAGTGGACTAAAAACAGATAAATAAAATGTTTGTTGTATGTTTGTACCTTTGATTGTATGAGGTTTGCATTCATTAAATGGATCTCCTGTAAAACCTTGCGGGCACAAGCATACAGCTACGTGTCTATTAACAAAACACTCTGCATATAAACCGCATGCACTTTCGCAAGGATTTCGACATTTTTCGGAGATGCAAGCCTTATCACTGGCACAGTCAGAGTTCACTACACATTCGGGCTTACAGAACGGTGGCGAACCCACGTAGTTAGGTAAACATGAACATGATGGTAAACCGTTTATATTTCGACACTCCGCATATAATCCACACGGTGATGAGAGACAAGGATCCACGTTTTCGTTCATTGAGAATGCGATTTCTATAAAAAAAACATAAATAAGTTAGAAATAAATTACGTATTACAATCTAGAGACATTATAATAATTACTTACGTAGTCTTCGGTTACATGCGACGAATGGGTCTCCCGTGTATCCCTGGCGACAGGAGCACACTGGACTATGATTTATAACTTTACAATCTGAGTTACTACCGCAAGGTTTAGGGCATGGATTTGCACATCTGTTATTCACGCATGCCCGATTGGTTTTGCAGTCTGAATTGGTAATACATTCAGGCTTACAGTTAGGTGGTGCTCCAATATAATTACTGAGACATGAACAAACCGGCTGGTCGTTTATTACTTTGCAATTAGCATTTAAGCCACACGGAGAGGGATTACAGACGTTTATGGAAATATCACCTAAAACATGATTAAATCACTATTGTAGAAGTTAAATACATAATTAGCTATGAGAGATACAACTTTGACTTACCTTGAATAAGAGAACACATCACTAACGCATTCCCAGTGAAACCAACTCGGCAGTTACATGTGGGTTTATGATTGGTAACAAAACAATCAGCGTTAAGTCCACAAACACCCGGACATGGATCTACACATTTGTTTTTAACACAAGCCGACATCAAGGAGCAATCAGAGTCCGCTATACATTCTGGCCGGCAACCTTGATAGGGGTCACCGAAATGATCAGGGCGACATGTGCAAGATCCCGCCTTTCCTTGTACATTACAATCCGCATTTACACCACAAGGGGAAGGCTCACATGGGTTTAAATATTCAACAGCGGTAGGAGCTGAAATATCATTTGAAAAATGAATACACTTACCATTACTATCCATTCACCGTAGAAGCACTTCCTGTTTCTGAAGCGTTAGTCGAAGCTTAACTCGGCTTTGACGACGTTAGGTGACCTCTCCAATCCGATGACGCCTTGCGAACCCGCCGCATTTTGAAAGCGGCCGCCTCAGAGTACGGCCTAAGCTTACTGTAAGTGCTATGTTATCTCCGCGTGCTCCGTTCAAAAGCGAGGCATTAATGTCAATTAAAATACGGACTATACAAATTACAAACAATGTTACATCCCATCTGAAAGCTCTTAAAAAACTATTTATTAATACTTATGTAACATTTACCGGTCGGATGTGAGTAACGATTATTTTATTATTATTTAAGCTTAATAGAGCCCACATCAGCAAGACAACCTAAGCGGGCTTCGAGGCTGGCATGGTAGTCTCATCACCTTTAAGTTAAAATGCTAATATAACTCTATGTCGACATTAGTATTTTGTGTCAGGCGTAACCATAAATGAGGAATCTTAACGTAAGCACATAATTTAAGGCATGAAGAAGCAGCGGGTTAATGCGAACTTTCAACATCATCTCTCTTATTTAACATTGTTTAAATGCTGCACGTAACTGTTTCTTTTCATACCTTAGATATATACGAGTAATTGTCATCGATAAACATTTGAAAATGTAAAGTCAGAATAAATCACTGAAAATGTACCTTTTGGTGGTATGCAACCCTGGAACGGATCCCCTTGAAAACCTTGTTCGCAAGCGCATGTGGCGCGATGATCCACAACTGAGCATACGGCGTTCGCACCGCACGCTTGTAGACAAGGGTCTTTACAACGCTGAGCGACGCAGGCGAGCGCCGCCGGACATTCAGCACTTATAGTACATTCCGGCCGACAGTTCGGTGGTGACCCAATATAGCCAGGTTGGCAGCTACATGCTGGTATATCGCCTGTTTTAACACATATCGAATTTGGCCCACATGGCGTAGGCTCACAAGGATTGACCGCAACTGGCGGTGTAGCTATAACAAATAATAATATTATACGTCTGATGCTTAGTATTTATCTATATATTTAAGGTGTCGAATTCTTACCAGGTATCGGTGAGCAATAAGTGAATGGGTCACCAGAAAATCCGTCATTGCATGTGCATATTGGAGAATGTGCGATAACTTGGCAGCGGGCTCCACGGCCACATGCTCCTTCACAGGGGTCCCGACAGCGGTGATCTATGCACGCTTCTTGTAATTTACATTCAGAGCTAACTAGACACTCTGGGCGGCAAGATGGAGGGGAGCCTATATGTCCGGCGCGGCAAGAGCAAGCTGCTGCACCATTGCCACTTACAGAACACTCGCTGTATGGACCACATGGTGATGGAGTGCATGGTGAACGAGGCACTTCTGTAAATATAGAATTAAAAGTATAAGAATTAGCAAACGCAGTCATCTCAACCGAAAAATCTATTCAAATAATACCTTCTCTCACTATCTCGGTACAATAAGAAAATGGATCTCCCGATGTGCCTACGGAACATGTACACGATGGTATGTGGTTGTTTACAGAACACACAGCGCCAGTTCCACATGCTCCAGGACAAGGATCTAAACACTTTCCACCTTGACAGGCGCGAGTTGGCGAGCACTCGCCGTTCGTTGAACATTCTAATCGACATCCGATGTATGGATTTCCAAAGTATCCCTTCGAACACGAACAAACACCGTTCTCACAAATGGAATTGGATCCACACGGAGATGGGTTACATAGGTCTGTAGTTGACGGTGTTGTTACTAAAAATAAAATTTCAATATTGATTCGCGGATTATATGATGCACTATTCGAGAATATAATTATTATTTCTTCTCTTACCAATTACTTCCGCGCATTGTATAAATGGATCTCCTGAATATCCTGTGGGACAGCTACATATTGGAATATGATCATGTACACGACAGTCCGCTCTAAATCCACAGGAACCTTCGCATGGGTTTGTACACTTTTCAGCTATGCACGCTTGGTGTGAAGGGCAATCGGTATTAACAAGACATTCAGGATGGCAGTTCGGTGGTGTACCTATATAGTTAGCATTACACGAACACGAAGGATAACCGTTTATTGGTCTGCATTCACTATATGGTCCGCAAGGATTCGGAGAACATGGCTCTAATGGTTGTTCTACTTCAGTAAATTGGACTTCTTGACATCTACTGAACGGATCTCCTGTGGTACCAGCCGGGCAGCTACAGAGCGGGCTATGATTTACTACTTGACAATGAGCCCCAATGCCACAAGTTCCTCTACATGGATCAGCACATTTTAGCCTATGACAAGCACGATCTGGAGGACACTCGCTGCTTACAGTACATTCTGGGCGACAGTCTGGTGGTGCACCCCTGTAGTCCGGTAAACATTCACAGGACGCTAAACCACCATTTTCCCGACACACGCTATTTGGACCACAAGGTGATGGTTGACAGGGTCTAATTTCTACAGGTGGTTCTTCTCTAGTACATTGTATGAATGGGTTGCCTGAATATCCTTTAACGCAAGCACAAGTAGGTACATGATTAACGACGGTACATTCAGCGTAGTTACCGCAAATTCCAGGACACGGATCAGTGCACTTATTGCGAATGCAAGATTTATCAGCTGAACAGTCGGAACTCAATACACATTCTGGTCGACAACCTTCATATGGATTTCCTTGGTATCCATCCAAACAAGAACAAGCTCCAGCACCATCACGTTGAGTGCATACAGCATTCATTCCACAAGGCGACGGATCGCAAGGCTTAATAACTTGTTCTGTAACAATACAATTTTTGTTATTATTAAGATTTGTAGCACAGAGTTGTGCGCCATATTTACATTCACAAAGATTAAGAATGTACAGTAAACAGAGAAACCTACAACATAATTTTATATTGAATTGAAAATTATTAAAAAAACCTGCTTGACTAACCTTCTTGAGGAACACATTGTAAAAATGGGTTCCCAGTATATTTTTCTCGACACGCACAAGACACCGTATGACTGACAATAATACAATCCGCATTAATGCCACATGAACCTGGACATGGATCTATGCACTTGTTTCTAATACACGCCTGATTAGATGGACAATCAGGGTTAATTACACACTCTGGTCTACAATTTGGTGGCTGTCCAATGTAATCGTCAGCGCATCTGCAATTAGCTTTACCATTACGCTCAACACACACTGAGTTGGGACCGCACGGTGAAGGATTGCATGAATCCACAGATTCGTTGGGTGTCATAACAATATCAAAGCAGCTCTTAAATGGATCTCCAGTCTGGCCTGGATTACAACTGCAGATAGGGCTATGATTTATAACTTCACATCTTGCTAGAAGACCACACGCGTTTATGCACGGGTTAACACACTTTTGACTAACGCAAGCCTTTGTTGAGGGACATTCTGAGCTTACGACACACTCTGGTCTACATCCTGGTGGCGAGCCTTGGTATCCTTCAATACAGGCACAAACGGCTGTGTTGTCTACCGTTTTACAAATACTATTTGGTCCGCATGGTGAGGGGTGGCAAGGATCTCTTGGCGGCGATTTCTCTCTTTCCATTGGTTGACAGTGAGTAAACGGATTCCCTGTATAATCGGTAATACATGAACAGCTTGGGATATGATTTATTACGTCACATTTAGCATTTTGACCACAGACTCCGGGACAAGGATCTTGACATTTATTCCGGAAACAAGCTTTATCCCTTGGACACTCTTGACTTCCCGTGCATTCTGGGCGACATGATTCATAAGGATTTCCTTGATATTCTGGTAAACATGTACAGAAGCCATTATCACATTTAGCATTAGGTCCACAGGGCGATGGGTTACACGGATCTTGTGGTATTGGCGTCGTTGGGGCTGTAAAATGCAATGTATATAGAAAAATATAAAAAAAAACACATAAAATTAACACTCGCCTAATAAAATTAAATAAAAAATAATACCTTCGCTGATCGGTGAACACTTTGAAAATGGATCACCAGTAAATCCATCATTGCAAACACAAACGGCTACGTGATTTAAAACATGACAATTCGCCTCTACTCCGCATGATCCTGGACACGGATCTTCACATTTCTGTCGGACGCAAGCCAATGAAGCTGGACATTCAGAATTTATTGTGCACTCTGGGCGACAAGATGGTGGTGATCCCACATAGCCAGGTAAACATGAACATGCTGGGCCACTTGACAATAATTGACAACGTGAATGGGGACCGCACGGTGAAGGTGTACATGATGGTGGACGTTCTGTAGTAGTTGGTGGAATTTCTAAAACAAAGAGCTTATATTATTATTTATATAGACATAATAAAGTAATCTTAATGTTTGTTGATTATTTACGTGGATATAGAAATGGAGGACATAGATAATACTTTTGTATTTTAACATTTACGTTAATGTAAACTACTTACGATAGCATTGTGTGAATGGATCGCCAGTCATGCCGGCAGGACATGTACAAATAGGGTTGTGATTTTTAACTTGGCAGTGGGCTCTCAGTCCACAGGTGTTTGGACAAGGATCATCACATTTCTGATTGATACAAGCCTTTGATAAAACACATTCACTGTTTACAACGCATTCCGGTCTACAAGCAGGTGGTGATCCTACATAGTTTGGTAAACATGAACACACAGCTTGCATGTTTACTTGTCTACATTGGCTGTTTGGTCCGCAAGGTGTAGGTTCACAGGGATTCGATGGTGGAATATCTGAAAGTTCATAATATTTTTTTATAATACTTCATGCTATATTAGAAATACACCTAGTACTTAAACCTTTATAACTTAAGATTTATTCTAATAAACATGAAGCAAATAGAAAGGGAAGGGACATCAGCAATATTACTGTAGCGCCTACTTTCAGTTATGACAACATTTAAAATGACCGAAAACAGCAAACAAAATTAGTTATGATTCTGAAATATATACTAATGAATAAATTATAACATATCAAGTACTATTGGTACATAGTACGAACAAGTACGTATACTTACGATCCAAAACAATTTGTTTGCATTGGAAGAATGGATCTCCTGTATAGCCGCGCGGACAAGTACACACTGGTATATGCTTTTCAACTATGCATTGAGCTAATTGCCCGCAAGTCCTTGGACAAGGGTCAATACATTTGTATCTAGTACAAGCTAAGTTTGCTGGACAATCATCATTGTTTTCACATTCTCTTCTACAGCCTTGGTTACCGTATGGATCACCCTCGTAACCTTCCGAACAGAAGCACGCTCCAGCCCCATTGTATTCGCGACATTCAGCATTCGGGCCACATGGTGACGGTGTACAGGGGCTTGATGTTGGTGTCATTTCCGTTGCTAAAATGAGGATGGCACGTTAAGGTAGGCAATTGTGTTGGTTTGGTCAACAAGCTAAGTAAAAATTAATATTATTTTTAATAATGCCAGGGGCAACCGTATTTATACGTACACGAAATAACGATTTGCACACAGTTCCTGGATGCATCTCCAGTGAACCCTTGCTGGCAATTACAAACAGGTTTATGGTTGACTGTCAAACATAAAGCGTTCAAGCCACATGAGTTCTGGCATGGATCAGTACAGCGTTCGTTGATACAAGCTGCATTGCTAGGACACTCGGCATCGATAGAGCATTCTGGTCGACAGTTCGGTACTCTTCCGATGTAATTGGGCAAACAGGAACACGCGGCTTGATCTCCAATCAATCGACATTCAGAATTTGGTCCACACGGTGACGGATCACAAGGATTCGTTGGTATCGTTCCTGAAATAATAATTGATGTATAAGCCTCTTCTATGACAAATATGCAATGAAGACTAAATATGAATCAGAACTTACTTTCTTCAAAAGTGCATTTAGTAAACGGATCACCAGTATATCCAGGAGTGCAACTGCATATTGGATTATGTGTAACTACTTGGCAGCGAGCATTTAATCCACATGTGTTTGGACACGGATCTATACATTTCTTATTGACGCATGCTTTATCTTGAGGACATTCAGAACTAACGATGCATTCAGGGCGGCAGGTAGGTGGCGTACCAATATATCCCAGTTCACATGTACACACACTGTGACCGTTAACTGCACGACATAAGCTATTAGGGCCACATGGAGATGGCTGACACGGATTTGATTGCGGCTCATCTTTATCAGGTATTACTGGAAACGGCGTCAAAATTATTATCCTATTTCAATTTTCACATGTCTATGAATTGTATTGATTTTTTAGAATATTGCTTATACACAAACTCTTAATAACTAATACATAATTTCAAAAGGTATATTTGTTTTGACCAAATTGAAATTGCTTACTCTGTATTTCACATCTCGTTAGTGGGTTTCCTGTATATCCCGTAAGGCAAGTGCATGTAGGAGCGTGATTGACAGTTCTACATTCTGCATTTATACCGCAAGCACCCGGACATGGATCCCGACATCTATTGTTTGAACAAGCCTTATTTCTGTCACAATCCGAGTTGGATACGCACTCTGGACGGCAGCCTGTGTAGGGGTCGCCAAAGTATTCCGGAAGACAGGAACAAGAACCGATTCCGTTTCGTTCTTTACATATAGCATTTGCGCCACATGGTGACGGATTGCACGGGTTCGGCGGCGGTTCTGGAGCATCTGTTTTTTTATTTTTTTAGTTAATATGTATAAAAACAATTTATTTCGAATCAGATTACATCCCTTATTTAAACTTACGTTCAATGATTGAACATCCACTGAATGGATCACCAGTATATCCCGGTGTACAATGGCATAATGCAACATGATTCGCAACAATGCAATCAGTGTTGAAGCCACAAGATCCCGGACATGGATCTACACATTTATCGTTTTGACATGCAAAGTTACCAGGACATTCAGCATTGATAGAACATTCAGGTCTACAATTTGGTGCAACACCGATGTAATTCGGTAAGCATGAACATGCAGGCGCTTCTCCTACTACTTTACATTGTGAATAAGGACCGCACGGCGATGGTATACATGGATTTCCCTTAGGTACCGGAAGAATAAGCTCTAAGAAAAAAAGCACACAGAGTAAGGAAAACAGTAATCGAAAAAATAGAAACGTAATAAACAGTATAAGATTGAAAATATAAAAGTAAAAACCCAAGAACATGAGAAGAACATATAAATTTGGGATCTTTAAAAAAATATAACACCATATTTTTTATTTTTTTATTTATAATACTTTGTTTCGCCTTACTTGGTTCGAGTTGGCAAGTTACAAACGGGTCACCAGTAAATCCTGGCTTGCAAGTGCAGATAGGATTATGATTTATCACTTGGCATTTTGCATTAATACCACATGTCCCTTCACATGGATTTTTGCACTTTTGTTTAATACAAGCCTGGTGTTGTGGACAATCTGTACTTATAACACATTCCGGCCTACACATGGGAGGTGAGCCAATATAACCTCCTTGACAAGAGCATACGCCATGTCCATCTATCACTTTACAGTTACTATATGGACCGCAAGGCGAAGGAGAACATGGATTAATCTCCGAAGGAACTAAAAATTAAAAACAATTAAAGAACCGACAAGGTAAGGGATTGTTATAGTGTTTGTATTAAGTTGTATTAATCAAAGGTAAAAAAATACTAACTGCTTTTTTGTGGATAACATGATATCGTCGGGTTACCTGTGTAACCATCAGTACATAGGCAAACAGGTGTATGATGGGCTACATTACAAATTGCATTCATGCCGCAAGCGCCTTCGCAAGGGTTCGTGCATTTATTATTTGTGCACGCTTGGTCTAAGTGACAATCATTGTTTGTAACGCATTCTGGACGGCACCCCATATACGGATCTCCGAAGTAGCCAGGTACACAGGTACAAGCTCCAGCTGAATTCTTCTCAGTACAAATTGAATTGGGGCCACATGGCGATGGGTCACATGGACTTTCGTATTCATTAGCAACAGTTACTAAAACGTAAATAAAACTGTTTTAATTCCACTCTAAGCATATAGTTCAAAACATAACAGTTATAATTTAACATAAAACCCACCTATAAAATAGCAACCACTAAAAGGATCCCCTGTGTAGCTTTCCTGACAATGACAAACAGCTTTATGGGCGATCACAGTACAATCTGCGTGGGCACCGCAAGAGCCATCGCAAGGGCTCGTACATGCTTCTCGTATACAAGCAAGGTTACTTGGACATTCTTCGTCGTAAATACATTCTGGGCGACAATTCGGAGCTCGTCCTACATAGCCAGGTTTACATGAACAAGCGGGAGTTTCGCCAACTACACGACACTGTGAATGTGGTCCACACGGAGATGGGATACACGGATTTTGAGAAGGCTTTGGCTCCGGGCCTAAAATTTTTAAAATGCTCTTAATTGTAAGTTTTAAAAATCCAGACTTTATTATATTAGCATGGCACTTACGTTGTTCAAATATGCACTTTATAAACGGGTCTCCGATATAGTTTTGGGGGCAGCTACACAAAGCATTGTGGTTGACCACGTTGCATCTCGCATCTATTCCACAAGCGCTGACACAAGGATCAACACATTTTTTGTTAATACATGCTTTGTTTGGCATACAATCACTACTGACCATACATTCGGGACGACAAGAAGGGGGAGATCCGAAATAATCTTCTTGACACGCACAAATAGCATGTCCATGACTGACACGACAAACACTGTTGGGACCACATGGCGACGGAGAACACGGTTCTACGGGTTTTTCTATTTGGCCTAGAATATTTATAAAATGAGTACGTTGATCTTTTGTTGGGTTAATTCAAAATTAAAATTACATTTTATTCTTACTCAGATAACAGGAGGTAAATGGATTTCCCTCATATCCAGGGAAGCATGCACAAGACGGAGCATGATTATTAACTCGACATTCGGCGTTCATGCCGCACACTCCGGGGCACGGATCTTTACATTTATTATTAATGCACGCCTTATCTTTTGGACAATCAGAATTTAGAACACATTCTGGCCGACATTCGACATACGGATCACCATAATAATCTGGCAAACAAGAACAAGATCCGGCCCCGTGTCTTTCTTTACACACAGCATTGGACCCACAGGGTGATCTAGAGCATGGATTCTCTAATTGCGGTTCAATTACTGAAAAAATATAATTGGTCAAACAACTATTGTCCCTTATAATTATTAGTATTAGAATACCATGTTCGCAGAACTTACTTGGTGTCAGATAGCAACCAGAGAAAGGATCGCCTGTATAACCAATATCACATGTACATATAGGAATATGTTTTACAACGTTGCATGAGGCATGCATTCCACAAGAGCCCGGGCATGGATCGCTACATTTTTCTGATATACATGCAAAATTACCAGGACATTCAGAATTTATCGTACATTCCGGTCGACAATTCGGAGGACGTCCTATATAATTGTTTAGACAGGAGCATAGCGGTAACCCATTTACGTCTTTACACTGGGAATGTGGTCCACATGGATTCGGCGAGCAATTGTCTATAGGCGTCATTTGTTCTGTGTAATTATTTTAAAATTAGTTGGTGTAAAGATAAGAATTATAAACTTATAAAAACCCATATACGTAAAACAAACTTACTGTCTTCCAAGTAACACCTTACAAATGGATCACCCGTATATTCGTTGTAACAACTGCAGACTGGATTATGGTTCACAACATGACAGTTTGCGTTAATGCCGCAAGTGCCCGGACAAGGGTCTTGGCATTTCTGATTAACACACGCTTTGTTCGGTCGACAATCGGAACTCACAATACATTCAGGTCGACAATTCGGTGGGGAACCCACACACATATCAAGACACGTACAAACAGCGTGACCGTTAAACGTACGACATTTACTATATGGGCCACAGGGCGAAGGGTGGCAAGGATCGACAGGTTCCTGAATAGCTGAAGTAAATAAGAGGAGGTAAAGAAATTATGATACAAAGTAAAGATAAAGAAAGAGAGACAAATAAATTCATACTTATTATAAGAGTGCATGCATGAAGAGGATTTCCAGAATATCCGTTTAAGCAGTAACACGAAGGTGCATGATTGATCACTCTACATTCAGCATTTCGCCCGCAAGTGCCCGGACAAGGATCTACACATTTATTGTTAAAGCAAGATCTGTCGGTCGCACAATCTGTATTCATTACACATTCCGGTCTACAACCCTGATACGGATCCCCATAGAATGCGTCTATACAAGTACATGCACCGGCACCATTCCTTTCGCGACATAGTGCATTAGGGCCGCAAGGTGAAGGATTGCATGGTTGTCTAGGGACTTCCTTAGATACTGAAAGTTGTATGAAAATGACACGATCAAGTTTACATGCAGTGATAAGCTACTAGGTAAAATTTTGGGTAAATTACTCACTCTCGTGTGGATTGCAGCCAGCAAACGGATCCCCAGAGTAGCCTTCGTCACAGGAACATATGGGCTGATGGTTTTGTACGGTACACTTCGCGTTAAAACCACACGAGCCCACACAGGGATTGATACAGTTTCCGCTAAGACATGCAAGAGAGAGGGGACAATCTTGATTGATGAGACACTGCGGGCGGCAAGCTGGTGGAGCGCCCAACGTCCCTGGCTCACAGGCGCATACGGCACGTCCATATTCGTTGCGGCACGTCGAGTGTGGTCCGCAAGGAGATGGTAGACACGGGTCCGGCGCTGGTGCCGAAATGCCTGGAATTATTTATTAATGTGGCTTTAGTTTATGGCTTACCTACAAACAAATACTATAAACAACAATTATTGTTGTAAATAGCTAATTAATCTTAAATGCTTAAATACTTATAACAACAAAACCTCAAAGGTCAGCTAAAATCCTAAAAAAGGATATAAAAACATGTTTATATGTTATTTACAACAACGATGTAAAAGTAGATAATACATTCTTCCTGTTTGCTGTACTGAATTATAAATATTCCTGTTAAAGTTATTAATATTATTCTCTTCTACATACCTAAACTAAATTTATTTTAATTGTGAATATTTTACTTCCTTATTTGATGTCTATACTTACTCTTTCTATAACATTTAATGAAAGGGTCCCCTTCGGGGAAGTTTTCAGGACAAGTACAAATAGGGTTGTGCCCAACTACATGACATCGAGCATCGAGTCCACAGCTATTGACACAGGGATCTTTGCATTTAAGGTTGATACACGCTTTAGTTGGAGGACAATCCGAGTTAACTGCACATTCTGGTCTACAGGCTGGAGGAGCACCCAGGTATCCGGCGCGGCAGGAACATGCTGCACGGTTGTTAACAACATGGCAATCGCTGTGTGGCCCACACGGAGACGGTTCACAAGGATTGAATGGAGTATCTAAAAAAAACATACATTAATAAAATGTATATAACCTTGAGGTACCGATTTACTCAGTTTGCAATAAATTTGATAATACAAATAGAATATAGTACAATTAAGAACTTACTTGTTTTATATTCTGGTCTACAAGATGTAAATGGATCACCCTGGTATCCTTTAAAGCAAGTACACACTGGAACATGATTCGTTACTACACACTCAGCATTGAGACCACATAAATCTTTACATGGATTTCGACAGTGATTAGACAAACATGCAAAATGATTTGGACAGTCAGAGTTTAATATACATTCCGGTCTACATCCTCCGGCGTATGGATTTCCTATGTTTGGTGGAATACAGGAGCAACGAGCTGCATTGTTTATTACGGTACAGATAGTATTTTCCCCGCATGGCGTTGGGTTGCAGGGCGATATAGTTTCATCTTTTATTATTGCGACACATCCTATAAACGCATCTCCTTTAAACCCTTCGTGACAGCTACATAACGGTGTGTGGTTGATAACATCACATTTTGCATTATTACCACACGCATCTGCACATGGATCACTACATTTTTCATTAATGCATGCTTGATTCGGCGGGCACTCTTGACTTATTACACACTCTGGTCGACAATACGGTGGAGTTCCTGAATAATTCGGTTGGCAGGAACACACGGGGTGATTTGATCTTATTTCACACACTGAGTTTGGTCCGCAAGGCGATGGTAGGCATGGATTTCTTTCGCTTGGAGTACTTTCTGCAAAAGCTGTACAAGCCACAAATGGATCTCCCGTTGCTCCAGGTCCACAACTACATATAGGATTATGGTTTACTACGATACAATCAGAACCCACGCCACAGCTTCCTTGACATGGATTTACGCACTTTTGGTTAACACACGTTTCTTTTTGGGTACAGTCAGAATTGCTGACACATTCAGGTTGACACATGGGTGGTATTCCCTTATATCCTGGCAAGCACGAACACACAGCAAAACCGGTTTCAGATACTAAACAACGGCTGTATGCTCCGCAAGGCGAAGGATCACATATTGATAAAGTCGATGGTATATTATGTTGAGTTTGACATCTTACATAGGGATCACCTGTTAGGTTTGGTGGACAATAGCAAACGGCATGGTGGTTTACTGTTTCACATTGTGCTCCTATACCACAAATATCTTTGCAGGGGTTTTCACACCTATTATTTAGGCAAGCCTTCTCTGAACTACAATCACTGTTAACAACACATTCGGGCCTGCAAGAAATGTAGGGGTTTCCATAGAAGTTAGGTAGACATTTACATGTCAAAGCTCCTCTTGTGTCGTCACAAACCGCATTAGGCCCACATTGCATATTATTACACATTTCTGGTTGGATAACTGAAATACATATTTAAAACATATAGGACTCAATTTAACCTTTCGACCAAAAATATCCACACAAATTCTAAAATAAACTTACCTTGAGTTATTATTTTGCAATTTTCGTATGGGTTTCCTTCAAAACCAGTCTTGCAACGACAAAGAGGATCGTGGTGATAAACTGTACACTCGGCGTTGAGTCCACAAGAGCCAGCGCAAGGGTCTACACATCGGTTTCGTATACAGGCCTTATCAAATGTACAATCTGAACTTAAAAGACATTCGGGTCTGCAGGCAGGATTATTTAAGGAGTTAGGTCCAACACAAAGATCACAAACAGCAAATTTATCCCCGTAAGTATCGCAGTATGAATTTGTATCACATGGGTTTGGCGAACATGGTTGAACCGTGGTGTTGTCTGGAGTTATAATTATAGCTAAAACAAATAAAAATGTTAAGTAATGCTAAAATATTACGTATTAATGAATATAAAGTATGTGGCACTTACGTCGATATAAACATTGTATCAACGGGTCTCCGATATAACCGTCAGGACATAAACAGGAAACCGTGTGGTCTGAACACAGGCAGACTGCATTAATTCCACATATTTTACTGCTCGTACATGGGTCGATACACTGACTGTTAATACAAGCTTCACCCGAAGAACAGTCTGAATTCATAATACACTGTGGTTTACATTCTTTTAGAGGATCCCCATGAAAATCAGGTGGGCATGAACAAATGGCTTTATCTCCAATATCTTGGCAAATGGCATTAATACCGCAACGAGTTTTAGCGCAAGGGTTATTGAATTTTTGGCTCTCTGGCTGTAAGCAACATATAAGTGGATTTCCTTCATATCCATCTTCGCAAATGCATACAGGATGGTGAGATTCTACGTGGCACCTTGCGTTTATACCGCAAACACCAGGACAAGGGTCGCGACAAGTGTATCCTATACAAGCTTTATTTAATGGACATTCATCGTCTATTTCACATTCTCTTGAAGTACAACCACTTAAACTGTAGGGGTCTCCTGTACTGCCTTCTGGACATATACATGACACTTGTCCTTCATAATTCACGTTACAAATAGCCTGAGGACCACATGGATTTGGACTACATGGGTTTCTTTGAGGTTGACAGCCAATGTAGGGATCACCAATGAAACCAGCTTTACAGAAACACATTTCCGTGTTGCTACTCACGTAACAGTCTGCGTTACTTCCGCATTTTCCCGGTTTACACAACACTTCAGGTGGTAAATAATACTGATGATTACATGACTTATACGGATTGCCTATAGTATTTTCTGGACAATAACAAGCAGGAGTTCTATTTGGATCACATCGAGCGCCGATACCACAAGTGTTTGGTTCACAGGGGTTCCTCGCTTCAATGCAACCTCGTACAGTATTAGGACTTTCAACATAGCCGACTAAACACGTGCATTTGGCAAAACCGTTAGGAAGAATACTACATTGAGTGTTGGGCCCACATGGCGATGGATTGCATGGATTATTGGGTAGTTGACAAGGTTGACGGGGTGGGTTACCCTCATAATTTGGTAAGCAGAAGCAAGCCGGCTTATCGTCGATGATTCTGCACCCGGTATTTGGTCCACACGGATTAGGCTCACATTCATTTCCTTCGGGAACTGAAAATTTTACACGAAATTAAACTTACTTTTTTTTTAAATAATATTTCATAACATTAAGTTATACTTACTGCAATTTTTGAATGGGTTGCCAGTTAATCCTTTTGGACAGAAACAAATCGGATTTCCATGGTCATTTTCACACAACGCATCGGTGCCACAAGGACTTGGTATACATGGATTTTGTGGCGGCTCGCATCCAATCGAAGGATTTCCAGAAAAGCCATTTAAGCATTTGCACGAAGCGCGGTGGTTTAGAACATCACAAACGGCATTTACACCGCATCTACATGGTGAATCGCATTTCCCGTTTATACAAGCTTCGTTATTTGCGCACTCATTATCTGACCGACACCCTTGCACTGAAAACAGTAGAAATACTTAATGTGCAAGAGTCATATCCGAAGAATGATATTAAAATTTATATATATTCAGCAGATTGTGGTTATTATTATCTAGTATAAAACTGTAATATAGTACATAATTAGGATATTTACCTTGGAAGCATTCTAGGAAGGCATTTCCAGTAAAACCAGCTAAACATTTACATTGAATGCCGTGGTTAAATGGATAACACTCGGCATTATCACCACATGTATTGACAGCGCAAGGATTGATACATACTCTATTTAATCGGTCACACAGTAGCTCCGGTGGACAGTCTTCATTATATTGGCACACTGAATGGGATTCAATTACTAAAAAACAGACACGTTTTAGCAAAATTGCCTTGTGATGATAAAATAACAATCACGTCGGATTTGTGCTTGTCTTACCTGGAACACATCCAACATATCCGTTCCCCTGATATCCTTCGGCGCAGCTGCAATCTGAACCGTGGTTCGTGTTTATACAGACAGCGTTAGGTGCGCACGGGTTGTGTATGGCACATGGATGTTGACATGCATTATTTATACAAGCTTCCGTCAAGTGACATTCTTCGTTTCGAGTGCAACCGGCTGAGTAAAACGTAAATTAATTTTAAAAACTATTTACAAAAATATAACAACTACCAGCTCAATCCATCACATATACATACTACGTGCGATTGCAATCATACTTTTTGTGTATTACGTGCACATGACACAACAACAATATATTAAAGAAAAGTATAAATATTTATATATTTTGTTCTGAAAAATTTTGAGAACAAACTAAACAAACCTTAAGAACAAATTACTTCCTATTTACAAAGATTCACCGTTTTGTCGTAACGATTTTTTGTCTTAGTAAACAAGAATATATTAGATAACATGAGTAACTCCATAGACACGACTCTTGGGGTATTCCAAATGGGCCATATTATCCTTATATGCTATTCGTTTTTGCTAGAAAGAACGATAAAGCGCGGCTTCGATGATTAAGGAGATATAACATGGTTCATAAAATTAAATAAATGTATGAGTCACCACCGAGAGATGTTTTTCCTAAGAATGTGAATAAGAAATTCATCGTGTTCGAGTGACAATATAACATATTTTGTTTGTTATTTAAGTCAAGCCCGAATAAACTTAGATATAAATTAAAAATCGATTTTAGGTGGAAAAAAAATTTCACGACATGGGCAGGACTTAACCCGGCATCCATACCTTATAATGTCTTATGAAGATATCTTTTTTTTACAACCGACTAGGTTAATGGTTTACTAAAACCTCCTTAATACATAAGATGCGAGATTATAGAGTGCACTTGCGATTAGTCCCGAAGTAAATCCCCAAGAGTCGTAGTCTAACAAACGTACGTTCAAATAAAACGGCTGGAGACATAAATGGCAGCTTACATATTTTAGGTGAACATTTAACAGCTGGATCTCCTTCATGACCGGCTGGACATGAGCACATAGGCCTTTGTTTTACGGGATGGCAATTAGCTCCGGTTCCACACACATTGTCAAATTCGCAAGGGTTTTGACATAACCCCATAAAACAGGCTTCAGTTTCTATACAATCCCGATCGGAATGACATGGCTCTGGCGCTTTAGGTGTCCCAGGTGATTCTAGTATGTTACATGGTTATTATAGATTAGTTTGTTAAAGAGTGATCTTAATATTATTTACAATATTAAAATATTTAGTGATTTACTTATAAGTTTTGTTTACATTTCAATTACTATACTTCTATATATACATTTTGTCCGATTTTTCAATAATGTCATCGTTACTAGTTTTCTTTATCAGATAAAGTATACATCTGCAAAACAACGAAATATGCTCCATGGAAATAGCATACCTCTGAAGCAGTTCCTGGCCGCGTCGTCACAATCGCAAACAGCGACATGGTCGTGTACTTTACAGGTAGCATTCTTTATACATGGGTTCAGCGCCTCGCACGGATTTTGACATGTTCCATTGAGACAAGCTTTATTTACAACACAGTCACCGTCAACAGTACAGTCAATATGTTCTGTTACATCGTTGTAAGTATTAGTCGAAGTACTTTCGGTAGAAAAAGTCGTGTCTGTCCACGCAGAAATGTCTGTGTCTTTTTGTCTAGATGATAGATTATCGGAAAATGAATTAAAAGAAGCTGAGATTGTTGATGGATATTTGTTTTTTCCTGGCATGAAATGAGATGTGTATGTAGTTGTTTCGATATTGGACTCGATCATTGTGTCACTTTGAGTGTTTGTTTGCAATTCATTCGTATTTGGATATGGTTCAGACAATGTTGAATGATATGTTTGTTGTAAAATTGTAGCTTGGGTCACCGTTGAGGAAGAATTTTCTATCTCAGTCGTATCTTTTGTGTTAGCATTTGCCTCAGTAACGTTGTATTCTTTTAGATAACCTGTAGTCGTTTCAAAATTCGTTTTTTGAGAAATTTCAAGGTATCCTGTCGTGATTTCAGTCGTAACATCTATTTCGATTGTATTGTTATTAGATGGTTGCAAGAAATTTTGACCATTTGTAGTCGCTTCATAATTTTGCGTAGTTTGAATGGGTTGATTATTATTATATTCTATGTTTGTATTATTAGCTTCTTTATCTGTTACAACACTATCAGACGCAGTAAATTGAACAAGATTGCCGCCAGTAGTTGTTTCATATTCTTGATCTTTATATGATATAGATTCATAGCTCGTAGTACTGGTAGGTAATTCTAAAGTGTTTGTAAATTCTTTGATACTGTTTGGTGTGACATTTTCTTGATTAATTATTGGTTTTTGATTATCACTATTAGTGGTGGGTTTAGTTTGAATCATATTATCCTCGTCCATGACAGTTGTTTCTAAAAGGGTTTTGTCTTGTGTTGTCGCAGTAGCCTCTATATTAGTGGTATCATACGACGTATGGTCAAATGCATTTTCTATTGTTGTCTCTGTACTTAAAGTGTTAGCAGGAGTTTGAGTTATCACTTCGTTATTTTCTTGTTTGGACAATACATATTGTGGTGTTGTAATTTTATTACTATTTTCTGTGTTAGTTAAAGATGCTTCGTCGGTTTCATATGTGTTGGTTCTTGTTTCAATGTTATTCATATTAACACTGCTGTATTGCGACGTTGCTAAACTTTCTTCATTTAGATCTACCGAAAAATTAACTTCAGTCGTGGAGTAATCTATATTTTCCCTTGTTGCAGTTTCTTCATTAGTATGGTTTATCAATTGAATAGTATGCGAAGTTGTTGAAGTCTGTTGCATATGATCGTCTTGTATAGTCGTGTATAGTACTAAAGGATTGTTGGTATGTAAAGTTGACAAAAAATCGGGGGTATTGCTTATATCTTTAAGATCTACTACAGTTTGAGTACTCTCCGTTGAAGGTTCACTATACCGCTTAGTAGTTATACCACTTTCAATTTCGTTATGGTTGTTTAGATTAACTTCTTCAGTTGTGACTAAGGATGCAATAGTAGCATCGTTGTCCGTATTTGTGGGAATATTTACTAATGGTGTTGTATTTTCAAATGAATATTGAGAGGACGTTGAAATACCAGGATGGAGATCGTTTCTATAAGTAGAAGTTGTAGAGTATTCTGCCTTTTCTGAAGTGTAGTAAATATCACTTGTCACATCCAATTTAGACGAACTCTGTGTTTCGGTGTTCGTTTCTGAATTAGTAATACTTTGTGAGTAGATACTTTCTGTACTCGTAGGACTGTTTACAAACGTGGTTTTTGATGTAACATCAATACCAGATTGCGACGCAGAATTCTCTTTAGTATTCGTATATACTTCTGTTGTTGTATCAATTTTATTTGATTCAATCAAAGTATTTTCCTCGTACTCTGTAGTAGGACTTCTAGGTGCTTGATCTACATTTTCTCTCTCAGAATTTGTTACATGTTGATATTCCGAATACACGTCTGTTTCAGTTTTATCATTTATTATTGAAGTAGTTGTGTGGAAATATATGTTTCCTACATCGTTATCTTTATTAGATGTCATAGTGTCGTTGTCTCTTGCAGAGCTAAATTCTTCTGTTGTTTTTATTATCGTATTGGACGCAGAAGTTGTTATCTCGTTATCGGGTTGATTTTCATTATATTGCGTACCTGAGGTGTCGATGTAAGGTTCAGTGGTAAAACTTATATCTGTCTTATGACCATCCTTAACAATGATTTCTGTTGGAATTTCCGTTGTTATTAAATTCGTATTCTTAATAGAACCACCTTCTAAATGTAATCCATTGTCATCTTTTGTAAGTTTGTTATTACCATAAGAATATGTTGTATCAGTATCAAGTTCCGGTTTATATGAACTATATGTTTCAGTACCTAATTCAACTTTAGAGGTACTACTAGATGTCTTAAAATCAATTTCATTATTCATATCAGATGTCGTCGTATCTTTGTAATTGTGAGTATTAGCATTTATTTCAACATTTGTGATATCAGAAACATGAGGTGTAGTGACATTCATAGTAAAATGGCTAAGCATATTTTGTTCCGTTTTAACATATGCAGAAGTACTTTCTTCTGTAATTGTAGTGATTGTTTCATAATCATTTACTTTTGTTGTTTCCGGAATAATCTTTGTATATGATGTCATACCCAATTCAGATACAGTATAAGTTGGATTTTTAGTACTACTGCTACTGTATTCCATTTTATTTGAAACCGTAGATATTATAGGGTTAATTTTTTCTTCCATTGTGGAATCGTGGTGACTTTCAGGAGAAATGGTAACAGCGCTATTTATCATGTTTTCTTCTTTTGTATTTGAAACTATATCAGTTGTTGCATCTAATGGTGGATTATCAAAAGCTGTTTCTTTACTAGTCGAACTTTCAATTGTTTCCAAATTTTGTGTAGAACTAACAAATGAAGTTGATAAAATAGATTCAGTAGTTGATATTTCAGGTAATTCAGCGGTTTGGTCACCTCTTTCTGTGCTATATTTGCTTTCCGTTGTTACGTCACTTAAATTTGGATTAGTAGTGTTTATATTTATTAATGGTGTAACAGAAACTTTAAAATTAGATTCATCGGTGTTTTGCAAATTTCTTCGATTTTCTGGCGTCTTTGTATTTCTATTCTCATTAACACGTTTATGGGTGCCATTTGTTTCAGTTCGTTTTAAAGATTTTTCTGTAGTCGTTATATTGATAATATTAGGAGAAACATCATCAGTTTCAGTTTTTTCTAAATTTTCTGGGACTAGAGAAGTCAAAATGCTATTAGTATTTTGCCCGAATGAAATAGTGACTTTATTATAGTTTTCAGTGGAATCTGAAGGACTCTCTTGCAAAATAGTGTTTTTATGTGTCTCAGTCATATAATCCGTTAGCGTAAAGGCATTAGTAGTCATAGTACTAATTGATTCAGTGCTAGTTTCATAGTTTGACATTGTGTAAGAAGTCATGTCGGTCAAGTCATTAGTACTCGATTCACTTCCTGTAACTGTAGCAGTATCGGAGTTTGTTTCGGTTAGTGGGATAACTATAGGCCGAGCATCTGTTAATAAAAATGACTTAGATGTCATATAAATTCATACACTGATTTTGAGTTTTCCATTGAAGTTAACAAATTCAACATAAAATACATAAATACGTCTCGATACTTTAAATTTTATTATTATTATACAATTAAAATGCATAAAATAAAAATAATAACCAGCAATAACAGAAAAAAATGCAGAAGTACGTAAGTAGCCTATACAACCAACGTAAAAATAAATACCTTTTACATTGTACATACATATATATATACATTTTATACAAGCTTTGATGTAATATTGTTGTCGATTACAATAACATACATAAAGAAGAAATTGCGATAATACAGCGCATTTCTCCCAAAACTACCCAATATTTTTAGCAATATCTACCGTGTAACATAGAAGTTCCGTAAAGGATTTTTTTCGTATGTAAAATATTGCCGGGTCTGCCGTGACAACGTGGCCAGTACTTCGTGGCGTTTAATCGGACAAAATGATACTTAGAAAACTATAGCAATAACCAGTTCATTTGGAGTTAGTTTTGCTATTCACAAATTACAATGATAAACACAGACTTGCCAGTTATATAGTAGAAGTCTGTAGTTTACCGAAAATGAAAATGCGTGAGCAAGAAAAGTATAAAGATAAGTAAAATCTTTTAGAATCAGTAATTTAGTGCGATTAAATGTGCATTTTAAACATTTAAATGCGGATATGCTATAATCAAGGTACTCACTCTCCATGCAGGCTCCAGAAAACGGATCGCAAGGTACCCCTGGTCGACAGTGAGCACAGTTCGTAGATACCTTATCTTCTGTAAAATGGTAAAACTTTGTCTTAAACTTCCCGGCACTTATAATGTATCGAAAAATAACATGTTTTATTGTGCCTATCATATATAATATGAGATATAAGCGGAATGTAACAATAAATAGAGAAATTAATAATTAACTTTCTTTATTGTTTAGTTATATTTACAACATCATCATGTATGAAACTTATTTAAAAATGTTTTTTTGCCAAATACCAACTTCGACGGAACAGATGGCGCTAACGTAGCAATTTTTTTACTTTGACGTGACACGTGACCCCGTGACCACGGCTGCTGCAAAGCATCCGAAACGTCGGGCCGAAGTTAAAAATCATTTTCAAATGAGTTTACCTAATATATCGCGTTTATACCGTTAAAGTGTTTTATTTAAATGTATAAGCACAGTTATAATAGGTTTGAAGGGTTAGATTTTATTACTATGGATAAACTATATACATATACTATGTAAATGTAAATTAGTAAGAAATTTGCTATCGAGTTGAATACGTATATATTTCCTTGTACATAATATGTATATATATATATATATATATTATATACGACTCTATACTAGAATGAAATGATTAAAGTTGTACCCCGTATACAAGAACATCCGTCGCATTTGGTACTGGGATATCTTGCGCAGTCCGATGATGTTTGGCACTGACATACTGTAAAGTAAATAAATGATTTATGTCTACGTATCAATTGTACTTTTATTAATATTCATCGGTATCTTTTTTGATACATGAGCCACGACGGGTCACATTATTAGCAAGAATAAAAATAACTATCTACCTCTAGAGTCTGTCAATAGGGGAAAGACATTTTAAGTCGTACTTAAATGAAGAGCGTACCTTTAGAGCAAACTGGTTGATGGTCAACAATAGCACAGTGGTGACCTGCAGCACAAGGGCCGCCACCAGCACATGGGTCTGAGCAACGACCTTCAATGCACGCAAGTCCCGAAGCACATTGCTCATGGGCGCTGCATCCTAACGCTGTGATAAAGTTTATATTGAGTAATCAATGTTTAGTCCGCGACTATTATATTGAGCTTTGAAGTTCGATTTTGATTCATTATCATGTTTGAAAAAATGTTCACTTCCCTCTCTTTGGTTTTAAGCAACTACAATCACTGATAACTGTGATCTAGATAACAATCTACTATATTATAATTTACCTAATATTTATAAACATAATTCACTTAAATGTACATATTTATATGAAGTAACATTTATAAGCATTGGGTTAAAAATGCACACTTTATCTCGTGGTTTGGCAGTTTTAAGCTAAGCATTAGTTTTAGATATTGCATTAATAATCACCCAAGCATCCCGACACCATTTGTTATATATCACACTTTCATAAATTCGAATAATATACTATAACATGCTATAGACTACCTTACATGAAGGGAGTTCATACTGCTGAAAGTAATAGAAATAAGCTAGAACAGAAGAACAGAAATAAGAACGGCATGAAGACATAAGGTAGATATGTTCAATATTTCCTGTAATATGAAGAAAAAATTATTTAGATTCATTCGAGTCAAGAACTAAAATAGATAAATGCCTAAATACTTTCACATTCAACTATCGCATTGTGGAATAAATTACCTTTGATACAGCCATGCTTTTCGTCATGTATGAATCCAGTTGGGCAAAACTTGCAAACAGGGTGGTGATCTTCAACTGAGCAAGGCGCATCTCCGCATGCGCCATTGCATGGGTCTTTACATTGAAAATCTCTGCAAGCTAAATTCTGAGGGCATCCATTATCTCTTAAGCATATAGAAACTGATGGATGACAGTCTTCGACGCAAACGCACATCACTCGGTGCTCGACAACTTCACATTGCTTTCCCTTCGGACACATAGAGTCTCTGGATGCCAAACATGGATTCACGCATTTTGTATCTCTACAAACCGCATTAGACGGACACTGTTCATCTCTGGTACATTCCGCATGTTCTGGTGCACACGTCAATTCACCTCTTTCATTTAAAGCGAATCCGTTACGACAAACGCACACTGGTTCATGGTTTCTGACCTCACATTTTTGATTCTGGCGACAGCTGTGATAATCAACGCATGGATTGCGACATTGGCCTGTGGCGAGATCGCATGCTAATTTAGGAGGACACGGCTTTGTGTCTGAGCAAGTAAAAGTAATGTTGATATCTGAAGTCGGTTTGCAGGCGGGATCTAGACGGCAGGCTTGTCTCGGTTGTCCGATGTAACATTGGGGGCAGGAGCATTGCGCGCGGTGCATGACGGATACGCAGAGCGCGTCTTCGCCGCAGACGCCGCGCATCGTGCACGGATCGACGCAGTGCAAGCTGAGACACGCCTTGTCGACCGGGCAGTCCTTGTCGCTCGTACATTCGATACCTAGGAAGATTTGAAAGAAGAAAGCAGAGTCGAAAGAGCGGTACCTTCAGCCGCGAAGAGGAAACTTTCTCACGAGACAGTGCATGCTTTTTGAAACTGATAGTTTTATGACCAGAAATATATAACGTAAGGATATTATAAAAAAGCGATATGTACATGAAGCCGGACAATATGTTACTGACTGAATTCAAGCACGAATGGTGAGAATGCTTCCACTAGTATCGACTAAACGTGACATACTATTGGGAAAAGTATGTGGTTATGTATTTTATACATGTAAATACTTTAATTTACAAATTGTACAGACTTAGGGCACGTGTCTCCTTTACAAGGCGGAGATATTTATAGTGGATTAAAACTTAGCCGAAGGTTCCAAGAAAACAACGGTTTGCTAAAATACGAGACAAACTTGAATGAAATTAATAATTTACCTTTGTAAAATTTTAAATGTATTTTGTTATTTTAAGTATAATGTGTGTGTGTAAATCTAAATCAGTGGGCGAGAGCGACACGGGAGTTTAATGAACTACTTTGCGTCGCATGCAAACGTTGTTCGTCAAAAATCGATGGGACGCCACTTTCAATGTTTAGCTAATTTAAATTATCTACTACGGTTATGGACACGTACCCTTATACCCGACTATACAAAACAATACAATTACTTGGATATCATCCTAATAAATTTCTAATTATGACTGTGCACGTAGAAAAATAAATATTCCACTATCCTGTACAGAATACTCAAAGTTGTACAAATATAGTTGTAATCGTATTATCGTATTTCGTGTGAATACCATAATGTGTCTTAACTTCTCAAATAATTGTATCGTGCATTTGTACAAGTGTGATGTGTATTTTTGTATAATTTTACTCACTGGTGTGACATTCTATATCGGCTTGACCTTCTGTTCCAGGTATACATCTACAAACAAATTCAGCTCCCTCTCTTAAGCATTCGCCGTTAACACCACAACCAGTCGTTCGACAGTCGACAACGCTCCGCTCTTGCGTACCTAAAGATAAATGTTTTCATAAAACACACATGATTACATTAGGCTCATATGATATTATGTATATAACCTTATACATACATTCTATATTCGGATCACCATTGGGATAGTTCCGGGGACAATAGCATTGAGTTTCACGATTCTGTCCTATTCTGCACTGGGCGTTTGTACCGCACACTTTGTGAGCACACGGAGCCATAGTACCGCAGAAGCACTGATGTTGTGGATTACCAGCGCAACCCGGAGGGCAAGTGCACTCGAAACTTCCATCGTCCATATCCCGACATCGAGCATTCACCCCGCATGGATTTCGAGAACAAGATCCACCACTCGACTTAGAACATTCCAACTTGGGATTGCCAATGAAGTTTGGTGGACAAGAACATTGTGGACTTCTATTTACAGTTCTACATATGGCGTTCGTTCCGCACGCGTTTATGCATACTTTTTTACATTTATTGCCATTACATTCTTCATCCACTGCGCAGTCTTCATCGTTAGCGCATTCAAATAGTTTACATTCCTTCGAGGGGTCGCCGGAGAATCCGCTAGGGCAACTGCACAAAGGACGGTGGCGCAATGAGGTGCACAATGCATTTTTCCCGCAAGAATTCTCACGACAAACGGGGACACATTGCTTAGATGAGCATATCATATCTTCGCCACAGTCTCTATTATTATTACAGCCTGGTAGGCAAGCTCCTTGGGAACATATTTGTCTTTGTGGACATTTATTTCGTACCGAGCACATGACCCTGCAGCCTCCGTTAAAGCACTTTTCTCCGCAGTTGCAATCAGAGTGGTTGTCGCAAAGCGAGATGCAATAGCCACTGTCGTCGCAGGGGCAGAACCCATCGCATTGTAGTTGCTTCCGTTTACATTCCACAAGAGGATTACCGGTGTAATTACTCGAACAACTGCATTGTGCTCTATGATTTATAACTTTACATTCAGCGCAAGTACCACAGCTACTACCCTCCTTGCAAGGATCTGTAAATAAAAGGGTGATTAAAGTTAAGTTAGAGAGGCCTTTATATATTTTTTTTTAAATATTGCTTTCTTACCTTTACACTGTCCATTAAGACAAGCTTGATTATCGCTACAGGCATTGTCGTGGCGACAACCCTGCTTACAGATTCTATTTTCACATATATGGCCTTCGTTACACACATCATCACTGTTACATACAACTCTACATATACCGCGTATGCATTTTTCATTAGCCATACAGACATTATCACTGAAATAAATAGACAAGAGATTTTTGATTTATATATAATCAATCATATTAGTGAAAGTGTTACACAGTTTAATCATAATTAAGTTTTATTAAATATTAAAATCAGGTGTGAATTTTAAATAATAATAATTACCTCCTGCAAGATGGATAACAAACATCACCGTAACAACTAAATCCATTACTACAGCTTTTATCTTTATCGCACGGTAGAGATATTCTTCGGCAAGCAACCTTAGGGTCTCCAGCCAATGACTTTGGACATGAACAAATTGGTTGGTGATCTTTCGTCGAGCACAGAGCATTAGCACCGCACGAAGAAGGTTCTGTGCAAGGATCTTTACATTGTCCTACCATGCATGCTTTATCATTAGAACAATGAGAGTTTGATTTACAGCCCGTAATACAGAATCTACCATCACAAATTTCGCCATCTGAACAATGGTCGTCAGATGTGCATGCGAATCGACAAACGCCAACGTCGCAACGTTCTCCTTGAAGGCAATTTGTCCCGTCTGGTGTACAAGCTGGCCGACAGCGGTCATCTTCACATCTCCATCCGGAGGCACAATCTGAATGCATTTTGCACACAGGTGCAGGTATACGCACGCAACCAACATTAGGCGTCGGGTTCGGTATCAAGTTATCAAGACAAGAACATACAGCTTTACGATCTGCTACAGTGCACCGTGCATTCGGCCCGCATGGATTGTTGTCATTTGAGCATGGATTCTGGCAGTAATTATTTCTACAAAATTCATCTGGTCCACAATCGTCGTCTTGCCTGCAACCGTAATGGCAGCTGTTGGCTAGGCAAATATGGCCGAGGAAACAGTCGTTATCGACGCGGCATGTAACTGAAATAGGAGTCGTTAATTATTGTATATATAATAAATAAAATTTATATATTTTATACGTAAGTTTACATTATATAATATCACTTACGCAAACATGCCCCCTTCGAACATCTCTCATTAACAGCGCATTCTTCGTCGACCGTGCATTTAGGTAAGCACATAGAATCTTGACAAATGTTGCCTTCTTCACATTCACCTGAGCCACCACAAAGTCTTGGTACTGAAAACAATGAGAAAAATGAGAATTGAACTATACTCGTAACTACAGCATTTAAAATAAATATAATTTATATTATCTGTATCCCCTGTATTACGTAAACATTTCGAACTATTCTATTCATAGAATTTGACACACTGTAATTTCTACCTTAACTGATATAAATTAAGACTGTATTTATACTTCCTAGTTTCATATTTTTTAATATATGACCCCTCTACTTCTTTCCAATGTCAAAGGTGGAAAAGACTTTTGAACAATGTGTTACATAAAGTTAAATTAGATACAAGTATTTTTATACTATTATTTAATTTAATGTTTTCTTCGTTTGTAATTTATAAATTGCTATTTCATTGTACTTAAATATAACAATATACAGGTAATGTAAGGATAACTTACTTCTCACACATTCAACATCTTGATTCCCAGTGAACCTGTATGGACAACTACATATTACAACATGATTGTCAGTTCGGCACTGTGCATTTAATCCACACGTTTTTTCCATCTTGCAAGGTTCTACACATTGCCCATTAATACATCTTTCTACTGATGCGCATTCTTCGTCGAGAAGGCATAATGCTGTAAATATATTAAATATTAATAACTTGGCGTTCATTTTGGAATATGAAAATCACATATAAATAATTGTATGCTTACCTTGGCATGTAGTGTTATGACAATATTGATTTTCACCACAATCTTTGATTGATTTGCAGACAATTTCTTGAGGCCGACAACCCTTATCGCTAGAAGGGTTACCAGTAAAGCCGGGCTTACATTTACATTCACCGGCGTGTCGTGCGGCTATACATTCGGTGTTTGGTCCACATTTAACACTATCGCACGCATCTGTAATAAAAAATACATTTAATAAAGAAAAAGATTAAGTAAATAAGATTTTTAATAACATTGGAAATTTAATAAGTCGACAAAATTTTAGTACCTGTGCATTTTCTTATTCCGTCAATAACTGTGCATCGAGCAACTGAAGGACAATCCCTGTTAAATCTACATTGGGAACCTTTTTGGCAGCCTTTCCCGTATGGATCTCCTACAGTTCCTCCAGGGCACAAACATTGTGCGCCATTCCTGACATTTCTACATTCTGCGCCATCACCACACGGATTTGAGCCGCAATAGTCAATTTCTATACATCCTTTCGTAGGATCGCCTGTGTGCCCCGGTTGGCAATAACAAATAGCTTGATGTTTTTCAGATAAGCAAATTGAATCTTGGCCACATTTATTTTGAGCCAAACACGCAATTTTACACATGTTTTGATCACAATATTTGTCTTCGGTACAGTCACTATCTTGATTGCATTCAATTTTTTTACAACCTTGAACTGGATCTCCGAAAAAGCCGTCTTTGCAAGAACAAACGGATTTATGTAATGCTGAGGTGCAGAGTGCGTTTCTTCCGCACGGTTGGTTCTTACAAAGTTTGACGCATTGAGGAATACCATTTTTGCCTTCAGTGCATTGGGCATCATCAGGGCAATCGTCATTGGATAAACATTCAATTTCTTTAATGCATATTTTATTTGAACAGAAGTAAGATTCGGGACACGTATCGTTCGATGTGCACATTAGTCTACAAGTATCTTTGATGCATATTTGATCATTTAGGCAGTCTCGGGAATTCTTACATATTCCTAAAATACAACATTAAATTAACATCTTATTTAGCTACAAACATTATTAAAAGAAACTCGCGAAAACTATTTTACTCACAGTACGTAAAAAGATAAAAATAAAAAAAATCTAAAGTAAACTTACCAAGACATAAGTTATCAACACATTTTGTTCCTGATGGGCACCGACTATCGTCATTACAGTATTGTATGGGGACACACCCCAAGACCGGATCACCAGTAAAACCATTACCGCAATAACAATGGCCTATATGATTTCTAGATACGCAATTAGCATTTTTACCACATGCCCGTGGTATGTCGCAGGAATTTTTACATTTGTTATTGACACACGCTTCTGCTGACGAACAATCAGAATCTCTTGTACATTCAAATTTGATGCAGCCTTTATACGGATCACCGTGACTACCTTCGTGACATTCGCAAGTGGGCTCATGTTTAAGTACGAAACAATGGGAGTTCTCGCCACAAGGAGAATTTTCACATGGATTTATACATTGATTTTTATGGCATTTTGTCATTTCAGAACAATCTTCATCAGCGAAGCAGTCGCCAGGTTTCTTGCAATGTTTCGTGCTAATATCGAGGACAGTTCCATTAACACAACTACACCCATACGATCCAGGTGTATTTTCACAGATAGAATTTAACGGACACGGGTGTGTAAGGCACTCGTTAATATCTTCACAATTGTTATTTATTAGTTCAGACCCAGACAAACAAGTGCACGAAGCTTTGTGGTCTATTATTTTACAAATTCCGCCTTTACATTCAGTATCTTCACATCGATCTAAAAATATATAAATTTAAAGACGCCATAAAATAAAAATGAAATGCATGCAATCAAAATGAAATAATAGAATATACTAACCTGAACATTTGTTGCTATCCAAACGGCAGAATTTATCATTAGAGCATTCAGAATCATCCATGCACTCTACTCTGAAACACCCTACCTTCTTGTCTAATGGGTTCCCCAAATGTCCTTTCTGGCAAGTACATGTTACTTTATGTTCTTTAACTGCACAAAGAGCGTTTGAGCCACATGGATCATTTGTTTCGCAAGGATTTCTACATTTTCCACGGAAACAGACAAGTGAATCTTCACACTGACTATCTCGTCTACACTGATTCGGCATTAAGCACCCGTTTTTGTAAGGGTCCCCAATGGCTCCAGTCGGACAAACACATTTAAATGAACCTAAATCATCAATACATTGAGCAGAAGGATGGCAAGGGTTCTGAACGCATTCGTTTATATTTAGACACTGATCCCCTGACATTTGGAATCCCGGTGAGCACTCACATTTTGATTCTTTACACATTTGATTGTCCATGCAGTCTGAGTCGACACGGCAACCAAGAACGCATACTCCAGAGCTACAATGCTCTCCGTGTAAGCAATTGCTGCTCGTGTGACAAATTTTATGGCATTTACTATCGTAACACGTTTCTCCTATAGCACAGTCTGATTTCGATTGACATGGTACTTGGCATAAATATCCAATGCACATATGATCAGGCGGACAGTGCGATGTCTTCGAGCACGAACTTGGCTTCCGAACACAGCCTTGCTGTGCAGTAGGTGTACCTTCAAATCCAAGTGGACATTCACATTTTGTCGCGTGCTGTTCCCTTGAACAGATAGCATTTGGACCACATACCCTCGAGCCCACACATGGATCATTGCAGCGATTGTTAATACATGCTTCTTCATTAGAACAATCGTTATTACTGCGACAACCAATCAAACACTGGCCTTCAATACAAGCCTCGCCGTTACTGCACTGTGTATGTTTGGTGCACTCTTTAGTACATAAATTCTTAATGCACACGTCTTCATGGTCACACTGAGTTGAATTTCTACAAGCCGTGAAACATTGATTTTTATGACAAATTTCGCCATCACAATCAAAATCGTTATTGCAGGTTATTAACTTTTTCTTACACTGTTTGGTTCCTTTTATAAACTCATAACTTTCAGGGCATAAACAATTTGCTTTTCCATTGACTACTTTGCATAGGGAGTTGATACCACATGCATTTTGACACGGATTAGTACATCTTCTATTTATACAGACAGTGTCACCAGGACAGTCATTGTCAGAGTCAGAACAAGAGTTTTGAGGTATGCAGCCTTCTTCTCTGGGATCTCCAACTAGACCATCAGGGCATTTGCAAATAAAGGAGGATCCCGATGGTTCGCACAACGCTGTTTTGTGGCATGGATTTGATCTACACACATCAACTTTTTTACAACCAGCTTCAGGAATAGGATCAGGCTGATAGCCAACTGGACAGTGGCATACAAATTTATGGTTTTCAGCTATACATACAGCATTATCTCCACAAGAATCTTCAGAGCACGCGTTGATACACGTGTGTGTCATACGATTGCATAATTGTTGCGGCATACAATCTACATTATATACACACGGCACTAATTTGCAGCCACTTTCTAAATCATTAGGGTCTCCCGTATATGGCCCGACAGGACATTGGCATTGAGCGACGTGGTTATTAGTTATACAGAAAGCATTAGGCCCACAAACGATTTGTTGACAAGCCGAAACACATTTTTTCAAAGCGTTAACGTTCTTGCATACTTCGCTCTCCCTACATTGAGCATCAGTCACACATTGGTTCTTGTTCACCGGTACACAACCATCTCGGTCGTTAGGATTTCCCTCAAAGTCATTGGAACATTGACATTGACTAATGTGGCCTTTTGTTACACATTTCGAATTTTGAGGACAAGTAAATGTATTACAATTATCCATACACTTTTTAACACCTAGTACATCTTTTTGACACGATTTATCATCATCACAGTCGGTATCGCTATTACAGTTAGATGTAGTGGGTTGCTCGCATATCGAGTTCAATGGATTCCATAAATAGCCTTCTTTACAATCACACCGGGCGCTGTTATCTATAACGTTACAAACTTCATTAGGGCTGCAAATGATGGTAGAACACAAATCTAGACACCTTTTAGTTGAACCATCTACTGATACGCAAATTTGAGGTTCAGCACAGTCGGTATCTAGATTACACTCGACTTCGTTTGGTTCACGTTGTAGCAATTGGCACCCTATTTTAACATCATTCGGTTTTCCGACATAGCCTTCAGTACAAATGCAATGGGCGTGATGGTTTGAACTAACGCATATTGAATTAGGTCCACATTGTAGTTTGCTACAAGCATCAACACATCGTCTTGTGTCTTTAGCTAGTTGTAAACAAATTTCCGTGTCTTTGCAATTTCCATCGGTCAAACATGATTTATCGACAGCGCAGCCTTGTTGAAGATCATTAGGATTCCCCACGTAGCCAGGAAGACATTCACATTTTCCTTCTGCGCATAAACTTTTCGGTCCACATAGCATACTGCGGCATGCGTCAACACATCTTGATTTTTCACACGTATAGCCATCGGGACACGTATTATTCCGAGAACAAGTGCATACTGTGCCGTCCACACACTTTGATAATGATATTTGAGTACACAATTCGTAAGGATTTCCAATATACCGGCTTTTGCAAATACAGCTGAAGCTGCCAGGTGTGTTTATACATATTGCATTTTCTCCGCATGGTCTGGAACCGCACTCATCTATATCGATACATTGCAGATTAGGGTTGCCGATGTATCCAGGCGGACATAAACATTCAATGTGTGACCTAGTCTGCTGACAAACTGCATTTGACCCACACAGCCCTTGTTTGCATGTGATTTGCCTTCGGGGTAAACATTTTTTGTAAGGATTACCCGTGAAACCTTTATTACATTTGCACATATTATTTTGCCCATACACACAATGAGCATTTTGAGCACATCCTGGTTCACAAGTGGGTGGTGCAACAGCTGCAAAAAAATAGTTCTTAGTTATAATTACTGACTAAACGTAGCTTTATCTCCGTACGTTACAGTAAATAAAGCCTATAAAATATAAATAGTTGAATTTACTTACGCGGCATGCAGAGTAAGTCCGGATTTCCAACAAAGAACGCATCACAAACACAATGTCCTGTTTTCTCATCACAAGTGGCTCCAATACCACACACCACATCTTCACATCTCTGACGACATCTACCAGCCACACACGACATAGGTTCCTCACAGTGTATTCCTGCCCCGCATAAATCTCTTCTGCAGTTTCCGCCCGGGAATGGATTTCCAACCATACCCTCAGGACAAACGCATGTTGGGCCAGTCTTTGAAATAATGCAATGGGCACCGGGAGCACAGGAATAATTGTCACAACCTAAAAATTAATAAATGGCATGTTAATATAAATTAAGCTGATATAGGAATTATAAAATAATATGGGGAGAACATTTTTGATCATGAAAAATAAAATCTATGTAAATGCAACGTATAACATATTACCAGAAATACATTTCCCGCCTTCTGGTTTCGTATATCCAGGGTTGCACCGACACCATGCGGCGTGGTTTTCAACCTCACAGAAAGCATTAGGACCACAGGATACGCTTAAGCATGGCGATATACAGGTTCGGTTTAGACAAGCCAAATTATTTGGGCATTGATTATCTTTGCTACATAATAATTTTTGAGATGGGACTTCATCTATTGTACCTGAAAAAAATAATTACATACCATAAATTACGGTAAACATTTTTAAGGACTATCTACCTTCATTTAAATTGGATTTTTTCAGTACTTGTCATAATTGATGAGAAAAATAGAATAACGTTATTAATAAACTCTTGAAATGTAAAATAAGACTTATTACGTATATTTTAAGTAGCTTAATTTTTATCAAGTAGAGTACTCACATCCAGTTTTGTACGGGTCTCCGATCATGTTTTGTGGGCAAATACATTTATATCCACCTTGTTCGTCATTACAAATAGCACCATAGGCACAAGGAGCACTCTGACATTCGTTTCTGTTTGTACAACCTGTGTAGGGATCTCCTTCGTATCCAGACATGCACATACACCTGGGCGGGTCGCTTGGAGTACATTTAGCATTGATTCCACAAGTAAATCTCTCACAAGGACTTTTACATTTCTGGCCATCAGTAACATCTAGGTAAAATGGTGGTGGACACACACAGTTTCCAGGTTGCACACACTTTTCATTAGCAAAGCAGTCGCTATCACTTATACAGCGTTTCTGGTTTAAGCTACACTGTCCCGAATTTGGATCTTTTCCGTAACCGGCAGGACATTTACAAATAAAAGATCCTAGAGTATTGACGCATTCTGCGCCAAAACCACAGGCAGGCTGATCTAGTAAACATTCGTTAATATCTTCGCAAGCTCCATCATTTGTCTGTGCGTACCCAACTGGACAAGCACAGTAACTTACGCTGTCCGATATTACAATACATTCGGCACCTTTTCCACATTTTTTGTCTTTCGAACAACCAGATAGCACGCATTTACCATCGACTACTTTATATGGCAGTTGGCACTGACATGATATGTCGGTACACATTTCGCACAAATTATATGGATTTCCACTATATTCGGGAGGGCATTTACATTCGTAACTGCCAGGCAGGTTCTTACAAATAGCGTTCAGGCCACACGGCGTGCGACCGTGTTGAGTACATTCATTTATATCTTCACATAGGCCATTATCAACATTTCGAGAGAAACCCTGTCCGCAAATACAAACATTTTCATTATCATGCAATACACATTGTTCGCCTTGCGGACATGGGTTTGTATTGCTGCATGACTGTGGAAGTTTGCTAGTAAAACACCCTTCAGTATAAGGATCGCCTTTAAAATGCCCGGGGCATTCACATTGGAAATTACCAGGTAAATTTTTACATACGGCACCCGGGGCGCAAGGATTTCCATCACATTCATTGACATCTTGACACCCACTTGGTGAAGAAGGATCACCCGTAAATCCATTTCGACAAGTGCATTGTGCTATTTGTTCGTTTAGAAGGCATTCAGAATTGCTTCCACAATGTAAAGCTTCACAGGGATCTGTAAATAAATAAGTTTGTGATTAATTTAATTTAATAATGTCAATAGTTCCAAACGATTGGCTACATAACTGAGTTAGATTAAATGTACTAAATACTTACGTCGACATTCGTTCCCTATATTTGGTTCAGGACAGACGCACTTTGCGTTTCCGTTACATATAGCATTTCCAGGACAATCGTCATTAGAAGTACAGGTAAGTATTTCTGCACATTTTACTCGAGGATCAGGATCAGCTATAGTTCCATCGGGACAAGCGCATGTATACGACCCCTTTTCATTAATACATTCCGCTCCAATACCGCATGTATTATCTATCTCACATTCGTCAATATCGAAACAATTTTTGTATGGGTCCCCAGTGAAACCATCTGGACATTCACACATAAAACTGCCTAAAGTATTTGAGCATCGAGCATTAGCACCACAGTGTGATGCTGCCCCTATTCCTATATCGCACTCATCAATATCGACACATCCAGCTGATATATCATTAGGATTGAAATTCCATCCCTCATCACAAATGCAGTACGCGTCATTTCCATCTGATTTACAATAAGAGTGATCGCCACATTTAACATCCTCACAAGGAGCGCGACATTTCACCTGAGGCGGCAGCCCTACATATCCCGTCACACATGCACATGTATAACTTCCGATTGAATTTATACATATAGCATTCTCTCCACATTTTGACCCGTGTGAACATTCGTCAATATCTGCGCATACAGACCCCTTCGGTTGAAAACCATCTTTACAGAAGCACTGACCATCCACACATTCCGCGTTATTTGTACAATCAAAGTTTGTTCTGCACAAAGTATTGACATCAATCTGCAAAGTAGAGAGTACGTTAATAAAGTACTATAATGTACTGCGTGGACATAGTATGCTATTTACCTGTTCACATGCTATCTGGGGATCGGGTTGAGCCCGATATCCTTGGGGGCATACGCAATTATATCCTGGCGATGCATTTTCGCATATGGCATGTAATCCACATGGGTGCTCAAGCGCCGCACATTCGTCAACGTCTGTGCAACCGCTCGGCAAACGGGCATCTCCCGTATAGTCCGGGAGGCAGTGGCAAGTAAAACTTCCAATCGTATTGCTACACACGGCGTGAGCTCCGCAAACCGCTTCACTATTTTTACACTCATCTACGTCTGGGTCAACAAAGAACTCATATCTTATTAATCATTAACCAAGCGCATTCCATAACTCTATATATACGTACGAATAGTATGCGATGACAGCCACTACGAAGAAGAAATTGCAGAAGAATAGATTCTTAAAAGACAGAAAATTCAACAATGTGATATCGAAGGAAGAAACGTATTTCAATGATTAAAATCGTAATGTTGACATCATATCGCAGATAAAATTTCTGAAACAGAAAATGTAGGAAGACCCATCGTCGAACGCGAGTTATAGTTATTTAGTTAGTAAAAAAGCGTGAGTCTACCGCGCGTAATGTTAAGCGGTAGTCAGCGTCGTCTGAAACGCTGTTTTAAGATTAAAAGCATTAAATTAGATTGAAAACATGGCCTGTAGATTTGTTTAATGCGCTGTATTTACCATTGCATTGGACATTAGGGTCGCCTTCAAAACCTGGCGGGCAAAGACAGCGGTAGTTTCCTGGCAGGCTTTCGCAGATTGCATGACGTCCACAGGAATTTCTGGCGCAAGGGTCGGCATGCGTACAAGCAAGTCTTGGATCGCCTTCATGTCCCGGTGGGCAGCTACATTCATAACCTCCTACAAGGTTGCGGCATACCGCACCAGCACCACACGCGTCTTGGTTTAAACATTCGTCCACGTCGACACACTATGGGGAAATATTAATATATTTTTTAAATCAATTAAACTAAACGATTAAACAATTAAATGATTTTTGATCTTACACCATCGAACGGGTTTCCTGTAAAGCCAGCTTGGCAGGCGCAAGTATAATTTCCAGGATAGTTCTGACAAATGGCGTTCGAACCGCAAGCCCCAGGACGTCGGCATTCGTCGATATCTAAAGCAGTCGCTCTTATTAGCAGTTTTTCAGTGAGAGAAATAATAAAATGATTTACTAGTTACGCAGCTTATATCAGGTATACCTGGAACTGATTTTCAGTAAATCCTTAGAGTGTTGACAGCGACGCCAAACGTAAGTCAAATTTTAATTAAAAAAATCTTTGTTGTAAAAATAAAAAACATAATAAACTTTACAGAAAAAAAGACAAGACCAGCTGCATGCATAAATATTTTGTTCCGTTCCGAGATCAGCATTTACATAAATAGGTGCCCACCGCGCCACCAACATCAGTTTCTTGTAACGACAACAAGTATAATTCTTATGTTTAATTAAAAAAAATACGGTCTTAGTTATTTCAATTACAATGACTCGTCCGGATGCGTTCATGAAACAAGGAAGTTACGAGTTACGAATTCAAAATTAATTACTAGGAAGCTACGCTATCAACTTAATACTAACATGATGGAGCAAATTATAAATGTAGGAAGGTTTCAAGAATGATTTATCAATTTCTGTCCATTACAACGTAACGAGAACTATTGAGAACTTCTTTTATTATAATTTAAAAATCGAAAATAAATTGAAAAAATTCTCGACTCGGACAGGACTTCCGGCATCGTCAGCGTTCCGTGCTGTTGCTCTACCAATTGAGCTACCGAGTCCTACACCTCATCGTCGATTTTTTTCAACTTATTGTTACATGCACCTCTCGCGCATTCTTTTATTATATTAGACTTAAAGACTTAGTATGAAATTGAAAACACACCTCGACACTCTTCTTCGCCGTCCCCTTCGAAACCACGATTACATTTACATATGAAGTGAGCTGGTAGATTGCAACATTCTGCATTTTCAACACATCTCGCCGCTATAGCTGGATCTTCACATTCGTTGATATCTAAAATCGATATAATTATCATTGATAATCGTATCTTATAACATTCACTACCACTATAGTTTTATTACAACAGAATAAAACCAACTTGACTTGACTATTTGATTGAAGAAGATATACATTTGGAAATTAGATTGTTTTTTAAATATCCAAAGCAAAAATAGGTCGACGGTGCATCTTGTGTAGACTTTTTATAGCTGGGCTATTTCGCCCACCATCTAGTGAATCCCAGACTTGACTGTCACAAATTGACTTGGCCTAAATGTATGATTTACATTTTTTTGTAATTATAGAGGATGAATAAATTTTTAGAAACTTCACTACCTACTGTGTATATAAATAATTATCTTATATTAACTTGCAATTAAATACTTAAATGTTAACTGTTTGCGTTTTTGAAATCTACTATGGTTTAAGCATGTATAAATCAACAAAACCACATAGTAGCTTATCTAATTGGAGAGAAAAACAATTTCGGTAAATTACGTAAATCTTAGTAGTAGTTGATGATTCAATGAATTAAAAAAAACTATTTAATTTTACCTTTACAAGTGAATCCATCTCCGACGTAACCAGGAAAGCAAGAGCATTGAAAACTGCCTACTGTGTTTGTACAATGTGCAAATACATCACACGGCCTGTCTTTGCACTCGTTAATATCTGAAATAAAATAATACTCATAAATATTACACATAAAGTTATATACTAGTAATAGACAATATATATACACCGTTTATATTTAAAAAATAATAATTGCTTACTAGATACGTTCTAAAACCTTGTCATTAACTGTTGTTTATTGGAATCGTAACTAACTTTCGTTAAGCTTACATTTTGTATCTTAAAAGTAATATACCCAAATTTTATTTCTGTAAAATTATATGAAAACTCCTTAACACGTTTTCAAGTACAAATTTACTTACCAGGTTCCTGACAATTACAGCCACCAAAACCATCATTACAATAGCAAACTCCATGTAGACAAGCACCATTTATACATTGTGCGCCATCTTCTTTGGTACAATCATCTTAAAAAAATAATTAGTAATTCAAACACAGAGAATAACTTGAATACAAAAACCAATTAGATCGCAAGAACACTTAAACAATTTTATTTTATAATTAGAATTAATTGCCTTGTTGTCCAAAACTTTTAAGATAAGTTTATAGTCGTTAATTATAAGTAGAAATATATTATATATTGCTTAAATTCTTAAAATATTTTCTATTTCTCGAGGTATTTGATTCGTGGTTGTCTTATGTTTTCAATATGTATGTGGCACAACATATTATACCTCTGTAGTTAATGCGTGAAGTCGACATTAAATAAAACACTTTTGGTAACAGCAAAAATAACATTGCGATATTAGGAAACTTATTTTTAATTTCGACTTGTCTTACTAATGCTTTGCAGCAGGCGTGGCCACGAGACACGTGGTTTGAAAAATATTAGGTAATAAATGTCGTCTTAAACAGTTAAAAGTGTTTTATTTAACTTAAAAATACTAACCTGAACATTTTAACTCTGTTCTAAGTTCGTCGGATGCCTTATAGCAGTCAGGCACACCGTCACATAATTTGGATAATTCGTATAATTGTAATATCTGAGTCGATTCGTTAACTTGGCAGCCAAAGTAACCGTCTTCTAAATTTAAGAAAAATACTTCTCGTTTTATTCCTAGACCTATTCCATATTGGCTTTGCGTCGCTACCTGTAAACAATGTCAGTATGAACACACCTTGTTTCACATTTTTTTTACCTATGTCTTACAAGATTCACGATTACACTTTCTTCTTTCAAACTCCCACTTGGTACTTAACAATGTTTAGAAAAAATCTACATACCGAAGGATGCGAGGAATGAATGAATGAAAATAGAGGGAAACACAATTAGCCTGACTTTGATTTTTATAAGCTACAGTTGAGTGTAACTACTAACCACTAGATCAGAGATGCACAGAACGCGGCCCGTCGGTCGAATAGTAGTGGCCCGCCAACAAAAATAATACTCAAAATAATAAAGTCTTTTTCAATTTTAATACACTATTATCAGTTCTTTAGTGTCTTTAATTACCTATACTTCTGGCGGTCCGCCATAAGATCATGATTTGCCCCAGTGGGCCCCAGTCTTAAAAACCTGTGCATCCCTGCACTAGACCAACGAAGCAGTTAAATAGTTACATACAAATTAAACCATTGTTGTATGATACTGTACTTACTTTCGCAGTCGTGACTAAGAGCGTCCATACCACGAGCGGTAAGGTTTCTTTGTACATTGTCTCTGAAACAATAAAGGGGAATATTTAGTGAAATCCTACAAAAAGAAGACACTATCCACGGGCGGTATTTTAAGTACATTTCATATAGAATTCAAAAGTTAAATAAATTTAAATCTAATTTATAAAATTCTCATGTCACAGTATTAGTTACAAAACTCCTCCGAAACGGCTCGACCGATTTTTATGAAATTTTATATGCATATTCATTGGGTCTGAAAATCGGTAATTACCTATTCCTAATACCCCTTAGTGATAAGGGTTATCGACCTCATACTATTTTTTGAATATTTTAATTTTTTATTCTTTTACAATGTTGAATTAAGAATGCATACATTTTTTCCCAAATTTTCACCCTTCTATCACCAACCACTGTTTTTTAACATGTATTTCTTTTAGTCATTTGTCTCTCTTATACATATAGCAGATTTTTACACACTAGAAATTCCCTAGAAATAATGTATATAACAAAACTAAGTTTGCCGCGTCAGCTACTTCAATTTATTTAATGAAGATAATCACGTTTAAAAGTAAACTAAAGACTAGTGATTAAAAAATACTTAAAGAACATTACTATCTTGTCAGTATTTTTCAAAGGCGAAGGTTATTTAACCAAGGTCTGCTTGACCAATGAAAGTAAAGTTTATATGTTTATAAGATTTATTTATAACTATTATGTCACAAACGAATTGAAGTTTTGAAATTTCGGTACTATAAGGTACGCTAAGGGTAGGTTCGGATTGTAGTTGAAATTAATTAATGTTAATATTTTGCGATTCAAGCCGTTAAAATTCGTTTATCAGTGAATACCATTTGTGACTATAAAACATACCTAATTTTAAGCTCAGCGTGAATAACCAAAATGTGAATTCATATTCATACGCCACAGCACGAAGAGGCAAAAACAGTTACGAACCTCACAAGTAATACACAATATTATGGCGCATAGAAAAACGTATCGAAAGTTTGCGTGTTGATAAGAAATCAGGCATAAAAGGCGCTCGAGTGACCGGACCCTCTGCGTATGAGTTGCCATTCACTTTCACGTCTCTGGTATCCGCCAACAAAACATTTGTACGGAAAGTGGGCTGCAAACAATAGCTCGATACTACATAGTTTCTCTCTCTTGAGAAACAGTTCTACGCTTAATGGTTAATCACCGAATCATTTAACAGTATATACCTGAGTATTGTCTCTAATTTATGTGAATATACACAAGCCATCCCCCCGCATCCAAGCTGTTTATCCGAAATATCGTAACATATATAAAAACATCATGTTTTACGCGCTTTAACCCGATATACATTTGCCACGTACCAAAATCAATTGTAGAATATCTCGTCATATTTATCAAATCTCAAATTAAGAGTGAAAGTGGTCTAAATGTTTTTTTTATAAGCGGCGCCCCCTTTATTATTATTCTATGTAATATTAAAATAACATTAACTACTTATAAAATCAACCCATACAACCAAACAACAATATAAAACAGTAAGTACTGTCTGCAGTTTAAGCACGTGGTACACATTTATATAAAACACTTTTGAACGATTTTAAGGGGAAAATATATTATTTAAACTTATTTAAAATTGATTTTAAAGTCGGCCTGGCGTTTCTGAACCTTATATCGAGAAACGAGAATACATCGTGCGTTCATTCTGTAAGGATCCAGATAGTTTCTCCAAATAGCATATACGAAGAAACAGATTGCGCTAGCGTAGCAGACATTTTGACTTCGACATTAGGCAAAGACACCCTTGATTTTCGGTCCCCCGTGACCGAGGCTGCTGCAAAGCATTCGATATGTCAGGCCGTAGTTAAATAAATCGTAAATCACTGATACATAATACAAAAAATGGTTTATTTAAAAATATAAAGCAGAGAACCATTTCGATTTTATAACGATTTAAGGTCCATTTAACTGAAAAATATAGGATGCATCTCATTGGATTTAAAAGTGTATTGATAACAATAATTGTAATACGCGAAGTACATTGATTGATACCATTTTAAGTACAACGAGGCCATAGTATGTGAAAATATCCGTAATATATTTAAAAACATTAATATTTTTCACATGTTATTGCACATGAAGGCACTATATAATTTAAAAATCGAAAATAAATTGAAAAAATTGTCGACTTGAACCGGCATCGTCAGCGTTCCCTGCTGTTGCTCTACCAATTGAGCTACCGAGTCGAAAAATGTTTCAATTTATTTTCGATTTTTAAATTATCCGTTATATAGAAAAAATTATAGTCATCTGCATATTGTTTACGTTTTGAACCGTTAAAAAGTGTGTTATTTATTGAACGCTGTCTATCATTATGATTTTTTATGCACTTATAACAACTATTGTGAATTGATCTATTTCATAATGACCAAGTATATATAATATAGAGATACAAATGATCGATAAGTGAGAAAACCTAGCGGTACAATACTCCAAGTGCAATAATATAGCGGAACTTGAGCAAATACATATGAAAGGTAATTTAGCGGACACCCCACATAAGGAATGAAGCACGGAACGAATCAAAATATATACTACAGGAATGTTTCGGTCTAGTTCACAGCTACCTAATGATAAAACAGTAAAAGCGAGAATTTTTTGTAGTTAAGTATTGTACGTAGTTTAACGAAGATAGAAATGTACATGTTATTTGGAAAATGTATTCTCATCATCCTATATTAGGTGCAGTAGTATACTCAGTAGCCGCCTCTGTAGCCTGTAAATGGTTAAAAGTATTGCATAGCATTGCGCGAGAGGTCCTGAGTTCGAATCCCAGGGAAACAAAAAATTGTTTCGGTCGGGCAGGGCACAGAAGTCTGATCAACTACTTGCCTGTTAATGAACGGATCAGTGAAACGGACACAAAATGTGTGCCTCCTGCCCCACGAGGGGGAAACGGGATTTCACACACAGTATACTCAGTACTCAGTCGCCCAATAAACGAAATTCTAATAAATAAATATATAAGTATGCTTTGTGATTCTGGTATTTGTTATAAATTCGTAATATCATTTATGTTAGATTATTTAAAATTTCTAAGAAAACAAATTAACCCTCTTTAAAGCCCGTATCATTAAGCTACCATGTCCCCACCACAGCTTTATCCAATGACAAAAATCAACTATATATTCAGTATTAAAAACTTAAATATTCCAAAAAATAATAATATATAACACATTAAACAGTTTAAAATGCGAAATATACGTATGAGATTCACCTTGACCATTATAATTTTTTGAATCGACGGTTTCAATTAGAAACCACTATTTAACATTAAGATTTATTTAATGCTAAAAAATATTTTACTTTGCTACACACAACGCGTTACTTTATAGAACCAATTTTTGAAAACCGCTAGACTCAAACTTCCGTTGACGTGTTCGTTATGTCGCAGTCGTGCGTCCCGTCACTGAGGCGTCATGTTTCACGACCAGAATAAATAATTAATTATTAATAAAGTCATCTTGCATCATTACTCGCCGTAATATTACAGTTCCAATATGATAAATATTCAATGGCGTTGAACACAAAAGAATCGTGATTGTGGTGAATTTCTATTATTGGTTATTGTGTGTGATACGTGAGACAACATAACTTCTAAATAATTTTACTATATAGAGTGTGGGATAGCTATATTGGTCGTCATATTATTTTTACAATTGGATTTTTTTAAAAGATTATTTAAATAAGAATAATTCTTACATACATATTGTTTGCGTTAGAGATGTTCAATTGATTGCAGCGTGTATAACCTAAAGCCTTCCTTGATAAATGATCCGACCTACACAAAAATATCTTTTTTTCGATTCGAACTAATAAATCCTGAGATAACGCTTTGAAAGGAACGAACAGTCAACCCTTCAACTTTATACTACTACTACAGATTATGTGAGTGTAAGAGTAGAACTTTCGGGCAATTAAATAAGACAAGGTATCCAACTATTTATCCTAAATCATAGAGAGCAGGGATGTAATATATTTGCAAAGGTTGCCTGGAAGAAATCGCCATAGGCGATAAGGCCACCTTTGCACAGACATTTTTTATTTTGTTTAAATAACTTTAAATGTCTATGGTCTTATGTTTGTGCAATAAAGAGTTTTATTATTATTATATTTCATAGAAATATTTCTGTCTATTTCACTGTTTATTTCTCCAGAGCTATTATTTTTTCTCAGAACTCAGACCTTGGATTCTTCGCAAACATAACTTACTAAATAATTGTAAGTACAAGAAGGGTTACCCGAGCGAACTCTTTTTCGTATTTAGTTTAAAATTAAGATGTAGTAGTGATACTTAAAATATACCACCCACGTATATCATGCAATACGACGACTAAAACATCTCAAATGTATAACTTGTAGTAAGTAAGACATCCTTTATTTTATATAGCGACTCTTATATTAAGAAACCACAATTGTAAAAACAATGTAAAAGGAACTTCATGAAAGACAAAAAGCAGCAGTATCCACAAAGTTCCTTCAAAAATTGTGAAACATTCATAATCTACCCATGTACCAAGAAGAAAAAATACGACGACTATTAACAACTACTTTAAACAGGTGAAAACAATTGTTATAATGAACTTTACACATTGTTTATGAAGAGAAAAGATAGTTTAAGCCAAATGTTAAAATGAGTCGCAACCGAATAATTTAATAATTTTATTGAAATTATTGAATAGCACACAATAAAAAAAATCAATGAAAGAAGTAGAGTTTAGCTTGCGTAGCTTATAAACGACGATCAAAGAAGATTTTATCAATTAACCAATAAAGGAAAAATATGTATTTGTAAATAAGTAAATGCCTAAAAACCCTTCAGTAGTCTTAATTTCCAGATCGCCCTAAAAAAAATTGGATGAAATAATAGTATATAGTCTATAGTCTATTTTAAGATTTGACCTTATTGGATTGGAGGTCCATACTAATTTATGAAGCAATTGGAGAGAAAATCTAAAATAAAAAAATACTTTTCTTTTATTGAGGCCATGAATATATTAGTACCTACTGAAAATTGTAAATACAGCAAAAAGTAATATATTAAGGGGAATTTCATTTTTTAAAGCATAAACCTTTGTTATCGTGTATTTTTATATGTTATTACTACATATAGGTATAAATGAAAGTTATTAAAGTTAGTTAAATAAAGCTACGTATAGCATATTTCTATGTATTTTTATATTCTGAAGAGATTTTTTAAATAGATAGATATGAACAGGAGGAGTTATGCATAATATTTTGGATAAACATTAATAAATTTGAAGGTTTCTACTGTGATGTCATAAACTAAAACAATGCTGAAAGATAAATCAATAATGAACTACAATAAAAAACGGTAACATTTAAATAAAACACTTTAACGGTTTCGAAGTTGGTATTCGACGGAACAGATGGCGCTAGCGTAGCAAATTTTTTTTTTAATTTGTAGTCAGAGACATCCTCCATCTTTAGTCACCCGTGACTACGGCTGCTGCAAAGCATCCGAAACGTCGGGTCGAAGTTAAAAATCATTTTCAAATAAGTTTAACTAATATATCGCGTTTTAAACCGTTAAAGTGTTTTATTTAAATGTGTACTACTCGCGTAAACTATAGACAGTATTTAATTTTTTATTCTTTATTTATTTTAAAAATAAACCAATAAACAAAATTCTATTGGAAGAAGCGATTTCAAGAAATACTGCATTAATCCTTATTGTTAATAAAAATCTTTAAATACACTGGCCATTTTATGTAGATTAATATGGCAATCAAAGAGCAACGTGTAATTTAAATTATTATTTCCGAAGATACAAATAAGAATTGTGGGGACTGGATCAATTATATGTCGGTCTTTTAAGAGTAACCTGTACACAAAATATATTTATACTGTCACTTGATAAAAAACTGTTAAGGTTGTTTATAAGGACATATTTAGTTCCAGCGTTCCACTCTTAAGTTTAGTAATAAAAAATACATTAGTTTTCACTTAAGAGACCACTTCGAAAGTGTGTATCCTAAATTTATTATGGAAAGTAAACTGTAAAATAGGTATATGAATAATCAACGTTAATATAAGTAAACGCAATCAGAGGTTAATCTCCGTACATTTGAGGAAAAGTGGAAAATGTCACGTCACGGCGTTTCATGTAAGCTCTCATGTCCCAAATCGGGGCAATTCATATTTTACAACTTCCCTTCGCCGTAGTACGTGACGTATAAATAACACGTAAGTGGAATTATATGGTTATCTACCAAGCACACTATCCTAGCATTAAACGCCGGGTGTAATGATCTTTTGGTATTTAACTACGCCATATCAAATCAAAACTATTTTTTAATTTATCAGCAACGAAATGTTTCGCGTGTCTGTTCTGTTCTTATTTATTTATTTCACATTTAGTGTACCTAAAAACAGAAACAACAGAAACACCCCGAGTCGAAAGAGACTTAACGATTAAATAAAAATTATACAGTGTGCAAGAAGTGCGAAACTTACTAATTACTTACTATTACTTAAACTAAACAAAATAAACTGAAAATAATACTAATTAAAACCCATCAAAATAAAAAAAGGAAAAGGAAAGTTCAATTTAGAAAGAATAACATAATAAGGACAGAAAATGTTTATATAAAAGACTTTTGAAAGAAGTCAAGGAAGGATTTAATCGGACGGAGTCAGGTAGAGAGTTCCAAAGTTGTTCTTTTTATGGCGCCATCTTTGATTTTATACAAAGATGGCGCATAGTTGCAATTCGCAATATTCCATGCTTTTAATATAGTAATATAAAGACGGCCTTGTTGATGTGGTGGTAGCAATGAATGACTGATTTCTAACTTTTCTAAAAGACGTTGGACTTCGTCTGGAAATCTGGATATAAAATAGGTAGCAGTAATATTGAAATTCCGTCCGGATCACGAACCACCGACCACAGATAATAAAGCCGTCAGCGCATCTTGTTAGCGACATATTACTTAAATTTATTTGAAAATGATTTTTAACTTCGGCCCGTTCCGGATGCTTTGCAGCAGCCGTGGTCACGGGGAGGCTGCTAATATATCGCGTTTTAAACCGTTAAAGTGGTTTATTTAAATGTGTGCTACTCGCATAACTATAGACAGTATTCAATTTCGTAAATATCATTTGTGATATAGTCAAATACAACTGGAAAGTATTTTAATATTGAAAACAAAGAAATAAACGTTAATAAAATATTAGAACACGTTCCCACCGAGTATAGAGAAATTAATGGTTGATGGCCCTTGCGTGAGAGTATGGTGTAGAATGACATAACGGGTACTGCCGGTCGAATGCCCGCGGATGACAGGTGTAGTCGAGGAGTATTATAACATCAGCTGCGGTATTATAACGTCACTTCGCACCATGTGTCATTAAGTACCTGTCCATTGATGTATTACTCTAAATTACTAATATTCCAATATATTTTATTAAAATAAAATTGTTCTTCCGTCCATTGCCTAGACACAAATTTCGTATTGTAACCATTTTTGTTTAAGTATGCTTGTTAATCGCCTCTGTAGCCAAATGGTTAAACATATTGCGTGGCATTGATTCGAATCCCAGGGAAACATAAATTTGTTTCGGTCGGGCAGGACACAGGATTAACTACTTGCCCGTTAAAAGAACGGATCAGTGAAACGGACACAGAAATGTCTTCGCCCCATGCCCCACGAGGGGGAAACGGATTTTCACTTTTTTTTACACCTGCTCGTTAGTATTTATATATATCGAGCAAAAATGTTTTAAGTTAATTTATTTTAGTATGTATTTGTTGTTATAGCGGCAAAGGTTATAAGTATTTAAAAAAAAAAAAGACTTGACTATGCTTCTTGGTTCATGAACCTGGTGACAGACAGTAAAGAATTAGTAAAAGGGTCCTGTTTTACCATTTGGATACAGCACCCTAAAATAACTTTAAACACATTTCGTGGCATCACCTACTTCGGTATTATTTAATAGAATATACACGTAAAGAAATTGAAAAAGACATAGTTTTATTGTTTTGTAAGGAGCTTAATAGGATAATTTGGCAACTTTATGATATAGTACTGTCGCGAGTAGCATGAATGGTTTTAAACACCATATTATTGGTACCTTGGGGTATAAGTCGGTCGGTGGCATACGGGTGGTAAGATAAAATAAGCCAGCTAGATATCTACTAAGTATATTGTTTAAAACCTTTAAAAGGGCTTAATAATAATTTATACGTACGCCGTAAATACGTAAACCTTTTAAGTATAATATAATATTTTCTACTATTCATTAAGTATTTTTAATCGTATAACATATTAGCAGTTTAACCATTTATACTCTTACTCGGCTATCACGCAAACTATTTTGTATTTTTACAACTGTAAAAGCAGTTCGTACATATTATACTTTCTAAACAAGAGCTCAACAATTATTTATGTATCTCGTATGATACTTAGTTAAGTAGGTACATAGATAGAGGAAAGTGATGTAAAGATTATTTCTTAGAAAGATTTTTCCTAATAGAAAGAGACTAGAATTCGTAATAATATTAATGACAATATGAAAAATATAACACTTAAACAGGTTCTAGGTTTAAATTCCAGAGAAATACTACATTTAAGAAGACATAGAATGCTAATGCAATAAGCTTTTTGCAGCATAACAGATTCAGAAATTCGTCCATCAAGTTGATCACATCGTTAAACGGTTCTGTCCATAAGACTTTTGTAATCTTTTTAAATGATGTCTTTCTTTGACACCATTTCAAAATTAGGACTAACGTAATATTAGAAGAATGGCAGTTCTGCTTTTTATGCCTATCGGATGACGATACAGGAAATCTCTTGACTTTATATGGAAAGGCAGGAGCCAGTTTAGTTTACATAAGAAGCTTTGAGCGCCACCTAGTGAAACTGTCCAGTCTTATTAGATGTTATAACTAATTGCCAACACCGTAACAAGAATTCAACCCCGAGTTCGTTTCTACTTTGATAAACAGCATGTTATGCATTTATGAAAGCAATAATTTCTAAGTAGATTTTTAGCATTATTATTTCCTTTTATATTTGTATCAAATTTTAGATATTCAGCTATTTATCAGTTGTAAACAGTAAATTTATTTATCTTTTATACAGTATTATGTATGTTTGTTAAAAGGCAGTCTTAGTTACTAAAGGATATAGTAGAACAGGCGTTAGAAAAGAACGGTATAAGAACCAAAGACAAACATTCTACGTAAAGACAAACAATCCAATTAGAATTTCCAACGCAAGCCTCCGAATTCTGAGCTCGCAAGACTACAGTTATAAATATTAATGGTGAAATAACAGTATAGTGACCGTAACTCGATTGTAAGTACGAAAAATTCCTATTGTAATGAGAGCAGAAGGGGAACGAGCCGATTGTGGGATCGTGAGAAGTTGCAAGTTGCGACACAAGAGCGAGAGTGCACAGTGAGTTTCGATGCCAACCTTGAGATCATCGGTGAGTATGGGAACAGTTGTTCACGGGGCTCATTCCTCCCGAAGTACACGGTCGCCTTCCCTCGCCAGACGAACGGGTTTCCGTGGAGAGTCCACCGGTATTTCGTAGATATACACAATCCAGTTGTATAACTATAAACACCACACCACACTGCACCCACACTCTTATTTAGAGTGGATTTCAACGGAACGAACGAAAATTGAGTAGCGACGCACGTCAGTTGTACTAACTGCGCGCTGTTAAGACGGAGACTGTGTGAGTACCGTGTGCCGCAGGCTGCGCGCACGCACCTCGCCCTTCCCCCCGTTCCCGCAGTCCAAGTCACAACCTCCCGTCTCCACCCTCTAGTGAGCGCGTCGGCAAAGCTTTTTGTAGCCGGATCCTCAATCAGATAATAAAACTGCAAGAAATTGCAAGGGTGCAGCAAACCGGCCTGCAGGTCGAACGTTTTCTTTTTAAATATTTATTTACATGTCATTTTTAAGCCTTATAAATTTGTATCACACATCAAATAAACCCTATTGTTTGTGTTTAAAGAATCATAATAAATGACTAATTCAGTTATACAATAAATTTAAGAAAAATAAAGAAGTATAAAACAATATTAATTTATTCAAAATTCAAGTCACTAAGCAATTATGTCTTAGTCCATTATACCTACTACGTCGTCAATTGCTTTGGTAATTCAAATAGGTGTTGCTTTAAGCGAATAAGCAATTATGTTTGTATACATGTATATAAAAACCGTTTTATATATAACGCAAAATATTCAAATAAACCTATTCTTTCGTTTCTATTTACTTTGTAGAAACTCTTAATGAAAGAAATATTTTTTGCAGATTTTTTATAAAAAATATTGTATAGATAAAAACCTGACCTTTACCGCTGTTTGTTATATGTTAAAGACATCAACGCGCGCGTTCCGTTTCATATGATATGTTGAGTATTTATAATCATTTAAATAATGAAATAAGAAATTAATAACTATGTTCTATATCTACATGCAAGCAATGAACAGTTAAATCCTGTTGCAAATATTATTTTTTACGTTTACTTACGTGTACATGGTATAAAATCTTATTTTAGATTCAATTTATATATTATAAATTGGTCCATCAACTCTTCTTGCACATGAGACCAGTTCGAGTTTTGCCTGTGTCACATGTTATAAACCTAGATTTTAATTTGTTTAGATCTAACAAGATTAATTTTACATAGTCTTGTTAGATCTAGAATTACAAAAAACTACATTTTTCCCGCTTTTGTTATTTTAATATTTATTTATTTTACTTATTAATACTATAATTAGAATAGTAATAATAAAATAATAACTGTACAGTTTGTGATCCACAAAAACAAGCTTTGCAGTATTTTTTTTTCGATTTGGACACAGTTTCAGACTAAAACAGATTATATAACAGATATTAGTATTAAATAAGGGATGTGAATAGTATGACATTTCATTGCTTTTAATGAATATCTTTACGTCTTTACATTCAAAATTAAAACTAACATCACGAAGAAAATCCAAAGGTTACTTGACGTTTGAAATAACGCTGACCGACTAACGGTCGTGGTACTTATCTACTGGAACTTACTCTGAACACAGTTACAATTTAAGCTAGAAAGCAAATCTAGTATCTTAAACTTTTGTAGGAATCTATACTAATATATAAAGCTGAAGAGTTTGTTTGTTTGAACGCGCTAATCTCAGGAATTACTGGTTCGAATAAAAAATATATTTTTGTGTTATTTACGATGTCCCAAATAACACAACAATATTTTTTTAAATTCGAATCAATGTTTATTGAAGGCTTTAGACTATAAAACATTGCGCTGTGACTAATAGGAACTAAGAAACAGCGAGAAATGTGGAAAAACACGGGGGAAAATGTTTGGAGATTTCCGATATTGCGCTGCGATACCCAAGAAATATGTATGAAAGAATGATTCCTCTTTACATGATCTAAAAAAAAGTCCGAGACGCTAAATATCAATCTTTGCAAAAACAAATTTGGATGCTGAAAATAACTATTCTATGCGGACGAAGTCGCTGACACAGTTAGTACTAGATATAACATTTTATGGATAAATAAAATATTATCTCGAATCTGCACACTAAAGGATAATTAGCACATAAGAATAAAAATCACCAAACAATGAACGCTCGACAAGGCCGTACCTACTGAAGTGTAATTTTAATGCCTATATTAAATTGGACGGTTAATGAAAACGTCAATTAAACATTAAACAAAGAAAAAACAAATAAATTATTTAACTTTTTATTGAGGTTACTGGGGTTATGGGTAGCCGGGTTTTCATTGTATTATCGTCGCATTAAAGAGTTATTATTATATATTACGTATTTGCTTTTATGAACATTATGTATAATAAAATGAAATAATAACTGTACAAATTTTAAGTACTCATACAGCGTCATGGTCGGATTGTCTTCGCAAACGGGGGCCAAGGTTAGAGTATACCAAAGTACGAATTCAAAGAAGAATCTTACGCCAATTAGGCATATATAGAAAATTAAAGTATAATCCAAATAAAGGTCTTTTATATGTATATTAGCTACATTACCGATTTCATTCTTATTCTAAATTAAATTTTTCTGAGAAGAATTTTTACTGCTTTTCCTTTTATCGCGACATTTACGTTCCAGGCGAGATTTTTTTACTAATAAAACCCACCATTGTAACTTAAAATCTTACATGGCCTCGAAAGGCTTGAACAATTAACTCAACTTGAGAATACAAATAAATCTATGTATTGCATAATATTTTACTAATGTAAGCAAAAATTATCAAACTAGAAACAATGATTATTAATTAATAATAAGTGTAGGTTTTAGAAAATATGACTGAAAAAATTGTTCATATCAGAACATATTCTGTATAAATTCACTAGATATAACTCAATCATCCTCACTCAGTATCTCAACTAATATGAATAAAAACAAATAGCTGTTGTAAAATACAACCAGCATCTTTTCACATATTCAACGAGCTTATTGGTGTAATTGTAGCAAGGTCAACATGTTTATAATGAATTTGTAAGTGTTCTGAAACTTCGTCTGAAAATCTGGATATTGACTTATTGATTGGGTTATTAACTATCGGAATTCCATCCGGGTCAAGAACCACCGTCCACACATAAAAAGCCGTCAAGTTTAATCATGCTTCGGTCTCAGTCTGTGGATTTCCGAATATCCGAAGCCAAAAATAGCACGACAGCGCATCTTGTTGAGATGTTATATGACTGGAGTATTTCAAATCAGTGTAAGATATTAAGCAAACAGTATCATTGTTACTAAAAATTATATATTCGGAGCGAGAAAATATTTGTTTCATATCTCTCGAATGCGGTAATCACGTCCTTCTGCAATGAATGACAAAAACAACTTTTACTGATCACTCGGTGTAGGTATCGACCATATTTAGCGAGGGTTATTTCTCGAAGATTTGGCACAACGCTCGTGGGTGTGATTTCACCAGACGCCTTAAAACTTTCACTGTATGTTGCAATATGTCATTTGGGCTTGTCCACTTTACAATAATTAATGTTTCAATCTAATATTTTTTAATACCAAGGCGATCTTCTTAATGACTAGTTCGATGACTTGTAACCGGAACCATATTTTCCGTCATGTAGGTGCTTTTTAAAATGGCAAAAGTATATGAATCATAGAATTGTTTATGTAGGTGGTATCTGGAATAGGAAACTTGTATATTGTGTCCAACCTCAAAAGTTAATAATTAAAGATCAACATTACATATATGGATGCTTTAGATATGACGTAAACTCTTACATTCGATTTAAAATAATATATGAGAATCAAATTGCCAATATATACAGACAAGGTTTTCTGTAATCAATTTTCCTTATTCTGTTTATAAAGCCATACGAAATATTCTACAGAACTCAGTAATCATGATTTCACAAAAATTTGTTATTCCTTAACTTTTTACGCGTTAATGTAAGATATAGACTGGACTCGTAGCCGAAATATTGATCCTGGCTTCAAGTCGAGTGTTCCACCATCGTTGCTCTATCAATTGACATTCAAACTAAAGTATTTCTTCAATGCAAAATTGTTGTATGAAATTTGATTGCACAATGAACAGTAATTCTGTGGGTTTAGTCCTCTAGTGTACCGCTGTGTGGGTCGCAGTAGGTTACGGACTGCCAATATCAATAGCTGACATAAAAAGGAGACACTGACGTAGGCGTAAAATAAAACTGTTACGTGACAAGTATTAATTGAAAGTACTTTTTTAACTCGTAATAAAATGAAGATACAGTTAATCTAACTGGCAGTAACTTAGTTTATTACCTCAAGTAATAATTGCAAAGCTAGTAGTGCACAACCGCATTTATAATATAGATTTTTTTATATATTTATTACGTTGTAATTCTACCATTTCTAAGTCAGTCAGCTAGCATTGCGAATCGTTTGGCATCTTACATTGCACATATGTACACACGAGTGTGTACTATCTAATTTAAAAAACGATTACCAAATGATTCCCAGCACGAAACACTAACAAAGCCGGTTCAAGTCTTGTCCGAGTCAAAAAAAAATCAATTTTCTTTCGATTTTTAAATTATATAGTGAGTGCCATCATGTGCAATAACATGTGAAAAATATTAAAGTTTTCATAGATATGTACTTCCAAAAGTTTTTGTACGCAAATTATACTGTTTTAGATATTTGTATAAATTAATACTTTCTTTTTGCTTTGCCACCAAATAATAAGAGTAAAAGAAGACTAAAGTAATATTTTAAAAAAAAGGAAATGATCCTTTTATTTAACTTAGATAGGTTTAGTACTACTATCTCATATCAGTAATACTGTACCGCTACTTACATAACTCGCGTCATATTGTAGGACAGTACTTATCGCATGCCAATGACATCATGACGACCACTTACTGTTACCTAGGCTGAGGACGTGATCTTAATTTTAAAATATGTACAGTTCCTTAACATTCAGAATTACTCTGTTACAAGAGAAAGTTGGGGCAAAATGTTCCAATACATACGCAAGAGGCAGAATTTTAAACACGGCATTTAACACAAATTTTCTATCTATTCACATTTGAAATTGTAAAGCTACATAGAAATTTTAAATAAACGACGAAAAAATATATGAATGCCGTTGTAGTATCGCTGTTTCTCTTCTCTTTGTTTCATATGCCGGTGTGACCGTTCGCATAGCTTTGCCGGCGATGAAAACCTTCACTTAGATATATACGACTGAGGTGTACTGCAACGGGTGACGCAGCGCTAAAAATAGAGGTTGGGCCGAGAACCGGGCACGGATGGTACAGCCAGTCTCATCCCGTTTACCCCGTCCCTCAAACGAGTCCCGGTCATTCTGCGCCATCTTGTTAATCTGTGGAACGTGGAGGTCGAAGTAGTTTTCATCGCAAGGACACGGGCTAATAAGAACTAGGTACAAACGGAGGTCAATAACATGTTTATAATATTCTATAAGGGCTTTCAACCCATTATGTGGAGATTAACAAATGTCTCACGACTAGACTAGACTTCATATAAGCCATAGATAAAAACTTAAGGCTAAAAACTTTTGTAAGTTTACAAGATAAAATATAAATATACTTTTTTGATTAAGTCCTTAATAGCTTTGCCAGTAATTCTACTTTAGTTTGCAAAACTGATTACAAATATATATTTTTTTCTTACATAACCTTACGTAGAATACCTGTAAAATTATATCAATCTCTTCTCCAGTCAGAGTTAATCTGATTTAAGCATTAATTACACTTATAGCGAAATATATACATTTAATTCCTAATATTTATGTATATATTCTGGGCTCTAGTAATTATTGTATAAATTTAACTTCAATAAAATTATTGATAAAAATATTTACTCTAACACCACAATGATGTCATCAAATCAACTCGTTTCTTAAATCGAAAACCTATGATATTCATCTTCATGAAATACTGTAGAGGTTGCATTTTAAATTCTTCGGGATTATAATACTTAGCAAAAATGTAGATCTTGATACATCTAGGTATCTGATATCATAAACCTTCGATGAATTCATATCATAATACCTATCCGACGAGGCGGTGAATATTTCTCATTCAATTTATTTCCACTGTCAGAATGTATCTACAATCGCTATTGAACATCGGCTATTGTAAAGAAATACATTCGAAGCCTTCAATTTCAATGAATGCATTCAATGCTCTTCGGCAATGGCTAATAAAACAAAGTTAGCTCATACTGTAATTACAGCAACTCGGTAAGATATTCTTGGCGTGGTCAACATCGAGTTCAAATATGTTTTTATCGATTTACTTTAGGTTGTAAATTAGTATAACGCTTAGTTTACGCGTTTTACAAATTAGGACACAATTAAAATGACACCCTTATTTTGAAAATGTCTATAGTCTACGCGAGTAGTACACATTTAAATAAAACACTTTAACGGCTAACACTATAGCGTTTTAACGCCGTCGTCAGAACGTCGGGCCTTAGGTAAAAAAATAATTCAAATGAGTTCAAGTTAGTTCAAATAAGTTTAAGTAATATTTATCGCATTTTAAACCGTTAAAGTGTTTAAACCCTCATTTTGAATGCTTTACAGCAGCTGTGGTAGTGTCAAGAAGCGTCGAAGTTAAAAATAAATCTAACTTACTAACATGTACAATATTGTATAAATTGCTCCACATCTTATAACACGTTTCTAATGTTAAGGAAGTATATTAAAAATATAGTTTTAAAATAATGATCGTGATGAAAAATCACTTGTTTTTTGCACATGATCTAAAAGCAATCTAAAAATGAAGTCTGCAAATGACATCATCCAAAGGCCTCGATGGATGACACAAGACGTGATCCAATCATAAAGACGTTCTCTTTAAATATTTCTTTAATATTTGTATATTTAAATAATATCCTGTAGGCTAAAATGTAATTTCGCTGGTTAGAAGATTGGAATTTTTCCATTTACTTTATTCTTGGTCTCCGGTGTTTATAAGGTCATTTATTTCGCCGAAACAACAAAAAATCTCTAATGTTTATCTTTATTAATATATAGAAATAATTATTTTGTCTTAAAGTCTAGTGTTTGTTATATTTGGTACTCTGAAGTTACGAAAATTGCTTCTGAAAATATTTGGGAATTATTATCGACTAGCTAAGGAGTAATATGGGAACGAGAAGCAGTTAAAGTGATAACTTTGTTTAGTATTTTTTATCAAAAAATGCTCTCAACCTCGTTCCGTTTTTTAATAGAATATGAATATCTTAATATTGATAAAATTTTATAGTCGATAGTTTGGGTTATTTGTTCAATCAGTTAGCACTTTACACACGATGTTGTTTAAATATTGTAGGCGTGGACGAGAAAGAATGACCCCGTCCCATATCCGCAACGGCTGCGTCACACGATCTGTTGAAACTAATATTACGCAAAGGTGTAACAGACTGACCGAACAATTTCAAGAGGAAGTCCTAATTATAAGATTTATAATTATTTTTCTTCTAAAATCTTGTTTTGACACAATATCTTTTCATTTATATTATATCACTTGGAAATAACAAAATTATTATTAGTTAGGGATAAATTAATAGCAATTTATTTTAGTACGCAAATGTTCTTGTATACGTGTTTTATTTAAAACACGTATACAATATACAAGAACAATTTATTAGTTAGTTTAGTATTAGTTGAACCTATTTGAAAATTATTTTATCTACGGCTCGACGTTTCGAATCCTTTGCAGCAGCCGTGGTCACGGGGAGACCAATGATTTTCAAATAGAGAAGTTTAACTAATATATATTGCGTAATACATGCGTAAACTCCAGACAGTGTTTATTCGTGTTTTTTTATGTAATACAGCATTTACATAAATAATTAACACCCTATATTCTAAACACAGCCAGAAACAATGTTATTTTCTTACCGAGCAGCACCTACATTTAACATTTTGCCTAATTCAAGGTCAATGTGACAGAGTAAATTCTGACATCACACGTTAGACAACAAAGGTCAGGTTCCAAGTAAATATGCATAAATGTCGAAACAAGCAGTACAAGCATATCTACTTAAGTGTTTCCTCTGAATCCAATTATGCGGGTGCAGATAGAGCGTCTTCGTCTATGTAAATATAACCATTATTTATGCAATTAAAGATACAGTACCTATGCCTACATAAAATAACCTGTTTATTTTATTATGTTATTAGTGTTTCAGGTATTATAAAATAAAAAGCAGATAATGGATTAAGATTTGAAAATCGAATCAAAAATTTCAAAACGTATAAGTAACGACAAACTGGGCTTTCTGTTCATGAGTTCGAGGTTATAAGCTTTAATCCATAGACAATCGTTTGTATTACCTAAGACCCACAAATACAGCGCTAAACTAAAATAAAAGAAGTCGTAGTAACAGCAAAAATATATAGTAATATTCTCACGCAACATGCCATCCTTCACACTAATGCATGGGAAGTCACTCAACCAGTGTTCCGAATCATTACTGCATCGCATCATCATTTCTAATAGCGGTGATGTTCTATAGGGATCATATATAAAATTCCACATTACTTCACTTGCAATAATTATAAAATAATCGCATGAATCCATGACATCAGCAGCCTTGACGAAAGTCAGGAAAAAACAAAGTATGGATCATTATGTGTTAAGTCATGTGGATTATAATTAAATTTATTATTTGCTCAAGAAAATTACCAGGATGTTGTTCTCTTAGATCTGTGAGCAGCATCGTTGCATTAACATACGCATGGTAAACTTAATTTCTATCTTACTCGTTAGCTAGAGATAATATTGTCATGCAACACGCAAACACTGGCCGGATAACCTCGACATTGTTCCATTCAATAAACAGGAATAATGATGAGTTAGTCAGATGCTACTGTCAAATTACTTCTAAGAACTATTGGTGTCGCAAAAAGCCAAATCTTTCTAGAAGAGTTAATGCTGTTGGGGTTTTATATTAAGATTTACAACATTCAATCAATAACTTGCCTGAAAATATTATATCGTATCGAAATATTATTACGTATTACGGAGAATCAAAAGAATGAAAAAACAAGTTTGACTACACATAACGGAAGAAGAACTATTAAAAACATTGATTCGACTAATTTGACGAGTAAATTGCGCAATAGTCTGATATTTCAATTTGGTTTTATTTTATGACAGAGATAGAAATACCCCAGATATATAAAATCTAAACAAGATGCGCTATCGTCCTATTTAGCCTCTGAACATTGGGAAATCCAGACTAAACCGCAGTCAATTTCACGGCTTTTCAACCTGAGGACTATGTTTCATGACCGCGACAAAATCTCAACATTTCTACCACTCATAATTATTAGAATAGTATTAGCCATACATTGCTTCTTGTTTAATCTGAATAATTAAGTAAATTTACTTATTTTCCTTTCGTCTTATTATTGGATGAAGATGACACATAATGTATGAGAAACATCGTGACCTTACTTATAAGCCAGTGGTCAAACAACATTAGACCACGGTTCTGAATATGTGGATAATATTATTAGGTATTCATGTGCTTTGAGGACGATGACATCATCATGTCGCATTGGTGCCCGCGGCGCTAATCTGTTGCCGAGAAGGTTACGCACGTTACAATCGTTATTGTTAATACATTATCGTTAAATTTTTACAATGTAAGTAGTTACTAAGTAGAACATACAGATAAGAACAATGATATATATAGATAGCCAGCCCCCCCCCCCATTTATGGTTACTTAAAAGCTCCCAAAATGTTTCGTAGAAAAAATCATTATCTTAAGTGCGAAAGTATAAATAGTTTGAATAAATGCATTTTGCTTAAATAAAGATACAACTTTTAACTTAACTACTAAGTACCTCTAAACAGTGTAATTGGAGTGTTATTTTTTATACGAAATAATGTTTTTAACAAATGACAAATAAGCATCGTACAGAGTTCAACGCACGTAAAATTATGTTCATTTGCACGGAAAGTAATAAAAGTGTTACCGAGTAGGAGTCATTCTATAAATTTTATTTTCACATGTATTTTATAAGCGCAAAAAAAATATAGTAAAAAGTAATTGAATATACAAAGATCCCTAATTAATTTAAAACGTTACAAAATATTTTTAATTGTTGTTAATAGCGCTTGGCGGGGATAGAAAAATAAACTTATTTCTCCAATGTAAATCATATTATTCATGATTAATTACAAATTCACTAGACATAGTAATTTGTCGGGCGTGTTCGTAGTGGTCAACTGTTACCAAAGTAATCCTAATGACCACTGTGTCGTGACTTAGATTTCCGCCGGGTCCCACTCGTTCGAAGATCAATTTCATTTATTCTAATTGTTATAAAT